TGCTCCCAGCGATGTTGACACTCTCCGCGCTGCTCTGGGACCCATCCTTGAGGTCATGACTAAGTTCAACGACGGCCTCAAGGGTCACGAGTTCGGTGTTATGTCTTCTCTCTTCCAGCAATACTACGATGTTGAGAGCCTCTTCGCCGCCAGACAGAACCGCGACGAGGAGGTTATCCTTGCTCTCAGAGACCAGAACAAGGACAACTTGGTCAAGGTCGTTTACACTGCTCTGTCGCACACTCGCGTCAGCTCGAAGAACAACCTCATCATCGCAATCCTGGATTACTACCGCCCCAACAAGCCTGGTGCTGGCAGTGTCGCTAAGTACTTGCGCTCTTCCCTTCGCCAGCTTGCCGAGCTCGAGTCAAGACAGACCGCCAAGGTCTCGTTGAAGGCTCGTGAGCTGCTCATCCAGTGCGCCATGCCCTCCCTCGAGGAGCGTACATCACAGATGGAGCACATTCTCCGCTCCTCTGTCCTCGAGTCTCGCTACGGTGAGGCTGGTTGGGACCACCGTGAGCCCAGCTTCGAGATCATCAAGGAGGTCGTCGACTCGAAGTACACCGTGTTCGATGTGCTTTCCCAGTTCTTCGTTCACCCCGACCCTTGGGTCTCATTGGCCGCCCTCGAGGTCTACACCCGCCGCGCTTACCGCGCCTACCAACTCAAGACCATCGAGTACGTTACCGAGAACGACACTCCTTACGTTCTGACCTGGGACTTCGCCCTTCGCAAGGTCGGCCAGTCTGAGTTCGGTCTGCCAATTGAGTCATCACACCCCTCCACCCCTGGCACTCCTGCCGGAAACGAGGGCTTCAGCCGTGTGCACTCAATCAGCGACATGAGCTACCTCAACGCCCGTACCAAGGACGAGCCCACCCGCAAGGGTGCAGTCATCCCCGTTCAGTACATTGATGAGATCGAGGAGTACCTGACCAAGGCATTGGAGGTCTTCCCTCTTGCTGGCAGCCACGGTGGCAAGCCTCGTGGCTCAAGCTCAGGCTTGATGGCCGACCTGTCTAGACAGCGCAAGCCTACTGCTCCCAAGATCGACTCAACTGATGAGCTCACTGCAGTTTGCAATGTTGCTGTCAAGGATGCCGAGTCCCTTGACGACCCCGAGATCCTTGCCCGTCTCATCCCCATCGTCAACGAGTACAAGGAGGAGCTTCTCGCGCGCCGCGTTCGTCGTTTGACATTCATCTGTGGTCACAAGGACGGCACCTACCCCGGATACTACACTTTCCGTGGTCCTGCCTATGAGGAGGACTCTAGCATTCGTCACATTGAGCCTGCTCTTGCCTTCCAGCTTGAGCTCGGACGTCTTTCCAAGTTCAACATCAAGCCCGTGTTCACTGAGAATCGCAACATCCACATCTACGAGGCCATCGGTAAGGGTGTTGAGAACGACAAGCGTTACTTCACTCGCGCTGTTGTCCGTCCCGGTCGTGTTCGTGACGACATCTCGACTGTTGAGTACATGATCTCCGAAGCCGACAGACTCATGACCGACATTCTTGATGCTCTGGAGATTATTGGTAACAACAACTCTGACTTGAACCACATCTTCATCAACTTCTCTCCTGTCTTCCCTCTTACACCCAAGGAGGTTGAGGAAGCTCTTGCTGGATTCCTTGACAGATTCGGCCGTCGTGCTTGGCGCCTCCGCGTTACTGGTGTTGAGGTTCGCATCATCTGCACCGACCCCAACACTGGCGAGGCCTACCCTGTTCGTGTTCTGATCAACAACACCTCTGGATACATCATCCAGGTTGAGTTGTACGCTGAGCGCAAGTCTGAGAAGGGCAATGAGTGGTACTTCCAGAGCATTGGTGGCAGCACCAAGATCGGCTCCATGCACCTGCGTCCCGTGTCGACCCCTTACACTACCAAGGGTGCTCTCCAGCCCAAGCGTTACAAGGCTCACATCATGGGCACTCAGTACGTCTACGACTTCCCCGAGCTGTTCAGACAAGCCATCGAGAACAGCTGGAACCAAGTCACTGCTGCCCACCCTGGTCTCAAGGAGAAGCAGCCTATCTCTGGCGAGTGCATCGAGTACAACGAGCTTGTCCTTGATGACTCGGACAACCTGGCTGAGGTCAACCGTGACCCTGGTACCAACACCATTGGTATGGTCGCATGGCTCATCACCGCCAAGACTCCCGAGTACCCCCGTGGCAGACGCTTCATCATCATCGCCAACGATATCACCTTCAAGATCGGTTCATTCGGTCCTTCAGAAGATAGATTCTTCCACAAGTGTACTGAGCTGGCCAGAAAGCTTGGTATTCCCAGAATTTACCTGTCTGCCAACTCCGGTGCCCGCATCGGTATGGCCGAGGAGCTTATCCCCCACTTCTCCGTTGCATGGAAGGACGCTGCCAGACCTGAGGCTGGCTTCGACTACCTCTACCTGACCCCCGAGAAGAAGGCTCGCTTCGAGGATGGTGAGCTCAAGCACGTCATCACCAAGGAGACCACCGTCAATGGCGAGGTCAGACATGTCATCACCACTATTGTTGGTGCTGAGGACGGTCTTGGTGTTGAGTGTTTGAAGGGCTCTGGTCTCATCGCTGGTGAGACATCCAGAGCTTATGAGGACATCTTCACCATTACCCTCGTTACTTGCCGTTCCGTTGGTATTGGTGCCTACCTTGTCCGTCTTGGTCAGCGTGCCATCCAGATTGAGGGTCAACCCATCATCCTCACTGGTGCTCCTGCCATCAACAAGCTCCTGGGTCGTGAGGTCTACACCTCCAACTTGCAGCTTGGTGGTACCCAAATCATGTACAAGAACGGTGTTTCTCACATGACTGCTGGTGACGACTTCGAGGGTGTTTCCAAGATTGTCAAGTGGATGTCATTCATCCCTGACAAGAAGAACAACCCCATCCCCATCTCGCCCTCGACCGACTCGTGGGACCGTGACATCACCTACTTCCCTCCCCAGAAGCAGCCTTACGATGTTAGATGGCTCATTCACGGTAAGCAGGAAGACGATGGCTTTGCCTCTGGTCTGTTCGACAAGGGCTCTTTCGAGGAGGCTCTTGGCGGCTGGGCTCGCACTGTCGTTGTCGGTCGTGCTCGTCTTGGTGGTATCCCCGTCGGTGTCATTGGTGTTGAGACTCGCTCTGTCGAGAACGTCATGCCCGCCGACCCTGCCAACCCTGACTCTATCGAGCAAGTCTCCAACGAGGCTGGTGGTGTTTGGTACCCCAACTCTGCCTTCAAGACCGCTCAGGCTATCAAGGACTTCAACAACGGTGAGCAATTGCCTTTGATGATTCTTGCCAACTGGAGAGGTTTCTCTGGTGGTCAGAGAGATATGTACAACGAGGTCCTCAAGTACGGTTCATACATCGTCGATGCTCTCGTCAAGTACGAGCAGCCCATCTTCGTCTACATTCCTCCCTTCGGAGAGCTTCGTGGTGGTTCATGGGTAAGCTGCAATATACACAAACACTTTAATTACAAGACACTAACATGTATCACAGGTCGTCGTCGATCCTACGATCAACCCTCAATACATGGAGATGTACGCCGACGAGGAGGCTCGTGGTGGTGTCCTCGAGCCCGAAGGTATCGTCGGTATCAAGTTCCGCAGGGAGAAGCAGCTCGAGACCATGGCTCGTCTCGACGCCACATACGGCGAGCTCAAGGCCAAGTCGGCCGACAAGTCGCTGTCAGCCGAGGAGGCCCTCGAGGTCAAGGCCAAGATGACCGAGCGCGAGAAGCTGTTGTTGCCTGTTTACATGCAGATCTCTCTGCAGTACGCCGACTTGCACGACCGTGCAGGCCGCATGAAGGCCAAGGACACTATTCGCATGCCTCTGCAATGGCAGAACGCTCGTCGCTTCTTCTACTGGCGTCTCCGCCGTCGTTTGGACGAGGAGTACGTGCTCAAGGCCATGGCTCAGTCATCATCGAAGGAGTTGGTCTCGCGCACCAAGAACCTCCAGACCCTCGAGGCCTGGTCAGGCGTGCCTCAATTCTCTACCGAGGACCAGAAGGTTGCTCAGTGGTACGAGGAGAACCGCCAAGAGATCTACTCCAAGATCGAGAACCTCAAGCAGGAGTCGATCGCCTACGACGTCGCTGCCATGTTGCGCGCCAACAAGGAGGGTGGCCTCAAGGGTATTGCCCAGATGCTCAGTATGCTGCCCGTCGAGGAGAAGGAGGAGATCCTCAAGACTTTGTCGAGCGCATAGGTGTGATGAATACGCTTTGTATATGTAAATATCCCCTCGATTGTTTCTGTTTTCACTTACAATATTTGGGAAGATGGGGATTACTGTTTACAGCATTATTTGTTAATGATTTTTCTCTATCACTTTTTTTCTCTTCGTCTCTCGTTCGAGCAGGTTCTTGCATTGTCGATTCTTTTTGATCTATCAACTCTACTCTACCCTTATACATATAAAAATAGTTAATGACGGTTCTTCAGATTGCACTTTCCCGTTGTCATCAATTCAAGTTCTCCATTGTGACTGCCGTCCTACATTTTCGTCGTGGTTTCTCCAATTGTTCGACTGGTAATGACCAGTTAAGAAGTGGCCTTGGATCTCATGGCTGACTTGCTCCTGCCTCTTGCCAAAATTTGTCACCCCAGAGTAGAGGCTGAAGCCTACCACTCCATGTCTGACAAAACCCCGACCCTCTACTGCCGGAACACAGTAGAGAGGAAGTCGCTCTGATAAACATGCCCGATAGACTCATGAGTCCCATACAGAGACAGACTTGAAGAGTCTCGAGGTCTACTAACCAGTACGACTTCCTGCCTAGTGAGAAAGCGAGAGCCCAGTTCGTGCATCCGGAACCTTCTACAGGGATTTTCCTTGTTTTTCTCAAAGCAAGTAAGCTGGATCAACGACACATTGTGCTGTTCGGTCTCGTTCTCCATAACACAACAGATTCCTACATCGAGAACCATCCACCATTGCGTCAACGCATCAAGCACAACTATCCACTCATCACAAACTCAAACAACAAAGACCATGACTACCCACGGCACATTCCAGAGCCTGCGCGCTCAGATCCTCGGTATGCATCCTGAACTTCCATCTTTTCCTTCCAGTCCTCACTTACTTACAACTCCACAGACAACTTCTCCATCACCATGCCCGAGCACCTCAAGACCAAGGTCGTGCTCGCCCACCACAACAACACCTGGTGGTGCATTGTCTACGGCAACGACAGCAAGCCTATCTGGAAGACTGGCAAGGGCTGCGAGACCCCTGAGTTGGCTTTGCGCAAGATGTTGGTCTCATCGAGTGATATGGTGTTTGACAAGTTTCAGAAGGATGGATTTGGACTTGATCCTTGAGTGAGAGAGTTAGACATGCCCCCCAAAGGTTGTGGGGAGAAGCAAGGGGCAGGAGCGAATTGTTCTTTGTGCTTGCCGATTGAGTCGGTCTGCGTCGAAATGTTCTGAAGCCCATGCGTAGAAAGGATCGTTGATGGTGGTTTCCTTGTTAGAGAAGTTCGGTCCTGATCATCTTCGACTCAGCCTTCAAGTCATCGTTTCAATTGTCCAAACATAGTTGATTCACCCCAAAGACAAAACAGCACATCTGAATGACTTCATGACCCTTTTTGACCAACAACTCATTGGAAGCAATGAATATCCTAGATCGCGTCACATATAATCGAGCAACACGCAGACAAGCAGCATGACAGACGTTCGCTACCATATCTATTTCCATCGTATGGCGACTTCGACCTTTCTTTGTAAGCTGCTGTACAGAAAATTTCCGTTTGCGGCTCACACTCAGACGTATGATGAAGCTTTGTCGATTGGAACAAAGAATCAGCACTGTTATAGTGCTCACCTCAGTAGAGAAATTTTCCATCCCTCTGTAGCTTCGTACTTACAGCCGCGCTTCTACAAGTTATTCGAAATCTCACAAAGCTTTCTCTCTACAACTGTTTCCAAACTCATTGCAGGGCAATCTCAGAATCATGTCTGACCAGGAAGCTGCCAACATCAAACTCATGCGTGTCCAGATATCAGGTATCTCCCAACACTATCTGTTCTCCAGACGCATCAGCTAATAGTCTCAAAAGACAATCTAGAGTACCTGAAGGGTAATGGTCCTTTCAAAATCTTGACCACCTATGAGTACGAAGAAGACAAATACCAAGTCATCGTTCTCGACAAGGACTCTAAAGTGATAAAGATTGACCCCCAACAGAGAGGTTACGAAACTGTGACGCAGGCTTTGCAAGATGTGCTTCGACGTACCAATTTGCAGGCGGAAGGGGAAGTTGACATGGAGCAGGATGAGAAGATGCGTTCTAGAGATCCTCCGTCAGATGAAGGTGGCAGGCCTCATGAGGCATCATTTCCTGGAGTGACTCCTGGTGGTCTGTTTGATACAAAGTCACCTGGCCATTTCGGTTTTGAGATCAACTCCCATGGCCAGAGACCGCCTCATACTCCACTTCCTGGATCAATGCCTTCTGGTGGCATGTTCAGTGCCACATCCAGCCGAGGATTGTTTGGAAACAGTACAAACACACAAGGTCAGCATACATGTGGCACAGCTGGCCAAGGTCTGTTTGCGTTTGGAACCAACAACAACGTACAAGGCCAGCCTACCCCATGCCTGCTTGGAAATATGCATCCGCAAGGTCAGCCTATAGAAGGTATGTGCGGGACCAACATGAATACACAGGGCTGGTCTACTGGACCTTGTCAGATTCCTTCGACAGGTACCCCTGGTGACTATTGCACTAACCGAGCAGCTGGTGGGCTCTCCGGGCATTGCTCATCTGGTCAAGGCTTGTTTGGAGGCAGTGGGAACGCGAGTGGGCCTTCTGGAGCTTATAACCCGCATCTCCATGTCCCAGGTCTGTCTGTCTCTCACGGTCTGTTTTCACACCCACAAGGTTGCAAAACTACCTTTACAGTGAACCTGAACGGTCTGACTGTCTCTGGTACCAATTTCAATGGACGTGGTCGGTTAGATTGTGATTCAGACTGTTCAAACAGTTTTCAGCACAACAACTGCCAGTTCGAAGACCACTATACGTGCTGTATGTACAGAAATGGGCCTCTAAGATGTCTTTGCGACGACTTCCAACAGGGATCGAACGACCAGAACAGCAATACTGTAAACAATCAATTCACCAATGTTCATCGATTCAGACCTGGACATAGAGGGCTGTGGTCAAGCTCATCTTCTCCAGCTACTACTCATGCCCATGTTGCGAAAGATTCGCTTTTCGAGGCTTCTGCACCTCGTGGTGGGCTATTTGTAACCCAGCCTGGCAGAACTACTGTAGCCACTGGTGCGCTGTTTGGACCTTCTACCCGGGACAAGCCTCCACGTCTCTTCGAGGATATTCCTATCTTCCCAGCTACACCAGGCCCTGCGACCACACCTAGAGATCGTAAAGTACTTCGTGGTGGTCTCTTCGGAGCACAGCCTGATACTTCGACCAGTGTCCCTGCACAGGAAAAATCTAGCGCTGGTCTCTTTGGTCAGTACACTGCTGTGCCTGGCGCGTTCACAGATTCACCTGCTCCCGAAGGTTACAAGCCTTCCCTCTTCAGTGGCCCTAGCCCTGATATTGAAGCTACTGCAGACCCCAAGACTCCAGAACCCGAGGCAATCGGACCTCGCATTGACGCTCGTGGAATATCGTTATTCGGATCTGGATCTGCGAATACCACATTCAATGATACTAGACTAGGCAAACCTTCTGAGTCCGAGAGTAAACCTGCAGATTTTTACAAGAGAGCTCATTTCGCTGCGACAGTGGAAGATGCGAGTTCTCTTTCGGAGACCGAGAAGAGCAACGACAGCGGAAACAAAAAGTCGAAGGGCAAAGCTGTAAGCAAGCCTCGCTCGACAGAACCCGTTACCACCAAGAAGAGAGTAAGCCCAGAACCAACCACTCCTGCCTCCGCTCCTGCTGCTAAGAAAGAAGCAGCATCGAGCGGAGGTACTCTCATGGGTTCTCGATGGGCTGAGGTCGCTAAACACGCTGGCCGTATTTCTACTGTCACTGAAGCTGATGGCAAATCTTCTGGCGGAGTTCCTGAACTTTCTCGTGTTGGTGCCGTCATGAGAGCTGCAGCAGAACAATCGGCAAGTGTTCCAGATGATCCAAGATCTATGTTTGCTTCAAAGGCTGCATCTTCTGGAGTCAGCATACCTGAGTCAATTGCTACGCAGCGGTCTCCTGCTCCAGCTTCTTTGTTTGGTTCTACGCCAGGTTCCACATTTGCTCCAGCTCCAGCACCCGCACCTGGACCCACTGCTGCCGGTTCTGCACAAGCTCCGAGCTCGTTCGCTCCAAGTCCATTTGCACCAGGCTCAGTTGCTCCCCGTCTATCCGCTCCAGGCGCGCCTTCCTCTGGTGAACCTTCAGTAAGTCCCATTGTTGTACCGGTGAATGAGCCTGTGAAAGAGTCTGCAGAGAGGTCTCTAAAAGAGCCTGTGAAAGAAGCTGCGAAGGAGTCCGCTGCGGCTGAGAAGAAGAAAGTCAAGACAGGAGGTCTCTTTGACTCGAAGTATGCGTCTTGATCACTTCCAGAAGGCGCCGGCAACCTTTGTCTAAACTTTTGTCTTCGTTCGTTTTGTTGTACAGTGTTTCCATCGATGAAGATTCATGGGTTCACCGTGTACATGAAAAATCTGTTCTTGTGGTATTATCTGTCTTCGTATAGCAGTATTATCATCGTACCCTTTTCTTGTAGCCATGTCTGTTTCGCTATGGTCATTATGCATCATCGATATTGTTACCTCAATTACTCCCGGTTCTCTCTCCCTCACTACCTCTTCTCCCTCTCAGATGTTTATTTGCCGTTTGAGCCCTCGACACCCTTCTTATACTCATCCCTAAGCACCCACTTGCCTCTACCCCTCGACCCCTTCTCCAACACGGCAATAACCTTCAACATCTCCTTGAACTCAGCCGTCCTCTGCGCAGTACCACAGAACCGATTGAAATGATCAATCAAGTTCTGGGTATACACTTTACCTCCATGCGCTAAGAGATAATCTCTGATCAGTGCAAGGAACTCTCTGCCTTTGGGTTGCGGTTGAGCTGAAGGAGTGCCTGCTCGCGATGTCGAGGTGGAAGGAGTAGAGACACGAGAAGGAGTGATTCCTTGACGTGCAGAAAGATGACTGAGAATAGAAGTACTAGACGGACCTCCTCTACTCATACCGCCTCTTCCTCTTGACGCAGCAAGTCCACCCCTTCGAGAGGGAGTTTCAGGACGACCTGCTGTGCCAAATTGGCCTGTCCAACTTACACTGCCAGCAGGAAGGTTTCTCGCAATCTCTCCTGCTTTCTTGAGTTCGGCTGCTGCAAGGGCGGCGACGCGTTTTGCTTCTTTGGCAATAATCTCAGGGTCCGCGGTTACTTTCCTCGAAGAGCCGGAGTTGCCAGATATAATGTCGTCGTGAGAGAGGGCAGAGGTGACGCCTGAGCGGGCGAAGATGGCACCGAGCATGCGTTCGTCTCTTGTGCTGTTTCCGTTCTCGGCTCCGTCGTTGTTGGCTTCTGCAGATGCTGGTTTCTCTTCTTCGCCTTGGAAGTCTTCGGTGTGCGAAATGCCAACAATGTCTTGCATTTCTTTTTCCCTTGCGGCTTTCTCGGCTGCAGTGGTTGCTGAGGCTTGTTCTTGTTTCTGAGCATTGGTGTCCGAGTTATCCGCCTGAGGGCCAGATAGTTGGACCTCCGTACCTTTGAAGATACTGCCTGTTTCAGTTTGACCATCTGCACTTGCCTCGCCTAGAGTAAACAGATCGTGTAGATCTCTCAATTGGAACGTCTGTCGCTGCTTCGGATCTCTCAAGATTTTGTTGGTCAAGAACTGCTTGAAGATTTGTCTGTGGTAAATCTTTTCTTCAATAGTGCCGGCAGTCATCAAGCGATAGATTTCGACTTCCTTTTTTTGACCTAGTCGCCAAGCTCGTTCTCGAGCTTGAACATCGGTTGACGGGTTCCAATCAGGATCGTAGATGATGACTCGATTTGCACCAGTCAGGTTTACGCCTAGACCTCCTACTTTAGTGGTGAGGAGGAAGACATGCAAGTCAGGATTCTTGTTGAACTTGTCAACCAGTGTCTGTCTGTCTTTGATAGATGTGTTGCCATCCATGCGAAGGTAGTTGATGCCGCCCATCTCGCTGACGAATCTTTCAAGAATATCGAGCATAATACGATGCTGAGCAAACAGCAATGTCTTGTGTCCATTCTTCTTCCAGATCTCAAGCAGAGCTTTCACGACTTGCATCTTTCCAGACTTGTTGGCATTACCATAGTTATAGTCTGATTTGACGGACAAGGTCTTGTGCTCAGTCAAATCGGGATGATTGCAAATCTTGCGCAGAATATCAATGCCGAAAAGTGCTTGCCTCTTGCCAGCCAAGATAGCCGTCATGTCACCAGAATTCAAGAAGTACTCGTACGCGTCACGTTGAGGTTTGGTCAACTTGCAGAACAAGACTCGCTCGCTCTTCTTGGGTAGATCAGATGCCACATCGACCTTGAAACGTTGCAGAAGGTATGGACTGATTGTGTCCTTCAGAGTTTCTGCGCACTTCATGGCAGTCTCGACTTGCAGATTGGAAGCATTGGCATAACCACCCTGCTTGATCGGAGTCTCAAATTGTTGCTTGAAGCTGACCAGAGTGCCGAGTCTCATAGGGAACACAAAGTCGAAGAGAGACCAGAGTTCAGTCAAGTTGTTCTGCATGGGTGTACCAGAGAGGATGATTCGGTTGTGTGTGCGAATCTCCTTGCTGTAAATCGTGATTGCCGTGTTGGGATTTCTGATCTTGTGGCCTTCGTCCAGGACGCAGTACTCCCACTCCATAGGAATGAGATGCTCAGCGTAGGTCTGCAAACCAGAGTATGTAGTCACCAGAACATGACCATCTCTCTGTACCTTATCCACAATGCGCTTGGCAGATTTGTTACCCTTTGAAGGCCTGATTGGGTTGCCGTCATAATCGAAGTTGTCCAAATCATCTTCCAGCTTGTCTTCTCGCTTGACATCCAGCATGCCACTACCAGAAGTATGAAGAATGGACACTCGTAGCGGTGGCCACCAACGATGAAACTCATTCACCCACTGCTTCATGACTGTTGCAGGACATACGATGAGGATGGGTTTCGTGACTTTCTCAGAATAGTGCAGACCAGCGATGAAGGAAATGATCTGGACAGTTTTTCCAAGACCCATCTCATCTCCGATGATACCGCCAACTTGTTGTGAATAGAGCTCCCAGAGCCATTGAACACCGGTCTTCTGATAGTCAAAGAGTGCTGGGTATATATCGCCAGGTATCCGGTAGCCACCCTCGAACTCTGCATCTGTTTGCGTCGGGTGTGGCAAGTGCCATTCTTCTTCACCTTCCTGGTCTTGCTGGTGGTCTTCATCTTGATCTTGCTCCGTATCGCCATTCGTGGCTTCACCCTTAGACTTGGTTGTACCTAGATGTTTCCGACGAGCAGCACTTCGTCGTCTGATCCAGCTCTGCAATCTGGCTTGATACACTTTCTCGTTACCGTCGTCGATTCCGGCGAGGTCTTCATGGGCATCGGCTGCTTGTTGTGCTTTCTTGGTGACCTTTTTTGAACCTTTCTTGCGCTTGCCGATTCCACTTGTGCCTAGAGAGAAGTCACCATCGACATCTTCGTCTTCTGGCTCTTCCTCATCATCAGACTCCCCAACAGCAGCGAGCTCCTTGTCGTTCATGTCAGGTATATATTCGTCTTCTTCCTCTTCCGGAGCAGATTCCAACTCGACGTCTTCATCCTCGTCTGCAGTTCCCTTGCCTTTGCCTTTTGACTGTAGTCTTCGTCTCTTGGCTGGCCTCTCCTCAGGGAACTCATCTTCCTCTTCGGGCTCACTCTTCTCGTCCTCGGCGAACCCGGGCATCCTCAGATCACGATGTGATCGTTGAGCATCGGCTTGAACTTCCTGATCCACCACGTCCTCGTCTTCTTCCTCTTCAGCATCAAACATGACTTCAGCCAGACTTGACGAAGTGCGCAATAATTGCCTGCCCATCTTGGAAAACGGCGTGATCTTTCCTGTCCTGATCAAGAAATCCCTCTGACTTTCGCCAGGCAACTTCTGGTTACCTGCCTCTCCCAGTAACGTATCTCCCGCCGCGGCAGCCTCATTTTTCCTGTCATCAATTCTCTTCTGAATCTGTTCCAAATCCGTCTCAAGACCTTCAATCTGCGTCTTGTAATTCGCAATCTCAGCACGATACCTATTCTTGGTTGTCTGATTGCCAAATTCTGCCAACTTCTTCTCTAAGCGGTGGACCTGGCCGTCAAGACGGGCTTTATCGGCTTTTGTACGTTCGAGACGTTTGTTGTCGCGTTCGTCTGCTTGTTCGATGAGGAGGGCGTCGGCTTGTCGGCCGATGTCTCGTTCGAGATCGTCTTGATCGCGAATACCGGCGGCCAGGGAGGCAATGCGGGTGGCTTCGTCGGCGTCATCGTCGTAAGGGCGGTCGACTTGCTCAGTGGTATCGTCCGAGGCTTCCATTTCTGGCTGCTGTTCTGCCTGAGTTGGTTCCGTGGTGGCTATTTGGTCATCGTTGGGTTGAGTTTCCGGCTGCTCTTGTTTCACTTCTGGGTCGTCCATGTTTGCGCCGGAAGCTGTGTAAAGAGAAGGAATAGGACAAGGAAAGGAAAATGCACGTGGACAGAATCAGGAAGCTGCAAAGATTTGGAAGGCACGAATGTCGAATGTGAAATCAGAAGTGAACAATAGACTTTCCGAAAAGAGAAAGAACGGTGATGCGCGCATGGCAGCTTGCTCAAAACGCTACGTCATGCGCGAGTCATGCAGCGGTATACAATCCTCATGAACAGGCACAATCAATTGAAGATATTCACAATGAAACAGTTCTAAACTTTTTTTGCTTGTAGAAGCATATATCAGATTTATATTTTGTATGCCATAACTTTTGTCATCCAACTCTTTTCATATCTGCGTAATGTTCAAAGTTTGGACTTCTCCTGGCGTCAATTGAGAAGACGAAGGACTTTGAGTAGGTCGCCAGTAACACCCATAGCAGTAACCTCACCACCAGCGCCAGCGCCTTGGATGATGAGAGGGTTGGAACCGTATCTCTTGGTGTAGAAGTTGATGATGTTGTCGCTGCCCTTGAGAGCAGCGATGGGGTGGCTTGCGTCGAACTTCTCAAGACCGACCTTGACGTTCTGGCTGGCAACGTCGATGCTGCCAACGAAACGAACAACCTTGCCCTCGTTGGCGGCTTCCTGCTTCAGCTTCTCCATCTGGTCATCAAACTCGGGAAGGCGAGACATGAACTCGTCACCACTGCTGCACGACTCCAGCTCCTTGGGAATCAGACTCTGGACAGGGAAGCTAAGGGGGTTCTGAACCTTGAGGCCGGCAAGACGAGCGAGGATGGTAAGCTTGCGAGCAACATCCAGGCCGTTCAAGTCGTCTCTTGGGTCGGGCTCAGTGTAACCCAAGTCCTTTGCCTTCTTGACCTCGGCAGCGAAAGAGCCACCACCGCCACCGACGGGCATGAAGCTGTTGAACAAGAAACTCATGGTTCCTGAGAAGACACCCTCGATCTTTGTGACCTCGTCACCAGTCTCGACAAGCTCTTTCAGGGTAGAGAGGACGGGCAGACCGGCACCGACGGTGCTTTCGTGGAAGACGTAACCACCGTTGCCAGAGCCGTTGGAGGCAGCGGCGAACATGTCCTCCCAGAGTTCATAGCTGTCCGAGAAGCCCTTCTTGTTGGGAGTGACGATGCTGATGCCCTTGCGCAAGAAAGCAGGGTATTGTTGTGCGATGTCGAGGGAGCTAGTGTTGTCGACGAGAATGACCTTCTCAGGAGCGGTGGCGAGGTAATCGACGAGAGAGGAGGCATCGAGGATGGGTTGGTTGGAGTTGTTGAGGTCTTGTTCGATGGTGTCGAGGTTCAATGGGCGGAAGCTCTCGCTGAAGAGGACTTTCTTGGAGCGCGAAACGAAGATGAGATCAAGGTAGGTGGGGGATCTTGCCTGGGACATGCGGGTCCTCAGGGCTTGGAATTGGTTCAGGAAGCATTTTCCTACACCGCCGACGCCTGCAAGTTGTTAGGATTCAGAAGTGGAGGCGGGGTGATGGAGGGGCAGATTTTGGGTGCAGAAGCATGCATACCAATGACGGCAACGTAGACTTGACGGGGAGTGGGCATTTCGGAAAGAGGACGAATAACGTATTCGGCTTCCTGGTTGTTGGTATGGATGGGAAGATGGAGCTTTTCCAGGACCATGTGGGATTCCAGCGGCGGCTCTCTGTCGTCTGCGTCTGCTTCTCGGTGGTGCAGCTGCGGTTTCGGAGCGCCTGCAACCGTCGCCGTCGAAACCTTCGTCGACTTGACCCCACACCAGTCGAGGAAGCGCGACACGGCCATCGTCATTTGCTCTCTTCAAAATGTCACACAGAAACACATCAGCAAAAGATGCTCCCCTGTACGGCGCCCCCAAGCCTGCAAAGAGGCAAAAGTCTGGCCGCCAAATCTCGTCGTCCAACACGCTCGCCTTTACTTCGCAGCTGCAGTCCCTGATCTCAGCCGGCCCCAACTCCTCCGCCAATCCCAGTCGCTCATTCGCATCACGACCACGTCCCAAGAAGGAAGACATCTTTGCCTCACACAACCGGAATGTCAAGAAACGTGCCGCTAGAGATCTCGATGACGACTCTCCCGCCTTTGACCAAAAGCACAGCACATCATCCGAAGCTCTAGATTCCTCAGCATGGCACCGCTCCAAGCGGAAGATGGAAGAGAAGGCTCGCCTCTACGCTGCCATGAAACGAGGCGACGTCGGCGATGACAACGACACTCATCTGGTCGACTTTGATCGTAAATGGGCCGATCACCAAGACAAACAGCTATCCGATCAGTCTTCTTCAGAGGATGAATCCGACAGCGACAAGGAGATGGTAGAGTGGGAGGACGAGTTCGGTCGCACACGTACAGGCACTGCTGCCCAACGCGCCCGCGAACAACGACTCGCCCAGCTAGGCTCAGAAGCTGCTTTGCGCTCGCGACCAGACATGCCCACAAACCTCATTATTGGCGATACCGTCCAAGCAGCTGCCTTCAACCCAGACGAGCCAGTCGCTCAACAAATGGCCGAACTAGCAGCCAAACGTGACAGATCCCTCACACCTCCCCCAGACACCCATTTTGACGCTTCGAAGGAGATCAGACAGAAGGGTGTTGGTTTCATGCAATTCAGTCTCGATGACCAAGAACGCAAGAAGCAATTCGAGAATCTTGAGATGGAGCGAGCCGAGACTGAAAGAGTTCGTGCTGAGCGTGAGAAAAGAATCAAAGACCGTAAAGACGAGATTGAGAGACGAAGAAACGCAATCAGACAGAAACGGGGCAAGATAGAAGCTGACGATTTCTTGTCTGGCTTGGGTCAGGAATTGAACGCTCGACCTACAGACGAAGAACAGAAAGAAGAGCCGGCGACTGAGGAGTCGTAGGTCAGGCACGAACATGAAGATTACGAAGTAACGAATATATTCTTCTACCAGCATCCAGCTTTTGGCCAGGATAGTACTCTTTCAGAAGTTTTCTGTGTGTGCGCAACATCTTCTCGTCGCAAGCCTCTAGGACGAAGTATAATACTGGACATAGGGATCGACCGCCTGTGTACCGACTCATCTCTAACCTGGATATCCAAACACATGCTTACCTCATCCACAAGTCGAGTTTATAGCTGGCCGCATACACAATAGTCTCACAAATCCCAACCACCGGACTCAGAGATCCATTACTGCCCACATTCGCCCTTGATAAAGAGCTCGGGTCTTTTGTCAATGTTCTCTCCCGAGCTTTTCTCCCATCTTATTCCTCGTTGCGTGATGGCACGACAACATCGTTGATCACGACAAGCCTTGCTAGAGATCAACACCTATCTACCATCGGTCACGGACGGCGCTCTCGTCGTTACCGACGGTGTCGCCGCAGACAGTAAGAGCTCTTGCGACTTTGGCGCAGTTGAAAGTTTCGAACCCCTCTTTCGATGTGGTTGAATCCTTGCGCAACATATCGGTAGCAACCTAGCAGACGTCTCGACGGTGTTATATACTCATCTGCAATGTGATGTGACTGAGCATAGGAGCGAAAGTGTATGTCTAAAACCGAGTTCACATGCTCAAGACAAGAACAAAACGACAAGAATAGCACACTTTTAGTCTCTGACATCGTAAGTCTCATCTCTCCTCCATCGAAGCCTCTCATTCAGATGACTGCAAAAATGCACAATGTATTGGAGAAACAAGTGATGTTCAGAGAAACACTGCTTTGCCATAGCAGTTCTCTGGACACAACTCCAAAAGCAAATACTGTTATGCATTTCTATAGCTGATCATCAATAGCTTTGTTGATGTGAGAGCCCAAGGTGCATGTCATCTATGGGAACAGAGATACTAGCATCATACTCAACTACAGCAAAGACTGAATCATACACTATAAAAAGGCACAAAGTCAACAGACACCCAGGCGCGTCCGCTGAGAGCCGGTACGTCGTCGCTTCTCAGTGGACACTCTTCTGTTTCTTGACGACATCGTGTATCTCTATACCATCTCAACCATGTCACTCCAAAAATAGTTAGATACAAATCCTACAAAAGGGTTCTCGACCTCAACACCTTCTTACGCAATCACAAAAATTTTTATCGTTGCGTAGGTCAAGAAAGTAAAGTCTCCATGTTTCAGTGACACCGCTGTAGCAGTGACTATACTTCGTACTCGTACACTTGTTTTGAACACTCGTCTCGTACACGTACAAAAAAGCCAAGCTTGATGATGCGAGCAATATTCTTGGCAAAAGGGCAAGCCCGCGGACTGTCGAGACATGGTGATGGTTATACTTGCCTTGCTGAAAATACCTATACGTTCGGTCCGAATGATAAAAAGAATAGGCAGCAAGACTGAGAAAGGATAGAATATTGTTGCTGCTGTGGAAACACGCGAGATGGGTGGTAAGTGTCACAGAAAGCTTCTGGGGTTAGAATTATTGAAGTTGGGCAGCAAAAGGAGATTGAGATAGGGTCGTTGCGGCTGCCTGCCTTGTCAGTGTCCATACTGCAATATTATAATGCTTCAGATCGGTCAAATACATCGATTGTCCTTCACCATGGCTTTGGGCAGCGATTTGAATTGCGGCAAGGCGTATTCATGGCGCTTTGTGTGAGATCGCTTCTTTGATGGTCAGGGTCGCTTTTTTCTCTTGGTTCCGAGCTCGTCTGTTTGCAGTTTCGAAACAAGTCGATACTTTCAGTGCGACCACACACTCTCTTGGTTGCACACAAGCCACACGATACAGAAACGTGTCGAGGTCCATTCGATAGTGAAGAAGCGGCGGCTATCAGGGCTGGCCTTCTTTGCATTGACAACAAGATGATGCCGTGGAATGTCGGAGGTATGCAGAGAGACGAGATTACCGCCAACCGATCCCCTGGCTTTCTGCATTGGTGCTTCTTTATCTTAAGATCATCTGCCACCGTGCGCTGTATGATTGGGGTGCAGAACAAAGCGAACAAGAGGCGTATGTGTGATCGTTTGTAACGGGTTGATGGGACATGTAACTCCATGCAAGTCGCCTAAGGCTCATTATCTGGTCCAGAGCGAGGTGGACATGAGGTGTTGATAGGATGTGCTGTTAAGACGAGATAGGTCGAGACAGGTTCGTGTTCCGGCGTATCCTAATCGGACCTCGTTCCAACAATCCGGTCGCTTAGATCCATTGGTCGCATCTCGTACCCCTGGCTTATGTCTTATTTGCTCCAGCTCTCATGCCATATGGCCTGCTCTCACCGCTTGGAAGCACGTAGATTTGACCAGCATACACACGTGGTTGCAAAGCTTGGTTGACAGGCATCCAAACGTCCAACACATGCATGCCTTTCTCGAGACGCGGTGAAGAATTGCACAGAGCAAGAGTTGTGGCTTGCATGTCTGTCTCACTGGGAGGCGGTCGTCTAACCAAGGCACCGGTATTGCTACGCCGGGCTAGAGAGCAGTGCGGCGCGCGCGGACGCCCGGAAGACGCTCACGGACTGTTTCGAGTGGCTTGATCTGTCGAGATCGCTGCCTGCACCGAGAGGAAGAAGGTTTCCTCGTACATTGATGGTTTGGGTACGAAGCTGGTTAGGTGGATGTACGCATATGCATTTGACGTGTCGAGGTTTCATCATAGCTGATGTGTACGGTATCACATAATACGTCGTTTTGTGATCAAAGCTGACCCAGAATCAAGTAAATTCTTGTTGAATCGCTTGCACAGTCAGCAGATGGGAGCTCGCGTTGACTTTCTTTCAACATCCTCGTCCTCTTGGCGCAGGGATGTGAGTGATGAACTGCACACATCAGATGACAAAAAAAAGAGCAAAGAACGTGACTGTCGTGTAAAGTTCCCGCCTGCAATTTCTGGACTTCAGCCCCCCCAAGCCATCCTTTCCCACTTTTGTCATGTCGGTGATGCTTTCCTTTGCAGCCTGCTGCACGTACTAAGAAGCGGGCCGAAGATCCCTGTCGTTTTTAGCTTACTCTGGGGAAGTAGCGGAACAAGCAAGAAAACCATCGGTACAAACAAAGAAATAGGTTGGGCTGATGTAAACGAGTGCATCGATCAAGGGGTGGATGGGAATGGAAAGAGGTGTGTCAGAGATAGACATGTGAAAAATGGGACGTAAAAAATGCTTGTTGAACACGACATAAAACAAGCAGCTGCCTCCCTCTGCCCAGACACTCGATTTCGTTTGACATTTGACAACAACCTTTCCACGTGTCTTCGCAGCAGTTTAATTCTGTTTTTGACTTGGCTTTGAAGACAAGGCAGTCGCATCTGTTATTGTGACTCACCTCGGAATATCGAGCCATCAACTGGAATACCCGTTTGGATCTTCTGGACTGCAGGCAACAATACCGTCCTATTGAAAACCTTGGCCCTTCATTTCACCTGCTTCAAATAGTGCAAGGAAGTCAGCCTCCCGTCCGTTGTCACCCACCAAACCTCGTGATCAAACATTCCATATCGGCTCCACATACGACACAGCAAGACTCAAAGATAACGGAAGATCATCACTGGGCTTTCCTTTCGACCTATCTCACTGTCTATCCCCTTTCCCCGCAAAACGATCATCGCTTTTGTCTAGACCGGAATTGCCAGCACGACTCGGTTGCTTGCTGATCTCATCCCATACTCCGAGGCTATTTACCACCAAGCTTCAGCACAGCCCGAGCTATAGATACAAGCCCGCCTATCTTTTGTGTTGATCGCGCTGGCACATGTCATACCTGACATCGAACAACCGAGGGCATCCGTTTCAGCTTTGAGATTTTCATAAAAACAAAGCATTCCTCACTTGGATATTTGGTCACTTTGTCCGATTTGACGACAGTCGCTTGACTTTATCGACCACAAAGACTACAAGCGAATCTTGAGTCGACGATATTGTTTTTACAACAACGCCAGTACTACACCGAACATACAAAGTCACAATGTGTGTGGCCAACCTCAATGTCTCGACGCAACCATGCTCGCATCGTTGGTACACTCTTGTGAAACCATGCAGCAGCACAACAAACCTCTCAAACTGCCCTTCGAAACTCGCTCTTGAAGGCTGGGAGACCAGATTGGAATCTTGTCCTTGGTGTGATGACTCAGCCTCCGACTCTGGCATCCTCGACGACAGCACACATCGCCTGTTTGGCGGTAGTGTATCTCGCTCGCGAAGTGGAAGTCTAGGAACTTCTGGTACTAGCGCTATGCCCATTGCTGCCGAGAGACACAGACGTCAGAGCAGTGCGACCAACTCCACGACATCGTTGTCAAAGGAGTCTAGCAGTCGTTTCACGCAGGATGAAGATGTCATGGTAGAAGGGCTCGGCAGAGGCGAGAAGGCTCGCATGATGAACTGGCGCTTAGATGTCTACCTGATGGCGCATCCCGAGCGTAAGCAAAGCATCGTGCAGGAGATTGAAGGTGTCGCACCCGAGTCTTCTGTACCTGAACCAAACGGACTAAGCAGGTCTGGAAGCATCAGAAGATCTGGCAGTATGCTTGGCAGGAAGATGAGAAAGGGTATGCGCCTCAGCAAGACCATCTTCAAGGGTTGAAAGACCATACTGCCTGCTGTTTCTCATCTTCATCTTACCTACCTTGCAACGGCAATTCTCTGATTCGTCTACAACTGCCACCTTGGACACCTCCACTTCACTAGGATGTTCGCTTCTCAACAGCATGAACGCCAGTACAGTCCCACAAGTACACGGACATCGACTGATGCTCCACGTCTGCCTGGCCAGACCACAAGCGAAAACAATCTAATGTTCACCGCTATACCGGAGCACCACTCCACATTTCTCCTCCTCACCGCTATCGTTGCGGCCGCGGACTCCAATCACGAACTTCCTCGCCCTTGGACACTACTCCGAGCATCTCTAGTTCCACTTGGTCCCTCCTTCTCCACTTTTTCTCTCTTCTCTTGGCGCCCAATATGGCGATGGAAAAGTTGCTCTATACCCAGATTGCTAGTTAGTGTTTCTTTCTTCCTATTCTTCGTTTGTCGTGCAGCAAGGGTCAATAGAATGTCGATAGTCTGTCTCGACCTTAATAAAAGTCATCTTCGAATTCACCGACTGTTTTCATCTTCGATCTGCATCAGCCATCCTAATCACTTGTCTACGATTACTCACTGTCTCTTGATGCACAGAATATGCTACAGTATGCTCCAGTATTGACAATGACTGCTATACTCAGCCGATCTCTCAACCAAGATCCCTAACTAATTACGCATCACCCCTACTTCTGTACCTACCTTTTCTAAACTCCACCGACAAACACTCATATCGTCTGCTGATTCCCAACTTCCTCCGAATACGAACTCACGGGTTCCGAAAAATCTAGACTTTCTTGACCTTTTTCTTACGACGCAAAACCCCACTTCCGCTCGACCAGACCATCAATGTCGATCTTTTTTCTTGGGACGATCGTCAGGGGGCATCTTACGACTCACGCAAGCAGGTGCCAAGTTACGAATTTGATCATCAGGTCCATGTCTACTGTCTCCAGTTTTTTTTGTGTCTTGCGTAATGCGTGGATATGGAGTATGGAGCAGAAAATGACTCGGATATTGTAAGCTCTAGTTTGCGTTTGAGGAGCGGTATGTGTGATCTCGATGAGTTGGAATGTGTAATGGTCTTGGATGTGATTATTTTGTGTACGTGTATATGTGTATATGTGTAAGTCTTGAGGCATGCGTTAGACGTTTGATCAAGGATGACCAGCCTGCACCGAAGAGTAAGTCTAGATGGCCACTCAAGCACCAAACCAACTCTTGATCTTGCCAAAAATGCCACTTGCATGCTTGGGTGATGGTGTACCCTCCACCGATGAAGTCTCCTTCAATTCAACTCTAAACCCATGATCCAGAGGAATGTTAGCATTGATAACCTTGTCCAGCTCTGAAGTGAGAGTCGGCAGCTCTTTATGCGCTGCCTCGTAAGCAGTCATGGCCTCTCGCTCCACACGCAACAATTCAGCTCGCTTTGCTGCCAGATCCCTAACCGTGACCAGCAGAGCTTCTTCAGCCTTCATCTTCTCGGCCTTTATTCTATTGTATTGGGCTTCGAGGGAAGACACAAGTGATGAGAACTGCTTGGCTGCTTTTGGGTCATCCAACAACTTTGCAAGTCTGACCGCATCAACGGCCCAGAAGCGCAAGGCATCGATGTCGACTCTGAATCTATGAACGGCATGATGACGCAGTCCTGCAATGGAGCTAACCAGAGTCTGCAAGGTTCGACTGCCGCCAGGTCCCATATCAACATTTGGATCGGGCACAATGAGGCCTTCTAATAGGTACATATATCTGTTCAATTCAAAAGCATGGGCGCTGTCGATTGCCCAGCGTTCTGGCGTTTCTTCCAGAAGCTTCGGATGCCTGCGCTGCAGATAGCGGTAACAAACTTGTTCGAGCGAGACCTGCAGACCGGACAGGACTCTGTTTTGGCTGGAGTATGGCAGATAGTAAGCACGAGTCTGCGGGACTGGGATTGTTGCATATTGCCTTATCTCTCGTGGAACACGATCTATAGTTGGACCCTTTTTGAGGCCAGGTTCCCGTGATAGTTCCTGGGATGCCTTCGATTTGAGCTCATCTGAACTAGACGACCCATTTGCATATACGAGGTCGTCTGTCTCGAGGTCATGCAATGTTGCCTGGTCTATCGACGAACTTGAGGCCGATTCGTTGTATGCGCTACCATCGTACAAACGCTCGTCATCTGATGTGGCACCTGGTGGCTCTACAGTAGTAGTCTCTGCCTGGTCCTTGATGGATTCTGTTAAGGTCTCAAACACAGACTTGTCTAGCTCTGTCTCGGTAGTGAGATTTGGCTCTTTAGTCATAGACTGCGCAGCCTTTGCTCTTGCGACCTTTCTCTGCCTTCTTAAACTCTTTCTCGACGGCGTTGTCTGATCTAGCGGATCTCGCTCCGAAGAGAGCATCAGCTCGTCGGCAATACTCTGTGTCGGAGCGTACCTCACAGTTCCTGCTGTAATGTCAGTCGGCACTTCTCCGACAGACTCTTTCATGGTCTCTTCTGGAACTCGGGCAACAGTGTCCATTGTGGTCGCTGTCGGAACGGAAACTGTATCCTCGACCTTAAGTGGTACAGATGTCGAAGACGAAGCGTCGATGTGTTCGTCAATCGGCTGCTCAGAAGCATTCTTCGGGGCACCAACTCTGTTTCCTTGAGGTATTTTATTGCTGAACGTCAACGTAAGAGCTGTGCCGTTAAGGAAGACAGCACGCTTGGCCCTAAGAGCCTTTTCAGCGGCTTTGATATCGCTGAACTCGACGAATGCGTACCGCTTAGGATAATTGATCCTAATATCGACAGGAGAGGCATCCGCAAATTCGTTGAATAAACGTACAGAGTTGACGCTCTTCTGAAAACCGCCAATGAACAGGGCCTTGCTAGGCGTACTGCACTTCTCATTGGTGATGACCTCTTCAGGTACCGAAGAGTCGTTGCCTTCATGGTCGTCAATTGGTTGCTCGGGAGCGATCGCGCGGTCACCGACTGGTTTCCTCAGGGGATCTTCGTTGTGATCAAACTGGCAATGAAGAGCTCTGCCAGCGAGCAAGGTACCGTGCTTGGCCTTGAGAGCCTTGATAGCAGCTTCGATGTCGGCAAACTCGACGTACGCAACCCGCTTGAAGACACTGTAGCGAAGATCGACAGGAGAGAAATCCACGAATTCCTTGATCAGATGTACGAGACTGACGCTCTTATCGATACAACAGACAAACAGGACCTTACTAGGTGTACCGAGCTGCTCACCGATGATGTTCTCTTTGGTTGACATAGCCTCACTGTCTTTCTGATCGTTTGTTGGTTGCTCGGAAGCAATCGTGCGGACCCCGACCTGGTCGTTCAGAGAACTCTCGCTACCGAACTCGCAGTTGAGAGCTCTGCCACTAAGGAAAATACCATGCTTGGCTTCGAGAGCCTTGGTAGCGGCTTCGATGTCGGTAAACTCGATCACTGCGACCCGTTTGGAGGCATTGAAATCAATATTGACTGGGCGAACATCCGCAAACTCTCTGAAAAGATGCTTGATGCTGATGCCGCGTCCAATGCCGCTAACAAACAGGACTTTGCTGGGCTTGCGGTCTTGCTCATCGGTAACGACTTCTGCTTTTGCAGAAGAAATAGATTCTGTGGGATCTTGCACTAGCGTTGGAGTAGGTGATTCAGGAGGCTCAGAATCAAGCAGTCGCAAGCCATTGACATTCAGCTCTGTATCATGACCCGAACACGACTCGAGCTCCTCCATTGACGGGAGCCGTATGTATGCGTAGCCCATAGAATTCGCGATTTCATCGTGCACATTGTCGATGTTGTGCAGGACCTCTGATTGTTCCTGAGCTGGGAAGAACTTCATCTCCCAAAACTCTGGTATCGCGTCTCCACGAGTACTTGGCTCGATTCCATACATGTTGGGAAACTTGATGGATTCCCATGGATTTGGTGGCGAATGCTCTTTCAAGGCTTCCGTGGTGGAGCTGGTTTTGAGGTGCATGGCTGCAGAAGGGTTTGTACTGTGGTCACGTTGTATTTTCACAGCTGATGCTTCAAAGCTCTGAGTAGTGTCAGATAGCTCGGAGTCAGAAGATTTTCCAGCATCTGCAGATTGTTGCATTGCCAGAATTTCATTTGATAACGCGCCAACGTCGTCTAAGGCAACATCTTGTGTCGAAGTGATCAGTCTTGAACGAAGGGGAACCAACTTAGAAGCTTCTTCGGCAGCCTCTCGATAACTTGGAAATTTAACATAGTCGACGAGAAAGAGCCCTCGAATGGCCAGGTAGTACGAAAGATTCATGACAGCATATGTGCCATACCGCTCAGTCGCTTTCTTGAGCCCATGATCCGAATTGAGAATCTGGAAGAAGTCGCGCCTGGCTTTTGAGGTGTTGCCTGAGTAATTATTTCCTTTTAGACCAGGCTTCAAGATCTGGTACAGGCTTTCAAGGTGCTCTTCGTACCAGTGCCCCTCTTTGTCCTTGAGCGGAAGTCTTTTCTGTTGTCTTGCGCTGTCCAAGGCTTTGGCAATCTCTGTATCCAACTCAGACCCACCAATTGATTGCTCTGAAAAAACATGTTCGGCAGTTTTGACTGATTCGAGCTTAGATGATACCGCAGGTGTTGTAGATGGAGATCCTGATGCTTCTAGATGCTCTTTCAAGAGCGAATCGAATTTTTTCACTGCGATATCAGAGGTTACGATCGATTTGTTGGCTTCTGAAATAGTTGGTGAATTGGCTTCTGACGCTACCGTTTGAAGCGTTCCCAGCGCCAATGTGTCATCTTTACCAGATCCAGAAGATTGTGTAGTGTCATCTCCCTTTTCTGCAATATCTTTTGCTCTTCTTGCCGCTTTGCAGGCATCTAGATAGCTCAAAGTGAGTCCTTGATCAATCTCAAAGACACCCTTAGCAACCAGGACTTTCGTCACATCGAGGATCTTTTCATATTTGTACTCGCACATCAATTCTCTCATAAGCGGATCCGATTGTGCTTTTTTGAGTTTGAGATCAAGTTGATCCAAAGTTGTCCCGATGGTTGTGCCTGCAATCACATACTTGAGATTGTTGTACATCTTTTGATTTCGTACGAAATTCAAGCGCCTTTGATCTGATATGGACGGCGGCCCTTTTCGAATTGGTAATGCATTCGCCTTGGAAGGTGTCAACCGCCTAGTCCCTGATTGGATATTCCGTAACGACGACATGACTTCCGATTTATGAATTGGTTATCCAGAACCCAGACGTGGCGATGTCGAGGGAAAGAATCTGAGCGTCACCAGAAGCTCGATTGCGGCACGTAAACCACGAGCAGATCCCTTGTCGTGGTGATCATGAGCCGATATTCAATACCAGTATGAAATTGTCAAAAACACAAAGAAGCGAACAAAAAACATAAATTGAAGTCAAGATATTGTGAATTTGAGAAGTAGCAGGTGTTGGAAAATTAAACTTTCTGGTTCGAAAATGGAGGTGATGCAAGAGCCGCATCGGCATTCAAATCGTGTTACACAAGGAAGCCACGATTGATGGAACACCAACGCAACTTCAGGAAATATTATTCAAGAGAGCGTCAAGTATCAGTATGTGAACAGCGGACTATATGCACAGCAAATGATTGAAACAAAAAACGCCAAATCCTGCCTTCTTAAAGAAAAACGCCCACCCAATGCAAATGACATCCGATAAAGACTCTCCCAAAAACTCCTAAGACATTTTTCCATGGCTGTCGCATCGCTACCTAGCTTAAAGGACGTTGAAGCCACTCACAAGGGTCGTGTAGGTGGCAATGGTGATGAAGACAATACTGAAAATGAAGGCCAGAGATTGGGTCTCCAATGAGCCAGCAGCGCTCTTGCAGGTCACACAGGTGTAGATCTCAGTGTCGTTGCCCGAAGTGTTTGAGTAGGGCTGAGGAGTGTACATGCCAAAGCGATGGCCACTGTACACAGGAAGACCACCATAAGCGGCAGTGGCGGAGATGGCAGGCATGGCGGCATCCATGATGATGAGAGTGTAAGTCTCGGTGAGTAGTGGAATGGTAGCAGAGGCTTGGTAGTTGCCGGTATCCCATGTGATGGCGCCAGTAGAACCATTGACAGTCTGGTTGACGGCCAGAGTGTACATGTTCTGGTTGGCAGCGCAAGAGGCCATGATGTCAAGTGCAGTTGGGGTGACAGACAACGAAGTCATGTTCCAGGCGAAAGTGACATAGTCGCCGACTTTGTAGTATGACGAGGACGAGAAAATGTTGGGAGTGATCATGGCAATACCACCGTAGCCGGCCGTGACACCATATGTCTTTGATTTTGAGGACTTTGTAGTGGCTGTACCCTTGCTGCTTCCGCTACTGTTGGCTGTCGATTTGCCAGTGGTCGAGGCATCTGAAGAATCGCCAGACTTAGAAGCACCTGACGAAGCAGCGGCGCTCTTGTCTGAACCGGTAGTAGAAGCATCGCTGTTTGTGGTTGAAGAGTCCTTGTTTGAAGAGCTCGCTGTGGATTTTGCTGACGATTCGTTTGTGGACTGTGCGCTCGAAGCATCCGAGGTCTTGGAAGCGACTGTGGTAGACTCTGCTGCTGTTGGGGAGTTAGGAAAGGTGACTCGAGGCTTCAAGAAATGATTGCAACGCACCTGAGCTGTCCTGTCGTGGGAAGACCAAGTCGTTGATGTCGCGAATGGCTTTGAGATGGAAAGACTCAGACCATGGTGCTGAAGCCGAGCTGAGTGCTGAGAAGAGAGCGATCGAGGAAAGCAGCTGTGCTGGACGCATCTTTGGCGGTCAAGAAGTGGTGTCTACAGCGTGACAGGGGTCTCGTTGTTGTGTTTCGGGATTCGAGTGGCGGTGTCGATGTCTTGGTCGTTCAAATTGATCAGATGGTTGTTTAGCGAGTGAATTGCTGTACGCTAAGGATACAGCTGGCGGTAGAGTTAAATGGTCGGAGAGATAGGTCGTGTCAAGGACAAGAGGAAAAAAGAGGCTCGATGGTGCATACACTCGTCCAACCACGCCCGCGCCCGCCCACTGTTTGAAGATGCGGGAGCCGCTGACTTGGCACCCGCCCCTTCGATTTCTATTTTAGGACTCAACCTGTTACGCGTCGCATCTCCTAACCTCTTCCTCCAACATGTTTGCGCACTTGGTTAATCATGTCTTTCCGCCTTCAGCTCACACATATCTATCTTCACGCACCTTCTTTGCATGCCATGTTCGTGCACTAACTGCTGAAGCTTACAGAAGCTTGAGTCCAGAAGCGCAGCGCGAATATCAGGAAAAATACAGCCAATACTACAGAGGTCGATATAACAATGATCCTGCTTATCGCGAGGCCGAGAAACTCCGGAAAAAGTTGTCATATTCGGCGCAAAAAAATGACCCCAACGTTGTCAGACGATATAAACTCCACAATTGGGTTCATGGACATCCACACGTGTGCGAGGACCTACCCTGGAAAACTCATCGACCGGTTCTTTACAACATGATGACCGAACATTATTGCTATGGCTGTGATGTGACGAGAATACACGGCCAGAGACTTTGGTGGTCTTTGATAGGGAATCGAGAGGACTCACAGAGCTGGTTGTGCCATGGTTGTTATGCCAGATCTGGCTGGACCGACATCATGCCAAAAGGCTATGAAGATATCAGAACTTGGAAAGATTTGGCAAAGCGAAAGAGACAGCTCGATCAGGTCAGGTCCGAAGGACAAATCTGAGGCAACGTCGTAGTGTCTCAAACTCAGACTGGCCTCAGGATCGAGCATCCGTACCACTGTCGGCGGCCATGCAACAACACAAACAACGCCACTGCCGTCGCTCTGCCTTAGTGTCCCATTGCTCTGCCTCGACCAGAGGGCTCATGTCGTTCCAATTCAAGCGAGTTCAGCTCTGCAGTCAGAAGCCCGGGATCATGACATTGTGTCGCACAAGCAAAGTCGATCAGTATCACACACTCCTCTCGTATCAGGATGTTGTATTTGTTGACATCACCATGCTGAATCCCAAGCTTGTGCAGCCTGCCCAAAACTTCTTGACAAAACAATATCTCCTCTGGTGCTGCATGATGCGTATATGCGATGTATTCCATGACAAATCGGATAGTTCTGCCCTCTTCCGTCACATGTGCAAGGAAGATAGGGCCGATGTTGGTATTCTTGAGCCATTCGTATGCTTGCATTTCTTGGTCGAGCTGTGGGATCCCCCATGGGAACCTGGCCAGCTTTACCACGACTTTTCCTTCAAAGTGTCGGCAAGTGGCCTCTTGCACTCTGGATTTCAGCTTGTGGCCTAGCTTCAGAGCCAGATAGTCGATGGAGAGTGAATGCCACAGGTTTGTAATGCCAGGCAACGGCAGATTCTGGACACTTGAGCTCTAAAATCTTGATGTCTCACAGCATGGCGCATTGCAATCGAGCTTTGATAGATGACCACTCAACTCAAAGTGAGTCTAAATCAATGTTGCCACAAGGATAAAGCCGCGAATGCCAATGCTGAATTTATCATTCTCGATGCACTTTGTGTAGCCAATATGATTTCCACCACCCACTATATGGCCAAAATCCTCAATATGCGCTTGAAACGAGCGCTTGTTGAATTTGCGCCGGAAGTGTTGTGATCGATGCGTATGTAAGTTCTTGCAACCAAGACAATAGACCCCCTATCCCAATACTCCAGTCCTCGAACCCAAAACTGGCACTTCGACAATAGCCATCAAGCGCAGTCTGTTCCCAGACTTGGCATCGAATGTGATGGCTTCGACTCGTTCTACCTCTTCCACGGAGATGGCGGTGCGGTTGGCAATCTCGCGGTCCCACAGGCGGAGCCTCCTTAGACACTTTTTAAAGCAGGGGAGAGTAGCGGCTCGGAATACTCCTCATGTGAGGGAAGTTGCGCAGGGCATCTCGAAGAGTTTTGAACCTCCTCAGCGTAAGCTCGTACGGTCGATACCTCTTATCATTGGAGAGGCACAGAAAACAGACTCGCTCACAGGTGAGCATGTAGATATACCCACCAAAGTCACCACAGACCTTACACTCAGCGGTACATGAGGTGTTGTAAAGTTGCTCACAGGTAATCCACGGAGCTGTTCGTATCACCAAAGCAGCATGAACCGCAATTCGAGCGTGCTTGGTAATCGACTTGAATTGCGGGATATTGTCAACTGTTGAACAGCCTCGGCGATTGACCATCCGGAAGTCTATGAGTGAGCGTAGGTCCGGTTCAAGAAGGCTGGCCTGAAGCAGCTCAAGTGGTAGCTGTTTGAGCAAGCCGAGGTCTGTTTGGCTCGCGTTACGCGCATGCTGTGTGGGCGGAAACACCGGGAGGTTTGCATCAGTGTATAGTCTCTCAAATCTATTCGCGAATACGTGAATTCCTTGAAGCTGTCCATGATCTCGCAAATGATAATTCACGCGGAACCGGATATCGGCACAGCTCAGAAGGGCTGTGGTTGTACAGCAAGTGTAGCATCAGTCACGATGGACGTTTCAGAGCCCGCCACCTCGTTTCGTTCTCACTCGCTCACAGATCGGCTTGGACTTGCAGGGGGAAGATGCAGGCACACCTTGTCCCCACGTCAACATGCATAATTACAAAAAGCTGATCCACACAATTCGATGAGCATCAGTGGTCAATTGCAATCTGCTCTAGAGCCGCAAAAGTCACAGTGCTCCACGCGAACCCGAGATCTGAAACACGGCAGTTGGATGGCGCAAAACGTGGAGAAGAAAAAGGCTTCGTACACCTTCTACGTTGCGTTGGCATTGCTTGATTGCAAGCCCAGCCCTTGTATCTGAAACTCAGTTATATTGCTTCAGGACGATCGGTCTTCTTCTCACGTTCTTAGATCATGCATGGTACTGGACATGGAAGCTTGTGCCGTTGTCGGCAAAGCTTGTAGACCAATTTAACCACAGAGGCGGTGGTGATCGACTACATGGACATGGAGTCAACATGTTACAGCTATATTGTAAGTGACGACAGCATTTGCAAAGGTAGGAGTTTTGTGGTTCTGTGGACAAATACATATAAAAGGCTTCGAAGATCTGACAACACTCCCCCTCCTTCTACTCACATCTCTCAATTCACTCCTTTCATACAGACTACACACTCGAAGACATATCCAACATGTACACTCCTGTTGCCCTTCTCGCGGTCTCAGCTGGCCTGGCCTCAGCAGCAACATCCTACAAGGCCTCTTTCACCCAGTACGGTTCAACCGACACCTGGGGCTCTGGCAACTGCAACGTTGCTACCACCGCATGCGGTTTCTACACCTCTGTACGTTCTTTGCCTCCCTCTTTCCTTTTCAGCCAGTCCTAACAAAGCCCTCAACCAGCCCGGCTACTCAGCAGCAGTCTCTCAAAACGAATTCGGCGTCGGCGACGGCGCAGGCGCCGGCCCAGCCTGCGGAACCTGCTGGAAACTGACAGCGTCCACCGACTCCAGCGGCAACAAGAAGTCCTTCGGCGGCCCCATCGTCGTTCAAGTCACAAACCTTTGCCCTGCAGACTCCAACCCTCTGTGCGCACAGAACGGACTCAGTGGCACCAACCAATACGGTGCCAACCTCAACTTTGACCTGTGCATTGACTCTGGAGCTAGTGCTGCACTGTTTGGAAGTACTGGTGTTGGATTGGCTGTTGGTACTGCTGAGCAGGTGAGCTGCAGTGAGTGGAGTGGTAAGGTTGTTCATTAGATGGTTTAGCGGTTATCGCAGCTGGTACTGTGTAGCTTTTGAAGAATCATCTCTAGCCTTTCATTAATCTGTAAAACCAGAACACTGAAGCCGTGAAGGTTGAATTGCAGTCGCGAGCAGGGCATCTTACCTCCTATTAGTGACCTATGCTCACATGAAGTCGTTGGACATTCAAAGCTGACACGGCACAACATTATCTTCCAATTAAGGAAATTTGTCTAACAAAGATCTCGTTCGTCTCTATAGAATGGCTATGTATCTCATTACGTTCATAAAATTCATAAAGCATGTTTGGTATCATGATTTCAACCGTGCAGCTAAGGTCAAAATCCAGCTTGCCGTCTGGAACTGCCCTCCGGATAAGGGTTGCCTGCTTCGCTCTTCGTCAAAGTCAAGTCAGGATCCTCAGTCTTCCAGCCACCTTCATCACGATCTTCTTGCTTTTGTGGCCACAGAATGTCTTTGAGGATGACGGCACGAACCATCATACCAAAGACGAAGAACCAGCCAGCAACGAGGAGACAAGTGAATACGCAGCCTACAATGCGGATGGGTTTGCAACCGTCTAGAGCACGTGCTACTGCAAAAGTGCCAGCCTATGGAAAGACGTCAGTTTTGTTTCTCAGGCAGATGCAATGATCGAGGAATGTAGAAGAAGACTTACAGTCAGACCTGTATTCGGGAAAATGAATGAATACCAGGTCAAGGCGAATTGAAGACGACCATGTCTGACGCAAGACCAATGTGCACCGCAAGAGACGATGAAGAAGAAAATGGCAAGACCCCAGAGCCAGATGCCCATCCAGTTTGCCATGACCAAGGAGATAGTGCCAGCCTGTTGTCCCACACCCATAAAATTCTCTGGTATGCATCCTGGGAGATTCTGACCCATAGTAATCACTCCTGCGATGGTGAAGCCGGAGGGACCAACGGAGATGAACATGCCAGGACGAAGAGATTCCTTGGGTAATTTTTGCGTCATCAGGCGGTATAAGAAAGCGGCGTAGACCATCAGGGACACCATGAAACCAATACCTTGGAGACAGAAGCCTCCAACAATGATGGGCAACGCAGAATCTGGCGCGACTCGCGAAGACAACTTTCCAGCATGTGGGCCAATAATCAGTAGCGGGTATGCTGGGAAAATCCACACTGATACAGAAGATTAGCAAAAGTTCTGGACGTGGTAGGGTTTTGCTTCGAGATACCTGGTGTCATCCTAGAGATAGTATACGTCTGTGTTGACCACATGATGAGATAGATACCGCAGGTGAAAGTTATTGCCAGCCCGCAGTACACCCAGAATAAAACGATCATTGTCCTTTCCAGCCAATATCCAGACTTTCCGTTGCCAACGGCATATTCGGTGATATTCATCAACACTGTGCCGAACGAAACAACGGAAGCAGGCACGAAGAGAGATTCAGTGGGATGCGTGAGTGATGCCTTGAAGGTTGATGGATACCAATAGAAGCGAAGAGAGATCATGGTCACATTGAAAGTGATCAGAACTAAGTTGAAAATAAAGAAGCAACAGCCAATTGCATATTGACCATGAAAATGGTAAGGCACTGATTTGGAGAGTTAACACCTTGATTAGGGATGAATGCATGTACACACGTACCAGTCAGAATTACATTGGCTAATTGTCCAGTGGCCATCGTCATGGTAAACCAAGTCCAGACAAAATGTCGTACGCGTTCCTTGACAGTCAAGAACACTTTATGGTGGTTGTGACCATCTTCAGTATCCTCTAGGCTTCTGTGTCGCACCGGACTTCCAGGTAACGGACTGCCAGGTAACGGCGTGCCAGTCGCATAGGGCCTTTGCCAGGGTATATGCAGATGTGAGTTACCAGTTGACCACATATGTCCGCGTTCGAGATCCTCATCTCTGTGGTCCATAGTAGGCAGTTGCTTGCTCTGCTGCGTCATCGCTCGCAGCCCATAATCCAGTGTGCGTGCAAGAGTGAAGTCGCAGCAGACAGCCGTGAACAGAATGTGAGAGACGCAAAAGGAGCAGGTCGTGTGCTGATAATCAGATTTCGGCAAAGTGGCACCGTTCCTTTCTCTGGACCCGCGGGGATCCTGGGAGAAAAACCTCGGTGACGAACAAATGGCCTTCCAGAATCGGTCGGCAAGTGGGAATCCAAGTCTAAAACCGTGACGTTGAGAAACTCTTGTTTATGAACTTGAGTCGCAGCACCGAGTCGTATACGGGCCATGGCAATGATCGATTGCGCGTTCATGCCTTATATCCAGACAAACCACGGCCAAGGCTCGTGTTTCGCCTACTTGTTTGCAAAATTGATCATGAATCGATGCTTCGTGTGTCCGGCGGCCGCGACCGAGTGTCACTAAGTGGAGATAGAGTTACAACGACTTCCCACCTCCTCGTTATTTCCAGTCATGAGGCAGAGCTTATTCCCGATCGTGTCCGCCCGCTGACTCGTGGGGATAAGAGTTTGTTCGTCCCACCACAGAGGCAGTGCTGTTTGCTGAGTCGCTGATCCAAGGCTTAAGCCGGTAACCGCAGGATCGTTGGGATGCGATTCAGGTGCTGAAATATGTCGAAAATGCCTGACGCTCGAAAGTCGGACAGTCTTCAAGTAGCTAGGAAGCCTCCTTTTGAGAAGGTGTTTGCCGATCGCCCCTGCTACTTCGGCGCGTCTGTGCGTACTACGGAGTACTTAATGCCGAATATATCACCGTATGGTCGTTACGTGCTCAAGTCGTTGTTTTTGCGTGCGGGTGTAGGTGTAGCATTACGGAAGTACAAGGCTTGTATTTAACGGACAAGAACCACGAGATCAACGACTCTCTCAGATTATATCTCTAGCACAGCGGTCGTAGGAGAATTTCACTTATGAGCGCTCATACACCATCCTATACCACTCTTGAAAGATGATCGGCGAGAGTGTTGCACTACACGAGATACCTGTGAGGCACATATCAAGACCACTGAGTCCGATCTGAAATGCTCTCCGTTCAACACGACGTGTGACACAACTCGGGCCTGTTTTGTTCCGTCAACGAGATCTCAGATCGTCAATTTAGTGATGTGCCGAAATTCCGGTGCTTGTGGTCGGTGAAAGGTAAACTTCTGGTTGACATGTGTAGGGTTGTCCACTTGTGGGATCGTGAGTGATATTCTTGGTCTTTTTTCCATTTGATGGTTGGATGATCACGTCGCCCTTGAAATCGTCATTGCAATTTCTGTGGGTAATCTGTCTCTGTTTGCAGCAATTCACAACAACGATGAGGATCTTGCACAATATTATGAGACAGATCGTACCTACTAGTCGGGAGTTCATGGAAAAGGATGGGCGGATCTTGTTGCTGCAGTGCTAGCTGCAGACCAAGCTTGAAAGTGACAGTGTTGAGGAATTGCTCTGGAAAGTCACAAGTTATCCCTCTGCATCACTGAATGTGCTAATTAAATTTCATCATATTGAGATGCATTCACGCCATTCAGGGTGTGAAACCAGCCGAGGTATGGTTGACGGATCCAGAAGTTGCCAAACATCAGGCAGGGTTCCAGGCTCGACTATGATTTAGCACAGTATTCTCGAGTATCAAACTTCTTGTGAAAGGACCTTGGCAAACCCGCATACATCAAGCATCTTTATCGGCAAGATGTCGTGTTGAATGGAAGTCACAAATCCCTCGATCTCGATAGGTGATTTGCTGTATGCCGTACATCTGGACACAAACCGAACTCGAGAAGCATGCAAGAGACGATGGCCACACCGAATGGCAATACGAGCACAATGGTCAGGAATCCCTATTCTGTGTTATGAGAAGTACTAGATACTCGAGTGGTGTTGGAATGAAAGAGAGAAATGTCGGGGGTTGCGATGAATAGATGGCTATGGCCACACGTGCACCCCGCAATTTTGTTGGAAGGTGGACCGTGAATGTGCAGATGCCTCGCCGCACGAATGAACGCATAGCAAGCAACAACACCACGAGTCGAGCTATTTTACTGCGATATCAGCGGTACGAGGGGTCCAAACCTAGATGAACAGAGGCGCATGAGTAGCGCGGTAAGGCAAGACTATGGCTCAAGCCTACCGCGATGCGCTCGAGCGCACCGTCCAAGAGCTCAAATCAAGGTATCCTCCTTGTTCTACGACACACAAGCACAATATACCTGACCGAAACCATCCAGGCGCGACGAGAAACGACTACACGCCGCCGAGAGTCTGCTACACGAAGTCGAAGCCGCACATAGAGGTGAGCCTGCACCCTCGTATTCATCTAACTGAAGTACTCCGGCTGACCCGCGTCTGCTACAGAACTGTCGGCCGCGCAATTCACTCCCTACTATGTCGAGGTCAACAAACGCATCGCCGAACTCATCCAGAATGGCGCTGATACACACGAACGAATTGGCGGTCTCTACGCTCTTTCCCAGCTTATCGACTTCAAGGGTGATGATGCCGCTCAAAAGACGACGCGCTTCCATACCGTCCTACGCAAGGTCATGTCTGGCAACGACACAGCTGCTATGGTTGTCGCTGCAAAGACTCTCGGTCATCTTGTCTCGCCTGGAGGAACTCTTACCGCCGAACTGGTTGATGCTGAAGTCAAAGTCGCCCTTGAGTGGTTGCAGATCGAGCGAAATGAGAACCGCCGATTCTCTGCCGTTTTGAATTTGTACGAGCTTGCAAAGAGCTCGCCCACCCTCTTGCACGTATGGATACCCGACATTTTCGAAGTCATCTGGGTCGCTCTTCGCGATCCCAAGGTCATGATCCGCGAGTCGGCCGCCAACACCATCAGTCAATGTTTCGAAATTCTTATGGCCAGAGATCCTCAGCAACGGCAGAAATGGTTGACAAGAACATATGAAGAGATAGACAAAGGTTTCCAACACAATACGGTCGAGGCTATCCATGGCTCCCTGCTCGCTCTAAAGGAACTGCTGCAGAAGGGCGGTATGTTCATGCACGGCCCTCGCTACAAGGAAGCTTGCGAGCGCATCTTGTCATACCGCGAGCATCGTGACCCTCTCATTCGCCGTGAGGTCGTCTACATCATCCCCATCCTGGCCAGGTACGCACCAAAAGAATTCTGTAATGGTTACATCCATCGCTCCATGTCACATCTCCAAGGCCTTCTCAAATCCCCGAAGGATCGAAATCTGTCGTTCATCGCCATCGGAAACGTCGCAAATGCCGTCGGCAGCCAGATCGCTCCTTATCTCGACAACATCCTCCTTCACATTCGCGAAGCCCTCAGCGTCAAGGCACGTATCAAGAACACTGATGAAGCTCCTATCTTCAAGTGTATCAGCATGATTTCGATCGCTGTTGGTCAGACTCTGAGCAAGTACATGGAAGCTTTGCTCGACCCAATCTTTGCCTGCGGTCTGAGTGATGCTCTTACACAAGCACTCGTTGACATGGCCCACTATATCCCTCCAGTCAAGCCAATCATCCAGGAGAAATTGCTTGACCTATTGAGCATGACTCTATGCGGAAAGCCATTCGTTCTACCAGGCCACCCTAGTCACAGCACGCCTTTGCCCCGAATCTTTACCAGAGAAGTCAGAGATCAAAATGATCCTCAACATGTTGAACACAAAGAGCAGCAAATCGCGCTGGCTCTATATACTTTAGGCAGCTTCGACTTCTCTGGTCACGTTCTCAATGAGTTCGTTAGAGACGTTGCCATTCGCTATGTGGAAGATGACGATGCCGAGATTCGCAAAGCAGCGGCGTTGACCTGTTGTCAGTTGTTCGTTAGAGACCCGATTGTCTATCAGACCAGCCACTACTCGATACAAGTAGTCAGCGATGTGATTGAGAAGCTTCTGACTGTTGGAGTTGCTGATCCAGAAGCTGAAATCCGAAGAACGGTCCTAGCCTCGCTAGATGCTCGCTTCGACCGTCACCTTGCGAAGGCTGAGAATGTTCGCACGCTCTTCCTTGCACTTAACGACGAGATTTTTGGCATTCGGGAGGCTGCCATGACCATTATTGGCCGTCTTACTGCTGTCAATCCGGCTTATATCTTCCCTTCTCTGCGCAAGGTGTTGATTCAGTTATTGACTGAAATCGAATACTCGAACAATGTCAGAAACAAGGAGGAAAGCGCACGATTGATCAGTCATCTCGTCGGCTCGTCTTCGAAGCTGATCAAGCCATATGTTGATCCTATGATTACTGTGCTCTTGCCAAAAGCTCAAGATCCCAATCCTGATGTGGCACCCGCCACTCTGAAAGCAATAGGTGATCTGGCCACTGTCGGTGGCGATGAGATGGTGAAGTACGTTCCTGAATTGATGAAAGTCATAATTGAGAGCCTCCAGGATTTGAGCTCAGCCGGTAAAAGACGAGCAGCTTTGAGGACGCTTGGACAACTTGCCAGTAACTCAGGCTACGTGATTGATCCCTACGTGGAACACCCTGAGCTCCTATCAATTCTAGTACAGATCGTCAAGAATGAGCCACCAGGCGAACTGCGCAAGGAGACGATTCGACTCATGGGTATTCTTGGTGCTCTGGATCCGTACAGGCATCAGGTTATGGAGCAATCCTCGGTGAACCATCTTGTCACAGACTCACAGACAGTTACTGATGTTGGTCTCATTATGCAAGGAACCACTCCTTCGAACGAGGAATACTATCCTACGGTTGTCATCAACACTCTCCTGGACTTGCTCAAGGAACCCACTCTGGCGCAACATCATGCTGCTGTGGTTGAAGCTGTTATGAGTATCTACAGAACAATGCGCTTGAAATGTGTCAATTTCCTGGGTCTAGTCGTCCCGGGCATACTCCTTGTTATCCGCACCTCACCAGCGGGTAACATCGAGAAGTACTTCAATAACCTCAGCGAGCTGGTAGAGATCGTTCGACAACACATCAGACCTTATCTGCCAGAAATTCTTGCAACAGTGCAAGACTTCTGGGCAGACAACTCGCCATACCAGGCGACAATGCTTGCACTTATCGAGTCCATCGCACAATCTCTCGAGGGCGAGTTCAAGATATACCTTGCCAATGTGCTTCCTCTGATGCTTGGTGTACTTGATCACGACGTTACGCCTAGACGCTTGCCGTCTGAACGAGTGTTGCACGCTTTCCTTGTCTTTGGTTCGAGTGCCGAGGAGTATATGCACTTGATCATTCCTGTCATTGTTCGTATGTTCGAAAAACCAGGTCAGCCAGCGCATATCCGCAAGCTTGCTATCGAGACTATTGGCAAGCTCTCACGACACGTCAACATCTCTGAGTTTGCTGCCAAGATTATCCACCCTCTTTCGCGAGTTTTGGCAGGTCAAGAGACTGGACTCAAGCAGACTGCTTTGGACACTCTGTGCGCCCTCATCTTCCAGCTTGGCCCTGATTACATTCACTTCATACCGACCATCAACAAGATACTGGTGGCTCACAAAGTCCCTCATACTAACTATGCCTTAATCGTCAGCAAGTTGCAGAAGGGAGAGCCATTACCGCAAGACTTGAGTCCAGACGAGCGATACAAAACCTCTGCCTCGGAAGAAGTGCAAAGAGGCGTTGACAATCGCAAGCTAGCAGTCAACCAACAACATCTCAAGATTGCTTGGGCGGCCAATGCCAAATCTACCAAGGAAGATTGGCAAGAGTGGATGAGACGATTCAGTTTGGAACTGCTTAAGGAATCGCCTCAAAATGCCTTGAGGTCGTGCTCGCAGCTGGCTAGTTCCTACCCTCCTCTTGCAAGGCAACTCTTTAACTCTGCCTTTGTGTCATGTTGGACAGAGCTTTACGACCATTACCAGGAGTCCTTGGTTCGCTCGATTGAGACCGCTTTGACTTCACCGCACATTCCTCCTGAGATTCTACAAGTACTTCTGAACCTTGCTGAATTCATGGAGCATGACGACAAAGCTCTTCCAATTGATGTTCGTACACTTGGCATGTACGCAGGCAAGTGTCACGCCTTCGCAAAAGCACTTCACTACAAGGAGCTCGAGTTCAATGCAGAGCAAAATGCCAGTAACGTTGAGGCTCTAATCAGTATCAACAACCAACTTCAACAGACTGATGCCGCCTTCGGTATTCTGCGTAAGGCGCAAGGCTACGTGGACGTCCAGATGAAGGAAACATGGTTCGAGAAGTTGCAACGTTGGGAAGAGGCATTAACAGCGTACCAACGCCGTGAACGTGATGAACCGGATTCATTCGAGGTCATCATGGGCAAGATGCGCTGTCTTCATGCTCTTGGTGAATGGGAGGTACTTTCCTCGCTTGCTCAGGAGAAGTGGATGCACGCTTCTTCAGAGAATCGCAAGTCTATTGCTGCTCTCGCCGCCGCTGCTGCCTGGGGTATGGGTCAGTGGGAGCTCATGGACGGCTACCTATCTGTCATGAAACTCCATTCGCCCGATCGTTCCTTCTTCGGAGCTATTCTCTCAATCCACCGCAATCAATTCGACGATGCACAGCTTCACATTAATAAATCAAGAGAAGGCTTGGACACCGAACTTAGTGCACTCCTCGGCGAATCATACACGAGAGCATACAGTGTCATTGTTCGCGTGCAAATGCTTGCCGAGTTGGAGGAGATCATTGCATACAAGCAAAGCTCCAGTGACCCTCACAAGCAGGAGCGCATGCGGTTGACCTGGACCAAGCGTCTCAAGGGATGTCAGAAGAACGTCGAGGTTTGGCAGAGAATGCTCAAGGTGCGTGCCTTGGTCATCTCGCCTCCCGAGAATGCAGAGATGTACATCAAGTTTGCCAGCATTTGCAGAAAGGCACAAAGGAATGGCCTGGCTGAGAAGTCACTCAACTCTCTTCTTGGTTGGCAAGGTAGTCTCATGACACCGGAAGGTCAGGAGCGTACCCTCCACGCACCATACCCGGTCCAGTACGCCGTCTATAAGTATATGTGGTCGAATGGATATTCCTCAGGTGCCTTGACAGGTCTAAGAGACTTTACAGAAAGACTGCGTATGGACTACGAACAACGATCATTGGCTGTCACAAATCCTGGCACTAATGGTATGAATGGCATGAACGGTACCAATGGTGTCAATGGCACACAATTCCCTGCAGCTGGTGTCAGCCCTCAGGTCTCTGAGAAGGATATGGCTCAGTTGGCCGACTGGCAGAAGTTGCTTGCTAGATGTTATCTCAAACAAGGTGACTGGCTCAGTCTGCAGATGCGCGGAGAGTGGGATGCCCACCGAGTACACGAGATAAGATCCTCGTACAAGGCCGCTACCCACTATAACCAAGATTGGTACAAAGCGTGGCACGCTTGGGCACTCGCGAACTTTGAAGTCGTTACCGCTCTCACAGCAAATAAGGACAGAGGAGAAGCCGATGGCATGCAAAGACGATACATTCACGACTACGTTGTTCCTGCCATTCAAGGATTCTTCAAGTCGATTGCACTTTCTTCTTCAAGCTCGTTGCAAGATACATTGCGTCTGTTGACATTGTGGTTCAATCATGGCGAGCATCAAGAAGTTACCTCGGCAGTCACGCAAGGTGTGACTACTGTGAGTATCGACACATGGCTCGAGGTCATTCCTCAGCTGATCGCTCGTATCAACCAACCAAACAGACTGGTCAAGGAATCAATCCATCATTTGCTATGCGAAGTCGGACGGGCTCACCCGCAAGCACTTGTGTATCCATTGACTGTCTCCATCAAATCAGAAGACAGAGATCGCTCAAGAGCTGCGAAGGACATCATGGCTGCCATGGAGCAACACAGTCCCAACCTCTGCAGACAGGCAGCTGTTGTCAGTCATGAGTTGATCCGTATTGCGGTGCTCTGGCATGAGCAGTGGCACGAGGGTCTTGAAGAAGCGTCCAGACTGTACTTTGGTGACCACGACATCGATGGTATGCTTCGCACTCTCGAACCACTACATCGCATGCTTGACGAGGGACCTGAAACTCTGCGTGAAATATCATTTATCCAGAGCTTCGGACGTGACCTCGCGGAAGCTAGAGATTGGTGCAACAACTTCAAGCGCACAAATGAGGTCGGCGATCTCAACCAAGCCTGGGATCTCTACTATGGCGTCTTCAAGAGAATTGCTAGACAACTGCCTCAGCTTGCCAACCTTGAGCTGCAATATGTTTCACCCAAGCTCAAGAATGTTCATGATCTTGAGCTTGCTCTGCCCGGTACCTACAAGAGTGGCAAAGAGATCATTCGCATTCTTTCATTCGACCCATCGTCGACAGTCATTCAGTCCAAGCAGCGACCAAGAAAGCTTACCGTCACTGGCAGTGACGGCGGTACCTACCAATACCTGCTCAAGGGTCACGAAGATATTCGCCAAGATGAACGCGTCATGCAACTCTTCGGTCTTGTCAACACTCTGCTTTCACATGATCCCGAGTCTCTGAAGCGCCACCTCAACATCCAGCGTTACGCAGCCATTCCTCTATCGACGCAGTCTGGTTTGCTCGGATGGGTACCCAACAGCGACACCTTGCATGTTCTCATCCGGGACTACCGTGAGAGTCGTAAGATCCTTCTCAACATCGAACACCGTATCATGCTTCAAATGGCACCCGACTACGACAACCTCACGCTTATGCAAAAGGTGGAAGTGTTCGGCTATGCACTCGATAACACGACTGGCCAAGATCTATATCGTGTCTTGTGGCTGAAGAGTAAGAGTTCAGAAGCTTGGCTTGAGCGCCGCACGAACTACACACGCTCGCTTGCAGTCATGTCAATGGTCGGCTACATTCTGGGTCTCGGCGACCGTCATCCATCGAATTTGATGCTTGACCGCAACACTGGCAAGATCATTCATATCGATTTCGGTGATTGTTTCGAAGTCGCCATGCATCGCGAGAAATATCCCGAACGTGTTCCTTTCCGTCTCACGCGTATGCTCACCTTCGCCATGGAAGTCTCAAACATCGAAGGTAGCTTCCGCACCACCTGTGAACATACCATGCGTGTTCTTCGTGAGAACAAGGAGTCACTCATCGCTGTGCTCGAAGCCTTCATTCACGATCCTTTGCTCACTTGGCGTCTGGGTAACAAGAACTCACCTCCCGAGCCATCATTCCCATCCGAACGTCGCACATCAATCATCGGCGATCTGGATGCTGCGCCTCGCAGTACACCAGGTGGACGTAAGCGAGCACCACCCGGTGGAGAAAACGTCCCTGGCGAAGGCAAAGAGGTTCAAAATGCCAGAGCGCTGCAAGTCCTTGCCCGCGTCAAGGAGAAGCTCACTGGTAGAGACTTCAAGAAGGATGTCGAGTTGGCCGTCGAAGAGCAAGTCGAGAAGTTGTTGTCTGAAGCAACGAATCTCGAGAACTTGTGTCAGCATTATGGTGGTTGGTGCAGTTTCTGGTAGTCGTGGGAAGAGAAGGGGGTTATGGTGGAATATGTTTCGGTATCTGTTCGCTTTCCTTCACTTCGCTTTGGCTTTGCGGTGGCTGTGAGCTCTTTTGCATGCATAGCGGTGGCGTTCGATGGTTGCTTTTGTCTCTTTATCGTGAGTAGGGGCTATTATAATAGTTTCGATATGTAGTGTTAGGCGAATCATATTATGCATCAAAGTTCGTGTTCTCACTGACCTGGTCACACACGTAGTACTCTGTGACATAAAGTTAGGTTTCCTAAGCATAGATGAAGAACTAGGTATATCCATCCCATGGTAAATTCGTTCATCAACTCTACGAGTTGGCCCCCCACTGGATGAGAGTCCCGCGAGTCTACTCTGTTAGGTAGTCTTTACTCGTCAATGAAGCACAGTGGTACTCTCCTGATTCTATGACAGTCTTGACACAGAACCACACATTCCTTTTGCAGATCAATATGTGTCACTTGATGAAAGTGCATCCGGTCAAAACACAGTTCGTATTCTTAACGGAAAGATGAAGAAGGTAACAGTATCGCATCCGCGAAAGCGGAACATCAATGAACACTTCCAACTCTATATTTAACTTGTTATCCCGTCCTCCTGCCACCCTCCTGATCCCTCGTGGTCCCCACAAGGCAACCTTCAAAAAACCACATCAACAGTGACCATAAGAATTGCAGACCCGCAAACCCTTTCTTTCGATTACAACACCATAACCATGACCATAAGCAGTGCAGAAATACAACCATCGTTTCAATGCCTCCTCTCAATGAGCTTAGTCATCATCGTTATTGTTGTCAAACTCCTCCTCATCGCCAGAGCAGTATCCAGAATCACCTTCGTCTTCAGAGTCGTCGGAGCAGTAGAACCCATAGTCAGAATCACCATATTCAGATTCTCCATCAGTGAATGGGTAGACCATGGTCAAGAGTGAGTCGTAAGGTAGGAGAAGGTTGGGTGTAGAAGGGTGTTGGTGGGGTTTTGATTGTTTGTTGGTTTGTTGTTGGTTGAAGGATTGCGTGAGTTGGTATAGAGCAAAGGCGATGTTCTGCGGGCATTATATAGACTCTGGACATGAGAGTTTGTATCTAAGAATAAGTCGCTGTAAGACCTTGCTCACACATTCGGGGTTTCCCTTTGTCTTTCAAGAACGATGTGACAAACGAACAAGTATCCCTGAGACAATTTGTTCAGGACTTTCTCAGACAATGTTGTTCTGGCATCAAGCAAAGAAAGGTCAACACACTCTCGTTGGACAGACTCGGAGAACGAAGAATCAACCCGAAGACAATTCTGCTGACTTGATGCTCATTTGTATCATCGTCCATCCTCACCAACTAACTGTCAGCATCTGCCTCTGACACACACGGCACCCCAACACCCCCCTCAATATTATTACACACAATCTCTGCCGTGCCATTAGGACTAGTGATCTCAATCTCTTGCAACTCGATCCCACTACAAGTAGCCCCAGGACTGCAAGTCAAATCCGCAACAACTCTGTTATCCTTTCCAGAGGATGAACCAGTGAAGTTGATAAACTTGATATCGGTAATGTTGACTTTGGAAGGATAGGTAGCGCAGGTTGTTTCGTTGATGTTGAAATAGCATTGATCGAGCACGATTGGTGCGTCGGTGTTTTCGATGTGCACGTTTTCGTAGGTTATGTTGGAGATGTAGCCGTAGCCTACTTCTGGTCCTGCCCATGCCCTGATGATCTTGTTAGCACATTGACACGCCCTCATAGCGGATGTCTGACACTGACTTCAGTCTGGCACCGTTTTGGCCGTTGAGTAAAGTGATGTTCTTCATGTAGGCGTTGGAAACATAATCTTTGATTCCGGGGTATTGACCAATTGATCCCATAGATACGCCATGAGTGCCATTGCACCAAAGATTCTCCACGTAGATGTTGGTCGTATTTGGTTTGGGTGAGAAGCAGTCATCGCCAACGTTGACACGAGTGTTCGTGACAGTCAGGCCATCAACATTGAGCGAGTCGAAGCCGTCAGTGTTTTTGGGAAGGGCCTGGCAAGAGTCAGTGGTCTTGTTGAATGAATGAGACATAAAGAGCTTACTGATGCATTGTTGCTGAAGGCTTCGATGTATACATTGTCGAAGGAGACATCCTTAGTACGGACCAGAAAAGTTGTCCAACACGGGCTATTCAGGAAAGTGATACCTTCAATGTCGATATTGGTAGCGTTGTCAGTCAAGAATAGGATGGGACGGTAATAAGTGTTACTAGCATCCTGGTCGGAAGTCAGCTGGAGAGTCGCAGTTCGTCACACTCCAAAGACTGACCAAAATTTCGCGGCCAGCAAAGCCGTTGTACCACGCTTGTCCATTCCCATCCATCGTTCCTTTGCCGTAGATCTTGATGTTCTTTCCACTCCAGACCATGAAGGTGATACTCTTCTGGAAGGGATAATAGAAGTAGTTGTTCTGCCAGTACTCTACGTCGTCGGTAAACTGTATTGACCGTGTCAGACACATGACCGTGTGGTTTGTCCTCGTTGCTCACCTTCAAGGTACCATCGAGCTTGATGTATACATCGTTGAGTACTGGAAGATCAACCTTCTTGCCAATTATGTATGTCTTTCCTTCCTCGAGATGCACGAGTCCTCCATTCTGTGCTTGTTCCAGAGCCCAAACGAAATCTGCTGAGATGTCATCGGTGTCATCTTCAGACGCGCGAATTGTGACCTTGCGGCGGTCATCTTCGATACTGTTGCCCCATCTGTCTTTTCTGTTCCAGCCAAAGTATGGTCGTCCTTTGTGTCTCCAGGGTTGGGTAATAGATGCACCATCCGGGATGTCAAAAGCTGCAACTGAGGTGACCGTGGCGATGGCCAGAAGACAAGAGAAGACTTTCATTCTCACAGTGCAATGAAGAAAGAAGATTGCATTCTCCTCACATCTGTGCTGCCTACATGCAGATTATATAGTCCCTCTTGCTCACTTCTCACATGAGCGGAAAACAAATTCGAGCAAAATTTCTCCATCTTGGCTATGCAGGATTGTCAGCCAAGCCGGACAACAGTTGGTAGAAGAGAGTTGAGATTCTCTCTCATCTCAATGGTACTGACGTCGCTAGACAATGTTGCTTGCAAATATGGGGCGGTCGTTGCGGGGTGACTGGCCAAGACGTGGGTGAAAGATGCGGAGATGGCAGGAACGCATCCACGATCGACACTTCCTCTGCATGAGCTTGGTTTTTCCGCCAATACCATTGCGTTTCTTGACTCTTGATACGATCTCATACCGGCTGATATCCAGTCATGTAGGGTCTCTCGTATGGAGTTCCCCAGATCAGGTTGACCGGGGAAGAGAGATAGGTGATAATCAAGGTTGTCGGCTTTTCGGCCGAATGTCTTCCGGCAACTCTCATTGATTGCTTATTTCCTTGCATAAGGTCCAGGGTATCTCGGAAGCTCAGTTGTAAGGTATATGTTATTCCCATTGGTTATCCAGCAATTATGCCACGATAGATTTGATTTTGCATAGTTTCGAAGGGGAGACATCTACTTCATTTTGAAGATATGGCTGAATCCGTATGTGATATTATCAGCCTGGGCTCTTGCACTGTGCTCATAGTCAAATGCCTTGACTAAACCAATGAAATGGGACGCCGCAGCAAGTAAGACCAATACATGGAAGATCTGATGAGAACTGCCCCAGATGTCGAAAGAGCCAGGCTTTAGACGTTCTGGGAATCGAGCCTATGGTAGTAATTAGTGAACTGACATAAAATCATGCCAACTGTTCGACTTACAGCATAGATTGCAGCTCCCGAAATGTACAGGACACCTTGCAAGACTAGCCAGGAGAGTCCAATCTGTTGTTGGAGTTGATCGACTCCAAACAAGAAGATGCCGTGCAGCACTGGAATAATGGCACTTGCACCCATGGCGACGAACATGCCTGCACGGAATGGACGCCATTTTGGCGTTCTGAAGCTGGGCATGACAGACACAATCGCACAACCGATGCCAATCAGGGTGATCTATGACGGTCAGCAATGAGGATATCAATAAGGGAGAACAATGCATACCATTGACCAATATACAGCAATGTATTGGGGCTCTCTGGCGAAGCCATAAAAGATGCTCGGAATAAAGCTGCCCCAGATCAAACACACGATGCCAACATAGTCCAGCTGATTTCCAATCTTGTTGACTTTGGGTGAGTGATTGGAGATGGTGTGGTAGGTAGCACTCATGCCTAGACAAGCAATGGCACCGCCAAAGAAGCAACCGAAAACGACGACATCTTCTGTGCTCGCTCTGTTGTATCTCGGCTTGATGAGAGAATGTAGGTAGATAGAGCAGGCCAAAGAGACGATGGCTCCCAGAAGGTGGGTGTAAATGTTCACAGTCTCATTGTGAATATATGACAGAGAGGTGAAGGAGCGGTAGAAGGAGTTACTCGCAGGTCGGTAGCCGGAGTGAATATAATGATTGTCCTGTTGCCACGATGGTAGGTCTGACCAGAGGACTGTCAGGGCATGGGAAACCTTCTTCTCGACCTTTGTGACGATGTCGTCTTCATTCTGTTCCTGGATTGAAGTAAGACGGGTGGGCTTTCGGTGATTCATCCTGGGTAAGACCTCGTAGCAGGTACCGCTGCTCTTGATAGTCGAGGAGTGATGAAGTAATGTTGTGCAGTGACCTTTAGATATAGTTTGCAAGATGGTTGGAAATTCTCAACAAAAGAGCGAGCTGGTTTCAGCGCTGCATATTTGATGGTGAAAAGAGAAGATTGCAAGCTCGACGATAACTGCAGAGCTCAACAGATAATCAGGCAGCGACAGTGGACTGATATACATCTCCTGGAAACCGCAGCGTGCGTGAAGAAAGAAGCCTCGCAACACTTGCCTGTTTAGGGCAACCGCGACCTACGTCAGCGTAAACAGCGAAACAGCCCCTCCATCGCAACGACAACAAACTCGGTACCAAACATGTCGTCTTCGGGTACACGACCGCCAGCCCGTCGAGGACCCTCAGGTGCCTGGGGTCGACTGCGGCAGCCACAGATTGATCCTCTCGAAGTCTATGGTCTGCCCTCAAAAGGCGAGACGAGGTATACTTTATCTCTGCTTTCGTTTATGACTCGAAAGCTAATAGAATTACACAAGGTTGGCAGATCTCAAGACACAAGAAACATACTTCGAACGCATCGTCGCCCGATACATGAAATTCTGCGCCTCTCATTCCAGCGGCGAGACTCTCGAAGCCGCTTTCCACAACCTCGACATCAACTCTGCTTCCACCACTCCCGCACCAGCACCTCTCAATGCAGCAAAACCTCAACATCCAACTACTCAAGAGCCCCCACAAGAAATGTCCATGATCCTCATGGCAATGCGCAAGCTTCGTGAAGCCCTCGTATCCTGCCATCGCGTCGACGCCTTCGCTCAAAGAGTCTACACTTTCCAGATCCGTGCTGCAATTCTTTGCCGACATCTCGAGACATATCATCCTGCACTACAGTATCTGCTCTATAAAATTCATCCACGGACACCACTGTCGAGACCGGAGTTGCAAGAATTTGCGAGTTACCTGATCTTGGATCTTGCGTGCAGGCAAGGTGAGTTTGTAGACGCATACCGGTTGAGAAAGGGCTATGGAATAAGAGATCGCAAAGTGGATGCCGTGTTGAAGGCGTTGGTTCATGATGATTGGGTGCTGTTCTGGCGAACGAGGAGGTCGGTTGACGGCTATCAAAGGTGTTTGATGAGTTGGGCTGAAGATGGCATGCGGTTGCATGCTTTGAAGTGCCTGGGTAGGAGTTATATGATGGTGGGTAAAGCGTTTGTGGAGAGGAGTGCTGAGAGAAGTTGGGATGAATTGGTCGAGAGGGACAAGGTTGGATGGGTCTTGAGGGAGGATGGTGTGGTGGTTATCAGGAAACCAAAGGGCACTTGATGTGTTCTGAAGGTCACGAAGTTATGATGATATGCATTGATGGTGTTCAGGCTGCATTGAAGGTGTTTTGATGGGTATAGCCTTCTATTATATGTATAAACAGGGCAAGAAACCAGAATTGTCTTTCGAGATGACCTTTCCACCTCTTCAATAATCATCTCCATCACCACCACCATCATCCCCACCAAAGTCATCATCATCTCCACCATCAAAGTACTGCTCGGCATTATAATCATCATTATCATCCTCATCGTCCTCATCAAACTGATCCGGATCCTCCTCTTCCTTATCCTCATCTTCTCCCTCAACTTTGTCTTCCTCTCCTTCATCTGCATCTGCATCTTCCTCATCATCAAGTTCAGTATCAAATCTATCCAACCTCGTCCTCGTACTCAAATTCAACACCTTCCTCTTTTGCTGTCCTGCTTCAACACTTCCCGGCTCAATGATCGCCCACAACTCCTCTGGGAAAAAGGATTTCACAAATGGCCGTGAGGAGAGTTTGGGCAGTGTGTTTTTCTTTTTCGTGTAGCGTTGCGAGTAGGTAGGCATGGATTCAAAAGGATCGTAGTGTGCAGACACAGGACTCTTTTTTCCGGATTTGTGCACGCGAGCTGAGGAATCGAGGATTGCGTAGAAGGGGCCATCGTGGATGCGTGCGCGTAGGGTGCGGTAGTGGGATACTATTTGGCGTTCGTGCAGGGATGGTGGGTCGGCGATTGGTGGTTGGATTGGCTAGAACAGGAAGTGTTAGACTGAGGGATTGAGGGGGAGGAAGAAGGAGAGAGAGCGTACGGGAAACTTCTCGCTTGGTTTGGTGTTTAGTTTTCCTTCGAGCTCTGGGTCATATTCCCAAGGCAGTGCTTGTCCACCCATCTTGCCTAGGTCGTTCTTTCCTCCGCCGCCGCCCCAGCCGCCTCCTCTTGACATTGTTGCGGTTGACGTGTGTGAAGTAGACTCGTGTTGGTTATGCGACTAAAAGTGCGACACAAGGTACGACTTGCGATTGAGTGATCGGTGTCGGATGTGAGTTCGCTTGTATAGAATGCGGTCCGGTGACTGGAGATTGTAGCCGTGAAGTGATATAGTGAGACGTTCGAGACGGTACAGTCGAATGTTATGGGTGGCTGATCGATGTGGGATTTGGTATTGCTTTATGTGGAAAGTCGAGAAACAGTGAGCATGAATAGCTTCGATCGTCGCTTTGCGCCGCGATTCAAAAGTTGCTGGTCGAAATTTTGGTTCGCGGGGTCGGGGACCCTGACATGTGATTGTATCCTCGGTATTCTTCAACTCAAGTACATGGGTTTTTACGACATTTACAAAATTGGAGAATCATTTCTGCAGATTTAGCAATCTATTCAGTTTGAAGTGTGAGTCGAAGGTGATTGGCACATGTTGGGTTGTTGCTTGCTTGTATCGATGTTGGATATCAAAGTGCCTATACCACTCTTGATTACGATTTTGAAGCCAGCAAACTGACTACTCAAGCACGGCACAGAGATCCTAACTTGTTCCCCTGGAGTCAGAGTTTGGGTAGCATGTTCTTTCCCATATAACATATTCTATACTAATTTCAGCTGGAAGCCACCACCAATCTCTTCATCATCACGTCCTGCAAACAGCCCACTAAAGTCCGATGCAGCAGCGCCGCCTTCGCCACGAACAGGCGCATTGGGTGTTCTGTTCTTCCGTCTTCTCTCCTGACCGGCCTTACTGGGGAAGGTAGGAAACATGGCTGTGCTCTTTGGCCGCGGGTCTTCGGTGAAGTAACTGTGTTCCAAGAGCTCCTTTGCTGACGGTCTGTTTGCTGGATTCAGAGATAGCAAGGCAGACAGCAGATCGGTTCCTGCTTTTGTCAGGAATGGGAATTTTGAGCGTATCACTGAACCAGTGGTTTGTGCATTACGGGGCAATCTCAATGAGCGGGCATTGGGTAGACGCTTGAAACCAGGCCATGAAGCATCGGTGGGCACTCCGCAAAGCTCGAAGATCTTGCTGAGCTCGTCTACTTCGTTTTTGCCTTGTAGCAGTGGTACGTTGGTGAGTAGTTCACCGAAGATACAACCAACGCTCCACATATCAATACTGCTGTCATATGTCGTGGAACCCAGCAGTAACTCCGGAGCTCGGTACCATAGAGTGACGACGAGTTGGGTGAGGTTCTTTGGTGGTGGGTCGCCGCAGAAGCGGGCCATACCAAAGTCGGCAATCTTGATTTCTCCCCGGTTATTCATGAGGATATTTGAAGTTTTCAGATCGCGATGTAGGATCCATCTGTCGTGCAAGAATTCGATGGCACTGCCGAGTTGTAACATCAACGTCTTGACCTCACTCGGCAGAAATGGTTCCTCCATGTCATCCATGAGCGTCTTAAGATCATGTTCCAAGAAGTCCATAACCAGAAAGATGTCGTCGACGTTGCCCTTCTCGCCAACAACGACTTCGCGCAGATCAACAATATGCCGGTGCTTGGCAGCAGACAGTGTTTGGATTTCGCGTAGAGCTGTGACGGGGAAACCATTTTGGGCAGCACCTGGCTCCATCTTCATCTTCTTGATTGCGACAATCTCTCCAGTAGCCAATTCTCTTGCTCGCGACACAAAGCCATAGCTGCCTTCTTCAATGTGGTTCAGTCGTTCGAAGCTGTCGATTGTGCGAGCAGGTTGCCATGACGGGGCTTGGAAGCGAACAAATTGACGAGGTTGGTCCTTGTCTTGTGTTGGTGACAGTCGTCTTCTCTTGGATGGTCTGTCGTCTGGCTCGGCTTGTTGTTGCTGTTGTTGTCGTAATTGGTCGGCTTCTTGTTGCTTGCGTTGTTTCTCGGCCTTTGCGCGTTTCTTTTGTTCCTTCTCTTGCTTGCGTTGTGCTTCTAGAGCGGCATCATCTTCATCATCGGCCCAGCGAGAAACCATTGCGGAAAGGAAAGCGGTTGGCGTGTGTTTAGGTTGCAGATAGTGATGGGCGAGTGTGCGTCATGAAGTTGCGGCGAAGTCGTCGACCTCCGAGCTTGACCTCTCCAACTTTTTGTCGCGAATAAACACGGCCCATACACTTTGTCAATCAGACATCGGAGTGGAAGCATGAGACGCAGTACAATCCAAATAGCCAGACGGGTCGCAAATGACCGGCTCTCGCTGTCAAGACGAGCCCTGACTTGCTCCGGCGCAAGATGTTCGTCCACAAGCTCTAGAGAATGGTCCACGCCTCTGGCAAAGACTCTAGGAGAGGCTATCACCGTACGTCTCAACCCGATAATTTTTCGGAATATATTTCCTGACAATGTTCTCAGACGACTGGTCCTATCTCAGTAGCAGCATACATGCGACAATGCCTGACCTTCCCCGAAACCGGTTACTACACGCAGTCAAACGAAGGCAAAGACCCCTTTGGCAAGAAAGGAGACTTTGTCACATCTCCCGAGATCTCCCAAATATTCGGTGAACTTATCGGACTATGGTTTGTGGCAGAATGGATCGCCCAAGGCAGAAAGAGCAGTGGTGTCTACCTCATGGAAATGGGCCCTGGACGAGGAACCTTGATGGACGACATGCTGAGATCGATTCGCAACTTCAAACCTCTGGCTCAGGCTATCGATGGCATCTACATGGTTGAAGCTAGTCCATCTTTGCGTCAAGCCCAGCACAAGCTTCTCTGTGGCGACAATCCTCTTGAGGAAATTGATATTGGCTACAAGAGTACATGCAAGTATACTCCGGACCTGAACATTATCTGGTGCGAGGACATCCGTTTCGTGCCCAGAGAGACAGACAGCTCGCCCTTCATTGTTGCTCACGAGTTTTTCGATGCCCTGCCCGTCCATGTCTTTGAATCTGTCAAGGCCCAGGCTGCTCCCAAGCAGATCCGCACCCCAACTGGTATCCACAAAGTCGACCCATCAGCCACTGGAAACCCAGGCACTGTCTCTCAATGGCGCGAACTTGTCGTCTCACCTACCTCGCCTTACGCAACCCATGATACCCTCAACACTCCCAAATCACAACGCGATCAACCTGTCCCTGAATTCTCTCTCACTCGCGCTCAAGCCGCCACACCACACTCCCTCTTCCTCCCCGAACAGTCTCAACGCTACAAGAACCTCAAAGACACAGAAGGCTCTGTCATCGAAATAAGCCCTGAGTCACAAACCTACGCCGCAGACTTTGCCGTCCGAATTGGTGGCGGTGTTAGCCCCTCAGCCCTCTACACCAACCACCCAGACCAAACTCCTCCTCCCGTAGGCCGCCGCGTATCTCCCCGCCGTGCCGTCGAAGAAATCGTCAAGAAGCAAGCTTCGGGCGCTGCACTAATCCTTGACTACGGAACCGCATCTACCATTCCTGTAAACTCGCTTCGTGGTATCAAGGAACATCGTATGGTGTCTCCACTCTCGGAACCCGGCAAAGTCGACATCAGCGCTGATGTAGACTTCCTCGCTCTGGCCGAGAGTGCCATCAATGCATCTCTGCACGTTGAAGTCCATGGCCCCATTGATCAAGCCCGCTTCCTCACTGCCATGGGAATTGAACAACGAGCAGCACAACTCGTCAAACTCGCTGTTGATCGCGAAAGAGGCAGTGTTGCCGAAAAGCAAGGTGCACAAAGAACTAAAAGCGATCTTACGGAAACGGTAAAGAGGATTGAGAGTGGGTGGAAGAGGTTGGTGGATGTAGGTCCCCAGGGAATGGGAAAGTTGTATCAGGTGATGGCTATCTTGCCGCATGTGCCCCCGAAGCAGGGGGAGCAGCCTAGGAGACCTGTTGGTTTTGGTGGTGATGTGGCTGTTTAGAGCTGTGGATGGTGTGTATAAAGTTTCTTTCTTTGTCACTGCATCTTGTATACATCATGTCAAACCACATAGGATGTTTCACACTCAAGAGAGTTTTCGAGAAGAGCGGATTAAATAAACTTCGATTTCCAGAGAGAGTTGTTATAATCTGGTTTCTTCGTCTCACGGTTTCCTGCTGTCAATCCCTCTTGATCATTGACCAGCCCGATGTCCACACACGCGTTCCATCTCGAGACCTTCAGTGGTCTGCTACGAGCTACTGAAGATCAGTGTGAAACTCTTCACCAGCGGGCAATTCGCTTACCGTGATTGACATGTTGAGTGTGTTACTTGACTTGAATGATCGCGGTCCGCAATGCCCTCATTAATGTTTCATCAAGAAAGGGGTAGACAGCCAAACCCGTTCCTTCTGCCATTGAGTGCAGAGTAGATCGACTCGCTGGTCGCATAAAGTAGGACGCGCAGAGCTTCTTCAACGCTCGCACGACGTCTCGAGACCTTGTAGATCTTGCCTCGGAAATTGTTTCCTGCGATGATGGCTTCGAAGTCGCTAATGCCTGAAATGATGATGACAGGCTTGGATTGGTCAGGACGGAGGAAGGTCCAGTTCTCTAGTCTGTATCAGTAAAGACATCCTTTCCGTATACGCTCGAGAAGTGACTCACCAAGGATCTGGGTGCGAAGACCGTGTTGTCTGAGTTGTGGAAGAATTGGCAAAGATTAATCCCTAGAAGAAGGAAAGCGCGACTGCCATTTGCTCATCTACCAAACGGAAACATCTCGTTTTGGTCACTCTCACTCCTTCGTTCACTGGCTTATATGAAGGTCATGTGGTTGTTCAAGTTTATGAAAATATCCTTTGTCAAGTACCGCTTCTGATTGATGCTACACAGCACGCATGGTACGCTTTATAGAGAACCAAGAGACATGTGTTTGTGCATTTAGTAATAGTTGTGACTGTGTTCATTTCTTGTATAGCCATTTCCGAGCAACTGATCTCTTTCTTCGCAACACCATTGTTTAACTTAAACGTGTATCGACAAGTTCGTCGAGAGAAATGCAATCACCCTTAAGCGTGCTTATCCTGCTTGACGTTAGTAGACTTGTATTAATCATTCTTGCCAGCAAGTTTAGGCTTAGGAAGCTTGATGTTGAGTTTGCTCCAACATCTGGATAGTCATGCCGGATTTAGTGTTAAGTAGGTCGCGTAGAGTCAGCTTAACATTAGCCATGTAGTATGCCTGTATGAAGAGTCTGTCGCCCTGGTTGCGGTCCGATCATGGCTAAATACCAACGGCCCTAAAGAAGTCACATGCGTGTAAGGATGATAACGGTCACATCGGAGTGAGTGAGTGCAGGAAGCGCCAGTTGTCTTTCTACGTTAGTATGTCTTTATAACTCTGACGTCGATGAATGGAAGGAAACTTACTAAGGATCTGCGCACGGAGATCCACGTTAGTAGTGGACTTAAGCGACATGGTTATAGATGATTGTGGGAAGGCACTCAAAGTGTCTTGACGACGGTTGCGCGTGAACAAAATAAGGAAGGTGCAAGTGGAGTAGTCTAGTAATAGCACTTCTGCTTAGATTCACTGCACGTTCAGTCATCTTGAAGCAAACAACTCAAACCCATCACGGTATGAGACCGTTTTTGTTGGAGGATCCTTTTATCTGATGAATCTGCGACCACTTGCAACTATTAAAGAAGTCGAGAAACATGATTTAATGATTTTGAGACAGCAATGTATAAAGTTTGTTCTGTAGCAATACGATATTGTTGGGTTTTGGTCTGCCCCGTATCTCACTCTCCTCTCATTCACATCATCGACGTCCGATTCTGAACTTCGATGCAAAGCTAGACGATTCACTCTTGGAGGAGGCTAGATCGAGAACCCGGCCATGTGCTTTGTGAAATCGCATCATCTCAACCTCCTCTGGCGACTTGACTGGCTTATTGGTGTCTTGAACAGGCTTGCTGGTGTTTTGGACAGGCCTGCTGGTATTTTGAACCGGCTTGGCGGTACTGTTCTGAGCAATAGAAGTATCTGGAGACAGATGTTTGACATCAAGAAGTTCTGCAGACTGACCCTCTAGCACCTCTTTCATCATATCGCTAGTGATATCAAGCAACAATCGCAAAGCTGCTTCGTGCGAGCCCAGACTTGATGCCTTGACAAAGACTCTAGTTCCCATGCTAATGTCATTTGCGATGATGGCTTCGAAGCGGTACATGTTAACGGAACGACACTCGCGCTCGCGTGTTGTAAGAATGACCACATTGGTGTGGCCTGGATGCATGTAGCGCCAGTTTTCTGTTCCGAATCAGTGATATGTCAAGGTCTTGTCTGAGATAGAGTCAACCTACCAAAAATCTGAGTGCGAAGACCCAAGATAGTGCTTTCCGGAGTCGACATTGTTGCGGCCGATTAATTCTGTGTTCGAGGAAGAGAGTGGAAGCTCGAGAAGAAGAGAACTGCACAATTGGTGTTTGGAGTTCGCGCAGAAGAACAGAACCTTGCTAGTAGAAATGCTTTGCTGTTTCCATCTTCACTTTGATTCCGTTTGATGACTGATACCATAAACGAAGATTTTCTCTTTCACTGGTCAACCATGGTCATTTTCACAAATTCACATGATATCAAGTCAAGGATAAATCACGGTCTTATCAGATGGACGTGAGAGTCCTCGTCACACTGGGCTCTTTCAGATCATGCTCGGAAGTGGATGAAGAAGTGTATTCCGATGACGCACCCACCGGGTAACGAGTGAAAGCAAAATATTCTTGAGCGTATGCCGATGCCACGGCCTCCTTTTCCATCAAGCCATGAGTCAAAAGTGCTCATAGACAACCCTTTGAGTCCTCTTTGTCTTGCCTTATCATCGAGCGTGACAAATAATCATGAGCACAAGGCTTGTTCTTCTTGACAAGCAGTTCCAAGCCCAACTCAATAAGGCTCATACATCGGCATCACCTTGATCCAGATCATCTTGCTTGTCTCGTCTAACAAAGACTGTAAGGCGAGCTCAGGGGTACGGCAGAACTCTCCACCAGCGATCATATCGGTACCATCCATGGCTCTCGCTGACCACGTATCACCGGTTGAAGATAGGAGCGTGATGACGGAGAGTGATCTGTTGGCAAAGAGGAAGTTTGAGTTGTCTGGGTTGTGTCAGGTGTCATATGTGATAGAAATGGATAGGAAAGATTGCACGAACCAATGATCTGGGCACGGAGACCGAGGATGTTGTTGTTGGGCTCGGCCATTACTTCGAGCGGATCTCGGATGGATTCTGAGAAGGTGATGAAGGATGTCGTGGATGGCTGGAGATAGAGGTGTGGCGTGTAGGCAAGTTGGCACTTCCACCCGATCTGCCAAAGTTTATATACCCGCATGATGGTCGGCAATTCTGGTATATTCTGGCAGAAGATGGCTGGGTCGAATAGCTACAAAATTACATAGATTTTGCCAGAAAGTGTCGATGATACTCAAAACCCGACCTGCTCATCAGGTGGCTCTGGAATTGATTGTGTTTAGATCTCACGGCTGAAAGACGTAGGTCATATGAAGTCAATATTTCTTACCAGAAAGATCTCCTAGAGTCTTCGAAGTTTGGTTGAACAATCTATGTAGTGCTGGGTGAGTGGGTCAGAGAATGTTCTATCCAGGAGTAGTGGATTCATACAATGGCCAGTCTTTGTTTGCTTGCACTTTGCGGTTTGCTTTGCGTTTGTCCTTGTCAATCCAACCAATCACGATCGGCATTAGCTTCCTAGAAAGTGAGTCACTGGTTCGTTGATTGTTTGGTCAACACTAATGATTGAGTGAAAAACAAAGTAGTGTGCACGTCGCTACTCCTCACCTCAAAACTTCGCCGCCAACCACATCAATCTTGAGCGGAGGACCACCTTCGGCAACATGGACTCCGCTACTGAAGACAATAAGATCGCTCTACGGACTCAGATTAAAGGTACATCGCTCCTGTCAGACTCACATGGTCCTTCGCAAGTTGCTGATATCATGTCAAGACAACTTCCGCTACATCTACCTTACCGAACAAGACCCGACGGTCACTGTTGTCACACACGACAAGCTCTATTGGGTCAGGATCCAGGCAAAGAACGCTGACACCTGGCAGTCGAGCCATGGCTGCAAGACCGAGGAAGCCGCATTGCAAGACATGTCCGAGAGTCTGAGTGATGAGGTTTGGCAGACGGCCAAATACCGCCAGTCGAAGCAGGCCATCGGTCAGTTCAGAAACACAGAAGTGCGAACACTGATGCATATTGACTCTGCAGACAGAAAGACATGACGAATGAGGACAGCTAGATGTCCGCTGGCGATGAGCAGGAAGCCCGTGATGCTTCAACCCAGAGACGATCCGACTGCCAGACCACTTCTAGACCTTCTTGGATGCATGGCAGTCATAAACAAACTTCGTCGTCTGTCTCCACGACACTATACTCTTCCACGTTGAATATCCGCTTGAACTTCTTGTTTCGTCCTTCACCGCCCCTGGTCAATAGATGCACGACTAACACAAAGTGTCGAAGTAGCCAAGGAAACAAACATTCAATATAGACCCGTATGATAGATACCTCAACCTGATTAGCAAAGGTCAGCAAGCTCTCTTTGTTGCTGCAAGGACTGTCAGTCGAGATAGTTGGTCTCTCAAAGATGGCCAGGATAATTCGATAGTCGGACTTTCACCGAGCTTCATCATTGTCTCTGAGATGAATCTCAATAGTACCACAAGATCGAAACTCAATCTTCCAAAAACATTGTGGGCCTTACATTCTAACTAAACTGCTTTTCACTCAGTGATTGGGAGGGTTGGCACAATTGGTAAGACCGCTCTATAATACTGATCGATCCAATAAAACTCCTGTAAGTCTCTGGCTCGATCCTTGGATGTAGCGGAACATTATATTCTTTCTCTCTTGCAAAGGTAGAATACTTTGCTCGCAGGTAGGGGTTTTCCCAGGCAACTAAAAAGCTGACCTGGTTTTTTGCTCATCTATGATACATCAGATTCGATTCGCATACGGCAGTGATCCATCTGCTTTCGAGGTGCGCTCGTCTTTGGTACCTGTAGCATACAGCTTTTTGATCAAGAAACAGCATAGCAGCCACTGAGAAGCAATATCGTATCTGCTCTCTTTGGACTTGCTTCTTCTCTTAAACATGCCCATGCCTTTTTATAATATACATTTTGCTCTTTGCTGTAGTTGGAGCACGATGTGAGTCACAAAGACTGAGCCCGACTATTCCTTGCATATGTCACATTGCAGATGCCTCAATTTTCACACGCAACAAGAATACTAGGTATATAAGAGCCTCGTATCTACTAAATGACTATATCCAATGCGAGTCGAGCTTCTTCACCAGCGCTTCTGCTCTACCGAACCGAGCTTCTGCTTCACTGGTGCTAGCCTCATGCCCCCTCTATCACCTCCAAGGACAAAGGTGCGGCCGACATTCGATAACCAGGTCGATGTCGATATGGCTTTCTTTCGACACGCTCGTAGTATCGATAGGGTGCTAGAAGCTCCGAAAGGAAAGCACGAGTGTCATCTGCATGGAAGAAAGGATACGGAGATCTGATCAATAAGATAGGGGATCGAACTTCTTCCATCTCATCTCTGTCAAACATCTGCTCAAAACATGTCTTAAAGAACCGCTGAAGTTTGCTAATAATTGCTGAAGTTTGTAGAATAACCAGAGCAAACCTCAGCTCATTTCGATCCAAGACTGGCCCATCATTACTGCTCGAGCAGGGTCAATTCCGCCCAGTTCTCTCTTTCTCCCCAATACAGCCACATACCTTTATATACCGCCCATGTCTCAATCTTCCTGCCACTGGCCCAAGGGAAGGAATCAAACCCACAAAAACCCAGAAAATTCGTATGAGTAGCTGATGTAGCGTGGTGGAGCCCTTGGGCAGTGTGCGCTATTCTTTGGAACCTGTGGCTGGTGTTCAAACCAGCCAACCAACATCTCTTTTCGCACTTTTTTGGTGAGCCACCATTAGGCAGATAGACTGCAGAATTCTTTTGCTCCGGGAAGTTCGTAGGCTGATCAGATTTGCGGCAAGTGAAGAAGCATCAGTTATGCATCCGTTTTGACAACCTTGGGGATAAGCCAGTACCTCAAAGGCTCCCTGACTTCTAGCTCAAGAATGTGTAGGGATATGCATCGGTTTGTCGGTTACTGTTGTTGACTCTTGGCAGGACGAAATGTTCTATCTGACACGAGCAGCAACTCAAAAATTAAAGGCACCAGTCAAGTCCTTTGGCTGCCACGTAGCGCGGGCCCAGGGGATAGAACAAGCCTTGTCAGCCATTTCAAGCTCTTTGGCCCAAGACTCCAGCAACTCATATTCTAGACCTGTCTCTCGCATGATGTCAAGCAGACAGACACCCTTATGAGATGCAGGGCACTGCGGATATGTGATGAGTTCGTAGAGCAGCTTCTTCGCATTATCAGAGATTTGTGGTGGCAATGCTGCACAGGCAGCAGCAGCAAGTTTTGCATCGCCAATAGATGGCATCAGAGAAAGGTGTTCTTCATCAAGTGTCCTGGGCCCTGCGGCGAGTACTGATGGTAGACGTGGAAAGCCAGCAAGAGAAGGCTCATCCTGTCCGTTGGAACTCACGGCAGAGGCTGTTCGCTTTCTCTTGCGTAGTAGGAGGTATGACTCGTCGTTGATCGCCCGATCTCGAGATGGCGGCTGCGAATTATCCTCGTTCCATACACCTCCACCAAAATTTCGACGCCAATTCTGAGGATCCTCGCGGTATAACCGTACCATCAGACAAGTGGCTGCCAGCATTTCATCCAGAGCCTCGGGCACTGACTTGTGTTTTCCAGAAAGATGAAATAGTCGCTTCCGTGTAATCTTGTCAAAGATGACTGCATTGTAGCATAGCAGATCAACATCTTCGACAATGATATTGAGATTAGAAGTTGGTTTGGCGAACTCGATGTAATCGAGATTTGCTAGGAGTTTTGGTTCGTCAAATGGCCTTTGCGGATCAATGTTGCGAGTACATACCTAAGATTTGCTCTCGCAGACCTTGTATCTCTGTCATGTGGAAGGTTGTGTAAGAAAGGATCGATTGATCGATCTGTTTGATTATCCGTACCCAGTAAGAAGGAATGGAAGGGCTGGAGGACGCGTCCTGGACGTGATCGGAAAGCGCGACTTATGATTGTATGCAAATTGATTAAATTGATGTACAAGAAGTTATGCATAAACTATGTATGCTGCTCACAAAAGCAAAGGCACCTCGATCTGAAAGAGATGCTTGAACAAAGCACAAAAGAAAACTCCATCGCGATGCATCAACAACCCCATCAAATGCTGTTTACCAGACTCATTCGTCCTCATCCTCCCACTCGTCAAAAACTGTCCATCTTGAATCATCGCCAACAGCAGGCTCAATACCACCCTTCTCGTGCAATTGCGAAACACCAGCATTGACATCGGCATATGGCAAACCAGTGCGCGTCACCATCTCATCTTCTGTCAAACCTCCAGCTGGTCCGTCTGCAATGCAGTGGTAGATAACCCTAGCGATTCTTGAAACGTAAGTTGGAAACCATACTTGAGGAGTGAACGGAGCAGTCTGACCTGCTTGTTCAACATCGCGAAGCTCATCTGCACTGATACGTTCTTGAAGCTCCTCGTCGCTGGTAGTCTTGCGTGATTTGTTGGCTCCAAGTTCTTCGTCTCCGAGGGCGGACGCAGTACGCTTCGAACCAGTTGTTGTTGCAGCTGCTGGGGTCGAGTCAGACTTCTTGGGTCTTCCTCTTCCGCGCTTAGCGGGCGCGGTGGTATCGTTGTCATTCACAGGGGCAACTGCTGCAGGCTCCTTTCGTGGTCTGCCTCGAGGACGGCCTGTAGAAGGTGGCACGACGGCATCTGACTTTCTGGGTCTTCCACGAGCACGAGTTGCCTTCGGTGTGACAACGGCAGAAACCTTTGCCTTCGTAACGGGGACTGCCCTCTTTGCCTTAGGTTTGACAGCAGAAGAAGCGACAGAAGGAAGAATACTCTTGGGCCTTCCACGAGTGCGCTTGACCAGTGGACTTCCAAGTGTCTGGGTAGCACCAGCACCAATCAAGTTGGGAGGATTTCCAAGATGTTGACAAGTGTGAGCAAGCAGAGCTGCCAGGGCACGCTCAACGGTTCTTGCTTGATGAGGTTCTCCACAAATGTCCTCGCCTGATGATTTGTCGGCGATGGTGGCCTGGTAGTATTTTTGATCAAGAAATCTGACAACAACATCCACTTCGGAAGCAGACTGGTTATATCCCATGAAGTTGTAGTTTGCTGGGCAGTGTCAGAAGTGGACGGACATGCACTACTGGGTTATAGTACCAAGGATCTGTTCTCTGAGCCCTGAGATCTCAGCCATGATGAGACGGTGGTCAGGGGATAAAGTATCCTTGAGCGCGTATGACTTGGATATGGTAGAGTCTATGATGTGCGCAAGCCTGAGAACACGTTTTTGAAATTGATAGGTGACGGTCTCTGTGATGGGAAAATTGTTTGCTCGATTCGCTTGAGCACCAACGCGTATTAAGGCGCAAAGATGGTTTGTTGCATTGATGCTGATCGGACTTGCCTTGTGAGACGCGTTTGGGGGGCTGGCACAACGTCATGGTTGTGCAGAGATTATGCAAGCATAAATTCAATAATGCATGACATAGGAAGCAGCAATATAGAACTATTCAGAACCTCAAACTAGAGTTCCTCAAGTGCGATCAAGTTTGATGGCAATGTAAGCTTCATGTTTTCCGTTGAGGTGTTTTCGAACAAGAATCAATACTGGAGTGCTTCCATCGATGGCTCGATAGTTGTCTTTAGTATGATTTGTATTGATCAAGGATCGATCAGACCTGCTTACCATGTAGCTGCGCTCTCAGACCTAGGATGTCAGACATATACAGAAAATTTTCGGCCTTAGAATTGGAGTGAAAGGGTGCATTTTTGACCAGAGAATCGGAGCTGTGTACCCCTGATCCGAAGCTCAAATCAGCCAAGCATTAAAATGAAAGTTTAGCATGGTTTCCCAGAATGCCAGACAACATTTGACATCCAGATCAAAGTCTGTATTTGACATTCGAAATACTCATATATAGCTATCCATCAAGAAAATACATCTGTATGTATGAAAACCATCGAGTCTTTATTTTGCCCGGGAACTGTACGATAGTAAAGGATGAGTCTATTTATCGAGATCTTTTATCAAAACGCTTATTATGTCCAGTTGGCACTTTGGGTGTATATCGAGCAGATGAGTCTCAAAAGCAGCCTGCTGCTCGCAAGAGAAGAGCTCAAAACGTACTCAGAGCTCATTTTGCATCTGGCTTCCGATGTAAATGACGACATGACCAACCCCAAGACTGCATCCAGGAGCTTGCAGGAAGACACAGAGGGTTCCTGAGCAGAAATCATACTTCTACAGTTGGTGTGTACTTCGTCGCATCCTTGTACAGAAGCTGTTGACTCAGAAGACCATGACAGAGAAGAAGACGATGCAAGACTCTCTCGTTGCACGCTCAGGGGCCGGAGATCCAGAAGATGAAGATGGATACTCTGAGGACGATGACGAAGGAGATCTGCAGATGTGCTCATCAGTTCTCTCATTGTTGGTATAGGGGACGCTCCCGTCAAGTTCATCAACCTCATCTGCTGAGGTCGCAGTATCGTAGTAGAAGGTATCCTCTTTATTTCTGATGTATTCGGCAGTCACGTCGAGAAGAAACTCTAGAACAGTCGTGACAGTATGATCGAGTCGAGTCGTGGACAGAAGGTATCTGCGACTGGTCTTTGATGCTATGGCAGCGCGATAATGGCCAGCTTCCCTCACGATGAGAATCTCAAATTTCTCATCCAAGGGGCACATGTTCATGAGACTGAAATTTGCGTACACGACGAATCATTGAAATATGTAACATGGATGGACGAGAGCGATGAGCTCCCCAGCGATCTATTCTCTGAGGCCCTGTATAGCTTTCATTTTGGGTCGGATGTTCTCTCGAAGACGAATGACAGAGAACGGTCTAACGGTCTTGCAAGGATAGACAAAAGGAAAGCTCGAACCTTGGTTTGTGCAAAGCATAAAACGTTGCAGACCTTCGCAGCTTGCACACAAATACTGCACAAGCAACATTACCTGATGAACAAATAGCATTTCGTATCTTCAATAATCATTCGTTCGAAATCATGCCTTTCTTTCTATCATCCACAACTCTCCAGGACCAGTGGTCTTGTTTCATTCAAGCTCAACCCAGTCCCATACTAACATCATCGCCCAATCCCCAATCTGCTTCATCATTCTTCAGCCTCGTGATCGGAGGCACCACATCATCGTTCTCCATAGCCGCTCGACTCTTTCTCCCTTCTGTACTTCCAGATGCATTGCTAGTAGTCCTGGTCCTATTCCCCGCAGAACCAGGCAACCACGATTTGCGCTTGTAGCTGCTGGAAGGACTTCCAATATCGCTGCTTGTGGTGATTGTCGAAGCAGTAGTCATGGACGGTGTGTGGGTATGTTGTGGTGCGTTTTTAAGTGCTTGGGTGAGATTACTGCTTTGGTTGCGAGAAGGTGTTGGACGTGGAGGTGTAGGTGGTGGTTTCGGCTTCTCCGTTGTTTGAGCAGCTGGTGTAGGTGTGGGCGTGGGTTTCTCTTCTTCTGGGACCACATCTATGAGCTCGGCATCGCGCAACCATTTTCTGCGGCGAGTATAGCGGCCCCAACCATCTTGTCCTCTTCTTCCGTCCCGCCATTTGTTGTCGTAGTATATCCATGCGTCGTCATCGTCAACCGTGGCATCCTTGTTCTTACTCTTCTTGGATGGCAGTTCGACATGCCATTCACTGTCTTCAACCCACTGCCACTTCGCCATACCACCTTCTACCTCAGGCAGTTCGAAATGTGTGGGATCAGCTGTCGGATTCAAATGTTCATCAGTCCAAGAATTGCGTTCGTAGGCGAGCATGCTTGCTGTCCAGCCTATGCCCAACCATCTTCTTTGGTTCTCATACAAGGTAAATGTAAAGCGAATACCTTCGCCGGACTCGGTGTTCGGCTTTGCGTTCACGTTGACGGCACCTTTTACTCCTGGTCGTGGGGGCAGTGGTGGTCCTGACGTAGATGGTACACCAAGATCCAGACCTGTGATTATGGTGCAGATCTCGCGTACAGTTTTCGATCGCCAGAGAATTGTGCGACTGATACGTGCAGGCCGTGAATGCCAGGACAAGAAGATTGTGCCGGCAACCAGGACGATTCGTTTTGTGGTAATGATACGCAGGGGAGGAAGGGTCAGAGCCCACCACAGTGGGGAAGTGAGCATGATTCGTATGAAAAGGGTCGTGAGGGCAGGTTGTGTCGTAGCTGAAGTTGCCGTCTGTTGGGTAGACAGGAAGTCTGTCAAGCGAAGCATTGGCTCGAGCAAGATATTACACCTTGTCGTGAAGGTTTGCAAAGTTGACAGAATCTCATCCAGAGACTTGCGATGTTTGATGCCATCCGAGTTATCCCTCCTGTGTCCCTTCTTTTTCTCACCAGTCCAGCCTGTCGATGACAGCGGAGAATACCTTCGTAGGTACATGCCTACTATAAGGAAGGTAACCAGAATCAGAGGTCCCATGAACCGGAGAATGTAACCGCCATACAAGACGGTGAACCAGAAGGCAGCCACAAACAGGAAGCTCTCCCAGGGATCCCCGGTCGTCCATGATAGAAGTCCAACAAGCTTGTTCAAGGGAACTATGAATGGATGTGAATATGCCAAAGCTCTTGTCACTTGCGGAGGGGTCGCTAGCAAAAGCGGTGACTTTTGGTGTACGAGAATGGTCGAGCGTTGTCGAGTCGAAGAGAACGAGTTCGAGGTTGGAGAGAAGGCGGCTACCGTCGGAGGTTTGGTTGTGTTGGTCGTATTGGACTCTTTCCTCTCAGGCGCCGAGCGTCCGGCGTTCGCGGACGTGGACGAAGTATCCGACATGGAGGTCATCCAAGGTGTGTCTGTTGTTCTCAAGTCGTGTCAGTGCATGTTTCTGCTTGTTTGTCCGGTTGCTGCCCAGAACGCATGTGCCATGCTGAAGATGTCATCTCTGCACCTCTGCGGGGAAGCCAAAACACAAAAATCGAAGGAACTTGCTCCGGAAATTGCACGCACCAAGGGCTGCCATAGAATGGCTCTGTTCATTGGCCTACTGCCACAAGATGAGGGCATACCGCCTCAGAGTCTTGTCAGTTGCAAAAGGAGAATTCGTACCGCTCGACTTGAACATGCCGCACGAGACCCGGACGATAAGTGACCCTTGCCGTCATTGCATATGAATGCCAAGCAAATTGTAATCATTGTCCGAGGCACATGCGTAGAACGTGTTGGCTGTCAAGCTGTCCTGGTTCTGAAGCCTGCAAAACCCGCAGTGTCTCGATTCTTCGAAGAAGGTTGGTTTGGGACCAAAAAGAGCGCCACTGGACACCTGACGATGCAAAAGGATGCTCATGCTGGGGATCGAACCCAGGATCTTCTCTGTACATATCACTGTGAGAGAGATGTCATACCACTAGACCACACGAGCCGGTCGAAGGGTGGCAAATCTTTACAATATATATTGATTTTAATCATCACTTCCATGCTGAGGTTGTCAAACACTACCCTGTTCTTGCCAGCAACCAGTTCAAAATCATACAAATGCTAGATGATGTCTCAACCAAGGTCAGAGGCTTCATTCGCCTCAGCCATCTGAATTTGAATCTGAGCGTAGGCTCGAATAAGGTATTAAATCACGAAACTTGTCATTTTGCACACGCCAGTGTAGACAGGAATTGACAAAGTTACATGAATTTGTCTCCCAAGCACAAAACTCCTCAATAGTCTATGGAGAGTAGACAATCTTCACGTAACGAAGATAGGGTTCAGAAAAGGTAAACCCCGTTGTATTTCAATCAGACATTTGTTCCCTCCAATTCATGTGCGTTCTCTTTGTCAATGTCTTTCTGTGTTATCTCCTGTTTTCAATTCCAAAATGTGCTTAAAATCTACTGAGCTGCGACCAAACGTCCAATGATGTTTTGTTTTTGTTCTTTTTAGGGGTGTTCTGATTGGCTTTGACCATGGTGTGTTCAGTTCGTGATGGTTGTCGAGTTGGCGAGTTCACATCGGACTAGCAAAGCCCATAGTGATGAGATGGAGGCAATCCCTCGTGCCACACTTATGGTCTTCCAAGTGAAATGGCTTATTTCTGCGACGATTGTTAGCCGTGTCGTGCGGCAAAAGAGTGAACATGTTGGATGGTAAGAAAGCAGTGATCAACGCAGATTGCAAGGTGAAAGAATCAAAAGCGATAATACGGGCAATGTGTATCGTAGAAGGGAGTACTTACGCTGCAAGTGCAGCTACCGGGAGCACAGCCGCAGCTGGCGCAAGAGCAAGAGGAGTTACCGCAGCCACCCATGTTTGTTGATGTTGTGTTGTTAAGTTGGTGTTGGAAGAAGGTGATAGTGGATGGTTGAGTATGAGAAGTAGAGGAAGTTGGATAGTGTGGAGGTTGTTGGAACAGGTGGAAACTGTGGTGGTGGATGAAGTGATATATATACCAGTGAGAGACTTGTGCGTGGTGGGGCTACCTTTTGGCTTGTGACAGACAGCCAGTAAAGCTTGGGGAGAAGGACCCTGCGTCAAATGTGCTGAGGCTGACAGGAGCCAGCGAGACCTAGCGAATGACACTCATCCTGAGGCGGAGAGCTTGAGTCTGTTGTGTTGTCCTGACCGACACCATGTACTCCGACCTATGGGCTCACGAGAATCTACAACAGTCTCGCCCGCACAAGTCGCGCGGAAAGCCTATCTCTTCATAGGCACAAATCTCTCGGAAGCCTACGGAGTAAACACGAATCGCACAAATCTCGCAGGACCACACTGCACAAGTAGCTCGCGGATCCCTCATCCTCAGTTTCCCAAGTAATCTCAGTGGCGATCAGTTCGCATCGCTTATAGGCTCTAGAACACAAAACTTGCTCAAGTATATTGATGTATTGCTGCAACGACGGGCTTGCGGTCTTGGACGTGTACGCCGGGTAAAGTCGGCCGTCTTGGCTGTCACTCGCGTGGAGTTGCTGTGAAAGACCCAGCCATCCTTGCCAGTCCCCCCTGAGTCCTGATGCCTCTGGTTGCGACACAACAAGAATGGGTCTTGCAAGCCTCTACAGAAGAGTTGGAGGCGTGACTACTCGACGATTCAAGCTCTGAAGGCAATTCGATGATCGTCAGACTGCTGTGGCTCGGTACCGTGGAAGACGACTCGAATGTCGTTGGGCTACCCTCCTCGGCCACGATAGTCTCGACCTGTACGCCGAAGCATGATGTCGGTCTTCAGAAATATTGAGCTCGCGAAACGTATGAATTACAGCACGAGGTAGGGCCGTGGGCTCAATAACTGGCCGAAGGTGTGTCTTTTATGTGGTTGCGAAGCCTGCGATTTCCTACCTAAAGCGGTTTCTTGTTCCCTTTTTCGAATTTGCTGCAACAGGTCATCTCTTCGAATATGTCGACCTTCGTCATTGGACTGCGGAGGTCGACCTGTATACCTCGAATTTCAAGCCCGCTGCATGTCGTGTTCCTATATCCTTCTGCTGGCCGAAACACTTGAGTTTGCAAAGCCCTTCGACAATGTTGGCTGGCTACGAGACGAGCGCTCGCGAGTATGTATTCAGAAGCTTGTTCAAGAAAGCTAGTGACAGCTTTGACGCCGAGAATTACGACGAGAGCGAGCGCTTGTGTCGTTTACTTCTGACCTATACTGACCTCAGCACTTTCCACAAGGCAGGATGTCATCGTATGCTCTCACTGGGTGACCAAGATTTTCTGTACGTCCAGATCCATACCTAGGTCGCGTCCAGACTAACGAGCGAACCAGCTGGCATGCTGAACAGGCCCTCGAATTGTACCAGCATCTCTTCTATCCGAATGGTGAATCCACTGGAGACTATCTTCTCAGCGACTCCCAACTCGAGGCACGTAACAACATTCTCGAGGATGCTCGTCGGAACCTCTCCCAGGCTGAACAGGATCATGTCGAAATACAATGCGATTTTGCAGAGCGAGTCGAGCGATTCAGAGCCATATATGGATACGAACCTACGGCGAAAGATGTTAGCAGAGCTTGCTTAAATCGACATAGCAAGAAGTATCTCCTGGCTGTCGATGGTTCTGCACAGGACTACGAATCCTTCATTGAACATACTTTTGGGATAACGCAAAAGGACGAGAACAGGAAAGACGGTGATGCAGGGACTGCACGCAAAATATAGTACTCACTATATTAGTCATCGTGCTATTTGGAGAGGTCGCGGTTCTGCTGAACACGACGCTTGGCATAGTGATTCTCGAGTGCCTGGCGCTTAGCAGTGTGAACCATCTCTTTCACTTGCTCGGAGGGCTTAGGGTCGGGAGTATCGGCGAATGATGGGAATTCGAACTGTCGATGAATGTCAGCATCGTCTCTTGCTGGTGTATGCGCCGAGGGCTACCGAGCATCGACTCCATACGCAGTGTCATACAGCCTTCAAAGATGCATAATTGCTCCTGAGGCAGGTTTATGTCCATGAGAGATCGCCAAAATTATAACTCTCGGTGGAAGTCTTTGTGTTCTTGTGTCCCACGATAATGCGCGCCACAGCACCGAGACGATCGGCCTCAAGCAATTAAGGAAGAATCACTTACCACAACGCCCCTCTATTTCAACCGGTATTCGACCTCTTCGTCAATCATCTCCGAGACCGGTTTGTTCGCCCAGGCCTCTGCTAATGCGTCCAGAGGAGCGCGAAAATTCGGCCAAGACTCTCGGATCATAGCGGTCGGGATGTTTACTACAGCACTCGTACAGGTGCTCAGCCTCATGGCGACGAGCTTCGCCATACTCCCAGTCACCCATCAACTCGCACAGCGTTCCAAGGGTCTTGAGTCTTGGGAAAGGGGCCATGTCGTAGTCCTCGATCAGATCGTAGAGGATCTCGACGCACTCGTCCAGCGAGTCTTGGTCATAGAGCTCGTCGGCTCTGACAAGTCGCTTGTAGACAAACTCGGCGTGTTTGGCCGATTTTGGAAGGGATGGCTCCATGATGCAATGAATCTGATGTTGATGAGATGGCGTGGGGTTTTCATTGAGCGGAGAGTGGAGTTGAAAGCGCGTAGCGCGAAGTGAGCTGTTCTTGAAATCTACCACAAAATTGTACTCTGATTCCAACTCGACTTAGCTGCTGCCTGCAAGTGAACGAAAGAACTTCTTGACGGCCTATCGAATGCAGTCGAAGAACAGCAGAAATTGGTGAAGATAATTTTGGTTTTCGTTTCATTTTGTGATAGCGTAAATATACATTAAATCTGGTCGTTTTTGGTCATGACCATTCCCTCATTCTATAGTTCCATATCCATCCATGCAAGAGCCTTTTCGTCTATAATACTTTCATACATCCCATGTCTGCCCTCCTAGCTGGAGATTTACAGAAGGTAAGCAGCAACACCGATAACACCGGCAAGAGCTGCTGAGACACCAGTCTTGGAGGCAGCACCGGTGTAAGCGACAGGGGTGTGAGTAGTAGTAGCGTTCTTGCCAACAGTAGTGCCATTGGAGTAAGTGTAGCCACCAGTGCTGGCGGCAACAACAGCGCTCAGAGTGCTGGAGGCGGAAGAAGAGGCAGAAGCAACGAGAATGTTGGGGTCAGTGATGGGGTCGTTCTGACTACCGTAGCAAGTGGCAGCAAGCGAAGAGCAAGTCTCGACATTGGCAAACTGGTTGGTTTGACACGAAGCTCTGATCGAGCTACAAGAGTCTTTGCAGGATGTCAGCTCTGCGCGACATTCCGAGTCAGACTTTGTGCAGGCATTGAAGGCATCGGAGCATGACTGTCTGGTCCATTGGGTACCGTTGTAGTAGCAGGCGCCCTGCAGTGAGTTGCAGAAGGAGGTATCAGCAGATCCAGAGACGAGGCAAGTCGCTCCGATTGTCGTGCATGCGTCCTTGAAATTGGTGAGTTCAGCGTTGCAGGTTGTCACATTGGTGCCAGCATTAAGGCAGTTCTGGTATTTGGCCACGGTGTCAAGGGTGATGACATCCGAGGTCGAGTAGTAGCATGCATTGTATTGCGCAGTGCATGCAGCAACGTCAGCAGTACCAGACGAGAGGCACGCGCTGTTGATGTTGGTGCAACTATCTCTGGAAGGATATTAGTACATGACTGAATATAGGATGAGGTTGACTCACTTGCAGACAGCGTTCTGGGCGTTGCAGATGGCTTCAGATTGACCGGATTCACCACACTTGATGTACTTGGCAACACAGTCCGAACCACCAGGGACAACGGGGAAGGTGTTCAAGCAAGAGTTGTAGCTCTTCTGGCAGACAGCTGATCCGGCACCGCTCTGGTTGCATTTATCATTTTGGACTGCACAGTCGTTCTTGCAAGAAGCGAGCTCGGAGGTGCAAGTGGGTTCATCCTTGGTAAGAAGACATGAATCGTAGCTAGAGACGCAATCTTGGGCAACGGCAAGAGCAGCCAGGGAAAGGATAGCAGTGGCGTATCTCATATCTGCGGTATGGCGTGGAAAGAGGCTGGAAATGGCAGATGTTCAGATGCAAGAGAAGGACGTAGGAGAATAAGAACGCAGGGGTATCCAAGTCTTCTAATATGGGGGACAAGCAGAAAGTTTCAGGAAAAAGATGGCGGGGGATATAGGAGTAGCTATATTACCTGCCACCAGAGTGGATCGTGAGCATGGGAGGTCCACGGAAGCCTCTCTGCAAGCCATGCCAAACCAAGGCACTGGTGGTTCCCAACTTTACAGCTAGCAACGCTAGACGAGCTCGGAGCTGTTGGATAGATTGAGAAAAATATGGATGCTTGAGTTTCGAAATAGAACATCGCACGGACGGAGGATTGGTCTTGGGGCATTTTTCCTCGTATAAGACTGACAACGGGTCTTGATGTCGCGCTTTCCTACCAAGAACACGACCGTATCTTGACCGTTCACAAATGAGTTGTCGGTGTTGATTCGTATTCTTTGATGAATTCTTGGAGTGTTCAGGAGACCATCAGGGAAAAACAGACTTCTGTACCTTGCATGTAAACAGGGAGGATGCTCAAGCTAGTCTCATATCGCTAGCTCAGGAGTGGGTTCCCAGCCTCATGCTCCCCAGGTTCTCGCTAGGGCTTGCGTGTTTTTTCCGCTGACAGAACGCCGAGTCATGGCTTCCGACAGCCTCAATCCTTTGCGATCCTGATTCCTTCCAATATTTTGTCCACTTCTTTGCTGAGAACTTTGCTGGCGCTTCTGCGGTGAGTATTTGTGTCTCCGGCATAGAGTGCGCGTCCGTTTGTGTTTCAACGCATCGCACCGTTGTGTAGAAAAAACGGTGCAGGGCAGAGCAAGACACAACAAAGGAGCTGAGCTTGGCAAGTTTGTTTTCCCTTTGATGTGGGGAGATCGCTTGGAAGGGTGGCCGGCTCCTCTGCCAACACAGTACGCGCCGGTTGTCTTTTGCGACCAACCGCGTTCATGACGCATCCTTGTCTGTTCAATCCTCTTCGCTGGCCGCGCTAGAACGGATCGTGTTCGTCGCTTTGCTATTCATGTACCTTGCAAATGCCGGTCACGAGTGTGCAAGAATAGACACCACTCAAGATAGAAACACGCGACACGAGCTTGAAGGATGCAAGGAACGAGTCGCGCAGCAGACTTGGCAGGCGCCCGAGGGATCCGATGAATCATCTTCCTTTGGCAACCTGACGACAATCTGTCTCTGAACAATGCTTGAGGATAGACACCTCCGATGAGATACCTTTGCGACGATACGTAATGGCTGGACTGGACGTGAAATCTGACACCGATAAGAGCAGCAGCAAGATGCTCGGAGCCATAAACAAGCGCAATATCAATGCTACTTTACGCCGCAATATGGATGATTACATCGATAATGCTGCAAATTGCTGGCGGTCCATCCTTTTCCATCGCAACATCAATGGAACCCCAACCAAAGTCCATCTCATGCCGCTACTGCCATATCCCGCGAGTATAGTATTCGCAGGCGCCAGTCCAGGATACTGCTTTTCGTAGAGCATGAGACCGAATGGTAAAAGCCTGCCTCTACCTGTGTCATTGAACATCTACCAGTAGGTGTTAAACCAAGATCACCTGGTGCCGTACACGTCTCGGTAACATTGTGCCAGGCTAGGGCAACTAACATCTTGTCAGCTCGGAAAGCACATTCATCGTCGCACTCAAACGTACTAAACAGACTCTTGACCGAATATTATATGCCAGAGATACTCGAACACACGCCCGACAACTTGGTCATCCAGTTGGGTATTCATCAACCACGCATGCATGCGAATATATTCTTCCTTGGTCCTCTGAAGTATCTGCTGCTTTGACACTGCGAATTGTGCACAACAGGCTACGCCGACGACTTCTGGAACATCGTCGTTGTGAAATATTTCTCTCCAAGCAGCAGCGAATACTGCTTCAGTCGTCTTACCCTCGTCCTTGGGCTCTCGTAATGGTCGTACTTCATCTGGACAGCCAGGATCTGGCAAACATCTCAGGTTGGCATAGCCGTTCCTTTGGACGAAGTCGATGTTCAACGAGTTCAGACTCTCGACATTAGAGTGACGCGGTGCATCAGTATGCCATGCTCTCAGCCAACCAAACTCGTGCGAATGTACAAATGCGACTGTCGTATGGAGCGATTCATAATTCTGGATGATATGGGTCAGGTAAGCATTCGCTTCTCTGCCTTTATTGCGGTCTGTGTGAAATGGCATGGTGGTGTTGTTATCGACAGTATACACGAAAGCATCCCATCTATGGAGTTTAGTTGTTGCCCATGCTACGTCGTCGGTCGAGAGAGCGCCCATCACCACGACCTTGTCATTCGGTAGCTCAGAGGCCTCATCCTTAGCAGTCGACAGATCAGTCTTGGGAGGATGACTGTCTTCTGCAGTGTCACCTTTTTGAGGTATGTGAAAACCAGGAGCTGATCGGCTGAAAGAATCGTCTCCAGATGTTATGGTCGTTGAAGCATGAGTATTTGCTTGTGGTGTCTGTCGCAGTATGGCGTTGAGATGTGGAAGGTCTGAGATTTGGTAGTAGAAGCAGGTGATTGTCATCAAAGCTAAGGCTGCGACGAGTATCCGCAATGCTGAATGCATATCTTCGATGATGGTAAAGAGTCAAGCAACACAAAGATCTGCCTATAGATGATCAAGCTTTCAAGACAAGTGAACAAGAGGAGACAAGCTTTTGCATTTTTGGAGATTCGCAATCTTGTTACGTGCGTTTCACAGCCCAAAAAAAAAGTGGATGCTTTTCAGGCCGCGAGATGTTACGACTACAGGGTATGCTTAGTAGCTCGAATCGATACAGCAACCAATATGGGTGAGCTATAAAGACGACTTTGTTCATACCATCGATTTGTTGTAAACTTCTGGTATTTAGACATGTCTGGGTTCTTTTTGCGGTTTTGAGACCGAACTCTTGTAGTCTTCTTGCTAGGCCTTCGCGTCATAACCAGCGAGGTGACACCGAGGCGCGTTTCTGGAGTTTGTAGACTGATCGAGACAGGAAGCACTTTCCCAAACGGCCTTCTATCCTCACTCACATCCCAAAAAACTTTCTAGGTGATTACAATGGGCAAGAAATTGAGCGAGGAAGGAAGAGAAGATGTATAGAATGCAGGTCAGGGTGATGCCATCATCTGACCCAAAAAGGTAAGTGACGATCATCTTATCTCATTCCCGAGAATCGCCGCACTGTGTTGATGACATATGCGGCATAGCAACTTCTAGAACAGTCATTGTTTTTGGAGTTGGGTTATGTTCTCGCCTCGCCTTCTTGGACTCGTTCACATCAAATCATGAGTAATGAATTGCAGTGGTCAGGACAATTCACAGCGTCTTCTGCAACTAACTTGGCCGGAGACAAGATCGTCTTGCCGCAATCTGCTCTTGAACAGTTACTCTCAGCTGCCTCAGTAGCTGCAGCCGCCACAGAACAACCCGACAACGACTTCCACAACTATTCCTCATACTACGCTGGCTCACAACGATCATCACGCCGCCCCGACGAATCCAAGAACCAATTACCACATCCCCTCACTTTCCGTCTTGTTAATGCAAACAATGGTCGCGTGGTCTATGCAGGCATCCGCGAGTTCTCGGCTGAAGAAGGTTGCGCAACGCTGAGTCCCTTCCTCAGTAAAGCCCTCGACCTGAAAGAAGATGGAGCACCAGTCACAATACACGCCCGACAAATACCAAAGGGCACTTTCGTCAAATTAAGACCGCTCGAGGCTGGATACGACCCTGACGACTGGAAAGCGCTTTTGGAACAGCATCTACGCTCAAATTATACCACTTTGACTCGTGGTGAAGTTTTGGTCGTGCCCGGTCCAGCAAGAGAAGAGTTCCGCTTCCTCGTTGACTCGTTCCAGCCAGAGTCGGATGCCGTCTGTGTAGTAGACACTGATCTTGAGGTCGATATCGAAGCGCTGAATGAAGAACAAGCAAGAGAGACCCTGGCAAAGATTGCACAGAAAATACAGAATAAGCAACATAGCGGCGAAGGTAGTTCTGCTGGTGGAGACCTGGACGTTTTCAATATTTACCAAGGTCAAATTGCGCCAGGAGATTACGTTGACTATCAGTTGCCGTCATGGCCAAGGTCGCAGTCACTCGAGATTGAGCTTGAAGGCGCCGAGCCAGAGGATGATATCGATTTATTGGTATCACCCTTCTCTGCACGCCAACGGAATAGACCTCGCATTGACGAACATGTTTTCGGTGACTTCAGTGGTCGCCCTACCAAGAAAATTCGCCTCGAGCCGACAAATGTTGAATTAGAGGATGCAGAGGCACTTTGGGTCACCGTTCATGCTTTCCACGGCGATGATCAGGCTTCTGCTGAACCTCATCAGTTCACTCTGCGCGTGAAGGTAGGAGACTTACATTCCTCCGAGTCCAAAGGAGTCTCTGAACAGCCACCTAATCCGGAAGATGTGCGCTGTAAGAATTGTGGCCAATGGGTGCCTCAACGAACACTCATGCTCCATGAGAACTTCTGTTTGCGCAACAACATCCTCTGTCCTCAAGGCTGTGGCCAAGTCTTTCAAAAGCGTTCCTCAGCATATGAGAAGCACTGGCATTGTCCACACGACACATTCCATGGCAACGGTGTGCTTTCCCAGCAAAAGCATAACCATCTATACCATCCCTCCTCACCTTTCGCATGTCAATCATGCAGCACAACCAGTATCTTCTCTTCTCTTCCTCAACTCGCACATCACAGGACCTCGGTGTGTCCTTCGAAGCCAATCCTGTGCCGCTTCTGCCACTTGACGGTTCCTCAGGAGGGCGATCCTGATGTTCCGAACCCTGAGGCACTCCTTTCAGGTTTGACGCCCCACGAATTGGCGGACGGTAGTAGAACAACAGAATGTCACCTCTGCTCACGGATCGTACGTCTACGAGATATGGATACTCATCTCAAGCATCACGATCTCACTCGCAAGTCGCGCCCCCAACCTCGATTGTGTCGCAACACAGTCTGTGGCCGTACATTGGACGGGACTTCTCATGATGGAAATACCAGAGCAGCCGTCAAAGACACAGGCAACGATATCGGTCTTTGCGCAGCATGCTTCGGACCGCTATATGTCAGCAATTACGATCCGGAAAACAAAGCCCTGAAGCGCAGAATCGAACGTCGATACTTGACTCAGCTTGTGACTGGCTGTGGCAAGTCTTGGTGTCGCAATACGTTTTGCAAGACTGGGCGAACGAACACTGGCGAAGGCGGTGCCGTGAGCACGAAAGATGCTTTGCCCATGATCAAGCCTTTCGTAGATGCGAGTATCTTGCCGGCTGCAGATAAACCATTGCACTTTTGTGTCGACGAGGCTAGTCAGACTAGAAGGGCTCTGGCTGAGATGATGAAGGAGGAACATGGCATGAAGGGTGAAGTGTATTCACTGCCCTGGTGCGTGGGCGCTTTGGAGGCAGAGAACGGACAGGCCGACAAAGCGAGAGAGTGGCTTGTTAATTGGGCTCCGACGACAGCGGAGGAGGGTGCATGATGGCATTCTGAGAATCTTGGTATGATGAATGCATAGATGAGCTTATATTTAGACACGAATTAACGATTTGAAACTTTTGCCTTGTCGAACATGTCGAATGTGCATCGAGGGTCAGGAGGCCTCAAGGCAGCTCTTTCCACAATGCTCTCGGATTCTGCGTGACGAGTCAGGTCAATCTGATCATCAAATCAAAATACAACAGGTGCAACCTTCCAATCCATCTCGTGCTTGCCCTCGTACATAGATGACCCGAAAGATCTTCAATCAGCCTGTTGATCAGATGCCTTCGCTCCACACTCTCCCACGCAAGCCCCACCAACCCCCCGCCTTGGCCGACACCATTGACGGCGATCTACCAAAACTTGACAGGACTCCTCATAGACACAAATATGAGATATAAAGATGTGGAAAGGTCGCAGAGGTGGAGAGATTCACCCTTGCCTCATCAGTGCAATGAGCAATCATGCATACATCGACAGCCCTGTTACCGCTTCTAGCTCAAGTTGTTCTCAGTGCAACAACACGTTTTACTCCGAGAGCATACAATATATCCTTCTCTGCCGATCAGAATCGTTGGCCAAGTGGGTTGCACCTCGCTGTTGATTACTATCCTTCACAATGGCCAGAGTACATGTGGGAGCCAGATATCGCCGCTATGAAGGATGCCAGCATAAGTTATGTTCGCATCAGTGAATTTGACTGGGAAGTTCTGGAGCCCGAGGAGGGCGTATACAACTGGACCTTGCTGGATACTACTTTGGACCTATTTGGCAAATATGGACTGAAAGCTATCGTTGGCACGCCGACGGCAGCTCCACCCAACTGGTTGATTGAGAAGTAAGACGTCAATTTTGTGGATCGGATGAATCAGACTTTGATTTTTGGGTCGAGGAGACATTATAGCTTCTCGTCTTTTGACTATAGGAAGTTGAGTAAGGGAATTACGCAGAAGCTGGCTCAGAGATATGGCAATAACTCGAATATCGTTGCCTGGCAGTTGGATAATGAGTTTGGCTGTCATGATACAGTCCGCTCGTATGACCACAACGCTATAACCAGATTCAGGACTTGGCTTAAGGAGAAGTACGGGACCATCGAGAATATGAATCAAGCCCAAGGTCGTGGTTTCTGGAGTTCCCAATACGTCAGTTTTGATACCGTTCAACCACCTTTCTTGAACGTGTACATGCCTAATCAAGCTCAACTTCTGGACTGGTATACATTTAGTTCAGACATGGTGATCGAGTTTGCCAAAGAACAAGCTGAGATTATCAGACAACATGCCCCCAGTCATGCCATCACCACCAACTTTATGGTTAGCTTTACGGATTTTGACCATTTCAAGTTTAACCGTGAAGTCGGTCTTGACTTTACAACTTTTGACAACTATCCTCTAGCTGGGGTGACTAGTGGCGCTGAGTATTTGCGTACTGGATTGCCGGATTTACAGGCTATGCAACATGCACTCTACCGTGGTATTGCTGGATCTGCTCATGGAAGCAACCATGGACCTTTTGGAGTCATGGAAATGCAACCTGGTGTGTTGAACTGGAACACTTATCGTGTTTCTCCACTGCAAGGTATGGTACGTCTGTGGACACTCGAGACTTTTGCCGCCAAAGGCGATTTGGTGAATTATTTTCGCTGGAGACAGGTTCCTTATGCGCAGGAGCAAACGCTTTCTGGACTTTTTGTGTCGGATAATACTCCTGATGAAGGATTTGGCGAGACTCAGGTTGTAGCTTTGGAAGACCTGCCAGCGCTGCGAGCAGCTATGGACACAGAAGAGACACAAGCAAGTGTAGCTTTGGTGTTTGACTACACCTCCGTCTGGGTCTGGAATATTGAACCTTATTCCGGAACTTACACCCCTTCAGACTCGCAGTTCGAGAACATCGGGTTGGGATACTTGGACGTAGTGTCATCTTTCTACACTTCTCTACGGCGTCTAGGTCTTAATGTGGATATCATCTCCCCTGAGCAGGACTTGAGCCAGTATAAAATGTTGATTGTACCCAGTCTCCCCATCATCCCCGCCGCCTTCAACACAGCTTTGTCCTCCTTCAATGGCACAGTAATCTTTGGCCCTCACTCTGGCTCCCGAACTCCTGAGTTTGCTTATCCACCTGGATTAACGCCTTCAGCTGGAACTCTACGCAACAACCTACCCATGAAAGTCACAAGAGTGGAAACACCTCCATCATACGCAAACAGCGGTGTCTCCTATTTATCCAAAACCTACAATATCTCTTTGTGGGAAGAAAGTATCATTTGCAGTAGAGATAACAACACTAGCAACGTTGTTATTACATCTACATCTCAACATAGAAAAGGCAAACCTGCTGCTTGCGAGAAGAATGGATTTCATTACTTGGCTTTTAATCCTCCTGTTGACCTATTGGTTTCTTACATCGGTGACGTGGCGAGGAAAGCAGGAGTCAAAGATGTATTTGGTAGACTTGCTGATAAGGAAAATGATTTAGGAGGCAATTTGAGGATCTTGGAACGAGGAGGGTTGGTGTGGGCGTTCAATTATGGAGCTGAGGATATTGAGGTACCGAAGGTGGACGGAAAAGTGGTGTTGGGAGGTAATGGTACGGTGATTGAAGGAGCGGGTGTCAAGGCGTGGAAAATGTGACGAGGAAGGTCCTCAAAGAAATGGCAGAATGGAAAGAGGCATCAAGATAAAGACAATCCCTGCTGAGAAGAAAGAATATTGAAGATTGCCGATCCTCACTTGATTGATGCAATACAGTAGAGATAAGATTATCACAATAAAAAGAGAAGCGAAAGACTGCCACAGGGTAGCAGCGAAAGAAGTTAGAGAAAAAAAAAAAGAACCCTCTAAAGGTCAGTTGCTTGCTTGCCGTGACCATATTTCTGAATTTATATTCTATCCATCTACGAATGCGTCCATTCAGGCTTCTTCTTGTTAGCAAAAGCATTCATTCCAATCTTCTGATCCTGACTTCCAAACAATCCATGGAAGAGTCTTCTCTCAAACTCAACACCCTCTCTAAGACCCAAATCTTGACTCTTGTTGACAGCCTCCTTGCAAGCCTTGACCGCAATCTTGGAGTAACTTGCAATCTTAGCCGCTGTATCCAATGCACCTTCCACACAGGCATCGGCGTCTTCGAAGCACTTGGCCACTAAGCCCCACTGCTCAGCCTTCTCGCCGGAGAAGTTGTCGCCCGTAAGAATAATTTCCATGGCTTTTGCTTTGCCCACCGCACGAGTGAGTCTTTGCGTTCCTCCCGCACCAGGAAGAATGCCCAACTTGATTTCCGGCTGGCCGAAAGTAGCACTCTTGGATGCATAAAGAATATCACACATCATAGCAAGTTCGCAACCACCTCCAAGGGCATACCCGTTCACAGCACCAATAACAGGTTTCTTGATTTGAGTGAGGTTGGACCAGGATTCGATAAAGTCGTTTCCGTAAGCGTCGGCAAAGGTCTTGGGGGCCATTTCCTTGATGTCGGCGCCGGCGGCAAAGGCTTTGGGCGAGCCGGTCAGGACGATGGCGGCAATGGAGGGGTCTTTGTCGAGGGCCGAGGTGCAGGTGTTGAGTTCGTTGATCAGAGGGGAGAAGAGGGCGTTTAGGGCTTTGGGTCTGTTGAGGGTGACTGTTCGTGTATTGTGTTAGCTATGCTACTATAGATGTTGAACTAAAGAGTTAAACGACGTACTCAGAGCGACACCAGGACGGGGAGTGCTAAGTTGAATGTGCTCATAGTTGTGTTCGGCCGAAGGTGTCGAATAGGGTCGCTGGATGCGTGGAGCGACTGTCTTGACGAAGCGCGAGGGAAAAGGTCTGGCAATTCGTAGACTCTGCATTTTTGCGGTGCTTGGAAGAGCAATTGGGTATCAAAGAACAAGAGATGGAAAATGTCAAGGTTACGGATCAAGGTGCAGCACCGGCTGAAGCTCTCCCCGCGTATGTCATCGGCTGCACTTTTGCCGAGGTGCTTTGTTAAATCCGCCAACTAGCCTTTTCTCCGATGCTCTTTCACCTTCTTACATGCCTCCTTGTAGGGCGCATAATCATCTTGGATGGTTATGTAGAAGTACAATCGTAGTAAGGTCATGATATAGAAGCTCTACTCAGAGTCCGAGTCATCGAACGCGGCCAAACTCTCCCTTTTCTTCTCTTTCGCTGTCTCAGCACCAGATGACTTCGTTCCTCCCAGTGAGAACTTATTCGAAGAAACATTGCTTCCACCGAGCGAAAAGTCCATAGCAGGAGAGACTTTCTTGGTCTCCTCAGCAGCTGCTGGAGCAGCTGGTGCTGCATTGAGCGACATGGAGAAATTGGACAGCTTGGGTGCTGGTTTCGGTGGTGGTGCTTCACCATCTGCAGTTGCAAGAATGAGATCTGCCGCCGAAGGTCGTGAAGGCTGACGCTTAATTGCCTGTTGGACCTGTGGTGCTTGTACTGGTTGTGATACTGTTTCCTGAGCCACCACTTCTGGTGTAGCAGCAGCACTCTCAGCCTCGCCATTCTTCCAACGCTTCTTGAGCTCTTCTTCCCTCTCCTGCTTCTCCTGCTCATCTTTGATTCTTTGCTCTGCATCCGTTAGCGGTGGGGATAAGAACACTTCTTTGAACCTCCGGTGGCTTTCTGGTGCGAAAATGCTTTCACGCTCCCAGCAGTCTAGAACAACCGTGATACGACTCTTCCACTGTTCACCGCGAACACGGCCCCATCCGTGCGGTTTGGGCATGCGACCAAGCTTCTCGAATATTTGACGTGAGGTGAGAGCAGATTCGAACAACGATCGGTACTTCCAGGCATCACGCACGCCGGATACTGATGTTGCAGCCAAGGCGTCGCTTATGACATAGAGACCGACCAGTTGTGCGCCAGAGATATCCTTACCAGACGAGTTTTCTGGTTTGACCTCATTCTCCTGGTCGACTTGCATTTCGGTTGTGTCTTTTGAGGCGGCCTCGTCAACATCCGCATCGTCATTGCCACCACCTAACATGCCGAAAGAAGCTCGAGGCCCATCAACTTCAGGATCGTAGGTATCTTCATCGTCGTTCTCTCTGTCTTCGTCCTCATTTCCAGGACGATCGATCTTATAATTGACCGAAAAGCGGAAAGGATTCTCGAGATTCGATACAAGCATGTCGACGACTTCTTCAGCACCTTGACCCGAGAATTTGATGACCAAATCAGTGACGGCCTGCACATCACCTTCACAGAGGTACCCAGTGCTGTCAGGTAAGTGATTCAGGAAGAAAGTCAATTTGGCTTTTCGATAGGGATTCAAGTATCTTGGTCGTGACACGCTCGGGTCTTCTGGAGCCACGCCTTGATTTTGAATAATATGATCATCTTCGTCATCAGTGTCGAGATCTGAAGAGACATAGCCAGAATCCGACATGAGGTCAGCAAGGTTTTGTGCGTGCTCATATCTAGGTTTCTCAGGTGGAGGTACCCAGAAGGGACCGTCATCAAATAGGCGGACGTGGTTGTTCATGCGAGCAAGCTCATCCAGCATAGACCATTGATAGGAATCTTGACTAGCATTTGCAGGTGGTTGAGAGGCATAGTACTGGTATACAAGCCAGCGATACCAGACATGGCCTTGACTGGTGTTGTCGAATAACCAAGCCCAATGCTCGCCATGCTGGACATCTGGCTGAGCCATGAGTAAGCATTCCCACTCAGGGCCGTATGTTATGAGTTTTTCGACAGTCTTGTTGATGATGGCGAGCTGCTTGAGATCTGATGGCGGAGTTACATTGACGACCAGAGGAGCAGGACCTTGGTGGCGTAATTGTGGTGGCAGAGACTCCGGGGGTGGAGCGTTGCGGAAGTTATGTGAAGGAGGGGGGTCGCGAGGCATCTGTTTGGCACCGAAAGGCTGTACTGGGATAGCGGATGTGGCGGTATGTAGAACGGAAGAAACGGACGAGGAGATTGTGATGTGTTTGGAGATGCTGAGGTAGGAGCCGAAGCCCAAGTATTTCTGCTGGAGAGCATTGACGGCGCTGTCGATATCGCTGGAGGCCGTGTCGGGAGTGAGAGCAACAACGGCAGTCAAGGTGTGAGCAGTAGACGAGGGAGCAAAGGCGATTTCGTCGAGTTTCAGGTTCTTGGGTAACCAGCTTCGTATCGTCGCTTCGGTCGTGTTGCGTGGTAGTGATGACAATAGCATAGTCGGGCGTTTGACAGCAGCCTCTGGACTCGCTCTACTGTCTCGCTGCCTTCTTTCTCTTTCTCGTTCTTGTTCCAATTCCCTCTTGCGCTTCAAGGATAGTGGGGCAGGGCCGGGTGGTGGACCCAGGGTGCCTGGTCCACTGCTCCTCATGGGAGCTCCTCTGGTATAGCCACCTGCATCTCCAGCTCTTGCGCCGCCGTATGCGCTGCGACCAGCAGCTACTTGAGCGACAAAGTCATCCTCATCTTCGTCGGCGAATGAGTCCTCGAATTCTCTCAGGGCAGCTCTGTTCTCGGCTTCTTCTCGAATTCGTTTCGCTTCAGCTTCTTGTCGCTGCTTTTCGAAGACGGACACTTTCTTAGGCGCGTTCAGTTTGGACGACAGATCCGGCATGCCCTTGTCTGACATGTTGTATGTGTGTTGAAGATGTTGGCGCAACTGCTCAATCTCGCAACTTCTTGTCCCTCCATTGAACCCTTGATCCAAGCGTCAAGCCTCTTTTGTGGGGTAATCTCTATATCTTCCTATACCGTTCCACGCGATGCCATCAACCTTGCCATCATCACATCAAACAAGGCATCATGGCCGATACCAACAATTTGTTACGGTTCTTGACGGCCGAGGCAAAGCTTCCTCTGGCCGCTGCCATCGCTCAAGCCGCAGGTCTTCAGAAGGCAAATCTAGTCACGTACGTGTCAACCATTTTCTTCTATCGACTCTCGTCATCTTGGCATTTGTGTGAGCCCAGTGGATTCACGGACCTGTATTTTTGCCATGGTCGCAATTCACAATCCTGACGCTTCAACAGCATCGAGGATCTTGCCAAAACCGACTTTGACACTCTCAAAGCAGCTTCCGCCACCGACAAAGCTGCGAAAGCCACTTTAGCTGCTGCAAAGCGTGTCTCTATCAAACGCAAAAGAGGCCTCCCTGAGTCTTCTACTCCACTGTCTTCCAAGCGTGCCAAAGCCGACCCTGCCGAAATCAAGTCTCCAGCCGATGTAGAAGCTTCGCTGACCTTACCTGTGTCTGACCTCGCTGAAGACGAGCTTGCGAACATTGCACTTATCACTAACCGTGCTCCTTTATTACTGGCATTTGCTGCCACTCTAATCAAGTACACTATGCCTGAACAACCCACTTCCTCACGTCTGAGTCTTGCTCAGGCCGTAACTTCTTTGAATGCACAAGCCAAAGCCGCCAACATTGGCCTTGCAAACTCAACCGCAGAGAAAGAAGGTTGGGGTCAGGGCCAGTCGCTCGTTCGGGTCATGTCTAGGGACGTCCGCGTCTTGAAGCGCTGGGGATATGATTGGAAACCAGATACAAAAGATTCTTCAAAGGACATCAAGACAGAAGTTTCAGACCAGAAACCTACGACTGGCGAGCTCGATGCCCCGTCTGCAGAAGAGTCACCTGCACTGCTCGCGCTCGACCTGGAGCAGCTGAAGCGTCTAGATGGTCCTCCAATTGTCTCTGCATCTGCAAGCACAGCCGGTCTGCCAGTATATCACGCAGACTCTGCACGAAGCTATATCATGAGAGCTTTTGATTCTGTCTACGACGATGAACCCGAGACGAAGAAAAAGAAGAGACCAGCGGCTGAGCTTGCCGCGGAGCGCGAGGCGAATCTAGGACACCTCATCAGGGCGCTGGACCTGTTGTTTCAGTCGTGGTCCACCGTAATCAGCTCAGATGATCTAGACAAACGTGCTTGGAGTTGGTATGTCAAAGTACGACCACAAGTTGAAGCAGGTCGTGCTGGTTGGGGGGCAAAAGGTCAAGTCAAGCTCAAGGATATCTTGGAACTAAGGCGACCTGATTGAAAGCTTCACACTTGACAAACAGAAAAAGTATCACGCGTAGAGTTGAGTTGTGGCTCTTACAAAGAGGATTATGCTATTAATAGATCTAACCTTGCTTGAAGATACCTGCATATGCGCTCAATGCAGGCGCACCACCAAGGTGCGCATACAAGACTTTGCTTCCTTCCGGGAACTCGCCCTTCTTGACCATCTGGATCAAGCCGTCCATACTCTTGCCCTCATAAACGGGGTCAGTCAACATTCCTTCAGTCCTGGCAGCAAGTCTGATAGCTTCCATCGTACCATCGTTTGGCAGGCCATACTCGGGTCCACCAAATCGTGTGTCCAGAACGACGTCCTCGGCTGTGATCTCGCGACCTAGTTCGACAAGCTCTGCGGTGTTCTGAGCAATTCTCAAAATCTGCGCGTGGGTCTTTTCGGGCTTTGCGGAAGCGTCGATACCGATGACCCTTTGGGCCCTGCCATCAGAGGCAAACCCAACGACCATACCAGCCTGAGTAGATCCAGTGACTGCACAAACAACAATGTAGTCGAACTTGAATCCCAGTTCTTTCTCCTGCTCCATGACTTCCTGAGCGAATCCTACGAATCCAAGACCTCCGTACTTGTGCTCTGAACAACCAGCAGGAATAGGATACGGCTTTCCACCTTTATCCTTGATCTCCTGCATGGCTTCTTCCCACGAAGGTCTGATACCGATGTCAAATCCAGCCTCGTTGAGTCGCACATCCGCACCCATGATTCTGCTCAACTCAATGTTTCCAACACGGTCATACACAGAATCATTGTAATTGACCCAATTCTCCTGCACCAGCACACACTTCATACCCAGTTTGGCAGCTACAGCAGCTACCTGACGGGTCTGGTTTGACTGCACACCACCAATTGAGACCAGTGTATCATAACCACCTGAAATAGCTTCAGGGATTACATACTCGAGTTTTCGGGTTTTGTTGCCGCCGAAGGCGAGGCCCGAGTTGCAGTCTTCGCGTTTTGCGTAGATTTGAACTTTGTTGCCTAGAGCTTCGGAGAGACGGGGTAGGTGTTGGATTGGTGTGGGTGTGCCAAAGGTGAGTTGTTCTTTTTGGAACTTGTCGAGTCTCATGGTGATGAATCGTTTCGTTGTGGATGATGATATGCTCGAGTCCTTGTTCTGCAATGAGATGATCAAATGTTGAATATGCTTTTCCTGAGGGAGAAGATTTGAAGAAGGATGAGATTGAACTGAATTGAATTGAAGTGGACGAGTATGAGATCTAACTAGTCGCTCCTTTATAATGTTGCCCATCTTGCCCGGTCTTCTAATACCAAGAGATGCACAGGGACTTTGGTGGTCGTCTGCTTGCCCGAAGGTCTCTACCTTCGGACTAGCTTGGCCTATCACCGGTTATCAATCCTTAGACCGATATCGTCGTGTCCAGGGTCCACGTGAAGTTGCCCGCCAGCAGGCCGAGTGTCGCAACATGTCCCGATCTTGGTGTATGCGAGCCTGAAAGAAAGATCCTCGTTGTATCAAGTTCAAACGACAATCACAACAACCAGCAAGTAGTAAAGACGTGTCCTGTGCAAAAACAAGAAAGAAAGCGGAAACCACCAGCGGGCAAAGCAAACACTTTCCTCCAAAAGCAGAAAGTCTTGGCACAACCAATCAACCAGCCAACCAACCAACCAACCACCAAACGCCCGACCACTCTCCTGCTTTGACTCTCTTACAGCAAACAATCCTTAAAAACTTATATAAGGAAAAATTGTTCAGAAGTTTGATGGCGGAAGCAGAATTTCAGAATTCTGCAAAAATGAAACGCAATCTTTTACTCTGCGTTGATGCCTTTGGCACTTTGTTCCGACCTCGCAGTCCTATTGCTGAGCAATATGGTAGTGTGGCTAGGGGTATGGGTGTCAAGATTTCTGATGAGGAAGTTGCGAAGTCATTTAAGAGTGGTGAGTTACGCCCATCGACAAAGAAGTGGGTGTCGGCAGAACGTGGGGAGATTCGGCCCTCGAAGAGTGTTCGAGAGGAAAGAGCCAAGGCTGATGCAAGAGGTATACAGCATTCAAAGAGATATCAAAGGCGTATCCTAATTATGGTAAAAAGACGGATATGGGAGCGAGGCAATGGTGGACTGAGGTACGTGACATTCTCAAATCCCCGGCTCCTTCGCTTTCAGACTCTTCTGCTCATGTTCGCGCTTTTCAATATGATATTGCGTTTTGACTCGCTTCTTGTTTATTTCCCCATTCATCCTCCCATTCAAGCCCATTCTTCTGCTTAGAGCGTTACATACTGACTTTCTCTCTCTCAGGTCATCAACAAAACATTCACACCCCACCATCAGGGACCTCTCCCGACTAACCTCACTTCAACATTGATCAACCGCTTCTGGTGTAAAGACGGCTACACCCTCTTCCCAGACGTCTCCTACCTCCAAAAACTCTCCAATTCACCTCAACGACAGCAAGAAGCTCCATCAAGACTAGTGATTGGCGTCATCACAAACTCAGACGACAGAGTGCCAGACGTATTGACCTCGCTAGGTTTGCGAGTGAATCCTCTACGCTACAACCCTACCATCAAAGACAGCACACAAGAAGTCCGCAAAGCAGAACAAGCACAACACCACCAAAACCCAGACATAGATTTCTGCGTCATGTCTTACGACGTCGGTGTCGAAAAACCCTCGTCTGAAATCTTCGACGCAGCTATCGACACTTTATCTTCTCTTCTTTCTTCCGAGGGCAAGGACTACAAAGAAGAAGATTGGGGCTTGGTATATGTAGGCGATGAAGTGGGGAAAGATGCAAAAGGTGCTGTGATGGCAGGTTGGGATGCTGTGCTATTGGACAGAGGCGGCGAAGTGGATACTGCTTATGAGGGTGATGCACCAGGTGTAGAAGGTTGGATTGAGGTTGAAGGTAAAAAAGTGCCTATTCTTGAGGGCTTTGAGGCTTTGGGGTCCTACGGGGGGCATGAGCTCTTGAAACTTGGGTCGACGTGACAACGATACAGCCGACGGATCCGAGAAATTTCCAAGCTCAGAGCCATGAATTGAGATATATGGAAAACACAGTTGCGTTCAATTCTGCTCGAACAACCTACAATACACAATCAACAGTACCGTACTCGCACCAAATGCGCCTGTGCTACTTAACCGTTTATTGTAGTAGCCACAAGACCAGAACCCTTTTCCGAAGAACCCGAGGAAATACTCTAATAGCATATCTACTCTTATCAAGCTTTGTGATATTATTTATCCTGAATCCCATTTCCCGTTATCCACTTGTGGGATTACTATCTCTGAAAATTCAATTCTCATGACCGAAAAACCTTCTTTAGTAGTGCACGTGGTAGTACAATATAAGCAGATCTGTGATCACGGACACTTTTGGCACGATACTGAACGGTCCAGGCTCCGGTTGATCCTATTCTATGTCAATAAGTCAAAGTGAATGATGGGTCTCGAAGAGAAGAGGGGGAAAAAAAGATAACCATGGGAAGAGCAGATTCCAGCTGCTCGCGTCCCCTATGTTGACAAAACTCTATGCTTGCTACGCTATCAAAAGTATGCCATAAACCAACTCCATGAAAACAAACTTGAGAATCTAGTATAGAAATCAACTACAGAACATAGAGCGAATGAGACAACGATATATCCATGCTAGGTAGCGGCCCTTGGTGGCCAAGAGATGACACCTCCGTTCTGAGGCAGCGCGAAACTTTTGCTCGTAGGTTTGGCGACACCAGCCATAGAGTTTACACTATCGATGCGTTGCTTCGAAATGCCTTGCGGTATGACAGAAGGCGGAAGCAATCTTCCTCCACTAGTCGCCATCTTTGGCGTTGCAGGATTGAACGGTGAAGGCATCATCAGTGTACCACCAGGACTTTGGGGAGGACTGGCCGCATTGACTCTGTCCGGGACCACAGTTGCAACAGACGTGAATGAAGGAGCTGGGGATCCAGGAGTCGGGATTGTGTTGGAGCCCTGCCATTCGAAGAAATGGGTGCCGGCGGGTACATCGTGGATTTCTCCATTGCCCAGATGAATCTCTCCTGATGCGCCTGCGGGAATAGTCACGCCGAGTTGTATCATGCCTGTTGCTGCAAGAACTCTCCAAGAAGATTTGCACGTTCCAAATGGTGTGTCGATACTTCCTGCTGCATGCTCCAGTCCACCACCCACCAGTGGGCGGACCCTGATCTTTCGATATCCTGGCTCAAGTGGTGAGATGCCTATAATGCCTTCTTGCAGCCATCGCGTACATGCTCCAGAAGCAACGTGATTGTGCGATCCTTTAGCTTTTCCAGTCTCATCATACCCAGTCCAGGTCTCCCAAATTGTGGTTGCACCCGCTTCAATCTGGTTCAGAAAGGTGCGTGGTTGGTTGTTGAGGACCAGCTTGTAAGCGACGTCTGCTCTACCGTGTTCGCTGAGGACTCCGAGTAACATGGCCGTGTTGAGGAGAGTGGTCCCGAAGTGATAGTCGCTATCTTCTATGATCTCGACGAGGCGAGCCATTGTGCCGTGGCGAGACGATTCCGGTATCAAGTTGAAGGCCAGCGCCCGCACGTAATCGTCCTGTTTGTCGTCGCCGATGCGGTTGTCAGAGTACACAAAAGCGGCATGCCAGGCTTCACGAACGCGTTCAGAGAGCTGTCTGTAGTGCTCCGCGTCTTGAGTGTATCCCAAAGCTTCAGCAGCTTTTGCTAGAATGGAGGCGTTGTGTGCGAAGTATGCTGTTGCGGTGTTGGGACTGGGAATCATGAGAGATTTGAACAGTCCCCACATGCCACTACCCGGCTCCAACCATTCACCCCACATCTTATCGCTGTCGAGGATGTAGGGTTCGTGTTCGTTGCGTTCACCTTTGTAGTATTTGCCATAGCCACCTCTGCCATTGCGGGCATCTCTCACCATCTGTTCCATCTTTTTCTTCATGCTTCCGTACTGGCGTTTCAAGACTGCTTTGTCGCCGTAGTATAGGTAGATTGTCCAAGGTACCAACACACATGCATCGCCCCAGCCAACAGAAGTTGTGATCAGCGACATCGGCCACCAGAGGCCCTTGTAGACTTGAGCACACTCGCCAGGCAAGAAAGGTGGTACTGTGCCATCCGGCAGCTGCTCGATGGCGATGTTTCTCATCATTCTTCTGAGATACGTCTGCGTGTCCAAAAACATGGTCGATGTAGGAGAGATGGCCTGCAGATCACCCATCCAACAAAGACGTTCTCTAGTCGGACAATCAGTGATGATGTCTGCAAAGTTGCCTCGCATGGAGCGTAAAGCGTTTGCTCGCCATCTCTCCAGACGCCAATCCGAACATGTGAACATGCCAGTCTCGGTCAGATCGGTAGACACGACCAAGGCCTTGATGTCGCTGAAGCTTACATCATCGGAGCCATCGATCTCCGCATAACGGAACCCGTGGCGGGTAAACCAGGGCTGAAATACAGTCTCCTTTCCACCCAGAATACATATATCCTGTTGGGCTCTTCCGTCGATAGGTAACGTGTAGTCCAGATCCAATTCTCCGTCCGGACGAACAGACTCTGAGTATGTGATCGTTACTTTGGTGCCGCTCTTTCCTTTGAGTTTTGCAACCACATAGCCAGCAATATTTTCTCCAAAGTCGAAGATTTGCTTGCCAGAAGGTGAGCGAAGGATGCCTTTTGGTCGAATTCTTGCAATCTCTTTTGTGCGTGGTGTTTCCTCGGCGATGAGTTTGCGCCAATGTTGGGTATGTAATAAACAAGCTCGTGTCCAACGAGAGCCCTGAACTCCTGGTGGGGTAGGCGCGACTGTGCCCAGCCACTCGTCACTGCCGATTCGAAGATCGTGCTCCTCGCCTAGCTTTGGGTCAGAGCGAATGATTGCTCCCGTGCCGGCAAGCCACTCTTCGCTACTGCCGTAGGCTATCCGATTGCCATCTTTGAAGTTGATGTTGACCTGTACAAATGCAGCAACAGGGTCGTGATGTTTTGCTCTCGTATCCCTGAGCCCTAGACTGCCTCTCCAACGTCCGTCACCAACCACAACGCTGAAGTGGTTCAACCCAGGCCTGAGATGTTGCGTGATGTCGTAATCCTGATACTCGACAGCAGAAGTGAGAGGGGTCCAGCGCGGCACACAGCAGTTTCCAGTCAGGTCGGTGCCATTAACGAAAAATCTATACCAACCCAGAGCAGAAACAAATGCTCTGCCCTTGAGCACACCAGCAGGGATTGTCAAGCAACCTCGGAAATACATTGCATGCTCTGTGTCCTCGATAGGCCCAGTAATCCAGTTGGCTTTCCACAACCTTGCATCCATGATTCCCGTTTCGAAAGTAGCAACTCTACTCCACCCTACACACATATCATGCATGTCAAATAACTGCACCCGCCAGTAGTATTTTGTGATAGACTGCAGCAAGCCCCCAGCGTATACGATACCAGATTGATCCTGCGAACGCACGATATCACTGTCCCAGACAATACTCGTGGGCTTGAAAGTGTCGAGGGTTGCAACCTGTAAACGGTAGGCATTTTGGAACACTACAGCATGTTTGTCTGAGGGGTCGCTGGCCTCCAATCTCCAAGAGAATTCCGGACGTGGATTGTCAATTCCAAAGGCTTCGATCAAGTAGTCAGTCCTCAGATGATATGCAGAGGTCGCCATTTTCTTTGTCGCCCCAGACACGCTTCGGTTAAATATGGTCCCTGGAGTGGTTCGTGTCACTTGTATTAAGATTCCACCATCAAACTCAGCCCTCGGGTAATGGATGTAGATGCAAATGTATGTGGTAAAGAGAGTGAAGGAAGGTTCAGGGAAAGCGGGCAGAGTTCAAAACTGCCAGTGTCTTCGAGAGGTTATATTCGAGGAATTGGACCGTCATGGTGAAAAGGGAAAGAATAAGCAATACTCCAACATTGAAACGCAACGGGCACACTATCAGCTCGGCTCAGGTGTACACGCTGCCGCACTGGACTGCCTTACAATCAGACAACGGGTTCCGAGGAAGACCGCAGTCCATCGTTAGGAGTTAGCCGCATTTCGGCTGTCCTTGCGTCAGGGAAAGAAGACCTGTACTTGTGCTGCGACAAACGAGGTCGGAGACGTTGCCCAAAAATCGATAACCGTTCGAACGCTCGGTCTCAGGCGTGGATCCTTTTACGCGTAGTTTCCAGTACCAAGGCGTATTTTTGGGTATGCCTCTCGGCAACGTGCCCGATCCTACAACTGGTGTGCCGACTTTGTGCTTGACTGCCGCTATCTAAGTCAGGAGGTTGATCTAGACAGTCAAAGACAACACTGCTACTCTCACCGAATTCGCACGTGGCACTATTGATCCCAGGGATCTTAACGCAGAATATTTGAAATGCCGAAGATGATGATAAGCATAAACGAAAGTACAGGATGAGAACAAACCGCTCCTCCGAGGTCCAGCAGGCATAACTTGTTCGACTTTCTGCATTGCGGCAAGCCTACCACAAACGAAGCGGTTCCTTCGGGATGAGCAGACGAGGACCCTCTGCCGGCGGTTCCAGGGCAAGAAACCGAGCCAACAAGAGGTTTGCGATCCGGATTGATTTCTGTCGTCTGTCAGGACGGTCGTGGATGATGGCGTCCTCATCGCCGACATCAATGTCAAGCTCTGCCAAAACGCGATTTCCATGCTTGCAACCAGCGATTCTCAAATGATCTAGCACAAGTCTGTCGCCTATCCACCCCATCAAATCCAGCTATGCATTGATGTCCTCGTTGGCTTCGACTGTGTCCAGTATGAGTATATCTAGAGTATGTCTGTTGCGATTCAAAAGTGATAGCAAGGCTCCTAGGTGGACTCTCGTGTTGCGAATTTCAATCCGTCTCAAATCTGTGCATTGCATCAGAGTCTCGAAAGCGGCGAGGTTGTAGTCGAGATACGGTCGTTTGCTTCCTGGCCAGCCATTGATCATCATACGTCCAAATTCGACTTCGTCCTCAAAACAACAAAACCATGATTCTTGAACTGTCTTTTCGCCAGACTCCGACACTGTGAAGCTTCCGATGTCTAAGCCATAGTCGAACCACGCCTGAAACCTGGGTATATGCTGACCAAAATCACCAATTCCAGCGTATGTCAAGCAACAACTAGCTGCCATGCCAAACGGCCTTTCGGTAATTTTTGGATCGTCTCCGTTCCAGCTAAACCATACCTCTTGTTTCATTTCGATTGCGCACAGGAATGCTTCCAAAAGCAGGATCAAAGCATCTCTGAGTGGATGGACTGGGACGGTGTCATTGTGTCCTTGTGCATAAAGTATCTTGAGTATGTCAACGATTGGTTCACGACACTTCCCTAGGTCGGCGACATCTTTCTTCGTCTTGACTGCGCTGCAATCAAAGGAGAACTCTCCGAGGTAGGGTGGCTGTAACGGCTGCTGTATGGCGTGTTTCAGCTTCCGCAGGTCCTTCTTTCTGGGTTTGATGATAAGTGATGTGAAGGGCAACTGAGGTTCGAAAGACTCGTCGTCGATGGGGGTATTCGTCATCTCGGCTTTGGCGACGACTACGTTGAGAATTCCACATGCTCTTTTCCACTCGGGGGTGGACAAGTGGTTGCCTGAGTGTAGAGCGAATTCAGCCGGAGGGCTCCATCTTGGAGTGTTGTTGATCCAAGCGCGTTCTTCATGGGGTTGTTCGGAATCAGATGAATCGCTGCCTGAAGTCGTGTCGCTTCTGTCTTCGGTCGGAGTCTCGCTTACAGCTACATCCTGGAGTCCTTCTACAATGTCCGAGATAATGGCGGCCCGTTCTTCGAGACGGTTTTGAGGGTCCATGGGTAACAAGTGAGATGATTGATGTTGCTGATGAATGTACAGTGTTATGTGACGGTTCAAAAATGGTCGCAGAAGTTGCTGATGTTCGGGGCTTGCACTTTGTGACTTCCACAGTTGTTAAAGACGTCGTAGGGCAGCTGCAGCAATGCACAATACTGTCGTGAAGGACGCAGCTTCCACAGAGAGAACCTCGTCTTAGGCCATCTCGTTGGCCAGACACAGCTTGTGAAAAACAATCGTGCATTTCGATAACCTTATAATGTCCCGTCATCTTCAGCTGAAGGAGCAATCAGTCGCGGTGGAAGCATGACGACGATAGAGTTGGATCATGATCACAGCGAAGATGAGGGCAGATGGATAGTCTCTTCGTGAACTAGTTCCATGGCTAAACTCATACTGGAATAGTAACTGTGCATTTTTTGATAGCTTATGGTATTATGGTATATCATCACCTTACGTAGTTGAAAGGGATTGGATGATAGCGTCATAGAAGTGAAAACAGCTACGTGGTGTTATGATGATGCCAGTCAGCTTTAATCTCACCAAACCAATGGAAAGGAGCAGCGGTAGCAGCTCGAATATCTTCCACAAACCTGGCTACACCACTTCGATTTCCAGCGATGCTACTGAGAGGTCCCAGTAACCCTCGCACGAAAAAATTGAGATGGAAGCTTGCCTTCTCTGCCCTCCCTAGCAACACGGTGGCTAGAGAGGTTTCTGTTTTGTCAAGGATTTGTCATATGGTGACACTGTAAGACCAACAATTCCCAAATCCATACAAGTTTTCGAGAATGCTTGAATGCTCTGTGTCAAATGACTCCCATGTCAGACTTGAAAATGACTTTTTACATAGAGTAATTTAACCACCAGCAGCAAAGAAACATGGATGATCAGCAATGTACATCGACAGAGCTCCACAAAGACAACACCTCAATACCGGGACTCTATCCAGCAGACACAGAGTACTTACTACTCCAGAGCAAATGGTATGATAGCATCATCAAGACCAAGACAGTTGCCGGCGTGGGTACATGCTTCATAACAACAAGCCTCCTAGGAGACGCCCCCTAGCCAATGACAGGAGTGAGTGACGAGTATCTCCAAACAAGACCACATTCATTCTGTTATCACAACACAGGCTGGCTATTAGCAATAGCAAGACATCTTCCAGATCCAAGTGGCTCGTATGTTGGATTAGGTGACTCAAAATTTGCAGCACCACCAACCGAAGTTGCAAATGCTGTTGAGTGTAAAGTAGTGTAGTGCAGGCCCGAAGAGATACTGCCACGAAGTTATGAATTTGAGAACAACGTAACTCAGAGAAGCTTGGGTAAACCTACCGACTGAACTCCGTCGCAAATCCAGTACAATGCTCAAATTCTACCTCCTTAAATCTTAGTCAACCCAGTAGAAAAGGTTGCTCAAAATATAAGTGATGCGAGCGGCCAACCACAGCGAAACGCCAATTGGGATGTGCATTGCAAGACTTTGACAGAGCATGATTTGAAGGCACCATGGACTCTTCAAAGAAGGAAATGATGCTTCTCTGGGCTTGACAAAGGGATAGCCCCGTCGCAGTGAATACATGACTTGCGAGCACATGCTACATTGGAACTCCTTGGAGATCCACATGGCGATTGTTATAGCTGCATTCAGTCAGTCGAGTATCTGTTTTGACACAGGAAAGACAACTTTCCATGTCAAGTCGGGGAGGAGAGATGTCGAGGAACAATATCTCCCACACCAAAGCACAGCAGAACCATGAGCTATCAAAAAACACATTTGCTTTTCACATCTGGGGGGGTGGCCACAGAAACTTCCTGAAAAGTGTCGTGCATTCCCATAGTCAACTGTGACGGTATCCGAACATGAAAATGATTGAGCGCAGCCCGGCTCTATTCAAGACTCATGTTATTTCGTGAGACCATGGGCTGCTTGGATCTGAAACATCTTCATTATCAAGTCGTGTCTGAACGCCGAAATGTTATCTGCCTCAAAGCTTCGAGTCAGTATCCTTGTTGTGACGGTAATCGTAGTGCCAATCTCCTCTTGCCAGATCGGCTCTGACTCCATAATTCTCCTCTGCGTCCTCGACAATCTGCATATCCAGATCGACAACAGCCATACCCTCTGCACAACTTCCCAGGCGCACTATGGGACCGACGTAAGGTGCGCACACTTGAGACAACCCAGCATAGCCTTTACCAGGCGGACCACCGGCGTTTGCAAACACAATAGCACAAGTGTTTTCGAAGCAACGTGCTGTAAGCATTGAATCCAGGAAAGTTGCTTCGGCGGTGGGGTTTCTGGCCAGTCCAGCAGGCGAGCAGTCGTTGAGCGTCCAGAAGGTGGGAATGATGAATAGCTTAGCTCCTTGAGCAATCATCTCACGGAAAGCTTCAGGGAAGGCCAAGTCCCAGCAAACCAGCATACCGACTTTGCCGAAGGGAGTGTCGAAGACTGGGTGGGGGTCACGCGTTGAGCTCGTAAGGTGTAAGCGTTCAATGTCGCCCCAGAGGTTCTTCTTGACGTATTTTCCAAGGATCTCTCCAGTAGAGGAGATGAAGTAAGCAACATTGAGAAGACGCTCGCTGGTTTCATCCTCTTCGGTGAGAATGCCAGTACTGTCATGCTGGGCGTCGGTGTGCAATTCTACGATAGTACCAGGAACGATGCAGATGTTACACTCTTTGGCCAGAGCTTGGTACTTTTCAAGGTATTCTTTCCAGCTGGCGCATGATTCCTTGAACTTCGGATCGTGCGGAAGCCAGTTTGTCAGATGGTATTCAGGTAGGACTGCCAACTCGGCACCTTGTTGGGCTGCTGATCTGATGAAGTTGGCTGCTTTCTGAAAGTTTTGTTCGACGTGCAATGGCTTGATCGTATTAGCAGGTCGAGTCTGCTACAGCTGATAGTGCTTGTACCTTGGGATGCAGCTGGATAACAGCGATCTTGTGGGTGGGAGCCATGGTCATTTCAGTTGTGATAATCAGAGTAGATAGCCAAACCCAGATACAAATGTGCGGGAGATTATGGAATAGAAATCGAGAAGACTTTCTTGATATGTACAAGAGGTAGAAGAATTGACACTGCTGCAAGCAGGAGGATGAGCTGATGACTGACGATGATGGAATGGCGGGCAGAAGTGGGTGCCCCGCCAAAATTAGTGGGCTTGACTGCTGTAAATTACAGCGCTGTTCACCCAGACTGGCTAGCTCGGCCAAACGTTAGCGAGCAAAAGTTGCACGAAGCCAGAACTTGTCGTCGTCGCGCGCAAGAGCAATTGGAGGTCGATCCAGCACCGCAGCACACAGCATACCGTCAAGATGAGCGTGCGCAACATCGAAGCCACATACCAGCAAGGAGCGCCCGCGCGCGTTGTCCAGGATGACTCAGATGTCGAGGAGGAGGCTCTGGCCAGCGACTACAAGGAGCAGGTTCAATACGGCGACGACGACGAACTCGAGAGAGTTGCTTCCAGCGGCCCTCAGGATCTTCAGGCTCAGCTCGCCGCCGCTGCCCAGCCTCTCGAATACGGTGCCACTCTTGAAACCAAGATTGCCAGCTACGACAGCTACTGCAACCTGTTCCACTTCATCCTCAACTCCGATGGCCCCGTCGACCTCGAGGTCCCCAACGTGTGTCAACACCATAAGATAGAAGATTCTACAATCAGAACAGAAAACTGACCATACATAGTACTACTGGGCCTGGGAGGTGATCGACGAGTTCATTTACCAGTTCAACAGCTTCTGCGCCTACCGCCAAAAAGTTGCTCTCAAGCAGGACAACGACGAGGATGCTCAGATCCTCCGCGAGAACCCCAACACCTGGGGATGCTACTCGGTTCTCAACGTTCTGTACTCGCTTATCCAGCGTAGTCAGATTCAGGAGCAGCTCGAGGCCCGCAAGCGTGGTGAGGATCCCGCCGCCTACGCTGGCGAGTACGGCAGCCGCCCTCTCTACCAGATGCTCGGATACTTCTCGCTCATCGGTCTCCTCCGCGTCCACTGCTTGCTCGGTGACTTTAGCATGGCCCTCAAGACTCTGGACAACATTGAGCTTAACAAGAAATCCATGTTCGCCCGTGTCATGGCTGCCCAGTTCAGCACCTACTACTACGTCGGTTTCTCTTACATGATGATGCACCGCTACACCGACGCCATCCGCATGTTCACCCACATTCTCATCTACATTTCGCGCACAAAGAACTTCCAGAAGAACGCTCAATACGATAGCATCGCAAAGAAGAGCGACCAGATGTACGCTCTTGTCGCCATTTGCGTCGCCCTCAACCCCACTCGTCTCGACGACACTGTCCACTCTGCCCTCCGTGAGAAGTACGGTGAGCAGTTTGCTCGCATGCAGCTCGGTGGCCCCGAGTCGCTCCCCATCTTCGAGGATCTCTTCCGTCAGGCCTGCCCCAGATTCATCTCTCCCACTCCTCCGGACTTTGAGAACCCTTCGGTCAACGTTGATCCCATCGAGCACCACCTTTCTATCTTCATGGAGGAGGTCAAGAACAACATGTGGAGCCCTACTGTCCGTTCTTACCTCAAGCTTTACACCACAATGGATATCAAGAAGTTGGCCGGTTTCCTCGAGATTGATGCCGATACTTTGAGAGGATGGTTGTTGGTCAACAAGCAGAGAAGCAAGCAGGTTAGACACACCGAGGGTGGTCTGCTTGATGGTGATGTTGTCACTACCAACGACCTTGACTACGCCATGCAAGGAGTGAGTGTTATGAAGAATTGTCTTGATGTACCGAATGCTAACATGACTTCTCAGGACTTGATCCACGTTTCGGAAGCCAAGGTTGGCCGCAGATTGGTGGACTGGTACCTTCGCAACCTCTCGAGAACCTACTAAGCAAAGCACGAGATGTCAAGACGACAGTTAGACTCGAAGTACAGAGTCACGAATGACTCAGAGAAGGAGGCTGCACACGAGAAGAATAAAAGCAGCGGCGCCCGTCCAGAAGAAAGCAGGAAGGCAATGTATTGGGAAAGTGTTGCTCTCATGAGCTTCGGCGTTGCGGATTAAAGAAGTCAAAAAGGACGGGCGGACATGGTGGATCATGAATTCTCTCCTACGGGCGAGAACAAAAAGCATGTTTTTGCAATGTTTGATGAGCAGAAGAGATGCACCATAGGAATGCATGGATAGCGGCAACGAATCTACAATTACCTTAAGTTACTCTATCACATGTCAAAACAGTCATCGAGTCTTGGCGCCGTATACATACGCAAGTCAAGTTTCGCTCCATTCTGCCGGGTCCAACCAAGTCAACTTTTGTTCTGATCGTCAGGAGAAGTTGTTTGGTAACCATCTCAGACAAATAAGATGACGACCAACGGCAATCTGAGTCCGTCACTAAGGCGAGGCTCATCCAACATGTCGTCGCGCCGTCCTTCCCACGGAGCAGAGGGTCCCACCATCCTCAGCACAGCAGACGCAAACATGCCCATGCGACACCCTCGTCCTTTGACTGCTGCTGAACTGCACCTCGAACTGGAGAAGGAGCAGGAAGCTGTCGTATGTTCCCCTCTCTCCTCTCTCCTTGGACACATCTAACATTCCATTCCAGGTCAACCGTCTTACACGCGAGCTTTCAGCACTTCGCGCCCAACACTCTGCCTCTGTCGCCAGCAACGCTTCGCAAGCCAGCTCCAACCAAGCTCTAGATACTGGTCTCTCACATCCAACCCCCACCCGTCAACACCGCTCCTCGTCGACCGCTTCAAGCCGCAGCCTTAGCAACCCCTCGGCCAGTTCGAGTCACGTCAACATTCAACACCCTCAACCTACTGCTCCTCTTGCCGGTGTTTCGCAAGCTTCTTTCGACCGTGCCGCTGCGGCAGCAGGCTCTGCTACAACAAGTTCGTCCATCAGCCGTAACCCCTCGATTCGCAGCACCTCAGGCCACTCGACACCAGCTCTCACTCCAGCATCCGCTACCTCTCTTCCTCACCGCCCTTCTTTGTCGCACACCGCCAGCGCTATCTCCACAGCAGGTTCATTCACTCCTGGTTCCTTTACACCCGGTCCAGTCTCGCCCTACACATCAACTTCCAGTACCGCTGAGATTGCTTCGTCGCGTGCCGAGCTCGAGCTTGTGAAACAAGAGAATGAAGCCCTTCGCCAACGTGTCAAGGCTCTCGAACGTGCTCTCCGCAGCCGCAGAAACAGCGTCACTTCTGACGCAAGCGCCAACACAAACAACCCCAACCCTCGCATCGAAGCAGCTGCTGTCTCTCGCCCCAGTGTCAGTGCTTGGGCAGCAAACATGGCTGGCATGACCAGTGTTGCAGGACCTAGAGAAAGAAGCGAAAGTCAGAGTACCACAGCAAGCAGAAGACCCGAAGGCTTGGAAAGAGAAGATTCTATCCGTGTGGGTGAGAGTGCTGCAAATGTGGGCTTGGGCTTAAAGTAGGAGTTCGAGCCCAAGGTCAAGTGGCAGAGATGGCACTCATAGGTTCTCCGTCTGGTACGGAATACGCAAACAATGGAAAGAAAATTGGACAACACACTTCTGGAAGGACTGGCATTATCAGGTTGGGCTTACGGGAATAGGGATTTGTTCTTAGCAGGGCGTTTTTAGAGGGAGTTCAAAGGTTGGATCTTCTTTCCTTGAATCCATTATCAGGCATGGCAGTTTTCTGCTGCAATCAAGAATCCATCAAATTTCTTATGTTATCATGTATTCCCTATCAGTCTTCATTGTGCAAGACATGAGGCGCTCTTGCTTGCCTGTCTCAGTATCGTGACACACCATCATGTATAACTTGATCGTGTTGCTGTACAACCTCAAGCTCCTTGACTTTACCGTGGCCCTTATGAGCTTTCCATTTCCTACGTCTTCGATGGTTCCAACATTCAGCCCTCGGCCGGACACTGGAAATGCCGCACTTGTTGGCAGTACGCACTATGGCGTAGCAGTCGTCCACGGATCCTGCTTAAGGGGCTGCAGGATCATCAAGGCAAGGAGACAAGTATATGACACCAAAGTACTCTCTGGCAGTCGCGGATGGAAGCTCGAGTACGTGCTGGACTATCTTCTTGCTCTTGATCCACAACTAGAAATGAGGGATTTTTGTGATCTTGGACAAAGGGCCTGGGCGACTTGCTTCCTTGGTTCTTCGATCCCATTTACCGCGGTCAACAAGTTTCCCAATCCCAGCATAGTCGCAAAAAAGATGAGTGGACCATGCCTGCTGATGTACTAACAATTCTCTGCGGTGTGACAAACCCAACAGACTATCTGTCGGCAGTGGGACCGGATCATCGACAACCAGAAGCAGGAGGGGCTGAGGTCCATAATTCCTCCTCCTATCTCTTTCAAGTTGCCCGCATACATTGAGTCGTCCAGACAAACACATACTTGGGCGGGCAAAGTGGCAGGATGCATCGATATTACAGACCTGGTCTCCTAAGACTCTTACTACTAAGTCTTCGAGTCACACCCCACTCAGCGGACAGCTCGGTTCTAGCTGCCTGTGAAAGAGTCGATTCCGAGTGAGACCATGATACTATAGTCGCTGTGTCAAAGCAACTCAGCTCTTGAGCCAATCTTATCTAGACGGCACTACCGTTGTTTCCCATTTGGCACGTACTTGCTTTTGCCTTGTCTTCATCGTCTGTCAAAATGAGAACTTGGTCGAAGGAAGACCAGAGTCCTTGCGTCCTATGATACGCTTGCCAGTCGGATGAATGCCGAGAATCAAAAAAGTCTACCAGGTCTGCTGACGATTATTTTGGTGTATCTCTTCGTAGAAAAGGCCTAGATTTCCGCTGGGAACACGTTGGCCCTGAGCTTTCGGCGGTGCGCATTGCATATGTTGCATTGTGCCTTCCGATTCAGACGTCCGGGTTGATTTGTCTGATATGTTGAAACCAGAATGGAAGATGTATCCTCCAACGAACAGTCTTGCATATGAATGGCGTCGTCCTCAGGATCCAGGCAGCCAGCTCTTGTATCTACTGAGATACCAAAGAAGCCTCAATATCCACCAGTACTCCAATAGTGTTCTGGGACTCCAAATTTGTAAATCGTTAGCACTATGATATGCGGTTGTGATGCGGTACATATCTATCAGCTCATCTGGCGACGTATGTCTCTCTTACAAGAGAATGGCAGCTCCTGCGTCAATCATCAAGACATGTACTTCTATTCAAGAGCTGAAGTCAGATCCAGCAGATCGCCGAGCGCATCTCTCTGCGGACTACACGTCTTATCAACGCACATCGCACGCTCTGAACTGCATGAGCTCGACCCTTTTTGCCGTCATTGTGCTATCTCTGACATGCATGTGATTTCTAGCCACGGATATCTCAAGATTTATCCGGACAAAAGGCCAGACGAGACTGTTCTTCGTACGTTGCTTTCATGCACAGGAGAAGACGTTGAAGCAAAGTTCACCAGTGACCAACCCCATGCTGTCAAAGCGTGCTGTGATTGGTTGGCCCCTTCTCTACTCGGCGTACCTCTCCAGGACTTCTCCACGACACATGCTTCGAGTCCTTGCCATCGATAGGTCCATGACGCCAAACGTTCTTTCACGCCGCCGTGTCAGGTACTGGACTTCAACTTCCATTGGACCCTTGATCTTCACGCTGCACCTGCAGCATGTTCTCGGCATGTGCCTGGATTCATAGGCTGACAATGCGTCTCCTTGTACTTTCAAAATGAGATACGCCCGAGGTCAGGAGGGGTAGCGGGGTGAAAGGCCGCATGCGAAGGACGAGGTTTGCGACAATGTGCCATGGGTCTGTTGAAAATTGTTGTAGCTTACGTTGAGCACGAGGGGTATTCTCGAATGCTTTATGATGGTAGGTCGGTCCTGACCCTTGCTTCTACATCTGTTTTTGTTCGTCCGCATACTTTTGTATCTTTGTTCTTGCATCTCTACTTGGATCCGTAACAATGGCTGTTCAAGGAGTGCTTCAAGCACTCACTGAGCCCTTGAATCAAATCAGCATTGCTACTGTCTTGTTGGTGCTTCTCCTCGTCACCTACTTTACTCTGTCGTTCACCGAACTCGAGACTGTTGGCAAGCTATTCAATGCCACCGTCACTTCTGCAAAATTCGCATACTCGTGCTTTTTGAAGCCTCACACCGGCGACAAGACTGGTAGCCAGCAGGATGCTCTTGAAAGTTTCTACAAGACTCAAGCTGGCATCTACGATGTTACACGCTCAAGACTGCTCCGTGGAAGAGAAGATATGCTGGCAATGGCTGCTGCTCAACTCCGTTTCCAGCTTGAGCAGGGTCAATATACTCGCAAGCCAATCTGGGTGGTAAGACATACTCGCGGCATATATTCACTTCAAGAGCCGTGCTGATTTTATTCTTGCTTGAAGGATGTTGGCGGTGGCACTGGCTGGAACATTGAACAAATGGAGAGATATCTGCCTGTCTCTAGCTTCTTCCACGCTGTCTACCTCGTCGATTTCTCGCCCTCCCTATGCCAAGTTGCTAGAGCCAGATTCGCCCGCCTTGGTTGGAAGAACGTCAAGGTCGTCTGCCAGGACGCTCGCACCTTCAAGCTCAGCGACTACGAAGAAGGTCTCAGCGACGAGAGCGCAGTCTTCAGCATTGGCAAGAGTGCACTTGACGAGAGTAGTGCAGTCGACAATGTCGGCGCAGACCTTTTGACTATGAGTTACAGTCTTTCCATGATCCCCGAGTTCCACCCTGTCATTGACTCACTCGCCAACTTGCTTGCACCAAACGGTATTATGGGTGTTGTCGACTTCTACGTCCAGAACCAGATTCAATTCCAGTCTCGCAACTATGTTGGTGGTGTCATCAACCGTCACTGTATGTGGATTTCTCGTGTCTTCTGGGCTGCATGGTTCGAAATGGACAGAGTATTCTTGGACTCTTCTCGTCGTGTAAGTGCTCTTTCCTGTAATTCGGGTTCATAGACTGATTTCAGCAGGACTACCTCGAGTACAAGTTCGGAACCATTCTCAGCGCCAACGCTCGTAACCACTTCTTCGGCTTCAGAATCCCATATTACGTCTGGATTGGCTGTGCTAAGCAGACCAAGTCGTCCATGAACAAGCTTGCCGCTCTCGATGCCGCCGTTACAGAATCACCCTTCATCAGCGCCCTTGATCTCCAACGTAAGACAGTCGGTGGTGTTCGTCGGGCCTCTTCTTCCGAGCGTCGTTCAAAGGCATACGAGTCGGCCATTGTCAACCTGTCAGCAAGTCTACCTCTGCCCGCAGCATGGTACCAGCAACACCACTGGCGCATCTACTACGACGAGCAATTGCAAAAGCACAGACAATTTGGTGATGAATACATCTACGCCTTTACATGGGAGGACGCCCGAGTGGACGCTCGCCTGCTCAAGATCACATCTGAGGATGTCATCCTTGCCATCACAAGTGCAGGAGACAACATCCTCGCCTATGCGCTCGAACAGCCCAAACGCATCCACGCCGTCGATCTCAACCCTAACCAGAACCACCTTCTCGAACTCAAGGTCGCAGCTTTCACTGCTCTTGTTTACACGGATGTGTGGAAGTTGTTTGGTCAAGGCAAGCACGATGACTTCCGCTCTCTCCTCATCAATAAATTGAGCCCTCATCTTTCGTCCCAAGCCTTTGACTACTGGCTTCACAAGGGTGATGCCACTTTTGGCACCAAGAGCCGTGGTCTATACTACACTGGCGGCTCTCGCCATGCCCTGCAACTAGTCCAATGGCTAGGCCGCCTCCTCGGTATCCGTGGCGACCTCGAAAATATGTGCAAAGCCGCTACCCTCAATGAACAACGCGAGATCTGGAGCAAGCGCGTGCGCAGAGTACTACTCTCCCAATTCCTCAACTACACCGTCATCGGTACTGAAAAGTTCCTGTGGAAGGCTTTGGGTGTGCCTGCCAACCAACGCGCAATGATCGACAACGATTACCTCCGCCAGACCGAGCGTGCAGATGCAAAGAAAGTTACTGGCGTCAAGTCTGGCCAAGCTATTTGGGAGTATGCGGTCAACACTCTAGATCCTGTTGTCAACAACACATTGGTGTCTGAGGAAAACCCTTACTACCTGATCTGTCTACAAGGTCAATACACCCAACGCTGCCACCCTGATTACTTGGCTCCCAGAGCCCACGTCAAACTCTCCAAACCCAATGCCTTTGACGGTTTGCGCATCCACACCGACGAGTTATGTGAGGTCATGGCACGTATGGCGCCCGAAACCCTTACCATCGCAGTTCTCATGGACTCGATGGATTGGTTTGACCCCGAAGGCCCCGAAGCAGACCACCAAGTCAAGATTGTCAACCGCGCGCTCAAATTTGGCGGCAGAGTATTGTTGCGCTCAGCTGGTTTGAGACCTTGGTACATTGATACTTTCGAGAGCCGTGGCTTCACTGCTAAGAGGGTTGGTGCTCGTATTCCTCCGGGTTCTTGCATTGATAGGTATGTCGCTTGCCGTCTTCTGAAGTTGTTTGGGCCTTTGCTAACATGTTATCACAGAGTCAACATGTACGCTTCGACCTGGATCTTGACCAAGGTTGATGCTGTTGTCAGTGAGGAGAAATGAGCGCATTGAGATGCTCTGCGAATGTTAATGACGGATGAAAAGAACTTTTTTGTATAATCGAAAATGTCGATATGAAATAGCATGACGAAACTTGGTAGAATATAGCGTGGCGAATCTAGTAGAGAACAGCATGATGAAAGTCAGTTTAGAATAGCATGATGAAAGTCAGCAGACACAGAAATGATGAAAGTCAGTAGACTCAGACGTCTGTCGAACAGAAATTGATATGCACCTGGTCAGAAGAATGGTGGAAAGGTATATCATTTACCGATTGTATGCGCCAAGAGAAAACAGGGAATATCTGTGTAACAAGAAAAGGACATGTGAAAGGAGCAGTTCGTGGGATATCAGCATTTTTCTTTTCCTCTTCATGCCTTCTCGGCCTCGAGTTCCCGCTCGGCCTGCTGGTAGTACTTTGCCGTGTCGACACCGTGCTGGTTGTGGTTGACAAAGTTGAACCAGGGCATCATGTGAATCCAGATACCAGAGTAGCGGGATTGACGCGAGGCGACACCTTGCATGTACTCGGTCAACTGGCTCTTGCCGTAGAGCTCCTCGCCGCGCTTGACCTTGTCGACCATCTCGCGCATGTCCATATCGATTTCGCGGCGGTTCTCGGTGAAGCCGTAGAAACGGTCTGTTTTGGAGTGACTGTGTTAGCCCATCTTTCTGTTTGATGTGATGCCATGGCCCGTCTCATATTCCAAGCTCTTCATGTCGGGAAGGAGAATTCTGGTCGGGTAAACGCACTGATGGATCTCGAATAGCAGAGGTAGAAGCCGGCAAAGAGACCAATGCCACCGGAAAGACGCATGACACTGGCGAAGACGCTGCGGGAGACACCAGTGGGAGAGACGCGCTCCATGAGGGTCATGGTAGCGGGGACGGAGGCGCCGAAAGCAACGCCGTACAAGTAGTCGCCGGGACGGGCATAGCCGAGAACACGCTTGAAGTGACTGAGAAGACGATACGTTAGACGAACGGAATTTGAGACTGGCGAGGAGCTGGCGGAGCTTACGGGTCACTGTCAATGAGCTGAGAGACTTGTCAGTGATGAGTGTTCGGCGAGCGATTGCGAGGAGTGTCGTACAGGGTAAGGAGTGTTCAGGGCCTTTGCAGGAACCTGCTGCCTCTCTCTCATTGGCACATCAGTAATGCTCGGCATGGCGGCGGTATGTGTGATTTTATGGTCGAGAACAACCTGGTCGTCGATGGTTGCTTGAATGTCGCATCCGCTGCCCGTCGACGCTTCTTGGCGCTGGTCGCGCTTGGGCCTCGTCCTCCCCACCTCTTGACCTCTGACGGCTTCCTCATTCGTCCCAAACGTACCTTCTTCTCCATCTCTCAAACAAGGTATTCTACTGTGAACGATCGTTGTGTTACATGACGATCGGGGAAGAATAGAATCATCTCGTAATGCTCATCTCGCCCTTCATCGAGTCGAATGCTCAATCAGGGGTACTAGACTCAAATGCTTGCAGGTGATAGTATAAAGGACACTTCTGATCATGATATTGAGCTTCTGGAGAGTAGGTAGTCTGCGGTCTGAGGTAAGGGTGTTATCTGAAAGACTGCCATGTGGACATTCCATAAGCATGATCTGGCAAGTATGCCTAACTCTTGCGTGCTTGCTGTCTCTGAGGATTACACGCAAACGTTCCTAGGATAGTGAGCCAGCAATAGTTCGGATCCTTTTTCTATGTAGAGTAGCTTCAAATATAGAGAAACCGCTCTCCGATAATCTACCTCTTCAAATCAGCTGCATCTATGCAAAGTGAAGTGACGACCGGGCGCTTGTCGAATGGAGGTGTGATAAGCAAGCAGAAACCCCTGGACAGGGTGATGCTTTGTCTCAATGAGATCCCCAAGATGTCTTGGCATCGACCTCCACCTTTCATCTGAAGGCGCATTTATCTTGTCGCAAACCATACACCTTTCCATCACTATAGCCAGCCTCAATTGATCAACCTCAGTCGCATTGTCCAGATCATTCCTTCGCCTTTCATACAAACCATGGCCTCACCAGCGACCGAGACGGCACAAAAAAGCGCCTCAAACCCTCCACAACCAGCACCATCAACCACACCCGCGCCAACCACTCAAACAACCCAACCAACCAACGACCAACAACCCACTAGCACACAAGACGATGGCCTCTCGCGCCGTCCACGCGATGCGCGCCTGATTCATCTCATTCTCTCCGCCCAAGGCGTGCACAGCTACCAAGAACGCGTCCCCCTTCAACTCCTCGACTTCGCATACCGCTACACCTCTTCCGTCCTCGCCGACGCATTCAGACTATCTTCAGAAGGCTATGCTTCTGCCCCCGGCGCACCTACAAATTCCAAACGATCAGAGGCTACCGATGGTAGTAACATTACTGTGAATGCTCTACGTCAAGCCATTGCATCACGCCAGGACTACCAATTCCAGGGTGCGTTGCCCAAGGAGTTTATGATGGAACAAGCAGTAGAAAGAAATCGTGTTGCGCTGCCGAAGATTCAAAAGAGTTGGGGTGTGCAGTTGCCGCCGGAAAAGTACTGTCTCACAGGCACCGGCTGGAGTTTACGGGACTTGTGGGAGGAGGATGAGGTTGTGGAGGAAGGAAACAGCAAAAGAGAGGGTAATGGGGATGTGAGGATGGAAGGTGCGGGTGATGTCAAGACTGATGCTGAGGAAAAGGATGCCATGGACAGTTTTGAGGATGTGTTTGGCGGTGGTGCGCAAGGGGATGGCGACGGCGATCAGGAAATGACTGAGGCTTGAGGACGGCAATACTCAAGACGAAAAGTACTTGGAACAATGCACAAAGGAACGAATCATGCATCTTCAGAAAAAGGCGTTCTGGAATATGGGGTCGGCACATGGTTCACAAGAAAGATATTATACCCTGCACAAGTTCTCATGCGACAACACTTTTTCTGCAAGGCGACGAAATTATATTGACAATTTGAAAGAGAGCAAAAGAGCTCAAATCGTCAGAGACCAGTCATTTTTGATTTGTTTGACTTGTCTCGAGGTTCTGACTGATCTAAGGACCGTTGTTGAGAGTGATCAGTGGGAAGCTCAAATTTGTTCCGCCAGTACCTCTCTCTAGCTCGTTGTTTCGTAGCCTCCCGATACTCAGGATCGTTTGCATACCGGTCAATGGCACGTTGCTTCACAATGTCATGGTGCTCGGGATCGGTCCTGTATCGCTCCCTATAGCGCTGGAGCATAGCTTGGCGATAGTCAGTGTCGTTAGCCCAGCGCTCGTTGGCACGCAGTCTATGAGCTTGTCGATAATCAGCATCGTTGGCGTATCGTTGTTTGATCCTCTGGGCATGACCTTCGATTATCTTCCGGCGCCAAATTGGGTCCGTGTCGTATCGATGATTGGCATAGTGTAGAGCAGATTTCTGAAGTCTTTGACGATATTCGGTATTTGTGGCGTATTTCCATGGCTTATATGCGTTGTATTCATCTCGGGTCCAGGAAGAGATGGGCCCGGGAGGACGAATAAAGTCAGGGGTCGAAGAAGAAGATCTGGCCCAGAATTTTGAAGAGGCCTGGAAGGGCAAAAACATGGGACGAGCAAGCAGTGTGAATGAAGCCATGATCTCGAGCAGGTTGATATGATTAGAATAAAGGGTGCTTGGGTCTGTCGAGAGTAGCGATTAGTGGCCAGATTGGTACCAACCTTTGTATGAAGCGACAGAATATGCATCTTGTATCACGCATGTATACAAGTGTGTTCGCTTACATTCTAAAGAGACACTTGAAAGCTCATTCACAGGCAACCATGGATAGTGATGGTGAAAACAGATTCAAGTTGCAGCAGTCGGATGTGGTTGGCCAAGACTTTTGACAACGACTTTTGGCCGCCGCTTCTCCGGGCGAGCTCGCAGTGTGACGGCTTCGCGACTGGGCGCTGGTATACCGAGCTGAGTACACCACGCCTTGTCCACCTCTCCACTCACCACCTCACCGTCGCCATGTTTGTCCGTCGCGTAGCATCCGGCCTCGCCAAGCGTGCCGCCTTCCGCCCTGTCGCTGCCCGTCCCTTCTCGTCCTCGTTCGCCCGCTGTAAGCCGCTCTCCAAAGCGCATAACCATTGACATGACCATCCAAACTCACCCATTGATTCACCAGTCGACGCCCACAGCGACCCCAAGCCCGGCCAACACTCCAACAAAGTCAAGCCCTTCGAGGGTGCGTTCTTCCGACTCCCGCCCTGCCTACCCTCGTCCAATTGACTGACGCTGTCCTGTTGCGCAAAATTAGAGATCCAGAACGACCATGACCTTATGCCCGCTGGTGCCGAGCCCGGTACCGTCCCCACCGACATTGACCAGGCCACCGGTCTCGAGCGTCTCGAAATCCTCGGAAAGATGCAGGGCATCGACATCTTCGACATGAAGCCCCTCGACGCAAGCAGAAAGGGTGCGTAACATGATAGAAATGCATATCACACCACCCGCCAAGACATTGACTTTCTTCTTCGTAAAGGCACCATGAACGACCCCATTGTCGTCCGCTCCTTCGGTGACGAGCAGTACGTCGGTTGCACCGGCTGCCCTGCTGACTCGCACGTCGTCAACTGGTTGACCATGTCGCGCGACCGCCCTATCGAGCGCTGCCCCGAGTGCGGCTCCGTCTACAAGATGGACTACGTCGGTCCCCAAGAGAGCCACGACACTCACGGCCACCACGGTGAGCACGTCGGCCGTACGAACTTGTCCTCTATCTCCCGACCCTCGCCATTCACTAACTTTATCCTCCAGACGCTGACACCGACGGCTCGCACAACTTCGACGGCGAGCCCAAGACCCTCGCCGACTTTGTCCGCCCCGAGTACAGATAGACTCTTATTTCTTTTCCCGCAAATGCTTGGAAGACCTGGAGGGATTGCGATAAAACTTGTATCATAGCGTGCAATCTCATCCTGGCTTTTGGCTCTGTTTTTTCTCCTTTCTTACAAAAGAAATAATCTGACATTGTAAAACTTCTTGGAAGATGCGAACACAGATCTGGTGATATTGATTGAGCACTAATCTACCCTGATAGGGATGTCACAGCAACGAAGACATCTGACCGAAGGATATTACTTTTGACCTTGAGTTACCCTTCTCTAACTGAAGGACAACATGAATCTTGACGAGACCATCATGGCCATGGATAATACAGCCTCAGGAACAATTTGCTGGACTCCTTGCCAACAGACGCTTCGTCCGGTATGAACGCCCCCAAGCTCCTCCTTGAGACTTGAGCTAGGGTCAAGCCTCTCGGCACCGTTGCTCTCTCGCACTTGTCGACCCATGGATGACTCCAGCACTCGAGTTACCTCGGCAGCCACTATTGTCTGTCATGTCTTTCGTCAAGGTCATGAACGCTTTCGTGAGATGGTGATCGAAGTGGCTTCTTCTCCTAGCTGCACAGAGCAAAGTCTACATTCAAGAAGGCTTAACAATAGAGATAGGAAAGTCGTCCGATCGATCAGAGTAACAAGCAAGACAACAGATACGTGAGACAAGGTCACGAAGGAGAGACACGCGAGCATAACGAATCACGAGGCAGTACAGAGAGCATCGAACATATACCACCACGAAGTACAAAAAGCAGCAAGGGGAAAATCAAGTTCATCAAGAAAAAAAAGTATCATTTCGTTATAAGCATCAGTCCACCCATCAAGAGCAGATAGCAGCTAAAGAAAAAAGAAAGCACCATTTCGCTTGCGCGCCATATCGAGACTCCAGAACATTTCCGGATTAAAGCAACAAAGGAGACAGCAATCATCATCATCATTATCTCATCATCGCATGCAGAGCCAGCAAAATAAGCAACCAGTACCTTCCCCTTCCCTTCCACTCCTCAAGCAACAAAACGTCTACCAATCAACCCAGCATTACCAGCCTGATCAGGCACAGCCACAATTGAAGGCAACGAACCCTCAGGAAGACCAGTGACGACCACAGTACTAGCAGTAGCAGTAACATAGCTCGTCACAAATTCAGTGGTTGTTTGAGTAGCAGGGACAGCGGTACCTTGAGCTTTGTTGGCAACACCAGACATGGTGATGTAGTCGGTGACCGTGACGAAACTGGGCATTTGAGCTGCGGGAGGGTTGTAGAAGGGGAAAGAAGGATTGCCATTGCTGGGATTGTAGGTAGGTCCTGGAGTTGAAGATGAGGTGTTAGTAACGGGGAAGGGAGCGAGAGTAATGATTGGGAGATTGGTAGACTCACTGCTTGGAGCTGTTGATGTATCAGAGGGAACAGCGGATGAAGAAGTGGTGGTGGCTGAAGAGGCAGCAGCAGCACCGGTCGATGTAGCAGACCCAGAAGCAGCAGCAAGAGTGTAGAGAGGGCTGCTGGTGAGAACCATTCTAGACTTGAAGCTGCTGACAGCTGTGGTCTGAGGATCCTGCTGTTGAAGAGTGTGGACAGGCGAAGCATTGCTGACAGAGTCAACAATGTCAATCTCGGCGCAAGAGGTGTAGTATTCATCTTTGCCAGTGGGGTAAGTGGGATCAACACCAGCCTCAGTGGGCCACTGCCAAACCCAATAAACGGTAACGGTCTGACCAGACTTGTAAGTCGAAGGAATATGAACATCAGTCTCACACCACTGCTCAATATTGGAGTCAGGTTGGCCAGGAACACGATCAGGGAAAGCCTTTTGGCGTTGCATTGAGATGGTGCCGGAGTTGAGTTGATGACAGCGTCCATCGTCAAAGCTCTGAGCAGCAATCTGGGAGCCACGCGAGTCACCGCCATTGCCAGCAGTATTCCATTTGAGGACATCAACGATTTTCTCAGTGTCAGAAGGGTTCGTGGTGGCATAGACGAAGACAGTGCCAGCAGCTTTAGGTTTGCCAGGCTGGTTTTGCGGAAGAGTGACATGACCATTCTCAAGGTACTTCATGGCGATGTAGGAACCAGGAGCAACTTGAAGGCGAGGGTACTCTGGGTTGGTATAGTTGGAGGTGCGTTGATCAGGGTGGCAGAGAAGATCAGTGCTGTCAATACGAGTGCGACCAGAGCTAAGGGCTGGCACAAGATAGTCGACAGAATCACCGTTGAAGCCGGGATCAGTGCGAGCAACATAGCCACGAGTGTAGCCATAGTCGCCAGTGTAGTTGCCAGTAGCCGAGTCAATCACCTGCATCTCCTCAACCCAAGAGTGAGCCGAGGCCTGGCCAAGAACAGCGGCAATAACAGTAGCTGTAATGTAGAACTTCATTTTGATAGATGTAATCTCTTTGAAGTGTGTTGAAAGATGTGTTGTTGAAGAACAGAGGTGTTGTAATGGGAGAAAGAGATTGATGACAAAAGATCCTCGAACCTGCGAAGAAATATCTTTGTTTTTTGGTAAGCGAGTGCAGATTGTCGACTCTTTTCTTTCGAGAACTTGATGTCTTGAACGAGAGGTAGAATTGTCTTGGATTGTGGTCGTCGAGAGAAGCGTCAAGTTCTTTCTGTTCTGTCGTGTCTTAGATGGATTTTCGAGAACCTTCAAGGCTTGGTCGAGGGAGTGCTTAAGTAGGAAGATAATTCCCGAAGAGACACAGAAACTTGAAAGAAGACAACAAGGGCGTCTGGCGCAGGAAGAATGAACAAGACTAATGCTTGCACAAAGAGAGTCGTATGTGGCACAATGGCAACAATGACTTCGACAATGCAGAAGCACGAAAAACGATTGTGGGCTGTTAAGCGAGCGGCAATAACCAGTATTGATGAATGAATGAGTGGTGAACAATTGAACAAAGATGGTTGACGGTGAGGAAAAATCTCGTGGTAAGCGCGGAAAGTGAAGGTTTTCGGCGTGTGTGATGTTGTTGTTTGCGCACTGGTTACCGCGACGCGCTAGATCCGGCTAGCGATACAAACGAGCAAGAAGTGACGACCACCAGTGACGGAGAAACTTCTGGATAGAAGGAGAATGGTTGCTTGTAGACACCTTAACACCGCCAATGCAAGATATGGTCACAGAAAAGGATTAAACTGCCTGCAGCTGTGTGACCGGGGAACAAGAAGAGGAAAGAACTTAAAGGACAACAGCAGCCAGGCAACCTCGAACCGGGAACGTGGAATCTTGTATGTGATACTCAAGGGAGTCGCTTGTGTGTGTATTGTAGACTTACGAGGTCCTATGAAGCCGTCGTCCGGGCGGGTTGATACTTCAAAGCAAACAATTCATGTGTTTCATCGACTACCGAGTCTGGGCGGCAGTTTTGACATGTCGCGCGCGTGTCCAGTAACTCATGACTTGGGTTCGTTCTGGATTGTCTGAGACACATGCAGCCGCCACGTGAATACCAATACTCTCAGCAGGTGATATACCTAACTGTGCTTGAGAGGCGCTGAGCCATGTGAATTTCGCAAGCCCATAACACCTGCTATTGAGCCTCGCACGTCACCTATAGCTTGTCCAACAAAGAACTTGAGAAACTCGTTCTTTGTCTTGCCATACAACCTCGTATGCGCTCGACCCAGAAGAGCCAACTACATCTCAAAGTTTCATGCAAGACATTTATGTTCGAGACTTCTAGAGCCAGTCTATTTGCACTACAGTTTGACAAAGCGCTGTGTGTGACTCGGAAAGTCTGTCAGTTCTCGAGAGGCAGGAGCGAAAAGAGGGAAAGAACGAGGTGAGGTTTCACGCACGTCCAAAGCCGCGCTTGCGACGCTGTGCTGATTGGTCACTTCCAATATCACCTTCTCTGCATTTCGCGCCCAAGTCCATTACCCTTTCTCAACCATAGGCAGGTCTCGTCAACGCGTGTCGGGGAAGAGGACTCGGTTTGAAGTGTGGTGCATGATGCGTACATGTATGGTATGGAGTCGAGTTCGCGATCATCGAGCTGCAAAGACTACCTACTGCAAAGTGGAGAAGGACAAAGAAACCTCCTTGATTGCTCTACAGTACTCTGCATCTGACATCGGTTACAGAGGATACTTGCAAATGTATCCAGCCTCATAAATCAGATCACTCAGCGGATGCCAGATGGTGGTAAAGATTGATGACAGTACTTTCACCAGAAGTATCTCTCACATGACAGGCGGGTTTAAACCTAGCTCCCGCTGTGTCAATCAGAAGAAACTTCTGGTCGTTCCTTTCCTAATGGACAGAATGCAATCTTAAGAAGCAATTCGAAACGACATGGCGTACACACGATATGCATCAAGCTTATTCATTAAGCTAAAGACAATGCATATAGCAACGATCGGCTTCGGACAGCGGTCCGAGGCTTGGGTTTGCAAGAGAAGCAGGACTCAGGAGAGAGGCATAAAGGTGCCAAGCGCCATGGGAATTACGATTACTATCTTACATATGACCATTCGACTTTCAAGCAGTATTCCTGCCTAAACCTTCCTTGTATCGTGCAAGACATCGGTCCCTGCAGACCTTGTGGTCAACCATTGGTTTGGGATATCCCGCTTTCTCGGCTTCCTTTGCTGCTCCTCTGCCATAAGGGTCGTGAATTGCTTTTCCTTTGATGTTCTTTAATTCCGGCAACCACTTTCTAATATACTCGCCTTGTTCGTCAAATTTCTCACTCTGCAGCAGCGGGTTAAAGACACGGAAATAAGGCTGTGGGTCTACACCTGTAGATGCAGCAAAGCCCCAGCCACCGTTGTTGCTCGCAAAATCTCCGTCGATCAGATGTTCCATGAAATATCTCTCACCCATGCGCCAATCAAGCAACAAGTCTTTGGCGAGGAAACTGGCAACAATCATTCTGGTGCGATTGTGACAATATCCCATGGAAATTATCTGACGCATAGCCGCATCGACGATGGGGAAACCTGTTCTGCCTTCACACCAACGAGTAAAGTGCTCGTCGTTGTACTCCCACCTGACTTTGGTGTATTCGTACTTGAAGGGCTTTGACATACAGACGTAAGGCCAGTGGGCTAGCACATGTTTGTAGAAATCTCGCCAGGCGACCTCGGAGATCCATGTCTTGATACCCTCATTACCAGCATCCAGTTTTGTGGATGTGTTGGCGTCGCGAGCACTTCTAACGGCTGTTCTTGCAGAAAGAGTTCCAGTTGAAAGATGTACAGATATAACGCCGGTACTGTTCGCAGCTGGCAGGTTTCTCGCATCTTTGTATTTGTTGATTTTCTTCTCCAGGAACTTTTTGAGGCGCTCGAGAGCTTCGTGTTCACCCGGCGGCCACAATGATTCGAACCGCGCTTTTTCTTCTTCGCTGAGCTTCTTGTTCTCAGGGGCCGAAGGTATTGCCGATTCAAACAAGTTTGCGTACTTCTCACGCGCTGACCCAGGATTCTGATCTGGAGAAGCGAATTCGTCCAGTATGGTCGGATTTGCGTGAATGTGCCGAATCCAAGCTTTGTACCAAGGAGTGTAGACCGAGAACTGTTTACCTTGCCCAGTTGTGAGATCGCCGGGTGGAACAATGACATCGTCGTGAACTGTGTGGAAGTCAATGCCTTTCTCAAGACACGACGTTGTCAAGCTTGCTTCTCTCCGAAGCTCGTCGACTTCGTACTCCGTGTTGCAAAAGATGTGGTTAGCCCCCCACTTCTGGCATAGCTCGATAATGCGTCCTGGAACTTTCTTCCGTATCTCAACTGTTTCGACATACAGAGGAATATCCTTCTTGGCCAGATCTTCCTTAAGGACTTGCAAGGTTCTGAGCTCAAAATCAACACGAACGGATGCGGTCAAGTGAGCCTGGTAATCCTGAGGACTGACAATGAACAAGCAGACCAATGGCACACCCTTTGATTTCGCCTTTTCGCTTGCCAGATGTAGAGCACGGTTGTCTTTTGTGCGAAGATCACGTTTGAACCAGTGTACAACAGCATCTCCAACCTCAATCTTCTTGCGCTCAAAAGCCGTCTTCTGAACAGCCTGGGTAAGCACCTCAATGGGTCGTGGGATCTCGTTGGCATTGTAGCGAGCACAGCGCTCGTTCGACATCTCAGGTGGATAAAACTCTCGTTGAATGACTCCATACTTTTCTTCCTGGATTTCGCGATTCTGGTCTTCGTAGTCTGGTGCATTCTCGGATTTGATCTTGGTCTCTGGCTCGGGTTTGATGGTGGACTTGACGGATGGTTGCAAGGCATCAAAGGCTGTCTTTTTAGGTGCAGGGGCGTCTGAGGGCGTCCTCGATGTTGCTTTGCGTTTGGGAGGCATCGTGTAGAATCTCGAATGATCAAGGGTTGTTTGCAATGGCGTGATTGACGTCCTAAGAAAGCTCAAATTGTTCCAGCGACGGGCTTGAATGGCGACGTGTCGCATGCACAACGTGACAGCAAAGAGGTAGGTAACGCGAAGACATGATGGTGGGCATTGTTTAGAGACCTAAAGTGGTTTCTTTGTCGCAACGGTCGATCTATGGTTAACGCGTAGAGCGTGTAGATCGATCGCCAGATGACGTCGTAGATCCTGCAAGCCCTGAGACCCTGCAATCTGGAATATCCCGACTCCGGCTCCAACTTCATATTGCTTGCGGTCTTTTTAAAAGACTCGGACATGCTCGGCAGCGAGATGTGCATATAGTTCATGCGTGCTCTAGTCCCTATCTGTACACTACCCAACAGTGCAACCACATATTCATTGATCGTCATTGCCTTCTCCGTACTGACCCGGCTCTCAACTCAACACGCCAGCTGCTCTCCATACGATTCCCTCGATGATACCAGCCCATCTGTAGAGTGCCTTCTTGTCACCTGCCTGGATCGCCTCAACGAGGCCAGGGTATGTGTCTCCAGCATATCCGGTCCATTTGCCAGGTGCGAATACGACATGCTTGAACCAACTTCTTCCATCCAGACCCTTGGGGAATAGGAAGGCACGCTCTAGCATTTTGTACTGTGTATTGACAGCCCGGATCTCAGCGAAGAGTCTGTTAGTGGCAGCAGGGTTGTGTTTGCCTTCAATCACAGTAGCTTGGGCAGCTAGACCAGCCGCACGAGCGTCAAAGCTGTGTGCTCTACGCTGGAGGTAATCAATAGCCAGATCAAGATCCGCGAACATGGATACATCCTTCTCTTCCTTGTCCCGGTACGCCATGCCAGATGAGTTGGCCATGTGCTTGACGCTGTCAAGATATCTTTCGAGGCTGGAGGCATAGTCACTAGCATTGAATGGAACAACGGGGCTCTCACTCAGCGATGCTGCAAGGAGAGACCAAACCTTGGCCGCTGTAACGTGATATTGGAAGGTGGGGTCTCCGTATTTGATCATCCAGGCATAGCTGTCATAGTTGCTGTGATAGTGGTAGATAGGATCCAAGGGGCCAGTCTTTCCAAACCCGAAATCAGCGCTAGGAATACCAGCAAAGTCTTGGAATGCTGTAAAGTCGGAACCTGATCCCATGGTTCCAATATGCTTGTCCCACAAGTCGTACACAGTTGATCCTTCAACAGTCTGGTTTGGCGACTGAATAGACTTGGTAACTTCGTAGATGGCTTGGTTAAGCAGAGGTGCAGCATTGGCATTAAATCTAGTGCCACGAGTGCCAACGTCAACGTTGAGGTAAGCAACAGCAGAATCCTTGAGCCATGGCAGGTAGTCTTCAACCCATTCAGTGGAGCCGACGAGACCATATTCTTCACCATCCCAGCTGGCGAAGACGATGGTTCTCTGTGGCTTCCAGCCTTTTGACAAGGCAATACCGAAGGAGCGAATAACTTCATTGAGAGCTGCAGATCCTGAGTTGGGGTCTCCAGCGCCGCCAGCAATCCAAGCATCTCTGTGGTTTCCGAGGATAATTACTTCATCCGAAAGAGATCCGTTGATGATGCCAATGGTGTTCCAAATCGGTGTGATGGTGTAGTTCTGCAGGTTCATCATGTTAATGGTGACAGATGGCGGGGAAGGGCCAATATTGTAGGAGACGTTCTTGTGTTCAAGACCACCTTTGTGCCAACGAGCAGGGAAGGATGACGCATTTGGTCCATGACCATTCAGAGCCTGGAGCAGGGGAATGGCCTCGGCGTACGAGATGGGCAATGATGGGATCGAGGGCGTGGATACGTTTGCAGGCTTGCGAGGCACACCAGGCTTCGAGGCATAACCAGGAGTGGTGGGATCGCCAGGGAACTGACCTGCACGCTGTAAGTTAGCGACAGTCGCAGCACAATCACAGAGACGACCTACTCAGATATTGTACGCTGCCTCTCTGCACTGAGCTGGGATTTCTGGCAGGTCCTTCGGGGTAAGGTTTGTAACCATTGACTTCGGTGATAAGTCCATCGTCACCAGGATCGGAATAAATGATAGTTCCCACCATACCAAGCTCCTGAGCTCTCTTAATCTTGAGACCACGGAAGATACCGCCATACCTGACAAGAGCAATCTTGCCCTCCAGATCGATACCTGCAGCAAGCAAGTTCTCGAAGTCAGTAAACGTACCAAAGTTGCAGTAGACATATTGCGCAGTGACGTTTCCGCTAGCAGAGTAGCCATGGAAGGTAGGCACGCGATTCTTGAGGCCTGATGTGGGATCCTCCTCTAAGACGTCTTCCTCAAGAGTCGCCTCGAATGAAACTTCTCCATCCTTCAACAGAGCAAGTCTGTGGTCCAGAGGATAGTTTATGTAGACATCATATGGCACGACCTCGCTCTTGACACCGAACTCTTCCCATCTGTCCCTCGTCCATTCCGCCTGGCTTAAATTCTGTCCAGCGAGGTGAGGTCCAGCAGTATAGAATTGAGACCACTCCTTTGCCTTGGCCGGATCGGGTGTATCAAAAAGGATGTTCTTGAGGTCTGCATAATTCAGGCCATCTCCAGCAGGCCACTGCGAGTGTGGTGGATTGATGGGCCCAGACAAGCTACTCCATGGGTCAAGATGATCCAGTTTGTCGTCTCCGAAAAGGTCGCTTTGACCGAAAGCGTAGGATAGAAGCGCGAGCGCAACTGTGGTAAGCGGCAGGACGACCAAAGCTATGGTGCAAAAGCGGCGAAGCTGTACTGTTTCAGTGGCCCGTCTTTGCCTGTATCCGCTCCCAACAAGACCATGATATGGCCCGCAAACAAACTCACAGTATGATGTGGATATCGATCACGATGGGGCCGCACAGCAACGACTTGCAGGAGCGGGGTCTGCTCGTCGTGAGAGGCCATGTTTCCAGCAGCTTGCTTCTCGCTCATATCATTCATCATCAGCACCTTGCGATTGAGAGAGGCAGGTCGCGAGGAACTGACGAGCTCAAGCAGTATATGGTCATTGATTCAGAGTTATTGTTTCGCCTACTCCACTTCTGCTGGTAGATAGGGCGTTTGCGCGACCGATGACCTTCCATCTTGAGCTTGGGCTCGCCGAACGATGTCATGGTCTTGGCACTCCCCCAGGCACTCATCCGGAGATCAGGCCGTCCAAGCCTGCACGCTGTCCCAGTCTTCGGACCTCACTGCGTTCTCTGTTGCAAACAGCACCTGGCGAGATGTCGAATCATGTCGCGAATGACATGCCAAGACTATCTGGAGACGTATCCGTGAGTATGTTTGGACCCTGGCCAGGCTATCCTCATAACGTTCAGCGCTTCTTCGTTGGATGCTCAAGATTTTCCCATATTATTGACTGCCCCATTCACCACAATCATGCTGAATATTGAGGATCACGTTGAGACAGTGGCAGAGTCTTGTCTCACAGCGGACAGGCTTTGCGTAAGAATGGGTTTTGATGGACCATTGAGGTCGAATGCTTGCTTGGCTTTAAACCAGCACACCTAGCTGCTATTCATTGAAAGATGGTTCCGTTGATATCCAATCGCTGTGGCTTTCATGGCACCGACCACGGGTTCTCTGCGATTCGTCCAGGCGGCCGCTGAGGCTGTAATTTAGCTTGGTCATGCAGATCTGGAAGCAAAGGATTCCATACTTGCGAGGCAACCAAATGTTGAGCTCTAGAAAGCAGATCATCCGAGACACCATGGGTGTGAATTTCTTTGGCCATATTTTGTGCTGTATTTCGGTCATCGATAGAATTGAGTAACGAAATTAGCGTTCTGAGTGTGCGGTTTTCATCCTGGAGTTTGCGCATTTCAATCTCGAGGTTGCGGTGATGATATAATAACTCTGCTTCTCTGTTGACCGTCTGCACAGGTGGAAGTGAAGCTGCGAGATATGGGGCGATGGTATTTGGAGACCTCTGATCAGAAGAAACGCCATTGGGCTCCGGAGCAGGATTGAGGAGAAGTCGCATTGGAACTCCGCCTGAAGGATTGTTAGACGATGAGGGGGTTGGTTCAGATATTGGATTCCGAACAACCACACCTCCAGAGTGAAAAGAAGAGCTTTTCAATACCTCTATTTCCTCTTCCAACTTTTTGATAGATGAGATTTGTTGCTCAATTTTTTGCTTGTAAGCAGCCACACGGGACTGATTGGGCTCGAGGTCGTATGTGCATGACGGGACACCGCGTTTGGTACAATTGCTGCAAGAAGGTTTTCCGCCATCACACTATTCACTCGAGTTAATGAAATTCATAGCAAAGAGCTCAATGAATAGGGGGCACACCTTGGTTTTTCGTCTTCTACAGTCCTGACAAGCAACACTCGCTAGTGGCGCTCGTTTCCTCGGCGGAGGCCCATTCGAAAGCGACGAACTAGAAGTCCTTTCCCCCACGGGGTCGCCGGCCTGGATGGCTGAATTCGAATATTGGACATCCGAAGCGGCACTGAGGGAGGGCTCTTCCTGGTTCATGGCTGTGAGGGCATGCCAGATCAGGATAGATGCCTTACTGGCTACGCGGTAAAGCGGTATGAGTAGGTGAGAGAAAACCTTATAGGGCTGACAGGAAAAAGTCGGCGGCACACAGAAGATATATAAAAGACAGAAGACAGACGCCTCGCCTTGAATTGAAGACGGGAAAGTAGTACCTGAACGTTGGTGCAGATCGAAGCAAGAAAATACAGACTTTTTGGTTCAGGACATGGTGAGAAAGAAGGATAGAATCGTGGAGAATCATGATTTGCCTCCTCAGGGATTTGCAGAGACAAGGCTTTTAAGAAGATGCTATCTTTCGGAAGGTGGATCGGCTGCTTGCTGTAGGGCAATATTAGGCGTCCGTGGGGAACAAGGGTGGCAATAAGATGGTCGGTGAGTGGTAGCGTACCCTACTTGCACACAGTATCTGGCAAAATGGTTAATTAGCTACAGCAGGTGAGGTCAGCTCGGAGACGGGGTTGTGGCCGACTTGAAGAGTGTATGGTCGAGGCGGCTGGTCGTGATACGCACGAGTTCTGCCCAGGCATGGAATTTGTGCAAGGGTACCGACCGCATTCTGCACAAACGCGACGCGATCTGATGGTGTTTTGTATACCTACACTGCACATTGCGCAATAAATCGAAGATCGCCAGTTTAATCAGACATGTAGGCGTCTTGCGCCCGGCAGGAGTGTTGATTCGTCGCGCCTGTAACCACACTATCAAGATGAGCTCGCCGTCTCTGCCGTCGCTGTCATCGCTGCATCCGGTACCACGCGCGCAGGGTTTCGTCACTGCTAGATCCGTTCTTGCCGACCTTGAATTACAGCAAGATCGCAGTACAGACGTTAATGCCCCCACAGAGAAGCCCAGGAGAGGACGACCGAAGAAGCCTGTCGGCGCAGATGATGCTTCCACCAGACCACGCGCTCGCAGGACAACGACGGCCATTGAGGATAATTCTGTGCTTGGCGACATAGCTACAAAACCCAAGACGCGTAAGAGAGGAGCTACAGCCTCGAACGAGGAAGGAGCGACCATCACGCCTGCATCCAAGAGAGGTCGACCAAAGAAGGCAACTGCGATTGAGCATGCTGCAACTGCTACGACAGACACAATCGAGGCCACGAAGCTTGTAGCGAAGCGAGGAAAGAAGAAGGCCTCTGAGCCCACTGATACCAATTCCAATGATGCTGCTGCTGCAAGGTCGAAGCCGCAACCAAAGCCTCGCAAGACGAAAGCCAAGTCGGTCGAAGACACTGCCATCTCAGAGCTGCCTACTGTCAACAATGCAGTAGACTCTGGTGTGCCGCCTGTCGTTCCTGCTGAAGCCCCGATTGAGGTGCTTGATCTTGTTCCTGCTCCACGGCGCAAACGAGATTGGACTCCGCCCACAGAATCAGTCCTGCCTCCCTCCTTTCAGCAAAGTAGTGATGCTTCACCCAACCCTGGACCTGCCGCTATCCATGATCTTGAGGGCGAGGATTACACTGGTGATGCCCCAGTAGCATCGGAGTTCACTAGACTGATGGGTGATTTTGCCTATCAAGAGGACAATCCTAGACCTGCTCCATCTCTATCTCGAACGCCGAGCGACGGTCCTACTACCAAGCGAAAACGCTTAGATCCTGTCGATGTAACCGCGGCTGAAGAACCGAAGAGACAGAAGAAGAAAGCTGTCGAGCCAAAGGAGCCGAAGGAATCAAAGCCTAAACCGCCTAAGAAGCCAAAGGCTCCCAAGAAGAAACCCCTTACCATCACTGCTCTCGCTACTGCAGCTTACCTGCCACAAACTGCTAAAACTGATGCTGATCATACTAAACTGATCTCGGACTTCTTCCCACAACCCCAGCCCGATACTGTCGCTGTGCCTGATGATGCTGCTGTTGTCAAACCGCCAGCCTCCAAGAAGAATGATCGTGCTGTTGAGGACAAGCCGGCGCCAAAACGCAAGAGGGCCGTGAAGAAGGTACAAATAACAGTGCCTGAGGTACATGTCAAGTTAGACTCTCCAGAAGCTGCTCGTGAGAATGCCAAGAGGCAGCAATGGCTGTTCGGAAGCTCAAGTCAACTGGCTGCAGCAGAGTCTCCCACCGAGCTTCGCGACTTACAGCAGGCGCTCAAGGAGTCTGAAGATATGATCTCTACACAGCAAATAGATAGCTCACGTGCCACGAGCTGTGCTCATGTACCATCCGCCCCGCATGGCACCAGTCTATCTATTGGACAAGCTGATAGAGCTCTGTGGATGTCTGCCGCTAGAGACTTTGAGGACTCCACCTTCGCATCTGATGAGAGTCGCGACAATGATGATCTGGTAGCAGCGACAAAATCGGTTGCACCACAATATCCGCCCAGCAGTGCAAAGTCCGCGCCTGAGTCTCGTCTTTCAGAAGTCAGGCCCCAAGTCGAAGTGTTGACGATATCGTCGTCGGCTCCTAAGGAGCTCGAGTCGCCAGATTCTGGGTATGTGGATGTTAATGAAGTTGGCGGTCTTTCGCCCTCAACGACTCGCTTACCCATGGATATACCACCTGCCAGCTCAAAGACCAGAGCGGTCGCGAGCGGAGATTCCAAACTCCTCGAGATGATTCCCTTGGATACCACTCCCGAAACAGAAATATTACCTCGACGCGCTCTAGGTGCTCGCGACCCGAACACCAATATCACGAGAAAGGCTTATGATGCTGAGGACAAGAATTCGGACGTCTCTCCGAGAATATCTACCATTAAACCATCAATTGTTTGTCTAGACTCCTCAAAAAAGCGACCGGTTGTTCGTCCGCGCAAGACGATAAGCGATGCAGCACAAACATCACCTATTGCCATCAGGCAAGTATTGATTGACCCTTCTACTTTGTCGGCACGAGAAGTGGCTAGACAAAGAATCTTTGCTGCTAGCCCGACTCGGGATTCTGTCCAGCCTCCGGGAGGAGGGTTACACGATAGACTACCCAGTGCCACTCAGAGTCCGCATTCCAAATCAAGGAACAGGCTTTCGAAGCCTGGACCTACTCTCAGTCTTGTATCGCCAACACCACCGAGGGGCCGACCTCGACGATCTGCCAGTCCTGGTGATCTACCTGTACCATCTCAACTTCGCAAACTACCTTCCTTACCTAGCGCTTCCGCTCAGCATGCTTCAGTCGTCGAGCCATCATCTGATTACCTCGACATCGATGCCATCTCAGATATAGACGTTGCAACCCACGTACCCTCGCCACCACGGCGCACCCCGACATCTCCACCCAGGGCAACGCTAGAATTCGACAGACCACCACCACCACCGCTACCAAGCATTACAGCCTCAACCGCTAAATGTAGCGCTAAACAGATTCTGGCAGAATGGCCTGGCATTGCTCAAACCTTGTTCCCAAAGATCACAAAGACTGTACGCTCTACGCCGCCTAGTCAAGATCACAAGAATCCCACTTGGCATGAGAAGATGCTTCTCTATGACCCGATCGTGCTTGAAGATTTGACATCATGGCTCAATGCCCAACGTGTACGTATCGAACTTTCAGTGCCTAAGGTAGTCAAGGGTAAAGGAAAGAAGAAAGTCGATGTTGTTGAAACTATAGAAGAAGCTACAGAACTAGTGCAAGAAGAGTTGCAGCCTTGGATGGTGCAGAAATGGTGCGAGGAGCATAGTATTTGTTGTTTGTGGAAGGAAGGCTTGAGAGGCGGTGTCCGGCAGAAGTATTGATATGTATTCTTCTAGCAAGGCGTCGTCTGTACATATGCATTAGGGACATCAGAATCATGAAAATGGGACTGTACGAATCAGTAACCAAAGCGGTAGGAGGAGCATGTTGAACTAGTTACCTTATCAATGCTTCGGCAGGTCGGAGCACATCCACAGCAAGCTCTTTCAAGATGCACCAGCTCTTACAGATCACAACATTGCTCTCGGTGGTGCTGACATTTATTGCTACCAGCAAGGATCTCAACCCATCCTTGGGCGGACTGATAGAATACATTGACAAAGAGGGAAGAAAGTTAATTAGGGACAGGGTGTCTACAACCACAAAGCAACATACTCGGCACATCATTGACCCGAGCATTCGTGAGACATCAAAGGCCATTGCTCTAGATCATACTGAGTAAATATTCAATGTGGTCTCAGATAGAAAGGTCATGATCCAAGAATGTGTTGCTTTGCTATGTCTGAGACATATTGTGGAAATGTCTCTTGCTCAGTTTGAACGAAAGAATGTCTCTTACACATGTTGAATGAAAGAGCGACGTCAAACATAGCATTGATGTGCCACACTGTTGAGCGACAGACTCAGTGGTCATAGTAGTCAAGCCTATATAAACAAGCCGACTTGACTACCACAGTCAGTTCATAGCCAACACTCACATTTCAACAGTACTGAAGATGAAAGCATTCCTCAAGAGCAGACAGCACAGCAAAGCAGAATCCTGCATATCAAGCAGCACTACTGAAGCCCCAACGCACAAAGCCTCAAGACCATCAACACCGACAGAATGGTGGCTTGCTTGAGAAAATGCCTTCGATACAGCAAACCGCCTATACAAGAAACTGTACAGAGATTCTGATGAATCCCACTACTCGCGCGAGCAGGACTATGACGAGAACGAGGATGATGAAAAGGCTCTGCCACCTTTGAGCCCGTCCTCTCTGGACTGGAATGCTAGTCGTTGGTTTTGGACTACTGAGCGTTCAGGGATGTGGGTTGAACACGTTGTCAGCAGCGACTGGGTCATGCTTGATCTGAATGATGGCGTTCAGAAGGTCTCTGTTGATACGACAGACGCTGCCATCTCTCGTTCAGAGCTCGAAGTGAACATCGATGCAAAGCCCGCCAGTCCAGCTAAAAAGGCAGGAGCTACACAAGTCACCACTGCTGCAGAGCTGCGACGTAGACCAAAGTTGACCATACAGATACCGAGCGGCATGCCAAACTATTATTCCAAGCATGGACCGAATGACTATTCCAGCTGCAGACCTCACATCACGAGTGAGGAGCGTGCCGAGTGGAGGAAGAACATGTTTTAGAGTGCTTGCAAGGAGAAGGGGTCAATCAGAATATGAGGCTTACCTCTCTATGGCAGTTCCTAGAATTTAAGAGATATCATACTTAGACTGAGGCTTAATGACAATGTGTCCTAACATTGATGACTAAGTCTACTTTGATGGACGCTGATCTCCAGCCTCGCCGAGGTGCGAGGAGAAGGTGCAACCCGTGTTTGAGAGCCTATGGCTGTGTCCAGTGTCCATGGAAGATAGTTGTATTTCAGCGTCGTTAACGAACAGCCGGAGATAGATCAGAACACGTGTTCGCTGGCACAAAGTAACACACAATCCACGGAGTTGGCGGTAGAAATAGATTGATGGTCTTCGATGAGGTTCGGAGCGGGGTGTAGGATGTGGAGCTCTCTTTCCGCTTTGGGCCTAGTGTGGTGGTTGGTCTAAACGTGTCCTTGTGCCGGCGATAGTGCCCATCTTGTTGCTTTAAGGACAGTCTGTCTTCACAGTTGCCGCCAACTTGTCTTTCTTTGCTTGACTTGAGTCGACCAATTGATTCGAGATGAAGTTCCAAAACTACCTTGCCGTCGGTCTCTGCGCCGCCGTCTCTCGCGCCGACGTGCTCGACGACCTTGAGGACTCCGCCGTCGATGCCTCATCGTCTGTTGCTTCGGTCGTCGAGTCTGTGACTTCGTCGGCTGTCAGCAAGCCCACCTTCACCCCTACCACTCTCAAGGCCCCCTTCCTCGAGCAGTTCACCGACGACTGGGAGTCAAGGTGGCAGAAGTCCGAGGCCAAGAAGGAAGGCACCGAGGAGGAATGGGCTTACGTCGGTACCTGGAAGGTCGAGGAGCCTTCAGTCCTCCGTGGTATTGAGGGCGACAAGGGTCTGGTTCTCAAGGACAAGGCTGCTCACCACGCCATCTCGGCCAAGTTCCCCAAGGCCATTGACAACACCGACAAGACTCTGGTTGTCCAGTATGAGGCAAAGTTCCAAGGTAAGCTCAACTCGCAATCTTGCACACCCAGCACATCTGACGCGTCCAATAGCCGGCCTTGAGTGTGGAGGTGCCTACATGAAGCTCCTCCAGGATAACAGCGCCCTCCACGCCGAAGAGTTCTCCAACGCCTCGCCCTACATCATCATGTTCGGTCCCGACAAGTGCGGCTCCACCAACAAGGTCCACTTCATCTTCCGCCACAAGAACCCCAAGACCGGCGAGTACGAGGAGAAGCACCTCAAGAACCCTCCCATGGCTCGCATCAGCAAGCAGACCTCTCTCTACACCCTCATTGTTCGCCCCGACCAGACTTTCGAGCTCAAGGTTGACGGCACTTCCCTCAAGAACGGCTCTCTCCTCGAGGACTTCACTCCCTCTGTCAACCCTCCCACCGAGATTGATGACCCCAAAGACAAGAAGCCCGCCGACTGGGTTGAGGAGGCTCAGATCGCTGACCCCGAGGCTACTAAGCCTGCCGACTGGGACGAGGACGCTCCCTTCGAGATTGAGGACACTGAGGCCGAGAAGCCCGCTGACTGGCTCGAGAACGAGCCTCTCCAGATCCCCGACCCTGAGGCTGAGAAGCCCGAGGACTGGGATGATGAGGAGGACGGTGACTGGATGCCTCCTCTTGTCCAGAACCCCAAGTGTGACGACGTTTCTGGCTGTGGTCCCTGGAAGGCTCCCATGAAGAGAAACCCCGAGTACAAGGGCAAGTGGTCCGCTCCCATGATTGAGAACCCTGCCTACAAGGGTATCTGGGCTCCTCAGAAGATTGCCAACCCCGACTACTTCGAGGACAAGACTCCTTCCAAGTTTGAGCCTATGGGTGCCGTAAGTTTGACCCTTGCGCAACGATTCTATACACATGACACTAATCTTTTGCACAGATCGGTTTCGAGCTCTGGACCATGCAGAACGACATCCTCTTCGACAACATCTACATTGGTCACTCCGAGAAGGATGCCGCCGCTCTTGCTAAGGAAACCTTCGAGGTCAAGAACGCTGTTGAGAAGGCCGAGGAAGAGGCTACCAAGCCCAAGAAGGACGAAACCAAGGACACCCCCAAGTCTCCCATGGACCTCAAGTTCGCCGACGACCCCGTTCTCTACGTCCGCGAGAAGCTCGATCTCTTCATCACCATCTTCAAGCGTGACCCTGTTCAGGCTGTTCAATTCGTTCCCGAGGTTGCTGGCGGTCTCGCTGTTCTCATTGTCACCGTCCTCGCCCTTCTCCTTGGTGCCATTGGTGGTGGTGCCGCTGCTGCTCCCAGCAAGGACCAGGTCAAGGCCAAGGCCGAGCAGGCCAAGAAGGCTGCTGTTGACACTAAGAACCAGGCTGCTGAGGCTGTCACCTCTTCCGCAAAGGCTGCCAAGTCTGAGGTTCAGCAGAGAAGCGGTGCTGCCAAGTCGTCTTAGGTCGAGGCTTGGTCACCAATGCCTCACTAAGTGAGGACGAGAAAAGAAGAAACTAGTTTGAGGAAGAAGAGTTTGAAACATCATTACTATTACCCCAGCCAAGAGGCTACGTTTTTTGTTAGTTTTGCAAAAGTTGAGAAACTTGAGCGTATATGATATTTTACCCATACTATGAATCATTGATTCCCGTGAGTGACCTCCTTATCTGGCAACCCTACTCAGAAGAAAACTCGTCTCTTTATGCACTTGATGATGTAGGCGGGGGAAGACATTTTTGTATTCTTCCGAAGTACGACATGCGAGGGTCGTGCTCGCCGGTGACTGTTATAAGCCGTTGGAAAAATTCAGCCTTGCGTATATTGGCTGCATGTACCGAAGAAGAGTGATAACTCTGATCGAACTTCATATCGTCTACACAATCCTCATTGTCATCTCTGAACATCATTGTGCTTATATATTGAAGGCTAGATCAGAGTCGCTTCGTTGATGAGACATCAGATATGTCGCTTTGGCTTAGCCAGGTACAGATGTGTCTGGAACGGAACGGATAGCTACGGACGCAAGGTACGGAAAACTTAGTCGAGAAAATGTCCCTTCTGCTGACTCGTTGTAGGTCCTAGCAGGTGCACGCGAGTCGACAACAAGTTTAGCGGAGGATAATCCGGAAGACTTTGGGGTGTAAAAGGCAAGAGATGTGCTGAGCACGCTGCACACGGCCACGTCGTCGTTCTGGAGCCAGGCGGTCTGAAGGCTGCTTACTCGTCGTATATCGCGTGAGTCTGGCTAGAGTAGCTGCTGGATTGAGTGATCGTCCGGACCGTCGAGAGCACTGACTGATCCACCCCCTCATTGCGGCGCTCATGCTCGGCGAGCAGTCTCCACGAGTAGTATTGATGTGCGATAGGAACCTGCAGGACAGGAAAGAACCAAGGTACAGAGTACCATATGGGGACCACGGAGTAAGTCTACCTCTCTATACATCTAGCAAGGGTCTTGTCAAAGTTGTCATAAGAGTAGAGTATGGCGGCCTCGAGTCGCATTTCTGGCTCCACCAATGTCCATTGGCTGGTGTTGGAATAGTCTTTTGCGGCTGCAACGTCTACTAGCGTTTCACCGTTCGTCCTACCCAACATTCACCACGTTCTACCTCTCTTTGGCAAGACATGCTGAGACAGGAACGGGCCATGACTCTCAGGATTCGTCAATGGGCGTTCTCTTGTACTTGCCTTCGTCCATGTCTTCTTTGCTCTTTAGAGGCCTCTCTGGCAGAGCGTCAACCACCACCTGCAGCTTTCTTCGCTCAGTATGCTGTCGTTGAGTGTACCTCATGAGAGTATCACTATCGTAGCGGCAATTTGCGTGTCGCTAGCGACCGCCTCGGTACTTCTGAGGCTATGGGTACGGTCGCACTTCCTGACCAGCGGTCTCCAAGCAGTAAGTCGAAGACACCTTAGGGCTACATGAGCCACGCAATCTGCACAATCGCAGTATGCCTGTTGAAGCAACCCCGGCTAAATTGCATTCCTTATTAGGACGACTGGACAATCCTCGTCGCCGCTATACTCTTCATCGGATTCTGCATCATCGCTTTCATCCTTGCCAATGCGGAAGCCGCCAACCCCGTCTTCTCTGCTGAGACTGGCGAACCCGTCATACTCACGCTCCTGTGTGGTGAAGTCGTCTTCCAAGCCACCTGCCTGGTCTTCAAGCTCTCCCTCACAATCTTCTTCCGCAAATTCCTCATTGAAGAATGGCAACGATGGCTTGTGTTGGGCTGCGGCTTCTTCTACTGCAATACCTGCGTCATTGGGATCTTCATTGCGCTCTTCCAGTGTGGTCTGCCTACGAATCTTGTACACAAGCACTTAGCAGGCCAGTGTATCAAAGAGGAAGCATTCACTGCGTTGTTGTATGTCCACGGCATTCTATCGGCAGCAACAGATTGGGTCTTCGCTCTATTGCCCACCATAACACTATACCGCTCCAACCTCAGTCGCGGGGCAAAAATCTCCTCGTCTTGTCTTATGCTGCTCGCTTGCGGTGGTTCCATCGCCGCTATCGTGCGCACAGTTACCACTGGCACATACATCATTCGCAACAAGTACTTCGACCCAAATTTGAAGCCCAACTACTATTCAATCTCGGCACCCATGATCAATCTTACTGTCATTGAAGTAGGGTTGGGTATCACTGCTGTCTCACTGGCATGCTTACGACCACTGATGAGACGCGCAAAGGTCGTAGGACAACACTTCACCTCTCGGCTCATGGGATCAGACATGTCCAAAACGGAGATCACAGACGAGGAAGCGACTGTAAACTTGGTCGTTGTCGACACGAAACAAATGAATGGACCTGTGCCTACCGGATCTTGTTGGAACAGAACTCCGGCTCTGGGAGCAGCAACCAATGCACCGCCAGATCTTGAAGCTAGCTGGAACAAAACGCCAGCATTAGGAGCAGCAAATCCGCTTGAAGCTAGTTGGAACAGGACTCCAGCCTTGACAGACGACATAACGAATGCGCCCCCTCTAGGTGCCAGTTGGAGCAAGACTCCACCCTTGGCAAGCATCACAAGTCCACAGTCTACTCTAGGTGATAGCTGGAGCAAGACTCCGCCTATAGGAACACTTCTGCCACCTCTTGGGTCAAGCTTCAACAAAACTCCTGCTGTTGGAGTTACAGAGCCACCACCGACTTTTGGTGCTAGCTTTAACAGAACTCCGGCTATAGCAGCTTCGATAGATGAGGAGCACGAGGAATCAAGTTGGAAACGGATGCCACGACGAAAAAGATCCAGGTAGAATTCATGCAAAGAGATAACGAATATATGACAATTACATTACACCAGTAGAATTAGTCAAGCCTACGGAGAATGATGTGCAAACTTACATAACTCAACAAGACAATCTAGACTGAGAGCGGGAGTCTGGGCTCTGGCGCAAGGTCCAGCATATCAGCCCGCAGTCCAGATGGCATTTGAGAAGGTGATGGCGATGAGGCAAAACGATAATGTCATCAACTCAGAGTAAAATGCAAAACGTACAGCAGCAGGGATTCCCACGTGGTCACCCACCGTAGTACTAATCTGCCGTTCAACTGCTTATGTATGGCAGAGCGGACGGGATGCCCAGTTTTCAGCTGACTGTGGCCGTACGTGCTCATGTGCTCGCTGACATCAATGATATAGTCTAGCTATCTTAACGTTGCTAGCTCAATCCTTCAGAATCATACACCAGTTCAGACTGTTCGAGACGTATAGGCACTCTACAAAATTATTTCTTTGGCTGCCTGAAGGATGGGAGAAAGTTTTTAGTATTGATTGAAGAACACCCAGTAAGGACTCGAATGTCGTGTAATGGAGATGCCATGAGTATAAAAACATACGTTGAGTTACCTGCTTGTCACAGTCTTCAGGATGTAGTGGTCTCCTAGAAGGATGATGTTCGAAGGATTGGACTATATAGGTACTAGAACGAAGGTCACTAACGGCTAGCGCCTCAAGTCTTGGTTGCCTCACCTGTCACCGACTCCTTGTTAATTTCCGGGGTGCATCAAGCATCACAAAACAGCTACCTTTATGGTCCTGTTTAGCACCACATCTGCAATCTACCTCCAGCAAGGAAAATTAACTATCAAGACAACAAGGCATAATGGCCACATCTCCAAGCACACCTCTCCTGCCCACTACGGACTCTTCCCGCAAAGCATTAAGCAGCACCTGGAACGACTTCTGCGACTTTGCCCTTCGAGATAATGTGCTTGAGGTTGCTGTAGGACTTATCCTCGCTGCTGCATTCAGTACTGTTGTTTCCAGCTTTGTCAGCGATATCTTGTTGCCGCCCATCTCGTTGTTGCCATTCTTGAGCCGTAATTTGGATGAGCGGTTTGCGACCTTGAAGCATGGACAGAATAAGACTATGGGGTATAATACTGTTCAGCAGGCGCTTGAGGATGGTGCTGTTGTTATGGCGTACGGGTGAGTCTTCCTCTCTTCAATGTTCCTTCTTGGTCCAAACTTTTTTGCCGTCTGAGCAAGACATAGCTGATTCCCAAGGTCAGAACATTCCTGAACAAGTTGTTCAAATTCCTAGGCATAGGAATTGCACTATATGCTATAGTCAAGGCATACATTTACTGCAGCCATGACGAGGGTATTATCAAGCATGAAAAGAAGTGCCAGTATTGCCGCAAGAAGATTAGTATGAAGGTATGTCTCTTCGTGGGCACCTACCTTTGTCAAAATGTCTGATCATACATAGGCAAAGCGTTGCTTTAACTGTACCAGCTGGCAAGACGGCAGAGAGGACCGAATGTAATAGGCAGCCTCATGTCGAATACTGATCTGATCCGCAGACACGCGACTGCATCTCCTCAAGCTGCGTACAAAGACACACAGATACCATCTGCAAGGGGCCGGTCACGGAATGATGAAGTCGAACGATCGCGGAGACTGGTGTCTGGTGTTATGATAATGACCTCGACATTCCTCGCGTGCCGTCTTGGATATGCACGCGACACAGGGCACAAAAGCAAAAGTCGCAAACATGGAACGAAATAGGCAGGTCAGGATGACCTTCCAAGAGATGTTACATAACCTGTTGCATCTGCTACTATCCGTAGGAGTACACGAGAGTACACGGAATTGCAGGATTCCTTCTTCGTGCATCGAGATGCCCTGATTCTTGTCGGTGAGAACTTTCCGCTGCAGAGCCCCACTTTTTCGTGCTTGACGACCTGTCGTACCTTCCTCTCGCAACAACATCCGTTCATCCCTATCAATGATCAGAAGTCTTGCACGCCTCTCGAGCCAGCTATCGCGCATTGCCACGGCGGAATGGTGCGATTCAGAAGATTCGGTTGCAACAACCGACGGCTTTACGAGGTTCAAGCAATCGAGCTCCAACTTGGCCCACCCTCTAAACTTTCCTGGGCAGGTGCTACTGATTAGCCCCGGATCTATATCCCCAGAAATTGTGCCATGACGGCATGGTTTATCTGTGTTTACGAGAATGTTAAACTTAACCTGCCTAAGCAGGGAAAGATCATTGCAAGGTAGCTATGCGATTGTTGACAGACGATGCAACTGCGCGATTTGCTGCCTGGCACGCGAGGTAGGGAAGGACCATGCGACAATGCTATAAACACCGCCAGGCCCACGCCTGCTTGACTTTCTCTTGAGCATCCAACATTCTTGGAGCATTGATCCACAGCATTACTATCATGCGCTTTTCACTGCTTCAGATTGGCGCCGCCCTTGGGTTGGCTGCCTCGGTCAGTGCCTCTTCGCCTGGCCGCAATGTTTTCGAACGCGCCGAACAATTGAGAGCAAAGGCTCCCATCATTGAGAAGAGAGAGATTGGCAAGCCTTTCGAGCACCCAACACTTCGAAAGAGAGCTTCGCCCTACCTCAACAATGTCACTGAGAGTGAGTCCCTTTTTTTTGTCCACAATTCGAGTGCAATAACTAACCTAACAACAGAGTTCTGGGTCAATGGCTCTGCCCTCCCCGATGTCAACTTCGACGTTGGCGAGTCGTATGCTGGTCTCCTGCCCATCAGCGGTGCAGCCAACGAGACTCGCGAGCTGTTCTTCTGGTTCTTCCCTTCGACCAACCCCAACGCCACAGATGAGATCGCTATCTGGTTCAACGGTGGCCCCGGTTGCAGTTCGCTCAGTGGTCTCTTGACAGAGAACGGCCCATTTACCTGGGAGGCCGGAACCCTTGAGCCTGTCCAGAACCCATACGCCTGGACGAACCTTACCAACATGCTTTGGGTTGAACAGCCCGTTGGTGTGGGTTTCTCCCAAGGTACACCCAACATCACCAACGAAGTCGAGCTGGGTCTTGAGTTCATCGGTTTCTACAAGCAATTTGTCGACGCTTTCAACCTTCACAACTGGAAGGTCTACTTGACTGGCGAATCATACGCAGGTTAGCATTCATCCACAGACGCGCTACAAGACTTTTGCTGATCATTCAATCTCCTGCAGGTTTCTACGTGCCTTACATCGCCGACGCTTTCATTACCGCCGCCGATACTGTCTACTACAACCTCAAGGTAGGAGCTTCCATGAAAAAAAAAAAAAAAAAAATCAATCTCAAAGCAGAAATTGACAAAATCAGGGAATTGCCATCAACGACCCCATCATTGGAGACGAGACAGCCCAGCAGCAGGCCGTCATCGTTCCTTTTGTTGACTACTGGGAGAATCTCATCTACCTCAACGAGACTTTCTTGCAGCAGATCCATGACCGTGCCGACCAATGCAACTACACCTCTTACCTGGAGAAGTACCTTACCTTCCCTCCTCCTCAAGAACCATTCCCCACTCTCCCAGACCCGTACGAGTCCGACACATACGCGTGCGATATGTTTGACACTGTGTACGAGGCCGTCTTGCTAGTGAACCCTTGCTTCAACATCTACCACATTACCGAGACCTGCCCTCACCCCTGGTCTGTTCTTGGAGGTGTCAATGTTGGCGATTACGTTCCTTCTGGAGAGGTCGTTTACTTCAACCGCACCGATGTTCAGAAGGCCATCAACGCTCCCGTTGGTACCAACTGGCAGCAATGCACCAACATCAACGTCTTTGGTGGTGCCGACAACAACCAGTCGCTGAGTGACACCAGCAAGGGCCCTGCTACTGACGGCGTTCTCCAACGTGTCATTGAATACACCAACAACACCATCATCGGCTCTGGTAACCTTGACATGCTGCTTTCTACCAACGGCACTCTTCTTGCCATCCAAGGCATGTCGTGGAACGGAAAGCAAGGTTTCCAGGAGTACCCCGGCAAGGAATTCGATGTTCCCTACCACCCTGAGTACAACGGCGGTGCTCTCGCCGGAGCTGGCAAGGTCGGATATTGGGGTTCCGAGAGAGGTCTTACCTTCTACCAGGTCCAGCTTGCCGGTCACGAGCTTCCTGGCTACGCTCCTGGCGCTGCCTACCGTGCCATTGAGCTGCTTCTCGGTCGCATTGACTCCTTCGCAACTGAAGGAGACTTTACCACTCAGACTGGTAACTTTACCGGCAATGGTACCATCTATGCCCAGCAGAAGATTTTTTAGAGAAGACATGAAGCCAGGTGCCTGACTTCGCGTGTGATGCATGCGTTCTACACGAACCTAGTCAGCTTTTTGTGGTGTTGCATCCGCAGGTGTTGATGAAGGACTGACGAAATGACGAACTCTAATGTCGCTACTGTATCGAGAGAACAAATGAGCAATAGAATCTGATCTTGCGTGATGTGTTTCGTCTGACTGTGCGTAATGAAGAATTCTAACTGTTCTCATCACCAAACAAGTAGGAGTATGACTTGGGTGCCCTTCTTTGCAGATGTGTCTTGGCGGGTTTCAATGCAAACACTCCTTTACACGAAGGCTCGACCGTCTTCATATCAGAAACTTGGGCAAATTCACAGCTACCCTTGCGACAATGGTAAGAATAAATTTTCACTTCAACTTTGTACACGACGTGATTGTTGCTTAAAGGTTTCTGACCGTGATGCCGGACCGATTTTGGGCAATAGATAGGGCAGCCCCGCCTTTTCGCCTCGGCGAAGATAGGCCTCCTCTTTGCCCTACACGCCATGAATCATTCATAAATATCTGGTTTCCCGTTGTCGGAGTTGCTGAAGTGATGATAAGCTTCCGGCTGAGGCGCCGGGCACAATGTCACGGCCGATGATGATAACGGACCTTGACTTCCTCCTTCTCTACACTATCTCGAGCTAGTCATTTATATCTAGTACCCGGCGCTGGTATAAGAACGCATACTGCACCTTGTCTAGCTCTCTAGAGACCAACGAAGACATGGGCTCAGCAAGTCAAGCGATCAGCGAGGAAACCGACGTCGTCATAATTGGTGCTGGACTTGCTGGTCTTACAGCAGCCCGCGATGTCATCAAAGCAGGTCTTTCCTGCATTGTCTTAGAAGCCAGAGATCGCGTCGGCGGTAAAACCTGGAGCCAACAGCTTCCTGATGGGAAAGGAACTGTTGATTTGGGAGCTGCTTGGATCAACGACGTCAATCAAACTCGGGTGTATGCTTTAGCTAAGCAATACAATGCAGAGTTGATTGAGCAAAATACTACTGGAAATTGTGCTATTCAAGATGCCAGTGGTGTTATTTCGAGTTTTCCGTATGGAGAATTGCCGTCTGTGAGTTACGGGCCTTGTCTTGTTGTTCTGGATCAAAAACTGAATAAATTAGTTTGATGCTGCTGCAAAGGAAGATGTTGCACGAATCCGCGATATGTGCGAGGCAGATTGTCAGAAATTGGACACGTTCAACCCTGACGACAAAGCCCTTGACTCGATGAGCTTCGAAGCATACCTACAATCACGCGGGGCCAGCGAAACAAGCATGTCTACAGCAACTGTGTGGACACGAGCAATGCTCGGACAGGAACCCAAGGATCTATCCGCACTGTACTTTCTCAACTACTGCAGATCTGGGGGTGGTCTTTTGCAAATGAGGTCTGATAGAAAAGGTGGTGGCCAGCATCTTCGTGTCCGACAAGGGATGCAGCTATTCTCGAAGGGACTCGCTAGTGATTTGCCAGATGGCGTGATACGTCTGTCTAGTCCAGTAACAGCTATCAACAACAATACTGGCAATGGCGCTGTCGAAGTACATACCAAAGGCCACACCATTCGTGCTCGCAAGGTCATCACAACTGTTCCGACGCCAGTTCTCAAGAACGTTTCATTCTCACCAGACTTACCCCCAAGCAAGCGAACATGGATTGAGTCGACAACGTATGGCTACTACACAAAAGCCATGATGGTCTTTCGCACGCCCTTCTGGGTCGATAGAGGCTTTTGTGGCCTCACACAATCTTTCATCGGTCCTGCAGGCGTGATACGCGACACCAGTTCTCCGGCAGACAACAAGCACATCTTAACCTGTTTCCTAGGCGGTAAGCCTGGTTTCGCATGGGCAGCACTATCAGATGCAGACCGCGAGCAAAGTCTCTTGAAGCAAATTGGACAGCTCTTCAACGCGAAAGATATTGCTGAGAAGGAGTTTGTTCAAATGGTTACTTATGAATGGATCAAGGATGAGTATTCTGGCTGGGGATGTCCTTGTACTGGGTTACCTCCTGGTGTGCTATCTTCGCTCGGTGGTGGCAGTTTGAGAGAACCATGGGCGGACTTGCATTTTGCTGGTACGGAAACTGCTGGAGAGTGGAAGGGATATATGGAAGGTGCTGTACGAAGTGGTGAGCGCGCGGCAGCAGAGATCATCAAGAGTCTTCGGGCTTGATTTAGCTATGCTAGAGTCTGAATCTAAAGTCTTGATAGATTTGTGAATACATCGGTATACGGCCGTACCTTGAGAATGTCAGATCTGAATCATATTCTGACTGCCTCGGGAGGATTTCTCCACAGCCTTCGAGCGACTTTTTCCAAAGCTTACTTGTTTCCTGCTTTGGAATGATCTTCTTGAGTCTTACCGAGAGGAGGTGTCTGTCGGGCGATCGTTCTTCGTTTCTTGTCTTTATCAGAAAGGCGCTATTCTAGGGACTCGTGATCCGAGCTAGCGACGATCGGCTCCTCCAAGACCACACCTTCTCCTCAGTAGCGTCATGGGTGTCGTGATGCACAACCGCAAGATCGAAAGAAATCAAGTATGCTCAGATGAGGACATTCTGCCTTTGTCTTTGTCTTTCCAACAACAACACAGAATAAATTGTCAATGACTCAATCATGGATAACGAGAAGACAACAACCAGTCCATCAAGCATAGCAGGCTTGTCAAGCAAGATAATCGTCCGGGACGTTGGCGCAATCGACGACCCATCAGGGCATGCCTCACAACTGAAGAAAGGTCTACTATTCGTATGCACACCAATTGAATTCGCCACTTCAACCGACAAGCGATATCTGCGAGTCGATTTGGGGATAAAGACCCTCGTCAACACACTTCGAGGGCCAGACAACACCCGATATGTCTTCGATGGACCGGGGCTGGACAAGAAGAGCGAGAATTTTTGCTTAGAAGATGTTCTTGGGTTGAAGTCTTGCCTTGTGGTGCTTCGATCTGATGCATTCATCAAAAACGCCATGAATGAAATGCCTTCAAAGTCCAGATGGTGAGCAAACACCCTTGTTACGTGTTCAAATCAATAAAAGCTGAGCAGATCGAAACTCAGGAAATTCGAGAGAGACGCAGCAGTTACCAAAGATCGTAAAGATCCAGCATTGCTGGAGATAAGCAGGAATCTGGTATGGAAACGCAGTAATCTTGACGACAACTCTTTGATCCTCATCTTGTCTGGACCGATCATAGGGAGATTGTTCAACGAGGTGCTGTGTAAACCAGACTTCTACCCTCTTATCATCAGTGGCGACCGTATCATGCGAGACAACTCACTTTTGGTCTTTCTCTTGCTTCTAATTCTCGACGTCCCTTTCTCGGCAATCGAACACGTATACTTACAACTCAGTGAGGGTCTTCCGTTCGTACTCGATGAAGAGAGCAATAAACAGTGGGAGAAAGATGTGAGGTTCGAAGCTTCTGCTTGGGCGCAAGATCGTTCGCGGTGGGCAAGGATGCAGAGGCAGCGTTTGGATGGCAGGTATGGCTCTGTGTCGGCATATTTCACCACCATTGGAGTGACTGAGGCAACGAGGAACAGCATTAAGGAGATCTTGCTTGCCGGTGAGAGTAAAGCTCTGATCGACTTCTCATAGAGACAGTTTTATCTCATAAAAAACATGGCATGATTTTAAGAGACTCATGTTTTTGCGATTCTGTTGCGGTGGAAGTGACCCTCTTTTTGGCAATATTGTGAGGATTGCGCCTTCTCTGTATTACAGCTTTCTTGATACAAGAGCTTGTCCCCGTTGTGATAGGCATGTATGTTTAGGAAAGAACGTCTGTTGCATCATATTACGGTTTGCTTCAACATTCTACAGAGTCTAGCATGCGCAAGAGCAAGCGCACTCGCAACGTGGCTGCGCCTTCTATCTCTCCAAAAATAAAACAGGCCCTTGAGTATCATCGATATGGTATATTGAATCTGGATCTGGATTTTCAGAGAGTCTCTGATGGTTTCAAATCGGAGCTATGGCTCTATTTACATGTAAAGCGATGCTGTAGCGCAAATGTCGCGCTTAATCATCTCCTGGCAGGTCTGCATCTTAGTGAACAGTGTAGGATCACCGATGATCCTTGCCGCATTCTTGACTTCTCTGCATGTCTCGTCCAAACGTGTAATGACACGTACGATTGTGCCCTCCATCACATCCGTCAAGTCGGTGATACGGTTGAACGACATACCACGTGCCCACTCATAGATGACCTCGACCAAGCCGAATCTAGGTCTGCTCACAAAGTCATTGGAGTCGTCTGCTGACAAGATGACTTGGTGAAGGGTTTGGTAATGGTTGACCTTTTCAGAGATCTTGATGATGGTCTCTTGTCCACGCTCTAATGCTGGCGTCATGGTTGGGATCTGGTCAGTCTTCTCTTGGAACACAAAGGCGGAAAGCAATGCTACGATTTCCTCTGGTTCGTAGTCGGCAAGTACGTTCTCAAGAACCAACTCGGTCAGTACGAGCTCATCGGCGGAATGAATCTCGCATGCGACCTTGCCCTTGAGCTCAACGCGAGAGTTCTCATCCACGAAGCCAAGATCCTTCAGGACTGCGATACGTTGCTCGTAGTCAGGCAACAATTGCAGATTTTGGTCTGACATCAATGCGCGCAACTGGTTGATGTTTTCCTTGATAAGCCATTCATCGTGCATCATGGCAAAGTGCTTCTCCAGGTTTTCGCAGAGGACACATTCCTTGTTCTCCTGAGCATCGTAGGCTGCCTTGTTGCGCTCGTCCAGAATGTTGCGGATACCAATTTCCTTGATTCTTGAGTAGTCGGCTTCCTGCCAGGTGGCTGACGTCCAGCTAGAACATGCACCTAACAACTGTTCTTTCAACTGCTCCATAGCTTCTGGCATCTTGCTCGATGCGCCAGTGACGTCAAACTGCAAGGTACTTCCGGTCAAACACTCGAGCTCACTGTATGGCACTGTTGCGAGTCTAAGTTTCATCTGCTCGGGAGCTGAAGGCTGTGGAGTGAAGCGGCGCCTGTATCGAGGTAAGTAAGGCAGCAGATCAGCGTTTTGTCTCTTCGACTTGGAAGGAGCGACTTCCATGACCGACAGACTAGGTGAAATGCCCTTTGACACGCCTTCGCGCAGTAGAACACCAACAGTTCTGACGCCATCTCTCTTGTACACAACCAATCTCTTTGGTTGCAACATTCTCCTGCCGATCGGCGAGCTGAGAAGAGCAAGGTGCAAATCAGATGTGAGTTGCTGGTATCTCATGGCTGCGGTATGGCATTCTTCCAGGTCTTTGTCGCAGATGTCGCAAGGTTCTCTCTTGATTTTTGCAAGATCTGCTTCTGACAGTTTGACCTTTTGTTCGTGCTCAGGCAACAATGCTTGAGTGGCGTTCTCGCTGAAACTGCGCTTGATCATTTCTTCAATCTTCAGAGCTTCTACACGAAGAAGATTGAGAATCATGTTGTAGGTAAGTCGGAACTGAGAGCGAAGCTTGGTAGGATCACCCAGCATCATCTGTCTCAGACGGCCAGCAGGTGGTGCTTCGTCGGCTCCGGGAGCGACGATGATGACTGAACCAACAGGGTCCAGACCTCTTCTACCAGCTCTACCAGCCATTTGCGTGTACTCTCCAGGCAAAAGATCGCGGAACTGGCGACCGTCATGCTTTCGGTAACCTGAGAAGACGACAGTCCTGGTTGGCAAGTTCAATCCCATAGCGAAAGTCTCAGTAGCGAACAGAACCTTGACCAAGGTCTTGGCGAACAGAATCTCGACGCACTCCTTGACGATGGGTAGCATACCACCGTGGTGAACTGCGATACCTCTGCTAAGCAACTCGCGCAGACGTCTGATCTGAGGAAGTTGGCGGTCCTCTGGTTTCAACCGAGCAAGTGACTTCTCCAGGATCATGTGAATTGCGCTCTTCTCGGTTGCTGTGCAGTAATCCAGGTTCGACAAAGCATCGGCGTTTTCCTCACATCTCTTCTTGGAGAAGACGAAAATACAAGCGGGCAGCAGATCTTCCTTGCGCAAGTGCTGGATCAAGTGCACCCAAATGTTGCGGTCTTGAGCTGCTGTCGTTCTACCACCTCCACGACCGGTACGAGCAATGTTGCCCTGACCACGAGGAGCAGGTGCGCCTCCGCGACCACCACGTTGCTGTGCTCCGCCGCGCTGGGCACCACCTCTCTGCCCACCGCCACGTTGTGTCTGAGCTCGACCACCCCTCTGCGAACCACCGCCTCTAGCGGCGGCAGCAGCAGCTTCTTGCTTCTCCTCGGCTGCCTTGATCTTGTCCTTGCCGGAGAGAACATCATTCGCGTCCTTCCAGCCTTTCTCGATGAACTGCTTGTCAGCGTTGACGATCTTGTACATCTCCTTGCCTGCCCAAAGATAATGCTCTAGAGGCACTGGACGCTTTGGCGTAGAGATGACGTAGATGTTCTTCTTCTTAGTACGACCGACCCATGAAGCGAATTCAAGAGTGTTTGGTACAGTGGCAGAGAGGAGGATGAGAGTGACATGCTCGGGCAACATAATGATGACCTCCTCCCAAACAACACCTCTTTCCAGATCGTTGACATAGTGCACTTCGTCAAAGATGACAAACTCGACGTCGCGGATGATATCCGCTCCACGGTAAAGCATACTTCTCAGAATCTCGGTAGTCATGATCAAACAGCTTGCCTCTGGACGAATCTGAACATCACCTGTCAGAATACCAACATCGTCAAACTCTTGACGGAAGTCTCTGAACTTTTGGTTACTCAAAGCCTTGATGGGTGAGGTGTAGATGGCCTTGGTCATATGTTTAGCTGCCAATGCAATGGCATATTCTGCAACGACAGTTTTTCCAGCAGAAGTGTGAGCAGCCACGAAAACAGAATCGCCATTCTCAAGGTGATAGATAGCTTCTTTTTGGAAAGTATCGGGTTCGAATGGCCATTCACGAGCCATCTCGGGGACCAGATCTCGAAAGTTGGGCATGGGCCGATTGACATCAACCATATGTGCCCATTCGTGACCAGATCTTTTGTTGCTTGACAGGCCTAGCTGACCTCTGGCAGCCAATGCAGGGAACTCAACTGGGAGGAGTGCGTCCAATTCTTCTTCCTCTCCCTCGTCTTCATCCTCATCAGTTGGCTGAGCTTCATCGATGTCTCCGTTGGCTACCACAGGATCTTGAGGTTCCTCTTCCAGTACAGTCTCAACCTCCTGAGCGGTTGCTTGGTCCGCAGGAGCCTTCTTCTGCAGGTCAAGACCGCGAGTAAATCCAGGAGGAAGCTCAAGCAGAGCACCCTCAGGGCCGAAATTGATGACTTTGTCCAACCCACTTTGCTTAACAGTACTGTTAGCTTGGTTTCCGAGCAGAAGCTGTTCCTCGGCGGCGGCAGTTGCTTCGACTGCATCAAGACCACCAGGAGCGAATGGGAAGAATCCAGCAGCACCACGCACAAAGTCTGCGCGGTTAGCAGGCTTTCTCAAGATTGAAGTGGAATTCTTCGCTGTGGCACTGTTTGCTGGGACAGTAACTTCCTTGTAGCCAGTGACGCGGCCTTCAAGACCTTCGCGGGTAAATCTAATGATGGTGCGAGTTTGAGTAGGAGCCAGCTCGAAGAGCTCTTCGTAATTAGCTGGACAATCCCAGCGCTGCTGCAGACGATCAAGCCATGGCGTGCTGAAGGAAGTAGATGGAGCCAGGAAGTCCTTCTCCAAGCTGGAACGGATGTGATCAGGCGACCTTCTTGTGCGCTTCCGTGGGCGTTGTTGGTCGAGAATGGCATCAATTCCTCCAGAAGGTGCATCTGCAAGGCGCAATTTCTCAAGCGCAGGCGCCAATTCATCCATCTTCCAGAAATTCAAGCAATTTTGCTTGCGCGATGTGTCTATAGAAGTAAAGTGTCGAGATGGAACAATTGAAGCTGAATGTTTGACCGCGATTGGTGACGCAATCAAACCAGCGACGACATCGAAATTTTGCTCCAACTCCAGACTTCAGAGCTCCGTTTACCTTGCATCAACCACATCAAGAAATCACAACTCTGTCTTCATTTTTAGGTGACATTATCAAGCTATCACTTATGAGCTATCAGATAGAAGTCATGCGACTTTGAAGTGCCAGAGAACGCTTTCATAGTGAATTCTTGTATTGCAAATGTATTCATCCATCGACGGCAGGGTCTGAAGCGAACACGATAGCAACCTTTGATGCCTCAGGCAGTCGAATCCCCCGAATGCAAACTCCGCAAATCTGGTAGGTCCCTTTGATCGACTTTGCAAACATGTACAATGATTTCTAGCAGTAGAACTGGCGATGAGAATTTCATGGAGAAGTCCCCGAGCGACGACTAAGTGATGCAAAACTTTGACTTGGTCTCGATATGGCTAACCAGTCTTACGGCGACGCTATTGAGCCATTGAAATGGTGAGCGACAAGGCGGGGGCTGAGAGATGTTCATGTGGTTGGCGTTGGGGAGAATTTATATGATGGTCAGCATGTGAAAAGCGACTGAGTTTTGGAGCCATCACTGTTGGCACTGCGGAATATTTGCAGCGAGTCTGAGTTGATACTATACTAATTTTCTCGGGTTCTTGCTCTTTGATTCTGACTTTGGAAAGAGCTGAGCTATTTTACTGCTTCATTCATATTGGAGGTGGAAGATTGAGGCTCGTCTCCTTCCTCAACGGTCCCCCTGTTTTTGTTGTGTTCTCCGGGTGTTGCTGCGTCGGACAAAAGTCGACTTTTGCTTGGCTCTCGTCGAAAAAGCAGAAGACCCTGAGCCCAAGATTCAAAGGGAATCCGACACTTCAGAGCCGACCGGGCTGACGATTTTCTGATTAATTTCTGGAGGGGCGCCAGTGCATTCACTACCTCGAGCTCTTGTACGCACAGCGGAGGGAACCAGGATTTTTACCGGACTCTTTCATCCACCATGGACGCCGCCGCCCTGAGGACTCGTATCCAGGCTACTCTGTCCGCAAATGCTGATGCCCGCCGCCAGGCAGAGCTGGATTTGCGAAATGTACTACCGACCAATAACACTCCAAGGCACACGACTGACTCTTTCAACAGGCCGAAGACACTCCCGGCTTCTGCGAGGCTCTGTTGAACATCCTCGAGGCTGAACAGGATACTGCAGTGCGCCTGTCTAGTGAGCCTGCCCCGTATTGCACCATGCACCCCAGCAACTGACTTTGTTTGCTAGCCGTTGTTTACCTCAAGAACCGCATCACCAAGGGCTGGGCTCCTGTCGAGAACGAGCAATCACGATTCAAGGCTGTCCCTGAAGGTGACAAGCAGGTCATCCGCCAGCGTCTCGTCCCTATCCTCGCCGCCTCGCCGCCGCAAATCCGTGCCCAGCTCGTTGCTACCCTGCAAAAGATTCTGCATTACGACTTCCCCGAGCAGTGGCCTGATTTCCTCAACATTACCGTCAACCTCCTGAACCAGCAAGATGCCGGAAGCGTCTTCGCTGGTCTGCAGTGCCTGTTGGCCATTTGCCGTGTCTACCGTTTCAAGATGGGCGAGACAAGAGAAGACTTTGACAAGATTGTTGAGATGACCTTCCCTCAATTGCTCGCAATCGCCAACAGCCTGGTCAACGAGACCAGTCTCGAGGCTGGAGAGATGTTGCGCACTGTCCTCAAGGCTTACAAGCACGCTATCTACTTCGAACTCCCCCGTCACTTGCGCGAGCAGCAGCAAATCGTTGGCTGGTGCACCCTTTTCCTGAACATTGTCGCAAAGGACCCTCCGGCTGAGTCGATGGTTGAGGATCTGGATGAGCGCGAGCAGAACCACTGGTTCAAGTGCAAGAAGTGGTCATATGTCAACTTGAACAGGCTATACGTCAGGTGCGTTCAAAAGCCAAAATCAAGAGCTAGGAAGGGATGAGAAGAACTGACAAGAACAGATACGGAAACCCTACAAACCTGGCCAAGAACGAGGCCGAGTACGCCGAGTTCGCAAAGACCTTCATCAAGGACTTTGCCCCTGAGATCCTGAAGGGCTACTTGGGACAGATCGAGAAGTGGGTCGGCAAGACTACATGGTTGAGCAAGCCTTGCTTGAGCTTCACTCTGGTCTTCATGGAGGAGTGTATCAAGCCCAAGACTATGTGGGACCACCTCAAGCCGCACATGCAGATCCTGATCCAGCACTTGATCTTCCCCGTCCTTTGCCAGTCTGACGAGGACATTGAGCTTTTTGAGACCGATCCTTCCGAGTACTTGCACCGCAAGCTCAACTTCTACGAAGAGGTTTCCGCCCCCGACGTTGCCGCTACAAACTTCCTTGTCACCATGACCAAGGCCCGCAGAAAGCAGACATTCTCCGTCCTCAACTACATCAACGATGTGGTCAACCGCTACGAGTCTGCTCCCGAGGATCAGAAGAACCCAAGAGAAAAGGAGGGTGCTTTGCGCATGATTGGAACACTGTCTGGTGTTATTCTCGGCAAGAAGAGCCCCATCGCAGACCAGGTCGAGTTCTTCTTCGTTAGACACGTCTTCCCCGAGTTCCGCAGTCCTCACGGTTACTTGCGTGCTCGTGCATGCGACACTCTCGAGAAGTTCGAGGCTCTCGACTTCAAGGACTCCAACAACCTCCTCATCATCTACCGTAACATCCTCGAGTCCATGGCCGATCCCGAACTGCCCGTCCGTGTCGAGGCTTCCCTCGCTCTGCAGCCCCTTATTCGTCACGACGTCATCCGTATCTCCATGCAAGGCGATATTCCTCAGATCATGCAGCAGCTGCTCAAGTTGGCCAACGAAGTCGATGTGGATGCTCTTGCCAACGTCATGGAGGACTTTGTCGAAGTTTTCGCCGCTGAGCTTACTCCTTTCGCTGTTGCCCTCAGCGAGCAGCTTCGCGATACTTACCTCCGTATTGTCCGTGAGCTGATCGAGCGCAACTCGTCCAAGGAGGGCGATGATGAGTATGGTGACTTCTTGGACGACAAGAGCATTACTGCTTTGGGTGTTCTTCAGACCATCGGTACTCTTATTCTGACCCTTGAGAGCACTCCTGATGTCCTTGCTCACCTCGAGACCATTCTCATGCCCGTCATCACCATCACTCTGGAGCACAAGCTGTACGATCTCTACAACGAAGTCTTTGAGATCATCGACAGCTGCACTTTCGCCGCCAAGACCATCTCTTCTACAATGTGGAACGCTTTCGAGCTGATTCACAGGACCTTTAAGTCTGGTGCTGAGCTCTACCTCGAAGATATGCTTCCTGCTCTTGAAAACTTTGTCAACTACGGAAGCGAGGCTCTCATTCACCATCCTCAATACCTGGAAGCTATTGTGGACATGATCCGTACCATCTTCCAGAACGACACTGTTGGTGGTGTCGAGCGTATTTGCGGTTGCAAGCTTGCTGAGATGCTCATGCTTACCCTGCGCGGACACATTGACAACTACATTCCTGAGTTTGTCATGATCGCCATGACTGTGTTGAACAACGACGATGTTAAGGTCAAGTCATACCGCATTCACCTGATGGAGACCGTCATCAACGCCCTCTACTACAACCCCAGCCTCGCATTGCACATCCTCGAGTCCAACGGCCAGACTAACAAGTTCTTCAGCTTGTGGTTCTCAAGTATCGACATCTTCACTCGTGTTCACGACAAGAAGTTGTCGATTGCTGCCATTACCTCGCTGATTGTTTTGCCTGCAGACCAAGTGCCCGTCAGTGTGCAACCTGGCTGGCCTCGTCTGCTCCAAGGTATTGTTCGTCTTTTCCAAACTCTTCCTGCAGCCATCAAGAACCGCGAGGAGGCAACTCGGGAAGATGACTTTGGCCTTGGCGGCGACTATGACGACGATGAGGAGGATGACGAGTGGGAGGGTGAGGTTGATTGGACAGCCGAGGAGATTGAGGGCGAGGCCGACGACATCAAGGACGAGAGCGCCGCGTACCTTGACTTCCTTTCGCAGCAGGCATCCAAGTTCAGCTCCATCGGTGATGACGATGATGATGACGAGTTGGAAGAGGAGTCATTGCTTGAAACACCTTTGGATAAGGTCGAGCCATATGGCATGTTCAAGCACGCACTTTTCCGTAAGTTCAGATTCCGATCACATTCTAACACGGATTACTAACAAATCACAGAACTTCAGCAACAACAACCCCAGCTCTACCAAGATCTGACTAAGACGCTGAGTCCCGAGGAGCAACAAATCATCCAAACGGCTGTGAATCAGGCCGATCAGATTGCTGCTCAGCAAGCCGCTCTCGCACAGCAGGTCTCTGAAGGAGCAGCACCGCTCAATGGTGGTATCTAATGAATGACCAAGAACAAAAAAAAAAAGAACGAAAAATTGCATAATCGAAAAGGAGATTGTGCGAATCGGGTGATAAGCAGCGGCATGAGAAAAATTGGAGTTTAGTGAGCAAATTATTGCGGCGACTGACTTTTGAAGCTTCGTTTCTTCTTCTACCAATATACAATTTTGCCTTATATGGGCACCATTTCAGTCACATTGGCTTTCTCCCTCTTCTCGATCTTGACGTGGTTTGCGCCTTCCTTTTGTGCTTTACCGCACCTGCCTTTTACACTATTAGAACGCTCTTCCTTAATCACTATTCTTTCCTTAATCGCTCCTTCCTTAGTCGCTCCTTACTAATTAATAGCTTTAGGTTTCTATTTATTCTCTTATATTCTGCTTTTGTTATTGCATTCTATTTTCTCACCTTCTCGATTCACGGTTTTGTTTCTAATCACACCCATAGCAATGTCATTTTACTAACTTGCCACTTCTCATGATCGTAGGTCTACCTTTGCTTTTGACGAGTGGTAATCAGATCATCGCGTCTACTTCTACCACACGGAGATTATCTCCTCTTGTCTTCTTCCTGTGTGGTTTTCGTTCTTGCTCTTATCATTGCTTAGTTGCTGCTTTTTTCCATTTCTCATAGTTCTCTTCTCTATCTTTTTGCTTTACACTTCTTCAGTCAACTGGCTATCTTTATTTTACTCGAGATTGCAGTTTATCAGCACTGACTGTCAGATTTGCTACGTTAAGTCTCGTCGATATACCGAGTCGGGGGTTGACCGACCGCTGTCTGCGCCCCCCCCCCCCCCCCCCCCCCCCCCCCCCCAAGTCCTGCTTGTTGCATGTAGCACCCTGGTCGGATGAGTGACGGCCTTTCAATCAACCAGCACATCGTTTACATCTTTTCTAACAAGATCAAGGCAGTCAACAGGGTCGCAAAAGTCCATAAACTGAGTTTTGCTACGATTGACGCTATATTGCCGGCGTCACGGCTAGAATGAGCAAGTGCTGAGATCACAGGCTGAATATTCGGTTGCAAACACGTGGATGAGGCCACTCGCCAGAGAAAACCCACTTACAAGCCAGAATGATAGATAATGGACAATATATACCTACCTGACTGTACAATGTCATCTCTAACTGTCGAGATGCCAATCACTTGGCAACAACACTAAGTCTTACTCTGTCAGATAATCATCGACTACACCAAGCTTGGTCAAGGGAATATAGATTATCTTGACCAGACTTCTCTCATCACGTGAATGCGTGTATCAGTCGCAGTGGTTTAGTGGTAAAATTCGTGCTTGCCATGCACGAGCCCCGTGTTCGATTCACGGCTGCGACAGTTCTTTTGTCTTTTTGCTTTCTCGAAGTACACTAGGGAGCTCTCGTTTTGGTGGCAGCGATCTCTTGTAACCTCAGGTCTGTATATGGTGTTGGATTGGATGGTGTGAAGAGTCCTCCAAGCATGAGAGGCATCAAGAGACGTCGGACTTTCCAATTGACAACCACTATCCATCTCTATCTTCTAACCGACTATCTGTTTTCCTCTTTAACATATCATGAAAGCTTCCCCAAGGACAGCCAAAGCCTACTGCCCTTCTCCCTTGTCGACCAAAAAAGTCACATCCGCCAAGCCCCAGTCATCAAAAAAGCAAAATCCCATCTCCACCAAAAATTTTAGGCCCGATTCCAGCCCCCCCTAATCCAAGCACTCTTCCCACACATTCAGGCATGCAAAAGAAACGGTTGCACAATGGATACAGAGCAAAAGAACGACGCCTGCAGGATTCGAACCTGCGCTCCCGAAGGAAATAGATTTCTAGTCTATCGCTATAACCACTCAGCCAAAGCGCCTGGTGATGGGGAGAATACATCTGACATAGTATACAAATCTACAATTGAGGCAGGACGTCGGAAGCTCTGGGAGGAATCGTTGTCGAAGAGGTCGATGTAAAGGTGACTGAAGCTTCTGTGAAGCCTCGAGATGTATACGAGGTGCAGAGCTATACCGAAGATTAGGTGATGATACCGGCGTATTGTAACAATCAATTGGGTCCGTGGAACAACCCTCAGAAGCCTCGAGAGCTATCTGAGCTGTGGTTGTTGTAGAGGTCGAAGTGAACGGAAGTGAAGCCTGCTTGAGGCTTCGAGGTCTATACTGAGCATAAAGTTATGCCCAAGCTCAAGATCTTCGAGCATGGATCGAGTCATGTAGTGTATACAACAAGAAGAGCAGACAAGCAAGAAACTTTCTGTCTACTGTGTTCTGCTTACCAAGGGCGTGTTGCAGAATGGTGGGGGAAAAGATACGTTGGTGGACGGAGCAAAAGCCCGCAAATCTACCAAGTCTCACGCCGACCCTGTCCGCCAAGCTAAACTTCGTCATCCAAAAATTCTCAAACTTTCAAAAATTTTCAACCACACCATTCTGAAACCTTCTCAACACAACAAAAAGAATGCCAAAAAAGAGATTGTCAACTGGTTTTTAGGAATAGCCGAAGGCGGGGCTCGAACCCGCGACCTTGAGGTTGTACTTTATCAGGATGATAAGAGCCACACGCTCTACCGATTGAGCTACCCCGGCAGGTCTGATGATCTAGTTCACTGGGTGAACTGGCTGTTGACGATGGAAGCACAAAAGCTTGGTGGGTATATATAATCTGTTTGTTGAGAGCTCAGGGTTGGCATATACGTGGCCTTGTCTACGTCGCGATTGCCAAACCGAAGCAATGTGAGTGGTGTTGAGGTGCAATGTCTTGCTGCGTTGTGGACATCCGCCATTGAAGAGCATGCTGCGTTAGTCTGAACGCTGTTGCACGACAAGGAAGAGTCGTGGGTTCTGTCGTTGTGGCTTCAGATAGTCATCGATTCATGAAAGGCTGTCGCTTGCTTGTTGATTCCAGGCGCAATGATGCTCGTCTCGTACAAGCATGGTGTAAGAGAGTAGCATCAATCGTTCTCAGCATGGTGCTGTAAAAACCCGAAGCACCAAGGTGTCAGAGCCAAGCGAGGCGGAACATGAACCTGATCATCATGGCCAGACTGCTGCGCAAGATGGGTGCTCTGCTGTCTTAATTATGATGAAGGTTGCCTCTTTTTGATCTGTTATATTGAAGAGATATTAATCAAGAAGCAATTAACAAGATATTCAAGGAAGTGATGTTGAAAAGGGATGTTGTGAACACGTTGTGGAGCGTTGTTGTGGTTGCATGTGACAGCCCTCTTCGAGACCGCAGACGTCCCGCGCTTGGCCATCCAGCTTGATGTTCGTTCCATCAATGCTCAAAAATGCAGGTCTCCCTAGAAATTCTGTGAATAAGCAAATCTAATAACACTCACGTGACAATTGTTTAGAAAACACTACAACATTTGACACTTGGACATTGACTTGAGATCTAACATCTAAAACTCTCACTCCACTGTCCTACCTCGTCGCTTCTTCTCCCTGATGTCAGGCTGAGAGGCCAGTAAGTTGAATCCCCACGAATTTGTAGGTACTTCGAAATAATCACTAACCTGTATCAACACGTTTCATGAAGGGAAGAAGAGTGAGTGGGAGCATCAAATCATGTTACAATATTCGAACTATGCCTTTGAAGATATGCTGTACCTAGCTAGCGCCCTTGGCACGGCTCATGGGACCCCAATTTGCTCGTGGGTTAGTCTGGTAACGCATGAGCTTCTTGCTGTGATAGTCCTTGCCTAGCCTCTCGTCAAACTTGATCTTGAACTTGAAGATATCGGCAGGGGGTTGCGTCGCGGGTTCTGCCTCATCCTTCTCTCCACTCTCCTCGCCGTTGTCCTTCTTCTCCTCAGCTGGATCTACCTTTCTCATCTTTTGCAGAATCTTGTATCCGGCTTGAGTGTCGCCGACCTTGCCTTCCTTCACAGGGGCTTTTTGACGACTCCACTCTCTCATGATCTCCCAAATTGCATCATAGCTGGCGTTTGTCTTGATGGTACCAGGTTTGGTATGTGAGCGAGTGGCGATGAATCCAGCATGACGAAGCGCACCCTTGATGGCGGCTTCTGATGGAGATTGACAATGGAGAACCTTGCACAGATAACTAGGGATGAAGAAGAAGGGGTGAGGGTCGGTAACATGTCCAGGGATGGAAGGGATGAACGGAGCCTCGGTCTCGCCCTTGAAAGTCTGAAGGCTGTTCTCCAGGGTATCAAGCTCGTCCAGAGCGGAGGTGAGCATACCCTCAATGCGAGTAGTCGTTCCATAGGTTGACTTGTCCAGATCAGGAAGCATGTCCAGAATACGACGGATGAAGTAAGGATTGTGCAAAGGACCAGCCCACATAGGACCGGCAACATGAGTCTTGAAACCACATTGAGGACACCTGCTCTCACCCGTAGACAGAGATGCCGTGTGCTTGTAGTTGATGAAGTTCTTTTGAGGAGCGTGTTTTGCAAGAGGCTGGATCTGGAAACTACCACAGCCAGTATCGCATTGGTGTACAAGCATGGTCTTTCCGGCCAGAAACTTGACATCTGCGGGAGACTTTCTGACACGCACCCACACTCTGGCGTAGAAGTCGATGCTGAGAGACAAGAGCGGCTCGATAGCAATACCTTGTACAGCCGCAGCCTTAGCGATCGAATTAAGAATCAGACGAAGACCGGCTTCGTGAGAGTGAGGACCCTTGAGAGGCAGACCACCGTAGAGTGAGTAGGTCTTTTCAACGTAACCACAAGAAGCAAAGACACCAGCATCGGTACATGTAACGCAAAGCAGACCACCATCGTTCAGCGCTTGAACGGCAGCATCCAGGAAAGGCGCAGCGGTGCCGTAGGGGTCGAGATCGATAACATCGTATTTATGCTGAGTGTGTGCAGAGGGACCATCTTCTGGAGTTGGTGTGTAGTAGGCAGCGTGATACATGTGGCCGATAGCATTGCCAGTGGACGGCGTGATCTTGTCGGTCAGCTTGTTGTGTTGCACATTAAGACGAATGGCCTCGACAGCAGCTGGTGACATGTCGTTGGCGACAACAGTGGTCGCAAATGGTATCTCTTGGGCGTAACGCAGGGCACGCAGGCCAGAAGCCGAGAGGGCGTCCAGGATACGGAACTTGGGCTTGTACTTCTTGGGTGCCTCTGTCGCGTCGACATCCATCTTGTCGCTTACAGCCTCGGTGCCATTCTCGACCTTCTCAGCATCTGCATCTACTTCTTGGGTTCCTGCTGTTGTCGTGGACTCTGACTCGCCATCCTTTTGTACTTTTTGAGCTACTGCAGCACCATCATTGCCCTTCCTCCTCTTGTCATCTCCAGCATTGTCGTCGGCCTGTCTCTTTCGTTCCCTCTTCTTGGCACTCTGTTCGACCTTCTTGTCGTGGGCTTGCTTTCTAACAGCACACATGTGCTCGCCAAAAGCCTTGATTGCGAGGACGGACAGATCACGGTTGAATTGTTGAATGGGGTTGTAGAAGACACTTTGTGCTTGTTGTTCACTATCGTCGTCCTTGTGATTCTTCTTCGACTTGGGATCCTGCTCGGTACGTGCATTTGGCGGGACCAGAATGTATGCTAGACCCTCCTTGATGGTGCTGTATGACTTTCCATCGTGCTCGATCAACTGATCGACAGCTGGTTGTGAATCTATCGTCGCGCTCATCTTTGGCTGTGTTGTGCTGAGAAAGCGTCTCTGGACGATGCTGCGAAAGTTGTGTGCAAGTCTAAATGCTCTTATGGTCATTGAGCATATGACTGCTCGAATATTTTGGGAAGGCAGTCACGCTTGCACTCGTTGCTTGCTGCCACTTTTTTGCGACCGACTAAAGTCTAAACTGGAATGGATCGTCGCTCTTGGCACTTATCATCTCTTATCGCCGCTCTTACCCCGAGCATCACCTTCGAGCCTCGAGCAGTGAAGCATTCCATCTACATCAACATAGCCTTGTAAACAGTGTTGTATTCTTGAGGTCGCTATGAGTAGAAGTAACCTTTGCATGGCCATGTGGTCAGCGAATACAGCGCCATCGAGAGTCTTCGCCCAGTCTGATAACACGATGGTGGAGAGAAAGAAGATTAGACAGTTTTTGTGTGTTTGTGTGCAACGAGCGCTTCAGCAATTTTGATTCTCTGCAGTCACTCTGCGTCTATGTACTCAATGCCATCATGGGACATCATAAGTTTGTTGTGTTGTAAAACCATGAAAAGTTGCCTCCTGCGGGCCATCTTTGCCGTGCAATCAGAGTAGAGAGGAAAAGAAAGAATCAAAGAAAACACCAGAGGATGAAACCTTCATAAACCCACTCATCAAAACTCCAAAAAGCGCCTTCGCAAGTCGAAAAAGAGAAAGAGAAAGAAAGGTTGTGATCCTCCGTTGCTCATGCAAGCCCCATGTCGTTGTTTTTTGGTCCTTCGAAAATGCTTGAATGCCGTGAAAGCAAAGAGAAACTCCGTTGTAAAAATGCATGTATTGGGTCGAAGAGGAAGCAATCGCCAGCACCTTGACCCCTTGTAAACCTCGATTACTCAACATCTGATTGTTAATCCTCCGCCTCATCCATATTCGATGAATCTTCCTAAGCAGCCTGGACGAAAGCATCGGCAGGCAGATTTGCTCTGACGGCAGCGAAAGCTTGTAGAGCACGGTCAAAGTCCCACTGAACTTGCTCGAGACAGTCCTTGGCATATTGAACAGTCATGGAGGTCTGCTTCTGGAGCTCGAGGACCATTTGTTCGGCAATTTCGGGTGTGAGTCCTGCTGGGAGCACGGGCACGCCGGCCTCGACTGGGACTTGTGGTTCGTTGTGGTCGGGTTCGAAGGCGGCAAATCCTCCGTAAGCGCGAATGGTCAGCATGTCGTTGACAACACGGACGCCAGTGGGGCCGCCAGGACCGAGGATGAAGGTGCGGTCGAAGGAGCGGGTCTTCTTGACCTGACCGCTGGCATCAATCTCGTCAAACTCGCCGTGGACGGTAATAAGGAAACCATCAACACCGACGGGTGATGCGCCAGTAGGGTCGGGGATACCAGGTTGTGACTGACACTCGATGAGCCACTTCTGAGGTTGGGTAGCAAGATCAGGATGGCGGGTGGCGGGAAGGGTAGACCAGCTTTCGTGAATGGCCTGGGCACCACGGCAGAGACGACTCTGTCTTGCAGGAAGTTGGGTGATCTTCTTCAAGTTGCGACTACGCTTGATATAGGCATCCCATTCCTGAGGGGCAGTCTCGTGTGATCTTGTAGGGTCTCTGGGAGCGGCGGTGTTGACAGCGAAAGAGAAGTCGGACTGCTCGTCGTAGTAGTGTTGTGCTAGGGTAGCGCGATCTGTGTCGTAACCAGCGAAGAAAGTGCGCAAGAAGTTTTCGGCAATTTGACCTTCGTCCTGAAAGTTGGGGCCCTTGATGGGGAAGGGGATGTCGGCAGCTTGACGACCGCTTTCGGCGTCCTGATCAGAGCGAACTTGAACGGTGTTGAGGAGACGAAGTTTGGGGTACCAAGCCATGAACTTTGTGGCATAGTCGGGCTCAGCTTGTTCCAGAGGGTTACCAGAGACTATGAGGTGGTCAAGCTTGGGGAACTTGCGTCTCCATGCTTCGAGAGCAGCCAGGTCCTTGAAGGCATTGTTTGACAGATCAAGGTTCTTGAGCTGTGGTAGGGTTTGGGCGAGAGTTGTGACGGGGCTGATGTTGGAAAGTTCGTTGTTGGCGAGAGTGACGCTGATGATAGCATCATTCTTCTCTGCGGCTGTCTTGAATTGTTGGTCGAGGACCTTCATCAAAGCAGGGAAGAATTTGCTTGTGGTTGAGCTGCTGTCGAAAATCTGAGCAGCTTTGAGGTCTGGGTCTGTACCAAGAGCGCTGAGATCAAGCAGTTTTAATTCGACGTTATATCTTCTGGCGAGAACTCCTTTAAGCATGGCGATGGTGCTCTCCTTGGAATGGCCGGTGTCGAGATCCTGGGCAGAGGCTCGTTCGATCTTCATGTTTGCTCCAGCAAAGACGTAGCCGTCGACTCGCAATACGTGCGCAGCGTCTTCGCCGGGAACGGATATTAGCAAGTCGTCTCCTTCGATTCGGGACTACACATGAAATTAGTTTACGATGGACAAAAAATGATGTCGAGGACCATCAGAGATGGAGCAACAGTGTCGAGGTCTCTGGTCGTCGTTCTGAGATTGGCTGCAAACGAAAGCAGACCGGACCTGGCAACTGAGAACAGGTGGGATGCGCGGGTGTTGATGAGTGTACCTTCTTGACTTTGATTGCTCTCTTGGCTTTGAGCGAGGACCTCTTTTCAATCCAGGCGATGAGTGAATTCATGCCGCCGTCGTTGTTGGAAGCTGCCTTGCTGTTCTTGTGGCCGGTAACTCGAAGCTCTTCTAGTCCTCTGCTTGGTCGTGTGCGGACTGCACTTGAATCACCTCCGACATGGTTGGCGAGTTTCTTCTCGAATCCAGCGCTGCGAGTACCAGGCTTTGCGCCTCGCGTCTTGGGTGCGCTTGACTTGCCGCCCTTGCTGATACCACCGCCGGGACGAGCGCGCGCAGTAGGATCCATGACAAGGTCACCATCGCGATCGGTTCTGGTCTTTCTCTTTGCGATACCACCACCGCGAGAGTTGCGCGCAGCACTTGAGGGTTTCTTCTGGGACACCATGATGGCAGTCGGACGGGGTAGATAGGGAGAGTGAGGTCGCTAGGGTATTAGGTGTATGGTAGATCGGCGACGGAGACGGAGAAGCGAGTTGCCAAAGACGGCGGACAAGAGTGAATGGCCTTTGTTCAGTCGGTTATGGGCCGCTGCAAAGTTGCGCAATGCCAGCGAACGTCGGTGGGTGTGTCTCTCTCTGGGGTTGGAAGAGAAGGTGAGTCGCTGATAGAAGAAAGGATGGGAGTGGACGTGTCAGACTCGGCGTCTGTGGTGGGAAAGCGCAGAGGCGGGTGTTGGCAGTAAGAGTGAGTTTGCTTTGTGACTGATGGAAAGTACAAGGCAGCGATCGTCATTATATGCCAAGCCAACTTTTTCGAGGGTCCATGCACGTCCGACCCCTCCATTCATGTCTCTCACTCTTGTTCCGAGACTCGGCTGCAAATCATTGTCTCTGCACACCTGCTATTGTCTCAAAGCCCACGTTTCCTATTGACCAAGACAACAATACAAACACTCACTATGTCGACGAGAATGGTTCACTGCCTGAATCACACTGATCGAAACCACAATAACTTTTTCAATAACAAGATTGTATTCATGCAACAAGCAATATTCAATAGTAAATTCATGCTCATGGTATTTCCCAATTACGCCGGACACCTTCGCTAAAAGTGAGAATATGTAATACAGACATGGTCAATCTCTTTCACGTTCATTGTTCTTCGCAACCTTCACCTCCTTCTCCAGTATTGAATAACAGCATGCGCACTTCACAATCTTCACTCCCAGAGACAAGTCGACTGTCGCTGAGTCCGATGCATGTCACAGGCCCAGCGTGCCCGGTCCACGTTCTCTCGCACTTTCCACTGCGAGGATCCCAAATCTTTACTGTACGGTCTTCTGATCCAGACACCATACGCAGATGGTCTGCTGCAAGTGCCCAAATGCCTTCGACGTGTCCGAAGTAGGTGCGTAAGCATGCGTTGGTGGTAGGCGGCTTTGGAACCGGATTTGCTGCATCTACAGCTGGCGACACAGCCGGCGCGTGCACGTCCCATAGACGGATCGTGCTGTCCAGGGCACCTGTAAGCATGTATCGGGGAGGTGCTGGGCGATCAGGCTCGTCAGGCCAGAACGGAACGACACTTTCAGGAGATGCAGTTGCCGGGTGATGTGAATGTTTGTGAGCAGGCGAAGGTCCAGAAGAAGTAGATGATGTGTCGTCCTCATTTTCTCCAGAAAGCAGATCGGCTTCGTCAAGCTCAAACTCTGGCGGAAGAGCTACAAGCTGCTGCACTTGGCCAACATGTCCTTCGAAAACCTTGATACACCTGCGCGTATCCAGGTCCCATAAACGAACGGTACAGTCATCCGAGGCAGATAATAATGTGCGCGAAACCACGTCAAGCTTTACCGCGTTTACCCAGTCCGTGTGGCCCTTGAGCAGATAAGATGCTTTATTTCGAGTGTCGTAGACTCGAATAGTATGATCCATTGAACCTGAAGCGATGTAGCCGGTATCAAAGTTGACGCATATGACACCACCAGTGTGAGCTTGGAAAGTCCGCAGGCATTTTCCAGTACGCCAATCCCAGACCTTTGTCGTGTTGTCCATAGATCCGGTTATGAGCTTCTGATCGTCAAACTGCAACGTGCGAATGCCTGATGTGTGGCCTTCGAGCGTCCTCAGCTCTTTTCCTGTCTTGATGTCCCATACTTTTACTGTACAGTCGTAGGAGCCGGTGATGAGGACGTTCTCGTCGAATTGCAGACACATCACACCGTTAGTATGACCTCTGAAGATCTTTGTCGAGCATCGGCCGTATTTCCAGTTGGTGCCGACCTTGAAGCGATCCTTATACACGTCTTTCCAAGGCCTTCTTGTTTGTGGTTGGAAATATGAGTTGACCTCCTCTTCGCCCGGTGCTGGTGTACACAGCTTCTTCTGCGGTGGATCTTGCTCGTCTTCAAACTTGCGCTTCTCACCTACAATGGCAAGAGCCTGAGTATTTGGCGTGGTTGTAGTGCTGTTGACAAAGGCTGGGGCCTCAGCGAGCGGGGTAATTGCCGGCGACCATTCATTGTTGCCTCTTGAAATGGCACGAAGCTGTATCTGTCTCTTTTCAATTCTCAACCGCTTGCGCTCGAGTAGAGGTAGGCCCCAGCCGCATTTTGTGCATTTTCGGTCAATGTGTTGCTCACACATTCTGTGCCAAACGACGTCATCGTCGGCTAGGCTTCTCCACCGGCGACTGACTTGAGCAGCCTTGCATAGTGAAGTGGTGTCGAGGAAACATAGAATTCTGAAACCAAGCTCCGGAGGCAGGGCAGAGAGAAAGTCGATTTTGATCAAGTCGCGGACGGAAGCGGAAATGTAGGAGAGCTGAGGGAAACAGCATTGTGAGAGGATGCCCTGGAGCATGAGATTGCGGTGTTTGGAAGGAGCGGCGGAGAAGAGGGACCAGACATGGGAGATGGCTTGCTGGTCGGACTGAGAAACGGTGCCGAGTTCCTGTTCAGAGGTTAGCATACAGTGAGTCATTGGCGAAGATGGGAATGCGCGATACATTCTGAAGTTGCTCCATGGAAGGCTCGTTGGCTTGACGCCTGCACTTGAGATCAGGACGATGGCGATAACAGAACTTTGTGCTTGAAGGGTCTTGGTGGTGATCGTGATTGAGGTCGGTAGAGGTGGACTGGGGTATCAAGTGGCCAACAGGGTTGTATTGGGTCGGGATGTGCTTGGCCAGGAAGGGCGCGATAGCCTGCTCGGCATGTTTGGAGTTTGAAGGAATCGAGATGTTTTCTTCATTGGTGTTGTCGTGATGGCGGAACTTGTGACTTTCATGTTCGTGATCGTGATGGCACAGGCCTTCGATTTCGTGACGAAGACCAGACCGGCTCTCGGTTGGAGCGTTGAGTTGCGCCTTTGGACCCAAATCTGACGCCATCCTAGAAAAGAGATTGTCTCATACAGGGGTGTGCGTGGTGAGGGCAGAGAATAAATCGGACGTCGAGGACCAGATGTGAGTGGTAAGAGTGTGTTCGCGTGACGACAAGGGCAGTGCGACAGTGTTTATGGCGAGTGTTGAACGTCGCCCGGGTTGTCGGAGAGCGAGTGTATGTAAGTATCGATGGTGCGACAGCAGCTGCAAGGGGCGAGATGAAAGAAGGCGCTTGTTCTGCTGATGGTCTTCTACGGTCAATTCGCGATATGGCGTGCTAATCCAGGCTTCGGGGGAAGGCAAAGAAGGGTTCACCGCACCGACCACTCGCAACAGGCCGTTTCCGTACTCGATTTGTCGCTATCGCTGCAATCTCGCCGCGACCAAGTTTATTATGCGGACGCTATCAGAGTTCAATTCTTGCATAGATACGACCGTCTCCTTGAATCCTTACTACCCAATGTAGCAGATTCATACACGCGCTCCAAATGTTTCCATCATCGAATGCGAAGGTGTTCTTTGAGGGGGTCTTCTCACTGCTCTGGTGGCGTCGCTACTCAGCACCCGAACTCGCTCGGCGGGCAAATTCATTGGTCAGCCTTACGTACCAATTGGTCACGCAACAAAGAAAAGTGGGTGTTTTGGCAAACTTTGACTCAGAAAACAGAATTGCGACATGAAAGAGCACACCGGTGGGATTCTTGCACTATGCTCGGGGAGCCTACGGGTCATGCTAGGCGAAGAAGCAAAACTGGGTGTGAAAGATTGTTGCGTCTTGTCTGGCAGGAAGATAGCATCACGAACCACCAGGGTCATGATTCGCGATAGAGACTAAAGTACCCCGGACCCGGATGCGGAAGGAGGGACAGCTTCTCCGCAGCGCCACGGACAAGCCCTGATTTGCAGCTCGACCGAGACTTCAAGGTGCTGTCTCAAGCCACCAACGATCAGATGTCGAGTTAAACTCCGTGCATACAAACATCAGTCGCGCCATCCAGGTGTTTCTTGCGTGACTCTGCACATCGCAAAGAGTAGATACTTGCTATCCGAGCAGACGATGCTCAACCCGGCAGGTCTGGATGAGTGAACAGTCCGAGCAAGCGTCGCAGTCGCGCAGCATCGATGAACTGGAACGCTTGGTACAACATTTCGTCGCAGCCAAGCGCTCTCTGTCCTCTACTGCTTTGGTTGCGCGAGCCCACGATGTCGTGACAACGGCTAGGCATCTTGTCGAGGAGTCAGCCGTACTGTCGGCCAAGAATGCCTTTCTAAGGCAAGGAGTGTTGGAGGAAGCAAATGTCTTGGTGGCCGTGAGAGATGGTCTGGACAGCATCGGCCGCGAGACTGATGTTGACTTCAAGGTATGACGGGCTCGCTTGTCGCAAAGGCTTCAACTCACAGCGTCAGGCAGTGATACATCAACTCGATCTCGCCGACAACCGCCTGCAAGCCACTTTGGCTCAACTGCTCAATACCCAAGTAGACACATCAGAACTGCACTCGCGAGGTGCCACTGCCGACAAACAGAAGACGTTGCACGACTTTATCGACGAGAACACACATCTGAACCTCATCGAATCTCTCCGCGGCACCATCGACTCGCACAAAGCTGCTGAAGCCGACTTCCAACACTCCCAAGACTCATTCGACGATCAGATCCGTTTAGTCGACGCTGCTGTAGATGATGCTGATCAAGCTACTGAAAACCGGGATGACCTTTCGCCTGTACCACCGCTTTTTCAAGCCCTGACAACACATGCTACCGAGATGGCTTCACTGCTAAGCTCCTTGGTTGCACATTATGACCTGTGCACATCGGCTCTCAAGCACACAGAAGGAGGTGGTGAAGCTGCTCGACAAGCCAACCCTTCTTCTGCCTATGACGCTCCCGAAGACAGTCTGTACAAGAACCTACCACTCGGTCCTATGAATGAACAAGAACGTCAGGAGATGCTTGCTGTCGTCGACAATGATGCTCAAGAGGTGGAAGACGTCGTGCTTGAGATTGGTGAACGCCTCTCCGAGATGGAACAAACACTTGAGCAAATGCAGTCACTTTCGCAAGCAGTCCGCTTGCGTCACAAACTTCTCAACCGTGTGCTGGATCAGCTTAGCACGCTTGGAGGCAACCTTCCCATGTTCATCGCCGCCGCCAAGCTCTATGGCAACAGTTGGAACACACTCAAGGAAACTCTACTTGCAAAGGCCGAGGAGCTGGCTTCCTTGACTGACTTTTACGATTCCTTCATCACCTCTTATGACTCGTTGCTCGAGGAGGTTGATCGTCGACATGCCGTCGAGAGTCGAATGCAGCGTATTGCCGACAAGGCTCGTCGTGAGATTGAGGCACTATACAAGGAGGACGTTGCCATGCGCGAGGATTTTGTTCGTGGGACTGGCGAATTCCTGCCTCGCGATATCTGGCCTGGTTTAGTCGATACTCCAAGGCGCTGGGAGATCAGAGCTGTGTCACCTGAAATTCAGCATGAGTCGCTTCGGAACAGTGGAGAGCAATAAGACTCTTCTGATATAATATGATATGATTACATTACGAACAGCATGGCGTTACAAGCAGATTCGGTCGTTTGTCTACGATTCGGTGGCATTGCATTTATGTTCGTAAAGCACAAGCATATAACAAACGGGTGAATGTATATCTGGTTTCTTTGAGAAGGCAGCCTGCAGAATTTGCATCTGGTGATAGGCGAGACATTTCTTTGTTCATCGCGAGAGCACCGTCGAACTGTGTACCAACCCGTAGCTGACCATACGTTCCAAATCCTTCTTTGCGTATCCGAAGAAGGAAGCAATGCACCCATCAAGATCATCACTACAAGAAGTCGAATAGATCGTGTCGATCAAAAAGAGTAACTGCAGCGAGTAGGACTCGAACCTACATCTCCCCTCTAATATCACCCCCAACGGTAACCCTTCACGCCCCCGGAGAGCCTTCTCTTGTGTTTGCAAGATGAGCTGGTTCCAATCTCTCGTGTTTTGGGCAGTCATAAGGGGTGGACTTGGGCTTGGAGGTCGTGTGTTCGATTCTGGGATAGAGAGCAGTGAGATGTTTCGGATTGACCATGTAACTATTTCAAAGCAGAAGAATTCATTCATGCTCGAAGGAATTGGTGTTCTCAGATGTATATGACTTGCATCGCTGGCTCCATCCGGTACGGTATCAAGACGTTCTTTCCTTTGTGTGTTCCAAGTTCATCACGAGGGCCCTCTTAAGCTGTGTTCTCTTTGTTCCTGGCCACCAACTCATATAGCTGGCCGTGTGTCCTGATAATTTTTCTCAGATGCTTCAAAATCGAAAACAATGCATCCATCGAGGTCAACACTACAGCACGACTTACCTGAGGAAACATCGCTGGGATCAAGCTCATGGCTGAAGTCATGCTTGAACTGGATCTTGCGCCCAGTATTTGGCACAAAACAAGTCGGCTCCTTCGACGGCAAATGATGATCACAGCTCGATCCTTGAGTTCAGATCCCGTCCGCCTCCATCTAGAGCATCTAAAGCTCAAAAAAGGTTGGAAAGGTGGCATACCTTGATGGTGTAAAGTGCACGGGCACATTTGCGGGCGGCAAAATTTCGGGCCAACACGAACGCGGTGCGCTTCGATCTTGTCGCTCGTCACGCTCGACATCATCTTTCTTATCATCATTGTTCTTCGGTATATGTTTTGCGCTTCCGCATCACCTCTAGTTCTGCCGTCCTCGTCACTCGTCTTGCCATTCCTGTGTACTCATAGGACTCTCCAGATCACTCGTTGACTCTGGATTGGGCGCGTACTTGTGACCAGGCTGCTGAATCAAGAACGTGTTCTGCAGCGTAAAGTCGCCTTCATCTCAATAACAGCAATCATTTGTACCTCTCAATTTTCGAGTCAGGGCTGCTCGTTGTCGACACAAAGCCCGGGTGGGAGGGTAACTCGATAAAATTCGAGGGTCTTCATCTCTTTCCTGACCTAGGCAGACTAGGCAGGTCTTTAACAACATGACTGCAGAAAGAGCCAAACCCGAGCCTCTCTGGGTTTTTGAGAAAGCGGCCCTCGCGCATGCGCCTGAATTCGATGTGGCATGCCCAGTTCGACTGCGCATCGCTCATAACCAGAACGACGACCAGGGATCTATATCAATACGAATCAACGCAGCTCTAGCTGAGCTTGGAAAGCAGACTCTGATGCTCAACATACGGCCCGATGAGGTTGACATGTGTACAGTAGTCGCTAAAAGCAATGACAAGCTCATACCAGATCGCATGTTCTCCATGGTGCCCGTTTCCGTGACCAGTTCAGCTGCTGTTTCGACGCTCATACTATGCCTCAATGCTACAGGAGTCGTCATAGTGCCACCGTCGGCTGATGGAGTGACTCTGAGTCCAGCTGAGCCAGACGACGCCGAGCTTCAAGCCTTTGCAAAACTCTGCCAGAGCAAAACCATACATCTGCATCTATCCAAGCAACAATTCAGAGATGGCGATCTGCATCGACTCCGTACCTTCTCTGGCGCCATTCGCGCCCGTATGCTCAAACCACAACCCATCGATTACAAGCGCCTCAACGCAGGACATGGCGCTATCGAAAAAGATTGGCGCAGTCTTGCCCAGACGATAGATCCTCCACCTTATTGCGAGCCTGTACTAGCACAGAGTGTGCTTGGAAAACGTTCCCGAGGTATGCCCATCTCCGCTCAGTGATCTTTGTGGTGGAAGCATTTCTTGAGCACATGCCAATGGGTCAGATCGTCGTGCACAGTGTCATCTGAATTTTTGAATGCCCGCCGAGAAACTGTTGTTCCCGCAATGTTATCTGCGAACAGCGCACTTTCGGCGAGAAGTCTACGAATCAATCTGTGATTTTCGATAGCTTCGTAGGTCCAAGGCTTGTGCGCTAGGGAAGCTCGCCTCTCACGCTTCATCGATTCCTACTCGTCCTCCTTGACTCGTTGTGGTTAACCAGTTCATAGATGACTCGTCGCCGCCGGGAACACACTCAAAGTCAGCAATTTTCTGCTCCCCACCGCCCTGGTCACCTACCGAAGTCAACACGCCAACAACCCGCTCGCTATCGCCTGCTTACATCTCTCCCACCAAGTTTACAAAGGATACAAAACAAAGCTATAGAGAAAGGATCAAGGTGTTGGAGCTACAGCGACAGCTGCATGGTCTGCCCGATGAGGCAGTGCGCGAAGTCTTGACAGGTTCAGGACACCGACACCTACTTGTTCCAGAAACGCAAGCTGCTGCCAATAAGCTATCAAAGAATGTCAATTTGGTCCCTGATCGACAGGTTTCCCCGTCGGCGTCTCCCGAAGCTGAAGAGGCTGCCTTGGTCGCCAAGGTCGACAAGATCATTGAGCAACGCTTAAGTAAACTGACCAAAGACGCTTTCAAGTCACTTACTCAGAGGCGTCTACACGCTCTCGTGGAGTCGCAATTGCCACTAGCTGCTGAGCTATTCCTCAATGGTGCAGTAGCTGACCATCGCGACCGATTCTATGAAGAATGCAAGACAAGTGAGATTAACGTCCGTGAACACATTGACGAAGGCATCACCGAGGTGCGCGATGTCACCAACGAATGCACCAAGGAGATCTCCGAGCTAGCTCAGCAATGCATGGACAGTTTAGATGAGCATAGCAAAAGTCTCGATGCTTCGGCGGAGCAGGAATTATCAAAGCTCAAGCGCTGGTTCGCCGAGCTGGCTCAGTCTTTCTTTGATAGGAAGAAAGATATCGAATCAATGCCACATGCAACGGCAAGACGAATTTCTATGTAGCTAATCAAATTTAAACTATCGTATATCTTTGAAGTTAGGACTCGATTTCTACATGATCTGCATGGGCAGTGATTAAGTCTATCTCATATGTTCGCGCTTACTGAGATCAGTTGACTACGATGATCATTCCGCGTCTTAAATTGCTTCTCACGATGTCAGGATCAGCTGTGTACCCTGTCCAATATATGCAACAGGCATGGAGGTAAGACGCATTTGAACATTGGCACAAACCCAACTCTTGATTGCGAGACAGATGGGTTGACACAACGGGCAGGGTTGTATGTTCTGCTTCCGAAGCTGTCAAGTACGAAGGCAACAAACTTGTCATATCGAGCATTTTGTTGAGAACATCGAAGAACAGAATAATATCTCCTGTCATCCAGAAGATCATGATCTCCACCCAGCCGTGGAAAGCACTGAACTTCTTGGGTCGAGTGCTTACTCGCGTATTATCTTCCGTCTACACCTGCCCGCTCAACATGAACAATTAGACAGAGACGTGTTCGCTGATATGATTGGATCAAGTGACAAATGACCTCTACAGGCCCGGAGAACTATTGCGATGATCCTGACCAGAACTGTCCTCGGAGTCTCGCGAGTCATGGAAACAGGATACTAGAAGGGAGACGATACTCTGCTGTAGCTCTGTGCACATCCAAGACTACCTATGGATGATGACCGTTTTTTGCGAGCTTGGCAGTCATGTCCTGAGATGATTGAATGGTCTCAGGTGACTGACTCTTTCCATTTTTACAAGCCAAAGACTTGATATAGCCATACATGAAACATCTGACTCGACAGACGAGGTGGACTTTTGTGGTTCTCTCCACAGCTCAGCCACGAAGGCCTGAAAAGTACATAATAGAATGCTATACGATTGCGAGCGACTGAGTACGAGAGTGACTGATATCGAAGAAACATGAAACTTGAGATTAATCAAGGGAGTCGGGAGCAGCCGACGGAACAGCCATCTGCCGGAAGATCCTCTTGTTCTTGTCATGATGATTGTAATTCTTCAGCATCCTCCTGACTCTATGTTTCGGCAGTCTAGAAGCATTGAGTTACATGCAATTGACACCTAACGCACAGTAGTCTGGCGATCGCTAGATACTGTCATTTGCGCTGACATGTTGTCTGCTAGACAACTTCATAGCTTCAGTGCCACAAGAGCGGTGATGCCCGCCAAGACACTGATTGTCAAGGCGCAGTTGGTGGTCGGCGCTCTCTTCCGCCGTGCCCGCTTCTCTTTTTGGACATGAAACACAGTCCAATCTCTCCCTTCCGTCGAGCAGCTCATTTTCCATTTCTTCAACAATCCAAATCCATCGACGCTCAGCACCATTTGTGCTTAGTTGCCACACAACCGGGCTGATAGCGCCAAAATCAAGCATATTTGTGAGGCTAGAGATGTGTCCAAGGTTTCAGACCTAGCTCGACGTCGACTTTGGGACATCTCGAACTTTGGGAAGGTCCCATCTCCAAGCCTCGATGACTGACAGAATCAGAATCAGAACGGAAAGATCGGACAACAATCAGAAATAGTGTCCTGTCATCGCTTGTTGTTACGGTAGTGTACGAACAGAAGGCAGGGACGAAGGTATAAGTAGATTCAACATCGCTCCTTCATGGTCTTCTAATCCATCAACACTTTCATTCTCTTTTCTGTCTTTCTTTACCTTTGCACTCATTCCTGCTGCAACCACATTCTTTTACTTTATCTAATAGTCCCATACTCCTCACACATCCACATCAAAATGCGCGCTTCCGCGGTAGCCACTGCTGCCTTGGTCGCAGGTTCGACCCAGGTGCAAGCTGCTCCCACTTTCGGCCTGGCCTTTGGTCTTATCAAGGGTCTCTCCACTGCCGTCCATACTGATATCAACCTTCTTCTGGGTTCTCTCGGCCTTGGTGTCCAGACCAACGCCAACGTCCATGGTCAAGCCATTGGCTTCGGTGGTGTTGGATGCCCCTTCTCCCTGGCCAACCAGGCTGGCGTTTCTGTCAACGCTGGTCTCCACGGCGCTCTTTCTCACAACATCGGCTTCACTGCTGGTGTCAACGGCGGTGCTTTCATCAACTGGAGAAACTTCAAGGCCAACGGAGTCACCCTGAGCGGTTGGTTGGTCCAGGACAAGTCCCTCGATGTCGACTGGTGGAACAAGTACGGCTCTGACTGCGACGACGAGTGGTCTTTGACTGCCAAGCTCGGTGCTCAGGCCGGTGCTGTCCTTGAGGCTCGCTATGCTTCCTTCATCACCACCAGCTACATAGATTCGCTCGCTGCTGCTGGCATCAACCTTCTGAGAATCCCCACCCACTACGCTGCTTGGGTTTCCGTCCCTGGCAGTGCTCTCTACCACGGTAACCAGCAGGCTTACCTCAAGACCATCTGCCAGTACGCCATTGAGCGCCACGGCATGCACATCGTCATTGGTCTTGACTCTCTCCCCGGTGGTGTCAACGGTCTTGCTGCCGGTGAGCGCATCGGTGCCACCGCTTGGTTCAACTCTGCCGAGAACCTGTCCTACTCCTTCAAGGCCATTGATGCCATCCTCGGCTTCATCTCCGCTACTGGTCACGTCAACGCCTTCACCATCTCTCCCATCAACGAGCCCTGCGATATTACCGCTCAGTTCGCCACTCAGGGCGGCCTCAGTCTCGGTGCCACCAACTTCATCAACAGCTACGTCCAGGGTGTTCTCAAGAAGATTGGCCAGGTCGACGCTCGCATTCCCTGCATGGTTCAAGATGCTTTCCTTGGCCACGACTACTGGGCTCCTTTCTTCTCTGTTGGTGCCAACATTGTTATTGACAGCCACGTTTCTTTCTCTGGTGCCGTTGGTGCTGGTATTTCCGCTGGCATTGGCGCTGGAATCGACGCTGCCGCAAATGTAGGCGCTGGTGTTAATGCTGGCGTGAATGCTGGTGCAAATGTTGCCGCCGGAGTTGGTGCCAAGGTTGGAGCTGGAGTTGGCGCTGGAGTTGGTGCTGCTGCTGGAGTTGGCGCTGGTGTTGATGCCGGTGCTAAGGTTGGTGCTGCTGCTGGACTTGATGCTGCCGCAAATGTTGGTGCTAAGGTTGGCGCTGGTGTTGATGCTGGAGTTGACGCTGCTGCTAAGGTTGGCGCTGGAGTTGGAGCTGGCGTTGGAGCTGGTGTTGGCGTTGGAGCTGGTGTTGGCGCTGGTGTTGGAGCTGGAGTTGGAGCTGGAGTTGGCGCTGGTGTTGATGCCGGCGCTAAGGTTGGTGCTGCTGCTGGAGTCGGTGCCGGTGTCAACGCTGGTGTAAACGCTGGTGTCAATGCCGGTGTCAAGGCTGGAGCAAACACTGGTGCCAACGCTGGAGTTTCCGCCAACGCCAACCTCTCCGCCCACCTGATCGCCCCCACCGTCTGCAAGCAAGCTTCTCTCCTCAAGGGTTCCGGCAAGTTCCCTGTCTTCGTCGGTAGCTACGGCATCCAGGCTCAAGAGGGTAACACTCTTTCTGGCCGCAAGACCATCTACAACACCCAGAAGTACGCCTACGCTCAGAACCTGTCTGGTGGTTGCTTCAGCCACGCAAAGGCATACTCGAACAGCATCTCCGTCTCTGGCGAGGGCTCTGCCTCTGACTACAACTCTTTCCAGAACTTGATGACTGCCAACGTCGCTACCAAGAACACTGATTCTTGCTACTGCTAGATGTAATCATCTCGGAGGAGAAGAAGTTGACATTCATTACCATTACTGTCTAATGTCCGAAAAAAGGGGGGAAGCGCAGATTGATGAAAGGAGGAACCAGACTAATCTTCATTACCATCCAACTAATGTCTATGTACATAACAATCTCTAATATTTTCATTATCCAACTACTCCAACCATTACCAATCTGCTTGTTGTTTCTTACGTTTCTGTCTTCTCTCGCGCGACTACTTGTTTATCACAAGCATGTTCTGTTTGTTCGCTGATACGGCGACGGGCAGATACGTCCTGTTCATCTTCGCATGATAGGCACAACACCTTCGCTAATACCTCAAGGAAAACCTAGGTAGCTAACTACTGTACCACCTCCCATACTGCATTCAGTGATGATGAATGAGTGCCCTTGACTCTGGCTATCCACTCTAGTCACTTAACAACGTCTCTATCATAACATCAGTGACCTAAAGCTACTGCTGCATATCCTTATCTGTTCATAAAACACGATTGATGACTTTACCCTGCCCAGCCAAGCGAATCTTTCCGCCGCACTCTCTCTTGCTCAGACCAAGCCGGAAAATGCAAGCCCGTGTGATGATATGATACTTGGTCAGGTCGATCGTTGAGCCAGGTAGGTACGGTTGAGTGTCGAAGGCCAGCGACATGCGGGAAGGAGCGATGCTTGGGGACTGTCTATACTTTTAGGTGTGCAGGACGCAGCTGCCTCATTCTAAAGTCGATTTCATCAGTAGCATCTCAATTACGATGGGAGACGATGAAACAACCATCAATTATACCCTGCTGTTACAACAACCATACAATGCATGATTTGAATCAAGCTCAGGAGGTACAAACCAGCGACTCGCACTCAATACTTGAAAAACTTTCATCTTGTGTTATTTCGCTCAACTCTGTTTATCTTGTTCCTTGTTGAACACGCACTATGACAATTTCTATTCCCCAATGTGGTGCAATGGTATCAGTAGTAGGAAAAAAGTTCTTGGAGGAAAAGACAAATGTGCATAATCTGCCCACAGCACTCAGCTGGCTCATCCTTTTCCTCCGCACGCGCTTGGGTCTGCCTCCGTGTCTCCTCTTTGAATGACATAGGAAAACAACTGGTACAATGAGAAATGAAAGTGATAAGAACCGGAACCATGCGCGTTTGAATTCCTTTGGTGGTCGGAAGGGCAGGACAGGGCGAAAAGGTAATAGTCCAACAAACAACGAAAGGTAAAAGAGATGGGAAAGAGTCTAATGGAGGCAAATCAGTGTCAGAACTCCTTTTTGCTGAAACGTATGCCGACTCGGGGCTGTGTGAGCGTGAGAGACTCTGGGGTATTTAGATATGTTTTGCTTCCAACGGCAAGAACGAAGAAAGTCGAATGTCTGTCTTCAATGGACAGGTACAGAGATGTACGCAGGAGGATGAATACCGTTCAATTTAGTGACCTCACAACTCCTCATCTTCGTCGATGGCTTGAGCGGCTTGAGGTGGTTGAGCGGAATGAGACTCGGGCATTGATGTGCTTGCTGAGAGGGGCGAGGCACCAATTGCAGAAGGATGAGTGGTAGGTGCTGAACTGGGACCAGTAAGGCTGGGTTTGCCCAGTGGGCTGGCATCTACAGCTCCCAAGCTCGGGCGCTGTTTCTTGAGTGGGCTTTCGGTGTATTGATCTGAGGGCTCGGCGAGCAGTTTTTGGCTAGCCTTGTCACTGGGCGAAGTCGAGGTGTCGGTGATGTGTGCCATCGAAGCACCAATGTGGGGTGATTTGCTTGGTGTAGGGTTGTTGAACTCGCCCGAGTGCTGGCGCTTGAGCTGGAGAATATAGAAGTCAGTCATGTCAAATGGTGGAAATTCGAAGGGATGACATACCTTGATGTGGCGCACACCCTCTGCCATCTCTTCCTGACGCTGGCGGTCTTCTTCGGTCAAGATCAATGGGTTGCCGTTTTCGTCCTTGACGTCGACATCATCCATATCGTCACGAGCACCAGGCTCCTCGTCATCCTCATCACTGTCCATGGCATCGGCATTCTTCGAGCCTTTGCGATTAGAGCGCGCAGCAGGGTCGCGGTAGCTTGAGAAACCCTTGGTGCCTTGATTCTTCAGCGGACCGAGTTTTGAGAAATCGGTGCTACGCTTTCTCGTGACGGTCGATGAGCTCTTGCGGCTAGGTGCAATGACGCCCATCTTCTCGAGTTGTTCTGTAAGGTCGAATTAGCATGAGGAAGAGAAAAAGCATGGAAAGGAAAGAAGGAAGAACATACTAGGGCTGCGGTAGTAGAAGGTAAAGGTAGCAAAAGGACTATCCGGAGGATCGATGCCTGTGACAGTCTGGGTGCTGATACTCTTAGGGTCAAGCGTCTTGGGCTTGTCAAGGCCGGTAGTGTGGTCGACATCCTCATCTTCAGCGCCGTCGTTATTGGCACCTTCATCATCGTGGACGTCAAATTGTGGTGAGTACTCTCCACGCTTGATCTCACCGGAAGCAAGAACACGGAAGAGGACAACCTTGATTTGGCCGGCAGCTTCACTCTCGGGCATGTCAGAATCCGAATCAGAGTCAGACATATCGTCGTCCTGCATGATGGCCTCGGTGGGAGCGCCATTGTCTTCGCCATAGCGCAAGACCGTGTTACGATCGTAGCGGGGCTTGTCCATGTCGTCCTCATCATCGCTGTCCTCTCTCTTGATCTCCCTCTTCTTCTCTTCACGCTGGCGCATCTTCTCAAATTTCTTTCTGCGCCTGTCAATCAGAGCGGCTTTGGCTTCCTTATCAGTGCTCGTTAGGTCCAGTCCGTTGAGCCAGCGCTCTAGGCCAACCTCGCGGAAGAGAAACTCTCGCTCAGCCAGGCCACCTCCTTCGCTGTCAGGTATGCTGACCCATCTTGAGTTGACCCAAGTCTCTTCACCCTTGCGGAGTAACGTGGCAACCTCCTCTTTTTGTCGGCCGTCGAAGTAGATGTATGCGGCAATAGTCTCGTTGGGTGACGAAGTGCGGGGCTGATAAGGCGGGATGAGAACTTGAGGTTTGCCAGTCTCGGGATCGATGGGCGCAGGCTCCTTTCTAGGGAGACCTCTGCTCATGCCAGCATTCTGAGGACCGACATAGACACCCTTGGGGTTGGGATTTGAAGGTGTGGAGCGGGGAGTTGAGTAGGGGACCTTCAAGCCCGGTGTGAGAAGAGTGATGGAGACAGCAAAGGTCGACTGCTGGGGCTGGCCAGTTGTTGAGTTTGGCGGAACAGTAGGTGGAGGGACGGGGATGTAGGTGTTGATGCGACCAAAGCGCGTCAGACTCTGGACGCCATGCTCTGAGAGGGGCCCTTCGGGAGTGTGTATGCTCACAGCGACACCTTTGAAACACGGCATGCTGAATGTTTCGGTGTCTTCTTAGGTGGGCGAGGAAGCGAATCGACTACTTGTCGTGCAAGAGGACCATCCGAGAGCAACGTGTGTGCGCGTGTTGAGTGGGAGCGTGTTTGGAGTAAAAGTGGCTCCCAAGGGGCGGGGTCGAGTGAAATGATGGTGGTCGTCACAAACTCTCTCTGCGTCTTGTGACAGTCAGGGGCGACGACGAGGTGAATAGGTAGTGTCGGCTGCCGGAGACCGATATGCACGAGCAAAAACACAGCCTTGTGTGGTTTGTATGCACCACGATGACGAGCCGTCCAATGATTCTGCTGCTGCTTCGGACAAGCAACTTTAGCTACCAACTCCCACCACCGCTCCGGCGCCGCCAAGACAAGTGTTGCATTAGTTGAAAAGGGACTGCCTTATTTTTGTCCCTCCTTTCAGTCAGTCCTCATTTCATTCATCAAATCTTGTTCGTCTCATCTACCCTGTGCTCAGCTAATCCTTCTGAATTGCAAGCTAAAGTTTCACAATCTCTGCATGTCCAATCTTATGCATTTATCTGCTTGTTTCAAAACCACTTCTCCATCTACGCGCCACAACGCGTGTCGCGTGAAACTCTAAAGCCGAGGCTTGACGTCGTTTCATAACATCTTTCTTCATGACAAGACCATCCTAGACATTCATCTTGATATTGGTGCAATACAGTATTGTAGTTTGATCCTGGTAAGCAGAGACAGAGTGATTCAAGGCATTGTTTATTTCGGCACGCCACGAATCAGGAGCCCAACTGTTGCCTAAGCATAGAGTTGCGCAGCCTGTGCTGCCTGACCTGACTGGGAAAACATTTCTATATCTTTTGAAAAACTCTCCTTGAGTTCTTGCTTTGATACCCATCTCTCAGTTGCAACCACTTCCTTTTTTTCGTGCATACACAAAACCTACGCTGAAAGATCATCATGACCACATCCATGGCTTTCTTCGCCCTTCTCTTATGCCTTCTATCAACAACATTCCCAATTCTCGCACACGCAACCACGACAAATCCATCCAGAAAACACAGCATTCTACCACATCTTCTCTGTCTGGACTCAGGATACTGTGTACCCAAGACCATGTCAACACCATCGCTCGACTTGGACAACCACATCAAACTCGACGTCGCTGGTCAGGCATCTTCGATGCCACAATCAGGAGGAGCAATGTTGGACCGACATGTCGTGTTTGCTGTCAGGATTGCAGAGCCGGCAGACAACCCTTATGCCAAAAGGCTGAAGACACTTTGACGACACAAGAAGATTATGGCCTTTAGTGAAATGTTGAGACTCAAAATACAAGACTCTCGAAAGCGAGGGACGTTGCCAGTCTTAATGCACATCTAGTCGGGCAATCACATCTAAAGAGAGGTGTCAGATCACAGCCCGCCAGATCACAAGAGACCATTGTAGTCCGGAAATGTCGAAATGATGTTACCTCCATCGTACTCCCAATACAGCAAATTTAAAGCAATATGTACACTGTAAAGAGGCACGTTCTTCTCAGAAGCCGAAGCCTGTCCACGAAGAGGTGATGAGTCCTGGCCTCCCAGTGGGCACTGTCCTGATTCCTAGTAATATTGTGCATCTCTGCAGCTGTATGCGTCACGAACCTTAGCACCCTGTGGTTTCAGAAAAGCAGAACAACAATGTAATAGAAGAGGTTAGAGCACAAAGCTTGTGCTCTTGCATGAAAGAGACATTGCGAATTGTGATTCGTGATCATGATAATTAAGGATAGCTACCATGACATGTGATAGAACCTTGATCGTTGAGATCCGTAATCCTCAATCTTCGTTATCCTAAGCCGTCTTGACTTCCTTGACCCACTCCTTGTTGTTGAACTCCACCTTACACCATCATGCAATTATTGAACTCCGCGCTTTCCCCCCAGTCGTAAGAATAAATAGTTGAATACAAAACCCAGGGTATCTTGTTGAAAATGAATGTCATGAGACGCACAGCTGTTGAGTTTGCCGTTTGCTGTCTCTTGTTGTGGAAGTCTTGTCCTGCAAACTTCCACGATACAGCGGTCCTCCTAAACCATCTTGCCATCATCCTTGTTGGACTGGTGTTGAGTGGTGTGGGGGTCTTCTGAAATTGAAGTGATCGATGAGCGGCTCTGGACATCCCAGTAATCGCCATCGATGACGATTTCAGAGGTGTCGCCGACGAGGAAGAGGTACCAGTATACGAAGGCTACGAAAACACTGCCACCAACGATGTTACCAAGAGCAGCGGGGATCATGCTCTTCCAGATGTAGTAGCCGACTGTGATGTCAGGGTGGTGCAAGAAGATCTGCAACATGGGTCAGTATGATCGCCTAAAGATGAAAACTGAGCATAGAGAACCTACAGCCATGGGAATGTAGAACATGTTCGCGACGACGTGGTCCAATCCAAGCAGCACAAAGGCGAATACAGGCCACCAGATCTGCGAGTGTATCAGTCAATATGATGATCGTAGATGAAACATTGAATATTGTCAAGAACTTACAGCCATCACCTTGGAGAAGAACTCTCTAGCACAACAGGCCAGGAAGCAAGCCAGACACACCAGCCAGTTGGCACCAATTGCCTTCAAGAAAATCTGATGCCACATAGGCGTCACAGCCTTAGTAGTTGCAATAGTAAAAAGTTCCTTGCGGTATGTTGGTGCCGACAAGACACCACCATATCCCACAATAACGCAGGTAACAAACAGCGCACCAGCGAGGTTGCCAAAGAAGGTCAGCAGCCAGTGTCTCAACATCAGCAGGACAGAGGTGCGGCGATGGAGGGCAGCCAAGCTGGTGTACATGAAACTGCCAGTACAGAGATCTGCTCCAGTCATGACGATAACGACCAAACCGAAGGGGAAGATGAGGGCTCCCAGCATTCTGACGACACCAGGTGCATTCTCATTAAACCAGGTGGAAGTGTTGATGACTGAGTAACAGGCACCTGCGAACGAACTAGAAGGGAGATATTAGCGATACTGCATGACAGCAGTATACTGAGAACACGCACAGTAGACAACCAGCCATGAAACTGCTGATGATGGTCTTGTCGATACGCATGTGTGCCTTGTAGGCACCTGTACGGGAAGAGATCTCGATTGCTTCCTTGGGTGTGTAGGCATTGTGCACCACCGGCAGTGGCTGTTGTTGGCGTGGGATATCCATGGCTACCTGCGGTAGTGTCTGACTAGGAAATGTAGGATGCATGATGCTGAGCAGAGGGAACCAGGACTGATATATGCTCAGAAAAAACAAAACTTCAGCGGGGAGACGGAAAATGGACCAAGAGGTGGGATATGCTCAAACAGAAGAAGCCCAACCAGGTTTTAAACAAATGCTGACGGGTGTAGGGAGGCTGAGAGTTTCTGAGTCAATGGGCGAAAAAAAAGTGCCCAGTCCCATTTGTTAAAATCTTATCGAATACACCGCGGTACGACATTGCTGTTTCCGTAAAAGGCGCCGTGAAGGAGCACGCGTGAACCTTGTACAACCGTCTCAAGCCCACCAATAAGTTATTGTTCGTAAATCCCTGTGTCAGACCCCGGAGGGCTGAGGCGTTGCCCTGACTGCCAAGGACAACGTGAAGGATCTGGATTTTTGAGTTTCGTAAGATGAGGGGTAGGTACAAGGCAGCATCCAGCCAAAAGGTACATCCAATTGAGCAGCGAGGCTGAAGTCACGTACAACCAGCAAATGCTTGGGATGCTTGGTCGTGGTCGTACTTGCTTAGCCATGTTGCTTGTCTGGACATCGTGCAGCAGAAATTCTTCAGCCTCACCTGAGGATCAGAAAATAGCTTCATGAATCAGATGTCCACCAAGAACGACTGAAAAGGGATATGCAGAGAGAGTCAGGTCCTCTCCTCGGACTCCCGTCCCCACAAAACTCTCCTCCTGCACTCCGGCGTTGATCAGTACCACGAGGCTAGATCTGGGGATCGCCCGCAATATCCACGAGGTATTATCCCGTCTGCTAAAGTTCTTACAAAGCAACCTCCAGCGCCTAAATCTCCATGTGCAGCGGCCATACACATAGCCAACTACCCCGCTCACTCTTCCTGTCTACCCGAGTGGCTCGATAAACACCCGTTAGGTTGCAGACAAGTTACAACAAGCTAGCAGAACGTGAGTGACGCGTCGATCATAATGCATGGTAAACTTCTAAGGTTGGATGTCAAGCCACAAATACACGGCATATCAATCAAGACGGGGCAAGCGAGTTGTCAAGAGTCATACTCAGAAAAATGTTATTGGTTCGTACTCTCACATAAGAAGAAAAAGAAACGAGAGTGCCAAAGCTCGCTCGATCATGAGCTAAGCCAAGCGCACAGAAAAGAGTCAAGTATGCAGTGAGGATAGAACACCCGAGCTGGTAGCAAGGCAAAAGTATCACCGCTTCCATTTCTCAGCCGCAATGTCCCTAAACTCACAACGGCCTGGCATAAAATCACATTCCAACCCTACACAGCGGGGTTGGATCTCGACCCAGATGCCACGCATGAGCGGTTCCTTTTCCTGTTCCTACGAGGAGCCGGAAGTTGCCATGGCAGAGCCTAAGCTCTGGAAACTTGTACCTCTTCCTATTGCTGTAGGGCCCCCGAAGCCTGTGGCAGGTACGGAGTGACTGGGAACAGGACTGCTAATCGGGCCCAGGGAGTGAGACTGCCTTCCGGATCCAGGAGTGCCGGCGTCGGGCTCAAACTTGACTGCAAAGCCACCAGGCGTGGAAGCCTCGTGACGAGCATGCAAGAAACCGCCACCATTTTGGGCGTCACCTTCGGTTTCGCAAATGGCTTCAATCTCCTTGATCGTGATTGGGCTGTCGAGCATCACTCTGGAACTCTCAATTTGACGTAGGAGAGTTTCAACAGAGTGATAATTATCAGGTGTAGGCTCCCGAGCTGACAGTGCCTTGCATGCGTTACATACAGCTATGCGAATCGTCAAAGGACGATTGGGACCCGAGGGTCGGTGACCCAAACTGCCGAAAGGCATGGACGACCATCCACTGCTTGCATTAGGATTCCACGAGGAGCTAGGTGTAGAAAAGCCTGGTGGAGCACCAAACATCGAAGGAGACGTCCAACTACTGTTAGCACCGAAGACGTCCATGCGTGGTTGGTTCTGTGAAAAAACAGGCGAGCCAAAGCCACGCGGACCAGTGATAGCGCTAGCTCGGCGACTTTCTGGCACTGAGGGCAGTGGATCGTCTGTGTCATCAAGCAGCGCACTACTACCGAGATGCTTGCTCAGATCGTCCACATCAGAGTTGTTTGGCCTCATAGTCGAGGGTCGCTGAATAGGTGTTGGGCGGGTGATGGGTGCAGGTGAGCTGACAGAGTCGAATGTGTTCTTGTCTGATGAGTGAGTGCGAGAATGAGACGCAATACTATGGCGTGCGGGTCCGAAACCAGGTGGAGCAGTCGGCGATCCGACAGGTGGCATCTGTTGCTGGAACCCGGGAGGACTGTCGAGTGGGAACCCTCGGCCCTGCGTCATGACTCCAAGTCCGCTCATGCCAGGCGGAGGAGTAGGCATGGAGTTGTTTGAATGCACAGGCTGGAAGGGACCACTGCTAAAGGGCCCATTAGAAAAACCGGGTAGCGAGGGACGATGATGCATCATCGGTCCATGAGGAGCACCAAACCCTGGGAATCCAGCCATGCTTGTTGGGAAACCACTGAAACCATTATTCTGATGCTGTGGGTACATGCTTGGTGGTGGCAGTTGGCCAGCAGGCGAGATGGGCTGGTGTTGTGCAAAGGGTTGCTGATTCTGTGGTTTCTGGAATATCGTTCGAGGCATAGATTGGTTCATAGCACTTCCCGGAGAGGTCGATTTAGTAGGAGCAATGGCGGGTCCTTGTTGCGACTTTGGCGAGGTGGCATTCTGGCCCTGGAAGGAGCTCTGTCGCGGTTGTGCTGGAGTAGAAGGCTTCGGCAAAGCAGGGGTGGCCACGGGAACATGTGGTGAAGACATGTTTGATGAAGCCTGCTTGGAAAGCAAACCTGGAGGTACAGCGACCATGCCAGCTTGCGAAGGACGTTTGGACATCTGCGGCGTTTGCTGATTTCTTGCTTCTCTGTCCGCTTTGGCCTTTGCATCTCGTTCCTTTCTTTCGCGTTCTGCTTGAGCCTTCTTCTCCTTGGCCTCCTTTTCACGCGCCTCTCGTTCCTCGCGTTCCTTCTGACGAGCTTCTTCCTTCTGCTTCTTTTCAAGCGCCTTCTGCTCGCGAAGTTTGCGTTCGGCTTCCTGCTGTCGCTCACGTTCTTCCTGTTGGCGTTTCAAGCGTTCGGCCTCCTTACGTTGTCGCTCCTCTTCTTGAGCCTTGCGCTCGGCCTCTTTCTTCTTGCGCTGTTCCTCTCTCCTCTGCCTAGCCTCCTCTTGCTTTGCTTGCTCGATGGCCTTAGCTGCGGCTTCTTCAGCTGCCTTCTCGGCATCCTTCCTAGCCTTCTCCTCAGCCTTTGCTTGCTTCTGAGCCAGTTTCTTGTTCTTCTTCTTTTCGGCGTCTCTTGCCTTCTTGGCTTCACGTTCCTCCTTCTTCTTGTCTTCGTCTTCCAGTTCTTCCAGGAGTTTCTGCTGACGCTCGGCAGCGACCTTTTCTCGGTAGGCGGTCAGCACGCGTTGTTCGAACATGCGGGCGGCGAAGATTTGGAACATGCGACGGCCCTCTTCCATGCGTTGCTCCTCGGTCATGCCGCCCTGTACCTTGTCAGTGACGCACGTGACCACTTCCCAGGAGTTATCCCGCGTTACCGTCTCGTCCTCTTCTTCTTCATCCTGGCTGTCCTCGTCATACTCCTCCTCGTCGTATTCCTCATCATCATATTCCTCGTCGTCGAGCGGCGGCTCATGTCCGTTGGATGTGTAGGTGTGTGAGGGTTGTGCCGACTGGTACTCTGCTTCTTGTTCGCGCTGCATCCTCCGCTCGGCTAGTTGTTCCATCATTTCGATAAACTTCTTGCCATCGTTCTTAAGCAAATCATCGGCTACAGTTAGAATGCCACCTGAAATCACTTCAGTCATCTGAATATTGCAACCTAACGGTAGAGCAGGCCTACCTTTGACCGTCAGACTGTTACCAAAATTGAAGAAATCGTTGCCTATTCCTCGCGGTACGTCTTCAGGTTCATCCTCTTCGTCGCTGTATAAATCTTCCTCATCGCTGTATTCCTCTTCCTCCTCTTCACTCATACCTTGACTGTCGACTTCGTCGCCCTCGTCTTCTTGGTCGTCGTCTTCGTCATCCATGATTTCTTGGACTGGACTCGTTCGATGATGGGATCGTTGGTGATGAGTGCTTAGTGGTAACGGTACGGCGGATGAAGGATGAAGGTGTGGGGGTGGTAAACTGCGTGGAGGTGGTAGCATGCCGTGTCCTGGTTCGCCGCTTTGGTGATGGGCGTACTGTTCAAGTTCGTCGTAGTATGCATCATAAAGCACCTCTAGCTCCTCCTCGATAGCAATTCTTTTACGACCACACACGGTACAGGAGCATGAGTGTTTTTGCTGCTCCTTCATTTTACGTAGAACAGCCTCCTTCTCGATTTTGAGCAAGGATTTGCGCTCCTCCTCGCTCAGCGTCAGCCAGAACTGTTTAATCCTCTCGCGTTCTTCTTGGGTCGATGTGTTCCAAATACGATCTTGCCTCGAGGAGCGTTGAGTAGACCTTAATGGGCCGGTCGACATGGGTAGGGAGTGCGGTAGAGGAGATTGGTGCATAGCAGGGCGTAGATGGTCAGGATATGCCGAGTGATTAGAGCCGCCGCGCTTCTTCTTCTTGTTGCGCTTTCTGCGCGAAGGTTCCACCGAGTCGTCGTTGCTTGGATATGAGTTTGCGCCATTGACGGGTGGTGGCCGCGCTGAATAGCTGAGTTGCACATTGTCTTGGTCCTCGTCCGACAAGGCTTCAGGGAGTGACGGAGGTTGACTGAGATGGGAGTGCTGGTCTGAGAAAGCCTCGTCGGAGCCATGATTGAGCTTTGCCTGCTGCTTTGCCCTCCTCTTCTGCTTCTTGCGATTTACGGTTGTAGGATGGGATGGGTCGTGGGTCGAGGATAGCCCGTTTGAGGCCTGGGTATGCGCCATGCTGTGAATGAGAGTAAGGCCAGGACTTGCGACAATCGCTCTAGGAGGGATTAGCGACTGCGCGAGACTTGGTTGGTGAGTGTGCTATGTCAGTGTGTAGTGGAGATCGGCGTTGGCAATGGGTGGGCTGGCGGGGGTCGGCTGTGGTCAAGGCCGCGCGCTTGGTAGAGAGGAGGCGCGGGAAACAAGTGGTGAATTTCAAGGCGAACGCAGCGAGTCAACGAGCATTCGGCAATGAGAGTTGAAGGAGTGATGCGATCTCTACTAAACATGCGTCTATCTCAAATGAGCCTATTGCTACCTACCTATTCACCTGCTGTCAGGCCTGTCCGACACCCTTTCGGCAGTAACCGGCCTAGTAGCCCTTGCTTAATCTGATTGGTCACACACGATTGAAGGAGCGACTTGTTATCACCGCCTGCGGTAGTTACTCCTTCACCTTGCGCACATATTGTATGTCTTATTGCTATACAGAGACGTGAACAACTAGCGATCACCGTCCAATGTAAATGTCAGGTTAACCGATGTCAGGGTATCATTGCATTCGGGGTCGGACAATTAGCCGTTGATATTCGCGGCCTCAATGCAGGCTTCGGAGACTCTGAGTGAGACTGCCAGCATCTTCATGTTGCCAAGGCGGAGAGCAAGCCACGCAGCAGCTCCTTCCCTTTGTTGTGCCCCCACGGACTCGTATGTTCCGCCAGACTGCCGAGCTTGCATGCTCATCAACTTGTCGTCTTCTAGCCCTGTTGTGATTTCTTTCCTGAACGCTTCCAACTTTCCGTCTTGACAAACTAGTTTCTGTGTGACATCCTGTCAAAACCTTGTAATTCTGCGCTTGAGGCGTAATCAAGACTTCATCCTGAAACGCGGAAGCACAGCCCACTCTGTAACTCAAGTCGACTCCTCAATCTCTCGACCTCTCTTCTGCTCATCAATCCGACCCGGTCTGACTGCCATTCTTCTCCCGCTTCACCTACATCTTCGCCTTAGCGCCACATACCAATTCCATCTCTCATCCATCCATCAATCTACGACCCGACAAACCGCGTCATCAACTCTACGTTCCCCGACTTTTCCGCATCTAGGCGTATTCTCAGCCATTCACTTCTATCGACTGTTCGCCGAACGCTTCTCTCGCTTTGCGACCTGTCTTTTTACTCCGACCAGTCGTCGCATCATATTTCGTCACCCCTGTTCAGCTGCTCTGGACAAGACCCGCCAAAATGCCTCAACAAGAAGAAGGTGTTATGAGAAGGTGTGTTTATACCCGGCCCACAATCGTGAGGAACTGCTCTTGCGTTCTGCGATTCTCGTTTTCAAGCTGCCATCTTCATGAGCTCTGTGAAGATGCACAATATTGGCTGCACGAATGGCGCGTCCGTTGAGTTCCATTAATTTCCTCAATTATTGAGCCAACAGATCGCTGTTTGGATATCCTTGTGAATTATGGAAATTCATGCATCTTTTCTCTAGTCACATGGAAATTGTCGTCGCGGATGGCAGAAGGAAGATATGACTTGCGAACGAGAAGCTAACGCGTGCCTAATTGTGTCCTGGATCAACTTGAGCTGACCTTCATTCTCAAACAGGAAGCTTGTCATTATCGGCGATGGCGCTTGCGGAAAGACTAGTTTGTTGAGTGTTTTCACTCTTGGCTACTTTCCTACTGTACGTATCACTAAATGCTTGTTGAGCCCGGCTCTTGCTAACTGTCTTTTAGCGATACGTACGAAGCTAGCCGATCTTGTGTGCTATATAGACTTGCTGACTGTCTCTAGGTACCGACCGTTTTCGAAAACTACGTGACCGATTGTCGTGTAGATGGCAAATCTGTGCAACTAGCACTCTGGGATACTGCTGGACAAGAGGACTACGAACGCTTGAGACCCTTGGCCTACTCACAAGCCCACGTCATCTTGATAGGCTTCTCTGTCGATACACCAGACTCTCTCGAAAACGTAAAACACAAGTGGGCCGACGAAGCTACGGAACGCTGCCCTGGAGTTCCAATCATCCTGGTCGGATTGAAGAAGGATCTTCGTGACGACCCCGTAGCTCAAGAAGAGATGCGCAAAAGAAGCCAAAAATTCATCACTACCAAGGCCGGCGAGGACATGAAGGAACTGATCGGAGCACGAAAGTATTTGGAATGCAGCAGTTTGACAGGAGATGGTGTCGACGATGTATTCGAGGCAGCAACTCGAGCTGCTCTGCTGGCGGTTGACAAACAGGAGCGTGGAGGCTGTTGTGTCATCCTTTAGCAGTCTCACGCGAACCCACGGCCTTCTTTCTATCTATGACCAGCATTGGGGCGGCGTTTTCTGTTTGCGGAGTACAAGCGGATTGTCAAGTGGTACCGAAGGCGGGCCTCTATTCTTCTTTTTCTAGTTACTTGCTATTCTTTGGTTGTGGGCGTGGTGTTGAAAAGCCGGATTGATTCTCTTTGTTGATGTCGTGTTGATGGAATGCGTTTAGAGGCGGCAATGAGGGTATGTTCTGACCCGAGATTCGTTCATTTTGATACCACCATTTTTCTTTAGTATATCTTCTGTCGCGATTCTAGAATTCTCGACCAATCTGCCATTTTAGGTCAGCCTACCTTAGACATCGCATTGCTTATCGTGATACATATTGCGCAGGGTCGGGTCAGCTGACTTTCAGTTTGTAGCAGTCGATGGGTTATGCATAGGACAATGGTGATCCACTCGTAAATTGTTTTTATCTTCCCAAAAGTACCGGATCTGTTCAAGATCAACGCCAGAGTATGATACAAGATAATAGCACAGACATTACAACCGAAACATCTACCTCGTCCAACCGTGGTTCCAGCCATCAGTGCTTGGGCTGTCGGTTTGAATGCGAGCGTATTCGATGGGAACACCACCCCAAATGTCGTTCTTCATCATGGCGATTCTGTACAACCTTCCAACGCTCTTTCCTTGTGCTGCGGCCTCTCCCTCTGTTACGATGTTTCCGGAAGCATCCATGAGACGCAAGGCCTCACAGGCATCTCTCATGCTCTGGTATTGGCGCTCAAGGTCACGCTCGTGCTGTGTGCGCTGCTGAGCCTTGAAGATCTGCCATGCGCGGTGAATGGTCCAGTGTCTAAGGTAGCGATCGCGAGAGAATCTGAGAGGTCTGGGTGTGATGGGATGCGAGAGGAAGTAACGGATCATTTCTTTCCGGAAATTGTTAGTGCTGTGTTTCGGCGCGAAGCAGTGGTATAGACTCACGAATGCGAGCATCCTTCTTGGGACCGCCGCGATTCCTCTTCTGAGGAACGGGAGTGCTGCTGAATGATCGGGATTGTTGGATGGCGCGGAGGATGGTGCTGGGTTTATATGTAGCAGGAGAGGCGGTGGTCTGCGAAGCGGCGCTGCGAAGGCAGCGGAGCGAGAAGAGGCTGTTCATGGCGGGATTGATTCAATGTAGACGTGGCGAGAGTATGGAAATATGCGATTTGGTATGCAGATGGCGACAAGGGCCGCTACGAGGGTACACAGCTGGTATAGAGGTGCAAGGCGTGGATTCAAACCGAAATCTGATGCTTGGCGTCCTTGATGCGGAGCGGACCGAGTTCCTGGCGGGCGGGAGAGAGTTTGTGTACCTCTTGAGCTCCGCAGTCAATCTTGCCCGTATTTGGCTGCTTTGGGTTTCATACGAGTTTCAATGTCTAATAATATTCCGACCCCAACCCTCCATCGTGCCTGCCTTCTCTACGTGATCCCTTGACACATTGCACCAACTGTCAAACATCTCGTCCATCTCTGCAATGAGCCACGACCAAGCTGTCAAGGAGGCTTCGGCCAAACACCCCACTCCCGCTGAACTGGTGGGCAAGTTCCAATATGGCACCGCTGGCGTAAGATGATGCTGATCTGCTATGATGCTGTTTCCACAATGCTGACGATCGCTCTAGTTCCGTATGAAGGCGTATGTCACTCGCCCAATTTGATCCTTATGTATCCCAACTCACCATCCTCAGCAAGATCCTCGACTCGGTCGTCTACCGTGTGGGACTCCTGGCCTCGTTGCGCTCGCGCAAGCTCAATGGCCAAACCATTGGTGTTATGATCACCGCCAGTCACAACCCTCCCGAGGACAATGGCGTCAAGCTTGTCGACCCCATGGTACACTCCATCTTCTGCACTTCCTTTTGTCAACATTACCTCTGACTGCTCATCTAGGGTGAAATGCTCGAGGGCTCATGGGAAAAGTACGCCACTCAACTCGCCAATGCCGACTCCGATGATCAACTCGTTCAAGTCTACAACGAACTCGTCAAAACACTCAAGGTCAATCTCGACGCTCCTGCTAGAGTCATCTTCGCCCGTGACACCCGCGCCTCGGGTTCCCGTCTGGTTGAATGCCTCAACGACGCCCTGACTGCCACCAAGGCTGAGGTTACCGACTACCGTATCCTCACCACTCCTCAACTTCACTACCTGGTTCGCTGCGTCAATACAAAGGGTACTCAGGACGAGTACGGTGAGGTCAGCGAGAAGGGCTATTACGAGAAGTTGGCTGCCGCTTTCAAGCAAGCCATGGAACACACAAAGGCTCAGGGTCACTTGACAGTTGATTGCGCAAATGGTGTTGGAGGTCCTAAGCTGCGCGAACTGCTCAAGTATCTCCCATCTTCTGCTGATGGTGGTCTCGATGTCAAGGTTGTCAACGATGATGTCCACAAGCCCGAGACTTTGAACCACCAGGTGAGTTCCCATTATCTCACGTTTGTGAGACAGTGCTGACTGAGGTAGTGTGGCGCCGACTTTGTCAAGACTAACCAGCGTGCACCTCCTTCATCCAAGGCTGGCCCTGGAGATCGTTGTTGCTCTCTGGACGGTGATGCTGACCGTATTGTCTACTACTTCCAAGACGAGAAGAACGTCTTCAGACTTCTGGACGGTGATCGCATCGCTACTCTTGCCGCCTCATTCATTGCCGAACTTGCTCGCCAAGCTGGTCTGATGGAAAAGCTTACTGTTGGTGTTGTACAGACTGCATATGCTAACGGTGCATCGACAACGTACATCCAGAAGAACTTGGGTTTGCAAATAGTCTGTACTCCTACTGGTGTCAAGCACTTGCACCATGCTGCAACTCGCTTTGATGTGGGTGTTTACTTCGAGGCCAACGGACACGGAACTGTCGTCTTCTCTCCCTCCGCTCTCAAGTCTATCCACACTCACCAGCCTCAATCGCCTGCTCAGGCTGATGCTCTCACAACACTCATGGCTCTGACCGATCTGATCAATCAGACTGTTGGTGATGCGCTTTCCGATATGTTGCTTGTCGAGGTCATTCTTGCACACAAGGGCTTCAGCTGCGCTGAGTGGCTACAGACATACACCGACCTGCCCAACCGTCTGGTTCGTGTTGAAGTTGCTGACCGCAACCTCTTCACCACAGTTGAAGGCACTGCTGAGCGTCAACTCGCGACACCCGCCGGTGCACAGAAGGATATTGAGAAGGTTGTCGCCAAGTACAAGGACGGCAGAAGTTTCGCCCGCGCTTCTGGTACTGAAGATGCTGTTCGCGTGTATGCCGAAGCAAGCACACGTGCTGAAGCCGAGGATCTTGCTGCTGCTGTTGCTCAGATCGTGAGAAAGTATGGTGCTAAGTAAAAGGTGGTATAGTATTGAGGAGGGTTAACAAAAGGGGCAAAAAAATGCATGGGATACGGGTTGTCTCTGGCGTTGTTTGATTACCTTGTTTTTGTCCAGAGCATTTTCTATCGACTACACGAATGAAAAGAGAACGTAATGGTTCTCTCCTATATGCTGAAGTCAGTTGTATATACTAGAATGTGGCGTTGCACAAAAGATTCACAAACTTTGGCATGTCGAAGCGAACATTCTTCAGTGGTAAGTTGTCATGAAAAACAAAGCGTGATATTTCGTATAGCAGCCGCCAATATCGCACGTCCGACTGTTTGCTGATATCGTATCCACTATAAACCATGTCTGTCGATTACAGCAGAACAGACATTACACATAGCGAGAATGGTCTGTGATTGAGGAAAGGCTTTAAAGACAGGGTGCTAACACTGACGAGCTTAGTAAGCCGCAATGACGCTCAAGCTCTCCCGTCGACGACCGACCTTTGTTTGAATCTCTGTTCAGCGTCAATGTATAGAATGTGTTCCAACATGACATAAGCGGAGACTTGAAGTATGAGACGGCATATCTGACTTGATCGGATTCTGATTTCGTGTATTGCAAAGACCGCCTTGTGTACCAGTGACACAGAAGCGAAGGATTGTAAAGGATTGTAACGACGTCGGACGATAGTAAAGCCCGAAGGCTTTTGATTGAGGCAGCAACCATGGACCTTTGTAAGTACCGACACAGTGACTTATAATGAGGAGTTGCCTCCTCCAGACATTGAGGTAGAGTACCTCTCCTACGGAATATCACATCAAAAACTTTCCTTTCTGCCGTACATCAAGACATCATTCCTTCCATACATACATCCGGGGATATAACTGCAGCAACAATGTCGACATCTTCATCTTCACCCAACGTCCTCATCTCAGGCTACGGCATCGCAAGCAGTGTCTTCGCATCCACGCTTTTGCGCGCCTACCCAAACGCCACCATCACAATCGTCGAACGCGATCCATCCATGCGTCTCACCGGCGCCAGCGTCGACATACGCTCATCCGCCGTCGACATTATAAAATGGATGAACCTCGAAAAAGAAATCCGTTCCAAAACTACCAAAGAAGAAGGTGTTGAATTCGTCGATGAGTCTGGAAAGTCGTTTGCTACTTGGCTGGCTACTGGAAACACAGATATCCAGACCATGACTTCTGAATATGAGATTTTCAGAGGTGATCTTGCGAGGATTTTTGCTAGGGGGATTGAAGACAAAGTGGAGCTTGTGTTCAGCGAGAGTGTGGCGAGTTATGAACAGCAAGAGGATAAAGTATTTGTTACTTTTTCTAATGGCAAGGAAGCACAAGAGTATGATTTGGTTGTTGCAGCAGATGGATTGGCTTCGAAAATCAGAGGTATGATGCTGGGAGTTCCTCCATCCGAACATATCCATGACGAAGGCGTTTATGCTTCTTTCTTCGTTATCGAGAAAGACCTGCTCAACGGCTCGAAACTGGCGAAATGGTATAATACCACTGAAGGTCGCGCTATCTTCCTTCGTCCAGACCCTGACCCGCGCGGCCGCACAAGAGGACACTTTATGAACTCAGCATGGCCTTCCGACATTGCCACACGCCAGAAAATCACCACTGCCCTGCGCGAAGGAAACGAGTCCTACATGCGTCTCGTCGAAGAATCTTTTTCTTCTTGCCCCTACCATCAAACCGCCGAAATCTTGGAAGCCATGCGCACAACGCCAGATTTCTACTGCTCGAGATTCGCACAAGTGCGCGCGCCCAAAATCCAAGATGGAAGGGTTGTATTGCTCGGCGATGCAGGATACGCTACCCCCGGCATAGGAACCTCCCTAGCCATCATGGGCGGCCACATTCTCGCTGGCGAACTACTACGCCACAATCTCGATATTTGTGCCGCAACAAAAGCTTACGAGGAGTTAATGTTGCCGTTTGCGAAAAGCCAACAAGGAACTCTTGGGGATTATGCCATGCAGATGTTGAATCCACAAAGTGCTTGGGGGTTGTGGATTAGGAATACTATACTGTGGGCATTGGTGGCGGCAAAGATTGACAAGATTGCGCTGTGGATTGCTGGGAAGTTGGGGGTTAAGGAGCCAAAGATTAAGATGCCTGTTTATCCTTGGCCTGAGGTGAAAGGCTAAATGTAACGAGAGCGAGTAATTGGGAAGGAACATGGATGGAAGTTGTAATATAGCCGAAATGGAAATACGTAATGACTAATATGAAACTCCTCTTCAATAAAAGAATCGTGCAGCTCTTCAATACTCCCTGTAACCTTCGCGGTCATAGGAGATATGTGTGATTTCCAATACGGTCACAGACGCGATTGCTTCGCTCGGGTGGCTCTGGGTTGCCGAGCAGAAGAATCTAACAAGACCAGCATGTTGGAAGAGTGGGCAGACGAGGCAAGAATTGGAAGGTCTTGTTGTTGGCCATGGACAAGGAAACAAGACCAAACGTAAGACAAGTACTTGTTTTATAGAGTTCAGTGAAAGATGTTTAATGCTCGATTAAGTGTCCAACTAAGCTCCTTGTTTGCTTGATGAATGCAGAAAAAGGCTGCCATATGCAAACATATATGTACAAAACAGACAAACACCAAACATGTTTGTACAAAAGACCCCGCCATGGTAGAACAATGTAAAAGAGGGCGAATAAAAGAAAACCGATCTCAGACCTCAGGCACCATGATTTCATAAAACAACAGGTAAACCTCCCTCTGCATACCCAACACATCACTAGTCTTGGACTCTTTGATCTTGTCATCACTGATCCTCCACCATCTGTTATGTTGGTTTCTCTGTTTCCGTTTTAACCTGCTGAGATCAAGACTTTTCCCTGCTTTTGAGGATGTGCGTGCGGTTTGTTGGTAGGTGGTGGTTTCGGAGGCTTGTTTTGAGGGACTGTGTGATTGGTTGGGTAAAGGTGTTTCGGCATCACTGCTGCTGCTGAGTGTGCTTTTTTCGTCGCTGGTACCGTCTGCAGTTTTCTGACGATGGCGGAGGGAGAAGCGCTTTTTCGAGGAGGAACGCGAGGATGTGCTGTTACCGCTGCTCGAGGGCGAGTGTGTGAGACCAGGGGTAGTAGGTTCGAGCATGGGACTGGGCATGCCACTTGCTCTTGGTGTTCCTTGCGCCGAGTACATGCCTTGTGTACCCATGCTTAGTTTGGCACTATATGGTTCTGCAAGATATTGACGTCGGAAACTCTCGTAATGACCGCTGTTGTGACCTCCCTTATGCGTTACCACGCCCAAAAGACGGTAAGAATGTTGATCTAATAATCCGCCCAAAGGTAGTGTTTCCGGGAAGCTGACTTTGGCCATGTTCTTGCTACTGCTGGAGTTAGGATCCCAGACGCTTCGCGACAAATGGATGGCGAGGACTTTGGGGAAGCCACTGATGCGCATGTGGCGTGAGATACGGCGTTTGGGGGCTAGAGATGGATCGGGCAATTTGATGTTCTTTGGGAGAGCTTCCGGATCTGTAGCGAGTGCGTGTTCAAGGGCGGAGATCTCGTGAGTAAGGAGGTTGCGTGTTTGGTCATCCGAGGCGCGTGATAATTCCTTGGTCTTGAGCTGGATGGCGTGTTCCAGTCGGCATCTTTCGCATTTGTAATCATCAATGTGTTCGACTTTCAGCATACCATCGAAGCATGCATTGAGTGTGGTTGAAGAATGGTGTGGTACGTTGAGGGTGAGAGTAACAAAGCCAGATACTGAGGGCTTGGGCTTGAAATGGCAGGTCATGCATTCAATCTGTGCCTCGATCTTTCCTTCAAAGGGAAAGCCTGGGTCGTCTTGCAAGTCGTCATCTTCTGCATGTGGTGATTGATGCACGCTCTGACGGATCTGCTCAATCTCTGATTTTGCTTGCAGGCCGCGAGCTGACTCTACAGGCCTCAGCGTGTTCGGCCGTCCATTGTGTCCATTCTCTTTTGTGACATCTTCAGCTTCTGGTGATCTAAGGGTGGCGGTACTAGGACTCTTGAGCGATCTGGCCTTTCTTCGGGCATTTCTTCCAGCGTGGTATTCCTCGCTCAGCCTTTCAGCCACGATTTGTAGGAATTCTTGAGCGTCTTGTTGTTGTCGACTGATGCGCGTCCTGAAAGCAGTCTCCATGACACTAACAAATGTGCGGGCCGAGATGGTCTTCTTGTAAATGGGTCGCTCGTTAAGCGCATCCAGGATATCCTTGAGTCCAGCTGTGACGAGACCTTGCTGCAGGCCCAAGACTTTCCAGCTTGGCTCTTTCGTCTCGTTCATCTTGACAATATCCTTGCTCTCGTTGGGTGAGATCTCATCTTCCAGTTGCTCGACAATCGAGTAAATTTCTTTTCCATCCAGCTTTCTTCGGTGAAGTTCTCGGATCAGGTAGATGCGCAGTTCGGGAAGACCGGCCAGGGTCTGTAAGACTGAATTGATGAAGCAGTCATTGGCGGGATTGACGAGGCCAACAACACCTCTCTTGCGGGTGGATCGCGAGGATTGAGCGGCTTCATCGTCGAGCATAAAGGTGGGGCCAAAGACATAGACGAGAGTGATGGCTGCTAAGGATGCGCCGGCGGCGTAGGTCGCGATGGTGAGGGGTTTGTCGGGCATGTTGGCTGGGCGGTGGGTCTAAAATTCTTCATTCAATGTGTATGCCTGATGCTGATGCTGATGCTGTGTGGGGTTGGAAGGAGTGGACGCTCTGAGAGTAGGGCTTGCTGAGTGGTCGAGTCAGGTTCGTTTCATATCATGTCATAGTGGTGCGCGAGGTCCTCTCTCGCCATGGTCTAGACAAGAGGAAGAGAGAAGGAAAGTCGCTGTTCGTAGGATCAAGGGCCTCGGTCCGCTCACGGGCGAGCAAAACCGATATCTTAGCAGTGCCGCCCTAACGTGTGGAGAGAGGGACCGTGACACCCGTGAGATGTGGATGTCCCGCTGCTCGTGCGTTTCGCGTGTCCGATCATGGCCTGCGCATCCCGTCCATCGCCGGCTACCGGCTATTTAACCATCCGACAACCATCTCTCTTGCTTGTCTGACACATCTTCCATCACCAACAATGACAGCGCCTTCATGGCTCGCAGCTCGTCGTCTGACCGCTGGCTCATCTGTTCAACCGTGAACTTTGCACTCTTGACGCCAACGAACATGGTACGTATTCCCCAGCACCAACACCATCCATTCTCAAGCCCAGCCATTATGATGACCAAGTATAATTATGTTTCAAGACGAGACGGAGATTTACTGTGAATGACAACTGCTTCCATTCCTGATGTTGGCCTTCCTCCATCACCACTCAATCACTCTCCTGTCAAGACTGCTGGCTAATTAGATCTGTGACTTGCAACAGGACATATTAGAACGACCATCGTATCTGCAATAGACAGCTCATATCTCTATAGATCATTGCTCATCATACTCTAAACTCTTCCAGCCTTTTCTTCTGCCTACCCTGCTCATCAAAATTGCTCTCGTCCAGCCAAGCCTCAAAAGCCTTCTTCCTGTTGTCCCACTCCGAGTCTAGCATAGAAAACCAAGTGGTATCTCTATTCCTTCCATACTTGTCAATCAGCGCCTGTCTAAAAGTGCCTTCCTCCACAAACCCATATCTCGCCGCTGCTCTCCTGCTTGGCGCATTGAGACTATGGCACTTCCACTCATACCGACGATAGCCCATCTCAAACGCATACTTGGCCATCAAGTACATAGCCTCTGTAGCAGCAACGGACTTTTGCAGTGCTGACGAAAACATCAAATGTCCAACCTCAATAACACGGTTTTTGGGTTCGATACGGAGGTAGGAGCACCAGCCTACTGCTTCCTTCTTGTCGCCGACATGTTTGAGGATGGTGTAGAAGGTCGGGTCTTTAGAAGCGGCTTTGTTGACCATATCTTCATGGAGAGCTGAGACTGTACTCGGGCATGGGTCGTAGGGCATGTAGTCCCACAGTCTTTGATTTACAGTACCCCCGATGAGTGGGAAGAGTGCTTCAGCATGAATTGGTGATATCGGCTCCAGAGTAACGTATTTGCCTTGCATAGTAATCTCCTTTGAAGGCCATGGTGCTGGATTTGTGTTTGTGACCAATTCACCCAGTGGACGTTCGGGTGTATTGCTCATTTTTGGGCTTGGTATGATATGTTTCGAATTGACTTGTAATTGTGTTTGAAAATGTAGTTGTATGCTGCTTTTAGTGATTGCTATATATTTGTTCGATTGCTGTGAGTCAGACGTTTGTACAAAGCGCGGCTGCCCTCACCGAACTCTGTTAGTTAATTACCTAGCTTGCCCTACCTGCCAACTCGGGCATGTACATGCGAATGAGTCTGAGCTTATCGTAGTACTTTGCGCCAATTCACAGATGTCAATCAGAGGGCGCAGAGAGATGTCAATGCGATCAGCTATGGTTGAGAATGCAGGGCTATCGTTCAAGCTACACAGTGCTTGGAATAGACACAACGGTCTCTGCTAAGAGATCTTTGAATCAGTGCTGATGGAAGCATTCAAGGATCGCATTAAGAAACTTCATGACGTGAAATTCGTTCAGCAATCATTAACAACGCGTTTGACGCATTCGTGACCATCGCGTCGCAGCTCTACAGCCGGCTCTGCGTTTGCGAAGAAGCCTTACCGTCAACAATCGTGTTGGCCGCTTCAGCATAATCGCAAACATCAGAACAGTCCTTAGCGATCTTCCTCCATCTGATCTTGCCTTCACCGTCAATCGCAAACCCTCCAGAGTTCTGCCACCTATACGAGCCCGCACCCGTAGGTCTCATATCAATACCATCCGACTCTTTCAGCGTCTTCAACGCTCCTAGGATATCGCCATTGACCATACCAGCCCAGCCTAGCGACCCAACACCCCATGCTGCGTAGGTTTTGCGTTCAGGGTCTGCGACGACGGTATAGCGAGTCGAGTCTGGGAATGCTTTGCCGCTACCGACACAAATGAGTCCACAAGCCATTGAAGTCGCTGCAAAGCAACACTTACCCAACATCCTCAAACCACTGTTTCGACGTGGCCTCGTCACTGTGTTGAACAATCACCACATGCAGCTTTTCGTGCTTGCGACTTTCAGCTGCTAGTAATTGTACTTCTTTCTCTGCGAACGGACACCCGCAGTGCCGTACGAAAGCTACGAGAGTTGGTGTGCCATTGCCGTGTGTCAAGTCGATCGAGCCTACTGGTGCTGGAGCCACATCGCCAATCTCCGGAAGCGCAGCCACAGATGGTGAGGATTGTGGAAGGATCGATTTGATGGCGGGGACGTATGAAGCCAAGTAGCTTGCCATGATGTCTTGTATTCGATTTGTCGCAGTCTTGTGATGTTGTTATGCTGTAATGCCTTTCTTTGTTTGTTTTTTTTGGTAATGCCCTAGGCAATGCAATGAGTGTTTTGCTTCTTACTGATGAAGATGGTGGGATCGAGGGTCATTATGACCCCGCCGAGACGATTTGGAATGCACTCAGTTAAGGTTATTAGGCGACGTCATGTCCGATCAATATGTGCTGCTTCTCACAGTCCGATGTCTACATGGCAGCTCTGATGTTACCGTAAGTATTTGTGTGAAGTCGTCGAGGACGGCATGAGACTGCATTGAGATGCGACCGTCGTGCGGCAGGTACAAGCTTGAGGCGGAGGAGTTGAGCAGGGTGGTCACTACTCAATGCGTCAAACCCTGAAGGACGCCTTGTCCATGCATCCAAGCGATGTGATTTATTTGCAGGTGGATGCAATGGGAAGAGAGAAAGGGATGATGTGCAAGGTGGACTAGTCTTTCGTGCTACCATGTGTCGGCGCTTACCGTCCTGCATATCAGGCAGCCAAGAAAGCGTTATCTGATGCGACTAAAGCTGCAAGCAATGTGACACGTCCTTCTTCTTCAGCCTCCAGTTCAGAAACCAGAGTCAAAACTGATGAAAAAAGTAGATCATTCGCGTCAGCCTGCGGAAGTGCAAGACAGGCGACACTGTGCCGGGAGACATGAAGGCGAGCTTCAGAGATCTCCCAGCATGTTCCAAAGAATGGGTTCAACATAAAAGTCTTAGCGGTTAAACATAAGAAGAACAGATACTACGATTGATTCTAGCCATTCGGCAAGAGACTTGCGGGAGGGAAGAAGAGCGGCGAGAAGTCAGTTCTTTATATAGCCAGCCCGGGTGAAGTGAGTCATGCGGCTGTAGGCAGCAGCCTTGTCACTAGGCAGCAGCAAATATTGGAGAAAGTGGTCTGGAGAGAAGACAGATGACCGACTTGGCCAACAGAAAGAACGGAGAAGCAAGGAGTAGAATTTGGAGATCTTGATGCTGTTGCTTACCGATAGCAGAGCGCTTAGCGGACAAATCTGATCCAAACGACCACGATTTCTGCGCAAGCTTATGCGAGGCGACGATGCTCTGCGTACTGACTGACTTACCGACCTACCAGAAGCACACAGTGTCGCATGAACGAACGACAATCCGTATGCAATTGAGACGAGCCGAAGGCGTCTCAGCATATCATCCTTTTGCTCAAACAGCACATGGGGTTAGATTTGGGCGACAACAAATTGCGTGTTCAAGGCAGTAGCCCACCAGGGCCCAAGGCGACATCGAGGACAGCGAGTCACTCCGTCACAGACCAAAAGAAATCGACCTTCAAGAGAGCAGGCTTGAAAGTCCCCTGTAGAAAACGCAGCGATGATGCGACGAAAATCATGGAATCGGCAACAAGCAAGCAAGCAAGCAAGACCGCGCGGACCAAGGCTTTGTGGCGATAAGCCCCTGACGGCTGCTTTAGCGGAGGCGACGGCAGAGAGCCATCACAGCCTTCCGTTTCTCCTTTTCCAAAATGCAAGAAACAAACTGCATTAAGCGCTGTCGCAAATCGAGGTGTTGTCGCTGATGGTAGATGGCGTTATAAGTTTACAAGTGGTGGTATGAATGGCATGATTGGTGTCTCATTCACATGCTGGCCGACAAGAAGCGTGCGGCAAAGCGTGCCGAGGGTGGTGAGTCATAATTATGGGCGTTTGTCGCGTACTCCAGCAGGCAAGAAGAGGGTTGTTCAGCTATTGCTTGCACTAAAAGTATCAAGTCGGCATGGCCGTCGTGTACCGGCAAGGTGTTGTGGTGTTGATAGGGAAAGAACGACAGCCAGGTTGGTGGAAATGGATAGAAGGATCTGGTCGAAGCTGTTGGAGTGGAGCAAAAGATTTGCAGGCGCGAGACAGTCAAAGTTTTAGCGTCGAGCGTAAGTGGGTCTTGGCGGCGTGTGGCTGTGGGTATAAATATGTCGGGCATCCCCTTCATTTTCGCAAATTTCCCGCGCCTTTACGCTTTGCCCGACCCTTTACGCAACGGCGCCCCTCCACATCGTCCCCGCAACACATTGCAACTCGCCGCATTAAACCAACAATCGCTGCGTCCATCACGCGTTATTGTCCAATTTTCTGCTGCGATTTTCTTTGTCCTTCGGCGGACTTCACTGTGAAAGGGATTCTCTTTGCGGTCACTTCCGGATTGGGATAGCGCCAAGACTCATACTCAAGTAACCCGAGTTCACTTGCTGGCCTCGCCTTCTCTCTCTACCACAGCGCATCCTCCAGGCAGCATCTGTAGGAGACACATTTGGTTGTTTCTCTCCCGCTAACGGTACGAGACTATCCATCTCACTTCCGAGCGCATTCGCCGCTACCGCCTTTCCTTTTCTTCTATTGTCGCATCGTCGCAACCGCTTCACTCTTCCACGAGGTCGTCACTGGCTGCGCATTCATCACCTTTCCTCTCGTCTCGTCTCCTGTCGCATAACTATTCAAGATAATCTTCAAGAATTCCAATCCTGACATCAGTTCGCTTCAGACTGCCTTCCCACACTCCACCGTTCCATACACAGTTCACCGCAATCATGGAGACTGTCATCACGCACCCTTCGACCGCCGCTCAGGCCAAGAACTTCACCGCACCCGGCTCTTTGTCCTTCCCAGGTGGCGCTGGTGACCTCACCCCACCTTCATCTGAGAAAGATGGACAGCAGACTTCGCAGACAAACGGCGCATACGGGTACGGCAACACTTCTCAGCCTCAGGGTCAGCAGCAGCAGCCTGGTCAGCAGGCAGTCGCCGCTCAACAGGGCGCTGGGGTGACTCCCGCGACTCCTGCTGCTACTCCTGGCGCTGGTCAGGGTGTCAGTGGCATTGTGCCTACATTGCAGTGAGTATCTTCGTGTTACAACGTTTTGTTGTTGGCATGTTGTTGACATATCGCGCTCGTAAAGGAACATTGTCGCCACGGTGAACCTTGACTGCAGACTCGATCTGAAGACCATTGCCCTCCACGCGCGTAATGCTGAGTACAACCCAAAGCGTTTCGCCGCTGTTATTATGCGTATCCGCGAGCCCAAGACCACCGCTCTGATCTTTGCCTCTGGCAAGATGGTCGTCACTGGTGCCAAGTCTGAGGACGACTCGAAGCTCGCTTCTCGCAAGTACGCTCGTATCATCCAGAAGCTCGGCTTCAACGCCAAGTTCACCGACTTCAAGATTCAGAACATCGTTGGCTCCTGCGACATCAAGTTCCCTATCCGTCTGGAAGGTCTTGCCGCCCGCCATCACATGTTCAGCTCTTACGAGCCTGAGTTGTTCCCTGGTCTCATCTACAGAATGATGAAGCCCAAGATCGTGCGTGACTTGCTTCCACTGTGACCATGTGTTCCTTTTCTTTACTAACATCTCTCAGGTGCTTCTCATCTTCGTTTCTGGCAAGATCGTCCTTACTGGAGCCAAGGTCCGCGAGGAGATCTACCAAGCCTTCGAGATGATCTACCCTGTGTTGTCCGACTTCCGCAAGGCCTAAGTCGACTCTGCATCATTCTATCAAAGTCCGGAGCCAAAACCGGAGCAAAGAAACAATCCCGCTAAACACCTACAACATTTACTGGCATCTGTAACAATAGTCTCCATCCTCGGATGTATTACCACCACTATGAGGTCTTGCCAACCTCGACGGATGTGTCGTCAGCATCATGCCCGCTCTTCGACACATTCTCCTACTTCCCTTTTTGCAATTGCATGGCGTGGCGTTTCGGTTTCTTCCAGAGCTTTGAGCATGAAGGCTTTTCTTTTTCGGATGGCGATTTTCAAAATCTCTCTTCGGGTCGGGTCGTCAACAAAGAGGATTGATTGTCTCTCACATGCATTCTGGTCTTCTCTTTCTTTTTCAATACCACGCGACCAAGGCATGAGAGCATCAGTCCCTTTTGGTTGGCGGTACATCTTTTCTCTTTACTCTTTTCCCAATTGGAGGGCTGCTTCCTTGACGCGGCCACAAGAAATAGTTATGAAAAAAACATGACGGAGAGAAGAATGAACAGAGGCGGAGGAAAGATTGGAACGAGGTGCGGTAGCATGAGCAGATCGTTCATGTGCTGAGGAATGCAAAAGGAATGATGGGCCACCTTGCTGCCACTTGGTGCACTCCACTTACCTAATTGCCATTACTCTTCAAGCATAGATAATGTGACAGAGGTACATAGTCTCCTCTAATGTCATCCAAAAACATCATCAAACTCTTCCAGTGTTGTGCTTGATGCCCCTTGTGCCAGTAATTCATTATCAATGTACGGTACATTCTTTCAAGTTTAGTTACATCTCCCTCATCCCGCATGCTCCTCCAGCGCTTCTTTTAACATTCCGACGAGATGGACTCCTCTCTTCATGCCTTCTTGTCATGGCATGGCGAATGAGTGATAGTGGAAGTGAATGTACAATACTTTTTGCTCGTGATATTCTATTGCCATCTACAACCTCGCCTTGTTCTCGCCCTTCTTCAACTCATCTTCCAACACCATACCCTTGATACCGCCTCGCCAATCCTTGGTCCAGACCTGATCTTCAAGATCACGTTCAGGCCATGCCCACTTGTCCTTGAATTCTGCTGGTGGGTTACCCATCAGGCAATCTATAATCTTGTCGCCAATAACTGGCAGGAACTTGTAAGCGTGACCACTGCCACCGGTGGCTACGAAAAGGTTCTTGTACTTGGGATGGTAGGAGAGAAGCCAGTCGCCGCGAGGTGTATCTGTGTACCAACAGATACGTGTGGAGATGAATGGGCGAGTAGCGAGCGAAGGGTATACTGCGGCGAGGAAAGAGCGAAGCGCCTTCTTGCCTTCTTCGGGGATTTCGAGGCCAGGATGAGAAATGTGTGTGCGCGGGAGGGAAACGGTAATGTTTCCTGCGGAGGGGTCTTCAGGGTGGGGGATGCTGACGGGGTTGCAGTAGCCGTAGCCGTGGCGGGCGATCTTGAGAACGTTGTTGACGGGTGGGATGATAAAGAGGCCACTGCTCTCGTTAAGAAGTGTTGGTCTTCCACCAAGAGCTTTTTGCTCGGCGTCGCTGATCTTGATGTATGAAAGGATTTGGCCTGTTGCACTGCAGCGGCCGCGAAGGTCCAGTAAGGCTGGTGTCCAGGCTCCGGTGGCCAAGACGACGAGATCTGCTGTCAAGACTCTTCCATCATCTGTCTCGCAACCGGTGACAGCATCATTGCTGAATTGTAAACGAGAGACAGAGGCATGCAGGAAGTGGACGCGGTTTGTCTCCTCAACTTTCGCACGCAGCACACGCATACCCTTTTCAGCATCTGCCCACCCAGACCTCCAGTTCACGTAACCAAAGTCGCCTGGTGAGGAGCCACCTTTGCCCGTCGCAGCAGCAGCGGCAATAGCAGTTTCCTGCGCGGCATTCGTGTGGTCTCTGAAGATATTCCTGATGTCCCCTTGAGTCTCCATTGGTTCAATCTCACCTCCCTCGCTCTTCTTTCCTGGCTTGAGACCGCAACGCTCGACGTTGGCCATACTGTCTCTCATGTATTTTCTTCCCAGGTCGCCGTTGCCATTGTCGGATTCGTCTTTGTTGACCACGACTGCTAGGCCGGGCTCGTGGTAAACATCTTGCTGTCCCCACCACTCGTTTCTCCAGCGTGCTTGGGCTTCGATAGCGAGACGGGCGTAAGGAAGGTCCGCATAGTCGGGTCGGACAATGCGACTGCTGTCTATGCTTGCACCATCGGGTGCTGGGAAAGCACTACGGTCGACAAGGGTGATTGATGTATTGGCGAAGTCAGGGTTTTGCGTCAAGCTGTATGCGGTGCTGAGACCAAAGACACCAGAGCCCAGAATCAAGACGGACTTGGGAACTTGTTGGGAAGGTGCTGCCATTATCTCTCTCTTTCCTTCTCTTTTGGATATATGTGGAAGGTAGAAGTCGAGGACTCAAGCAAAGAATAGGGAAAGAAATGAGCGATGAGTTAAAGATAAGAATGAGTCAGTACCTCCTTACAAGACCTACAACAACTGCAAGTCTACAAATTTTCTTGTTCCTCTGCCGAGAGATATTGTTGCTGTGGCAGATAAAACATGCTCTTTCGATTCATGAACTCCGCTCTTCCCGCCGATAAGCGTCCTCTGGCCGAGACCGGGGTGGAGGATTCACGTGTTGTGGCCATGGCTTGGGTGGGTCGTCGGTTTTCACTTTCCCTCTTTGCAAGAGCCGAGAAAGGTCGTCATTTGGGGGCGATGAGGGCGAGAGTCATGGTGCTTGGATTCCAGAGGTGTTGGAGGACCTTTGCGCGCTCGAAATTCTGTGCATCAGTTCTTGTTTGTGTTACTGAGGTAGATGTGACGACTTTGCATGATCAAGGAAAGCACAAGCAGCTACGCGTGGCTTCCAGAGCGGTTAGCGTGCCTTTCCAATAATTCATGGAAATACACTTTTGACGACTGATTGACCTTTTGAACACCTTTGTAATTCTGCCAGTGCGACGCATCAACGCTATCATGAATTCGATACTACGGGTATCTGTCAGTGTGCCCAAGACGATCTCGACTTCGTTGTTCTCGCGATCCTTTTCTTTCTACCATGCTTTTCAGCAGCCTGACAAGGAGTCTTATGCAGAATTGCGTCTGAGCAATCCCGAGGCCTACAAACGGTTACAAGCTCAGAGGAAGGCGTATTACGCGAAGTTGCGCCAGGATCCAGCCGCCTGGAGGCGGGAACTCGATCGGAAGGCGGAAAAACTTCATCAATGGCATCGAGATCCAAAGAACAAGGCAAAGATGCAGGCAGCTCAAAGACGCTTCCAGGACGCTCGCATGGAGGATGAACGCTATAGATTCTACTTGCGTCTTAAAAATTGGTGCGGCAGATATGCGTGGGTACGTGAACGACTTCCTTGGAAGACGTACCAGCCTATTCGTCACGACGACATGGTCGAACATTACTGCAGTGGCTGCAACTGCACAAGGCGCGGAGGCAGGAAGTTGTGGTGGAAGAAAATTGAGACATCGCCCGCAGCAGACTCTGGCACTTGGTTATGTCTCAATTGTTATGTTCCAAAGACAGATTGGGCAGAAGCCATGCCTAAAGGCTATGAAGATCTCACGACTGCAACTTTACAGGAAATGGCCAAAAGGAGAGACAGCTTGGGCCATGGCGACTAAGATGCAAAGGATGCCAATTCGAGGACGAGATTATTCGAACACGGAGATGCCAAAAATCTGCTCGTTGCAGACACAGAGATAAGATTGGCAAAGGTGACTGCTGCAGACTATCAATCGATAAGAAGCGGATTGCTGTATACCATTGAACACTGCTGAGCTCGGCTGTCTACCACAGGCCACTTTAGTCCACCCAGACTCGCTCTGTCTTTCAGCGCCGCAATTCACTTACGCTATACCCTCAACGAAGCGTATTGTCGAACAGCATGCTCCAACACGATCCCATGGCGAGAAGCGGACCGTGTATATTCTGTGATGCTTTTTCACAACCCAACACCATAGCTTACTTCGGGTAGAGAGCAATGACTCGCTATGGTAACCACAATCGCAATGATCGATACATTTCTCTGGATGATACCACTCGGGCGATCCACTATCTCAAGGATATCGTGTATTTACACAACTTCCCTTCACTAAGCTGCGATCTATGGCCAGTCCTATGCGTCGATAGTGAATCTGCGACTGTGCCTTCCTATTCTTTCAGCATTCATGCCATAATAAATATATTGCCCGTACAGTCCGGATCGCAGTACGAGAAAACATATAGTCCTGCAGACCGAGTATTCTTGTACAAATCTAGTCGTGCTAGGACGTAATATGTGGACCTAAGCCGGCCACGAGCCGTGGAGAGTAATGGCTGTGGGACACAGGTCATGGACGTGGTTGTTCTTCGTGCTGACATGGCCGTGTAGATTTCATGAAAGAATCCGTAAGGCCAGCAAGCGCAACATCTGATGGACTTGGCCCGCCCCCAGCCAACGACATCAGAACCAGGGCAGGGAAATCTTGAAGTATATCGGGCTAAAGTCCTCAATACAAGCAGGCCTACCTTATAGAAAAGAGGGTCAGCTCTAAGGAAGCTAGAACACAGTCTGAAAGGTGTTACGGCTAGTGCGTCTCGCTCTCTGATCCATAAGGTAGTATTTACCGGACCAGAGTAGATGCCGAAGAGTTCGTTTGATCTTAAGCATCGGTGTGCAAGCACCATACAGAATGCCAATAAAGACAACCAAGCTCTGGTACCTGGGACAAGTTGTTGTGGTTGAAAAAGGACAGTCAACCTGATGGATGAGAAGTCCCTTGGTCGGAGAAGCAGAGGTCAAAGCTTCTGCAAGCAGGTCTCACATGCTTGCGACCAAAAATCTTTCGAGTCACGACACAAGAACTCGACAATCCACCACCATGCCTCGAGGTGTACCGCGAGCGATACCGAAGAAACCAGGTCCTTACCATGCCAGAGCCCCGATCCTCGAGTACAGAGCCCCGCCTCCACGCACACCGATAGCCTCCGCTCCCAATCCCGCCGACGCCGCAAATGCACAATCCAAAGTCAAGCTACAGCGAGGAGCTCGAGGAATTGGTGTCTATGTCATGGGAGCCTGTGCCTTTGGCATGGCCTTCTATATGTCCGCACTCGGCGTATCGCTATACAAAGCAAAAGATGTAGAAACCGACTACTCGCCTTCCGCACAACGCGACGTCGCCAGTGTCTACGATACAACAGCAGGAGGATTCGATGCCGAGGTCAACTTTACTGAAAGAGTCGGAGGCGTGATAAAAGCACGGAAAGAGATGTCTGCCATGGTCAAGGGCCATGTGCTAGAGGTCAGCTGTGGCACGGCAAGAAATCTGGGCTACTACAGCTTCGACAAGATCAAGAGTTTGACTCTGATTGACCTCAGTCCGCAGATGGTTCAAGAGGCACGGAAGAAATGGAACATTCTGAATCCTGGCAAGGCTGCTGAGAACGTGCCTATCAGGTTCCTGCAAGGCGATTGCGTTGGAGAGATGCCTGAGCCACCAGTCACTCAGAATGCTGCGAAGAAGAGCGGAACCACTTTCACACCAGGTCTGACCAAGGGTTACGACACGATAGTACAGACCATGGGTCTCTGTAGTACAGCACAGCCTGTGGAGCTGCTTCAGAACTTGTCGAAACACCTCAATCAATCCAACCCGGACGCCAGAATCTTGCTCCTCGAACATGGTCGCAGCTACATTGAATGGATGAACAAGCTCTTGGACAGACATGCGCCCCAACACGCCGACAAACATGGTTGCTGGTGGAACAGGGACATCGGCCAAATCATCGAAGACAGCGGACTCGAAGTCGTCAAAGAACGTAGGAAACAGTTTGGAACCGTTTGGATTTTTGAGCTGAAACCCAAACCGGTGATACAAAGCATCAAAGAGAAGGCAGAGCAAGTCGGAGATAAAATCGAGGAGCAAGTCCAAACTCAAACATCTCAACAAGGTTGGCTTTCTTGGATGTCCAAGTGAGGGGTAGATGACTCCCAAGCTCATGACTCTTCCACCAAGGTGCTCGACGTCCAGCTGCTTTCACGCCGAGAGTCAATCTGGATTGTTGGGTTTTGATCAAGAGGCTGAATATAAGACACACTTGGAGTCTTGGTGGACTCTTTCAGTGGCGTACCCGCTCTGTGTCTTCAGAATTGGAACACCGACGAGTCGCAAGCCCGCATACAGACATGCCCTTGATAAGACTTGGCCCGTTGAAAGCCGAGTGCCAGAGTTAAGCTTGCTTCGTAGAGTTGACTTTGAGTCAGACACAACTCTCTTGAAGTTTAGCCGAGACTGCATCGACGATAACCGCTCAACTGCCCAAAACAGCATACTTAGAGGGAAGACGTTGTCCACACAACGGCGTCTACAACCACCGACTCGGCGACTCGTCACTTGATTGACAAGCGACAAAACACCTGAGGTGGTCCCACGTAGAAAGAAGCAAATACTGGCGACCAAGAACGATAAGCTCAAAGCTGCGCCGGCAATGACCCCGCCGTACTGAAAGCTTCATCACTCCTCGCAAGATTTGAAACAAGGATCATGCTGGAGAAAATGGAATCCCTATGGAGATTCGACCGTAGCTGAACACACAAGGATAGAACAGCGGGAAAGGCTTCGCTCGAAAAGTGTACGGTGCAGACATCGCAGAAGCTCGAGTTGGAAGTCACTCACCAAGAAAGGTGGCATGTCGTGATGTCTCTCGCCAATAAAGTCAATGCCATCCCAAAGTTTCCTTGATACTCCCCTCTTCGTACGTATCGTGCGGGCAAGTCGGCACGCATAATGCAGATACATGGATCGGCGCGGACCGTGAACGTCAACCAGGTTGCTCATATGAGAAAATACCATGTACGGACAATGAACATGCATACAGCTCGGTGTCGCAAGAGACGAAGCAGGTAGTTAAAGGGGAAGCTGCAGCATGCAGAGACCTTACAGCTTTGTAGATGCATTAGCCCATCTCCGCATGTCGATTCTCTGACAAGTGTCAAGGCTAGACCTGAGATGCAGATGTCGTGCGTGTTATCGACGCAGCGGCAGAAACTAAGGTTACACTTTCTTGCTATGCTGCAGAGAGAAAAAGAAGCAAACAACAATCCCCACCATTTAGGTGCATATACCCGATCGCGAACGCCAAGCAGAGCGTCTAGAAACGGGGTTAGAAACCACGAAACAGAGAGCGGGATGCGGCGGGCTTTGTTGGAGAGAAGAAGCGCCAGGAAGAAGCAAAATCAAAGATGCAAGGCGTGACTCGTGGAAGGCTTCAAGCATGATGAATGCATGAAGGATTTTGTGTTTGGGCCGGATCATCGGGGCTGAGAATCCCGTACGGTCGTAGCTGGGGGATTATCTACCCATTATTGATGTCTCTCAACGTGCAGTGGAGATGACTTAGGTGCACTGGATGCAAGATTGATAAGAAATGGCGCAGGAGCTGCGGTGAGGGAGATAAGTAGATCAAACAAACAGCTGATACCCGATGCTCCGACAGAGTCGGTTGGAGACCAGTATGGAGAAGAATCCGAGCTTTATGTTGACGCGAGGTATGATGCATGACTCGACGTCAGAGACACGATAGACATGAGCTTTTGGAGCATCAGGGGTGCAGCGGCATGAAGGTGCTTTTTCTCGAATCCCATGTTGATTGGTCGATCAGGTGGATAAGAATGGCTCCGCGTCGCAAGCTGCAGACACGGAAGGCTGGTGCGACGTAAAGTCGATCATCATGTCATTGGCTGGAGAGAGCTGCAGCTGTTGCGTGCTGTTTCATGTCTCGAAATTCACATGGAGAAAAAATTGGTAGCTATGGGGAGCTGTGGGAAAGAGCTCTGCGCAGAGACAGCTCTGTTTGCAAGCAGGAAACAAGTGTCGCAAACAAACAATGGAAACAAATGAAACACAAGGCGATAGCAACGATGGGCAGAGTGGAGCGAAATAACGTTGGTGCTTCTGGACGTAGCGGCCGAAAGTCGCGATGGTCGTGGTGTGTGTGGTGTGGGCTTTTGTGGTGGTCGGTGGAAGGTGCGTTGCTCTTGCCTGGGTCACGTATTCGCCAAGTCCCTTGCTGCTGCCTGTGACAAGATCGAGGTAACCATCCGCTACTGTCTCTCCCCTGAACTTGATTTTTCCTATCCCTTACACTTCGCACAAAGATACAGCATTTCCTGGTCGTAAGATTATCAGAACAATTGTGCAGAATTAGCCACGGCTTCCTAGCAACCGCACACACGAGCAAACAACTTTTTCCAGGCTAGAGCTCTGCCAAAGCTTCTAGCACGCACATCCGTTCGCCGCCGACGCAACCGCTTGGGTGGAAAGGACGAGCCGAGCCCCCCCTTGGCCAAAAGCATCCGAGCTTTGGAACCCCTAACACCAAAGAGCACAGCATCCCAACCATCTTCCACCACCTCACCAAGCAACCAGCGCCATCATCATTCGACCCATCCTCATTCCAAGCTACTTGTTCACCAATCTATCGACCATCACATTCTTCCACGACCCTTCTCGGACAGCATTCGCTCGATAAGCAAGGCTGACTATCCATTCCCCAATCCACCAATCACCGCCCAGCCCAAGCTTCCAATCCGCTTGCTCGCCCACATTTTCCCAGTCGACGCCTAAGGAAACAGAAACGCCGACGCGCCCAAACAATCCACTTTTGTGTACACTCCGCACCACCTGGTCTTCAATTCAATTCTGTCCATCCACCATGCCATACAACACCAGAAGAAAGTCGCTTTCCCTTTCCGAGCTTGGTATCACCGTCCCGAAACGCTCGCGAGCTTCCTCGCAATCCCACCCCTCGCCGCCAGCTACGGTTATCGATGACGAGCCCGTCACCAAGAAGCCCAAGAGGTCGCACGACTCTCTGTCCCCTCCTCCGGCATTGATGAGCCCGCCCAAGACAAAGACTCTTTCTATCCGAACAGAGCCGCCCTCACGACTGGCCGAACACACCCCTCCACCATCACCCGGAACTCAGACAGTGCACACAGTCGATACTGAGGGTATCAGCGACGATGTCGTTGTCGCAACCATCAAGCAGCTGGAGAAGACAGGAAACAGACCGCATCTGGTCAAGGAATTGGCTGCAGTCTTGTGCCACTGCATAGGCGCGGTGGAGAAGTAAGCATAAGCAGCCTTCTACTCTAGTGTAACGTGCTAACTTTCGCTATAGGTCTGCCAACCCTGCCAACCTCATTTCCTCGCGTCTCACCAGCTACCTCAACCGCACCTGGCCAGCCATCAGCCCTTGTCCGCTGGCCAAGTACCAGTCTCAAGTACATCCCCGCCCATTGTACTATTTTTTGACTACTCAACCCCACCAACCTATTCCTGAACTTTCGCAATCCCACGACATTCAAGCCGCCCGTCGCATCATTACTCCCGCTCTCTCCTCGGCAGCCGACGATGAAGACGAGAAGTACAGCAGGTCACGCGCCTCGCTCTCTCCCGAAGTCGACCTGTCTAGCCCCGAACTCGACGAGCCACCGCACGGTGACATTGGCTCCACATTCCACCCTCGCCATTCGCTCTCGCGCGATCATCCTCCAACCACCTCTAACTTGGCTCACAACCGCCGTGCCGATAGCCCCCCTCTCGAGCGCGAAGAACGTGACTTCAAGCAGACCGCAAATGCCTTGCAAGAGCTTCGTCGCGCAAGCCAGGAAGTCGTTACCAAGCCCATCAAGGTCGAGGCTTCCGAGACTATTGCCATGTCGGTCGAGTCGGACGATCATGACGTTCAAACCACGGATGACCTCTTTGATGGCCACGACCACCTTTCCTCATCTGTGAGCACTCTGTACGACTTGAGCAGCCCGGTCCTGAGACCCCAGGGCTTCTACGACCTCAAGACACAGCAAGCTCAGGATTGGAACACCGAAAAGAGAGATTCCATTGATGCAATGTCTCTGGATGATCAGGACGATGATGCCATGGACATGTGGAACGACTTCCGCAGCCCCGAGAACATTGATCTTGACGAGCTTGAATGCCTCTTGGACGCCTACTAGACGCGCCATGCCCCATCTTCTCAACCCATTTCGTATTTCTACCGCCTTCTTCACTCCCATCTTGTTTGAGCTCGGAAAAAGCGTTTTGCATTTTTGTCTGCTGGACCGTACTCGAGGATTCTGTTGGCCCTCTTCTGCTTTGGGAAGCTTTTTTTTTTTTTTCAACTCCCACTCCTTATGACCCTCCTACTGGAAAACCACTTCTCCCTCCTGAGGGTTCGTGGGTTATGCTGGCGCGAGCCACTCTACCTGTCACGGCCTCAATTCTGTATTACTAGACATGACCCCCTTCCTTACCCTTCACACACCTTGACGAGAAAAAAGAAGCCGAACGAAAACCTTTGTACTTGTATATAAACATAACCATTTCTTGATGACAAACATAAAAGCTTTTATTCTCTGCATACTTTGATGATCAAGATACTGTGTCTCTTAGCTTGGTGACGGTTCAGGATGTTTGGGTTCAATCTCGAAGTCCATTTGGTTCAGAGGCACGTTCGCTGTGTAGCTTCTGGATTCTGACAAAGTCGTGCTGGTAGGATACATGACCCTGACCTTTAATCGACGATGATGTCCACCCATGGAAGCAATGTCTTCTGCATCTATAATTTGACACATTGATCTGTAAGGTCTATACCAATGTCTCCTACTATTTACTCGCGTCCTACATGTTCCTGTCAAGTTCTGGCGCAATTTACATTGTCCTTGTGATATTCGTTGGAGGAGACAGTGAAGCAAATCCAAGAGTCAGATTGGTTTGGACACGAATTTTCGAAATTGCTTCGGAACAAAGCATTTTGATGTTTTCCCGTTTCTGCTATTCATGCGACTATGCATTTTATTATAGATACATGGTCTGGCTCTCTATATACCATGTCTTGCAGAGGAGAAAACAGTACACCTTGTGTAACGCGTGACATCATGCCCACTGTTTGTCCGTACCTCTCTTGAAACAAACCAATTTATCCTCTTACACATCTGTGTGCGATCTCAACTTTTTGGGATCCAGAATAGTCTTCATAAAAATTCTGGATAGGTGTTGATCAAACAGGCATACCGTTATTTCCGAACCGAACGAGGTCATGTGCGAATGAATCCTTCCGGCAGGGAGTCTCAACTTTGCGGCCGCAAGCTGCCAGCCACAACTCGGCCTCACTTGTTCACCAATAAATAGCCTTTCACCACATAATTTCGCCATGAAAGCATTGCAGCGGTGAGGTAACGTTTTACCAACTCTTTAAGCCCTTGCAACCTCAACTGTGAGCACAAAAGGTCGCCAACGTCAATTCGAACATCAACAAGATCGTACACAGTCGGAAGGCCAGCAATAATGCAAATACCGACTTTCTTCCTGCGCACGAATATGCGACTTTGGATCTTCCAGGCTCTTGTCGCATGGCTTTCAATCCGCTGTCATAAATTGCCGTTACCATCGGGTGTAGGCTTTGCTCTCACTTCATACATGGGGTCATTCACCACTTCCGCAAAGGACATTTTGGACAGCAGATATGGCTTCGTTCTACCCTGGGAAGCAACATTTATCCTGCCATTAGCCCTCGATGCGTACATCACGAGCAGTATGCCTGAATTGGCCATCCTCCTCGGAAGCCATCCTTGTGAAGTTACGAAGAAGGATCCAGAGACCTACGCGTGTGTCGAAGACATTGCATATCAATGTCATCAATTTGCAGATATGTGGGCTCACAGAAGAGAGTTCGGCAGAAGCCTGCGAATAATGGAAATCTGCTGGGAAAAGTACCACACAGATGTCCACACAGCGAGAAAGCACCATGACATTGGTCACAAGCATGAATCCGAGACTTTGATGCGCCTGCTTGGATGTATGCAGGCGGCAAAGACTTGGGAGATGAAGAAAGAGATCTGTCCAGGACAAGAGAGTATCCTGAATTGCATTGCCGCGTATAATGCACAAGAGTTCGTCCTAGATCTCCAACGGAGAAACAAGAAGGACTTGGTCGAGGAGGAAGAGAAACCACAAAAAGTGGCTGTGGAAGGAGGCGAGGAATCAGCAACTGACGAGCATCTTGAAGTAACGACGTCATGACACAGTGCTGAGGGACGACAAGACGCGGGATTGGTGGTCCGGAATGATGGAAGTGATAAGTTCGCCATGGCGCACGGAGTGTCTTGTAGAGCAGCCAGGGACTACAACAGCACCAGAATCTGTTTGCTCGATCTTCCAGACGATTCTATCTCTTTGGTCAAGATTGATGGGAGTCTTGACAAGGCGACGGCGGCGGCTCAAGTGAAGGCTTGTTATCATCATGAAGGAAAAGGCCAGAAAAACAGTTCAGAACGGCAACGGCGATGAATCATGGCCCTGAGCTCGCGTCGTCAGTCACGCCTGCTCGTCAAATCTTACAATCAATACTTACCTGATCACCCTCCAGCATCAACACATCCACCATCTCGAACGGTCGTTCACACCATCAGTCCGGGAAACCCGCTTCTTCACGTTGCACCCCATGACTCACGACGTAGAAGCAGACTTGAATGTCACCACGAAGGCTTTAAACAGAGGGATGCTAATAAGAAGGTCTTTTGGGTCTCTCGATCCCCTTGAGGAAGGTAGAGTAAAGCGGTGTGTCGCGTGGCTGCACCGTCGCTGAAGGCTTCGCAGTTGTTGGATGATGGCGGATGTGTTGAGGAAGATTAAAGTGACGATGAAGGTGAATGAAACGCTGTTGGAAGTTAATGTTTGGCAAAGCTTTGTTCACAGTTGTGGTCGCAAAGAAGAGGAAGTCGCGATGGTTGCGTTGTTACCAGGCTTCACGGAAGGAACTAGCCAGAAACTCGCGCCTTCCTCTTCATCCTCACGATGATGTGATTGCGAAGCGAGACTTAAAGAAAACAACGTTTGAATATATGTGCTATGAACGAAGGAACGCTAAATAACGACTAGAAACCCAACCAGCAATGATAACTCCATTTCCCTTAGCTTTATCATCTCTTTTTATTTTATTTTTTCCTTTTCCCTTTTCTCTTCACTCTGCTCCTCATCTTGTTGTTGTGTTATTAGTTCTCGAGCAATCCTCCAATCTCGATCTTCAGCTCTTCGATCAAGCCTTCAGCTTGCTCTACGTCCATCATGTCTTCCCATCCAAACACACCAATGCCAAGCGCACCATCAGCGACAGTTGCCTCAATATCCAGTGATCGCTGTCCAATGTCAGTAAGCGCGTTCAGCGATCTTGGATGTTGGTGACTTACCTTGTACGTCCTCTTCAGATCCTCGCGTTGCAGCTCCTTTGGCACGACAAAGTCGTTAGCAGTGGCATCAGACACATGACTTCGCTTCTCAGTGCGATGTTCTTCTGCCTCTTCATCCATAACGACGGCCTGCTTTTTGGCAGCGTCGTCGTCATTATCGGGCACCTTCACGAAGTTGACGAACGTGTCCACTGTAATTCCCGTCCATGCCTCGATCTCCCACAATCCGACACTGCTATTCTCTGAATTGCCGATGAGCTGCAGATCCTTCTGGATCTGTTTTGCGAGTTCAGCAAGAGATGTCTTTGTCGGCGAGCGTACACGTAAAGGAACGAGGTTCAACGTTGGTGCTGCTAGGCTGGACAGATCTTCCAGATGCGAGCGGTTGGCTAAGTAGATGCCTATGATCACGTCCTCGGCTGTGGGATCGGTGTTGTAGCTGTAGGCTCTTGCGTAAGCTGCGAAGAATACAGACTGGACACTGAGCCCTTGTTTTCTTAATTCGTTCTCAAATTTGGGCATATCGGACATGGCACGAGGGTCATAGACCTCAATGTGGCGGGCTGACGGCGAAAGGTCAGACTCGAGATGTGGTTGTTGTGCGCCTTGAAGATAATCGGTCCAGAATGTCTTCCTTGCAGTTTTGGCATCCGTATCAAGTGATGGAGCAATGAAGTCAGCAAAAGTGACAGAAGACTTCTGTGTCGCAGCAGAGTCTTGCAGATAAGTACCAAGCTCTTGGCTCAGCAAAGACAAACTCACAGCATCGTACAGTGCGTGATGGATCTTGAGGCAGAGTTTGTGAGTATCGTCTGCTTTTTGTGCAGTCAGACGAACGAATGGCTGCTTCAAGGCTGATGACGGCTTCTCCTCGTTGTCCAGGTCCACGAATGAAACAGGACCATCCCGCAACACGAGTTGCAAGAAAGGCATCTCATTGTCTTGAGTTGCGACAAAGACTGTGCGCAACACTGCGTTGTTGGCTACGAGTTTCTGCCATGCCTGCTTGATGCTGTCCATGGCGGTCGACACAGTAGTGACATACTCAAACTCTCCATAGAAGAGTTGTCCGTCAGTAGCTTGCCATGCGCCTAACATGTAACTTTGACCAGCAGTCGCAGGGAGAATCTGCTCGATCTGTTGTTCTTCAAAGCCGAATTGATCAGGTGCGAAACCTTTCTGTGTCATAACATCGGCAGTTGCCTTATCAGCAGTGTCATCTTGAGTCTTGGCCGTCTTCTTGGTGCTCTTGTCTTGTGCCACGAATGCAATCTTTGAAATCGATCCAGCGCGTACAATCTCACTGACTGTGATTCTGACGGCCTTCTTCCGCAGCAAAGCCGAGATCTTGATAGCGTTGATTGAGTCGACGCCCAAGTTCTGGATAGACGCAGTCTTTGAGATCTCGGATTCCGGTGTCTTTGTGACCTTTGCGATAGCTTCCCGCACTACGGATTCAGTCTCTGACCAGTTGTCTTCATTCTCGACGACCTCCTTGCTAGCGTCTGTTGTCTGGTCTGCGGCAGCTTCCACTTGTCTGAAAGCAGATAGGTTACAGACACTTACTTCTTGACCTTGGAATGTCAGAGTAGGCTCATACGGCTTGTCGACAATGGCCTGTAAGACACTATCGAGAGTGCTGAGAAGGCCGTTGACACCGCCTTCGTCAAGTGCGTTGCTCTTGCAAGCAGCACGCCAGATCAGTGAGTCACTGACAACTTCAGCCTCAACAGCTACAGGATAATCAACCTCAGAGGCTCCATTGACAGATTCATAGAGTGTTTGCATCTCGGTATCGTCGCCATCTGGACGTCTCTGGAAGGTGAAGAGCGTGTCGAAGAAAGCATCAGTTTCGTTGGATTGAACTTGTCCTTGACAGGCAGCCTGAATCTGACGTAGCGGGAAGTGCTGATGGTTGGCGATATCAGAAATAGTCGCTTGTATGCTTTGAAGCACATCTTTTCTGGTTCCATGCAGCACAGATCGCATGATGACTGTGTTCATCATCGGGAACATGACTTGCTCGGCAAGTTCGCTGTCACGACCAGCCAAGACAACACCAAACATAACATCCAGAGATTGTACAGTATGAGCGAGTACAAATGCCCACGCTGTCTGACACACGGCTTGCAGAGTTACTCCTTGCTGCTTGCAGAATGATGAAAGGTCGTTGGCGGAAATGTGACTCATCTTCTCTACGCGGTGAGTGACTGTTTCAACATTTTGGTTCTGTGGAAGCTGAGTCTTCTTTGCATCGGTCAAAAGGCTGCGCCAGAACGTGACAGCCTCCTCATCGCTACCATCGAAAGTGTCTTCCAAGATCTCAGCATAGAACGGACGAGGTTCAAACGTGTCACTGTAAGCCTTCGAGATGTCTTGGTGAAGCAGCGAAAGACTGTGACCGTCGTAGAGAGCATGAGCAATCGATAGTACAATGTAGTCACTATCAGGAGTGGAGACCCGTGTCAAACGCAGCTGAGGTTCGGACAAAGCGGCTGATGATACGCTGGAGCTGATCTGCGTCAGATGCTCGTCGATTGCATCTTCACTTGACAGTTTGATAGACTCCAAGCTCAAAATTTCGGGCTTGTGGACAACCTGAGCGAACGTGGCATCCAAGTCTGGATCATCAATCTCAAGGAAACCAGTTCGGAGGATTGGAGAGGCTCCGATCACTGTTTGCCACGCCTTCTCGAGTCTCTCACGGTCTACGTTCTTCGAGATCTTCAAGACGTCATGATTGAAGTAGGCTTTGTAGGACGATTTGATCATCTCTGAGACCAACGCTTCCTGCATCGGGCTGGCTGGAAGAACGCGCTCCAAGTTCTTCATACTGCTGTTTGCGTATGAGGTAAGCTTGCTTTCAAGAGCTTGGAAGGCGCCCTCAGACTTGGTTTTCGAGTTGTCATTCTTGCTGTTGGTCAATCTCGAGACCATCTGCGCGATTGTTTGTGATCGCATGATAGTGCTGACAGGCAGAGCGACACTCTTCTTCTTGAAACGCGATGAGAGCTTTACAGCGTCTACACTGTCCAGCCCGATTTCGAAAATGGAAGTATGTTCATCAACCTCAACCTCCTGCACACCAGCCAGGTTGGCCATCTCCGAGCGGATAATGGAAGCTTCGGGACTCCAATCGAAATTGCGTGTGCCGTTGGTTTGGACTTTGTGTCCCTTCTTGTCTGCACTTTTAGGAAGCGGATCGAAAGTACGGCCAAGACTAGCAGCAGCGTCATCCTCAGGAGACTTGACCATTGCCAAGAAGGCTTGGTGGAACTCATCGATCAATTCCCGAGCCTTCGTCTCGTCGCAAATTGAGGCTTTGGCAGCCAGAGAGATTTTCAGCTCTCCATTGGTAGCCTCCTCCGCCTCGAATGACAATGGGTAATCGGCTTCGAAAGCGTCGTCCGACAAAGGCTTGAGGATCGAGTTGTTAGTGTCGGAGTCGTCAAGGACACCTTGATATACAAGCAACGCGTCGAAGAGCGGCTCTGACCGTCCTTTATTGCACCACTTCGTGATATCGCGAAGGGGTGTATGTTGATATGGCAGAGCATTCGTGTTGAAGTCATGACATCTCTGAACAAGAGTTTGCCATGTGTCTCCTGGCTCACATCTCAGGTAGAAGGGAATGGTGTTGAACAAAGGTCCGATGACCTTCTCAATGCCGTCGAAGTCAATGGAGCGCCCAGAAACGACTGTACCAACAGCACCTTGATAATGCTTTCGCAGAGTAACGATCCAACTTGCTTGAACCAAAGCTTGAACTGTCACGCCCAGAGAGCGACGCAGCTCATCTGCTTGCGACAATATTTCAAGGCTGGCTGTATAAAGTGCGTCTTGACCCGACCCACTCTCGACAAGTGAAGGCATCGCTGTAGGCACAATGTCTTGGAGATGGTCCACCCAGAACTGTTTCGCGCCTTGCACGTTGCGCAGAGGACCGAAGGGCAGGCAACCAACGAAAGGCTTGCCGAACTCGGCTTCTTCAGAAGCGTAAAGCTTGGAGACGTTGTCCATCAACATGTCGAAAGAATTGCCATCGTAGAGCGCGTGATGCAGGTCGACAGATACAAAGCTGTCTGAGCCAGACTGCACAACCACAATCTCAAAAGGTACTGTCAAGTGAGACGTGTTGTACGAGCGCCATTTCTGTTTACGCTTAGCGAAGACGCTATCCACAGTGGCAAGATCGTAGACTTCGAGTGTCCACCATGGAAGATGACCCGTCTTCCTTACAGCTTGTACATATCCGTCATCGGTCTCAACGAAGAAGGTACGCAAGATCTGTGTCCGTTCCATGGCCTGATTGAAGGCTTTCTCGAGTCTCTGCAGATCCACTCCTTGAGCCTTATACTTGAAGCTGTTGAAATAGAGCGCAGAATCACTGGCCAAAGATCTTGAGATGATACCTTGCTGCAAGGGTGTACACGGTGCAATGGCTTCAACATCGTCCACTTTGCAACGAAGAACACGAGTGACCGTACCCAAATGCCTCTGTCGACAGGCAGAGATGACTTGTTTGGCATCAGAAATTTCGCCAGCTGACGCATCTGTAGTTGCAGCGAGCGCTTTCGTCAACCTAGCGATAGTTGAATTCTTGAGGACGGTCGCTACTTGCGCGTTCTTGAAGCCATTTGTCTTGAGCTTCCTGGTGAACTGAATAGCTGAGATGGAACTGAGTCCGAGAGTGAAGATGTTGGACGAAGGCCTGAGGTCATTCTCATCGATCTTGAGAAGCTCGGCAAGGACTCGAGCAATCTTTTGCTCTGCTTCGCTGAGAGACTGTTGATCGTCTGATTGAGTGGCATAACTCTGGATGGCGGTAGTGGGCAAGTCAGCGTAAAGTTGACGAAGAAGCTTCTCTTCCACTTTGTTGTTCACAGACAAAGGAATTCGCTCGATTGGTAGGAAGTGTGTTGGAACCATATATCCAGGCAAGCGGTCTTCGCATGCAGTGCGTGCTGCTTGGATAAGATGTTTGGTTGACTCTGCAGGACACAGCTCTGGCTTGCCTTGTTTCCTGGACTCGTTGATACCAATGAAAGCAATAAGCTGATCTTTCTGCTGTTTCGGGTGTTTTGCGACAACACAGACGGTGTCTTGAATGTCTTGACAACCCTTGATCACTGCTTCAATCTCATCAATCTCGAGTCTCTGTCCTCTGAGCTTGACTTGGTTGTCTTTGCGTCCCAGGAAGTCAATCGATCCGTCGTGGAAGAGACGAACAAGATCGCCGGTTCTGTAGACTCGCTCGCCGAAAGCATCCAAGTAGGGGAAGCAATCTGCAGTAAGCTCGGGACGATTCAGATAGCCTTTTCCTACAAGCTTTCCGGATATACAGAGTTCACCGACAGCACCTCGCAATACAGGAGTCTGCGAGCCAGGCGCCAAGACGTAGGAGCCAACGTTGTCGAATTGCCAGCCGATATTGGAAGGCTTTCCCTCTTTGGGAACAGAAGGGAAGACGGTAACACCGATCGTGCACTCTGTAGGTCCGTAGAAGTTGAAGAGACAACCGACTTCACCCCAAGTATTGATCTGGTCTTGCTTGAGCGCTTCTCCACCAGTGATGAAGACACCCTTGTGCAGGCTAGGAACCAAGGCAGGATCAAGGAGTCTACCAAGAGATGGTGTCAAATCAAGGTGAGTGATCTGCATGGTATCGATAAAGCCCGCAATGTCTTCCAAGATCAGATCTCGAGGAGCACACACCAGACGCATGCCGACGATCCATGTCCAGAACTGCTCCAAGACCGATACGTCGAAGTGATATGAGGCAAACTGTAGCCAGCGAGACTCGTCTGTCCACCTTCCCTTGAACAAGCGTTTGAAGGCCATGACCAATTGAACAGCGTTATCATGGGTGAGTTCACATCCTTTCGGTGTACCCGTAGTTCCAGAAGTGTACAAGACATAGCTGACAGAAGAAGGGGACAGATACTTGACTTGAACCGCTGAAGATGACAATTTGTCTTTCTCTGCCAAGTTGATCAGGTCGACAAGATCGCACTGGGTTGAGTCTACCAGTTCTGAGCGGATCGACTCAGATGTCAGTAGGACTCGAGCCTTCGAGTCTTGTAAGATGAAAGCTTTGCGGGCCGCAGGCGCTGTAGGGTCGATGGCACAGAAGGCACAGCCAGCCTTGAGGATACCGTAGAATGCAAATGATGCTTCTGGACATTTGTCGAATGAAGTCGCAATGATGTCACCAGGTTTGGCACCTCGATCAACTAGGAGATGCGCAATCTTGTTGGCCTCCTCATCCAGTTGGCGGAAGGTCCAGCGTCGACTTGAGATCTGGCCGTCTTCCAGATCGTCTACAAATTCCATGGCGATGCGGTCTGGATGGTCTCTGACCGAAGCCTCAGTCATTTCGTGTAGATATTGGAAGGCCGTCGGAATGATAGAGTCTTTTGGAGGAACGATAGACAGTACCGACTTATCGAGTGTGTCTTCGAACTTCAAGAGATTGGCAACGATAGATTCCATCTGTTGCAATATGATATTACCTTGCTCCAGAGGTATTTGAGTAGGGTCGATCGTCAGCCGAAGACCAAGGCGATTTTCACTGAGTGCTTCCATCTCAAGGGAAACAGCAAGTTCGACCGAAGCCTTCTCGCGTATGATCTTCCACGAGAAATCGGGAGCATCGTCGTTGATAGGCCTTTGGTAAACAAAGAGAGAGTCGAACAAGGCCTCGCTCGGCAGTTCCGCGAACTTCTGAATTCTAGTCAACGGCGTGAACTGATACTTCTGAATGCTGGCATTGTATGACATCAAATCTTGAAGAAGTTGCGTGTCCTCTACTGCAGTATTGCTGGAGACAGGGAGGGTTGTGATGCACGGGAAAGCAGCGTCCATTGTCACGGGAGCGGTGCGGCCAGAGAAGACCACTCCGAACGTCACTTGTGATTCTCCGGTATATGCGCTCAACAGTCGGGCCCAGGCGGCTTGGCCAACTGATTGCATTGAAACACCAAGATCCCGACAGCGGGCTTCTAGCTCATCGCGCTGGATCCCAAAGACCAACTCGACATTAACTGCTTCTGTGCTCGAGGCTCTGAGCGGTGTCAAATTGGGCATGCGAGTGACCGGAGCACCGCTGAGTTTTTGCGACCAGAAGGCACGTTGTTCATCCATGTCAGTCTGACTGCTCGACAGGATGTGACTCAGGGCGCTCTCAATTGACTGTCTTACAGCGACAGAGCCATTGGAGAGAGCAGACTGAAGATCGGTCATAATCAAGCGAAGACTCTCTGCGTCGAAGATGGCGTGATGTGCAGAGAACTGCAGACATCGTTTGCCTTCAACCTCAAGTAAACTCCATCTCCAGGGAGGTAGAGAGAGGCTATCCTTAACAGAGTCTGCGGCCGTTCGTTCCTGCTTCTCAAACGTTGACTTGTCTGCCGAAGAAGCCTGAATCTCTAGTTCAGTGACATCAAACTTATCATAAGTCAGCATGACAAAAGGATGCTCATGGTCGTCAGTATCAATGAACCCGGTTCGCAAGATTTCATGTTGCTCGAGAACCTTAGACCACGCAAGGCCAAGCTTCTGGGCATCGATGTCTGTCTCTACTGCATAGAAAGTATGGTTGAAGTACTGATGCCCACCAGAGTGTGTGTATTCACTCAGCATGCCAGATTGCAAAGGCGTGCAAGGTCTAATGGCAGAAACTCTATCAGAGAGAACCTGATGAGCGTCTAGTGCAACATGGCGATAGCGTTTGTCGAACGCATCAAAGTCAAATGCAGGTGTGTCGGAAGTTGGAGTGTGGGATCGAGTCTGAACAGCTGATGCCAACTGAGAGCATGATGGGCCCTCCATTACGTCGCTGGCTTGTACTGGGAGTCCTTCTTTACGAAGCCGGTTCGCAAGTTGGATCGCACTAATGCTGTCCAAGCCAAGCTTGTAGATTGTTGTGTCCCTTGAGATCTGGTCCTCAGGAGCAGATGATACAGCAGAGAAAGCCGCACGAACTTGCAGCTCAAGTTTCGACCAAGACTCGTTACTGGAGCGTCCAGAATTGGTTTTTCCTTTCTGCTGAACAGCCTCTAAAGACTGCATGTACTCCTCGTCTGGCTTCAAACTGCTAGCCACCAGATTTTTGTCGAAATCGATAAAGTCAGAAATGTCGCTAGAAGGGTATTTTACGCAAGATGCAAATGCAGACAAACACGCTTGATGAAGACTGGCGACAAGTTCATCGTCCAGATAACTCCTAGTGTATGTCAGTTGCGATGATCAGCTTCGATAGAAAATATGCTTGTACTCACCGATTGAAATGCAAGGAAAAGGTATATGATTCGCTAGTCGGCGTGAATTCGACAATGCAAGGGAACTATACCGTGTTAGCCAGAGCGCGAAACTAATTCACTGGTGTTAGTCACTTACATCCATAACTCCCGTTTCCCCCTCAAGAGTCCATAAGTCTGCATCAAGATCTGTCGAAGTCTGCTGCAGGAGGACAAGAGAATCGAACAATCGCTGTCCGTTGGTACCAGCTTGTGCTTGGATGCGACGCAAAGCAGTGAGTTGGTATGGCAGACTCTCAATATTGCTTTTCTGGAGAGCTTTGATGAGGCTCAAATTGCTTTTATGCTTCGACAGATCTGCGCGAAGAGGAATGGTATTGAAGCATGGTGCAACCAAAGACTCGATACCATCGACAGGCACGCTACGTCCACTGACAACATTGCCAAAGCAGATATCCGAGCAACCTTGCGAAGCAGACAATGTCTTCGCCCACGTTGCTTGGATCAGACTTAGCATGGTTGTCGAGTGCTTTGTCAGGAAACTTTCCACTGCATCACGGGAGATGTCAAGCCTGTCAGTGATCGTGTCGAAGCCTTCTCTTGATCTACCGTCGGTTGAAGTATTGAAAGGCTTTGGAATAAATCCTTGCAGATGATCCCCAAAGAACTTATCTGCCTGTTCCACACTCGAAGAAACCATGAAGTCCAGGAAAGGCTTGAATGCGACTGGAGCAGGAAGCGACTGGTCTTTGTATGACTGTTCGACATCGTGCAAAAGGTTAGACATCGCATTGGCGTCGTAGAGAGCATGATGCATGTCGAGTACAAGGTAGACGGCGGAGTCTGCCCTGTAGACCCGGATCTTCCAAGGTGGCAATGTTTCGTGGAGAGGGTCCTCATGAGTTTGTGTAGACTCAAGCAAGGCTGAGGGATCATCGGGCACGGTGTCACACTCTTCCCACGGCAACGTCCATTCTGAGAGTACAGCTTGCACGAAGGGGAACTTTGAGTTTTCAGTCGTAAGAAAAGTCGTCCTCAGGATATCATGCCTTTGCAACATGGTGTCCCAACACGATTTCAGTTTATCAACTGAACCGTGGAGACGGAACAACGTCTTATTTCTGTACGCTGAAGATCCTGATGTATCCTTTGCGGATAGCATTGCCTCTTGCAAAGGTGTGCATGGAAGTACCTGTTGAGCAGTTTGACCATGTTCACGGAGTTGAGATACCACACTCTCACGAAGGTCAGAGCCAATGGCTGTCTCACAGTCCACTGAAGCATGTTCGGTATTCTGCTCTTCACCTTTTGGCTGTGACTCCTGGAGATGAGAAGCTAGCTTGGCAACAGTAGGCCTCTTCAGGATTCGAGATACGTCAAGTTCATAGCCGTACTCACTCCTCAGCTTCGTTGCAAAACGGATTGCTGATACGGAATCGAGTCCCAATGCAAAGAAAGAGGTAGAACGGCCAATTGAGGTAGATGGCGCGCGCAACGTGTCGGCAAGTGCTGAGAGCACCTGTTTCTCGGTCGCAGAGAGCTCACTAGCGTCGCTCTCGTCGTCAAAGCTCTGAGAGTATGCGCTTAGGACATCTACACCGAGTTCTGAGGCGTCATTGGCGAGTCGCCTTCTGTCAATCTTGCCTTGTAAGGTTTGAGGAATAGCCGAGACAGGTACCAACACGTCGGGAATCATGTAAACTGGTAGATGCTCGATGAGGTGTGCAAAAATCGTGGCTATGCTCTTCTTCAACGAGTCATCTGGCTGTAGGATTGAGTACGTATCCTTGGAATGACCACTCGGGATCCAGAAGGCCATCAAACGTTCGTTGTCGGCAGATTTGACAATTTCAATCGCGCAGTCCTGCACATTTTCGACTTGCAGTAGGCATCCAGAGATTTCACCAAGCTCGATTCTTTGCCCACGAATCTTTCTTTGATCATCAGTGCGACCCTGAATCAAGATAGTTCCGTCAGGCAGCAGCCGGCCAAGATCTCCACTACGATAAATGCGGCCATAGCTTGGATGGTTGATGATTTTGCTATCTGTGAGCTCGGGCATGTTTTGGTAGCCACGGAACACCTGCTGGCCACCAAAGCAAAGTTCACCAAGGCCGCCAAGAGGGACCATCCGGAAGTCAGAGTCTTGCGTCAACACGAACGCAGATGTGTTCACAAATGGTGGACCGATATTGTTGATGACATGATCATGTTCAACTGCTGGGTTTACCGTACAGATGTTGGTTGTCTCAGATGGGCCGTAGCCTTGGTAAAGCCCTTTGCCAGCCCAGGCATTGTGAACCTGATGCGTGACAGCCTCTCCAGCAGTGACAAGAAACTGTACTTTCGGTATGTGAGCTGGATTCGTCAATGCCGCTACAGTCGGTGTCATGGAAAGATGTGTAATGCCGAGTTCGTTGATGGCGTTCTCAAGGTCACGGAACAAAACGTCCTTGGATGCCGAGCATAGGCACATGCCGGTGTACCAGGTGAAGAAGATCTCGAACACGCTGACATCGAACGCTTGATTACAGGCTTGAAGTAATCTGGATCCCTTAGGGACGGGATAAATCTTGCTCAAGACCTCAAGGTTGCTAAGTATGTTCTCTTGGGTTACCAGGACTCCTTTAGGCTTGCCTGTAGTGCCGCTGGTGAAGACTGCGTAAGCAATGTCTGTGGGCTCGAATGCAAGCTGAGGACTTGAGTGTGATTGTTTGGAGAAATCGGTAGCAGTGGTATCAATTACATGGCAACTGCTCAAACCAGAAATCATCTGTGTTGTTGAGAAGTCGGTCAAGCAGAATCGCACGTTCGCATCTTCAAGAATTTGGCTGATACGAGCTGGTGGTGTCTCAGGGACTAGAGGCAGGTAACCACAGCCTGCTTTGACGGCAGCAAGAATGGAAACATATAGGGCGACAGATTTCTCCATGCAGATGCAGACAAGCTCGTTGGGCTTAGCACCTTGCGAGACAAGATGGTTGGCTAGCTGATTTGCTTGAGTGTTGAGCTCACCGTATGTCAAACTCTCGACGGTCGAGCTCCCCTTGCGAATATCCTGCGCGAAGACCAAAGCCAAATCATCGGCCATTTCGAGAGCATGAGTTTCAACAAGAGATCCAAGTCCTGCCTTGTATGTGAAGAATTGCGGATCGGGGTTTGCGACTGACAATACTGAGGTAGGAAGCTGACTGCTGAGCTTATTCATGAGGGTGTCAGGTCGTGCTACCACGATTTTGACCAGAGCGTCAAGCTGTTGCAACAAGATCTCGACATGCTGTCTAGGTAGAAGGCTCGATTGGTATGTGGCCTTGGCGTTCACGCCATGCTGAGTAGGTTCGAGCTCCAGTGTCAGGTTGAACTCCAGATAGTCATGTGCCTCCACTAGTTTTAGCAGAGGTTGAGCTCGTGAGTTCGACCGAGCAGTCTCCTGCCATACGAAAATGCTGTCAAAGAGAGCTTCGCCTGGGTTTACTCCGCAGGTCTTCTTGATATCTGCGAGGGAAGTCGTACTGTGCTGCATGATATCTCGATTATCACCTTGGAGGCGACGTAAAGCATCGATGAACCTTCGACACTCTACGGTGTTGATCCGTGAAGGAAGAGTCGACAAAAGAGGCCCGACCATATTCTCAACGTCGACAATAGGTAAGGTTCTTCCAGAGAAGACCGTACCAAATACTACATCCTCTGTACCCATGTACGAACCAAGGAGGACAGCATATGCAGCCTGAAAGAAAACATGTGGACTGCAAGAATGTGTCTGGGCTGCTTCACTTAGTGCTTGCATATCCATCTTGATGGAATACTCAGCGCTTTGTAGGGCCTGTGAGGGTATCGATTTTGGTGACAAGTTGGGTAAGCGGCTGGGAGTGGCACCAGACAGATGATCCCGCCAGAAGTCGAGATGTGATGTCTGGTCTTCGTTTCGCTGAAGGCTGAGGAACTCGTTGACGGCCCCGAATGATGGTCTTTCTGGGATCTCCTTGCCTTGCAACAAGTCGTCCAGATCGTCGAGAATGACTTCCACTGACCATTGATCATACAGCGCATGGTGAATGTTCATAATGAGCTCTATGCCAGCATCAGATTTCCTGTATTGAAACAGAAGTGGTCTCAGAAGCGTCTCTTTATCCGTGATAGACCATCCGCCGGTTTGTGACTCGCCACGCGCAACTTGTGAGGCAGCCATACTCTTCCATACAATTTGAGCGTAGGAGCAGTGAGAACTTGCAGATACGCAAAAGCCAGATCTCAAGGCAGCATGTTTCTCGGCTAACGTATATAACGCTTGACGCAGTCTCTCGAAAGGAATGGCTGAAGCCACTGTGAATCGGAGCTCGTTACAATATGCTTGGGGCTGCCTTGCTGTCTCGACCAGCATGGCATCTTGGAGTGGCGTACACGGAAGGATATCCTCTATGCTGTCGACAGCTGTTCCAGATTCGAACGTTGCTTCGACATTCGATCTCAGCTCGCTGACAATGCTTTCCCACTCTCCAGCGTCGTGTTCGCGAACGCCATCAGAAGAAGCCTTGGTTTGAAGCAATTGATCAAGAGCAAGCACATTAGACACCGAGAGCAGCTCAAGGGCGCTAATTTCAGCATAACCTTGCTTTCGCAGCTCAGAAGCAACTTGAATTGCTCTCAGCGAGTCCAGTCCAGCAGCCCCGAGATCAGTATTCTGGTCAATGGGAACGCCAAGCACGCTTTGTATTGAGCGCGCTACATTGTTAGCACTTTCAGATACATCAGAACGCTCTGCTGATGTCTCTGGGGCCTTCGAACTGTAATCGCTTTCCAGCTTCTTCTTGTCGACCTTGCCTGACGGAAGATAAGGGAAATCCTCGAGTAGGACGATATCGTTAGGTAGCATATAAGCCGGAAGCCACTTTTGACAAGCGCTCTTGATATCTTCCGGAGCGAGTTTGTCAGAGTCACCGATGCAGAAAAGGATCAGAAGACCAGATATAACGCTTGCAACTACTGCGTGACACCCAGCAGCCTTTGATGCGGCATGCTCAATCTCTCCTAGCTCGACGCGCTGACCTCTCAGTTTGACCTGACCACTCGAGATACGTCCATGGCATTCCAACGTGCCATTACGATGGAGGCGAGCTTTATCACCCGTACGGTAAAGGTCACCATACTTTGGATGAGATACAAAAGCTGCTCTGGTTTGCTCGTCTCGATTGAGGTAGCCATCCGCTAGCTGATATCCGCCCACAACGAGCTCACCAATCTCGCCTATCGGCAAGACCTCAATCTCGCTAGCGTGCTTAGCAGATTCTGCTGGCTTTACGATGAAACAAGAGACTGTGTCCAAGGGGATACCGATGGTGCCAGCAGGCAAATCTGCTGCAAATTTTGGCTGCAGGGTACAATGAATGGCAGCCTCGGTGGGACCGTACATGCCGTACAAGATACCAGGCCGTTCGTCTGAACCGCCAAATTGTTGAATGACCGGCGTGTTGAGCATCTCGCCAATTGTGAGAAGCGTCCGTAGGGTGGGCACATTGTCCCTCGTACGGACGAGACTGGCAGCGACTGATGGCGTGAGTTCTGCAGCATCTATGTTTAATGAAGTAATCGTTCCAGGAAGATCACTAAGCAGGCGGCTGCGTTCGACAGAGACCAGTGTAGATCCACGATACCATGGGAAGAAGATCTCAAATACACTGACGTCGAACGTTGGACTTGCAAATTGAAGGAACCTGGAGAACTCTGGGATGAATCTATTATGTGCCAGGAGAGATTGTGTCACTGCCCGATGTGACAGACAGACCGCTTTCGGCAGACCAGTGCTACCCGAGGTATACATGATGTAGGCGAGCGAGGAAGTATCAGGACAGGCCAATTCATGCTCAAGCGTTTCTGATGTGGTAGAGGAGTTGGGTCCCGACTTTCCATCATCCACAGCAAGAATAACAACGTTCTCCAAGTCTGGCAGTTTTGAACGCATGGTGGTAGTCGTCAAGAGAATACTGGCCGAAGTATCCTGCAATATGAATTTCAGTCTGTCTTCTGGCACATCCAGATTCAAAGGACAGAATGCAGCTCCTGATTTGAGGATCGCCAATTGCGAAATGTACAAAGATGTACATTGCGGAATATAAATGGGCACAATTCCAGGTGTCTTCTGTGAATTTCGGCGGTTGACCTCAGTAATTCGCGATGCTAGATGTTCTGCTTCCCGGTGCAGGTCCGCGTAAGATAATGTGCTCTTCTCATCACTCGCGTCCAAGTATTCAAGGGCAATGCCGGGAGTCTCAGGTCCTGATATAAGTTCGTGAAGTAGCCCAGGACCTTCCAGTCTGGTTGGTATGGGGTTGAGAATGGACAATGTCTCGTCCATTCTGAGTGTTGTTTCGTCGCCTGAAAGAGTTCTTGCCGGCATATTATTGATTAAGGGTGTAAGTCGTAGTGCTTAAGTCTATGATAAAAGATACCAGCAATGGATTGTGTTCGTTATACCAAAGTAAGATCAGATGGGAGCAATCAATCCAGCAAGAGCTAAGAAGTGTGGTTGGGCTCTTGCAAGTCGACTTTGCTTGAACTCTTGTTCCGACGGCGGCATGCTATTCAAGTGTTAGACCATGTCGACTCATGCCTCACACGAAATCTACACGAGGAAAAGTCGACCGACGATCAAGAACTGACGACTTCAATCACGACCAAATTAAGCCCGCCACTAGCAAGCTTAGGGCAGCGCTCGTGCGTTGTCGCAGTCAAAGGAAACTGCCGAGGTCGGTGGCCAGCGACTTCTCACTCAAACTTGCTCTTCGCACGTACGGAATATGGATGACAATTGCTTGCTGTCGTATGTGCTTACGAAAGTGGTCATCATGCGGTGCCTAGATCTAAACATTCGCCTTCGAACAGGTGGTGATGTTCATCCGGTATCCGGCATGTTTAAAGGGACAAGGCAACGCGGAGTAAAGTCTCGGAGATTTCAAATCGTCATGATCTTGCATCACGATTTACAGCGACAGTCAGTCAACGGCCATTGCACATCGAACCTTGCTTCGCGGCGCGTTTACGTCGCTTAACTTGTCTACCGTGGTGTTGCACATCTGACATGGACAAAAGATTTTTTACAAGGGTGTTGATTTGGGAGTAGGGCGCCAATTGCTTGGAAAAAATTTATCTGATCCTCTGAGCCCCTTCATCTGATAATGATAATCTAAGCGTTATGACGATCATCGCTAGCTGAGGTTAGCCACTGACGACAGAGTCAGGTCGTGCGGATCTGATACCGTGCCTTGGCTGCTCACCGTCACGAAAACGACGCTTCCAAATGCAAAAGTGATGCTTCAACGCTTTCCTTAGTTCAATGATTGACAAGTGTCAGTATGTCACTGGCGTCAGTCCTACACGCTTGCTAATAAGCAGCCATGTCTACGCGTCGTAAAACAATTCCGACTTGCCGAGATGTGAGTGATCGTCGGATACGATGATGGGCAAGGCAACTAAACCACAGCGTGGGTGTGGACGTGGAGCCTCGGGTGTCAAGTCTCAACACTGCACGTTCTTGATCCAGAAAACTTCTCCTTTGCCATAACTTGCGCATGGTTCTTGCTAACCACCCCACGTGTTGGCCGTATGTTCTGAGGTGTTGTCATTTTACGAGTACGGATGGTTTGAAGGCTTGAAGTTTAAGGTGGCTTCTTCTACAAAAAAGGAACTTCGTTGCCAGAAAACCTTCGCACGTTTTGTTTGAAAACGCCATTCAACCTGCACCACTTGGAAGAGGTAACCAACTACAATAGTGCCTCACATCACAATGCCCTCTGCCATTGGCAGGCGCAGGCGGTCCTCAGCTGGCCATGGACGAACGCGACCTTCGACAGCCAACGTTGAAACAGAAAGCAACTTCGAGGCCACTACCATGAATTCTGCGCAACCGCGTTCATGGCATACCAATTTCGTCTTCATCTCTCGCAAATTGATCCAGCAGATTCTTGGTAAAAACCCGTTCAAGAGCTCATACGTCGACCTATACAAGCTTGTCAACGACAAAGAGTCGAGATTAATTCTATGGGCTGGTATCCTACTGGCGATAGCCGCTGGCACCCCGCTACCCATCATTGGTTATATCTTCGGACAGATCATCACCTCCTTCCCACCTCCGGAACATGTCCTGCTTAATAGGCTATACGAACTCATTGGTGTAGCATGTGGTTACTTCATAGTCACTACTGGCTACGCAATCGCATGGGGCTTGACTGGAGAAAGGATCTCACGTCGCTTCCGAGAGGCCCTCGTTGAGCGTCTGCTAGGTCTCGAGCAAGCCTATTTCGATATCAACGACCCGGATATCACGAATCTCCTGACTGAAAAAATCGAAGCGATACAGATAGGAACATCTGAAAAAGTCGGTATCTTCATACAATCGATAAGCTATTTCGTCGCCGCCTTTGTCGTTGGATTCATCTTGAATGCCGAACTCACTGGAATACTGTTCGCCGCTGTTATACCTATCATGAGTCTGATTGTGATTATTGGTTCCTCCAGAGTCGCAAAGTATACGAAAGCAGCCGCTCAGTATAGTGAGGCTGCCGGAAGGATCGCCGAGAGTGCCATTCATGCTGTCAAGGTCGTTCAAGCTTTTGGTATGGCCGATAATCTCAGCAAAGAACACTATCGCCTGCTCAAACTGTCTGCAAGATACGCCATCCGGAAATCTTTCTCTTCTGCACTTATGCTTGGCATGGTCTATTTCACAGCCTACAGTGCCAATGCACTTGCTTTCTGGGAAGGCTCGCGACTGGCTGCGGCATCAGGCACAGACAATGCTGGTACTGTGTATGCTGTGGTCTTCTTGATCATTGATGCGTCATTCGTCGTTGGCCAATTTGGCCCTTTCCTTGGTGCCTTTGCAACTGCTGCAGCTGCTGGCGAAAGCATCTACGAGATTCTTAATCAACCACAATCAGAGATCAACGTCTACTCCGAAAGTGGACAGGAAGCTACCGAGGATGACATGAGAGCTGACCTGAACTTCCGAGGAGTTACTTTCGTGTATCCTGCCAGAACAACAGCTCGTGCCCTGGACGAATTAAACCTCACTCTCAAAGCTGGACAGATGAACGCCATTGTCGGTACAAGTGGTTGCGGCAAGAGTACACTTGTATCCTTGCTTTTACGACTATACGACATATCATCTGGCACATTGACGATAGGAGAGCATAATATCAAGGACTTCAACGTGAGAAGTCTGAGAAGATACACGGCGCTGGTTGACCAAGACTCTGTCTTGTTTTCCGGCTCGGTTCTTGATAATATTAGCTATGGACTCGGAGAACATGAACTGTCTGAGGAATCTGTTTTGGAGAGATGTACCGAGGCTGCCAAAGCTGCTAACCTGGATTTTGTCGACTTCTTACCTCAAGGGATTCACACTCGTATTGGTAACGGCGGTTACACTCAGCTGTCGGGAGGACAAACCCAGAGAATTTGCTTGGCTAGAGCCCTAGTCAAAAGACCTGCTTTGCTTCTGCTCGATGAGCCGACTGCGGCTCTTGACGCAAACAGCGAAAGACTCATTATGGATGCTGTAAAATCCGTGGCCGCATCAGGCACAACAGTGGTCATGGTAGCACATCGACTCTCTACTGTATCCGACTCGCCAAATATCGTGCTTATGGGTGCGGGCAAGGTTATTGAGCAAGGCAACCATGACGAACTCATGCAACTGGAAGGCGCTTACAACAATCTCATTAAGGCTCAACAACTCAATGATACGGACGATTCGTCTGAAGAGGTTTCACCAGCATCCGCCAGTCAGACTGTAAAGCGAGAGGCCTCTAAATCCGAGGACACCTCCGCTTCGAGCGATTCTGCCATGTTATCTCCAGAGGTGGATAAGGAAGAAACACCCACCAAGAAGACTGGCTTCTGGAAACTTCTTTTGAGATGCCTTCGCCTGGCCAAACCCGACTCTCCAATCATCGCCTTAGGACTTTCTGCCTCGATTATATCTGGTGGTATCATCCTCGGTGAAGCCATCGTGTTCGGTAACCTCATCTCTGTGTTGAACAATACAGAAAGCCCGAACTTCCGTAACAGAGCAGATTTCTTCTCTCTTATGTTCTTCATCCTAGCACTGATTGCTTTCTTCTCCTACTCTGGTAACGGATCCTGCTTCGGCCTTGTGTCCTCACATTTTGTGGCTAAGGTTCAACATATTTCTCTCCGCAGCATCTTGCGACAGGATATGCAGTGGTTCTCAGGTCGGTCAGTGTCATCGCTCATGACTAGTCTCAACTCGGATGCAGGTCAACTGGCTTGTTTGTCTGGAGTGGCCATTGGTACCATCTTTACAGTATGCGTGTCTGTCACTGGCGGCATTATTCTTGCCCATGTGGTGGCTTGGAAGATTGCTGTTGTCTTGCTAGCTGCCGTGCCTGTCATGATCACGGCTGGCTATGTCAGACTACGCGTGCTCGCTCTGGCAGAGAACAGACACAGATCTGCATACAATGATGCTGCTTCCATCGCCGCCGAAGCATGTCGAGGTATCAGGACGATTGCTTCCCTTGGAAGAGAGCGCGGTGTTTCCGAAACCTTCAAGGCTGCAGTGAAGGAGCCATACGAGAAGGGAATCCGATTTACCCTCATCACAAACACATTGCTCGCCTTGAGTTTCTCGATCACTTACTTCGTTTATGCCCTTGCCTACTGGTGGGGAGCCAAGCAAGTGAGGAACGGCAGCTACAGTGAACTGGACTTCTTCATCGTCTTACCTGCTCTTCTCTTCTCTGCACAAAGTGCTGGTCAGATTTTCAGTCTGTCCCCAGAAATGTCGCGAGCTGGAATTGCTGCCCGAAACGTGTTCGGACTGCACGATCAGCAGCCAACTATTGTAGATGGCAACATCAAGCAGCATGATTCATCAAGCGATGTCCCAACTCTGACAGAGAAGAAGGATACTTCTCTCGGCGGTTGGATCGAATTCAAGGACGTCAGTCTGTGTTACCCATCCAAGCCGCAACACCCAGCACTTCAAAACATCAACATTTCCATCAAGCCAGGCGAGTTTATTGCACTTGTTGGTCCTAGTGGAGCAGGCAAGTCTACTATTGTCTCACTTTTGCAACGCTTCTACGATCCCACGACTGGCAGCGTGCAGCTCGATGGACAGGACATCCGCGAGGTCGCCGTGTCACAGCATAGAGGTCGATTGGGGCTGGTACCTCAAGAGCCAGACCTCTTCCCTGGGTCCATCTCGTATAACATTGGTCTGGGCGCAGCACCAGGCCAGGACGTGTCACAAGCCGACATCGAAGAGATTTGTGCCAAATGTGGTATTCACGACTTCATCATGAGTTTGCCAGAAGGTTATAGCACAGAGTGCGGTACCAATGGTTCAAAGCTGTCTGGTGGTCAGAAGCAGCGTGTTGCTGTTGCTAGAGCACTGATCAGATCGCCAGAAGTACTTCTCCTGGATGAGTATACTTCTGCTCTGGATGCTCATTCCGAGCAACAGATCAAAGAGGCCGTTGACGGGGCCAGTGTGGGCAGAACTACGATTGTGGTTGCACACAGACTGTCTACGGTACAACACGCCGATAGAATATTCGTGTTTGATAACGGACGTATCTTGGAGGTTGGAAGTCATGCTGAGCTTGTTGCTCAAGGAGGCTTGTATGCCAGTATGGTCAAGGCACAGACACTGGCTTAGTGTGTTGGGTTATCTCGTAGAGGTTGCTACTATATCATGTCGCTATGTTCTGCATATTTTGATCTGTTTTTGTATGTCAAACTAGCGAGGAGTTTTAGGAAGGATCAAAAAGATCCCAAATTAGGCAGGTGTTATTTGGACAAATACAACGGTACCTTTTCGTCGTTTCACAGAATGCAGGGGCTTTCCACGAGGTAGACACGCCACGGCTATCAAGCCATGTATACAGATCAACATTCGTGCCCTACTCTCAATCCCCAACAGAAACAGTGAAACGCGAGTTCTGTCCGCCATGGTGTGGTGGTGGGACAGAGGGCAGATGGCCCACAGTCTGTGCGGTCTTGGAAGCGGATCTGATAACTTTGTTTCGGGAACCAGCGGTGACGAGGAGCAAGGATACGGGCTCCGATGACGGCGGGCGTTCTTGGCCTGATCATATTATCAGATCAGATCATATCAGATTATTATTCTACAGTGGTGTCAAGGCTGATATTCATGGCAGCGAAAGAGGGTATTGCTGATGGCTCGGTCGAGTGCAATCTGGCCTGCAAACGGCAGCATCTTTATACACCAACCTACGCTCCTTCCGCGTTTTGACAGAAGTCAATGGTAACGCTGAGTTTTCGTGACAAGTGGGCCTGTGGATACATCTCACCGGTCCCTTGCATGGTGCAGCTAGTTAAAGGTCCGTGATTCGCGCAGTGGTTCGACCCCCGCCATGCACGTCGGGAATTGATCCTTGATCAGTAAATGATGATCTGATTAGACGAGTTTAATCAGATTAGATGCAGAGTTTTCACGCTGGGGCCGTTGGCACCACGCGAAAGCCAAGGCGCGATGCAGCGACCATGATGGTTTGTTCATGACAAAGACATTGCGAGCACTGACGCAGCAAAAAGCCAACATGAGATGATCGTGTCTGGCCTCTCGACCGAGCTTGCGACGACGAGGCGGAAACGCAGGCAATAGATAGAGCCAATGGACCGCTGTCAGCGACATGTTTTTTTCCCGCATCTTGTGATTCTTTTGCCATCGTCGTTTTGTCGTTCCTGTTGTCCGTCAACGATCCTGTCGTCATACATCAGTGAAAGTTAATGATTGCGTGGATGGGTTAGGCTTTATGGTATACGACGGACATAACGCATGTGAGTCGTCACCCGAACTTTCCCTGGCTGACGCTTCCGCCTTTTTCCTTTGGTACCTATATTGCGAAGAACGACTGTATTCAAGAAATAGAGTACCGTTTATGCATTTTCGATTCAATCATCCACGAAAGACGAAAACCACTTTATGTCCCGACTGACACAAAGCAAAGAACAAGATCAAGCAATTATACACGATACAATGGCACCCCACGCCGACATTTCAGAAATTGCTCTCGAGAGCTCACCAGAGCGCAATGCCTCCCCATGGAAGACACACCTCCAACCGACACCGCAGAACGACGTACACGATGTAATCTGCCTAGGCTTCGGTCCTGCCTCGCTAGCAATTGCAGTTGCCCTCCACGACGCGACAAAGCAGACGGGCAAGCAGCCACCACAAGTCAGGACACAGCCCAAGATCGGCTTCCTCGAGAGACAAGAGTCGTTCGCATGGCACGCCGGCATGCAGATTCCCGGTGCAAAGATGCAAATCTCCTTCATCAAGGACATGGCCACCATGCGCAACCCTCGCAGCGAGTTCACCTTCCTCAATTACCTGCACGAGAACGACCGTCTGGTGCAATTCACCAACCTCAGCACCTTCCTACCCCGTCGCATTGAGTTCGAGGACTATCTCCGCTGGTGCGCTGGCTGGTTCCAGAACCTGGTTTCATATGGTCAAGAGGTGGTCGATATCTCGCCTGACACCAAGGCTAAGAGTGCAGAGGGTGTTACAACATGGACAATCACATCTCGCAATGTGCACACAAAAGAGCTGAGCTACCGTCGCACGAAACGTGTCGTCGTTGCTGTTGGTGGTCACCCCAGAATCCCTGACGCCTTTCCTCAACACCACCCTCGTGTCGTTCACTCGTCACAATACTGGACCCTCTCGTCTCACATCTTCCGTGATCGCAACGCTCCTCTCAAGATCGCCGTCATTGGCTCTGGTCAATCCGCTGCCGAGATCTTCATGAACCTGCCCAGCCAGTTCCCCAACTCCAAGGCCTACCTCATGATCAGAGGTGCCGCCCTCAGACCTTCAGACGACTCGCCTTTTGTCAACGAAGTCTTCGACCCTGAACGTACCGACGACACCTTCGGCCAAGACCCCGAGACCCGTGCCGCTGCCATCAAGATGGACAAGGCCACTAACTACGGAGTCGTTCGTCTCGAGCTGCTGGAACACATGTACGATGTCCTCTACACACAACGTCTTACCCACGGCGACGACGAAGAGAAATGGCCTCAGCAATTGCTCAACTACCGCGAAGTCGAGAGTGTGACTGACTTGCCCAACGACCGCTTGCGTCTACACATCAGAAACGACACTGCAAAGCACAGATGTCGCAAGGCTCCTACACAAGAGTCTTTGGATGTGGATCTGGTCATGATTGCTAGCGGATACAGAAGAGACTTCCATGAGCAATTGTTGTCAAAGGTCAGACCTATGATGCCTGGTGGTGACAAGCCTGGTCAGAAGTGGACTGTCAACCGCGAGTACAAGGTTCAGTTCGAGCCCGGCACTGTCGCCAAGGATTCTGGTGTCTGGTTGCAGGGATGTAATGAGAGCACCCACGGTGTAAGTCTTGATCCTATTTTCGATTCATAAATCCTACTAACATGCCCCACAGTTGAGCGACTCTCTTCTCTCTGTCCTAGCCATCCGTGGTGGTGAGATGGTTGAATCCATGTTTGGCAACCAATAGAGGATCAGCACCTCGAAATGATACCCCGACCTCGTTGTCATAGGCATTCTTCTTTACGAAGAAGGATCAAATTCATAAACACAAATCACAATAATTAACAATATAGAGGATATCAATAGCGATGGCGTTTGTTTATAGTTGTACAATACTTGGTCAAGAAGATCTTCTTCTCTTTGGTACATAGATGTTTCCTGTACTAATACGTCTCATCAACTTCATTCACTTTCGTTTCTGGCCTGTGTCGTCGTCCTGGCCTGTGTCGTCGTCCTGGCCTGTGTCGTCGTCGCCTTAACTGGTATCGCCGTCCTGGCTTACATCGTCGTCTTGTCGCTTATATCGACGAGCTGTGAAGCTGGCTACAATTCCATCTCGTCCGACATCTTCTACGCCGTCGCCTTGACTCTCAACGAATTTCGCTTGTTCAACCATCACCGCTTCAACTATCATTGTCTGCACCGTCAACATACACAGTAACATACACGATAATAAGATACGCAAATAATGAATAACCAAAACACCCTACCTCTTCGCCCTCATCGCCCTGTTTCCTCTTCCGCTCCCGTCAACAACTTAGCACCACCACAGCCCTCTCAACCAACAAGTACTGTTCAAGAACCGAAAAAGGCCAAACGCAAACTACGTGCCCAGATCTTTGGTAAGCCATTTATCTATCTGATCAGTCCATCGTTTCTCATTATGCTAAAACCTTAATAGCTAAGCTTTCACTTGTGAAGCCGAAGATGAAAGCCGCAATTGTCACTTCGATTACATATGGAGAGTGTTATGCTCATATCATTGATGAGGAGGAGAAAGTGAGGTACTCTAGCATGGCACAAGAAAGCATCAAAGCCGCGCTGAAGGTTCTATTGGCACTTGTTGAGGAGGACGTTCTCAGGTTGGGTGGCGCGAAAGGGATGAAAGAGGTGGAACTGGGGGAGAGTGATGGAGAGGAGGAAGAAGAGGAGGTGGATTACGAGATCGAAGCTGATTAAACGAGGAGTAATATGATTAAAGAGAGTACAGTGAGGGCTGTAGGCATATGAAGGTGCTCTAAACATAAGAATACACAACTTACAAAGGTTACCCAGCCAGAAAGTCCTCCGAGAAGCAACACAGTCTCATGCAAGTCAGCCCTACCACCCTTGAACCCAGTAGCCCAATTCTTCGACCTTCTTTCCACGCCGCAGATGTTTTGGCAGTGGAACGACCACGATAAGGTAGTAGTCCTCTTTCTGCAGACAGATGCGCTGCAGCATTACACAAGACTCGCATGCTCCAGCTCGATGTCTAGGTACCGTTGCTGCCAAACCGCATACTTTCTGCTGCACACAAGTGTTGCCAGATGCATAGTCGATGACTGCTATGTTGAATTGAATGTCATTGACCATGCACAGAGAGGTCATGGTCGTGGTGAATTGATCCTGGAGGTAGGAATACACGACGGGTGGGAGATCATGCCCATTACTCGCACAGTCAAGAACGTCCTTCAGAGTCCTGGTCAGACCAGTGAAGGAATAGACCCAAGATTGAGCATTCGTAGAGGGCTTCTGCATCAACAAATGTGACACGTGTTCCAGAGCGTGTTTTGCTTTCCGACACTCTTGTGTTCTGCGATCAAGACGAGTTTCCAGATCGTGCCTCTTCTTGTCGAATTTTGTCTTTTCATATCTCAGTTTGCCGTAATCTTGTTCCAATTCCTTGAAGTGTCTCTCCAGAGTGTCATAGTCTCTTCGCAGGTCTCGATGATTGATCTCCAAGTGCTTCCCAGCATCGATCTTGCGTTTCATGTTTTCGATATCTCGCTTCTGCTCTTTGACGATTTCGCTCTTTTCATCGGCCACATCCCTCCAACCAAAGCCATTCGCTTCATTCTGAAGCAGGCACTTGGTTTGCATTTCTCTCATTTCCAACTCTTTTTGTAGTTTCTTGATCTCGACTTGTGCATCATTTACACTGCGTTCCAATCTTTCGATCTCTTTCTGTTGAGCCTCGATGGTTTCGTCTTTTTGGTCGCATGTGGTCTTCTAGACAGTGATGGGATCATTGGTTGAACGGAGGTACTTGAGCTCGACGTCTTGAAGGCAGATGCGCTAATTCAGCCTTTCGATCTCGGCGGTTTGTTGTTCGGAACTCATGTTAGACGGGTGGCTGTGCAATGATAAAGATGGTGGCGGCAAGGCAAGTGATGGTGGAAAATTGATGGTTGGTGGTAGTCAATGGTGAGGATGAGAAATATGAGGGATGAAAGATGGAAGAGTGAAGATTGTCTAGCAGCTGGACGCAGCTTCGAGAGGAAAGAGCTGTCCAGAACGCGAGTGAACATTTTGTTTCGCTGTGTTCGCAAGATAGAAACTGCATCTTTGCTCGTTCGCACCTACCTGCTAGTGGATGAGACATCAAAGACCATTCTTTCCACACCACAACCAAAACTCTCCTACACACCCACACTCTCAACATCAACATCACATTCAAACTCTCAATATTCCAAAGATGTCTTCCCAACCCCAACCCGACGAAATCGTCATCCCAGCCCTGCACGCTCAAATCATCTGTAAGCATCTCACTCCCTCTTAAACACCAAGCCCCATACTCACACTTCTCATCTAGCCAACATGCGTATCATCGATCCCAGTCTTGACTTTCCCATCATCACCACTGGCTATGAAGAAGAATTTGGCTCTTGGGGTGCCATGGTCTGGAACAACCAAGGCGAAGTCGAGTACCACGTTTCGGGTTGTCACAATGCCGTGGATGCTTTGCGTACCCTGCTGAGTTCTACCTCTTGCGCCATCTACACCAGATACCGCCGCAACGTCGACAATGGCGACAAGGGTGAGAATGGCGATGCTGGAGATAATGGCGATGCTGGAAATAATGGCGATGCTGGAGATAATGGCGATGCTGGAGATGCCGGACATGCTGGCCATGCTGGCGATACTGTCGATGCTGGCGACGAGGAAAATGCTTCAACCCGTCGCTAGTGTCTTAACCTTCGCTGGTGAGTCTTTATCGTCACCGTTGTGGTAGCACAGGGAGACTAAATCTAGCTCACCGGTATTAGCGTGGCATATGCAGTACACTCAGCAAGAACTGTACAAAGAGCTCATGAGCAGACTTAACCAACTCACAGCTGTCCATGGCCACAGGAATGAGGAAGATATCGAGATAGGAGAGGGTATACATATGACAAGGAGTGTGCAAGTGGCTTGTAAGCAGACTTACCAAATCACGGCTGTCCATGATCAAAGCAGTCGAAAAGAGATTGAGACGGAGGAGCACACCAAAAGACACAAACAGCATTAGCAACCTCATCTTGCAGCCCAAACAATCAGAACTCACATCATTCTTCGATCCTCGAGACCACGATAAGAATCCTGATCTTGCTTATGAAGTTGCATGACCACAGCTGCTCTCTATTATTGAGTACATGCTTGATCGGTAGTCGTTGATTATGCAGCCATCAATCAATTTGCGTCGCGTCCCTCTGCTTTGTCCTGATCTGGGTGTCAAGCAAATTAGAGACTGATGTGACAATGAGAGGCAGGACCAGATGGGATTTATACCCCTGATTAGCCCCTTCCCAACCTCAACCCTCAACACAACCATTATTCTCGAACCGCTTTCTCTTCTTTGAACACTCAATCAGTCAAGATGAAGTACAATTGACACGGAAAACACATCAAAAGGGAAAAAAAATGACATTTTTGCCATATCTACAGACGAATGCAAAAAAGTCCCATTCACACCCAACGAATGCCACGCTACTCCCAGAAAGAAAATATGCACATAAGAAGAAAAAGAAAAGGATCCTATACAAAGTGAAAGTCTTTTGAAGTCTATCACGCAACCAACTTCTCAGCAGCCTGTCTCAATATCCTAGCTGCACGTAATAGTTGTCCCTGCGCATCTAGCCATTTCCCGTCGTACATTGCGTCTCGAACAGCAGGGAAGTAAGCAGCTGCATAGCTATCCCAGAGCTGGGGGCCAAAGATGACGTGTTTGTATTGTGTTCTTCCAGGGACCTGATTCATCGTATGTCAGCACATTACCCTCCACATCTTTGCGGAACAGAGATGGTACTTACACCGTAGGGACCGGTCTCTCCAGTACCCGGTAGATCTAGTAAATCGGTCTCGAAGTTTGCAACCCTTGTGTTGTGCTCAATGCGTTTCAAAGCATACGCGTTGGTCTCGAAGCCTCCGCTGCCAGCAAGCACTTTATTTGCCCACATGTTGTCGAATTCGTGGAATTCCTTCGCTTTGGCCACAAACACGTCCACTGCTTCTCTCAACGGTTGAATACTGAAAGGAGTGGTGTTAAGATCGATTTTTAGTTTTGAAGCGGTGGCTTTGGCATCGGCCTCGAGCCCGTCAATGATGGGAGTCATGGCTGCGGCATAATCATTAAGGTCGAAGGGGATGATTGGTCGATCTGCGATTTCCAGAATCAAGAGCGCCCATACTGTGGCAAGTGTCTTGTGGTACTGGAATTCAGGATCTCCATATTTTGTCATCCATTCGTATGTTTCGTAACAGGAATGGTATGGGTATCCATTTTCTTCACCTTCGAAGCCAAAGTCGAGCGATGAGGTGCCAGACATGTATTGGAAAGGAACATAGTCAGATCCCGCGCCCAGGCCCTCGATTTGTTGATTTTGCTCGTCATAGATTTGGCGTAGGGTAACGTTCTTGTACGGATCCGCAACTCTATCAAGGACGTGCATCAGGGCCTTCTTATACAGCGGTGATCCAGCAACTCTGAAGTTCGGGCCTGAAACTCCTACATCGACGTTGAGGTATCCAACACCGTGTTTACGCAAGTAATCCATGTTATCTTCAACAAACTCGGTAGAACCAACAAAGTTGTACTCCTCGGCATCCCAGGAGACAAATTCGATAGAGCGGAGCGGTCGCCAGCCAAGTTTTATGAGGTCGCCAAAGATGGTCACGACTTCCATAAGGACGGCTTGTGAACTTCCAGAGTCAACACTGCCGAAGCACCAGGCGTCGCGGTGAGAGCCGACAACCAACTTTTTGCCTGGTGTCTCCATGCCTTGAACCAGACCATGGACATTCCAAATTCGTTGTTTGGCGGTATGGAAGTTGTTGTTGACGAGACGAACTTCTGGAGAGTTCTTGTCGCCAGTCCACCATTCGACATCGGGCACACCACCTTCCCAGTCGCTGGAAGGGACCTTTTGGCCGTGTCCTCTAAGAGCTTGTAGAAGGTGCTGAGCATCTCGCCAAGCCAATGGAAGACTGGGTATGTATGGTAGTCCATAGATGTCTTCGTTAATGTCCTGGTGTTTAGTGTCTTGATGCGAGGGTTGACCAGGTGTAAGAGGATCTCCCACGACCAAACTGGAAAGAGCGACAGATCCACGTTGTACAGAGTCGCGCGGTCTCCATGGACCGTGGGGTATAACAGGACCTTTCAAGAAACCATCTTCCTTGGGATCCGAGTAGATGAGACAGCCAGCAGCTCCAGCCATTTCAGCAGCCTTGACCTTCATACCACGGTCTGCCTCCGTGTGGTAGTATCGTACCAGAACAATAGCTCCCTTCAAGTCTACACCCATATCTGTCAGACGCTGAAAATCCTCACGTGAGCCTCCATTGGCATATACAAGGTGGCCAGTGACATTTCCATTTTTGGAATAACCATGCCAATTGAGAGTTTGTTGTTTTTCCCTCCCTGACTCTTTGAAGACCGACTCTTCCTCAAGTAAAGCAGTCCACCTCCTGTCTGCTGGAGACACAATCTCAACATTGCGGCCATCGGGCTCTGGGTAGTTCATGTAGACAAAGTATTCGTGCATCCTGACATCATCCAAGTGTTGAGCACGCCAGTTATCCTGAACCCATTCGGCCAGCACAAAGTCGCCTTCTGTACCAGCGACGTGATCGTACGAAGTGATATACTCGAGGTATTCGGCAATGCGATTTGGTGATAATGAAGCCTGCTCTTGTACTCTGGCGCGCACGCTCTCGGGATCGTAGTGTTGGGCCATATGTCCAGCATTTGGTATGACATCAAGGGCGAAGAGGACGTATATCAGGGCAGCTATGGTAAAAAGACCGAACAGGCGGGCAATGGTGGGCAAACTGAGACGAAACTCTTCGGGTATCGTAGGGAGGCGCTGGCGTAGCGACGAGAAGTTTGGCATTGAGAAGCGGCGGAACGAGGGTAGGTTGCTCCAAGTATGTGATAGCTTGCCGAACAGTTGACCTCGCCGCCGGCTCGTTGCTGATTCGGGCTCAAGTATTTCCATCTCTTCCATGTCTCGCCGTACCGCAGCTTCTTCATCGTCGTCGCTTTCGCCATTCACCTCGGGTAGGTATAAATCGCTGTCCTCGCTCGGGCGTGGTGACTCGGCGGTGGGTGCTCGGTATGCGCCATTGCGGGCTGATTGACTGGGCTGTCTCCCTAATAGACCTTGTCGTTCTGTTTCGTCGCTTGTTTCGTTTGCGGTGTTCGAGGATGAAGGACGAGAAGATGTGGCCTCTTCATATGAAGGAATAGGGAGATGAGCATATTTCTTGTAGGGGTCTTCGCCGCTCATGGCGTCGGCGACTCGGGAGACAAGTTGGACCTATAGCGTGTTTGCCTGTGGCGGAGGTTGAAAGGAGCGTATTCAGGCTGCTTGTCAAAGTCGAGTATTGTTATGATATCATTCTGTTTATTTCGACTTGTTCCATTCACCCCGGTCCTTTGGTCGTATCGTGCTGGCAGGGGAGCATTGGACAGTTGGTTTGTTCAATTAGCACCTCATCACTTATCGGCCTTGGGGCCAAGATGGGGAAGGGGCATGCGTCAGCTTCCGTTGCTTCCACCCAAATCCTGCTCCACTTCAACGTATCATCCTTCGTATTGACTCGTATTCAATTTCATCACTATCTCACTTCTTGCTAACAATCCCACTCGCACAAACCACAACTTTGCTCAACACCTTGACTCCTAATCCAAGCAGCCATACTATCGCCTCGAACGAGAATCCAAGCAAAAATAATATACCTCGAGTCACCCTTGGCAGCTTCTCCTTGTTCTCCCCAACTTCCTTCTTACCGACCTTCTTGCTTCGCCGCCAGCGGCTTTTCGCAGTCTCCTTCTGAAGGTCACTCTTGGACTTCGCTGTCAGTGGTGGTGCCTCAAACGTCTCTGCTTTCTTCTTCGTCTCAGCCATCCCACTTTCGGCAAAAGCAACAGCCAGCACTGCACAGATTGCGCTGTCGATCATGTACTTGCTTTGAAGCCTTCTGAATGAGGCTACATCAACTTCCAGCGTCTCTGTACTCAAGTCAAGATAAACGACTTTTGAAGGCTTTGCCATTGGTTTGTCAGGATTCATCGGCTGATGCAGAGTAATTCTTGCACTGCTCTTCTTTGTAAAGTCAAATGGCCTATCAACAGAGATGGCGAAAGTGCCAGCACATGGATGTCGCAGCTCGTAGCTGTGTTGTTCAACACCATATGCGCTAACTCCTAGAGGGATGCGGACAAGTTGACAAGACTCATGCGTCTTGGCTTCGGCTACTGCATCGAACGCCAGTTGCGCGGCTTGTGGTGATGATGCTCGAGGGTCATATTGTGCGATAACATTGGCCCGACGTGTCGTAGCCGCTGCCTCAAGTGCGCTCAATGCCGCTTGTTGCGGAAAGATGGTCGTTTCGTGCTTTACATCCTTGTGCAGAGTCGCCACATCTAACTGAGCAACAGGCACAATAACAGTTCGGGCAGGATGATGCCTTCGAACTGTGAGTTCGCTCGAAGCATCCGAAGGAGACACAGAGTACAGTGTACGGCCCTCTCGTGATCCAAATCGTACTTCAGCCGCTGTCGAGCCGACCCCGATCTCATCTCGGTGCATAGTCAACTTGATCTTCTCCGAGTGGAAAACTCCATTCTGGCCATTAGCAGCATTCCACAGAGCTTGCAACTGAGAGAGACCTGCAGCAGGCGTTGGTGAGGTAGGCGATGGCACATCTGCATGAGTCTGACAATGATATCTTGCATTGCGCTCGAGACTCGGTCGAGGTAGATTTTCAGTTGGGTAGTATCGCTGCTGCGAAAGTGGTAGACTTGGGTCATACTCTGGAAACATCGACTTGATAGGTGGTGACACGACTTTTGGTTGGGCTGAGGAGCCACTATTGGTCCTCACTAACGTTGGACCTGAGAAGTCGGAACGTGTCTCGCTGGAATTCGAATCGATTGATATCTTGCGAATTGCAACAGCCGGTCTCCTTCCAGTGCTTGCAGCTGTCTCTGACTGTAGTGAAGAACTCAACATGCTGTTGTTGTCGGGAGAGCAATTTGAACTAAGGCTCGAGAAGGAAGGTCTTGCATCTGACTCAGGCGATTGCGCAGACGTGGGTTTCGAGACTTGAGGAGTAACCTGCAGAGCAAGTCCTCGAAGTTTTCCCGAAGGATACAGCTTCGAACCGAGTACAGGCGATGGAGTGTTGCGTCTTGTGTGAACATCTTCAGCCTGTCTCAGACAAGACTTTGGAGGTATTGAACAAAGAGGCGATGGAAAGAGTGATAATGTCTCGGAAGCCATGGTTTGAAAATAATGTTGCAGGCCTGCTACAAATCGAAGGAAAAATCAAGTATGGACTGCCACAAATAACTCTTGATGTTGTTGAACCTACCTCGCTCAACTTATAATCGTTTGCCAGCAAGACGGCCGTGAAGTTATAGCCGCTGGCAAATCGATAGCGTGTGCATGATTGCTTGGATGCATACTTGAGAGCGATTCATATGCAGTGCACAAGCGTCCAGCATTGAAAACAGCCATTTATTGGACGGTTAAAACCATATTGGTTGCGATGCGTTGCCATTCTTGGTTCTTCGAATAAGCGCCCTGCTCAGAAGTCGCGTGGAAGCGCTGAGGCTAGCAATCACGTCTCCACTCGCGACACGCCTAGGATTGTGGGCGAGAAGTAACTTGCAACCTCAGTTGACAGTTGTTGTTTGTCCCAGTTAGCGAACTTTGCTAGAAATATGTTGGTGTATCTCGAAATTCTCCGAGATTGTTGATTACGATCGGAGATGGGAGACCTTGATATTCTCTATGTGTTCTGATGCTCGTGTTACACGTAAAATCATCAATCCTGTCTCCTCTCTTGCTTCTGCATGTTCTCATTCTCTCATGTGCTTTCTCGACGGTATCTGAGACTAGTAAAAACAGATCTGGCGTCTGCTGAGAAGTGTGGCCCTTACAGTGACGCTTCGCTCTACAAAACTGTACTGCACAACTGATTAGGTGTAAGACGAGTGCTGTATCAAGATACAGTCACATATAAGAAAGCAGTATCGTTGATCGGGCCAATTGCCGCCAGAAGTAAATCTGACAGGCTGAATCTAGCCATCCAAGCTTGTGTGATCTTCTACTGGTTGTAGCTCCCACTGAATACAATCTTGATAGAGTGTACCGCCCCATGTTACTGGGACGTTGATAAAAGTATTAGAGCCTTTTGAAATGATCAGTCTGGTTACTCCAACTCCTCGCAAGATACAATGACTTACATGAGGAATATACAGATCCAAGAATTGTCCTGCAAGTATCCATGGCGTCAGATTTCGAAAAATCCAGTGTTGGACAGCCATTATCGTCGTCATCGTTCCATTGCGCAGAGAGCTGGATCGGATTGCCACTACGAATCGCCCCAGACTGTCCGTTAGGGAAGTAGAGGTCACCCGATGAGGTGTTCTGCCCAGGGCTAAATACCTTGCCCTGGGATTGCATGCTCTTACAAAAGTCGTTCACAGCTTCCACAGCGAACTCAATGGAGACTTCGTAAGTCCCATCGGTTTCCGTGGCGACAGGCGCTGAATTGCAAGTTGCAGTGCCTATTGACGTGGTCATGGATGCTTCAGTTGACATGGTCGAAGACATCTTTGTCGTCGTTGCAGCCGCATCAGTTGACGTTGTCGATGCGACCGACGACTCTAGACTTGTGGCTGCCGAATCCTGTCCCAGATCATTGTCAGAAGTATCACCACCAATGGGGAAATCCGAAACGTCCCAGCCTGGAACTACACAATCTTCTCCCTCTTCCTCTTCTTCTTCCTCGTCTTCTTCCTCTTCATCTTCATCTCTCCCGTCTTCATCTCCCTGGTCTTCATCGGCTGGTGGTGGCACAGGAGTTATAGACGCCGTTTCGGTGGGTATAGCTGAGGTTTGAATGGATTCTGTTGTTGCATCAATGGTGCTTGTAGCCTCTTCAGTCTTGTCCGGAGGCTTTGTCGAAGTTGGCGTCGAAGACAATTTTGGCGTTGCACTGGGTGTAGCAGTCGGCTTGGCACCCACGACATGGATATGAGGCAGACTCGGTAGGTCTATCGTGATCGGAGGATTGATCTTGCCAGTATCAAAGGGATCTTCGATGCTCATGGTGGGATCAACAGTCTCGGATAAGTCATCAATAGTGATTCGTGACCATTCAACTCTATCGGTGGTGAAAGGTGGGAACGTGACCGTCTTGTCATCTTCTGTCACGGGGTCCCTGATGATAGTTGTAGGCGTCGGCAGTGTGTATGGAGGCAGAACTACCAAGCAAGGGATCGAGGTACATGTGATGACTGGTGAGCTGACTTCCCAGACGTCACTCAATGTAATGTATGAGCCATTAACAGTAGACGAAGTGGACGTAGTAGATGATGCCTGTGAGGAACCAGACTCTGTTTCAACGTCACTGGAAGTCGTCGTGGTACCTTCATCACTCGTCAAGACCGATATGATCATGGGTTCAGTGGTCAAAGTTGACGTGAGATCAGTCGAAGTATTGTTCTGATCACTTTCGGTCGAGAGCAGAGACGAGGAACTTCTGCTGGCTACAGTAGTTATTGGGACAGGCTTCGTGTTATCGGCAGTTGAGTTTGTCGTTGACAGGCTTGTCGTCGTGTTGAGCTCTTTAGCGGACGTGCTCGAGCTGAATGAAAGATTAACAGGCGAAGAGGTAAGAATCGAAGTGATGAAGCCTGACGACATCCCGAAGAGTTGCATTGTGGTATTGCTTCCGACAGGATTTGTCCAGAGTGAGGTCGAGCTGCCGGATGCTTGGACGCTGGTGACGTTTTGTACAGTCTGAGTAGTGTTGAAGCCATCCCTCCTGCTGTAATGGTTTCGAGATTGATTTGGGGCAGCAGAAAGACGTCGGCGAGAGTTGGTGCCGTTCAAAAATACCTCATAGACATATTGAGCATTCTCACGTGAAGATTCTCGTTTTTGGTTGGGAGTTGGGGCCGTGTATTCAACCCACGTCACTCTATCATCAGACTCGGCATTCTTCGTTCTGAGTTGATATGAATAGAGTCCTTTCTTCTGCTTTGAGAATATGCTCTAGCTCTAGTCAGCGGATCATCAGGACAGTCAGGGAAAATATGCCGGGTTCTTGACCACGTGTTGTATCCGCATGAGACAACGAAAGCTCCGTGGCCATTCATCCTAGCAACTGACTTTGCGATATATCAAGGTGCTCAATGAACTGTGTAGACATCCATGATCACCTTCAACAGATAACAGCAGCTCCCGTTGAACTATCGTCTTCGGGATGGAAAGGGTTCGGGAAACACTTACCGATATCTCGCTCAATGCTTTTGCTTGGAAGTCTTGATCGCTTTTTGGAAAAGCAAAACGAGTCTCCTTTCGGAACTTGCTCAGCGCCGCCGCACCTTTCAATTTCGCTTTTTGATACAGTAAAGCTGTTTCAGGGTTGTCAGACGCCCACCTTTTAAACCATTCCGTGTTCTTTCCACATGCTGAGTTTTGAGGTGCGCAGTACGTTGTGCCTGCAAAGTTCAGTCCAGCGTTGGCATCTCCAGTCAATCCGATCCCGCCTTGGATCGTAGTCGCGAAGGGAAACTCGTCACAAGTATACATCAGTCCACTTGGCATATCTTCATAGTCCGCAATCTGATAATTGGTTTTCTCTACCGTCTTTTGAGTATCCTTGTCAAGCACCTGCTGTTTGCCCGATGGATATTTCAGAAGGTTGGGTATTTCGATATTTTGGGGGTTTACTGGGTCTCTGCTCATGTCCGTGACCCAGATTGGTGGCTGATCCGGCTCGGGACAGATGTGTGTATCCTTCCAGTTCCCGGGGCAGATGCCAGGAACTCCCTTTTTTCCTCCCCTGCGAGCGGTCGCTCTTTTATGATCGGAATCATAGACCAATTCCATCTGAAGGGTACCTGCGTTGGCTCCAGGTTGGGTCTTCTCGACATTGTTGCAAATGGCTCTCGCGTAATGGCAGTTGTACCAAACTGTGGGTGCTGGATTCAGGGTTGATACTGAAGTCGACGCTTGTCCGTCCTTCTCAGACCACCAGGCTGTTCTAACGCCATGGTTGACCTCAACTCTGGTCCCGCGGCTGTATTGGGCAAATGTGGTATGAACAAACAAGGCCAACAGTAGCAATACCTATCAGACATCATCATAAGAAGACAGGGATCTAGTGGATATTGAAACAGCGTACCGTAAAAGACCGAGAGATCATGATTGCTTTAGCGAGTATTCTGAGAAATCCAATATTACTTGAGGCTTCAATGCTTCTGGTTCAAGTCCAATCATATCGATTATATATAGCGTACTGCCTGTAATAATTGGCGAAGGATTCAGGACTTTGAAACTGCTAGGGTGTATGTGTCGTTTGTAATCGCACCCATAATTCGCGCGGCGCCTAGTATCAACAACCACCCTCGTTGACAGAGCGAATATTCGAAAGAAATATTGGTTTCCTTGCACGTCCCAATCGGAAGGACATCACGGTCTCTCATCTTGATCTATGCAGGAACCGGGCATTTGTAAGCGACATCCTTGCAAGTCGATGCCGAACTTGATACTCATCGATGTAAGCCTGTCAAGTAGCCGCGAGGATGCTCGAAGCTACCTGAGGGAGTAGAAGAATCACACCACTGTTCTGCACACCATGAACAAATCTGGTCGTGACTAGTGTCGCATGAAGACGTTAGAGTGAGGGCTTACCGCTCACTGAAACGACATACCTGGTGCCTTAACTCTTGAAAAAGAGGATCAACTGTGCTTGAACCCCTAACATCTGTGCGTCGATCCGGCGATGTAAGCGCCTGACTTACAAGACAGAAATCCCAACGATCAGCCAAGCAAAGCGACTCTCGAACCATAGACTAGTGTTGCCAGTGTACTTGGTACTGTGAATGAGCCCATGAACCAATGCAGTATTGTTTGAGAGCGCGTCAAGATCCTTGCCATGAAGCTTGGTTTGCAAGCGCCAAATATTCACAACTTCATCTTCACACCTAAGACCGATGTGCCATAGATCCCACATGTCGAAAGCACTTACAAAAGTCGCGATCGATGGTTTGTTGAATCTTGCGCGTGGTTCCGCAGATGCGTGTTCGAATGATGCCCCCTCCAGCACATGATCGTCCGAGATGAAACGCTTGGCAAATTGACAAGGGTCTTGCCATAAAACACATCGTGACATGGAACCATACTTAACTCATCCTTATTCGAATCTGATTGAATGACCGCCTTGATGCAGACATGGCTTCGACTCTGACTCCAGAGATCCTCCAGATAATATTCTGTCAACTGCGTGAGCATTACGGTCCGAAAGCTCTTCTTCCGTCAACGCTGGTGTGTCAACATTGGAGGGACGTTGGTTGCCGGACTCTTTGTTCACACGTTGTGCTCACGAACAGCAATCTTGCGCGCTTCCTTGATTGCGCGATCAACTATCCCGAGCACTTGACTGCGATCAAGTCGCTGACCCTCGAAATTCAGGCAACCGTCCTTCCACGTTGGATTGAAAATGCTGGAACTCGGGAGTCTTACAGAAAAGATGGTCTGGAAGAGACAAAGGTGTTGTTAAACCAACTCAAAACGGTCGCCGAAATGATTCTGCCAAACGCATCGAGTTTGCATACGTTTTCATTGTTTGTTTCCATGCCAAAAATCACCAGAAGAAGACCTCGTCTTGACTACATTGGCTTCAGGATCGACAACGAAGTACTTGGTCAATTACTGCGAGCACTACCGACAAGCTGTGTAAATCTTGAAGTCGACACCGATATGTCGAATTGGTCCTCCCAGAAGAAACCACATCACGTCTGCTCAGACCTCTGGCATGTGCTGCCACAGATGCGCCATGTCAAGCTCCGTATGCAGTCACTTTGCAGCAGGATGCTATACATCAACCATGAAGATCCCGATGATCGACTTGCTCAGCCCGACATGACACGTCTCGAACAACTAGATGAGCAGCGTATTGTAAAGGCAGATCAGCTGCGTACGCTGAATATCTGCACTCGCTCGCGAGAAGGTGCTGGTCCTCTCTTTGTTGAATGCGATTTTCTACAGAGAAATCTAGATCTAGGTGTTCAAGAGCCGTGGGGCCGCCCATCGACTGGCAGAACACTAGCTCTAGCCGCGAATCTTGCCGCAACATACAGAGCTGGTGGTTTTCCAAACGCCGTACAAGTTGAGATATCCCAGCCATGGTTCGGAATGGAAGATGATGAAAACGACCCTCAACGGAAAGAACGAGCGCAAGTCTACCGTAACGTGATGTTGTCGCGTGATTGTATGGCGGACAATACTTTACCACAACCTCTAAGACGGATCGACGGAGATGGCAAAATGTTAGCATTCTACGATAAGACTGATACCTGCATGATTGGAAAGGCTGGTGACTTGTTACACTATGCAGAATACTCAGTCTGGCGTGAAACATTGTATGGAGCTCGCATGCCTTGTTGCACCGACTCTGTACCTTCAGATGTTAGGCTTCAAGCCACACCATCGTTCATGTCGAGAGAAGAATGGCAGAAGCAATCCGAATTTGTCATGATTGGTTGGAGAGAGGGAGAAGATCACGGTAGAAAGGTCGCAAGAGTGGTGCCACTGCCTGGTGCTGATGCGGGCTTCGAGATCGACAAGATGCCATTGTTAGAAGGCACACAGATGAGTGGTCAGATCATCGAGTATTTCGGAGGCTACCTTTGAGGGTCTCTGGTATACGACTGCTGTGAACAAGTTCAAAACATCAGTCAGGAGATTTCCAATTCACTACGACTTCTCAATCCTGGTGGGCCCGCACGTGAATTCAGCATTGGCGTACAGGAAAATCTTTTGAATCTATCAACAAAGAGACAGAAGTACAATTGATTCTCTTTGTTCGATGTATTCTTCAGGAGAGATCGATGTGACTTCCGGTCTTTATTCTCCTTCTCTCGAGTTTGCAATTGCCGGATCCGGCAGGCATATTCTTTCTATGCATCAAAGCGCGAGACTTTAGCAACCATGTAAACAATCTTTCTGCACATATCTTGTATATCGTGTCTTCCGTCATGGCGAGACAAAAGCGTCCTCCAGTCAGGCGGTCACGCCCCTCTGTCGCTGGCCCCGATGCAATCGACCCAGGCCCTATAGTCTCAAGATACATGCTCGAAGATCTGAACAAAGAAGGCTACATCAACTATCCCGTGGAGACGACAGTCACTGGACTCGATCTCGCCTTCGGATATGGTGCAATCATAAGACAAGCGGAGGAGCAGAGGGGTCATCACCATCCTGGAGAGCCATACCACATCCATCCATGTCTACAACGCAGCCAATGGAAAGCCATGAACGATGATGAAGATTGGGAAGCTATCTTGCCGTCTATTGAGTTGGCTTCGCGGTTCTTGGATGATCTTGCAATCACCCCTTTCTTCGCTGGCTTGGCAGGCAACAATGTCAGGAAGCTAGATGATCCTACACATCAAAAGACTCACAATTGGGTGTTTGCCCAGTGGGAATACGATGACACGGTTGGTAGGGAGAACATTACTGCTACTTAAAATGCTTTGTTCGCGATGATGGCATTCAGGCAATGGATTGTGCTGGGATCTGAGGAGGTGGTGGATCTTCATGGTATGGCAGCATGCTGAATGTTCGAGCCGTCGACCTACACTTAGAAACTTACTAGTGGCGTTTGAACGAGTGATGCTGAACAAAAATGCGTGATCGCCCTGGATTGAGATTCTACGCATACTGCGCGAAGATTCTGGATACGGAGCTTAAAGATGGTCCCAACCTTGGTTTCCAGGCACCGACGAGAAAATAGCAAAGTTACGTACCAGGTTCCTGCTTGCACAAACCATGATACACGAAGTCACACACTGTGCCTGGAGAATATGCGCTCTTGACACTGGCAAAATTGAGCTTGCTGAACCATATCTATGCGATCGACCAACCAACGAGCTTGGTTACGAGATCGAGAAAATGATCTTTTCATCTGTGATCAGAGCCAATGGGAGAAGGAGACATGTTTCTGCACCATATGGACTAATGATTGCGCGTTATCCAGGTCCCAAATCATGCGGATCGTGAAGACGCGGACCTTAAGCTATTTCCAAGAGGCCAGCCTTGCGATTGGAACCAGGTCTGGCGCACCGAATATCCAGTTCACATGGGTCTCTGCAAGAGGATTTTCACGAAAGACTTCTGGGATGGAGATGTTGCTAGATATGGCCTCGCCGCTTGTCGTCCAGAGAGGAAGAAAGGAGTCATGTTATATTACAAGATGATTGAGAAGACCGATCCACTGGAGGCTGGCTTGAATCCAAGGTCACTGGCTTTGCATCAGTTGACTTGGATCGTAGAAACCAAAAGATAAGAGCTGCTGTCAAGGCTGACGATATCGACAGAAGTGATACAGAGGACGAGGGTTCAGATGGCTTTGTTGTCAGAGGCAGGCACAAGAAGCTTCTTGAATTGGTCGAAGCAGATGGAGATGGTGATGTAGAGACGACTGACACTTGTTTAACACTCAGCTAGGCAGAAACTGATAGGGAGATTGAAGGACACAATGCCGATTCTTTTGTTTGTTCGCTGTGACATAAATTCTCTGTCGTTCAGAAACGCATTGTTAATGATTACTGTTCGCAATTGTTCGTTGAGGGTGTAGGGAAGCTTCCATGAGATTTCAGAAGCCGCACGGCTGGACATCGCCCCAGAACCTGACATGAAATTCATGTCGACCGATAGAATTTCAAAAATCGCAGAAACCACTTAACTTTGCTTGTCGCAGAATCGCGAAGCTCTCGAATGAGTAGAGGAGCGGTAAATTGAGGTATATATTGCAACATCTTGCGACCGTTGACATCCAACAGCCACAGAAAGCCTCAGCTTTCAAATCTTCCGTGGCGCAATTTGGCTAGCGCGTTCGACTGTTAGATTTGCTTCGGCAGATCCGCTATCGAGAGGTTGACAGTTCAAGCCTGTCCGGGAGAGCTCCTGTTTTGCTGTTTTTGTTTTCCTATGCATCTACAGACATCGAAGTCTTTTTTTCGCACTGCCTTGTTGCATGCAAAATCATAACAGTCGAACGCACCAGCCAATTGCGCCACGGAAGATTTGAAAGCTGAGGCTTTTCTCTAGGATTCATTGTCGTAAACGACAACGAACAAGTTGGTGCGACTTTTCCGTGTGATTCTCAATCAAAACTGGTAGTTGCAGTCATGCGTCCTAGACTTCCGAGAATACGTATCGTGAATATATACGTGGTTAGAGATATGAACGAATGACTGAGCGCTTCGGTGATACCCCTCTCTCTGAGTACAATGGCCTCGGCAATGGTTGTGAGAAGGACGCGATCATGGTTGACTCAAATATGTCGCTGCTTTCACCATGTCATTTGAGTGTCTGATCATGTACGTGCAATGAATGATATACAATTGACACCGATCAAGCCTTCTCATCCGGTTGCGATTCAGCCAGCCTCTAGCAGTCATTGTGCAGCACCCAGTACAGCAACACAGGAAGCAGAGCAACCCCGAACCGACATTGTCGAACAAAATCTTGCCCCTTCAGATAAAGGTATCGCAGCATGGCGACTTTTATTAGCTGCTTTTATCTTTGAAACCTTATTCTGGGGCTTTCCTCTCTCCTTCGGCGTCTTTCAAGACTATTATTCCAAGACACCTGAATTTGCAGGTAATGCATACATCCCGGTCGTGGGCACTGTGGCCTCAGGGCTTGGGTACCTAGGTGCTCCGGTGATCATGTTATTGATTCAGCGCTTTCCATGGTATCGCCGCTATATGATATGGTTTGGATGTTGGTTCCCATTTCTCATGCTTTAGAAAGCCCTTACGCATGTACTGACTGTTATCAAGGGCCCATCTGTGTTCTTGGCCTTGCACTAGGTTCTTTTGCCACCTCTCTGGAAGCGTTGATTGCATCACAAGGTTAAGCCTACGGATTTGGATTCTTGGTCTTCTACTATCCTATTCTATCGATGGTGGACGAGTATTGGATCGCAAAGAGAGGAATGGCTTATGGAATGCTCTGTGCTGCAAGTGGTTTCTCTGGGTGCTTCATGCCATTTGTGCTTCAAGCTTTGCTGGACAAATATGGATTCAGGATTACTTTGAGAGCTGTCGCGATTGCGCTGACAGTGCTCACTGGTCCTTTGATCCCATTGTTCAGAGGGCGTTTGCCAGTGTCCAGAAGCACCGCAAGCAGAAAAATTGACTGGACATTCCTCCGCATGCCATCCTTTTGGATGTACTCCGTGGCAAACATTTTGCAAGGCTTTGGATACTTCTTCCCAGGGTTGTACCTACCTTCGTATGCGTCATCACTTTCACTCAATCCTCACACTGGAGCAATGTTACTGGCCGTGATGAGCATCTGCCAAGTCTGTGGTCAATTCACATTCGGCATACTCTCTGACAAAAAGGTATCAGTCAACACACTGGCTCTCTTGTCAACAGCAGCGGCAGCAATCTCAGTACTGGGGATCTGGAAAGTGGCATCTTCTCTGCCGGTTCTCATTGTCTTTGGTATTCTATATGGATTCTTCGCCGCAGGCTTCACGGCAATTTGGGCGAGGATAACGAGTTCGGTGACAAATGATGTCGGTACCGCACCTGTGATATACGGCTTGTTGAACTTTCAGAAGGGCTTGGGCAATGTGCTTACAGGACCTATTGGAGCTGCTTTGATTGGCAGGAACGCTACCACTGCAAGTGGTATCTTTAGATGGGTTATTCTATTCACAGGAATATGCATGGCTGGCAGCTCTTGCGCAACCTTGTTGCAGCGTCTGAAGTCTATCAAGTAGTATTTGGACGCAAGATTGCAGCGTGTAAGAATGTGAACATCTGATGATATGATCGAAAACCATGGATGAAGGTAGCACCCTGACTCAAACAACATCTCGATGATCGAGAGGATACCAATGCTGTACATATACATGACTAATAAGCACCCATTTTTTTTTTGCTAGGTCGTGATCCTTCGTCGATCACTGGGCCCAATGCCTCACATGTACCTTCTGTGCGACCTCTCCCACTTTATCGCCTGTAACACCTCACGAAACACCTCCAAGAATGTCTTCATCCTGGAAAGAAAGCCAACAAAGTGATCCTCACCGGCAAGATCGTGAGCATCAAAGCGCGATAATCACGATCCACACTCTGCTGAGCGACAATGCTACAACACCCGAGCAAGCGGCCAGAGACATCACGTCAAGCTACGAGCCTCGTCTTCTAGCCGGCAAGACCGACTTGTGCTCGCTGTGGTATCTGATCATGTCTGCAATACTACATCCAGAGACCACAGACCAAGACCTTGAGACACTTGTCGAGATGCTTGTACATATGTCACGCTCGCCTGATGTTGTAGTCGACGGCAAGATTGTCAAAGAAAATGGTCGAGAATACTGGCATGACCTTCCCGAACTAAGTTTCTGGTTCATGGAATACGCGATGAGTGAGTCTCGGCTGGCTTGTTGCAGATCCATGCTCTGTACTAATATAATGAACAGGCGTAAACACTGTCGAAAGTATCGACGAAGGACGAACCCAGATAACGTGGTCCGGACAAGCAAGACGATTCGAAGTGGCCAATCGCTTCGGAGCAATATTGCTACACCACATCGATGCAAATCATTCCCCGAGGGTCTCTAGAGGGTTCCGTCAATTGGCTCTGGAAACGATCCGAGACGCATTGGAAGTCAGCATTGAATCATCAGCTCAAGTCCGACGAGCAGGTATCTACATTCCTGCAGCTGCTCAATGGTTTCTCCATGCCAGTCCGCAAATCTGGCAATTTAGCAAGAACAAAGAAGGATATGAAGGTGAGAAAATTTGGAAGGAATGGCTTGGTGGCAGTGATGGGAGTAAGCCTACATGGGTCGGGGACGATGGATTTAGCGTTGAAAGGTGGATATTTTGGAAAGAGCAACTTGTGGAAGTGCTGGAGGTTGAAGAGAGAGGTGGACGTGTTGTTGACAATATTGTCGATCATGCGAAGAGAGCGATAAAGGCTATGAACGATGTTGAGCAGGAGAATGCGTAGACCTCGTAGTTGACGCCATTCCTGCTCAGCTTGGATACTTGATCGTTTGGTTTCTATCGTGATGCGCAGCAAGTACGAACAGACCGCGCCCGGTGTCGATGGTGGAAGGCGGTGTGGCAGATCCTCGGGATCCAGACGATAAGAGATAAGGATCTCCCAAGCTTTCGACTTCGTCATTGGGTTACAGAAAAAAAGTTGTCGCATTCAATCCACCGAGTCACTCAGACCGCAACACATACAAGATGCCTACTGAACTTGAAGAGGTGCGTAGCTTCAGGTCCCCAACTTCAGACCCCCTGCTGATAACTACCGCAGCTCGTCGAGTTCCTCCACCATGGAAACACCCAAATCCGCCAGATCGGTATGCCAACCAACCTCGAACACAACCTCAGCACAGCACAAAGAATACCTCTAACAAGTCCCAACCAGCGGTCGAGAACCTCGTCGGCTTCTCCACAGCTCAACCCTCTCTCTTCAAATACCAAGACCTCACTCCCATCAAAGACATGAAACTGCTAGTCCGCGACTATCCACCCATCGCAAAAAACGTCCTCACAATCCTCGTAAACATATCCTCAGACGAGCAAGTTCTGAACGCTCTAGCCACCGACGACCAATTCCTCGAGACACTCTACTCGCGCATCACAAACGCAAAAGAGGAAAATGCAGATGAGATGGCTATGCTACTGGCCAACCTTACAAAACATGAACACCTCAAGACATTGCTCACGGTCAAGCGCGAGGTTCCCAAACCGCTTTCGACTTCGCCGTTTGCGATTGATCAGTTGTTGGATTTGTTTGTCAAGGGCCAGGAGGGCAGTTATAACCCCAAGGCAAACTTCGACTATCTGTGTTACGTGTTTGCGGATATTTCAAAGTACGAGGAGGGAAGAAAGCATTTCTTGACTCCAAGGGAGGAGGATGAGAATATTGTGCCGTTGTCCAAGTTGATTGTGTTTACCGAACACAAGTCGACGATTAGAAGGAGGGGCGTGGCTTCCACGATCAAGAATGCCTCGTTTGATACGGATTCACATGTCAAGATGTTGTCGACGGATGAGACCGAGGGTGGTCTGAATATCTTGCCATACCTTCTGTTGCCCTTGATGGGTCCTGAGGAGTACGAAGACAAAGACATGGACAGCATGCCTGAGGAACTGCAACTCCTGCCCCCGGACAAGACTCGCGAGCCCGAAACCGACATCCAGATTATTCACCTCGAGACTTTGCTTTTGCTCACCACAACAAGAGAAGGCAGAGACTTCATGAGGGAAAAGAACGTATACGCGGTCATCAGAGAGTTGCATTTGCACACTGAGAGCCCCGATGTGCAGGAGGCTTGCGACAGAGTGGTGCAGATTATCGCAAGAGATGAGGAAGGTGAGGGTGAGGAGCCACCGCAACCGCCGAAGATTGAGGAGCTCGATGAAGAGGATGAGTTGGTCGAGGTTGCCTAGAAGACTAAAATCAGAGTTTCTTGAGTGACCAAATTATTTGTTCGGAAACATGTGGAACATTTGCTTGCATTCGTAAACGAGATTGGCAGGACAAGACAATTGTCTTGCTCGCTCTGATATACCGCTGCTACATATCTTATGCAAGGCTGTGATGCCCTGGGTACTGTCCAAAGACAGCAAAGATACAATCTGGAGATCGGAAATGACAGGCAGTGTGTTATGTGTCAGGAACACGCAACGAACATTGGTGTTTTACTCGTTCATCGTCGCAACCGACAAATAGATATTCCAACGAAAGAGAGTGTGAGCAGCATAACCCGCTGCTTCCAGAAGAGACAGGCACATCGCAATCTCACGATTTTCACACCTGACCTCCGCAATAACCACCAGGCCCAGTCATCGAGTCCAGAACGATAGAACACGTCCCTTTTGTTTGTTTTGTGAATTTTGTTGTCCATTTGTGATAAGAGTTGAGAAGTAGCCGCCATCCCAAGCAAAGCTGCTGCAGCAAGGAAAGACTCATGAGTGTCACAATTTGGGGTCAAAACGAGATGAGAGTGTTGTTCAATCTGGGCATAGAGTCGAGTTATCGAGGCATGATGTCTTTTTTGTTGAGTTTCTTTGGTTCGATCATGTCGTGAGGACAAGCTCGAGATGTCTTGATCTTCGAAAACGTGATCTGAGGTCGAGATACCAAGACAAAGGCCTATCAAGTGGCGTGAGGAGAAGAGCGAATGCTACAAAATCAGTTCAAGTGTTAGCAAAAGGAGGTCTCGAAGATAGTATTCACAGGGTGGCAGAACAGCACAAGAAGAAATTCTCAAACTTGCCCCTTCAACTCTGTCAAATCATCGATATGGTTTGCCATGGCGACAAACAGATCGAAGAACATGCGTCCACCACTCTCCATCTCCACTTGCATGGTACCACTACGCTTGAAAGTGTTGCGGCTGCGGATAATCAAAGCAAGGTAATGTGCACGAAGCCGAGAATCAGTCTCTGGCGTATTGTCGTAGGCAAATCTCGCACTGCGAAGGATAGTAGCAACCTCAATGCCTGACTGCAGTCCCTGCTTACGCAAAGACAGCTTTTTGAGTTCTTCGAGACCGAATCGCTCAGCCAGGCAATAGATAGCCGTATCACGCAAGATCAAGCCATTGACCCTTGAACTGAATGTGGTGACTGTGGTTGCATTACCCCTGCCTTGGTATTTGGGGGAGAGGGAAGAACACTCATCCACGGATTCAAGGACCCAGGTGTTTCTTCTGCGATCATGGAGCAAACGCGGGAAGTAATCGCCTTTGTACATGAATTCGAGGACGGCGGAAAAGATCTCTGCTTCTTCGTCGGGTAGGAAGATGCGACGAGATGAGGACGAAGCTGAAGTATAGAGGGCGTCCTTGGCTGCCGATCCGAAGAAGGGCGAGGTTTTGAGGACGTCTTCATGAGCAGCGAACAGGCGTTGGTCCTTGCCTACCACTATGGTGACTATGGCGCTATTGAGCCTGGGAGAGGCTTGGCTGTATAGATACAAGTCAATGGACGCGAATCAAATGACTTGGCGAATATCAAGGAGACAGGAGAAAAAATAAAGGAAAGAAGAACACCTACACAGCACTTGACGGACTGGACGGCTGAGCAAGCTGCTCGATCAACTTCAGCTTTGCATCATCACGGAAGGATCTCTTGGTAGGCTTCGTAGCCTTGCCGGCACGATCCTTGTAACCAAAAGACCTCTTCAGCATGTTGGGAAGAATTGTCACGACGAGAGGAGAGGAAGGAGAAGGCTTATAAACGAATGAAGATTGACGCGCGTAGCATGAGATAGCTATCGAGGAAACAGGCGCGCACTCGGACAAGCTTTCACAGGCAGTAACACTATCCCTTTCTTACGAAAAAGAAGCGTTACGTGTGCGAGCAGCTTGGAGGGGTGGATTGTCGGCGACCTTTTGGCGGGCGTGGAAGAAGGAAGAGAAGAGACAGAAAGTGAAAATGACTACTTATTATTGGAGGTGTCACGCACCCCTGGGCGCGAGGCTGGACGTTAGATGCAGCTGATTGGGTGCGCGTGGTATATCAGGCAGCAACCGCCATTGTCATGCAGGGATTGACGAGGAGAGATCTACAATGCGTTTGTGTTGCCTGGTAGACGGAACTGCATTATCGTAAGAGTCACGGAAGCACATGCTAGAAAGTGCAGTTGTGAAAGGAAGGGAGAAAGGAGAAAGTGAAAGTGACTTCCCTGGTGTTGTTGGTGTGAGAGCTTGAAAAGCCCCACAGTCCAGGCACCCCGCGTCACCGCCCAGAGCTGAAACACCTTGATTCATCCTTCTTGCTTCCACTTTTCTTGGTCTTCCTTTTCTCCTACACACACCCACATCTCATTCATCATGGCCAACAAGAGAATTGTTACCGTATGTTGTATGACCTATGCGCTTAAGATCAGCACTAAAACCGACAACAGGAACTTGGCCAAGTGTCGACCAACCCTGTGCCGGGCACTCAGGTGCAGCTCGCCGAAGAGGGCAACGTCTTTCTCTGGGAAGTCATCATGCAGGGCCCCGAGGACTCTGTCTACGCCGTGTGTAATCCCACGATCTCTACTCTAGTGAGCCACAATGCTGACCCGTCCGCAGAACGGCAAGTTCAAGATCGAAGTCGCACTGCCCAAGGAGTACCCCTTCAAACCACCCACCGTCTCGTTCAAAACCAAGATCTATCACCCCAACGTCAGCAACGATGACAAGGGCAGCATGTGCCTCGGCATGCTCCGTTCCGACCAATGGAAGCCACCAAACAAGATTCGCGACGTTCTGATCCTCGTCCGTCAGATCCTCTCTGCCCCTCAACCTGATGATGCCGTCGAAAGTAGAATCGCCGACGAGTACAAGAATCACCCTGAGGTCTTTGAAAAGAACGCAAAGGACTTTGTCGCAAAGTACTGCAAGTAGGATTTGGTCTTGAAGAACAAACAAGCAATCAAGGACTTTGAGGACGCAGAATCAGAATGGGAGTGGGACTATGAAGAGCTGGGCCCCAGATATGATCCAAATTCTGTCGAAGACTTGAGACACACGGGCATAGCTGGAGGAGGATGTGCATACAGCAGGGCGTTATGGGAATGGCATGCGAAAAGGGACCGCAGGGATAAAGCATAGGCGCACCATCACTCATCGATCATTCAGGGACACAATCGATTTTTTACACTGCTTTATGTTCACTGCAGTACTAACGCACAGCCGTCCTCGTATCCCACTTCCGTTCAGAATTTGAGGACAAGCAGTTCAAAACACAAGGAAGGAACGAATTACGGCGTTAAGCCGGACATAGAACTCCACCTTCCATATCTCTTCATCTCTCATCACCCTCCTTGCGACTCTTCACCATCCATAAAGTTGACATCGTATTCCATCAATCGTCTTCTTCTGTATACAACCTTTCAAAGGCTGATATTAACAAAAATAAGATGTTTGTTCGAGTCTCGAAAGACCGACTTACCATTTGTAATCATCCTGCCTCTCGTCTAGTCAACATAAACACACTTCTTGTTGTTTGAGAGTCGCATCGATATATGGTAGGCGAATGACCTTTTCATTCGCACTTTCTTTGTCTGTGAAGCAGTATCAGCGTCCATCCAGACTTTTTGTCTAGGGACTTTGTGAACATGGCTTTGTTATCGCCGCATTCGGTACAGAGCGTCCAACTGCGACAAAAGCCATTACTTTACCTTGCGAAGACCAGTCATCTCGAAAACTATCGAGCATCCTTCTCTGTGGAGCTTGCAACATGATCAAAGCTCTAGGAAGCCTCATTGCCAGCATTTTCGATTCCAGGATCGGCTTCGATGAGACTCTCAAGGTTATTGATCTCGAAGAACTAAATCGAAAGGGCTACATCAATCTACCAGATTCCAACTTCCCAGTCAACCCTGATTTTGAAGAGAAGGCACAAGAGCACGTAACTGGTGCTTTTATCAGGAAGTTGCGCGGATGGGAACCCATCATCTCTCCCATACATCCTATCTTTCTCCCACGGAAATGGAACAACGTCTCCAAGGATGACTACGACCTCATGATACCTGCACTGAGGCTGGCTAGTAGGATATTGGATGAACCTCAAATCTTGACTTATATCAAAGGAGCCCTGAAGAAGCCTTTGATACCTATCAACGATAATGAAGCAACGAACAAGGCAGGGCAGCCATTGTACACATTCTCAAACGAGCCCCTCCGAGACTGGACAACGGAAGAGATCTGGCATATTCTGTTTACTCTGAAAGACTGCATCGAGTTCCAGTTCTCAGCTCATCTACCGTTTGGATGCATGGCAATGTGTGGAGCTGGAGACACAGGCTCTATGATTGCGATTGGGTATGTCTTTAGCCAATGAAGCTTGACAAGAATAGTTCTGACCATTGATAGTGCCTATTCTGCCAAAATAACCCTGAACAACCAATTCTTGGGTGTATTCCGACGGAAGCTCAAGGCAAGCCAGTTCTCAAAACCATGGAATCCTGGTACGCATGATGAGTCCGCTGTTCTACGTTCACAGTTCGCATTTGCTGTGACTCTTGTTCATGAAGTCATGCATGCTCTCTGGCTTACTTCCAATCCCACATATCTACAGCACTATGCGCCACCACAACCTTCGCAATGGGTAAACCCCGCAGAACCATTTTACCGCGATGGTCGAATGAATGAGTTGGGAGCTTGCTGGGAGACTCATGTGTTTGGCGGCAATGTTCACATGTTGGGCTATCCTCATGGTGCTATCATGCCCTATGGCATGACCACTGTACCCTTCCCTGGCACATGGGAGTTTTATCCTTCGGTAATTGATCGCGGTAACCCAAGAAAATGGGGCTATGAATGGATGACCACATATCCGATAGAGATGAAACACATCCGCAAGATGTTTACTAACGAGATGTGGGATGAGGTCCAGAGATATGGCATCAAGCGATTGAAAAGGAAGAGGAAATTGGGCTACAGAACTTATACCGACAAGAAGTATCGCGGATTGGCACCTGGTGAGGCCGCTCTGGGTCAAGCACCCTCGCCGACTTCCAGCGTGGACAGCAAAGAAGGGGAAGAAGACCACAAAGGTGTCGTAAGACGAGAACCTCCAACAGCTACAAAAGACAACAGCTTTGTGATCATTGGCTAGCGTCTCAATTATTATTTCCTCAAAAAGATCCCTGTCTTTAATGGTTGAAGGCGCACTTGGCCCCGAATCTATGTCGTGCGCCATTGACACATCTACCATTTGTAGGACGCACAGGACGTCATCTGTAGTGCGAAATTTCCCAACAATCCACGACATTGATCATCAAGGTGTGCAAAAGATAAGCACTCATCAACGCGGTGTGGAAATAATCAGAGAAATCGATAATTAATGACATAACTCTGAGGTCACAGAGCCCCAAAGATCGGCTCTTGCGGCTACCGAAATAGGAAACCATGTCAACGTATCCCCCAGATTTTCGTGGAGATCCGCGCGGGTACTCAGATGAAAAAGGCAAACAAGAACTGGGTGTGATGGAGACCGATGATGATATGAGGACAAGGGGAAAGATATGATGAATGATTCAAGACTGTTTCTGCCGTGTTGCCGTGGAGGGAAGAGATAGATAGACTTGGAGTGCCGCCGTCCCTCTGGTTAGTTCCTGACCTTTTCCTCTCCTTACCTCAATAGTGCGAGCATTATTCAGTCTTTCCTGGACACACCACCAAGAACCCGTTCTTTTAAACCAGATAATCAGCCATGGCTTTGAACTCCCACGACGTCGCAAAAGTCGACTCGTTTATCAACCGCGAACCCGAAGTTCGCATTGTCCTCAGACCTATCGCACCACCCGCAGCACTAGGATTGGCAGGTTTCGCAGGCAGTACATGGATAACAGCATCGTGGATTGCCAATTGGTGGGGCAATGACAGTTCTCCAACCATCTTTTTCCCATTTGTCGCTTTCTGGGGTGGGTTGAGTCAGTTTATTGCTGGACTTTATGGGTTCCATGCGAGAGATACGTTGGTCAGCGTGATTAATACGATGTAAGTGTTTGCGAAAGATGTAGGAGAAGGAACAATTGCTGATGAGAGAATAGGTGGGGCGCGTTTTGGATGAGTGAGGGATTGATGTTTTTGTTGAACACGGTTGGTGCTTTGCCCGCTGGCGATATCCATGCGCATTTGCCTGAATTGGCATCTTGGTTTGTGGTTTTGGCTGCTTTTACTTGGGTCGGCGTAAGGTTTTCTCTGCCTCTCTCTGCTGTTTCACAAACACTGATTCTCTCTAGGCAATCGCAGCAACCGCCCGTGACGTTATCCTCGCAACCCTCCTCTTCGCCCTTGCCATCGGAACAACAATCGCCTGCTGTCTCTTTGCCTACGGAACTGGAGTTGGAGTCGGCATCAAAGTAGCCGCTTACTTCTGGATGTTTTCGTCCTTGCTTGCTTGGTGGCGTGTTGCGGTCTACTTGATTGAAGAGGCATATGGCCCTAAGAGTGGGATTGCAAAGTTCTTCCCTGTGTTCAGAACTGCTACCGAGAAGAGTGCTCCTATGGTTGTTCCTGGATTGGGAGAGCCTGGTGTCAAGAGAGGTATGCCTGGTGTTATCTAAGCAGGTTGTTCTGCAGATTGTTGGTGAAGTAAGTCGATGGAGGAGAAATATCAAGATTAGCATTAATGCATAATTCACGTCTTTTGCTTGTACAGTTCGAGCAGATGTCTGCTCTGCATAATCTCTTTCGACGTGTCAATATCGTGGGCATGACTGATATGATCTTGTTACACAAACGCAGATCATACCGGCATGCTGCATATGCTGAACTCATGACACTGACCTGTCCACTTCCTGCCTCTGATGGTCTTGCTAACTTGCCTTTAGGAAAGTGATCAAGACGGTTATGTGCAGCAATGTCGTTGGCTTTCTGGATTTTGACCAATTGAGACCATCCGGCAGACAGGCGATGCGTTTGCTCAAAGCCTCAACGGAAGCATGTTTGATGACTCGCAATATATCGCTGTCATTCGCTAGGCAGCAGAGCGGATAGATGCAGAGAAAAGACATGCCTCTGGATGGTGGCAGAACCAGATGCAGCATCAGACCGCTTCTCAATGAAGCTGGAATATATCATGAGGTCTCCCAAGTACCAAGCTCTTCTACCTTTCCTTCATAGCAAGACCACGTATCATTCATCAGCGATACCACCAACTTAGCAAGCTCATCATGTCTTCCACAAACAACACCAACGCTGCTGTAAGTGTGCTTCTCAACATCTGAACTGTGCTTCCAACTTTCTCACCTTGTTTAGACTGCCGACACTACCCCAGCCATCCCCGAGTATCGCAAGAAGGTCATCAAGACCATGAATACCCAGGAAGCCAAGAAGAAGGAGGGCATCACACTCCTCACCCCGCAACCCAGTCCCCACGGCCATGCTCGCGTATACCAAGACTTCCGTTGGTCAAACGCTCAACGCGATCGCTTCCTCGCTGACGGTACTCTACCCTTCGACGTCAACAACGTACCCTCCAACCTCAAGCCTGTTCCCATTGGCATGTGGATCTTCGATGGTAGAGGTAGTACCCAGCACTCCATGCCTGAGATCGAGATGAATCCTCTGCCTGATCTTGAGCGCAACAAGGCGGTTGTGGTCATCGACTTTGGCATTCCGGATTACTTGTGCATGATCCCGCCTGGTCTTTGTCGTCTGGTGCCTACCGGTCCTAACAAGGGTCGCTTGGAGCCCACTTTTGGTAATCTGTCTTGATGGTCATCGACCGCCATCGGCAGCGAGATTTCCTATAAGCTGTGGACTCGAAGGCGCAGCTGAGATGGTAGCGAAGAAGGAATCGGAGCTGGGTCAGAACAGTCACTTTGCAAGACGTTGATTGCAGAATCGTTCGCCCTGGAAAGCGTGTCAGGTGTAAATCAGGAGAAAGACAGATCGGAGATGGAAGTCGCGAAGGTTCAAGATCGGGAATCCTTGAAACGCTCATTGGTTGGACCCCTCATGCAACACTGAGTCATCGAATAAATACCATACTTATGTCGCATGACTTTCAATTTGTTTCTCTCATAGCCATCACTTCAAAGGAGAATTTGTTTTTGTATGACAGCAACGATGGCGAAAGTCGAAGGTTCTAATCAGGCGATTGAGCTTCAAGCTCAGCCGAGCAGCTCAGCTTCACGACACGAAACAGAGCCTGAAGTCGTTGACCACGATGACAGCTCGACCAGTATTGAACATAGTCCACCCAGACGAACTGGCTCAAGAAGGAAGATGGCATCCGTGCTTCTCGGGTCCGCCGTATTACAATTCCCTATATGGGGTAAGTCTTTTCCCACAGCTGTCTCAACACCGCCTGTGCCCAGTCATAGCATTTCCGCCTAGATTCACATCTTACGCGGATCCTAACACTCGCATACTTCAGGCTTTGCAATGAGCTATGGTATCTTCCAAGAATACTACATCAAACACTGGACTTTACAAGGAAGCCAGGATTTGACTGGTATTATTGGTATGACTTCGAATGGAGTCATGTACCTCTCTATGCCTTTCCTCTTTGCCCTTTTCACCAAACGATGGGCAAGGTATCGTCAGATCGCAGCTTTACTAGGCACTGCTATTGCCTGTGTGAGTTACTTGCTGTCGAGCTTTAGCAGCAATGTCTGGCATCTGGTGTTCACGCAAGGCGTTTTTGCTGCCTTTGGATCAGCTCTGGTTTTCAGCCCTATGACCTTGTCTTTAGGTGAGTGGTATAAGACAAGCCATCGGGCGCTGGCCTATGGCATCACACTGTCCTGCAAAAACATTGTCGGCTCGGTGTGTCCATTCTTGTTCTCTGGGCTTCTGGATCAGCATGGCTTTCGCTTCGCACTCAGGATCTGGGCAGTTTTGGTCGCTGGTACAAGTGTGTTCACGATTCTCCTCATCCCGACGCACCCTTCATCGTTGGCCATGGGAACACAAGATTCCACTGACAGCGTCGATGCTGAGCAAGACGCAAGAAGAACAACAGACACGGTCAGAACCCGTAAGATACCCTGGCACTTCTTGCATCACCAGACCATCTACATCTACTGCGTAGCCATCGTGCTGCAGTCCGCAGGTTATGGAATACCACAAACATATCTCAACACCTACGCCAGCGAAGTCGCCAAGCTCTCCCAAACCTCTGCAACTCTTTTGCTCACACTGTTTAACATTCCTGGCATTGCCTCGTCCTCGTTCTTTGGTTATCTGAGTGAGAACAAGCATTTTACACTCTCTGCCACAACTGTCACTTGTATCTCAGGGCTCAGCTCTGCATTGAGTGCCTTCCTTCTCTGGGGCTTGACGACTCAAGGCAATTTGGCGACACTGGTCCTCTTCTCCATCACCTTTGGCTTCTTCGCTGGAGGATATAGTGCGACATGGGGAGGCTTAATGAATGACCTCGAGAGCGAGGCTAGACAGTCAAACGAAGCCATCGATTCAGGTATGGTGTATGGATTGTTGAACGGAGCAAGAGGCCTTGGATATGTTGCTGGAGGCTTAGTTGGTGTGCCATTACTCAAAGCTGGTACCGAAAGATATAGTGGGATTGCTGGTAGTGGGTTTGGAGTACAGTCAAGCTATGGACCGCTGATTATATTCACGGGGCTAGCGTCGGTGTTTGGTGGATGGGGTGCGTTGTGGAAGTGGAAGAAGCTCAGGTTGTAATTGTGTAGAGATTCGTTGAGAAGCCAGAAGAATGAAATGAAAGTTCGGTATGTCTGCGGTTACTGATCTCGCATATGCCGGATGCGTGTACTCCTACGCAAGGTGTTTTCTCGTGCTGTATCATCCGTATCAATGGCTTCCATCTCGGAAGCACGCCGCCTGGGAGGTCGAGCTCGGCCAGGGGAGGGACTTGAACTTGCAAAGGGTGTTGGTAACCGGTTTGCAAGAGCGACACTTGAACATGTCGGAGGGGGTGTGATTCCGGCAGATACCTGCTCAGAGCTTTCGCGTTCGATGGATTCACGGATTGACTCAGCTGTCGAGGGAGAAGACTCAGGGGTCTCGTCAGGTGTCAAGTCGGGTCTGTAATAACTGCCGGCGCTGAGAAAGAGATCGTTTTCTACAATCTCGCCGAACTGGGTGGGAGGAGTGGCACGGTCGGTAAAGAATGTATCATGGATATTGCCCAGGTGCTCTGAGGTCATATCGAGGAGATACTCCAGAGCAGCTATGACTGTAGGCATTGGCCGTTCCATCGTGAGAGCGTGTTTGACGCGGTCAGTCTCAGCTATTACAGCGTGGTAACCTTGTCCTCTCTTCAAGATGACAATTTCGGGATTATCAGCTTGCAGCTTCATGAACTTGAAGTTTGCTTTGGGTCGAATTATCGGTATGTGTAGCCCCAGCAATGCAAAACACCAAAAAGCTCACCAGCAATCTGTTCTCTCAGACCCTGTATATCTGCCATATTGCAAGTTGTATTTCGTGCAGTACGTGTTGTTTTGTGCAAGACGATGCGGTCGTACAAATGGTCTGTAGGACAAGAAGGAGCTCGGGCCTTTCATGTGAGAGCAGTGACGTTGTTGCAAACACGATGAGGAGCAAGTCAGCATCATCTTTCCTCCTATACCAAACATCATGCGACATGTCCGACTATACTGATGACGAGCCCGAGGGGATTATAGCGCGTGTCAAGGTTGGTATGCTACTCCCTCTCTGACCAAAACCCAATTGACCATCATCCAGAACACGGCTCTCCTGCCCGTCCGCATCGCCGTCTCCAAACCTGCCCAGCGCGCATACCTGACATCCGTCCTCTTCTTCAGCACCTGCTTTTTTCTCCTCATTGTCTCCGTTGCCGCCTATCTCGCCTTCTATTGGACCTACATCCCACGCATAGGCTTCAGTCGCCCCATCCACCTCCAATTCGATAGCCTCGAGTCTCCGCCATGGGGTGTCGCGAACCTAGCCCCCGACCTGGTTAGTCTCCAGCCATACGATGTCAAGGTCCAAATACGCCTGCCGCGCACCAAGACCAATACTGAGATTGGCAATTTCATGATCGAGACGACTCTTTACGCACCCGGCGAAAAAGGCTCCGTCATTGACGATTCGCGCATTCCCGTCGCAAAGGATCCAAACACTTCCAAGATTCTCGCCAGCTCGAGACGATCTGCCATCTTGACATACTACTCGCCTGTCGTTGATCTCGCTCGTAAGGCTACCGAGCTGCACTGGCTGATTCTAGGCTGGCGGCTCGAAGCAGAAACACTCGAGATCCCCGTCTTCAGCGGAGTCTCATTTGCAAAAGGATGGAGGAATGTCCCGGATACCATGCAGATACAAGTGCAAAGTCCTGCTCGAATGCAAATTTACGAAGCCAATGTTGTTTTCAAGGCTCGTTTCCAGGGCTTGAGGTGGATCATGTACAACCATCGCATCACCAGCGCTATCGTCTTCATTGGCGCTTTTTGGGGCACTGAAGTTCTTTTTACTGCTATCTGTTGGGCTATCCTGAGTGTCTGGATCTTCTCATCTGGCGACGACACTTCTATCAAGACAGAAGTTAAGGACAACAAACGCATAAAAGCAGAAGATTCGGAAGGGGAGCAGCAGGCCATGTTATCGGATACAGAGCGAACATATCCTACCTATAGCAAAGGTCCTGCCATGCGCTACAGCTCACCCGCCGTCAAGAAGGAGGAAGCTGAATCAGAGCCCTTCCCACAGCTTCTGACTACTGCTCTGGAAGCTGACGATGAGGACGAGAGCGACGACTTCTTCGACTCTGGCCTCGGTACTAGTCTCGAAAGCAGTACTGGTCATGGCAGCTCCAAGGAAGCTCTACGCAAGAGAAAGAATAAGGCGTCAAGAAGTTGAACAGTCTCTGAGATATATGTAACGATACCCTGATATGAATATTGTTCGAACTACATGATCTTTTTTATCCCCATCAGTTTCTATGTACTTGTGGCTTCCTATCAATCCACTTTGTGTTTCCAAACTTGCCCGAGAATGGATACTGGAACACCTTCTCAACGGTGCTGTAAGGAGCATAGTCTGCATCCGTCATAACAAGCGTGATATTAGCCTGCGCTCTCCCAGTAGCATTCCACCCGGGCCCATAATCCACATACTCCGCCATTGTCGTATTTGCTCCGATCCTCGGATCAGACGCACTCCACTTGATATACCCACTCGGGATGATCGAGTCATCCAGATACGTATTTGCGAAAATGCTTCTGTGGCCAGCATTCCAAGGTCTCCCCAAAGCACACTTTCCTACGATATCGAGGGAGCTGTTTGCAGCACGAACAAACGAGTCGTGGATATATGCGCCGTAATGGTTAACGAAGGAAGTGTTTGTGCCCTTCCAGGCTGTAATTCCGCCGCCGCAATTACGTAGAGAGAGCAATGAAGATTGGATCCATAAAGTGCCGAAACCGTAGAGGAAGTCTGTTTGGCCGGCGATGGTGCTGTTGTACATGTATGTGTTTCCTAGTTTCCCGATGTAGATGGTATCTTGATAGCTGTAGAAGCCACAGTAGTAGAAGCCGGCATTAGCATAGCTGACACTGAGAGCTAAACTGGGCCCGGCGGAGTATGGTAGGTAGTCGTTTATAAAGTTGAGGTTGTAGGCTCTGAAGTCGGTGTTGCCGAAGGGTGTGCCGTCGGGTACGCGGTTGCCGGTAGGTCCGCTGCCAGTCAGACTGCTGTTGAAGGTCGGCGCAATGGTAAGAGTAGAAGTATATGCGTTGTCATAACTTCCTGTGCTGGCTGTTCCAGTAGCGTTGTGCCAAATCACATTGACCGTATTCATGGTGTTGTCGTTGGGGAACTTGGTTTGGGCGAGCAAAGTCAAAGGGCCGGGGCGGGTGACATTGACTTGCTCGGTATAATTGCCTGCTAGAACTAGAATGTAGTAAGGGACTGTATTGTTTGGAATTGACAGTACAGCAGACTGGATGCTGGTGAACTTTGCATTGGGTCCAACGAGAAGGGTTCCTTGAGGACAGCCCTGGAGCGGATTCTGTGTTGGATACTGACACTCGCCACGGCTGTATGCTTGAGCAGTACCAAGAAGGCCGAGGGAGAGCACAGTTAAGATGGACTTTGAAGTGACCATCTTGGATGATTGAAGGGTTCTGACCTACATGACTTGGCGTGGTGATGCTTGTTCTTGTACCTCTCACAACATTACCTTCCGGAAAATCTCTTGAGCCATGATGTCGACTCCGCATTGCGTCCCCAGATACTCCCAGACATCTGCATAATAAGGCAGAATGATTGTCTGCCATGCGGAGATTCTTCTGGGGTGATTGCGGAGAGATGGGGTAAAATATGATCTGCAGGCTAGAGAAGATCCACCAATGGCATTAAGACTCCAATATTGCACGGCAGGGCACCCTGATGCTTGTGTGAAGATATATAGGCAATACGACAGAGTTCATAGAAGCACTGTCATGGGAGGAACAGCTTTTCAAAATCGGCCTTGAGACGAGTAATGCAGTGGTTCATAATGAAGCTTGAAAAGCAAACAAGCTTCGCCGAGCCGGGCACACGCGCTGACAGCCTGTCCAAAAAAGCAGGTCCTGATGTACGCGCCCGTTCTTTCAACTTCTTCGTCAGAAGAGAGCAAATAGCAAGTTTTGAGCGAATCGATATGACCAGACGACGTCAGTCTGTAGCGCCGGATCGATTTCGCACTCGTGTATCGTCAGGACCTCGTGTTATTCTCGTGTTCATAATAGGACTTGCTTGTTTGTTGAGGTGAGCGTCGTTGATGGGCTGGGCGCTGACTCGGGCAACTCAAAAGGGAGCTGAAAACGTGCCCGTTGGCTTTGCCTCATTGGTGGCGTTGACAATATGGAGCTCCGTAGCTTGACTGAAACAAACCTGCCATATCCACTGGCGTCAGATCAGCGGCAAGAGGGACCTATTGATCCCACGCCATAACGAGCTGGGAGTATCGTATGTCGCATGCAGATCGCGACATCCTTTGAAACACAATGAATTCGTGTTTCTAGATAGAGTAGAAGATAGGAGTTAAAGCTTCGTACAACTAACTATCTTTCAAGTTGACTTTGCAATCGCATGGCTTCGGCAAGGAAGAATTGTGCGAAACCTTGCTTCTAAACGAGCTGATGCTCGAGCTTCGACAAGCCCATCAGTCCACAAGGCAACGCTTGATTTCCAGCAACGCTCTTTTTTCCTTCGCTTGCCTGAAACCACGCTGCCATTTCACAACGTTCAGATTGGAACAACGTCGAAGGCTAGAGAGCCCAGATGCCCCAGAGACAGGATCAACAAGAAATGCCCTGTCCGCAACAGTATCCGTTCTGTACAAGTAGAGGCAGTGGCTCCGAAGCGTCGAAAGTCTAGCCCTCGAGATAAGCCACGCGTTAGCGTCCACGTTGCTTCGTCAGCCTTTCACTCTCGCACCATTCAGCTTGAGCGAGCTGATACGTGCTGATGACTTGGGAATCGATATTGCAGGGACTCTGTGAAGCGCCATTTCTATTGTCACGTTGTCAGATTGACGGTGGTAATTTCCAATCCGTCAGAAGTCTTCTGCCATACGGCGGCTAATGCCCTGTTGTCGTTCGTTCATGGCTAATGATGCTTTTGTTTTTGGTTTGGGTTTAGGTTGTCAACACCCTTGTCCGGGGTGGCAGATCTCGTAAACCGGTTCTGTAACGATGTCTTTCGATCACAGCCGCAGTGGAGGAGCTGGCGCCTGGCCACCATCAGCTATGCTTGAGCTAAATATGCCGCGAGCGAATGTGGTAATGACGAACATGGACAAGCCCTGATATATCCCACCCAGTATTCCGAGTCGACTTTCCGCCATTTTTGCCCTTTCCCACTGATCTGTGATTTCACTTACCACACTCCGCGTCTGAGGTACCAAGCATTTCCAAGCACTACAGGATTGGGACTCGCCTCAGGATGAGAGGGCTTGATTCACTCGACTCAATGACGGGACTTCTAAGTCCGCGGTTCGAGAAGTTCGGCTCTGACAATGTTGCGAACTATGTCAGCAGTCCTTCAAGATGCCTCAAGCTTGTCAAAGGACTCGTATTGACCGGATGTGTTGTTTTCTGCGTTCTTCTATACACAAGCGTCGCTACACATTCAGACTGGAACTATGTCACATCGAGCGTCTCCAATAACACGACATCTACCACAAAGACGCCGGCGATACCGACAAAGCCAACACAGCCTAAGGAAGGACTCACAGGATCGTTATGGGGCACAAAACAGCCGCAGTACTATTCAATCCACACTAACGAACCCTACGACATCGATGAAGCTCTACGCACAGTCTTGAGTCTGTGTCCAGACGAGGTCTACTACCATGCATTGACGCAACCCATCATGACCAGCGATGAGGACAAGCTGCATGAAACTGGCGTGCGTGTACGCATGTTCAAAAAGTACTTCGACGCTTGGGAATCATTGCATGTTGTGACAGACAGCAAATCTGACACTGCCTTTGTGCGAGACGATATCTTGCGCCATATCAGAGATTCCAAAGATATTTCTGCTTTCACCTCCGGAACACGCATCGAAGCTGTGCGCCAGTATGAGACCTACCGCACCTTCTTGTCAAACATGTCAGCAACTCTGTTCCCTTGGACCAGCCCTTACTTCTCCGACCACATGACTCTGCACGGACATATGTACAATGCTGGACGAGGCATTGCAATCTCTGGCAGCAATGCGCAAGCTTCCTATATCAAGACTGCGATATCCTCTTTCCGTGCCATGGGCTGCACTTTGCCCGTAGAAATTATGTATCTCGGCGAGGAAGACATGAGTGAGGACACTCGCGCCGACCTTGAAACTATCCCAGATGTCATCACTCGCGATCTCAAGAAGATGGTTGACGACCACGGCTGGGAGATCAAGGGTTGGGCTGGCAAGGCTCACGCTGCTTTCATGAGTTCTTTCCGTGAAGTCATTCTGCTCGACGCCGACGTCCTGTTCTTCGACAACCCTGAACTTTTGTTCAACGACCCTGGCTATGTTGACACTGGTGCTCTTTTCTTCTCCGACCGTACAATCTTCCCACAAGACAAAAGAACATTCCTCCGCAAAATCCTTCCCAAGCCTGTCTCTAGCAAGGTCAAGGAAAACAGATGGTGGAAAGGCGAGACTTGTGAAGGTCAAGAAGCTGGAGTAGTTGTGGTTGACAAGTGGAGACACTTCTTGAGTGTCTTCTTGACTACGAGATTGAACGGTCCTGATCGCGACGACACCGACACCTCAAAGGGAACCTACAGTTACTGGTGGGGTGACAAGGAGACTTGGTGGATTAGTTTCGAGCTTGCTGGTGACACGGACTATCATTTCCACCAAGGTGGTACTGGCAACATGGGCACAGTGAGCAACACCGAGCCTATTGAGAAAAAGGAAGAAAAGAAGGAGGCAGAAAATACTGAAGACAAGAAGGATGATGAGAAGGCCTCGACCACCGAGGGTCTGCAAACAGAAGACAACATACAGAAGACGGATGCTCAAGATTTCAGCGACAATTTGAGAGACTTGCAAGCATTGCAGGCTACCAAGGCCGCGGAGCCACCAACAGAACAACCAGTCGTGGAGACCACAGAACCCAACACCCCCGCTCCTGCACCAGACGCAGACGATGTTATGAAGGCCATCAAAGCAGCAGAGGCTGAGAGGGCCGCTCGACTTCCTGAAGAAGAAGGTCACTATCTACCAGTGGAGAACAATACTCAACCTGCCGAAGGATCTTCCACTGAGAAGCCTACTACCTCTTCTGACGAATCTTCTACTACCACTGAAATTTCTGATTCTGGTCGAGCTCTTTCCCGCCGTCACTTGAGCAAACGTGACAGCTGGTTCGACACCGCCATGGAAACAAAGCGCCCAAATCTCACCGGTCCAGGCATGCTTGATCTCCCCGATCAGAGAATTATTCTCTGCGCGCCTCAGCTCTTGCATCTATCTACAGAGGGTCGACCTTTGTGGTTCAATGGCTGGATTCAGGACAACAAGCACCAAGCCAGCTCTGATGTATCAGTAATGGAGTTTTTCATGACTGAGAAGCGCAAGGACGGAGAGTGGGCTGAATGGGCTATCGGTTCAGACAACATGTGCTGTTTGAAGGGCGATGACCTGCACGCGTTCAATGACAAGGAGTTGGCTGCTTTCAAACTGATTGTGGATATTGCCAAGGAGAACGGCTCGCTCAATGAAGTTTTGGAGAAGGAAAGGAAAGCAAACAAGGATAATGAGGATTGAGGATGATGTTCGTTGCACACTTCTTTTGTTATACTAGCGTGGCGCCTGGAGTTCATGGTAGAACGAGCATAGTCATCATTGACGAAACTTTTCTTTATTGCTGCCTTTTCCTCTCCAGCCTACAAATCACTTCTGTGATGCCTGAGGATCCTTGGGATCAGGTCAGATTCAATGCTGGAAGGGGATGTACCAGATACGATGACGCTCTCCATTATCCTGGTGCTAAAAGGAAGTTGCTGGGTTGCGAGTTTCGGCCAGCACTAGGTTGTGGCTCAGAGGAAAGAAAGACACCGAGAGCAGTGTCCGCATCATTGGTCGACCTGGAACACTTGCTCTTACAGCACTCGCATTTTGGATGACCTGACAAGTGTCAGAGAACCACTTTCCTGAATTGCAACAGAACGCCGAACCAATATACACGCGCATCACTGAGAAGGCTGAGTCAGATCTGCATTTAACTTCACTTGACCTCAGAGTAAATCTCGAGAAGTGATTAGCCAACTTCTTGATCGATCATTGTACGCACAACAAGCTCTAGTCTTTCCTTACTAGAGAAGTAGCAGTGATGATGGTGCTGATTTCCCAGTCCGTGCCGTCTCAGTGTCCATCTTTGCTCTGAGAAAGGCAGGTAACTACAAGGAACCAACGCTGGTGGACTTCGTTCCATCGTTCACACGTCAAATTAACGGCCGCGTCCAGCATCACGACTGCCTATCTGGACCGTACGCCAACCCGCGTTTTCGATTTTCATGCTTCCGACGCATCACTCTTTCTGCAGTTTCGCAACTCAACCATCACCAGCCCGTTCCACATCAACTACATACATCCACGACCTGCGCTTCATCACACCTGCATCCTGCCGATACTTGAACTAGGCCTCATTACTGCTGATCTCTAATCACCTCCAAGATGGCCACAATGAATCAACTGTCTCCCCTCCAGAGCCTCGGACAACGAATTCAGAGTATGTAGTTCTTTTACCGCTGAAGCTCAAGCACCCTCAGATGATTGACGACCTTGCAGACGTCTATAGCACGTTCCATTGGGGAAAGCGCAAGCAGCTCAAGCCTGATGTTCTCTTCGACAAGCAAACTTGCTGCAATCCTCCCATTAACGCTGCCCACAACACATGGTGGGCCTCTATGCAACCCCCGGAGTATCCACGTGTTATCGGTTACGGCAATACGCTGGAAGGGGCTTTAAACAGTCTCTATAGTCAGCTTCAATTGGGTCCGCAACAATGGATGGCCATTTACGGTGCCCAAAACCAGGGAAATATCATCGCCAATGGAGCGCAGAGCCAGATCTCGGGAGCCTCAACGACACCATACGTGACTTATCCCATGTCCACCCAAAGCCTCAGCTCTGGTTCAGGGACCTACACACCTCTCCTTGCAACTCTCCCCTCTCTACAAGCGCCCGGAGTTGGATCGGTTCCTCAGCCTATCACACCCGATGTTGCCAAGCAGACCGCCCAGCTACCGCAGAAGTTGACAAGCCACAACAATGGCCAGAAAGATAAGATTTCCAAGTCCAACTCGTCGAGCACGCCTGCGACCTATTATACTACACAGATGTCCAATGGTGGCAGCAGTGCCAGCCATCCATCTCTTGATCAGGTGATGGAAGGAATGAAGAGTCTCCAGAGGGGGCTCGAGACTATGTCTAAGACCCTTTGCATGGCTGACTTCCAGTCCCGCCTGGCACCGTCTTCGGCTGGATCCACTTCTACTTCATCGACCGCGTTCAGTAATCCACCTGCACAGTTACTCAACATGACAGCGGACAGATACAAGCAGCCAACCACGATGTTCAACTCGGAGAAGAAAGAGCTGAAGCAGCAAGGCATTCAGGAACAGCTCCAGAATGAGATCAACCTTCCCAAAGTCTATCAAAGCCCCAGCATCGACAACGCAGGATGCCGCAAACTCCCCGCACCCGTGTGCACAATCGGCAGCAAACTTACTTCCACTACAAACCTCTCCGCGCCACCCAGCACCAGTGTGCAAACTATAACGCCCACTGAAGCTTCCGTGGCCACTAGTTCGGCTCCCACTAATGCTGCGAGTTCCTCACAACGGACCAGGGAAACAGATCCCTCTCTCTTCCAGCGTTCTTCCGAGATCTCTGATGTCTCCGCCTCAGTTGACGTGGGCGTATCTACCAATACCATGCAGAACGAATACGGCAAACGCGAGCGTGATCGCATCCATGATGAAGTTATTGGAAGCCCCAGAATGAACGTTGAGCAGAGACTCGACAAGACTCCAGAGACCGAGCGATCGTTCCAGCCGATCAAGAATGAGGAACACTCCCACAAGAAGATCAAGATCGAGGAGGAAGATTCGCACTGACAAGCTTTAATGGTGAGGCCCTCGTTTCTTCTACATTCTGATCGACCTTTACCCTTCGCAACAGTCATATGAGCAGTATGGAAAGAAGGAAGATCAACACACGGAGAAGAGTGCGAAGGGAGGTTCTTGATTTTGCCATGACACAGGACTGGAGAATCAACCAAACATTATCCCGAACCACGAAGGGCATGGTCACCGTCTACGAATCAGAGGAATTGTATCGCTACCAAAGCTTAGTTTAACTGAATCGCGGTCATATATGTTAGCATCAAATAGCTTCGGGATCCTTGCATGGCAAGAAAGAGACATCACTCGAAGTCTAGCATGATTAGGTAGTTTTCTCGGAATAGATTTAAATATTTCACTGGCTTCCAAATGAATGGCGCTGTCAAGTGAATGTAGCCTTACACTGTCTCGAGTCTTTCTCTGACCGTATGCATGAATTACGATTTGTTGCATCTTCTTCTCAGACTTGGTGTCCGAGAATAATTTATCACGCTTGTATGGCTACAAACAGTGTATCAGACACGTCATATACTTTATTTGTCTCTATGTAGTTATTCCAGAGCGCATCGATTGTGAGGTAAGTTTTGATGATGTCGCTGGCCCGCTTTGTCTTTCTTGCCTCTTTTTGGGTTGCTCCGGTGTCTAAAACAGCTGAGTGTCCCGATGCACAACCAGTTTTGTTCCCCAGAATGACTTACCGCAGAAAAGGATGTCTTAACCTTCGTCTGTCAGAGGAGCCTTGTGAAGTACAATATGTTGACCCTCCTCCTCGACAAGCAATACCATCCCATTGACACAACGGTTCGAGATCCGCCAGCATCACTCTTCTCATTGTACCCTACCACTCTCAACCTACAATCCATCCTTTGTCTTGCTACCCATTCGATATGCCTACCGTTTATCTCTCCCTCAAATATGTCTTCACCCTCCTCTCCAGCTTGTTCACTGCACAGACAGTCCTCAAATCCTTCTTTAAGATGTTCCGCGACAGAGAGAGCGAGCGGATCACGGAGAGGACTCTTGTTGAAACATTCAGTGGCAGAAACAAGACCATTTGATTATCACTGTACTGCGCTGAAGCCAATTTGAATGTCACTTGTATGCTGATCTGACTGTCCTGTAGCATTTGGTCTGGTTTTCGAGCCCGTGGCTGTGAAAGAGATAATCTTTCTGCTTTTGGATGACAAATTTAACTGCAGTGAGATGTATTGGTGATGTTTGAAGGAGTTTGAAGTCTTGATTTTGTCTCTGTTCGCAAACAATATTCGTTCGTTTGTGGACTTGCTGGTCATGACTTTGTTTCATCCTTGTTTTCGGCTTTGGACCGTCGTGTTGAGCTACTGATCGGAGCCCATCGTTCTTTCAAGTGCTCTATTATCATTCGCTTGTTGTCTCGTACCCAATCATCTGCGCTTCATGCTTGCATGCCAATGCACAAATCCAAGCAATCATCTCGCATTTCTGGACGAAGTCGACCTATGCACTCACATCCGAGGCTGATCCAGACTCGATACCAAGGTCATCAAGAGCTTTTTGAACACGCTCGCAGCTCTTGTCGAACAACTTGCGAAGAGCCTCTTCTGCGGTGGCAGCAACTTCTCCGGTCAAGCTGTCGACTTGGTTCTCAGACTTGTCCATAACGTAGGCCTGATAGCCACCAGCGGAGTTTTTGGCGATGATGATGTAGGGGTCGCTTTCGAGGAGGGCGTGGAAGTAGAAGTTGTCTGATGTTATGTCAGTAAGATGATCAGTAGTGATATGGAATTTTCGTACCAAGGATTTGTTGACGCATTTCGGGGAGTTCAGACATTTCGAGATTTTGTTCTTGGAAGCAGCAGTTGTGTTTTGAGTTTGGCTGTGTTGGATGTTGGAAAGAGCGAAGGAAAAAACCACTTCACATCGGAGCTGTTTTTATAGACAGAATAGAAAGCTATTCGTGGCTGCTTATGTGTTTAGTATTCAGGAGAACCTCAAACCGAATGTCATCGTCTTATCATCAACGAAAGGTCATCCTCACATCTCATTGAACATCTTTTGGAACATTACGGAAGTTTGACAAACGGTCCAAAGACCCGATGAGTTTCTTTGTCAGTTTGGATTTGTAGAAGAGTCTCATGGCTCATCTTGGTTGCCAGAGCTGACTAGTAGGTTCTCCAGCACCGCGTTGCGATCTCGCCCCAACGTCTAGTCTTTGCTGATCATTGCAACATGACAAAGGCGAGTCAGTGGAGACCGCTCAGGGCTTTTTGGGGACCTCAAGCCTCGATCAATATCTCATGGAATTGGATGAGAAGCAATACCTGCTTTCAACTCTGACTGCTGCTCCAGTATAGAATGAGAGCTTTCCTGTCTGGACTCCGAGCATGTGTGGCATCTGAATATATCAGCTGAAGGACCAATAACTGCCACAGAGAGAGCCATTTCTCTAGCAATAGCATGCCTACGAGTTCTGATATTGCGGGGTTTCGAAGTGACATGTCAGCTCCAAACAACGATCTTGTAGGGATGATCACATTATCAACGTTCCGCAGTTATGATCAATAGTCTAATGGTCGCGATATTCAGTTTTTACCTTGTTCGATTATGTGACTGTGTAGTCGAGGATGAAATTGACGTCTGTGTGATTCTGTCGCTGCATTGGCATGTTTGTTCCGTTGTGTTGGCTATACTCAATGAGATCACCACGATCCCACTCCGATTTGAGGGTCTTTGTTGTACTTGACCACGTACCTTAATATAACGTCGCCGAGGAAGAGGGTCCGGAAACCTTAAGCCCCACCCGCATCGTGACCGAAAACTCAAAATTCATGCGAGAATCGAAGGGAATCCACTTCTTCCGCGACGAACGAACAACCAAAAATCAAGCCGTTTCACATGTCAGGCGGGGGATCCAAGCACCGAGGGTCAGAGCCGCAGACCACTAGAACCAATAGAGTCGAGCTGCAGGACCGTTATCGTGAGCTACGAACACGGATGCTCGCTTCGGTCGTCATTCCTGTCTGGTTTGCTGGTCAAGCTTAAACATCCCCCTCCGCTGTTGCTGCTCTTTCCCAGATCCTGAAGAGTTGTATCTCATCAGTCCTATCTTCCTCACGTATCACAATGACTGCAACCATTCCTCAACCAGCGGGACTGCCCTTTCTTGGCAATGTTTTGAGCGTTGATGCAGAGCATCCTCAAGAGAGTCTTGCCAATATCGCTCAAATCTACGGTATGGTTGCCTTCTTGATTCGAGGAGAGAAATACATGATTGACCTTCATAGGTCCAATCTTCAGGCTCAAGCTTGGTACAGAGCGCATTTTCGTAGCATCACACGAATTGGCCAAGGACCTGTTCGATGAGAACAAGTTCGAGAAAGCGGTCTCCGGCCCTCTGAAAGAGATCCGAAATGGCGTTAAGGATGGTCTATTCACCGCTTTCCCAGGTGAACACAACTGGGCCATCGCTCATCGTATCTTGATGCCTGCTTTCGGACCACTGAGTATTGGCTCCATGTTCAACGAAATGACAGACATCGCATCACAGCTGGTTCTGAAGTGGGCTCGATTTGGTCCTAACAGTGACATCGATGTAACGGATGACTTTACTCGACTCACTCTGGACTCCATTGCCCTGTAAGTCTATGATGATCGATTGCGAGTTTACAAGTCATACTGAACCTCTGTAGGTGCGCCATGGGAGACCGTTTCAATTCTTTCTATCACGATGAAATGCATCCCTTCGTGAAAGCTATGGTGGGATTCCTGTCGGGTTCTGGCAGCAGAGCTAGGCGGCCAGGCTTCGCTCCTGAAATGCTCTACAGCAAAGCCAATCAAGAATATCAGAACGATATCGACGAGCTCCAGAAAGTCGCCCTGGACCTCCTCAAGGAACGTCGCGAGAATCCTTCAACAAAGAAAGATCTTTTGAACGCCATGATCAATGGAAAGGACCCTAAAACGGGGGAGAAGCTTTCGGAAGAGGCCATAGTCCGCAACATGATCACCTTTCTGATTGCTGGTGAGTCCTTTCGACAACGAATCCAAACACGCGAACTAATCAAGTTGATAGGTCATGAAACTACTTCTGGTCTACTATCATTTTTGATGTACGAACTGCTTAACAATCCTGAGGCTTACAGTGCCGCACAGAAAGAGGTGGATGAGGTCGTAGGCAAAGAGAAGCTGACCATGGAACACTTATCCAAACTTCCGTACATCACTGCTTGTCTACGCGAGACTCTCCGCCTTCATCCGACAGCTCCTGGCTTCGCCCTCACTGCCAAGAGTGACCAGGTGCTCGGTGGCAAGTATCCCGTCAAGAAGGGGGAAGTCTGTCTTGCGGTTCTCCCCCTGATTCATCGCGACCCCAAAGTCTACGGCGACGATTCTGAAGATTTCAAGCCTGAACGTATGCTCGATGAGTCTTTCAACAAGCTGCCTCCTCATTCGTGGAAGCCGTTTGGCAATGGAATGAGAGCTTGCATTGGACGCCCGTTCGCATGGCAAGAAGCTCTTCTCTGCATGGCCACTCTGCTCCAGACTTTCCGCTTCACCAAGTCCGATCCATCGTACACGCTTCGTATCAAGACGACTCTCACTATCAAGCCTGACAACTTCCACATGAGGGCAGAGTTGCGAGACCCTGACATGATCGAAGAGTTGATTGGAAGCTTGGGAGGCAATCAGGCAAAAGACTCAGACAAGACCAAGCAACGAGGTGACGTCGAGGCCGATCCTAACGCCGACCCGATCCATATTCTCTATGGATCTAACACTGGCACCTGCGAAGCTCTTGCTCAAAGTCTATCCTCGACCGCATCAAGACATGGATACAAAGCCAAGGTTGCAACACTGGACTCTGCCGCGTCAGGTCTCTCTAAGGATGATCCAGTAGTCATCATTACTGCTAGTTACGAAGGTCAACCTCCGGACAATGCTGGTCACTTCTGCACTTGGCTTGACAAGGTTGATAAGGTCGATGGTACAAAGTACGCAGTCTTCGGTGTCGGAAACAGTAAGTCAGAGTTCTTTCGTCGTCCGTTCTAGTTCACCACTGACTCTCGTGTCTAGAGGAATGGGCGAGCACGTATCAACGTATACCAAAGGTGGTCGACTCCACCCTTGACGCCAAAGGCGCCGAACGCCTGGTCGAACGTTTTGAGGGTGATGTCACTGCTGGCAGCATTTTTGACTCATTCGACAAATGGCAGGACGAAAGCCTCTGGCCCGCAATGGAGAAGCGCTTTGGCAAAAAGTCTAGCGGCTCGAACCCTGAGAGCGATGCAAGCGAGCTCAAGGTTGCCATCGATTATCAGACTCGTTCCAATCTTTTGAGACAGAACATGGAGGTCGCCCAGGTTCTCGAGAACCGACTCCTGACAACCAAGGAAGGTGCTCCACGAAAGCGCCATATCGCACTGAACCTTCCAACTGGCATGTCATACAAGACTGGTGACTACCTCGCCGTACTGCCTCACAATCCTATCGAGAATGTGCGTAGAGTCATGAAGATATTCCAGTTGCCCTGGGATGCTACACTCAAGATTGAGCAAGGTTCGGCAACTTCCCTCCCCACGGGTGTAGCGTTGCCTGTCTATGATATCCTCTCCGGTATGGTTGAACTTGCACAACCGGCTACATCACGGGCTATTCAAACCATCGCAAAGACTATTCCCGAAGAAGACAAAGCCAAGGAGCTTGCTAGCCGTGCTGGTGACGAGAGTTTCCAGAAGAATAACATCAGTGTCATCGACATCCTTGAACAATATCCGACAGCCCAGTACACTATCGGACAATTCCTTGGAGCTGTTCCTCCGATGAGAGTACGTCAATACAGCATTTCTTCATCTCCCCTGGAGAAGGAGAATGTCGCCACATTGACCTGGTCTGTGATTGATGCCCCAGCGAAGAGCGGACTCAAAGGTCACCACTTTGAGGGTGTAAGCAGCAACTTCCTCGAAAAGCTGTCGCCGGGAGACAGAGTTCAGATAAACCTTCGTCCCAGTCGCACGGGCTTTGGTCTCCCTAAAGATGATGAAGTTCCTATGCTCATGGCATGCGCTGGAACGGGTCTTGCACCCTTCCGAGGCTTCGTCGCCGAGCGTGCTCTCAAGAAGGCTGCTGGGAAGAAAGTCGGACCTGCTCTGCTGTTCTATGGCCTCAACGCTCCGGACGAAGATGACATGTATCGCGAAGAGTTTGATGCATGGGAGAAGGCGGGTGTTGTGGATGTCCGTCGGGCCTACACGTTTGCCCCTGACAAATCCCATGGCTGTAAATTTGTGCAGGAAAGACTCTGGCACGATCGAGAAGATGCTGTTGCGATGTTCAGAAACAACGCTCAGCTCTATCTCTGTGGTGCTGGAGTCGTGGGGGCCGGTGTTGGGGAGGTGATGAAGAAGATCAGGATGGAATCTCATGGAGCTACTGAGGAAGAGGCGGCCGAGTTTGTCGCAGGTCTCAAGGGAGAGCGTTACTGGGCTGATGTGTTTTCATGATTCAATCGGGCTATACTCGTGCTTTCTGTCGTCATCAACGAACGTATATAGTAATTGTTCTCTTAACCTTCGCTTGATACAGATCTGCAACGCGTCTTGCACTTTACGCTTTTACGCAAGGCGGTATACATCGTCCCTGGCTCTCATCAGGTCGTTTCTCCAGTCCAACCTTAAAGACCGTTATCCCCTTGGACTTGCCGCCTTGCTTGCTTGCATTACCGCTCCAGTTCGCTACGCACACTTCAGGACGCACAGGTCAAGATGATTCCGCCCTTGGCAACCTCCTCGTTTCCACAGACCAAGAATCGGAATTCTCGCGGAGGAGCTGCGCATGACGGCGCCAAGCAAGCAGCGAGCATTTATCTCATACAGAACATCTGCCTTACTTTGCCAATCGATGAATACTCTCTATTGACAAAGAGGGCGAGGAACTCTTATCCACTGGTTTCAAAAGCTACTTCCGCCCTGAAGGTGCAAAAGGCCAAGGAAAGCCGAATGTGCGACTTGAGTGCCCAGCCATGTGGCAGACCCTTGGCCTACGTCGCGTTCTTCTTGACAGCTGAAGAATATATTCCTACTGGACAATTGTGTCGGTCTTGGTTGTCTTGGAGCTCAGGATGACGAGGTATATATATATAAGTCCATTGGAGGTTGTGGCTACTCGAGCTTCCGAGGCAAATCATAGAACTTCTCGCGCCTTCACGAGCACCCTTCTTCGGTCACGTACTCAAAAGTGTTCCTTCTCTGATAGCTTTTTCCATGGATTCAAACATCAAGTACTTGACAGACGAGGAGGTTGACATATTTCTCAGAGAACTGGACACTGACAATGACGGCGTGATTGAATACGACGAAGTCGAAGCCAAACTCGACCAAGTATTCAAAGAATTAGGTCGATGCACTTGCCATTCATGAACAAAAGGTCGTCTCTGACAATATCATGCAGCTCCCGAGCCAGCAGAACATAACCTCCATCATGAAGACCGCTCAGAGAAGCGACACCAATTCTTACGAAGCTTCATGGGGACGCATAAAGATCACGTTTCCATCACTGAGTTCAAAGGGGTAGTCGAATCATGGCACATCCCTTCAATGGAGCAAGAGAAGAAAGAGGAAGACGAGCAAGCAGACTTTGTCAAGAAAATGTCTTACGCAAGACGCCTCCGCGCTTATTGGGAAGTCCATGGACCGGAGTATGGTTTTCTCGCTCTCGTCATCAGTATGCAAACTGCTTTTGGGGTCTGGCAGCTGATCAAATACCTCACTACGGCTCCCTATAGGGAGACTTTTGGCTGGGGTGTGGTATTGGCAAAGACCTCTGCCGGGGTATTGTACCCGACAATGTTTTTTCTGGTTTTGTCCATGTGTCGCTGGCTAAGCACTGCTCTACGACGCTTTTATTGGATCTCGAGGTTTGTCAATTGGGATCTCTCGCAGGCATTCCATATCAAGATGAGCATTGTCGCGTTGGTATTTGCTTCACTCCATGCTATTGGTCATTTGACTGGCAGTATGCTGTTTGCAAGCCGACCTGCTCAACAGGATGAAGTCGCTGCTTTTCTTGGCCCAGATGCTGTACCGAGGCCCTATGTTGCCTGGATACGATCACTTCCAGGATGGACAGGTCTTGTTATCTTTGGCCTCTTCTGGGTTATTGGTGCAACAAGCCTACCTTGGGTCCGTCGCAGATCCCATGAAGTGTTTCAGCTTGGACACTTATTGATGTTCCCCGTCTTCGCTTTCCTGATGGTCCACGGCACAGTGGGATACCTCCAATGGCCAATGATGGGCTACTTCCTGGCTTTCCCTGTGTTACTAGTCCTCGTTGAGCGAATAGTGAGGACTTGCAATGGGTTCTCACCCCTTGCTGCATATCTCGAAATTCTTGACAAGGAGACTGTATGCATTACCGTCATGATGCCTGGATCCCGCAACTTCGACTACAGAGCTGGACAGTACGTATTGCTGCAAGTACCAGCGCTCAGTCGCTGGCAATGGCATCCCTTCACCATTTCCACATGCATAGGAAACGAGCTCCAACTCCACATCAAGACCGACGGCAATTGGACGGGCAACCTCCGCAAATTAGGCACTTCTTCAGCAGCCGTGAAGATCAAAATTGGAATAGATGGTCCTTATGGTGCTCCAGCACAACGCTTCTACGATTTTGAGCAGACCATCATCGTTGGTGCTGGGATCGGCGTCACTCCGTTCTCTGGCATCCTTACCGATCTACAAGCTAAGGAAGAGCAGCAAATGGGAATGAAGAAGTGGCGGTCCTCGCCATACCAGCAAGCCGCTGAGTCACGCCGCTCCTCTCAGCAACTGAGCCGTCAACCCACCGAGCTTGTTGGTGATAGCAAGAACGAGAAGATAGAAGCAAGTACACCCGAGTCCGAAACATCTGGTCCAGAACTTATAGAGCACGAATTCTGTCATCAGAGACCAAGTCCAAGCACAACAGACCTCTCAACCTACGACCTCTCAACCTACAAACGCGTAGACTTCCACTGGATGGTCCGCGACCGCAACAACCTACTCTGGTTCTCCGACCTTCTAAACTACATCTCCGCAACCACAGCCTCATGCTCCTCACCCAGCAACATAGATTTCAGAATCACCACCCACGTAACTCAAAAGCGCAAAACCCTTTCCACGCATATCTTTCGCTGGCTGCTTGAAAAACATCGCACGCCCGAGCATCCAGAAAGTCCCATCACTGGTCTGATTAATGCAACCCACTTTGGGCGTCCGGATATGAAGACAATCATGAACAAGCATTATGAGGATATGTGTGTGTTGCTAGCTGCAAAGAAAGACTTGCACAGAAACAACAAGAAGAAATTAGAGGACTTGGAGAGTGGGATCAGAGTTGGAGTTTTCTTTTGCGGCGCTCCGGTCGTGGGATATCAGTTGGCAGATTCGTGTAGAGCATTGACTGCAAGGGGCAGAGAGGACAAGACATTCATTGAATATCATTTCATGATGGAGGTGTTCGGTTGATACAGAGAAGAATTCTGTTCGTTTTAGAAATCGTTCGAACAAATTAACAGCAGTATAAATAATTGAATGCAACAGACATAAGCACTTCTGAAAAGAAAACATGAAAGACAAGAGGCGGTATCTATCGCATAGATAGGAATTTGACGCTAAGTTGCAGCTGCAGTAGCAGTGACGGTTGCTGTAACAACAAGTGTAGAAGCTGCTGGCTGTGTAGCTTGCAGCTGACAGGCAGAGGACAAGACAGTGGATGGGTATTTGGTCAGAACATCTGGTGTCGACAGAGCACGCTTCTGATTTTGAGTCGTTGTCTGACTTTGGGCTGCTGTTGTTGTTTGCGATGTCACGCCAGTGACCGTAGCAGTAGTTGTGATGGTCTTAACTGCCGCTGTGTAACCAAGGTATGAAGAACAGAATGGCTGGAGAGTAGCCCATTTGATGTCTGCGACAGCTTGGTACTCTGCACCAACGGCGTCGCCAACAGTGGGGTTGATGCCGGGGTTGAGCTTGGGATAACCAAAGCTGTAGCTGACAAGGTACTGGTTGTCTCCCCACCATTGTCCACCGTTGACTGCATATGTACTGTCCCATGCTTCGGTGTATAGAGCGCAGTACTGACCTTGAGGAACAACGGAGCCATTGGCGAGGTATTCAATTAATACATAGGTGTTAAAGAAATTGCAGACTTTGTAGGGAGTTCCGTCCGTTGGGGCTGTTGCCTTGTTGTATGCGGTCTGAGAGTCGCAGTAGGCAGCGCAAGAAGCCACTTCCCAGGTTGAGGTGAAGATTCTGGCACCCATGAACTAGATAAAAACATTAGCGCTATCTCGGGAAAGCATTCAGACAACCTACAGTGTTGTAGCCTTGGGCATCGTAAGGTGCGTTAATAGCAAAGTCACCATAGGGAGTACCAGCCTGGTATCCAGCGGGCGTCTCGATTTGAGTGGTAACGTAACCATTAGAACCAGCGATAGCAACAGTGAAGCCCTCGTACGTGTAACCCTTATTTACAGCGTTCTAAAGGTAAAAGTACAATTAGCATGTTCCTAACGTGAGAATGGCACATCAGCAGTCAAGGAGCCATCTGGTGGCTGTTGACCTGCACTATTTGTACCCTTGCCTTACATACGTCTTGTGATACAGGACCTCCCCAGTAGGCACAATGGATCATGATCGCGGACGAGTTCGAACAGCCTAAGATCGAAATCAGTTGAGCGTCACAAGGAGAGAAGAGTTGAAATACCAGATGGATTGCGCTCAAAGTACATGTTGACCGAAACACAGCCATTTCTAGCTGTGCATCGGCTGGCGCAGGTAGCAATGTCATAGGTATCAAAGCTATCATAACCCAGGTACCCGAAGCTATATCACATCAGAACCCGTTCAGACATTCAGAAGGGTAATATGGCTTACGCGTTGTTCGAAGCTTGCTGGTTCACAAAAGCTTGATTGTAGCCAGTGGGAACAGGAGCGGTGGAGGCGACAGAGGCATAGTAGGGATCCGCAAGAAAATCAGCTACGTTATCGGCAGCAGCGGAGTAGGTAGGAGCCGAAGATGCGCCAGTGAACTGAGGCACACAGGTGGTAGAGGTCGCTGCTCGCTTGGAAATGACTGCAGTCGGAGACAATACATCGCTGACTGCAATGCTCACAGATGAAGCAGCAGCGCTAGCGACAGCGATCAGGGAAGCAGTATCATAGGTGACCGTCTGAGCAGCAACACCCACAGCCTGAGAGAATGTTGGGTCAGGAGTATCCAAGACCATGGACAGGTCAATTTGCTGAGGCTGAGCAGCAGGAAGAGCGGCGGCCAAGTTTGCTGCTAAAGCAGGGAGAGCGTAAGATGAGAAGCGCATCTTGGGAGGAACGATTACAGAAGCGAGCTTTGGGATGGACTTGACTCCAAGCAATTTTGAGTGAGGATCGTCGCTTCTTTTATGCTAAAACAGCTACACCTGAGCCGCTTGAAAGAGGATATTCCTGCTTAACCGGGCCCGGGATAATTTGGCATATCCCCCAAGCCACTACTGATGAGGGTCAAGGTCACCATTTACTGTCTGCGTCGAGTGATCATTCTCCAGATCGCGGGAGTAGACCATGTGAATTAACATGTGTAAGCCTAGAAGCGACATGTTTCATCTGTGCCAGGGGAGACAGGGGAGAAGGTTTCATGCCGTGCTCCATGCGTCTGTGCAGTGAACGGAGGCTGTTGCATGGTTCAAAACCAGCTTTTTCTTCGAGATGAATGTGAAAGCTTACCAATAGCCGGTGAATCCTTCCACTAGATGATGTTCTTGCTCGCCTGTCCCTGCGACCCCCCTCAGTGACCGGAAGAATGCAGACTTTTCAGCGAAGTCATGCCAACTGACGAAGTTATTGAATGAATGCCATGTATGCATATCTGGAGATGGGGATACCGCTGAACGACGTTGTTGTATGGACTCACTCCGCGACATGAACGGCTGTTCTCCGATCCAACGATGAGCGAAGGTATGTTCTCCACCGTGCCCACACTTCGGACAGATCGCGGGTATGATTATTCCCATTCTCTGCAATTACGAACGATTGCTATTCCCAGAACCGTTACGTTGATCACGAGGACTGTGAGAAAGCTTGGTAAAAGGCTTGGTGACAAAATTGGGGATCCCGGTCGTACTACTGTGGTGCACCTTTGGACTGACAGTGTTTAGAGACCAAGGGACGTTAGATCTTGAACACGAGGATGTGGCTCTGATCATTCCCCGTGCTTCGAGCAGTCTTCCCATCCTTGGGGAAGGATCTTGTCAGTTGCACCAGAGGCATTGGTCTACTCTGACCTCTGTATGCTTCTCTGAATTGCGACTTCAGCCTTGTGGCCATGTACCTTGCGAAACCGTGTACATTCAGGAAAATGACCCCTGAAGATCTTGTTGATCGGGAAGTTTTTGCCGTTGCTTCTACGTTTGTAGATGGCTTGGTGAACACGAGTGCAATGTCGTCTCACTCGATCATGTGGTCTGAAATTCTTCAATTGCATCGCAAAGTTCAAATTCAAACCCATTTACTTTTGTCCAGGAGTTGACACACCACGCCCTGCCGCTAGCTTTCGTGTATCTTAATTTGTTTCTAAAAGCCTCTCTGGCCACGAAACTCCTTTGACGCCGAACAACAGGAGTCGCATTTTGACCCGGGTGCAATGCGCCATGTTGTTTACCGAGCATCTTCCTCGCCTTCATAGCCTACGTTGTGCGAGACGGTGCAAACGAGCATTTCTCGGGTCGGTGAGGGGTGATGAAGGGGGATGCTGTTTGACCGTTTTTTAGGCTGATTCCAGATCTGACTGTTCCAGATTCGCAACGGGCCGCGGGGAAGCAACTCGATCGCTGGTCAACGGCTTGTCACTGTCAAGTACGAGTTTCTTGAGGTATGTCATTTTCATTGGTGTCATCAAGTTGCGTAGCTCCTGGAGTCGTACCAAGTTTGATCGGTCGCGACTTGAATGTGTGATTCGAGGACTGCTTGATAAAACTTTGACCTTTTGCTGGTAGGAAAGATGCAAATTCGACAGGATATTCTCCGAGGTGATTGCGCGTTCTGGTCCTGTTGCGCGACATTTGTTCCTCGGTGCAATTCTCTTCTGTCCCTGCTCAAGCTTCAATTGGGTAGGCTCTGTCTGCGCTCATCTCATACTCTTGCACTTTCAAGCTCCAGGCCTCAGGAAGATTTCATACTTCTACCAAATCTAGTCCACCGGCAGGCGCATCCTTAGCCCAAACTCGCTAAAAGCATCTGCAATGTCCATGTGCTGTGCATGAGCAGCACTGCGGGCCGCGTCTTTGCTAAGAGCAAATGGTATCTCGTCTGGCTGGCATGTCGTGTTGGCTGGTGGCAATTCGCCTGTCTGGAAGTATCGCCGGACATGTTTTGTAGTACATTCACTATAAGCAGCCAACGAGCAATGACCCGCAGAATTTTGGATCAAGACTCCGCTATTTTTGAGTCGTTCAGCCATCCTAAAAGCGTTAATTGAGGGAGTGACTGGGTCTTTCGTGTTTCCGATGAACAGGATGGGATTGGTGGTGGTCACGTCCCAAGGTCCGGTGTAGCGATATTGCGCGCGCAGAGGGTAATGTATACATTGCATTCTAACGGCGCCATATATATCGCCGATGGTTGGGGAGACTTCCATGATCTTTGTCGCAAAGCTGGCAAACTCCTCGCGGTTTGTCGAGGTTTGGTCATCAGCGTCGGTACACAAGATTGCCATCTCAGCATCAATATCGAACACTGGGTCGACCGAGGTCGTTCGACAGCTCAACGAATGATACGGTTTTAACATCTGCGCAGAATTGCTTCCGTTGCCCTTTTCGAGCTCGGCAATAGTGTTGGCAAGAGTCGGAAACATGCGCACGGGCTTGTACAGACTCTGGAAGACCAACATCCTAAGATCGTGAGAGGTGATAACCTCTGGAACAGGATCTACCACCGGTACAGGATCGTAACGAAGTTTCTCGATTACGGCGAGAGTTCTCTGCTGAACTTCTGCCGGTCCAGTGCTACCATCTGAATCCGCCAGAGCGCAAGTGGGGTAGCCAGCATCCGCGCAGTATTGGTAGAATGAATCCATGGTTTTTTCTGTGTCCATCAAGTCGGTGTACGTTACGCCTTGCTGATTGTCGCTTGTGTCGACTACACCATCAAGCACAAGACGCTCGACTCTATCAGGATACATTGCTGCGAATGTGCTCCCAATGTAGGTTCCGTAGCTGACGCCCCAGTAAAGAAGTTTCTCTTGCCCCGGGCGATACCTGGTTCGCTGTGGATCGTAGCCTTCGTGAGGTTTGTAGTGGTAATTTCTCAAGAGCCTTCTTGCTTCTTTTTCTCGCCATTCACCGTGTTTCTCGATGATCTCCAGTACGTCGCGTGCGACATAGGCAGTTGTTGCATATCGCTTGATGTCTGCTTCTTCCGTAGTGACTGCACAGCTTTGTCCTTTTGCCTTATACATAGCCCACATACGACCAAAGGCAATATCGGAGGCATTTATTGATCCCGTTTCCCAGTCGCGGATAGACCAAACTTGTTCCAGGATAGGGTTTCCATGAAAACATGCAAGCTTGGGTGTCGAAAGACCAATTCCCCTTGGATCGTATGAAATCAGATCAAAATGCCTTCCTTCATTGTCATCTTTGGGCGCGTCAATCAGACTGGTCATCTGCTCCCCAACCCTGAGCATATAGTTGATACCACGTGCTCCAGGTCCACCAGGATTCAGGATGACAGCACCACCATATTTGGGATCGGTGACGGGCACAATGGCTGGCTTTCTGATCAGAGCAAGAGTTATGGTGGCATCTGTTGTGCCGTTCCAGTAGTCCATTGGCAAGGTCAGGCGAGCGCATTGATACTTCTCGTAACAAGGTTTGTACTTCAGCGATGTTGAGGCTTCCAGAGATTCCCAGTCAAAAACAGCAGTAAGGGTAGCTTCTTCTTCTCCATGCTGATCCGCTGATGGAACGAAGTGCTTGACACCTCCTGACCAATGATACAACAATGACAGGAATAAGGCAGCTGTCAGAAAAACATATCGCCGTGGAATATTGGTTGATACAGATGGTTCGAGATGCGTTACAGTAGGCGAGCTCCATCCTCTTATGCCTGACTTTTCGGGTGACATCATGTATTGTTGTGTGAAGCGATCTGAGCCGCTTCAATAGAAAACACGATGGACGCGCCGACAGTGCTATGTAGGTTGGATTGAGACTTTCAGAAAGTGGCACGCAGGGCATGAAGTCCGGCGGAAGGAGTCGGGCTTATAACTGCTGCCTACTACTGCTCGCCTTCCTAACACGGACGACCCCGCTCATCCTTTACCGTTCGCGATAAGCAATCAATAATTCACCTTGTCAAGCGACCCAGGTCGATGACCATTGCGCGATGTTCATGTCATATCGCAATCCAGGATGCAGCAATCTCAGAACAAGCGGACCGCTCGACTTCGATAGATACCAAGGAAGCTCGATGGTTGTGAGCAGAACAAGCTGGACGTGGCATCCGACTTGAGTTAGCCCATAGAAAGTCGAAGATGGATATCTCGAAGAGCTCGAGCTCTATCGGGAACCGGCTACCTTCGCGTCGATACAGGAGGATGTCGTTGGAAGAGAGGACAGTGGAGCAGAGCTGTTCAGGTGCCGAGGTGCAAACTTTCTGGTCGCATTTGCTTGGCGAGCCGGCAAGAACGGTGATTTGTTTTCTTTTTTCTTTTTTCCTCCTTCTGTTTTTTCTTTTCTTTTTTTCTTTCTTTCTTTCTTTCCCTTCTCTTGGAAGAAAAGAAAAAGCGGTACACTGGAGGCAAGCATATTTTGATAAAAAAAAAAAAAAAAAATGAATTGATTCGTAAATCTCGCTGATAGAATGCTAATCTTTTTACAGGGAATCGTGATATTAATGATAGTTCTGTTCCTTTATCCCTCTGTCTTCTTTCCTTCGGAGTACACTCCATCAAGGACGTGTTTTGTGAATATTAATGATAGTAATTAGTTCTCCGTGACTTTTCATCCTCTTCGACCGTTCCATGTTTCAGGGAACGAAAAACACCCTCTCAAATGATTTAACATCTGGTGTACTCAACATCAAACTCAAACTCGAAAGTCCAAGACTGGTGAGTCTTGTAAGAGCCGCTACCACCGAAAGTGGCGTACTTGTTGTGGTCAAGAGCAGCGCCGTAAAGCGAGCAGTAAGTACCGAAAGGCTTGTTGTCCTTGTGCAAGAAGTAAGAGTTGAACATCTTGCAAGGAGTGTAGCTGTGCTTGCCGGCCTTGACGGCGGCGTTGCGGTTGAAGGTGTTCTGCTCAATGGCGTAGTTGGCGCAGACCTGGGGGTTGAAGGGGCCGGGGATGAACTTGCTGCCCATGTGGTACTTGGGAGCGGAGATGGCCTTGGGACCGCAGTTCTGGCCGGGCTTCAGGGTGGGCTTCTTGGGGCCGGGGCCACCAGCGGGGGGAGCGGCAGGTCCGGTGGGCTTGGAGGGAGAGACAACTGAGGAAGAGATGGCGGATGTGCTGGCAGGGGCAGCAGGGACCGAGCAGGAAGGAGTAGTGACGTTGGTCTTGTCATAGGCATCGGAACCAGTGATGACAGTCTGGAACTGCTCGCGGTAGTCGCCCTTGTTGGTGGCGAGGTCGGCAGAGAGAGTAGATCCCCAGAGAGTGCACTTGTAGTTGGTGATGGAAGAGGGGTTAGGGCAGTAAGTCTCCCAGGGAGTGTAGGTGGTGTTGTCGTTGTTGGCAGGGGCAAGGCTGGGGTCACGCTCAATGTAGATGTTGAACGAAGTGCAGAGGTCGGTGTCATCACACTTGGCAGCACACTCCTGGGCGTTGTAAGAGGTCAGGGTGTAAAGACCAATGTAAGAGTTGGCAGAGACTGCGGCGTCCAAGTCCTTGAAGACCTGAGTGTACTGAGTCTTGTCCGAGCTGGGTACAACAGTGGGGGCAGCAGATGCCATGGAGTGGAAAGGAGCGTATGAGTAGAAAGCATCAACAGTGTCAGGCTGGACCTGAGGACCGTAACCACCCTATAAAATAGTTAGCAAATCAAAGATTCGAGAAGACCGGAATAAGTGAAAACTTGCAGGCTGAGGGGCACACGCGTCCTCTGGGTTTATGAAGCCACAATAAGTGCCCTCCTCGGGTGTGGTAGGGCAGGGGGCACTAGAATCAGCAGTAGTGCTTGGAGATTGAGTTTTAGTGGCAGCAGCCGAGCTGGAGGTCGAGGCAGCAGCGGAGGACGAGCCAGTGACGGCATCAGCGGTAGAAGAGCCAGCGGAAGTGCTGTAAGAGTAGGCGGGAAGGTTGGTGGGAGCAGCAGAGGTGGTGATTACAGACCAGGTAGCGCTGGGCTGGGTGGGCTTGCCGCAGCCCCAGCCCTGCTGGGAGCTGCCCTGGCTGCCACAGTTGTGGAAGATCTCACACTCGAGACCCTTGTAGAAGTACCAGGGGTTCAAGAGGCCGAAAGTGCGCTTCTCAAGGTCACGCTTGGCGCCAGCAGTGGAAGTAGCGCTGGCAGTAGCAACAGTGCTGACGGCAACAGTGCTAGCAATGGAAGCCTCCTCGACAACGGCGACACCAGTAGGGCCAGTAGCGACCTCAGGAGCAGAGTCCAGCATGGAGAAGTCAAGGTCTTGGGGCATGGGAGAGGCAGCGGCCATGCCAGCAACGGCGGCCAAAGCAAAGGCGGTAGAACGCATCTTTGGAATGATACCTGATGGAAAGAAGGAACAGGTAGATGAGAAAAGAAAGCGGAAGATAGTGATGAGAAGGTGTTCGGTAGTGGTGGGAGATGGTGATTCTTATACCAAACTCACCTCTACAGCGTCTACTTACAGCTGACTGGATGTTTTGCTTCCCGATCTGAGTGATGCAACCATTTTGGGACCCCATCGTTCTCGTCCGTGGAGCAATGTCCACCTCGAGGCTGTGTACCATACTCACAGTAGCATAGGCTCATCACGGACGGGCCCCATACCACTGACGATGTACTCACAGACTTCCTTGGCAGGTGCTTGAGATCTCAAATTGCAAGGTGAGACAATACTCTCCAGTCTGCACCTGCCGTATGAGCCCTATGCAGACAAACTTGGCGTGGTAATAATGGATCCCGATGATGTTTCGAAATTAGACAGTGCACGACATGCAAATGGGGCACTATTTTGGCAAAGAAAGTCAAAGGTATGGGACCTCTAGGGACGGGACCTAACCTTTTGCAGGACCAGCCCGTGCCGTTCGAGAAAGATGGCGTTCAGGTACGGCGGCAAGAAAGATCCGAATTCATCCAGTGAGCTGACTCGTATCATGGCTGGACCCGTTGAGTTCTGACTGAATGACTTCAGTCAGGTTTTCAACGCTAACTCGTGTTTCGAAGTGAAACCTCTGCTTGGAATGCTGAAGGGGTGAATGGGAGTGAGACTTGAGTGAGCTTCTACGATTCAACTGCGAGGGTCTGTTGTTCGACCGTTTGTAGATGGAGAACGCTTTCTGCAAGACGACGGTTCATGCATGGTGACCTCGTGTAAGCAGGTACAAAACTCGCAGATCAGAGAGGAAGGTTTTGTCGATGTTGAAGCAATAGCTTCGCATGGCACTCGCATAAGAGAAATGATCAACACTTCGACAAATACATTACCTGCCTTCTTGAGAAGCACATCGGGATCGTTCTGGCAAGGCTCGCGTTCTCTCATTTGTTTCGGAAAACTCGGGATGGGAGCTAGGAGTAGGGCGCGAGCGAGCGAGCGGAAGGATTCGTTTTTCTCTCTCCCCACAGAGGAGTCGATTTAGAGTGCGTGCAAGCGCTCGGACGGCTTGATCAGTACAACGCCAAGCACAAGATCGGCCATGTTCTCAACCCGTGTACCTGTTGGGCATCTGTTGGCCATGCAGAGGCGTTGTGAACAGCGTGAGGTCCGTACGCCATCGAGCAACTGCTGATACTCGTCTCGGAGTCGATTCGAACCCCGTACCTATTCCAGGTCTTTGTCGCCATTCTTGAGACTTCAGACTTTGTAATAAAGTGACTCTGAGACAACAAAAATGGCATACATGGTATCCATCTCGTCCAGTCGAAGGTCACAGACGTTAGTCTCGCAGATCCCCCTTGTAGATCATCTCGGTCGCTCGGCCTATTCATAGATTTAGCGCTGAATTGCCGACATAATGTCATGAAAAACCACCAAGCACAAGCAGTGGAGATACTCTTGCATGTAAGCTCGCAAGATATCACAGAACGTAGGCAACTGAAAGCGACCTTGTCTGGTGTTTCCATAAGCGAAGACTAGAGAGAGGGTCTCGAGGGACCGATTCGTTTGAGTGGGCCGCGGCGTTGGTGGCTTTTTTGCCAAACCAAACCTTTGACTTTTGCCGTACTGCCCTACCGACCCTGTCTCACACTTTACTCCCCTCTCTCTACCGAACAACGCGGTGGATAAATGTGCAGGAGGATGAGACAACGCCATGGGATTCCGTCCGCTACGTACGAAGCAGCTGCATATGATTCTTTGAGCTGACGTGGAGTGATGTCTTTCATATAATCGCGCGATCGAATTTGCGCTGTGTGATCTTGACAGGAATGCCGAGATGATCTAATCTTCTGTCAAAGTCAAATCGCTGAATTGAAATGCGCATCCACGGCGCGAATCAAGGAAGACAAGTCACCTTCTCGCGACTTCCCCATGCGTTGCAGACTCTTACATCGTAGTCATAGAAGAGCCGAACACTCTCAACGAGCAGGATAGTGCCTTCCGGAACTCGATAGCCTATTGCTCTTTTTGGCCACGCCGCTGCTTCCGAAGTTGTGTCTCCCTGATGCTAGCATAAGCAAACAAGTCACTTCTTCCCCATTTATAAGCAAAAGAACATCGCATTCTGATGATCAGACATGTCATACAGGAACCCACTCCGGGATTCTGACCAGCTGGCAGCGGCAGTTGATCAAAGTCATCTCGTAGCGAGGGATCTACCCAAATAACGTAGATGATCTGGAGATTATATTGATGATCGACTTGCGCGAACATCGGGATGGCGTGCATTGCACTCGGGCATATACGACTCAGTCACGACGCTGACAATTAATTGACAATCTTTGGTTCTGCAGGTTCAGCCGAGCTGAAAAGCAGCTTCACGACACGACAAGATGCTGCTTGTACGCACATACTCTGCACAAATGGGACTCTTCATGGACACTGATACGAGACCGGGCAAGGAGACATGAGATTGTTGACGATTAGGGCTTATGCCCATGTTGCTGGATAAGCTTCAAAGTCATGTCGGGCCGGATATGGACGAACACCAATACGACTGCCAATCTCTCACTCTGATAGAATCTGTCAACCTCTCTACCGCGTGCGAGAGCCACGTGGGCTTCCATCAATCCAATCTAACCGATCCCTTCGACTTCCAGAAGATCCATAAGATTGCGATTGCGACTTTGAGCGATCCTGCAAACCACAAAACCTTTGAGATATCCTCATCCTGGGTCAAAAAGCCGCCGGTAATAGCACCTAAAACCACCATGATCATGCTTCCTAGTCGGCGGTTGCGTTTAACGTTACGAGTTGGTCCATCAAAGACTTTGTCGTCAAAAGCAAAATCAAAGTATGAGCTTGTTAGGACGACGCTGGTGACTTCTCCATAACCAAGAATTCTTGACATGGCCATTTGGCCGGCGGATTGCACCGATAGCAGGCCCAATGGCAGAAGGACGATGAAGTTGTCGGGCAAGACGTCTCCTGCATTGTTCGGAACAACACCAGTATCTTCGAGGGCGGCGCAAACATATATCAATACAGCCTGGATCAACCAAGAGTAGACCAAAGTACTTCGACGAAGAGGTCCAAGATATCTCATGAAGCGGCTGAATATGAATGCGCCCATAACAAATGAGAGGATGGACATTCCCGATTTCGCCCAGCGCCATGGTGATGATTTGGGTTGCCCAGAAACACCAAGACCGAGGTAAAGTGTATTACCTGCTAATGTGAGTCGCAAGGATTGTTTGATACGGATTACATATCTCACCCGTCTGCATCGAAACGAAGCAGTTCCACACATTGAATACCGCCGAGTCCAGTAGACCAGTAATGAAGCTACTGGCGATTAGGATCGAGTCACCCCATGATTCGGTAAGTTCTGCGTCAAAGTGATCCCGCAGCGAGCTCATATGGCTCTTTCCTTGCTCTTGGTTATCCTCGAGGTCCGGCATGGTTGTTGTACGAGTATGCTCAAGAAGCTGAAAGGATGATGCTGGTCATTGATTTTGCCAGAGACAATTTTGCGTCCGTGCACCATCGTCATCAGTGTCACAGAAAAAAACAAGCCCACAACTGCCGACAAGATAATATTTCGTGGACGTGACATCTGCGAGGACATCCGTATAACAGAATACGGGCCATGGAAGCTACGGCAATCATTCTTGATACATGTTTGCTGTATTCATGATTGACTCAGCGTAGTGGATGTGCTGGAAGGCACTTGTTCTCCCTTGGCCCTTCCATCCTCAAGCTTCGCCTACCTTGATGGCGCATGGACTCAAGAAACAGTCTCGTACGGCGACACGAATCTTCGAACCGGCAAAATGATTATGTCTTTCAATTGGTTCTATCTCTTGCTGAATGCTTCGTCTCTTCTCGTCGATCTAGCATAAGAAAAGAAGAAAAGGAAGGTGTCAAGACCCGGAACTGAACCCCGAACATGCATTCGCGGCTTCCCCGCAAGTTTTCATGACGTACTCACCTTAGACCAATAACCGGCAGATCAAGCACAACGTTCATGTTGACAGCATTATCAAGTCATCATTCTGAAGATCCCGTCAAGAGTATTTACACCACTTTCAATGCTCTTTTTGAAGCTTGGCTTCAATCGACATTGACACAATTGACCATCCACAATGACCAAATTCCCAAAGAGCGTCCTCGAAGAAAGACGAGCTGCTAGCTTGAAGCTGCTCGAAGCTCTTGATGCTTTTGAGAAGGTGGAGCATGGAGAAGACTCGGTGTCAGTGCTGCAATGATCAATTTTAATATCCATCACTGACAAGAAAATCACAGTCCCATGCCTCGACGCGGCAAGAAAGGCAATGATATCCTTGGACCACAGAACCCAGACCGCATGCGTCAGGAACCAGACACTGTATGCCCTCCGGAAACCGACCATGGCAAGATGCCCAACATGAAGTGGTCCGTACCAACCTACCGCTTAGACCATCGATTCCCTTACTAACTTCCTCCTCACAGGTCCTTCACAGACTCGCACGTCCGTCTTGAAGAAGGCGGCTGGGCAAGAGAAACCACCGTCCGCGAACTCCCCACCTCCAAAGAACTCGCAGGCGTAAACATGCGCCTCGGTCCCGGCGTCTACCGCGAACTTCACTGGCACAACGAATCCGAATGGGCATACATCATCAAAGGCACCTGCCGCATCAGTGTCCTCGACCTCGAAGGCGGCTCCTACATCGACGACCTCTCCGAAGGCGACTTATGGTACTTCCCTACCGGTTTCCCCCATGGTATTCAGGGAACAGGCAAAGAAGGTGTAGAATTTCTACTCATATTCGATGATGGAAACTTTTCCGAGGATAGCACATTCTTGCTTACCGATTACATTGCACGAACGCCCAAATCAATCTTAGCGAAAAACTTTCGCGTGGATGAGAAAATCTTTGATTCGCTTTCCGAAAAGGAGAAATACATTTTCCAAGGCACCATTCCTGGATCTCTAGAGTCTGATCGTAAAAGCGTGGGCACACCTTCGAAACACAGATTTACCCATCGTATGCTCGAACAAACACCAAAGAAGTTTCCAGGAGGTGAAGTACGCATCACAGATACCTCCAATTTTCCTATTTCCAAGACGACAGCAGCGGCTCATGTCATTATCAATCCTGGTTGTCTGAGGGAAATGCACTGGCACCCCAACGCCGACGAATGGTCCTTCTTCCTCCGCGGCCACGCTCGAGTAACCATCTTCGCCGCCTCAGGTAATGCACGAACATTCAACTACCAAGCCGGCGATGTCGGTATCGTTCCCAAGAACAACGCCCACTACGTCGAAAACATCGGCTCCGAGCCCGTAGAAATGCTGGAAATGTTCCGCGCGAGCAAATTTGAAGATTTCAGTACTGAGCAGTGGTTGGCACAGACACCTGCTACTACTGTAGCCGAGCATTTGAATTTGAGCGGTGGGAATAAGGAGAAGTTCCTCAAGAGTTTGAGTAGGGATAAGACTGCTGTTAAGGCACCGGTTAGGAAGACAAGGTCGATGAGTGATATGCACAAGGCTTTGGAAGAGTTGCTGTGAGAATGAGAAGGTAGGGAAGATAGAGGGCTATGCATGCAGAGAATCATGCTCTCCAGGGCCAGAAACTGCCCAGACCAATAGCTTTAGAGATGCGACACATCGAGAAGGTGTTAGCTACGAAGATGTTATCAGACCTAATGATCATTATCCTTCTTCTCGCCAAGACACACCTCCGGCCACAACAAAAGAGCGTTTGTTTACTACTGACACAGATTTTCTCTGCTTCGCGTGCCTGGACAGGAGATGTTCAGGTCCTCCTCTTTCTTCCTGCCCTTCTACTCTCTCCATTGTGCTGAAAAAAACACACGTACTCCTGATTTCGAAGAAGCACAAAATCCCTTTTCGGCAGTCATCGTCATTTGGGAAAGTGTCCATTGTAGTTTTGCTTATGAGCCTGTCTTTTTTTCATTGACCTAAGTGATTAGAGTAGATACATACTGATATCCTTGTCTAGAGTAAAGAGATGCCTAATTAGACTTAAGCAAAGCCGCTACTAAAATTGAAGAACGAGTTCAAAGAATCGAGAGAAGAAGGAGTCATTAAACAAGCAAGAGAATAACGTCAGAAGCTAGGAAGAGGAAAACAGCTATTCAACTAAGCCTAGCAGGGTGGAGAAGAAAGTGAGGAGTCAAGAAGTGCGGGAAAGGGGCAAGTGAGCAAGTGAGAAAATAGTCAAAGTGAGAAGCTCGGGTTCATTGGGTGTTTGGCATAGACAGCGGAGAAAAAGGTCAAGAACAAAGATCAATGTGATGAGTCTTGATTAGACATTTTGCCTTGAAGATGAAAACAAAGCCTGAGCATACGGCCAAAGAAAAAACGCCAATGCCAAAAAGAAAGTAAGAAGAAAAGAAGAAAAATATGTAATATCCACAAAATTGATGACCAAAAAAAAAGTGTCAAAAAAGACGAGAAGAAAACAAGATAGAGAACCATGTCTCCATCCAAGAAAGTAAGATCTGTCCAAGCAGCTTCCAAAAACAGCTCTCCGGGCAGCTCCCAAACAGCTTCCAAGGGACACAGAGCGACTCTCTCATCTCATCTACGCCCCCTTAGTCTGCCGCCTTGAAAACCTAGTCTTACTCTTCGCCCTCATAAAACTCCTCCTTCCCACCCCACTATCCCCTTGCCCTTCCCCTCCCCCTCTGCCCCTCCCCGTCCCCTCGCTAACCGTCAACGTGCGTCCATTCCTAGTAGCAACCCTCCCTTCCTCCCTCCTCTTCTCCACAACATCCTGACTCAAACCTCCAAACCCCCCTCTCTTGCGGAAACAAGTCTCCATAAGTGCGTTTGCATCAAGCATTCCCCTCGGCAAACTCTGCACAAGTTGGAAGATTTCCATAGGATCAGAGACGGCTTTGATGGTTTGTTCGGATTGCTTGAAGATGGCGAGGGCGACGCGGAATAAAGTTTTGCTGCCTTCGAAGAAGAGGCAGTCCCACACTCTCAAAACGCATTCAATGGGTAAGGTGCCGACGAAAAGAGACATGAACCATGCTGTTGTTGCTAGACTGACGGTAGGTAAACGAGGTACGCCTCCTGCGGCTGGTGTACCAGGTTTATCGTCGAGTTTCGCCCAGATGGCAGGCAGAGATTCTTTGATTGAGGTCATGAGGACAGCGATGTCGATGTTTGCGCCTTCCAGTGCTACGCCATGGGTACCGGGGAGATGTTCGGTGGTGACGACGTTCAAGAGGATAAATGCCTTTTCTTCGTCTTCGTTGAGGAATAAGAGTAAGAGGCCGGCGATAAAGTTTAGACTCTGACAATATCCTATACTCGGGTTGTGAACAGCAAAAGCTTGCAATACTCGTCTCAGAGCCTTGATCATGGAAGTCTCATTCTCGGTCTCGCCAATCCCGCGGCTCTGTTCTGATGTTGTAGGTCGGTTGTCAGGTTTAAAGCGGTCGTTATCCGGAAAAGTACGGTTGAGATCGCGTTCGATATGCTCGCGGTCGTTGTCACTCAGGGCGCCTTGATTGACCTTCTTGAGCAAATTCCAGTATAACCCAGGATCTTCAGCCAACTTCTTGGGACCGCCAGCATACCAGAACCAAGCAGCACCTCGCCAGTCTGGTGGTATCCCCTTCCGCACATATCTCTTGATCTTTTCGGATTTGGTAGGGAAGCGTGTGGGATGCTCCGTGGTGTATCCAAATTGTCTCATCAAGATATTCCATTTATTCCGTCTTCTTTCGAGATGGAGATTGTACTCTTTTTCCCAGGCGTCATAATCTTCAACAGCGATATGGAGAGATGTCTTCTTGAAGCCATAGCGATCGCGAGGAACGGGTTTCGAAGGAGGCAAAGGAATGCTGGTGCTCACGGGTGAGCCGAGAATGGGAGAGAGGACGGGAGAAGGTTCGACGGTAGGTGGTGGAGCAGACAGCGGTTCGGAAGGCAAGTCGCGGCCAGACAAGATCTGAGTGGAAGTCCTGCTGTGCGAGAGTGTAGGCTTGTTGTTCCTGTCGAAGGGAGTAAGATTGGCATCTGCAAGGATACTCTTCCGATCAACCATGCTGGCAGAATGACTGCGTCTATGCGAGCCACCACCCACCTCGCTCCCAGACGGCGACGTGCCAGGACGCACACCCAGCGTATCTACAGAGCTCTTGGGAGCATGCAGGAAACTGTTTGTGCGAGAGTTTGCCATACTCAAACGCATCGACTTTCGCATCGACTCACGCAAGTCGACACTGAGGTTGACAGGTGTGCCAAAACCAGCAATGTACATGTCCAACAATTCTTCTTCGTATCGCGACATGTTGTCGTCTGCGTCATCCTCATCGTCGACATAGTCAACTTTGACACAGTCCGAAACAGAGCTGTCGGCTGTTGCAATGCTGCTGCGTGCTGTCCCTGAAGTCGAGTCCATGTGGCTGCTTGTCGATGTCATTTGCGAGCGATAGCTGGTGCGAGTTTCGTTACGGTCCATTTCAGGCACAGGCATCGAGACCGGGCTATTGTCTTCCAGCGGCCAACTCCCCTGTCGCTTGAGGGTAGCGTCTGCAATCGACAACTCACGAGGCCGCGAACGAGGCTCGACATTGGAAAAGTTGCGTTGGCGAGCAGGACTCTTCTCATCGTCGGTATTCTCCCACCAGTTGTTGCTCTTGACATTAACCCTCGAGCTATGCGGCGGGGCGACGCTGCCAGCAGTCGCAGGTTTCAAAGCCTCTTTACCAGCATCAGTGGTGATGAACAAATTGGCAGGTTTCTGTCTAGTCTTTGTGGTAGGCAAACTGGGCATCCTCTGTCGCAGGCGTTCGGGCGAAGCCTTGCGCAGCGGGAGATGAGGTTCAGGACTGCGGACTCTGCGCGGCCATGAAAACTGCGGCGTCGTAGGTTGCGAGGGAGAGACGGGCGACTCGGGCGTATTCTGTCGCTGCTTTTGCTGGGCGTGGTAATGCTGGTTGGCGAGGACGGCATTGATGGAAGCCGTGGGAGCCATGGTTCGACTCATGCTGCTGCTTCTGCAATTGCAATACTGTCTATACGAATTTTAGGAGAGCACTTGGACTCATGGTTGTGTTTCGTATAAGCGCTGTCGACCGAAGCTCCGGGCATCGAGCATCCAAATTGGGGTTTTGTCGTATTGGCGTTGTTGTGTCTTGTTGTGTTTGCTGGGTAGATTGAAGCTGAATGAGAGAAGAGAAAGCAAAGCCATGCAAAACGATCGTCAGCGAAGCTCTAGCAACTTGCAACAACCAAGACCAACATCCAACACACAACTTAGGCCGAGCATCCACAGACCATCAAAACACCGGCCTTCAGTCCACCAAAACTGGCACCATACCTCTTCCTCACCAGGCCTGCCAAACTGAAACACTCAATTATGAACCTAAAAAGTGACGTTTCCCATTGGTTCCACACCACCTTTAACGCAATTTCCACACAGCCCGCCAGCCAAGACCCGCATTATCATTCAACTTTGCAATTCGAATTTCCGAACCAACAACTTCATCAAATAAAATCAATCAAGCCTCCCGCAAGCCGTCAAGCCTGCTCCTTCCTTTCCACCAAACAAAATCCCGAGAGCGAAAGAGTGAAGACGGCTGCTCCCGCAACTCAACCAGACATGCAAACGCCTTTCTTCCCGATTGTGATTGCTGTCAAACATCTTCTTGTTCTTGTGTCTACGATTGCTTCGATCCATAGCACGTCAGCACAATCTCGCTCATAATTCGCAATTTTTCATCATTTCGTAACATCAAGTATATTAATTTGCTAAACCTCATCTCGATTTGTTGGTTTATCCAAACTGCTGGGAGACAGGTCCGTAGGTAAGTTACTGTAATAGGGCTGATTGCACCCGTTCATACACCCTCAATAAACATCTCCCCTGAGGAATCCGTCCACAACCGTTTCCCATCATTCAAGGACATCCTCGGGTATCTTCCAACTGCTATACCTTTCGTATGCAAAACTTCAAATGACTCGACCGTTTTCTGTTGTCCACAATCCGTCCGAGTGACATCTGTCATTCCTACCCTGCCCTATCTTACCGTTCATCGTGCCACATGATCGCAAATAAAATGCTGTCGTTAAGAATGATATTCATCGTCTGCCAGCCAAAACCTCACCCAACTCTTTTAATCGCACAGGCTTGGTCATGAATTGATCCACTCCAGAAGTAAATGCTTCTTGTTGTGCTTCTGCACTCGCCAATCCCGTCAATGCAATGACCTTACTCGCTTGCATGCCATGACTCTGTTCAAACGAGCGGATCCTCCTTGTAGCTTCTAAGCCATCCATTCTCGGCATAGAGATATCCATACAGATGAAATCGAATTTGGTCGTTGCATCTTGTTGATGCGAGCAAAATGCTTCTACTGCTTCGACACCATCTTCGGCCGTAACGTAGTCGTGTTTTTTCGACTTGCAGTACCGGACCAGCAACTGGAGATTGATCTTGTTGTCGTCAACGAGAAGCAGTCGTAGTGGTTTGGGCTCATCTTCCTGCTCTGCCGCCTCCTTAGGTTCCTCGGCTCCTCTGCTCTGACTTCGTGCTGTTCGGAATGGTGTTGGCTCGCGCGAGAGCGATGGTCCTTTGTGATTTTCTTCTCGAGCATCAGGGAGGAGTATACTCGGCAGCGTTGGCAGCTCCGTGTCTCGGTACAAGACAACCTCTTCCATCCGTGGTGATTGTTGCTCTTTGCACGAAACAAACGCGCGTGCAAATTTGCGAGGTCCATAAGGTTGTGCAATAAACTCAGTCGTCACTGCTCTTCGCAGTGTCTCATTGTCGTGATAAACCTGTCGGAGCCGGTTGTTGCTGTCACAAAGTACTATGACTGGTTTATTGAGCTCCATCAGCTGGTCTTTAACCGCTGGCAAGTTTTGACAGGTTGTTAGTACTACCGCTGCACCTCCAACTTCATCTACTCCACTGACGATATTGAACTCCATCTTGAACCAGCCCCAGCATTGCTTGTCGAGCGCCTTGCGAAGCGATCGTTGAGACCCACATTCCCCATCAACCGTCATAGGAGGATCTATGAATGCTGCTTTGAGGCCATGAAGTTTCTGTGCCGCTTCAGTCATGAGGAAGGCTTCGTCGTTTGCTTCTGGGCTAGGTGCTGGTTCCATCATAATGACTTCGACACGAATTTCGGTACCCTTGTTCAACTCGGATTCCACGGAAATCTCACCACCGAGGTTGCTGACGATATGTTGCACCATAGAAAGACCAAGCCCAGCTCCAGGGTTGAGAGGATCTTCCTGTGCGAATGGTCTGAATAGATGGTTTTGCAAGTATTCCTTGGACATGCCTCTGCCTGTATCCTTGACGGTCAACGTCACACGGCTTCTCTTCAAGGCCTCGCCATTCAATGGCAACTCCTGAGAAGCGAGGTGAACAGAGATGAATCCATCACTTGTGTACTTTAAGCTGTTACCAGTCTATAGATTGTCAGTACAGTTTCAAGCGTATGAAGATGAAACCACTTACCAAGTTCATGACCAGGCGCTTCCACGCGCCTCCTTCGGTACAAAGCAACCAATTTGCATGGTCTTTGGCCTCGATATCAACAATCACTTTCACGTCCCGATCGCGCGCCATGACATGTTTGGATGCCTGGCTAGCATTTGACTCTTCGTGGTGGCTTGCAGAGGAAGCGTAGCCTGCAAAGACGGTTTCTAAAGCTTCTTCAGTGATTGTAGGCAGATGGACCGTAGAGTCGAGACTCAGGATATCAGCTTCCCGTATTTCAGAATCTTTCTGGCGCTTGGACTTGTTGCGTGTGAAATTGTTGATTTTGCTGAAGTCGAGAAGGTGGTTAATGGTGTCCAGAAGTGTGCGCCCACAGGTCTCGACAGTCTCAATCAGGCCATGTTGCATCGGGTCGAGATCTGACGACTCTAAACATTCGATACTACCCAAGATGCCATGTAGTGGACTACGAAGTTCATGACTGATGCTATTGAGCAAATCAGACTTGGTCCTATCGGCCATGGCAGTATCAAGTTTGGCAACTTCAGACATAATGGCCATACCGAAGGCGCGCAGGAAACTCAACTCGGAATCTTTGTGCAGCAATCGTATAGCCTTGTTCGACCATATGATACCACCGCAGAACCAGCGCATCCTGTGATCATCCCACATGGGAACAAATGCTAGGGAGCGGGCGTGTGGAAAAATGCGTTTCAAATCAGCAATGTCTTTCTCTCTTTGTTGGCGCACTTGTTCCCGTTTCTCGTCATCGGAATGCTGCTCCTCTCCAGGCTCTGCTTTTTGACCAAAGTCTTCAAGGTCCTCAGGTGTTCTGGGGTTCGTCTGATGCATCGCGAGCTCCTTGGGATCGATGTTGAAAATTCTTCCTTGTCCGTAGCGATTCAGGAAGGAGTGTAAGAAGCCTTCGGTAATAGAGAAGCCTGGAGGAACCTCGCCTGCGCTTCCCAGGACATGGCATTCCTTTTTGGAGGCGGAATTACGAGTAAAATAAGAAGCGCTGTCGTCGTCAGATGCAGCGGGTACAGACTGTACCAGAGCGCCAAAGCTTCCAACAGAGGCATCGAGGAAGACGACGCCTTCGACGTCGATGGCATCCTTGATAATGTGGGCAGCACGTCGGAAAGTAGACTTGACGTCGGTGGACAACATTTGAGCTTGAAGATTCTCGAAGTTGACGCTGTCAGTGCCGTCGGTGGCCAGAGATGGATTCTCTTCTTGAATATGCGACATTTCCGAAGGTCTTGAGGTAGCAGCTCCCGGAGTTGCAGGTGGATCACCTTGGTTTTCGACCTCAGTGCTTTTGGGGACTTCCTTCTGGTTTAATTTCATATCGACGTGATCCTTGCCTTCTACAAAGGAGCCCAAGCCGACAACCATTTGCGATGTTCGACGATGCTCCTCTTTTGATCTGACCATATCCAGATGGGACATGACGGTATCGGCCATATGTTCGAGAAATTTCCTTTCGGCATCGTTCAGGCCATCTTTCGTCTGGTCATGAAGGATAGAAATGACACCAATTACAGGGCCATAAGGACTTCGTATGGCGATGCCACCGTAGAATGAAGTGTTGGGAGGGATGTTTGTATGTGATTTGTGCTCGTTGTACCAGTCGTCCTCGGCGACATTTGTGACTATGACAACGCGATCGTGCTCGTTGTTTAGCTTGTTGTCGGCCAGTTCGAGGGTGCGCTCGCACAGTTGTGAGTGCCGTTTTTCGATTCCTGAGCCCATCCATAAGTCGTCCTTGGGGTCTTCGGCCTTGTTTGTCTGGAGGTCGAGAGTCGGGGTGGCTTCAGCCAGAATGTACTGATGGTTGCGATCAAAACAGGAAATGAGACAGCGGCTAACGCGCAATCGCAGGCAGATGAATTGGGCGAAAGCAACGAGTGCATCGTCGAAAGAGGCGGAGCGGCCTTGAGAGCCAGAGTTGAACTTTTCGTTTGTTGTTCTCATGAGATTGTCAAAGGGTTCATAGTATCTGTAGACTTGAGGTTAGAAATGAGTCGCTGAGCATAGTCATAGGAGTTGACATGCTTGTAAAATTCGCGCGCCCTGACGCCTTCAATTTCGCCATCGTACCTGACCGCAAAGGCAGCCGGGGCAGAAGGCGACATGACAACGGCAGCGCTCGTTGGAAGAGAGGTCTGTCGGGGGTAGGGCGCTGCAATCCAGTAGTTGATGGCAGGTGTCAATGTGGTTTCAGGTAAGTGCGATTCCGTCGTCTACAAGCTGGCTCCGTTCGGCATGGTGAGTAGTGTCGTCGTCGTCATCGTCGTTAGGAGAGCCCAAATGCCATGCGCAAGATGGCCTTTCTCATGTTGCATCCCTCAAAGACGATGGCAGAGCTTGGGCCAGTCTCGATGCCTTTGAGTTGGGTCTAGGCCTGCGCCAGCATCGTCATTCAAGCTGCCCGCGCAAGAGTCAGGACTCGAAGCCTGCCGCGGTCTCGGGGTGCCGTCCGGTTGAGTCGTACTTGAATCCACAATTTTACCAACCTGTCTGCCACGCTGACATCACTTTGGTGATTGTCTGTGTGGAGTTGTTTTCTATGCTTCTTGAAATAAAGAAGCGCTTTGTTCGTACGTGCTAAAAGCTGCATGACGATAGCTGCACGACCATGACAGCTTGCTTTTGCTTGCAAATTCGATCATGGAAAGTGCGGGCACGTGGCGCGCGATAAAGCAACCAGGTCGAGCCAATCATGCATGCTAAACGCCTAGACGCTGCCGTCCACTCTTGTCGAAGATACCACCCTGCTCGACATTTGGACGATATATCAAATCACCGGCAGCATCCATGTCAAGTTAATAATAGTCTAGGCTGCAGTGAAAAACAGGCCTCTTCGTGTACTAAAAATCTAATGCGTGTAGCTATAGCAATATACAGTAGTATTAGGGAATAAAATAGGTAGCATACACTAAGACGCACACACGTGTCGACTCTTGGTGGACATTTCTGCACTTGACCAAACAATTGTGTCTTTCTATAGTCTACGTTCTGCTCTCAGCTGTAGTCGGAGTACGGTGGAGGCCACAGACCCTACTACATGGGCAGGGGCTATCATCGCAGGACGATTGTGTAACAAGGTATTCTTTGTTGTTGTGCTAATTGGTCACAAGGGTTGATCATGTCGACATGTGCACTTATAGTCCTATAGTTGGAGTTGACCAAAACAAAAGGGTGTGGTATCAATAAAGATAATCTGTGCGAATAGTCTAATACTTTTAATCCTGATACAAACATGTCATGATATATTTTCCAAAGACTCTTCGAAATCGGGGCTGCGTGATTCGAAGAGCTACTCTACTTCTGCAGCTTCTCCTGAGGAAGAGTCTTGACCTTGTCGTCAAACAGCTTCTCGGCCTCCTGCCACACTCTTGTGCTCTTTCTGTCCTTGAGTGTCTTCAAGCTGGGCAACAGAGCATCGCTGAAAGCTTCTGAGGCCTCACGAGGCAGCAGCGAGGGCAAGTGGTCGATCGAGATGACGCACAGCGGTGGGCCAGCGGTGACCTTGACGGGAACGGTGGGCTTGTCGAAGGTGGTGTTGATGTCGTAGATAGGGATGGGGTTGTGGGGGTTGGTGGTGTCGCAGCTGACATCGCAGACAACGCTGAGCTTGCGCTGTTCCGAGTTGAGCTGAGCGGGCTCGATAAATGGAGGAATAGGTTGTGAGAGATAGATGCAGTTGACAAAGATGTCGCTGTCGAGGATCTCAGGGTAAGGACCAGGACGGTTTTGTGTCTCGGCCATATCCCACTTGATAATGTTCTCGTCGGGCACGCCAACCTTCTGCAGCAGGTCAACGGCACCTCTGCCGCAACGACCCAGAGCGCCCATGACCAAAGCTCTGGGCTTACGGCCAACCTTGTGCTCACCCTTCTCCAAGCTCTTCTTCACGTCGGCAACCAAAAGACCCTCGTTGGCGAAAGGCTTGACACCTTCCAGAGGCTTGCCAGCACCCTCAACCAACTGGTGTGCCCAAGCCTGAACAGCCAATGCAGCGCCAGCGAAACCAGCGTGGAAGCCGAAAGCTGCTACACGACGTCCTTGCTCATCTTGCAAGAACTCAAGGTCGTAAAGTGTACCACCGCCACGAGGGAAGCGAGCGAGCACCTCTTCCCAACCACCTTGACCCTTGTAGCAGTGTGCGAACTGAACGTGTGTGTGCTTGAGGGGGAAAGTCTCTTCGGGAAGCTCCTTGAGACCGACAATGATGTGATCGGTAGGGGCTTCGGTCCAGCTGCCCTCGGGCACCATGTTGGCGCCAACCTTCTCGAACTCGGAGTCGGGGAAGATGCTCAGGCTGCTGCGCTCGATGTTGACGGGGTAGCCCTCGTCCATCAGGGCCTTGGCCGTGGTAGGAGTCAGCGCTGAGCGGTGCTCGAGTGGCTTGGTCTAGAGGACAGCGTCAGCTATGTGAACAGTGTTGGAGATGTTGGGGCGTGTAGATACCTCTGCGCGAAGATGTAGAGTAGGATACGACATGATTGATGTGGAAGTGGTGTGTGATGGAGAGAGAAGGAAGGATAGCGGTCTCAGTTGAACAAAAGATAACTCAGTCCCCAGCAATTGCAGCGTGTGTGAGTCAATTGTCCCAGGGTTTATTTTGCGGACAGTCACGTCAATTCGACCCCGAGACCGGCCGATGCCCCACACTTGCACACCACACACGCTTTTCGTCGGTTTTCGCTTTCCGACTTTGAGAGTCAGCGTGAGCACCTTGATGTCAAGCATTTTTGCATCGTCTGCGCAGATGATTTTGTGTATTAACATCGTGAGAGGGGCAAAACCCATTAGAGCTGATAGTTTTTTTGATCGCGCGTCGAGCTCTGGTTCTCGTCATACTTTCTGCGCTTTGACTATGCTTTCCATGCGTCTTCTGTCACTAATATGCCCACATACACTTCTGGTTCAAGATTCTGGCTCCCAGTCTGTCAAACTCGAGTTGTCCAATCCAGCTGTCGTTTGTGCCTCTCATCTTGCCAAACACACTGCCACCCTTCCACACCAGAACCTGAGGATCGAGCTCTCTAGGTGGGGGTCCAACCAAGATTTCCTTCTGGAAATTTGGCTGTAGTGCACGAAGTCTTTGCTCGAGATAGACGTTGAAGTTGTAAGTCTTGCTACCGCCTCCAATCACCATGATACCACCAAAGAAGTCGCGCGTCTTCTTCTCATCACCCTTGGCGCCTTCGGTGATGCAAGTGACAATTGCTTGATCAAGAGGCATCACAGGCAGCACATGCTCAGTGTCCGGCTGTGCACCTTCGATCCCGGCACCTGCTACGGCTGGCGTTGCATCTCCAGCTCCTGGTACTGGAGTTGCCGTGTCATCAGGAGCAGGCGATCCTGCAGGAGATGAGCGAGGTGTACTCTCCGCTACGTCAGCAAGATGCGTTAGGCGGTCCAGATTCAAAGGTTTGCTGGGTGTTGCAGGCACACCACCAGGTGCTGGTGTACTTGTTGATTCTGCTACAGCTGAAGGAACATTGTCGGACGAGTATTTGTAGACCTGTAGTTGAGCAAGTGACATGGGGTCATTAGGCTTATCATCGTATGTATCAGTTGATCGACCGATGAGCTTGCGTCTGCCGGCAAGCTTATCTGAATGGTCAAAGATTGTTGGTCTAAAGAAGCCCTGCAAGACGTTAGTCAGAGAGTCCGGATCGGAAATGCTTCAATACGTACCATAGGTGCCAGCATGACTTCATCATACGTCTTAAACTGGTACTTGCGGGTGTCTTGGCCGAATGCACGTAGATGGAACTCATAGAGCTGTACGCTGATATGCGCATCCTCGAGCGTACAGAACTTTTGCTTGAGCTCCTCTGCAAGCAGGTAGTCATGTCTCCTCAGCAGATCCATGTTGGCATAATTAAAGTGGTCGTAAAGCATCATCTTGATGAATGTTTCAGTGACATCTTCTCCACCAAACTTCAAGTTCATGCGAGAGTTCTCGACGCACATGCCTTCCTCAACACAGCAGATAGAAGTCTTCTGTGCACCAACGTCAACGATACAACTGCTCGAGTATCCAGCTCCGAATGTGGCTGCCAGACTTTCTTGGATGAAGCAAACACGCTGAAAACCAAAATCCCGGAACATTTCCTCGAGGATGGATGTCACAAACACTTTCTCGTATAGATCAGGAATGATGAACACACAGGAGTACTGCGCCCAGTCTCTCTTACGATTCAGGTGAAGCTCGTTCTTGATGGCTTCCTCGATAATGCCAAAGAAGTCGCGGAGTAGGCTGGATTTGCTCGAATAGTCCTGTTCGTTAAGCCAACCACATTTAAGTGGCCAGTAGAGTCTGTACCGTGGTTTGGAATGCTGTGGTATCCGCAGAGCTGCATGTCCAGTGAAGTATTCAGGAGCAGATGACGCAATTTCTGTCCAGTCAACACGCTGAGGATCATTGTGTTCGGAAATGGTTTCCGGAGCATTGCGCGAGTTCCAGTTGACGACCAGTTCACGAGAATTGGGCAAGACTCTGCGTTTGTTGTTGCGACGGTAGATCTTGAAATCGGCTGCCATGCTACTATATTCCTTTGCAAACTGCTTTCAAGTCAGTATTGTTCTGGCGTCCGAAGCAGCAGGTCAACGCACATCTTCGCCGAATGCACTCTCACCAGCAGGCTCTGCTGTACCGTCCTGCAGCTTAACGCGCTTTGGTCGCGGCTCGGCACCAGGCTCCTCGTCTTCCGCATGTGAAGCCTTACGGGCAATCACCATGGGAATCGTCTTAGGAAGGGCATCTGTTGCAAGACCAATACGTAGATTGCGACTGCCGGGATGAATGACAATCGTCTTTGTGCCAAAGGCTTCAGCTTCAGCAGCTTCGTCCTCGGCAGCATCGTCGTCAATCTCAGCTTGCGCAGCATCAGCCGAAACTCCATTAGAAGCAGCCTGGGCCATTGCGCGGTCCTTGTCGCGCGCGGCTTTGATCATGCGATTGCGGTTCTCCTCGCCTTGAAGGCGGAATGCGAGGAATTGCTCATCGCGCTTCAAGAAGTCACTACAACAGAGATAAAAGTCAGCGATAATGCGCGTCAAGGGAGCAGACCATTGTACCCGTGCGACCGCTCTTGCCGTTCATAGATTCCTTTGGGCATTGGATCATGTTACATGAAACAGACAACAAACATTGAGAAGAGAGGGATGCAAAAAGACAGATGTGGTAAGTGTTCCGTGGGCGCAAAGTAGACAGATTGCTGATGTGCTTGGGCATAGGGAAGAGTAGGAAGAGAAGGGGAGACGAACGTATAGTAATTCTTCTTATTGACGACCTTGGGGATCAATTCAAAGGGGGAATTCATCGGGCCATTAGATGAAGCCATCGTATGCGGCGCGACTTGCGGGTAACGGATATATTATTATTTGTTTGCCGCCGCAAGGGAAGGGGTTTCGATTTGGAGGATTGCTCGGTTTGCTTGGGAGCCAAACAGGTGGCTGATCGCACGCTTTCCCAGGTTGCGCTCTGTCGGAGCCGAGCTTCGTGTCACGTGTGTCTGTCAGCCCTGACCTTCCCATGTTGCGCAAGCTGGACCGTGCACGCAGACCTACAAAATTTCGACTTTTCTCCTCCGACTCTCCTTTACACCACGACAACTTTTGACTTCAAGCTGTGCGAACAGCTTCGCGCACTGCCTGTCCTTGTGTACGGAATGAATGCAAGAGACAGGCTTCGTCAGTCTAGGTAAGCTTCTCCCAAATACTCACCAGAAACACCCCTCTCCAACCTGATGAACGAATGTTTTACGATTAGTCTTACGGAATGTATTCATGTCGACAAACATATTCTGCCCTTTTGCTCTCTGATCCTTTTTGGAGTACACATCTTGCATATTTCAAGCCATAACATGTTTGAAGTCATCTGCTAACATGACGCTCAGTAGGTCCAAAGCTCACAGAGCACAACTCAGCTCTATATAGACATCTACACACCTATGAACAATATTAATAACTTCTTCTTTGAATACCTCACAAATTTACACCTTAACCTCCACGTGAAGAGTGCTTCAAGCCAAGAATCCCGTCATCAAATCCCTCTACTCTTGCTACATAGGTTCAAAAGTATCAAGTCTTGGCATCTGTTTTGAGCGTCCAGGTGTTTGCTTAGGAGTCAGGACAACACACTCGACTCGGCTTCTTCATGACTTGCCGGTTGCTTCATGCCATTCTCCTTTCCCGGATTCGTTGCTTCAACCCACTTGCCTTGCACATGTTTGAAAGAATATCTTGGTCGCCTAAAATGGTCACAGCATCAACATCTCTCAAGCAGCCGGTCACCTCCGATCAACAATCGCTTTCTTCATAGATAAGGCAAGGACAGCCAAGGACTTCTATGAAGTCAGATTCGTTTCCAAGCAATCCTACAGCCTTCCAAGAAAGATACAGTACCTCATGGCAGTCCTGAAGATGCTTGAGGTTGTGATAAGCATCATCGGAGGCCGCCGACACACCTTGGGGCTCCACCTCAGCACGGAGATTTGGATGCCCCAGTACCATGATGGTCATCACTAGTCGATTGTGGGGTCACTTAGACGTCAGTTACAACCTGGAGACATCTTGACTTCGTATAGCATAGTATAAACCATTGCACGCTGGCGATGGAGGTGTTGTTCCCTCTTCGGCTGGCCCAACCACTCAGCGACCGAGCGAGTCAGTGGATCCCATCCTTCTCTTGGCGCCCTACGCACAAGCACCATTGAGCACAACGAAAAGAATTTCGACAACAACCATTTGCAAAGAAAGCTATAACAGCGGCTCGTTCAGAGGCGAGATCACAGTCTTGCTGGCAATCCTTTGCGGCGCCTATCTGATATGACCAAAGCTATGAGTCAATAGGCGAGCACACATGCTGCCGTTGCTGCAAAAGAAATCGTTTCCAAGACCTCGTCCAAGACCTTGGCGACGCCTTTTGCATACCATTCACGCCTTTAGCATCCTTTGGGACCCTGGTTTCTTTGCCCTTATCGTAAACTGCTCGCGTGGTGGTAAGCAAAGACATCTCTTGGCCATGGCTCGGCGAGCAATAGAAAATAAGCCCGAGTCCAACCTTGGTGGTAGACAATTTTTTTTTTCTAGTATTACTCAAGTACATCTTCTTTCGAGCACTCCCTCACGTTGCTGTCTTGTTTCGCAGCCGCAAAAGTCTGTATCAAGATGAGCTGGGTTCACAAGACTAACCAGTCAATCGCCAAGTCGGCGTTTGGCAGGTATTTCAGATTGGAGGGATCTGGTCATGTCAGCATTACCTTTGGTTGTGCTCATACACACTCAAGCTGATAGCTTTCTTACAGCATCGTTCGCGTGATGGATCCTTCTTCTTCACCGAGATCCGTGCCGGTCTCGCTACCTTCTTCGCCATGGCATATATTATCGCTGTCAACTCGTCCGTCGTTTCAGATACTGGTGGTACCTGTGTCTGCCCTCCCACCAGCCTCGACGCCTGCGCTACTGATGTCGCATACAACCTCTGCAAGCAAGAGATCCGTCGCGATCTGGTTACCGCAACTGCCGCTATCTCCGCCTTGACTTCCTTCTGCATGGGCTTGTTCGCGAACCTCCCTTTGGGTCTGGCTCCTGGCATGGGTATCAACGCATACTTCACCTACACCGTCGTTGGTTTTAACGGCACTGGTCTTGTTCCCTACAGAATCGCTCTTACCGCCGTCTTTGTCGAAGGTCTTCTTTTCGTCGCTCTTACACTTCTCGGTATCCGTCAATGGCTTGCTCGTGCCATTCCGACTTCGATCAAATTGGCTACTGGCGTCGGCATTGGACTTTATTTGACCATTATTGGTTTCTCATACAGTGCAGGTGTTGGTCTGATTACTGGTGCGACCAGCACACCTCTTGAGATTGCTGGTTGCTCTCAGCAGTACCTTACCGTGAACGATGGCTTGATGTGCGACCCTAGCCACAAGATGAGATCACCTACCATGTGGATTGGTATCTTCCTTGGAGGTTTCTTGACCGTTTTCCTTATGATGTTCCGCGTCAAGGGTGCGATCATTGCCGGTATCCTGCTTGTATCCATCATCTCGTGGCCCCGTGGTACCGATGTCACCTACTTCCCTCACACTGAGCTGGGTGACAGCAGTTTTGACTTCTTCAAGAATGTCGTAACTTTCCGTCCCATCAAGAACATTCTTGCTGCTCAGGAATGGGATGTCAGCTCTCACGGTGGTCAATTTGGTCTTGCTCTGATCACCTTCCTTTATGTCGATATTCTCGACTGCACTGGTACTCTTTATGCTATGGCTCGCTTTGCTGGTGTCATGGATGAGAAGACTCAGGACTTCGAGGGTAGTGCTACTGCCTACTTGGTCGATGCTATTGGTATCTCAATTGGCTCTCTTTTCGGTACTTCTCCCGTCACTGCATTCATCGAGTCCGGTGCCGGTATCTCTGAGGGTGGCAAGACTGGTATTGCAGCTATGGTCACTGGCTTCTGCTTCTTTATCTCTGTCTTCTTCGCCCCAATCTTTGCTTCTATCCCTCCTTGGGCTACCGGAGGTACACTAATCATCATTGGCTCTCTGATGGCCAAGTCTGCTGCCGACATCAATTGGCGCTACATGGGTGACGCAATTCCAGCCTTCCTTACCATCGCCACCATGCCGTTCACTTACTCAATTGCCTACGGTCTGATTGCTGGCATTTTGTCCTACATCCTTATCAACACCACAGTGTACATGGTTGAGAAGGCTTCTGGAGGTAAGCTTGTCCCTCAAGACAAGCAATTCAAGGAGCCTTGGACCTGGAGACTCGACGGTGGTCTTTTCCCTCCATGGGTCGTCCGCGCTGCCAAGGGAAAGAGAGATTTCTGGAAGCCATACGAGATGGTCGATCACGCAACTAGCGAGCAGGAATCTGTTACCGAGGTGCCTAGCTCAGGTGCCGCTAAGGGTCTTGGTCCTGATGAGGGAAGCAGTGCTAGCAGCAAGGTACGCCGTCGTTCCATTCAGCATGAATTGTGAATAAGTCGATCTTGTTCTGACCTGTTTCTGCTCAAGGTTTGATCTACAAATCTTCCCAAAATTGGCGCTGCTGCATGATTTTGAACGATGTGTTTTGATTTTCCTTCTCGTTCCTAGTACGATAGTTGTACATAGCTCACGATGTCATGGCCAGCAATGGACGCCAGAAACTGTATCTTTGACTGCTATGTTATGGATCTCGTGTTTGTACAATGTGCATAAAAAGTTGAATATACGTTATGCTGGGGCAATGCTTGAAATTTTAGGTAATGATCTGCAGAGAACAGCCGCCACGCTTATCATCCACGTCGATGAAAGAGAGCTCATTGAATTTCATTTCCTTCCAACCTCCAGTATCAAATCCTGCCATGTCGGCCACAAGCGAAACTGACAAACCACTGTCGCTGCCGTCGGCGCCTGCCAAAAACGTGTCGCCTGCATTGACGGTGCAACCGCCGCTGTCAAGAGCAGGCAAAGGTCCAGCACTGATTATCTTGGTCGATCAGGATGCTGCGAAAAATGTCCCAACAGACAGCATCGAACCCCGACCACTGCAAAAATGGGCTGAAGAGAGTTTCCTCGTTGCTCAAATAGATCTAAGAGAGCTACAATATAGCTTTGAAGCGACCTTAGAGAAAACTGTTTCGGTCATCAAGGGTCATCCGGATTTCGATGGGAACGAGAAATTTGGCGTAATCTGTTCGTTATACATGCCAACTCCCCTTTTGCTGAAATTAAAATACTGATAAGATTCAGCATACCTCGCTTCATGTCCCGCTGAGGTCTCTCAGGCACTGGAAGCAGCCCAAGAAATAGCCTCGATAGTCGTTTATGGATCAACAGAGGTTAATTCTACGAAACCGATACTTTACCACAAACCTGGCAACCCACCAATGCCAATTAAGAAGGATGCATCGAAGAAGAACAAGATTTACTACTATCCCAAGGTCGAGCCATTCTTTGTGCTCCCAGCACACGAGTCTTTCCACGCTTCGTCAGCTTCAGTGTCGCATACACGCACGCTCAGCTTCATCAAACCGATTCTCGGTGGACCGTACTTCGATCTCGAGGAGATTTGGGAAGAGCATTGCTTGTATGAATTCGGTGAGAGAGCGGTGGAAAAGACCATGTCTACTATGGTCCAAGAACCTTATGTCAACCATATCCCGACGCTTACTGGCGGTATTGGGAGAGCCAAGTTGACGGACTTTTACCGTGATCACTTCATTTTTAATAACCCAGAAGATACCGCTCTGGAGTTGGTCAGTCGAACTGTGGGTATTGATCGTGTCATCGATGAGTTTATCTTCAGCTTCACTCATGACAGAGAGATTGACTGGCTGTAGGTCTTCGCCAACCTATTCAAGCTAATTGTAATACTGACTCTATAACAGGCTGCCTGGAGTACCGCCAACAGGAAGACAGTGTCGCCTACCATTTACCAGTATTGTCAATATTCGAGGCGACAGATTGTACCATGAGCATATCGCATGGGATCAAGCTAGCGCTCTTGTTCAGCTTGGTCTAATGCCGGAGTATCTTCCGTTCACCTACCCGATCGAGGGTAAGGCTGCGGCACTAGGCAAACACTTCGAATACAGAGTGCCGGCCGCTGGTGTGGAGACTGCTCAAAAACTGGTCGACGAGTCCGCCGTAGAATCGAATCAGATGCTTGCATTTGCCATTCGCGAGGCTGATGACTAGAGATACAAGGTCGAAAGGAACAAGAGGCCTGCCAACGTTCCCACCATCGAAGTGCCCCGCATGCTTCTCATGCAGATCTCCAGGCACCATGATGGCATGGCGCGGGGAAGAAAGTCAATTTACATGCGGTTTCCCCAATCTGCCTTTACAAGCATCTTTATGCTCTTCCAAATAAACAGCAAGATCGTGATCGATTGGTGAGAAGCTTTTTGGAAATTTTTACCAAGCATGTCAGCCGTGTGACAATTTATTCCATGACGTCTTGCACAGCTGACAGACATGTTTATATGTACCTAGGGTTTCCCATGCACTTCGAACCTCTCAAAGCTGTGTACACTGCGTGCTGGACAGTATGTTCTCATCTTTTGTGTCCATAGCGCTGTTGCTCGCGCTAGTCAATGGTTTGTAGTTTCCACACGTTATCGCAACCTATCTTAACGCTTTGCACTACAGCTCAGAAGCCGCAATATCCTCCGGCGTTCCCCTTACAACCTTCTCTGGCATCATCTTACAACAACGCCCCGAGTGTTCTTCCCAACGTACTTGATACCAGTGCTCCGAACGCACAAGATGTTTGTCCTGGATACAAAGCCACCAATGTGGAGCAAACCAGTTCTGGTCTGACGGCTGATTTGACTCTGGCTGGTACGCCCTGCAATGTCTACGGTAATGATATCCAAGACCTCATTTTGTCTGTACAATATCAAAATCGAACCAGACTTGCCGTCAGCATCACTCCCAAGTACCTAGCTCCGCACAATGAGTCGCTCTATATCCTTGATGAACGTTATACTCCACGACCCGGCGCTGAAGCAGGCTGTACCAATACTACCAGTGACCTGGCCTTTTCTTGGAGCAACGATCCCAGTTTCCAGTTCAAAGTCTCTCGAGTCGGATCTGGTGAGACTATCTTCAGCACATATGGCAAAAAGATAGTTTTCGAAGACCAGTTCCTCGAGCTCGTCACTTCGATGGTTCCGGATTATAATGTGTACGGCTTTGCTGAAGCTTTCCACTCTTTCCGGCTAGGCAATAATTACACACAAACTTTCTGGAATGCCTACAATCTAGACAATGACCAGCTGCCTGACGTCAATGGACACAGCACGCATCCAGTTTACCTGGAGACTCGCTATGGCAATGACACATCTACCTCTCATGGTGTATATGCTCGCAACGCACATGGTCAAGATTGGCTGCTCAGGGAAGACACCATCACATACCGCACCATCGGCGGCAGTTTCGACCTCTACTTTCTTAGCGGCCCTACACCGAAAGAAGTCATCAGCCAATACCAGGTGGGTATAGTCAACACCCCCGGCATGCAAGCTTACTGGGCACTTGGTTTCCATCAATGTCGCTGGGGCTATTTGAACTGGACAAACCTCCGCGACGTAGTCGAGTTGTACGCCGAGCAAAACATTCAACTCGAAGGCATCATGAACGATCTCGATTACCTCAATCTAAACAGAGATTTTACCCACAATGCAAATTACCCAGTGGACGAAGGTAGAGAGTTCTTGAATTGGCTGCATGCGCGTGGTCAATACTACTTGCCTATCCTGGATCCAAACATCTACGCCCCAGACCCGACAAATGCCAGTGATGCATACCCACCCTTCGACCGCGGCAATGAACTCGATGTCTTTATCAGAAATGGCAACGATAGCTTGTACTACGGCATGGAATGGAATGGCTTCAGCGTCTGGCCCGACTTCTCCGTGCCCCAAGCCCAACAATTCTGGACAGAGCAATTCCTCGAGTTTCACAAGTCACTAGCGTTCGATGGCTTTTGGCTCGATGTCAGCGATCCCACTTCCTGGTGTACAGGAAGTTGTGGCCAATATCAGCGAAGTTTAAATCCTGTGCATGTGCCTTTTGCACTTCCTGGAGACCCTAACACAAGTATTGCGGTGGATTATCGCTATCCGGAGATGTTTAATGTTACGAATGCGACTGAAGCTGCTTCAGCTAGTGCGGCAAGGGCGTCGCAGTCATCGGCGTATCCGTCGATGACACTTGCTCCTTCTCCTATTTTGGAACGAACACTTGCTACTCCTGGTGTTCGCAATCTCAACTTCCCTCCTTATGCGATTAACAACTTCTTGCCTGGTCATAGTCTGGTAAAGCAGGTTATCGCACCGAATGCTACTCATCTGGATGGACCGTACAACAGTACCGAGTATGAGTTGCACAATCTTTATGGCCATCTAAGTGCCAATGCATCATACAACGCTCTTGTTGCGGTGTATGAAGGGAAAAGACCATGGTTCATCGCTCGAAGCACTTTCGCTGGAAGTGGTGCCTTTGCTGGCCACTGGGGTAAGTAAGAACCATAATATCAATTTGAAGCCGACATACTGATTCGAAACAGGTGGTGACACGAACTCCGACTGGGGAGACATGTATTTCGGCATCTCGCAAGCCTTACAATTCTCCATCGCTGGTATACCGTACTTTGGTGTTGAGACTTGTGGCTTCAATGGAAATGCAGACATGGAGTTGTGTACAAGATGGATGCAATTGAGCGCATGGTTCCCCATGTGAGTAAAATGGAAGTGTCAGAAGTCTCACACTGATGTTTGAATCCAGGTATCGCAACCACAACAATCGCAACACCATTGCTCAAGAAGCATATCGCTGGGCAACTACAGCCGAGTCAACGAGACGCATCATGAACATCCGCTACTCCTTGCTTCCGTACACATACACACTCTTCCACAAAGCAAACAAGGCAGGAGAGACAGTACTCAGAGCTTTGGCTTGGGAGTTCCCCGAGGACGAATCGCTCAAAGCCATCGACAACCAATTCATGAGCGGTCCAGCACTCTTGGTAACGCCAGTACTCGCACCGCTCGCCACCTCAGTACAAGGCGTGTTCCCTGGAGTGGCGACTGGAACTATTTGGTACGACTGGTATACCCTGTCAAAGGTCGATGTTGCTCCAGGAGAGAATAAGACATTGAGTGCACCGATCGAGCATCAACCAATCTTCGTCAGAGGTGGCTATATCATCCCCATCCAAAAAGCTGGAAACACGACTGCCACTTCTAGAAAGAGTCCTTGGAGCTTGCTTGTTGCTCTTGACAAGAATGGTATGGCTAGTGGTGAGCTGTACCTCGATGACGGCATCAACATAGTTCAGAATGCAACCAAGAATGTTGAGGTATGTGGATCTCGTCTCTCATCTCCTTATAACTACTGACCACCTTGTTAGATCTCCTTTGCAAACAATACGTTGTCTACCAAGATTACTGGTAACTTCGAAGACGGCATCCCATTGGCAAACATCACCATCGCCGGTGCGTCGGCTCTGCCGAAAGACATCAAACTCCATGTCGATGGCGCGGCTTGTGAGACTTCTGTCGTTGAAGTCAAGGCAGGTGGCAACGTGACCTACATAACAGGACTTGAGGGTGTGACAACCGGTGGAGCGTGGCAGAGCGATTTGACACTCCATCTGGTATACTGAGCAGCATGAATAGCGGAGCTTCCTAACCAGCAATGGGAACCCTAGTTATTGAGGGAACATAGCAGATGAGAGTAATCCATTGAGCAGTTGAACATCAAACGCTGTCAGCTCGACGGAGCCATGAGAGTATTCTAGCATTTTGTTGGAGGCGAGGAAGAAGTTCAGCAAGCTCAAATCCTCTGAGCTCAATCGCAACGTTGTAGAGCCGACTGATGTTGCCGAAAAGCATCAAGACCTCTCAATGTTCATGGTGGCTGGCATGTTCAAGAATGCAGGTATAATGATGAGTGTTGTTGACAATGGGCATAGAGTGCTGATACCGCAATCTCTGAGCAATGTTGAGGAAGTTCTCCGGCTTGGACGAGATGACCGGTCTGATATGTCAAATTCTCGACTTAGTGCGTCAGAAGACGCGAATGATGAGGATGACGAACACGATAATGATGATGAGATGAACGATGACACGAATGAAGAAGCGCTGGGTAGGTATAATTTGAGACCAAGATGAAGGCTTGCCAATATACTACCAGCACAGGAAGTTCTAACTCAAACGTAGAAGGTCATAATTCATTCGATAATAAGCTAAGCGATGGCAACAGCAGATAAGGTTGTCATCCACCAGAAGAATCTCCATCTCGAATACATCCACTTCTCGTCGTAGTACTTTGCTTTCCTTGACAATCTGGTGACGATACCGATGCAAGACATGATCAAGACAGCCTGCTCCAATTCACTCTCGGGATTGATGAACCACTGCACTGCCGTCCGCTTCTTTCCTTCCTTTGTCGTTGTCAAGCTTGCAATCAGAGCATCTCCAGTACTGCGATCGCGTAGGTCGTAACGTGCTGGAGTCGATCCAGTGATATCGCCTTCTCGATACGTCCAAACGAGCTCTTTTGAGCGAAAATCTAATCCTCTCGGTATCTTCAACGTAAATGTCTTCGGATGAGGATATCCGATGCCAGCGACGACATCTACCAGCGGTGCAGATAAAAAGTTCTTATCATCCAATCCGATGATACTTTCATCTACATCGCCACCGTGACTGACCATAGCACAATGAATTCGAAATGTGTTATGAGCCTCTGGAAATGACAAACATCCTAATGCCTTGTTTGACTTTGAAGCTCCAGCATGGATCCAGACTTTCGAGCTCGAGCCGCGGCTATCATTGACGAAACAATATCTGTCTATATTGTTGCTGCGAACAAGGAGTTTTGAACTGATAAGTGAGGCTCTCACGAAGTTGTAGACCGGGCGTTTATTTGTGTTTATCGCAGCATCGGAGTAAGTTGGAATATCTGAAATTGTTCTGGAATGCGAGCGCATGCGCGACACAACTGCAGAGTCGACTGTGGTGTGTGAGCCGGCCTGGGAATAAGTTGGAAGGTCCGGATCGGTGTGCTGGCCGCTGTCACGTCTGACCGCAGAAGGGCTGGTCACAGATGCACTTTTCTCCATGGCGACTTCTCATGTGCTATGTGTTGTAGAATGTTATCAAACAATTGCAAGTCATGGTGACCGACAGTGGCCAAGGGTCTACTCAAGTACTTGTACGCATCATCATCCATCATTGCCTCGTGACAGCCGGAAAGGATGTTCCCGAACAATTGGACCAATTGCCAATGTGTTAATCAAGAATTGTTATCACCGCTGAGGCACTTACGACCAAGAGGGGTCTTGAATGCACGCCCAATGCTTGCATCCTTCGCCATGCATTTCTTGAGCGCGACGAGCGCGATTTCCTTGTTCATGGCAGGATTGAATGACGGCAATCGCGCTGTGTTTGCCAGGTCCGCCAAGCAATCGCCGATCGCAGACCTCCCGAACAACCACCACGATGCTTTGTCCGATTGTCCTTAAAAACACTCTTGATCGCGAAAATCATTGTGAATTCGTGAGAATATATAAGTGACAAATTGAGTGCAGCTTCCAGAGCCAAGATTTGTGGTTCAGCAAAGATGAGAAGCGACCTTTCTCTCATATCAGTATATACCGCATATAACACGCTCCGTAGAAGCAAACGAGTATTTGTTGAGAGCCTGAGATGAAGGCTTCCTTGTGTCTGCAATTTCATTCTGGAGGCATCATTCAATTCCGATGGGAGTTGTCCACGGATGGCGACTGTCGACGAAGCTTGTAAGAAAGAATGAGCGTGTCTATGAAAAGTCGCTCAGTGTTAGAAAGTCAAGGGTGGTTTATGTTTGATATCGTTGAAAGCAGTCAAAGCAAGTGAAGAGTGGGTGCGGTCAGAGGAAACTGAGACCGAGCAGTTGCTGTCATGAGGCTGCACAACCTGGTTTTGGTCAAGCTTAGGGGCAGTTCTATGACTCCAGAACACTGTCAGCAGGTCCTGAGGACATGCAGAAAAGATGTCCTAGCTATACAGAGCAAGGGAGATGGAAGTTGCGAGGTGATCCTTTCTCGATTTGCCAAGCTACCTTCGTTAGGCAAGCATCTGACACTCACGAGCTTCTATGAGGATCGATTGTTTCTTCAGATTCAGTTCTGCAAACTGCGGGATTCTTTGTTATCTCGTGCTCCGAGCGGGTCGTGCATGTTAAAGTGAGTGCCGGTTGATCGCTGTCCGGCGTTTGCACACTACCCTTTTTGGCCGTTTGCACCATCTATCAACTTTTGATCCTACTTTTCTCTCACTTCAAACTCATCCTGAACCTCTCAATCCCAGCGCATCTTCCACTACACAGATCAACATGGCGTTGCCTGGCATCGAAGGATTCAAGAATGTGTACCAGATTCTGGAGGCTGTATCAGCTGGCGACAAAGTCAGGCTCCGCCGCGCTGCACGCAAGATCCGACTCGTGTTGATGTGTGCCGACGACACTTGTCTGAGCGAAGAGCACCGCGCTTGTCTGACTGCCATCCTCGGTCTTCTGGTGACAGATTGGGAGGAAGCCGAGGTAAGCTGTCCCTGATGATTGCAAACATTAGCAGCACTGACAGCCTGAGTAGAAACTCCGTCTCGAAGCAGCTCAATCGTACCTTCATGTACGCGCAAAGGCAACTCTATGCTGTGAGAACGCCATTGCTCGTGTCGAAAACAACTTGCGTCACCTCCTGCTAGAAGAGCTCAACAACAAACAGAACAGATACATACCTCCTGGAAAGACCTTGAAGAGCATTCAAGTCCGCAATGAGCGCGAAGCGAAGCGGAACTTGCAAGAACTTGGCCTGGAGTTCAGATACTCCACGTTGAAGAAGTATCCTGAACGCGCCTTTGCTCACTCCGCCTTGAAACATGTGCTTGAAGATAGAGCGCTTGAACAGGTAAGTCAAGAACTCACAAGCTGTAGCACACTGCTGACTCGCTTCAGAAATTCAACGGCTTCGTCGAAGTCAAAGATGCGGATCTGCTGGACTTCCTCTTTGACGGCTATTTTGAAGCACTCTCGGAGCATCACAAGACAGACGCCCTCAACGACTTCGATCCTGACATCGACGAAGCTCCCATTGCCACTTTCTCCAAGACAGAGATACCGACTACTGCTTCAGAGCCCAAGATCCTGTCGCCCGATGAAGCTGAGCGCAAGAAGGCCAAGAACAAGAAGCGCAACCTGCGCAAGAGAGCCGCTGAGAAGGCTAAGAAGAAGGAGAATGTCGCTTCCGCCTCCGCACCTGAGGTTGGAGCCAAGCCCAAGCCCAAGGTGAAGCTTGAGTCAAACATGGCTCTTGTCAAGATCAGCTCGTCGTCGGAGGGTCCATCATCAGACCACGATGCGCTCCCGAAGATCAAGTTTGTTCCTCAGCCAAAGGACAAGGTCTGGATGAGGCATCCTTGTTTGAACTCGGAAGAATGTAACGACTTCTTCACGCAGCTTCAGGAAGCAATGCTTCGCGTGCCTACCGCCGATCTGGAGAGACGTGTTTATGGTTCCCAGGCTTGATCGTTTGGTGGAAGCCCAGGGGGATGCCAGGAGAGTTTTCTCCGCTGAATCCACAAGATTAGAGAGTTCAGAGTGGTTCGGGTTCCGAGGAGCTCGACATGGCTTTGTACAATAGTTCCATCACGTATTGAAGAATTATGTCAGACGCGACACGCATCGCTGTTCATGTTTGTTGGGTACCATCACTGGATCAAGGTGATTTGCACGTTATTGCATAGGTAGATCGAGTACATCAGATCGCTTGCACCTGTTCGTGAGTGTTTATGGGCAATAGGCTCGAGGAGACGAGGGAAAGAACTCTCAAGAAGGACAGAAATGACGGTGGACCCGCGGGCTTGGCAAATGTCACAGACGAAGGCACAACTCAATTCAAAAACAACTTCATTTCATCGGGAAAATCATCTCTCCTCATCTCATGACTGAAAATCCTTCCTATGGACCGCTTACAGGACCCCAGCGATTAGCAAAAGCAGCATTGTGGTCGATGTTGTTGTGGATGCCGACGAATCCAGTGCTCTTCTTGCCGACACTCACATCACCAATGTTCTGCTTCACATCCAAGACCTCATCAATATTGCTTATACCGACGGCGCCATAGCCCAGTTCTGCAATGGTGACGTTTCCTATATCTTGATTGGTCCGGACCGCTCTTGATGACTTTACGACGTACTCGCTCACAGTCGCGAATTGACCGACCACCATACGGGCTCGTGAGATATCGCGAAGTCCTTCCTCAACTCTTTCTATTTCATCGATGTCGCCGGTGTCTTCCGACTGCCTCTTGACAATCTGGAGTCGTTCTTCTTCTGGGCGCAGGCCCTCGATCACAGCTCTTTGGGCAGCAAGAAGTCTGGTAGCCTCTTTTTCTTGTGTGAGCAGCTCGACGATACGCTCAGTGGTACGAGCATGCTGAACCTGTCCCTGTCTTTGAAGCTTCAGCGCGATGTCAAAATCAGCGAAGTGATTGGAGTGACTCACAAAGCACAGCTACTCATGGCCATTGTTACACTCTGCTTGCAATTGTTGAGCTGTGTTGACAGTTGTGAGATCTTGCGGCTTTGCGTAGCTATCAGAAAGCCGTCCCGAAGAGAGAGCTTGTCGCTAGATGGCGAGTGTCTCGTCCACTTTTGAAGTGTTGACACGAAGCTCTCACAAACAGTTCTCAGCGTTTTGAGTGCGCTAGACAGCTTGGATCCATCCAACAACTGTGTCCAGGTTGTATCGTTTGCGCTACCGTCCAAGATCTTCTCCAGCTGTAGAACGACGGACTCGGTATCGTTCAGCTCCGCTCTTATCTGGTAGACTGCTTTTGGTGCGGCCTCGATCTTGTCGATCAGATCGACTGCTGTATGTATCGCGTGAGTAGTAGTGGCGACGATGCCGACCACACCAGCTACGATGCTAAGTGGATCGGTCATCTGGATGGTCGATACGAATCGTCTGTGGCGAAGAGATGCTGCGTCTGGCGCTCGAGCGTATCGACACTTTGATTGCCTCTGAGGGGTCGCGGTAACATTAATATAAGAGGGATGTAAGCGCTTGTGGCGTTCATGCAGGTTGCTGATCTGTCACGCGTTCAAGCCTCCGCCGACCGGAGAAGAACAACAGAGTCTTCCAAACGACTCCCTTCAACATGGCTCATCTCGACATCAGCGTCATCCATATCCTTGTACCGATCAACCCGTCAAAACGCTCAAGTTTGTGCGTACTTATTGTCAGGAACCGCGCGTTGTCATTTTGACTACTATACACAATGTCTCGCCATCAGCAACACATAAGGCAATGGATTGGGAATGTGACTTTGGGCAATAATTCGACCGCAAGTGTTGGTATCTCGAACTCCTATATTGTCCAAGAACAGAAAAATGTACAGCAAGCCTTGTCCTTTCCCGAGATGTATAATCGACTACATGAGATCTCAGACGCGACTTCTGGAACTTGTTCCTGGGTTCTAGACAACAATACCCTCCGAGATTGGCAGCATGCGCAGTGCGGACTCCTTTGGGTCAAGGGCAAGCCTGGTACCGGGAAATCCACCATCATGAAATATCTGTGGGATTATTTTGCTCCAGCTAACAGCTCGGAAGCTAGAATCACGGCGTCATTTTTCTGCCATGGTCGGGGGGTTGACCTTCAAAAGTCTTCATCTGGTATTTATCGCGCCTTATTGCATCAACTCGTTGAACAGATGCCCTCGTTACATCAGGATTTCGAGAAAAGGTTCCAAGCTCGTTGTAAAGCGCAAGGACCATATGGCTCTGCCTGGGATTGGATGGACGCTGAGCTAAGAGACTTCACAAAGGACTATCTTCTGAGGTCTTGTTCTGAACTTGAGCTTCTCATTTTTGTTGACGCTCTTGATGAATGTGGAGAGGACTGTGCCCGGGAACTCCTTGACTTCTTTCAGCGTGTTGTCACTGCTTCGGAAGCACAAAATGACAGTACGCTCAAGATTTGCGTTTCCTCTAGGCATTATCCACTCGTTCGAGCCGATGTTCTGTTCGAAGTTGTCGTGGACGGCGAGAACTCCGCAGATATCCACCTATACGTCGATCAGAAACTCAACGCGTTCCGCGACAGTACTCAAAGACATGACGAGCTGGTATTGTCTATTGCTTCCCGAGCTGGAGAAATCTTTCAATGGAGCGTTCTGGTGGTTGCTAAGGTGATTCGATCCCTGGAAGGTAGGAAGCCTGTAGAACTTATCTTGCGGGACATCGAAGAAACACCGCAACAACTATTTCAACTCTATCGCCAAATTGTCCGGTCGTATTTGGACGATACAAATGTCGACCTACGGGATAAGAAACAGTTCTCTGATCTTTTCCAGTGGGTCGCTCTTGCAAAACGGCCACTTTCAGTCCTTGAGTTGAGGTCTGCTTTGCTGATCGACTGGGTCGATCAACACTCTCAGCACTCGCTACCAACCTATGCTGATTTGTATGCGCGCGATCCCTTTGGTGCTGACGTCGAGTTCTTGTCTTGCGGACTTGCGAAAGTGGTCGAAGAGCTACATTACAACTCTGTTTTCCTTACGGTCGAGTTCATCCATCATTCGGTTCAGGACTACTTTTTAAGTGGTGGGGGTCTCCAAGATCTTCAAGATCTTCAAGATTCTGATTCTGCAACGACAGCTAGGCGTACGGCAGAACTTAACATTACGGGGACATGCCACAAGTCTGTTCTTCTCTCTGACGCAGATGCTCATATTCGGCATCCGCTTCTCGATTACGCTCTCGAATACATCTTCTTGCATGCTCGATCGGCTGAGGAGGGACAGGCAATGCAGAATGATCTTGTCCAGATACTCAACTTCCCCCAAGATGATTGTATGACAAACTTAGCAAAGTTTTCCTCTCTGTACAGATGCAATCTCCTCCATGTTGCGGCACGCTTCGATATACCCAACCTCATCAGTAGTGTACTGGACCTGGCGCCTAAGGTGAGCATCAACATCCGCGATGACCAACACCGAACAGCACTACACATCGCTGCAAAAAAGGGCAATCATAACGTCATGGATAGACTCCTGAACATTAGTCACACATTCACAACAAAGTCAATGCTACATTGGCGCCGATGGAGATTGAGAGTTTTACAGCTGAATGCTCTCGACAGCGAAGGAGCGACACCACTGATGCTGGCTGCCCAGAATGGCTATATCAGGATCGTGGAGCAACTTGTTCAGACCCAAAGAGCACATTTGAACGCAAAGAATCCTGATTGTGCCACAGCATTACATCTGGCAATCGAACATGGACATGTGGATATAGCCAAGGCTTTGATCCATCATGGGGCAAATGTCCGAGCCAGAGATTGCTATCATTTGACACCTTTGTCACTCGCCTTAGTGGGTTGTTATCGAACAGCTCCTTTGTCACTTGCTCCACAGAATGATCCTGCTCTTTTCTGGTCAATCTTGGCCCAATCCAAGCAAGAATTGTACTTGAGGCAGCGCGACTACGAATCGCCATATGTTGGATCGTCGCCTCTTCTAAAGCGGCTGGTTGATCATGTAGCACTACGGTATCCACGCTGGCCACAGGATGCTGGGTCATCGCCTATAGAGATGGGACTCTCATGCGAGGACAGCCTTCAGTTTGCACAGGGTCTGCTTGATCAAGGCTTTGATCCTCACACTCCGGATCGATATGGTTGTGTTTGGTTCTCATACCTTGAGCCTGAATCGAACCCTGAGACTCTGGATCTTTTGCAATCACTTCCCGGAGCCAACATCAACTTTAAGGATGAGTGTGGTCGAACGCTCCTTGCACGACTATCGTCCTCTCAAAGTCATGATTGCTCGATGTTGAAACGTCTCCTGGAGGATCACAAAGTGGATATCCGTACTGAGGACAACGACGGAAAGACTCCGTTGACGATTGCAGCCGAAAAGGGTTCTATCGAAGTGGTCAAAGCACTTTTAACAGATGCCAGATCTGATCCGCAAGCAAGAGACAAGAAAAATCTGTGTGCGCTGGACTACGCGAGAACACGGAAAGTCAATGCTCAAGATAAATTCGAGGCAGCGAGAGTCGAGGAACCACATAATGTGCCCTTTTATCGTGAACGATGCGCTCAAGCAGATGAAATATTCGCATTGCTGGAGCCATGTTGATCCTGGTCACTCTCTTTCTTTCACCGTGCTCAGTCCCATTGCAAGGAGAAAGGTGACTTAGAATATTCAAGAAAAGATGGTACTTACTGTCTGTGGCGAGTCTTTCTACAGATCACTTTTCGAGATCACTCCTCAGGAGACGTCCAATGTTCTGGTTTTCTCACTTCCCCACAAGCATTGACACAGTTACATCCTGAGTTTCTTCCACTTCCACAAAGCACCCTAACCACCAAACACTGATGCGAGTCCCGTGAGTACGATGAGCGGTCCATAGCTCGATCGGACTCCGAAACTGCTACCAGCAATTCCACCATATCTCGGTGCCAGCTTTCAGTACTGGTACGCCGATTAAGTCTCCGGCAACATAACCAATGCCTCTTGCACCATTCAACAAACCGTAGACCACACCTGAATCTATGGCCGTATACGATCGTATTTGATCTAGACATCGAAACGTTTGACTGACAAGACTTCGGATGTCTATATCAAAGGGCGCAAGGCCGTCATTGCTAATTTCCAGCAGAGCATGCGCCAGTGAAATCCATGTAGTCCTAAGCTAGATGTGCTTGGAAGTGGGATCGGATGCAATCTTGAGGTTACCGGAAGCAGAAGTGAAGATATGGCAATAACATTGGACGACTCTTTGGTGGATATCCTGTCAATAGAGTCCTTTTTTAATGTTTTTGTAGTTGGTCATTGACCGTGTCGGCATGAGCGACAAGTCTTGAAGTATAGGAACGACAGAATCTTTGGAAGTCTACCAAGCCAATGCCGATGAAGCTTGATATACACGAGTAGGAAGACTTGCAGTGATAGAGCTGACCGAATCAATGTGTGAGAAATGTGTGAATTTTGCTGCCACCTCCATTGTTGCTTTGCAGTGTCTTTGCGATTAGTCTTCCATCGCCGTGACGCATCGCATAGTGACTTCTCATGAACCTGCTCATAGACTTAAGAAAACGCTGCTCATCATCTGATGATACTGTGGAGGGGCTCATCGTTCCATGACTTGGAAGGGGGACGCATTCTCTACAAAGTCCTTCGAGAGCTTCTGCAAGCGCGCCACCAAACAAAGTTCCTAGCACACCACAACCACTCTTTCGATTGACAAAAGCAAGAAGACAATACACGATGGATCATCCACTCGATTTCTCTCAAGCAATCTCTCTTTGACTTGCATCTGCTAAAAGGCAGAGACAAGGAAACGATGCCCTCTCGAACGACCACCCCTACCACCAATATTATTGAAAATGTGTTGAGCGGGATGGTCCTATGTCTGAGCCTGACACATTAGGTCTGGCTTTGCTTACCAGTCCTATGACTGGGCAGTTCTTCTTGGTGTTTTTCGACCGGTCCTAGGACTGTCCGGATTTCCCTGTTATTTACTGTCCGGTCCTAGGACTAGCCAATTCCTGCCTGGTTCTGTTGCTACCTACCTATGCTATATAACAGTCATGAGATTTTCTTAGTCCTGGACTAGGAAAAAACAGACCCCTTGCCCTGGACCAACAGATTTTTTAGTCCAGAACTAAGAAAATTAGACCTTTTGACTGTATCTAGTGGCAAAATCAACGGTTACAAAACACATTGGCTATCAACTAGATTCAGTTGATGGAGGTCCATGATCCACTAAAAGCAGCAATGTCAACTAGATTTGGTTGATAGAGGTGTCTGTGTAGCATTCGAAGGCAGCCTCATCAACTAACATTAGATGATGGGGTTCCACGATACACCAAAAGCAAGCTTGATCAGCTAAATTTAGTTGATAGAGATGTCTCGCAGCGCGCTGGATGGTGGCGCCATCAACTAAATTCAATTGATAGAGTGTCCTCGGTACACCAAAAGGTAGCTTCATCAATTGACTCAACTAAATTTAGTTGATAGAGGTGTCGCTGCATTTTATCAAGACTACAAGGAACAGCAAACGAATGCTCGTTTTCAGAAGGTCCGCGTTGGCTCAGAATTGATGTAAAGACTGCGTATAAGACGGAGAAAAGAACGCAAAACAAACGAATATTCGTTTTCAGAGGGTCCGCGTTGGCTCAGAATTGATGTAAAGACTGCGTATAAGACGGAAAAAGAACGCAAAACAAACGAAATTTCGTTTTTAGAGAGTCCGCGTTGGATCAGTACCAACATAGAAATTGCGTGGTCACCCAGAAGTAGTCAATAACATGCGGTCGAAGGCAAGAGAAAGCGGTAATAGAAACGAAATTTCGTTTTTAGAGGGTCCGCGTTGGATCAGCACCAACATAAAAATTGCGTGGTTACTCAGAAGCAGTCAATAAAATGCGGTCGAAGGCAAAAGAGAGCGGTAATAGAAACGAACATTCGTTTTCAGAAGGTCCTCGTTGGCTCATGGCACAAAAGAACCACGGGGCAGGTTCGTGATCGGGGAGAGGTTGAGCTTGGCGCGTCGGTGTCCGTGCGTCAAGACATCGACCAATCAGATAACGCGGCGTTGCTGGCGCGCACTCACTCATAGCGCTGCGTCTGTTGATCTGCAACTCACCGATGCGTGCGCTTACAGGAAGTGATGCCCCTGTAAGCAAAGCATCCAGCGACAACTACCAGATCCTCGGCATGGCATGCCCTCGGATAGCACGGAACCCCTCTCAAGTGGAGTTGTGACCCTTGGGAGGTTAAACAATCTTTATCAATCTTCTTTTCAAAGTCGCAAGTTCTCGACTTGCGCCGCACCCCTCGCGTGCGCTTGCAGGAAGTGACGCCCTACAAGAGAGACCCGACAACAACCAGATCTATGGTATCACCAATACTGTTAGATGCACTGGGACCCCTCGCAGGATGTCATGGCCCTGCGAGGTTAAGCCCGTCGTCTCAGCTGATTCGACACCCCTCCAAATCACAACCAATTTTCAGAGATCTTATGTATGTGGCTCGCTCTTCCTTCTCAAATCAGTCTGCTAAACAATATTTTGGTACAGTATTTCTTGCGCATTTCGGTGGTAGTAATCCCAAGCCCGACTTGACCATTGCAGTAGCAATAGGTCCCCCAACTAGGGAACTCAGGTTGCTATCTACGAAATGGCTCCCTCTCGACAACACCTTCAGACGTTCGGTTCCTTTCATTAGGTATACTGTTCGAAGCATAAGGTCGTGAGCATGAGTTAAGACGTTTGGAGTGTGACACCACTCTGTGACTCGAAAACGAGGACATTGCGCGGTCACATCAACATCTGCTCTTTCTCTATGTCACCCAAAATGTAATTGCCCCGCGAATTCTTTCCTTGCAAGTGCTGACAGATGTTGCAACAGCAAGAGCTATCATGGTTGCTGCCTTCCTAGATCCGTTGCCTTCAACGCATCTTCGATCTCGACACTGCTTTGATGCTCTCATCCCACCTACCACTGCATAGTGTCTACCCTCCATTCTCTTTGAAGCTCTCATCTCAATATGCCGAAAAAGGAGGCGTCGAAACCTCCCTCTACTCACGTTCGAATCCCTATGAGCTATGACATGACCAAAGCACCCAAAGTGGCCATCGGAGAAGGTCCACTCAGCCAGTACTTCAAAACTCGGCCTTCAACTACTCTACCTTCGCCGGACCAGTCTTTGCCGCCGCTCGAGTCGATACAGCCAGCGAAAAGACCTAGACTCGTTCGTACATCTCAAATGTCCTCTCTGTTATCGCTGTACTGACGTTTCTGTAGGATTCATCTCCTTATCCCATCAAGCAAGAACCTGAGCATGAGGCAGACGATACTGTCCCGATCAAGATTGAGAAAGATGACCATTTCGCATTCGACAATTACCCCAAGCTTCAATACGAATTCCCCGCCACTGAACTTGATGAGGATCAGCCGCTACAATCAAGCCTTACCAACTTGTATATCGCAGATCTCGAGCAAGCATTCAAGCGCTTCCTGCCATCTGATATCACCTTCATCCAGCCACCCCGATGTTGCACTCTGCTCGGTGGCGAGATTGTCTTACAAGTCGGCGAACTTCCTGGAGGTGTGACTTTCGATGACCTCGCCGCCTCTTTCGTCAAAGTAGCCCAGACTTCAAAGCTCATCATCTCCTCGTGGGTCGCAGCAGACGGAACCTCATTGCACGCCAAGGTGGCACTCGATGCATGGAAAAGTACTCGTGTGGACCGTTACACTGGATCTCGTATCCACGATATGGGCAACAACCAAGAGATCTTTTCGTTCAACCGTCCTCAGACCATCAAGATCACCCCAGGCAAGCATCACGGTTGTCCCAACGTTCTCCTTGAGGACCAGCAGTTTCAAGAATACCAAACAATGAGCCTTCACCTCATGACAAGTCTGCGTTTGAGTCCCCAAGACAACTCGGCTATTCTGCATCATCTCGCCAACCATGGATTGTGTTAGGAACAACTTTTCAGTAAGTTTTGCATTCTGGTTGGGTGGGTGACTATCACTAACATCATTGGTAGTAATGAGCGAGCCTTACAGTCATATTCCGCACGACAATATGATGTTTCGTGCTGCCGTCGATGCCCTCCGTCAACCTTATTTGACCGGGATGCGTCCTTTCCTTGAGCCTGCACACATCTTACCTGATATGCTGAAGGATCTGCAAGCCAATACCGTCGGTGTCTCGGAGGTCCGCAGAAACATGAAGAACAAGTACCTCGTCGTCTTCTACGTTCACTCTCGCAAGTTCCATGAAAGATCTCGCGCTCTGGGTTCTTCTTATTTCATCCACTTCGATGAGAGATCTGCTTGCCAACCACAAGTGCACATCTTGGAGACTAAGGCTGCCAATCTCGAGAATTGCCATGTCTTGACGTTCGACGAACCACCTACCAAGCAAACGATCGAATCTGCCATTGTCGAAGCAAGAGTTCATTTGGGCGTCACAGGCAAGAGGACTACCAACACAAAACCCATCGTTCTCTCGGAGCAGCTTTTCAGATCCGATGGTCTCACTGAGCGCAATGTTTTGGACAAGTTCGCTGCCGAATTGAAGACCGCCCTACTCAAGGACAAGGGCTCCGACTTCCAAATCACCCTCAAGCTTTCCTCCGACCCGCCTCAAACTCAAGACCCTTACACCTATGTCGTGTTTACTCGGCAGTCGGCAGAGGAGAGCGGCGGCTTGAAAAACACATCCGTGCCGAGACAAGCTACGTCCATACTCACGAATCCCAAAAGCCCTATCCGCAATCTCAAGGCGAACGACAGAATCCTTGTCGTTGTGGAGGTCTGCTCAAGTCACAAACATCCTCTACAAGACCGCAATATATTCGACAGACTTCCGCTCAACGAGAACCTCATCTTTCTGTCTGCCAATCCTGATCGAATCACCAGAAGACATGAAGAAGTTGACGAGGTGCTCAAATTCGGCAAATGGTTCTCGTCTGGAATGGATGGCGCTCGTAGTGAATGGTTTGATGTGTCAGAGCATGCTGATGAGGTCAAAAGGCATCTCCTTCTCGGTGAGAAGCTGAAATTCTGCTCCTTTACCTTGACATGTTCAACTAACAACAATTTAGGTCGCCAGAGAGCTCTCCAGTCGTCCTACTATACCAGCGTTGTGCAAGCCATGACTCGCTGTCTTGATGCATCGAAAAATTCATACGTGCCCGAGCTTGATACGATGAAAGCGCGCATCAACAACGTCTACGAGACATCAAGCCTCCACCGCATTCTTCTCTGCGTTAGAGTCTCGCCGAATACCAGTCTCTCAGCCAAGAATGATATCAACACATCGCTCGTCAGACAACAAGAATTCCTGAATCTGATGGTCCCTCCTGAACTGCACGACAATACCGAGTTGTTGCGAGCAGATAAGGTGTCCGCTACAGACCCAGACTTCTTGAATCTCTTGTCAGATCGCCTCTCGAAGATGAATGAGCCAACCCTCATCCTTTCGACGACCATCGAGCGCATCACAAGATCCCTTGAACACCTCTCCATGATCAAAAATCTTTCAGATGATGGACACGTCTTTGCGTCACTCGTCTGGGACTCCAAGATGCCAATCGCTGCTTCTGATCCTCTCAAAACGCAAGAAAGATCCAAGGGCGGTTCGCTGAAGATGCCGAAGATCATTCCAGTTGTTTGGTCTCCTTGTGACAACGAGACTCAAGCCCACGTGCAAAGACATGTCCAGAATGCGCAAGATTGGGTCGACGCAGTCTCTCATACATCGTTCCAAGGTGAGGCTCGAGACGTGCCAGTCACAATGATAGCTCCCACAGCTGGTAAAATCCTTGACCGAAACCATTTGCTTGAATGGCATCAGTACCTGAACGCAGAAGCATCAGTCCCAGTCAACGTTATTGGCAACGCGTACGAAAAGTGTGTCACCTGTTCCTGCCATGAATGCCACAAAGATTGCGCATGCACTTGTGCTTCTTGCGAACAGACTAGGGCTTGTGCGTGCACGACCAAATGCAATTGTCCGGCCATCTGTGATTGTCGCTGCGCAAATTGTCACAGAGCCGAACTAGAGAAGCCTGGTTATTCCAAGAATGGCAACAAGAAGAAAATTCCTGAGAATTATACGCAGATTGACCGTAAATGTGCTACCACCGGATGCGAGAACCTGGCCCCAGCGAACACCCAAACAGGTTCGTACTGTAAAGCATGTTTCCAGAAGTCATTCTCGTCCGAGAGACAATGCTGGACCGCCGGTTGCACCAACGCCGCCCCCTTCGGAGGTCCAACCGGCAAAGCCTGTCTCGGATGTTCGCGCACGAACCCTGACAAGGTAAGTACTCATGACAAGGCGTCGCTTAATGGACACACACTGATTGTAATGATTTTAGGACGCTTCTCGCCTTTGCGTCGAAGAAGGCTGCACCAATTTGTCTCCCCCAGGTAAAGGAACGCGTTGCACACCTTGCCGTACTGCAAGAGGCAAGGTTCTACGTAAGGCAAGGGAGGCGAGAGCCGCTGATACTGCTGCTGAAATGGCTTCGATCCTTTGAGCGGGTCGCCGGAGGAGAACCCTGTATCAGTGTAGCTATAGAAGTGCATAATATCTCAATGGCGATCCTCACATTCCATTAACAACTGTGCATTTCGATGGCTGATAGAACCCTTGTACCTTGGGACGGGGAAGGGCTTGATTGCAACACTGTGACTGTCTGTAGCACACGGGGAGACTGTAACAACAGCGTACACCCCACGGGCAAGATCCCTTGATTTTATGAGGATGTCGGCGATAAGTCTAAGCTTTAATACTTGATCTGTGACCGGCCGTAGCTTCAACTTGGCTTGGTCAACGGCATGGATATGATTGAGAACGCGTTTTTGATTTCCGATACCGTGGTCAAGAACCTGTACGGTGTGATAAATTTTTGGCTTCGAGGGTGTGAAGCTAATCGATCTGGAAAAGGCAAAAAAAAAAAAAAAAAAATTGACTGGCTGCGAAGCCGGAACAGCGCTCGCCATCCAAAAGCTGATGCAGGCGGTACAAGTGCTTGTGTTGGCAGATATGGGTTATGCTATGAATGGGATTATAGACGTTGCGGTATTGCATGTGCCAGGCAACACATCTTCCCAATTCGAAAGTAGCATGTCCACTTGCAACAGCAAGATCGGGAATTATATCTGAGGAGTGCAATGGCCTGTACAGACCAGCAAAGTACATGCGACGCTGAACGACTTTTAGCATAGAAGAAGTCTTGCTCAATACGAAACGCTCTCTCAGTCTACAAACGAAATTGATATCCTTGGACAATCTTGAACACACTATCCATGAATTTGCAAGATCAAGCTGTACAGTCTTTCGAGATAGAGTTGGTGACCAGCTTCGTCAAGCTCCATTTCAGCGCCTTCCACCACCCCAAGAACGTGCCTCCACCACTTATCGTGTCTAGACAGAAGAATTTCGCATGCTTCGTAACAATGTTCTGATCCGGCTCCAAGGTATTTCGCACCCAGTATGTAGGTACCACGCTACAACGGAGCAAGTACGCTTGAACTGTCTTGCGACGGATTCGGTAATAATGCTTCTCATGGCAGCGGCAAGATTAGTTGAACTTATGCACCACCACAATGTTGCAAGATCGAGCTGTGCAACAACGAGTAGCGTCGAACGTGCTCAAGCTTGGTCAAGCTTTCGTAGCGCATCACAAAAGTCTTTGCTTCTACCACGACCACTCTCTTAATTCACAGAATAAAAAGAGCAATCTGAGGTAAATCTTCCACTTGCAATTCCCAACGATTGTGAACACTCGGCACCAGTCAACACTCCTCGGGGTCTGTATTGTAAGGAGTGTTGGAAGAAGGCACGTTCGCTCGAGAGAGAATGCTGGACTACTCGCGTTCGGCAGAAGTCTCCGCTAAACTTGCGACGCTTGCACATCTTGACTGCGTATCTTCGCGGCAACGTAACAACGTCAGATGTAGAAAATCACCCATGGAATCTGTTCCAACCGTCGTTAGTGAGACACATGGTGGCCTTCGATATGAATTAGTCGTTTCAAGTGCAATGCTCCAAACGTTCGCCGAATCGCGACGCCGTCTGCCACTCGTCAATGATCAAGAGTATAAGTTGCAGCAATTTGGCTCCACTTGGCGAACCTGTGGGCAGAGCCAGTATGCAATGCTCGCTAATTAATCCGGAAGACGATGCTTCTCGAATCTGCATTCAAGAGCATTAAAGCAAGAGATAATGCTTTGATCAGAGAAAGAGCCAAGAGGGCTGCAGACGCTGCTGGAACGATTAACTAAGGACTCAATGACAGAAGATTGCTTTTGCTGGGCATAAACATATGAATCTTCCCCCTGCCATCCTTGACCGCAAGCTCGTCTGTAGCCTTTTGTCTCTTCGGTTCTGTTGCTTCATTGCTCACAAAGAAATTACTTCGAGAGCACCGAGTTGATTGACAACTGACAACCACAACTGTCACATTAGATGTGACGCAGCTTTTGTGTTTACCAGACTTCGTCATTCTAAGACTTTGACCAGTATGGTGATAGGATGAGCTCAATGAAAGCAAGACCACTGATCTCGGAGAGTCTTGGGTAATGGGGAGAAACGCATGATTTCAAACAAATGAATATTAAAGACACGAAATGCTATTTGTTCATGACAAGTTCTGACTTGTGCCGTACTTAACAAATGCTCTCATTTTTGAGTTAAGGTAGTTCGTCTTGGATTCAAAGCAGGCATTAAAAGGACAAAAGGGCTTGGAGTTACCCCGCATCAAAGAAAAAAGATTGAGGGTGACCAGCGAACGCGCTCACCACCACACCCTGAAGTTTTATGCTTCCACCACGGCCACCCTTTCAACCACTTCTTTTAATGAACAGAAAAAAAGCAAAAATACATTCTGCTTCAAATCATCCACTTGAATCTTCTAAAAAATAGGTTAAGTCATCTTACTCGCATGTGTCTGAAAGTGGTTAGTCTAGGATCATTTTTGACGATGCAGGGATTCGAACTCACCATCCTTAGTGCAGGGGCCATGCTAATCTTCTCTGTATAGTTTCAAACTTCTTTAGGTTAGCGCATGGTTTTGCGAGATAGATAACGGAACAACTCACTTGACTAATGCCCAAAGGGCGAAGGAAAAGTGTATATTAGCAACATATATGGGGTGCGCGACTGGTGTTGTCCCCCGAGAAAAAGCGGCCCCTGCTCACCTAACAGCGGACAGCAGTCTCTCATAGAGCGAGATAAGTCGCTGGAATAACAAAGTTGCAAAAGCGATTTGTGGCGACGGGCGCCGACTGACGCTTGCCAAACTCATGCTTTTACATGCTGCTGCCACAGGTTGACCGCTAACGATCAAAGATTCGAATGGGACAATTTTGAAAAATGTGGGATTTGTGCCTCTGTGAAGGGCTTACTAAGCAAAACTTCAACCACGACACCTATCATCGCTCCAACAATTCAATGCTACTCCTATGTGCCGCTGGAGACAATGTACTCCCGCAAAATTACCAGAATGTGCTCTTCCATCTATCGGAGATCGTCAACACAGCTTGAGATACCGGTGGAATCAAGTGTTTTTGGTCGTTCTTGTAGGTGACGATCATATCGTCCTGATGATGGCCATGAGACGAAAAGACTCCTTACCTGGCTTGATGACTGGAGTTTGATTACTGCAGTTCATAAGAGCTGAGTCAACATGTTGCTTAGATGTCAGTGGACGACAACATCTGCATTCTAAAACAAAGATTGGACTACAATCTTCTCGTCCTTGTAAAATACTTCTTGTAATGGATGTATGCTTTACATCTACTCCGAGCATTTTTATTGATCGATAATTGTATCAGTGCATCGTTCTCGAAGTTGCATACTGGATCTTCGATATTCGAACGCACCATCTCACACTACAGATCTTCTCAGCCATCTTTTGATGTTTTAATCATGATCCGATCGCTTTTAGGCTTGTATTCGTGTTAAAGCTATGTGCTCTAGAAGTCATCTCTGAGTCCAGTTGTACAAATCATGCCATGATCGTGCAAGCTTGCATTCTAGCTCTCAACTCGAAGTGCAAGTTTTTTTAAGCTGTTTTACATCAACAGGAATACTTCGCGACTGGTCTCTACTCTCAATGGACAGACGCCCTCGTTATCGCGAGCCAGAAGAAAATAATGTCAAGAAAGAAGTTATGCTATGCACAAAACGCCAAGCCAGCTTATGCAGCTAGGCTTCACGCATAAAAACGGATCCACTTCCGCAACCGAAATTCTTGCAAAAAGACTCTTCTCGACTTGTCTCACCCCCTTCTTCCTTTCTACGTAACACTTCTCTGGTGAGCAAAAGGTATGTTGACGAGAGTGGGATTTGAACCCACGCCCTTTCGGACCAGCGTATTGGATGAACCTTAAGCTGGCGCCTTAGACCGCTCGGCCATCTCGCCTTGATGTCGACTGGAAAAAGCGGTACAATTCAAGTCCAGACGGTGGGTGCCCGCTCATACGTCCCTGGAGCATCAACAGTAGTGAAGTGAAAGCACTGTTGGGTTGTCGAGACGTCTTTGTGTCAGAGAGGAGAATGATCTTGCGTTTCCGGGGTCTGGATTAGGTCGTGGTTGTGACGGCGGTATATGTAGTCTGGTCGTTGAACCATAAGCATCTTTGTTGCCGAGTCGAGTCAATGTGACAAGCTGTGGACGCTGACTGGGTGGTATATCGTGTTGCAATTGATTGCTCTCCCAAGTAACTTGATGATACCGTGCGTGGAGCTGCCATTCGTGTTGTCGAGCATGTCTTGAACGAAGACGCTGTTCCAGAAGGATGTGTAGTATCAAGAGGCATTTTGTTATTGCTTTCTTCTGTAGGGTGCGAGAGCGAGCTAAACGGAATGAGAAGAGGGAACGAAGGATTGCTCAATCAATTGGTTTACTTGAGTATGGGTGATGATACAACTTGAGCATGGATGTGGAGTAGAAATTGCAGGAGATAAGGAAGGGAGTTGATGGCACCTGACGAACCAGAGCATATAGGGTACTGTGTGATGGCATTCGTATTGAAAAGATAGTTGGATTCGGTGATCGAACGCTTTGGACGACTTGAAGCGATTCGAGCAATTGTCTGACATGGGTTCGCTTGAAGTCTGGTGACTCCGGCTGATAAAGTAAAAAAAAAAGGCATAATAGGGTCCTCGTCTTACTTCAGCTCGAACGTATCAATCCCGCTCTGTTTCTTGTTCCTCATCTTCTGTCACAGCAGCAGACCTTTCCACTCCAGACTCTAGCAAACTCTCGCTGGTAGCAGAGTCATCGTTGAGATCATCATGGTCGCCAACATGATCCTCAGGAGCGCTTGAGTTCTCGCTCGGGCTTGGTAGATCTGGTAAGTTCTCGAAGGGAAAGTAGTTGTCCTCCCGGTCAGAGCCAAATCTGCAGGGTCCGCGATAGTTTTCCCAGTTGACACAGTAGCAGTCCTTCCATCTGTATCGTTCTTCTGCAATCTGAGAACGTATTAGCGCGTGCAGATGCATATTTTACAGATATAACATACTCCTCTGCAGTGATAGTCATTGTGGCTGATCTCCCAAGTCTGTTCTGGTCCACCACAATCCTCGCAATCAAGTGTATCAACACCAGTAGGACATTCTTCGTCATCCGGTACATTGGTCGCGTCGTTGTGCTGCTGCTCAATAGAGGTCTCAACCGATTCATCGGTGTCTTTGGCGAGATTCATTTCTTCGATGCGTGAGGTCAAGCCATCGTTCAACTTCTCGCCTTGGTTGGAGATGGGTCGAGAGTGTTTTCCGCATAAGCCGTCAGAGCCGTCAACGAGTTGTGTAGAGTTTGTGCGTGTTGTGTCACGACTCAAACCTCCGGTGTTGGTGTTTTCGAACGAGGAAGACGTGAACGCAGCTGTGAGCAATAACTTTGGTGATGCCGATCCGATGGCTATCTGCAGTGACATGTGCTGTGGATGGTTCTTGTGTTCGTAGACGTGCAACTGAGCTGCACGCTGGCGCGCATACAGCAGACCATTCTGGTTGGAGAAGGTTGCCGAGGCGAGAAGCATGTAGAGCGCAAGCAGCGAGAATGGGGTGACGGAAGGGACGAGCATAAATTCTGAGCATTTGATGTAGATGGGAAGTTGAGGAAGGAATGATGGTCGCGGATCGCGTGTTGTTGTGGAGTTGAGTTGTCACATGCGCCTGCCACACTTTGACAAGAGCTTGTGAAACTGAAGACAAGAAATAAGGAAAATTTGAGACTCGTGGCGAGGCCTTCTCAGCACTTGTCACTTTCGAGCAGTCAGCACTTACAGGGCAAAGAGAATCAGTGTCATGATTTTGCGGGTTTTGAAAGCCACTACTGAGAAAGACCCACACCAAGTACCTGCCCATGCATCGACATCCTCCATAGCAGTTCACTGTAGCTAGCTACAACCTCCTCGAAGACATGACTTGAGCATATTCACCGGCATCGATGCAATCTCCATCATTTGCGAGTAACCCCAATCGTTTTAGGCAGACTACGCACTGGTTTGATTGATAATGCACGCACACCCCTTGGTAGCACTGTACTTCTGTGCAAGGTAAAGTAAATCAGCATCGACCTCGCCCTCGTCCCCGCTTGTTTCTTGATCCCATATTGCAGACTTCCACATTACAGAGATTCGAGCAGGGATCTGGCTCAGGATTTGACACACCAAGCCGATGAGAAGAGGGGAATTGCGATAAGTGTCGTTGCGTCGGTTGAGCCAGCCTGGAGATGGGTCGTAGCCACATTCGAGAATCAGATTCAATTCGATGGTGCGAAGCGACTTCATCTTGGTCAAATCACCCATCGCGACAGATGTGATGATGTTTGTTGGCGACCATAGATCAATGACGATGTCCAGACTGAGCCTTTCGACCTTCTCGGCAGTGTCGTTGGGGATGCAAGCCGGACGCTGGGCACAGTCGATCGTAAGTCCGTTCGAAGTTTGAGGGGCACATCCCATTGCCCATTTGCGGTTGGCGTAAGCGAAAAATACAGCCTAATCGTACATCTGCTTGCAGACGCGCAGAATGTTGACGCCTAAGACAGGCTTGATCACAGGTTCGTCGTGGGTGATCTCCTCAGCGTCATCATCGGCCTCCAAGTAGTCAACTACGCCTTCATTCGATAGGTGTAGAGAGTATATGCGGTTGCGTAGCTCAAGCGGCAGACTCAAGAAGTCGAAGAACTCTGAACGTAAGGCGGTGGGCGGTGTGTCCATCTCAAAGGGAGCCGGGCGTGAATAGACAGCTGCAGACTAAATAGCGCTGGGTTGACAACGGAGTTGGGGATGAACAAGACGGATTGATGAGGTGTCGCAGTATTGGTCCGAAGAAGCTGTGATTTGGAGTTGGATGAAAAGTTGATAAATCTGATTAGGTGCACAATTCAGAAGGAAATGTTGGGTTGACGAGGTATGTATCTGGAGAAGGCGCGAGTCAAACAGGTTCGGGCGTGACTGCCTCTTTCTACCGACTCCAGTGACCAGGAGGACGTCTCAGCTTCTTTGACGAGTCTCGGACGATATTCACAGTACTTGGCCTCTCTTGCCTTGTCAGTTGCTCTATGGTCGACCTACTGAACAGTTCTAACCTCTTAATACATCATCATGGTGGAAGATTTGCCAGTCAAGTTGATGCTTGGTCGATCGGAGATTGTCCAATTAGGGCAATTAGACTTTCCCTTGAGCCAGTACATTAGTTTGGCATTTCCGATTTGTACCTAGAAGAATATGCCGGTTGCAAAAGTGAAGGATCAAGAGGAGCCTGACAGTTGAAGAAGCAAGGTGGGAGAGTACGATCAAGCCGCTCGGTAAATGCTACACCGGCTTCCCCGCATCTGCTGTGCACAAAGCCGTTATACCACAGCTTTTATGCCAGGCTTCACTTGCATAACCACCTTCCTCTGCCAATACCAGCCCAAAAAAAAAAGAAAAAAATTCTACTCACCCATCTTTGACACCTCAACAAAACGACTGCCCCCTGACGGAGTCGAACCGGCGACCTCGGCATGATCTAGCGATACTAGTGCCGCGCTCTACCAACTGAGCTAAAGGGGCTTGTTGAAGCACACCCTGATACATAGCAATATCTTCCACAGTGACCAGAGTGACACTACCGCACACGACTAAGCACAACAACTCCTTCCTAGACATGGGCGCCAGAGGATACGAACCAAGAGCTCATGGTTTCTCCTATGGCTAGTGTTTTCCTAGCCCGTGCTTAAGCAACGATTAGCAGCACCGTTATCCCATCGCCTGCCTCTAATGTTCCAGGTCAAAAGCTAATAGCTGGCCATAGCACAGAATCTCCATCAGCACTATGGAACCAGCTTTCAGGGGTTAGGAAGCGAACTGTCATAGGTCAACGAAGCCGTGCTGTGTTGTCGTCTCTGGCACTTGCCGCGGCATGAGATTAGAAGCAGCCTTTTTAGGAGCGGCTGCCGCTTGATGTCTCCAAGAAAAGACAACATTCACGACTCAGACCCATAGTTATGGAGCGTACAACAGTACATGCAGTATTTGTATAGCTTGATGTTTGAATTGATAGCCTAGATTTTGAACTATCCCTCAAGTTATGCAATCCTTAATCCCTCTGTGTAAGATAATGTTATCCCTGTCGCAGGACTTTGTGACCATGCTTGACGACACAACACTGGGCCTCTGTCTGGATGACGTTCGTTTCCTGAAAGCTCAAATATTACGTTTGCCCATAACCCATGAGACCTAAATTCCAGCAAGTGAATGGGCCAGGGGTTGAGAAGATGCGAGCTATTTCTGTGGAAGCATAGCAGAACAGTCGAACATCTTTGGAAATGTCCGAAAAATTCCACAAGTTCTCAAGGGATGATCTCAACTCTGCAAGAGGCAACAGACGACTTCATCGACACAGCGAGGTAACCATGAAGTATTGGTGTGTCCTGGTTTGTTGCAATTGATGTTACAGAGAACTGTAATGTCGGCGTGACTGGCAGAATGCAGAGAAGACTGAAGTCTGGCGATGGTAAATGTTGGAGCTGGATGATTGCGAGCGCATGAGGGACTGGGTCGAGTAATAGTCGAGGGCAATCAGGTGTGTCGTCCTGACGGCGAGTTTCGTCCCCGATATGCAAAGATGTGTATCGGCGGCAGTCAAAGTGTCCATGAGAGCGTCGAGAAAATCCAGCACCCTCAACCAGCAACACCATCCTCCTTCTTAACCTCAACTTGTTGTCCTTGCAACTTCCCATCATCTTTCTCTTCTCCCTCCTTCACCCACCCCCAGGCCGGAACCTCAGCAGCAGGTTTCAGATTAGGATCTTTCTCATAACTCTCTTTTGTCCTCTTCAACATATCCTGCATGCCATCACTCTCCCATTCCCTTCTGAGATCCTGGACTCCAGTGACGGCTCCGATAGCGGCTTTCTTCAGTCCAGCAAAGGCGGCGGGTTTTGTGGTTGCGGGGCGTGTGAGTGGTGAGATTATGTTTGGGATCGTGGTTCGTAGTGCGGTTAGCTGTGGTGGGTGTTAGTGGGTGGGATGTGTGAGGGAGTGGAGAGGGTGTACCTTGTCGGTGAGGGCTTCCAGTTGTGCGAGGGCTGCTTCGTACTGTGCTTCGGTCCACGGTTCCTCCATGTTGGTTGATTGTCGGTTTCTACGATCAACTCCTCAGTGGTGCGACAGTGTGTCGTGTTTGATGGATAGTCAAGTCGACCAGAAGGTCGCGGATTGACTGCCTTCATGAACTTGTGGTCCAAGCGCTGCTTTCACATGTCAAGCTTCTTTGACAGGAAACTGAAGGGCGACGATGTTCAAAGTGGCAAAAAGAACTAAGTTCGACAGAATGAGCAATCACGATCATGAACTGCTAATAATTCTTTTATCTCAATACGAGTCATAGGGTATGAAAGAGACACGTGCTATCGGCAACCATGCAAGAAATTGTGCGAGGGCTTAGCCACCATCTTTCGCTTTACGGACGATGGCGTCTCGAATCATCGTGTGAATAAATAATACTCAGGTGTCAAGTTGGACGAAAGCAAGGCTGACACACACCTCCTTTTCATCTAGAAAGTCAGTTGCGTGGATATGCACGCTGGTGTAACCGCTCGAATAATGCACCAACAGTCTCAGCATCAGGATATTCTGGGTCCTATCCACGGTAGCGACCACCACCGCGACCTCCCCCACCTCTACGAGAACCTCCACGCATCATGTCGTCCGAGTACATGCGACCCTCATCTCGGTATCTGGGACGGCGATCATCATAGCGCGGCTCGTTATAGCGTTGCTCGTTGAAACCATATCTTCCATCTTGATAGTCTGGTTCCGCATGGCGGTTTCCACGGTCGTAATCTTCGCGGTAGGAAGCTCTACCATCGCGGGGCCGTGAGTTGTTGTAAGCGGGACGTGGAGAAGGCTCGTGGGGTGGAAGAGGGCTGGGCTCGGTTGGGTATGTTTGTTCAATCTCCATTGTATCCTCAGCTCCTTGTTCTTGGGCGATTTCTGGTTGGGTTACGACGATTGGAGAAGCGACGCGCGGTGTAGCAGAAGAACGGAGTGATTGCGATGGGCCTCCCTCCTTAAGGTAGACGCACAAGATCCTTCCATCAGCCTATGCCGGGTCAGTCTTTGGAGTGAAGAGTTGCAAGATTCAAGACCAACCTTCTTGCCATTGAACATGTTGATAACATTGTCAGCACCAGCCTTGTCCAAGAAGAGCATCTCTGCAATCACCGTAGGCGAGGCAGAGACCAACTTACAGCCAGACATTTCACCGCCGACTGGAGCCATGACACTCTCAATGTCGGCAGCTGTTGTTCCTGGCGCAAAGTTGCTGGCGACGACACAATAAGGACCAGCGGCTCCGCGAATTGTTATTTCGCTGTCGACGGTCGCAAATGATCGCGGCTTGATGTTGAATGAGGCAGGAGGAGCCTGTTGTGCTGCTGTTTGGTATGCTGCATCTCTTCTTGTGTCTGCACCTCCAAGCTGTTGACGGTTGTTGCGGTTCTTTTGAGCTCCACGGTTTTGATGCTGTTTGCCGAGAGTTGGGAGGGATGCGGCCGAAGATGAGCGCTGCTAGTCAATTAATGAATGCTCTGTCTGCCTCTGGTATGTCTTGGGAACGCGCCTTTGTGATGCCGACTCGACTGGCCAGACTTCCACCCACAGGCGTTTGCGATCTTTTGTTGTTGGAGTTGTTCTGGGGAGCACTTTGGCGACGACTCTTGCCAAAGATCTCCTGGGCGAGGTTCTCTGCTTTGCGCTTTTGGCGATCTGTCGAGGCGGCGTCAATTGCGTGTTCTGTTGATGGTGTAGCGCGCTACATGCCTGCTTTGATCATGTCATCGAACGAAAGGCTCGGCTTTTCTTGTTGTTGTTTGTTCTTGGCCATGATTGTGTTTGATGTTTGCGCCTTTTCAGCGCAGTGATCTGGATGAGAAAAAGTAAACGTAAAGGTGAAGGTGGTAAGAATTCAAAGCTACTGCTGTTGGTGGATTGCAAACCGATCTTGCATGTGTCGCGTTCGACTCCAGACGCCGCCAGCGACGGGACCATCAAAAGCTCAGACCTGCAGCAGCATCATCATTGCATCCTTGCCCTCGGCTCCTACCGACATCAGATCATGGCTAGCCATCTCACTTATATTAACACTCTTGACTCCAATGTGTGGTTTTGTGATTCTCTTGGTCTTCAATCTGCATGACGGATGCCTAAGCTTCTTTCCATCTATAAAGACAACAACCACGAACAGCTTCTATGTCTGCCTCGCAGCGACCCATCATCCTCTCTGGCAGGCCTCCTTTACATCCACTTCTGAGTGAGAAGTAGATGTTCTTGATGAAGAACAACTGGCTACAGACCCTTTCTTGCCATGGTTTCGTATACAACCTAGGGGTTTCCCCCTCCGCACCTTGTGTTCATTCTTGTGACCTTTCTCCTTGTGATTCTTGACTTCACTCGTCTTCTTCGCTTTCCCATATCTTGCCTGCTCGGGCTGAGGAAGTTCCTCATCCTCGCTGTCTTCTTCCTCTCCAGACGAATCATAGAAGGCCGACACAGCTGAACTCTTCTCAGCTGCAACTCTTCCACTTGTGTTGGCAGAAGCAACATCCTTCTCAGTGACAAGACTATCCTTCCTCTGCTTCTTCTGCCCATCCTTCCCATCCTCTTTCTCCTCTGCCTGTTCTCTCTCTCGCAGTTTCTCTTGCTTCTGTCTTTCTTTGCTCTCCTCCTTAAGGCGGAACTTCTGCATCATGACTTTTTCCTTCCAAGCATGTTCCTGCAGCATCTGCCACCATTGCTCTCGTCGGAGGTTCAGTTGAAATGTGCTGGTTCCATCGGCGCATGGAACACCCAAAGAAGGGTATTTACGATACGGACTCCTGATGTTGAGGTTGTTGATCATGGCATGTAGCATGTCGGCTTCACCATTTGATTGTGATGGCGGCTGGCGAGTTGGGTATGAATTACCAGAGGCCATTCCTGGACGTGGTATGTATCGTTGTCTTACGGTTTGTGAGGTTTATCGTGGGTTTTGATTGAGTTCGTTGGACGAGGCTATAGAATGTTCGATCAAAGCTTGCTTGCAATGGTGCTTGATGTCTGAGCTGTTGCTTTGAGGCTCTGAATACAAAAATTGCACGTAGGTATACGCTGAAGGAGAGGTGAAGAAAGCAGAACAGATGCAAGATATACCACAACAAGCAAAAGGAACGAGAACGAGCGGTATTCCGGATCCGGTCCGCCTCCCCGTTCATGGCCAAGAGCGATAGATACCAACAAGACCAAAAATGCTCAGCTTGAGTTCGAATGAATCGTCAGAATGACGGGCCTTGCCTCGTGGTAACCACATGGCAAAGCTGACAACAACCCACTCAGCTTCCTCAACGTTGAGCAAGATTCTTGAAGCTTGCTAGAACTGGAAAATGACTGTACGAAAGTTCAGAGTCAAGACCTTGATACATGCGTGAGTTGATAAATCTTGGATCTAGATGGTTGAGAATTGGTCTGGCTGGAGGAGATGATTCGAGCCAAGTTTGTGATTCATACACTAGCTACCGTCTGTGTAGCAGATTGTCATCTTGCTTTTGTGCTTCAAGCATCCTTGGATTGCAGCTTTTCGATAAGTTGTCCAACTTTGAGGACCAATGCATCATCGCCGAACTGTCCAATGACCTGCATGCCAACAAAGTCAACATCTTCTGGCTCCTTTGCACCACCTTGAAGCTTGACAGGTACGCTAAGAGCAGGCAATCCAGCCAGACTTGCAGGCACCGTCAACACATCATTCATGTACATCTCAACCGGGCTCAACTTCTCCACTTCGACCAGCGTTGGTGGTAACGTCGGAGCCGTAGGTGCGATCAGAACATCCACCTTGGTTGCATCACTCGACTTTTCTGTCTGTGCATCCAACAATGGATTCTGCAAGACAAATACATTGTCAAAGTCCATTTGTACCAATCTGCGCACTCGCTGTGCTTGAACAAAGTAATTGTCCATGGCTTCCGAGCTCAGCGTATAGGCACCCAAAAGGATGCGGCGTTGAACCTCGGGACCAAATCCTTCACCTCTAGTGGCGGCAAACAATGGAATATTGTCTTTGGGATTGGCATCAGGACCCGAGGTACGATGACCATATCGTACACCATCGTACTTTGCGAGGTTGGACGAAGCCTCTGCTGGAGCCAAAACATAGTAGGCCGAAAGTGCTTGATGTGTTGAGGGTAACGAGACTGGATGAAGCGAGTGTCCAGCATCTTGCAGAGACATCAACAATCGAGACCAGGTTTGTCGGACCTCGGGTGATAGTGAAGCAGTGTTGTATTCCAGTGGGACGCCAATGCGCAGTTTTCTGTCCGGAGACGAGTCGATGGTTTGGCCTGCAATCCTCTCACGAACTGTTTGCGACAAGCTTGTAGGATCCATATGATCAAATTCATCCAGCTCTTCGAAAATTTCCCGCGCGTGCTCAACCTTTTGGGTCAATGTACCAACAGTATCGAGTGAATTAGCATAGGCAATGACACCCCATCGACTCAGCCGGCCGTAGCTAGGTTTGAAGCCAACAGTACCAGTGTATGCAGCAGGAAGTCTGACCGAACCTCCAGTATCTGTTCCAAGAGCTGCCCATGCTTGAGATGTTGCGACTGCTACTGCACTTCCTCCACTGCTTCCACCTGCCGAAAGAGCCTCTCCATTGCGCTTGTACGGGCTTTGCGTGGCTGATGTGAAGACTGGCCGGGTATGTGATCCCATTCCAAACTCATCCAGATTGGTCTTTCCACATACTAGTGCGCCGGCTGATACAAGTTTGTCGACTACGGTTGCATTGTACGGTGAGTTGTATGCGTTGAGGATCTTTGAAGATGCTGTGGTCTGGTAGTCTTTCGTGGCGATGTTGTCCTTGATGGCGATAGTCCTTCCGGCGAGTCTTGAGTTCGTCAACTCTGTCCTTGTCAATGTCTTTTCTGAATGTGATGTGCTGAATACATACCACTAGACTCGCCGTCGACTATCGCACGAGCTGCATCCTGTAGTTGTGTCGCACTAGCACGAGTGACAAAGGCATTGAGCCCACAGTATCGTGCTTGTCGTTCAAGGCATTGTTGCACTCGTTGCAGCGCGCTACCGCTCATTTCTCATGTTCCTCGTGAAATTGTCGCAATGTTCATGCTCATGTCTTTCGGAGGTTTGATTTGACCACGGAGTTAGCGATTCAGGGTCTTGACTGCAGCTCAATACACGAGTCAAGATTCGACGCCAAGATTCCGCGTCGAATCAACCACCAAAACTTCGAAATCCACCAAAAGCACCAAAATACCTCAAACCACATTTCTGACCTGATATGCACATGTTTTAGGGCAAAAAGGATGTTTTGAGCTCGGCCAAAGAGCAAAAAGCAAGCTCCACGTGGGGCTCGAACCCACAGCCTCAAGATATCAGTTCATCAGAGATGATTAGAAGTCTTGCGCGCTACCATTGCGCCAGCAGAGCTGGTTTGTTGAAGCATGAAGCATTTTCTAAATACTTGTACCCCATCATTGCTGAGCCCACGTGGTTCGCTCCTTGTCCTCCCAGACATTCACACCATATGAATGTCGTGCATATATGGTGCTTGCCAATCAGACGAATCGAGATTTGTATGCTAAATTTGCTCAAAACCCCGACTGTGTCTAGATGCAGGTCCGGAAATTAAAAGTACCATCGAACCCATGTTTGTGCCCTAAGGGTTCATCAATCAACATTGAGCCGCCCAAGACGACATTCTTCAGCTAATTACAGGTTGCTCACAACAGAATTACTACTGCAAATAATCCCAAATACTTTCCTGTCATTTCCTATGTGTCCCTACCCAAGTAATTGTGGTTGTTGTGCAGGTGAATGGGTCAAACAGTTTCGGCCAGGGTCTGTCCCACAGCCGCTTTGACTTCGACAAGATTTGCGTCTCCGTGACTGATGTTCAGGCCGAAAGATGGTTGCAGCCTCGATGGACCCATCTTGTGAAGTAAATGGAGCGTGGCGCAGACATATCCAAACGTAACAGAAGCAAAGGACACACACAGCAAGGGAGACAACAAGATAAAGACACTGAAGTATTGATTGCACAAGCCTAGAAAACCTCAATTGAAATGCCCCCAAACATGGTAAGCCTCGAAGTATAAAGAATCGAATAAAGCAGTAAAAAACACCATGCAACGCCATCCTTTTTGTACAGAGATACAGATCTCTTCTCGTCTCCTTCCGTTCCATCACCCGAGATGTCTTCTGATTTGTCGAACGTTGAAGGGAACAAGCAGAGTTGCAAACGACTGACGTAGTCGATCAGGTTCCTTCAGGGCAGGCAATTTCGATAGGTTGAATGGCAAGGAAAGGAAGCTCTTTTGGGTATCTTTCTCAACTGGATGCACACCGGAAACACTCGTACAAGCACAACCAACCGCCGCCTCGAATGTCCTCTCGTATGTTGCGAGAAAAGAGCTTCGTGTCATTCTTCCTGTCTTCTTGTCGGCCAGCAACACCGAGAATTTGCAAACTCGAGTTTGTTCTAGGGCGTGGCAGGTAGCTCTTCTGTTGAATTTTCTCATTGATGACATGACGCATATGCAAGAAGGGAATCTTTTGAGAAAAGGACGAAAAAGGAATTTTTGGACATTAAGAAGAAGATGAAAACCCCGATGCGACGACATTAATCAGACTTTTATCTCATGCGTCTGTTGAGGCGGCTTCATCGATGGAAGGGGTAGCCTTGGAGACGGGCGGCGAGCCAGCATTTGAAGGCGGTGATTGCACATCATCGGCACCCTCGTTCTCCTGGTTCTCAAGGGCGGCAAGTGCACTACGAATTATGTTAGTCTTGAACTGGAGATATGAGGAAACAAAGAACATTTCTTACCTGAAGGCGTTGACGTGTGTCGTCTCCTCCTTCTTTTGTTGTGAAGGAGTGCCCGATCTCGAAGTAGGTCCGGAACCCTCGCCATCTCTAGGGGGGCCAAGACCCTTGCGACCACTACCGCTGCGCGAGCTGCTGAATAGCGAGCTGGGGCCGAGTTGAGGACCAAGACCAGCACTGGCTTGACGTTGCGAACCACGGGCTTGTAGACGACGGAGATCGTCCATGCCGACCTGGTTGCGGGGGTAGTCTGGTGGAGGCATACCGCCGTGTCCAGAGAATGAGCGTGCATCACCACGGCCCATAGGAGCACGACCACCACGGTTGCTGTTGTTACGCTGTCTTTCCAGCTCGGCGGCGGCTTGTGCGGCCTCAGCCTCGGCGTGAATCTCCTCAATCGTCTTGGGACCCTTGTCAGCATCCCTGGACTTCCAGTTGTTCTTTCTAAGGTCGATAATATCCTGGGAGTATGTTAGTTTAGGTTTGTGTCTGTTACGTTCAAAAGCAACTTACCATGAGCATGAATCTCGATCTGCTGGGCATGTCCTTGTGTTGCTCGAGAATGCTTGCAACACGTTCATAGTAGACATTCACAAGCTGGTGTCCTTGTTCGGTGCTGTCCATTGTGGCACCAACAGCCTTGAGAAGCTTGGACAAGTTCTCGACGGCGGACTCATCGGGCTGACCCTCAAAGTTCAACAATCTCAAAACACACTGGTGCATAATCTTGACTGTAAGCATGCCGAGCTTGTAGAGCTCACCAATGAACTGGATAAGACCGAGACCCTTTCTCTTGGCGGCAGCGGCAATGTAGTACTCGTCGGACAGAAGAGTAGCCTCCTTGCCCTCGGACATGGGAGGAAGGTTGGCCTCCCAACCACGCTCGAACTCTTCTTGACAACGGTTGAGCAAGTACTTTCTGAAGAGACCACCACCAACAACAGGCTGACCACTTCTGTCACGAATAGTCTCGTCGACAATCTCGTTGCTCATGCTGGTCAACATCTTTGAGCAGAACTTGGCGTAAGTACCAGCCCAGTGAGCTTCATCACAAGCCTTCTCAAAGGTGAGCTGAATGACTTGGCGCAAGGTACGGCCGTCACTCTCCTTCTTCGACTGGTTGGCGATCTCGATGATCTGGTCTGAGATTCTCTCGAAGTTCTCGGGTGTCATCTTGTTCAAAGCAGCCTTGACCTTACGCTGGACCATGTCCGGAGGCATTTGACCGTCAGCAGGTGCAGCAGCAGCGGCGGGTGCTCCAACACTGCGGGCAGTCCATCCGGTTGTTGACTTCTCAAGCGGCTTGAGTTCCTGACCAGCGGTGAGGGGCATGTTCTTGGCAGCGTTGGCATCTTCTCTCTCGTGGTGACGGGAGGGGTTGCCACGCTTGCTACCACCTCCTCTGCGAGAAGTATTAGTTCTAGGCGAACCAGGGCCACCCATGCCAGCCATGGCCTGAAGAGAGTTGGTGCGGCTGAGAGAACCCTGACCAGGGAAAGCACCACCACGTCCCATGCCCATAGGGCCACCTCTTCCAGAAGAGGCGTTGAAGCGGTCGGCAGAGGTAGTACCGGCGGGAAGAGTACGGGTGTTGCCACTGGCAAAGTTGCCCATGGCACTGAACTGGCTAGGACCTCTGTTAGAGGGCTGGCGACCACCCATGCTTGCACCACCACGGCTGTTCTGGCGACCAGTTTCACCCTCACCAAGAGTCTCCTTGACTCTCAAATCCCAGTCAACAGTAGGCTTCTCCTTGAAGATGCTCTGGAATTGGAGCAAGAAGTCCAGGTCGTACTCCTTGCCAACACGCTTGCCGGTCTGGTTGAGTGCCGGGTTGGGAGACTTGAAGCCCTCGGGATAACTGAACTGGTCGTTCTTGATCTCAAGGAAGCGGGCAGACTTGAGCGATTGCATACCAGCGGTAGGCTGTGCAGGCTCGACGTTCTTGATAGTGTCGAGCTTGAGGTTTGCAGGCTTGGACTTTGCAGGTGCAGGCTCGGCAGGTGCAGCAGCCTCTTCGGTAGCACCAGGGCCGAAAGTGGGCTTCTTCAAGGAAGCAAAGAGCTTTGCGTCTTCAGCCTTCTGCTCATCGGTCTTCTCGCTGGATGCCTCGCCCTCGCGCTCCTTCTCCTTCTTGAGCTCAAGCTCCTCGGCCTCACGCTCCAAGCGCTTCATTTCCTCGTCGGCCTTGTCGGCGGCCTCCTTGTCCTTTGCAGCTTGGGCCTCCTTCTCCTTGGCCTTCTTCTCTTGGTAGGCGCGCTCACGCTCCTCCTCGAGACGCTCGGCCTCCTCCATCTCAGCAATTTCACGCTCAATGCGCTCATCTTCCTCACGCTTGAGACGGGCAGCCTCGTCCTCATCGGACTTGGCCTTGTCGGCAGCCTCCTTAGCGCTTGCCTCTTCGGCGGCCTTCTTGTCTGCCTCTTCCTTCTCCTTTGCAGCCTTAGCATCGGCCTCCTCTTGCTCCTTCTTGGCCTTAGCCTCTGCCTCTTCCTTCTCTTGCGCGGCCTTCTTCTCGGCATCGTCCTTGTCCTGAAGAGCCTTCTTATCGGCCTCTTCCTTGTCCTGGACGGCCTTCTTCTCAGCCTCTTCCTTTGCGCGTTGAGCTTCGAGTTGACGCTTGACCTGCTCTTGGAAGGCGGTCTTGGTTTCGGCATCGGTCTTTGTGCTCTTGCTCTCGGTGCGGTTGTGCTGAACACTGGGAGTGCGGGGAGGAGGTGTGGGGGCGGATGAGACGATGGCGGGCGATTGAGGTGCAGGCGAGGGCTTCTTGTCGAAAGTCAACTCCTCGCCCTTGTCGTTCTTGATGACAATGGCCTTGCTCTTAGTCTTGGTCGGAATCTGGAAGTTGGAGGACACGGGAGTAGGTGTGCCAGGAGCAGGAGCGGCTTGAGGGACGCCAGGGGCCGAGGCGTTGGGTTGACCGACGCTCGAACCGGGTCTCTCAGAGATCTGGGAGCCGCTACGGGACATGGGGTTGTGGTAAGGAGAGTTCATGTGAGCAGGTGGTCCACCGTAACTAGCGGGGTATGGGTTGTTGGGACGAGGGCTGGGAGGAGCACCCTGTTGGTATTGTGCGCCCTGAGGATAGAAGGGCTGGTAGTAACCTTGGTAAGCATCGTAAGGAGGTTGCATGCCATACAGAGCCTGCTGCTGAGGGTTGAGGTGGGGCTGGCCGGGGTACATCTGAGGCTGGTTGTGCATACCCTGGGGCATGAAAGGCTGTGCGTGCGCCATGGCGGGACTGCCGTTTCTACCGCGGTAAGCACCACCGGGCGAGTTGGCCATAGGGGCACCATACTGGTTCATACCGGCCTGAGGAGGCATGTTGGGGGGGCCACGTCCCTGGTAAGGCAGCGGGCGATGGCTCTGAGCGGGCGAATGAGGGTTGTAACCACCAGGAGTGAAACCGCGACCACGGCCATTGCCAGGCACGAAGTTGTTGCGCATACCGGCGTCGCTGTGTTGCGACTGTGTGGAGGGGCGGCGCATGTGAGCGGGCTGACTGGAGGGAGTCAAGGGAGCTGCGTTGTTCTGTACGACATGGGTCAGCTGCGGTGTGACATGGCTATGGATTTCGTCGAGACCAACTTCACCGTTCTCTGCGCCGAAGCTGCCAAAGTTGGGGGCATTACTCTGGCCGGGAAGGTTGGCCGGAGGCTTGCCACCACTGGCGGCGGGCTGAGGGATGGGCGAGGGCGAGTGTGAAGGAGAGATGATGTTGGGGTTGGCGGCGGCGAGGTTGGGGGTGGTTTGTTGGACGGGAACGCTGCTCGCGATGGCGGGAGAGCCAGTGGGGCCATTCATGGAGCCAAAGTTGATGTTTGGTCTCGAGGACTGCGTCTGAGGACCGCCGTTGGGGATTTGTCCGGTGGTGCCAGAAGCACTGATAATCACAGAGGGCTTCCTGCCGTGGTCGCCATTCTGCATGTTGGATGGCTTTGACGATGATTGCGGAGCGGTGTTCTTCAGTTTGCTTGCATTCTGTGCTTGCTGGGCTGCCGATGTCTTGTTGGCGATACTGGCGTAGGAAAGCTGCGCCTGCACAGCTTTTTGCTGTGTGTTCTGAGCTGCGGGAGCGGCCTGGGGCTGATTTTGCGCAGCGCTTGGAGTTTCGCTGGTCATTAGACTGGCGGGTGTGACTGTACAGTCGAGGGTGATGGAGGTCGACAGCGAAGGTTGTTGGAGATTTTGCCTGGCTCGCTCCCGTGGATTCGGGGAGGGACGTGCGCGCGTCTTTTTTTGAATCGCGCACCAAATAGTCAACTTAACCACCAATTGCTTGCGGTTCTGTTTAATGCGCCGATACAATACACACTATGCTGGTCAAGGACGATTGAAACTCCTGACCGAGGAGAGTCTGTGACTGACAGGCAGGTATAAAGACAGCAAAATGGCTCTGTCTCGATGACTGCGTTTGTCGTTCGGGTTGGGGAAAGCCGCACTGGGTTTTCGCACACGACACTACTTAACGAAAAGCTGTCGTTTGATGCTGATGATCACAAGAAGATGACTGTGATTCGTCTTCTTCCAAAGATTCGATTTCGAGTACTGTGTCAAGTATTGTCTTGAGTGAGGATGAGACTGTGCAGACAAAGGAATGCTCTGAATATCTATCTGGTGCCTCCTTCTCCCGACAGCAGCTGAGGATTGACTCCGCGAAGTCACTTGAGCTCACTCATTTTTCCCTTTTGACCACTCACTGTGAGCCTTGGCTCTTGATGAGTCTTCCCTTCCATTCTGAACTTGTCGAAGCCAGCATCACTTGGACATAGTCTGTTCTCATTGGCTAGTCCTGCCGGCCTTCACTCATCCAGATCTGTGGAAGGGAAAAATACGTCTTTGGCTGCTGCACATTGCCGTCATTGACGGCATCTTTTTTTCTCAAGACGTTCATCGCTGTTGTAATGGCGAATCAGCTTCGGGCAAGAAATTCTTGTGATTGTTGAGAACGCTGTGTCGAACGTGGCAACTAGAAATTGCTTCTGGAAGGAAACTTGATATCGTTCATGGGTCTCATGGTCCTGGCCTCTGCAAACATGATTATCTGTTGAATATTGTCTTGCAATCCGATCGAGAGTCTTTTCGATCAGTTTCCTACTGCTCTTCAGTCAAATTGATACCATTAGCTTTCGTGCAGAATTTCTCCATGTTGATTCTGACCGTTGATTTTCATGTGATCGGGCAACAAAGCTTCGCTCAAACGTTCTGACCTATGATTCGCTGCCGAGCATCAAGTCCACTAAGACTCTTCTCCAGCACAACATGGCTAAGAACTGAATTGAATTAGTGGTCGTGTCGACGTGCTCTTCCTCAGGATGAATCATTGCAGCACCATTTGGCTCATCGTTTGATGCAATCGGTCGTTCTCTTCCAATGCAAGTATGTCCGCGGAAGCTTGCATGTCAAACAGCTCTTGATCAAACGGTCGTTTGGTGTGACCCTGACGTCGCAAGCGTTCGACAATGCTTCACCCTTTCAATCTTCTGCATATACTTCTGACGTTGATGACATCCACGGCTTCGAGAGATGTCGCGATCAAGGAAATGATGTGAACACCTATCTCTATTCCTGCTGTTCGAGGATGAACCACAAATTTGGCACGCTCACCGCGAAAGTCAAATACTTCATGCCTCAGGAAATTCAGCGCTGCAGAGTCTGCACTGTCATAGTCGGCATGTTCGATCTACTGCCAATTGAGGAATACTGTGTCGGAGAACAATCAAAACGATCAGGTCTTTACAAGGAAGTCTACATACGGAGATAATAGGTATTTCGAGACCAAACAATTGCTGGAACAAGAGGAACGTGCAATCTTTCCCGTCTCCCGCCCTAACATCAATGCTCTACAATCCACCTGAAATTTCGCAGCCGCTTGCCGAACAATGCTATCAAAAGACTGCAATCTCGGAAAGGGCAAACAAGTAAAAGACGAATGCGGCGCTGCAACTAATTTCGCCCACAGACCGTCGGTTCAGGCCAGCGCGATAGCAAAACACACAACGGGTCGTACAACGCACAGATTTCAGGCCTACAATTTTAGGAGATCGCAATCCACGGATGCTCGAGCTTTTTGGCTTACCTAGTTAGCTGATGTCGCCTCTTTCAGATCGCACTGTCAACATCGCTTGGAAATGGTAACGACGAGTCAGTTGGAACGCCTGGAGCAGCTCTTGGATCCGGTGCAACCTAGTCCCGCCGCCGTTGCTGTCTGAGCGTATTCCAACGACAACTCGTTCTTCGGTGACACCGCAAACAATTCATCTCATCCTCTGTTCGCTATGAGCTGCGCGTTTCTTCAGGCCACTTACGTGTATAGAGCAGCTCGAAGACCAGCGATTCAGTTACGAGCTCAGAACTTCCGATTGACCAGCAAAATTCTTGGCCTCGTTTGCCGCCCGACGAGTCAAGCAAGCAACGAGATACGGTAACTTTGCGGTTCAGGCTGTATGCCGCCTTGATATCCCGAAATACCACAAGAGTAACCACAAGAGTATACCTGCGCGTGGGTTGTTGCCGTCTGTTGTTCTTTAGAGATCTCGTGTGTCGCCTCTTGACCATATTTCAGGCCTATAACCGACCAAGTCTGCCAGAGTTCAAGTTAGCGACAGCACAGGCTTGTCAAGGTAGGTCAGTATGATGAGCAACCCCCGCCCTGTGATCAGCTATGATAGAAGGTCTCTGTCTAGCTAGCGATCCGGGATTTGATACATCAAGAGAGCGTGATCGGAGTCTCAGAGAAGAGAAAAGGATCGAAAAGTATGAGTCGTGGACTCGCTCGCAGAAAGTCGACGCTTCAGTCTTTGAACATCGCTCCGAATGTCGAAGCACGTGTTTTCTGCTTTCATCTCAACGTCAAGAGCGGGCCCCAAGCACCGGCTATGATTGCTGTTCAAGGAACTCATATCGTGCTTTGACTGTTGCCTCAGGCCCCCTATGCTCTCAGCCGTCCCGATGACACCGTCTGCCCTGACCGATCTCGCACGAGTAAGTTCATCCGCGCATCCTGCAAACCCTCGATTTCTATCACGCCCAAGAGGGATTTGCAACTCGCGAAGAAGGTGTGCACGTGTTCCAACATCGCAGGCGTCCATAGAGATCCTCGCCCAAGCATTTCTCAATCTCGCATCTTCCTTCTTGCTGCCTTGGGCATCCGTCCACATAGGTACTGCCGCCGGCCCAAAGAGGACGGGCCAAGAGAAGTAAAGCAAAGCAAAAAAAAGCACTCGGCAGGTGCCAGCGTGCCCACATCCCGAACCAAGTATCAGTAAGCAGATCCATCAAGAACACGCGTGCGGCGAGCCAGCCAACAGTGCTCCACCGGGGCACACCGGACGAGTCGGCTACCTCCTTCAACCCAAGGCTCTCCCCGTCGGTGGTGCTTCCACCAAATCCACCCCCCTGCCTAACCCTTGTCCACAAATGTCTCAAGACTCTCGCCTCCGGGAGACTGGTCACGGCATCATCAAGAAAAGGACCCATGTCCTGTTTCTTGCCCTTGGCCCAAAGCCCAACAAGGAAAGAAAAGCCAGTAGGCTCGAGCCAAAACCAGACACACGTTCTTGAAACAACCCCTGCTTCTTTTTGGCTGTTTTTCTTTTCGTCTTCGGCAAATGTTTATTGTGAGCGACAAAGCTCTTTCTAGTCGTCCATGCACGAAACAGCAAAGACATGAGTAATGACTCTCCCGAGATAACGTTACACGTGCTGGGCTGTCAATCGCGGCCGAGCAAATTGTCCCGACACCTGTCAGTCTGTAACTAGTCTCCTACCTAGCGGGTATGTATCCAACCCTTTCAAAGGTGTTGCTCCTACCGCCGACCTACTGCAAAAGTCTCTGCAATGCAACTCTCAAAGACCCACATCTGCTATTTGGGATTGTGTGTCCGAGTCTCTCTCCTGACTCCTTGGTAATGTCATTCCATTGGCAGGTGTTGCAACAATTATTGCATCATGAACCAACCAAAGCAGTCCAAAAATACCAGAAGCACTCATGCACCTTCGCTTAAGCATACATGTTAGACTAAGACAAACAATGTAGATCCAATACACTGTGACATTCGTCTGGAAATAACCTTGCAATCTGAGCTTCCGAGAAATGTTAATGGTAACACGTTGCACATGTGTTTCTGCATGGTTGATGCATGAGTGAATCCAACGACCAGAGAATGTGTTGCATTGGGAAATGCACCGCGATAGTGATGGTAAGGGTCATGAGGATTCGGCACTTGAGTTGATACGGATGTACAGTACTTCGACGACCAGCATTTTGTGGGAAGTGGGTTATGCTTTCTGGTGATGGAAGACTGGGTTTCATGACAATGTTTAATCTCCTGCGAAAGGCAGTGAAGTACTCGAACAGGCGCGGACTGGAAGGCACGACAAGAGGCTTTCTTGAGGAAGGGAAGGAGCTATTGAAGCATTTCCAAAAGACAAAGCTTCGAGCATCTCTTGAAGCAGGAAGCTGTGACACTGCAGAATACACATTTCGCGATCAGATGGCAGCCGCAACTCTTTCTTGAATAAACATGGACAAAAAGTATTCTATCTCGTGAGAAAGGCATACAATAATATACAGCAATCTGCCATGCATCATCCCCCAGCAACTCTCCCGTTGCGCCATATTGATGCTTGTCATCCATACAAAAGCCCTAGATTGATATATAATATACACATATAGAAGAGAATTGCGACAAACAAGCACGATGATGTGACAATAATAGACATTGATGATCTGCGACTTTCCTCTACCCGGTCTACGGTGTAGAAAAAGAGAGCTGCAAAGATGAATATACAAAAGGCCGTCTCCTTCCTTCACCTAGCTAAAAATGGAGGTGTCTGAAGAGGTTCGAAAGAATTGAAGAAACAATTTTGCGCTCACAAGACGCGTATTGGGAGTATCCGCTGAAAGAAACAAGAGGAAAGATTGACGAAGGAGAGATTGTGGTGTGGCTTGCAGGTGTTGACTCTAGACAAATGCCAGCTGTCATGTCTTAATAGGAAGCACCGATGGCAACACCGCTATCGCTGTGGGCTTCAGACTCGTTGTTGCGATGCTCAGGATATGAGGATCGCTGGGCCACACTAGGAGTAGCAGGCTGTTGTGCTTGCTGAGAGTGTGTCTGTTGCTGCTCCGAACGCTGCATGTAGGGACCCGAGTATGAAGAAGGGCCGGCAAATTGGTTGCCAAAGTTGGCGTAGTGAGGCATCTGGGGTGTGGAGTAAGGGGTCGGGTTGTGGTATTGTTGGTACTCGGGGAATGAGGAAGGGTGTTGGCTGAGCAGTTGCTGACTGTCTCTGTTGTAAGAATTGACCATCTCAATGCTCGGAGGGCCACTAGTTGGTGCTTGAGCTGGACGAATGCTGGACTGGTAGCTTGGGAAGCCATCTGGTGCTGAGGTTAGTAGTATTACGCGATGTTGGAAAACAAACAATACTGACAAGATGGAAGACCTAAGCCATAAGGTCCACTTGGGGGAGGCATGTTCCTCTGCGCATCCTGTGCAGAAATATATCCCTGGCCCTCAGACGACTGCAGCCCTGGGGTTCTCGCCTCTGAGGGGTGTTGAGAACTTTCGCCACTTAGGCTACCATAAGACATGCTCGATCTTAGGGGAGATGAAGTGGCAGTCTCTCCACTTGCACGTCTGAATCTATCGTGTACGGGAAGCCGCGGGGGTTGAGAGTATTGGCTGGTGTACGATGGAGGTGGTCCTGGGAACATGGCTCTCTGAGGGCTGTCCAGAGTTGAACGAGCGGCGTACCCATAAGTAGGACCCTCAGGTGGTCTGGAGACAGGAGACATGGTGTCTGTTGCTGAGTGTGGTGGAGTGTATGCCATGGTTGTCATTCCTGGAGGTATTCCAGTGGGACTGATGTAGGTAGGTCCCATCTCCCCTCGTCGGAGTGTGTCGAGAGTCAAGGGGCGGATGTGTCCAGGTTGGTGGATGACTGTGCCATAGCTAGCAGGCGATGCGCCAGGTGTAATGCCACCAGGAGCTGAGCCATAATTGCTGTGCAGACTGGGTGTCATGTCAAAGTTGTCCGGCAGAGCTCTTGACTTCATCATCCTTTCGCGATCCTCAGCTGTCAAACGCTTCAGCTTCGCACGCCTGTTCCGCAGTCAGTAAGCATTTCAATCTAGTCGGCTGTATGCAAGTACCTGTTCTGGAACCAAACTTGAACTTGTCTTGGACTCAAGCCAGGAATTTCCCTCGAAAGTCTCTCGCGATGCGCAGCATCAGGATGAGCTTGACGGCTGAATTCACTCATCAAGAATCTCGTCTGGTTGTGGGTAAGTCTGTTGTTGGTCAGCATTGCATTCTATGATTTCGCTGTCGACACTCATGTACCTGAACCGTTTCATCTTGCGCTTTTGATTTCTCAGCTCGGCCGCCGTCATTGGAGGCTTGTTCTCGCCGTCTTCAGCTTCTCCGCTTGCATCTTGATCATCCTCATCCGCAATTTCATCGTCGGGCTCAATCCCTTGCGAGTGTGGACTGACGTGGGACGACGGGCTTCCGGGTAACGACTCGCCCAATGTCTGCTGTCCAGATCCAACAATGGATTGAGGCGTCGTGTGAGGCTTCGAGTCCGATGATGGGTGTTGTGAGTACGAACTTGGAGCGGTACTACCCGCCGAGTACTGGGCATTGAGTGGGTACGGTGAAGTCTTGTACGATCTCAGCGAGGCACCTTGAGGTACGCTCAACACATGGCCACTCGGTACAGGCTCTTGTGGAGTCTGATACTGGCCTGATGCATGAGGGTATCCCTGTCCAAAAGATGACTGGTGGTCTTGATGCGTTTGCCAACCAGGTAGTGCTGGCTTGTAGTCTTGACCAGACATGCGAGGAGAGCTCGGTGGTGACAAGGGCTCAATGATCTTTCCTGGAAGCATTTGATTGCAGGTCTCTGTATAAGGCAATCAGGGTGCGACGCCTTTGTTGATGCCGCGTAAATTGGTCTAAGACTCGTGATGACGGGCCGGGAAGCTGCCGTGATTCGCAGAGCTCGCTAGAAATGCTGGAGGGATTTTGGAACTCCAAAAGATACCAGAAGTGATCGAATCCTTGAAAAGTTGACAAATTAATTTAATCGTAGAGTTCTGGGAAGCAGAGGGAGGAGGCGCAAGGTTGATGGAGCAATAAGGATACTGCGGGTATGGCCCACTGCAAGCTTGAAGCTGCCGCGAAGTAGGTTGTGGGGATGACAAGAGTAGACAGAAAGGGTCGATCGCTCAATATCAAAGCAATATCAAGCAAATGCGCGAGCTCTGTCAGGGTCGCGCGCGAGGGTGGCGCGCAAGATTTGGGTAATGAGTGTTGTATAGAGTGTAGCAATACACTGGCCAGCAACGACTGTGAAAGAGGTACTGTACTGTAGGACAGAGAAAGTTGCGGCAAGGCCGAGAAGATCAAGGCAGTGGGCCGGTTGGTCTGGTCGACAGTTCGGCGGAGCTTTGCTCACCGTAGGGGAAGGTGTCAAGAAGGTTTAAACGAAGGGAGATGAGGCTAATAGATTAGCAGTTGCGCAAGCACAAGACTTGACTCGTGCAAGAATGGTGAGAATCTTGAAAGGACGAGACAATCAGATGATGGGCGACTTCAATGCTCTGAATGTGGGGTGTCAGCAGGTGTTGCAAGACCAATTTGGCAGTCTATGGTGCAAAGAAGGTGGTATCCGGCCTCTTGATCCTCGGGAGTTCCAAGCACCATAAGGGTGGCTGCAGGGTAGGAGAAAATGGCCGAGTCAGGACGAGAAGTTCAGACGGTAACTTCATCAAAAGATCGCATGGGGGCGAACGCAGCGATGGCCATGTCAACATCGACATGTCAAGGATTCAAGCTCACCTGCTTGCTTCTGCACGGTGCTTCTCGGCAGCCAATGCTCGTCCTAGTGCCTGTGGGTTCGACCAAGGGTCCACACAACCAATGATAGGAATACGGATAGGCGTGTTGTTACCTCGGATGAAAACCTCAGGTGGGAATATCCAGCATGTAAATAGTTAGCCCTGCGAATGAAGAAGCGTGCGGAGATTTATTCCACCTGTTGCATTTGGCCAAAAGTTCAGGACGTGCACTAGTAAGATGCCCGGGAAACTTTATGCGCTGTGCAGAGCGGGTTCCGAGATGGCTGGAACACATATGGCAACTGCCGATGGGTGTGATTCGAGGTTATGGTAGTGGAACCGGACCCTGTCAGGATGATTCCCACGTTCACCGCTAATGGCTGGCTGCATTACCACTTGCGGATGAGGCGCTTGATGGCGCATGGTTGCGGGGGTGGTGGGACTAGTCGTCAAGTGACATGCGTGCTTGTCCTGCCGCCAAAAGACGCACGGAGTGTGGACGTCGCATGCCCTCTGTCCTTTCGATAGTTTCCTGCAGCCACGATGGTTCGCAGAAGTCATTTGGACGATTGTGAGTCTTCTTGCTAGAGACCTACGGACAAGCACACTGTCGACTGACTGTGATGCGGCCCAAAACACTCGGTTAGGGTAGAAGCCTAAACGCGCGTAGCCCTTCAGGGACATTGCTTCTGCTTGACACCCACCTTTTTGATAGCTTTCATCTCGTCTAATGGCACTCCCCCCGCCGTGGTCTGACGCTGTTTGAAGCTTGGACTTGGCTTCTTCGGCTCTTCCCTGAACTGTGCATAAAGGCCGATTTTGTCCTGGCTCGACCAATCCGAAGCGGTGATTATGAAGCATTTCCAGAAGATCGATCACCGTTTTTCATTCGAATTCTTCTTGCGGGCCGCCCCGGGCGTGGCAGGTTGGCACTTCTCGTTTGTCGCAGCTGTCAAGCAGGGATTCTAAGACACGATTGTCAAGTCTTGCGATCTGTTCTCCTTCTTGGCCCGTGATATGTTTTTGCTCTCTTTTCTTTCTTTTTGCTAACAACGTGCAACTCCGCGCTTCTCCGCTGTTGCTGTTCTTAGTTAATTTAACCGAGAAGAGGCAGTAGAAGCCACGGCCAAATCATATGAAAGTAGGCGCTTTCTATGCGGGTACCACGAGGGCATATCCTTAATGATCAGCAACCAGGGACAGCAATGGGTACTGAGCCGGTTTGAGAAGAGGGTTGTCAGAATTGCAGGAGTCAGACCCGAGCCGAGTACGTTGTTGTTCCTCACCGGTGAACACGGTTCATACAGGAACGCGCCGGCTACTCACACAAGCGGCCCCACGTGCAGACGATTCACCATTGCAACCGTCAGGCAATCCTGCAAATAGCGTTGTCGCCAAGGAAGCCTCTAGGACATGTTGTGTGTTTCGAATCGCACGGTATCACGCTTGCGAGGCGGCGTTACCGTCGGAACAGAGGACGGCTGGAGATTTGCTGCTCGAGCTCGTGGACCTGTTTTCCGAGTTGCTCGTGCTGGAAGCTTTTGCGACCGACCCAAGGAGTAGGACCTGTTGCTGCGGCGTGCCTGCGGAAGTTGGTCTGCTCGGGCCCGATGCGCGTAGGTAGAGACGGCGGTTTGATCTGCGCAGGGTGCACTTTAAGCGAGCCGCCATGCGCATCGAGCGCGTTCACCGTTCGCCAAGCCATCAAAAGTCCCCCCTCGTTCACGAGTGGCTCTTGCGCGATGGCTAATCTCGTCGACGAGGGCTGAGAGGCTCTGTGCGATCGGGCGGCCATGTATGTCAAATTAGACCAAAACAACAACCACAATCAGGCACTTGTTGACTGAGTCGCAGTTGCCAAACCGCAGCAGTGCCAGCACGACATGAAGTCGGGTATCTCGTAGGATCAAGGTTGTGCGGGTCAAAAACCGTTTAGAGGGGTGCACAGGGCAAGGTTGCAACGGCCGTCTCGGAACATTACAACCAAACAACCGCCTCCATCTCCAACCCTAGGTGCATGCAGATCGAAGGAGCGTGATCATCTTGCATACCAACAACGTGTCTGCAGTCTTTGTGGCACTCGAGACAACTCAATAATAGACATCGAGAAGGCTTGTTGCATTGGTATATAGTTATCCAGTGACCACCTGCTCTTCTGCCTTGCTATCCATAGCCACGGTTACCTCTCCGCTGTCATTTTCGGTTGCAGATGTTGGGTCGTCAGCGGCAGCCTCTCCCTGGTTGTCCTCCTGCTTATACAAGGCAGGTAAGCGTGCGGAGGGATCCACCTTGTCTAACAGCGCCAGTGATGTTCTGGATGCAGCCCGCAGCGCGCGCCAGGTCTTGCTCTGCTTGGCGGCCTCCAAAGAGTTCTTCTCCTCGTCTGTCATGGCCATTTCCAAATCAAGCTCGTCGTTTTCAATCCCCTTGACGAGCTTCTCGGGTGAAGGTGCCGTAAATCTGTTGCAACAATGATCAGCATCTATCTTTGGAAATGCCAATTCCGTGTCTGCACATACCTTGATGCGTCTTTTAGAGCCTCGAGTCCCTTCGCATTGTCCACTTCGGCGAGGAAGGTCACATCGATAGCCCCCATTGGTTTCGTCTTGAGGCGCTTATTGACGGTCGCTTGCCGAGCACCAGACTTCGCTTCTGCATTTTCTTCTGGAGTGACAGCATCTCTGACGATTGGCGGACAACTCTCCAACTTCCACCTTACCCAATTCTTGTCGCGGGAAAGTACAGTATCGACCATGCGGTAGTAAAACTTTCCTTCAGGTCCTTCCTGCAGATAATTGGCAATCTTGGAGCGTGTTGAGGTTACCCATTTCTCCTGCTGTGTGTCAGTACGCCCTCAAACTCGCTTGCTGCTAGCACATACATTTTCTTCACTCAGTGTGAAACTGTATAGGAGACCTTTGTTGGCTGACTTGGGATTGGTCTTCTCGACATCCGTCCACTTCTTCTTTGCTTTTTCGGTGAGGGAGAGCAGAAAGTCGATGAGGATCAGTCCTTGGACCAAGATGTGGCGTTGGAATGCCAGATCACTCAACTTTTCTATGTTAGACTTGATTGTCAATATCCAAATACACGAAAACATACCTCGAGTTCAAAAAGCTCGCGACTTGTCAAATACTTCGGATTGTAGTTGCTTGCGTATTGATCGCCAGTCTCATCACCAAGCTTACGCTTGATACCACGTTGAGCATCCCCAGCACTCTTAGTTTGTGCCACCACTGGAGTCTTTTTGAACTTCATCAACGTCTTCTCGATGCCGTCCTTGAATGGACTGAAGTTCTCATCTTCGAATAGTCGCGTCGGATTTGAGAAATCGTGCTGTAGTCTCCAGAAAATAGAATAGAATTCCGAGTTCTCGTCTTTGACCTCGTCACCTTTCTTTTTCGTCTGAGCCTTTGTTTGGTCCTTGTTCGAAGGGGTAATTGCGTCGTCGGCGTCTTTAGGTTGTGACTCGGCTCCGACATCTCCTTCCATAATAACATCCATGGGTTCTGCCGCCTCAGCATCGGCTGGAGAATCCTTTTCGAAGACAGTAACATTTTCTGTGTGATATTCTCCGCGCAGGTTGACAGAGCTTTTGTCGCCAAGAGGGAATGTTTGGAAGAGGAAGAAGAAGACTCGTCCACAGAAGACAGCATCTTCGGCTCTGGAAAGTCGACGTAGCAGTTCATTGCAAGAGCGAAGGAGAGCCAGATGAGTCTTGTGGAAGTCCTTCTGAATAAGTCGTTCACGTCTTGATTCTAGGTAGTCAAAGACTATCCTACAGCCCTCGGTGGTCTGACTGTCAAGAAGCTCTTCGACAAGCCAGAAAGCAAGGATAGGTTCGCATTGACCAAGTTCGCCGCAAAGTAGCAGAAGATCCAGAAAGTCCCACATACGGACAAATCCAGGTATTCTGATATCAGTGGATTGCTGTTGAGATATTAGTTTGATCAGATCCGGACAAGGCGACAAGGGCGGAGGGGCGTACAATGGTTTCGTAGAAAATCTTCCTCGCGGCTGTTTCGACGACAGAGAACTTGTGCACGTCGGGTTGCGAATCAAAAACATCTTGTCCGAGTGAAGAGACGCCCTGTGCTAGATCTGATACGGGCAAAGGAGGATCGATGGTTTCGACTGATTTGATTTCTCTGGCGCGCTGCAACAATGTTCGTAGTCGCTCTAAAATAATGCCGACTGACGGCGGATCAGTCATTGCGTCCGCAGCCATGATGGCGTTACAGAACTGATTCCGCTAGTTGCCGTTGAAGGCGGTCTGATGATAATGATGGTTGGCTGAGATAATTGATGGTAGTTGAATGATGTTGGATGCAGTCGAGTATTCGTCGCAAGGATGGTGTCGCGCGGCGCAATGTCTCAGACTCGGGCGCTCTTCCAAGGTGAGTCCAGAGATGAGACCAAGCGTATCCTAGTGTGATTGTTGAGAGGTGTATTGCTATTGTCGCATCAATCAATAGATGTGAGAGCAGCGGAAGTTTGCTGGCGCATCACTAGCCACGACTTTTGGCCGCTCAGTGTCCCCCATCATCGAAGCCAATTTAGCGCGAAACGCGCTCAGTCGCGTCTCCCAGACTTTTGGTGAGGTGATCTTGATATTGAATATCCTCATCCAGATTTGGTGAAGACAAGAACAAGAAACTCCAGACATGCCAGCTGCAGTATCATCCGGTGTCCGTCCCACAGTCGAGCGCGACGATGATTTGGACGACATCTTCAACTACGATGCAGGTATCAACGCGACTTTCAATCAACAGCAAGAGGACGCCAACAACAACGATACCGTCCAAGATCAACATGATGTGCCGGTGAACATTGATGAGGAGGTCAAAGTCACCAAGAAGCGCAAACCAGTCGCCAAACTTGACGAGGAGCGGTACGTACCTAAAGTCCAACACATTCACAGCCAGCCCTGACCCTTCCACAGTCTTCTTTCTCAACAGGGCATTCCAAAGCTCCGCAAGATCGCCAAAGACCGCATCCGAATCAATGGCAAAGGCCACGAATTCTCAGACATGGCACGTCTCCTCAACACATATCAATTATGGCTGGACGACCTCTTTCCCAAAGCAAAGTTCATGGATGGTGTATCTATGATTGAGAAGCTCGGCCACAAGAAGCGCATGCAGATGATGCGAAGAGAATGGATTCAAGAGGGCAAGCCCAAACCACCACGCGACGATGATGAAGAGGACTTTGTCATTCCAGACGAAAATGCAGTACCAGAGAACAACGACGCTCACACCAGCGAGGAGCAGCCCGATCACCCTGAATCAATGTCAGAAGCACAGTCAAATGAAGGAGCACGGGCAAGGACCAACCATAATCCGTTTGGCGAAGAAGAGCCTGATGAGGACGAATTGGACGCGCTGTTGGCAGAGAGCGAGAGTGTAACATTACCAACTACGAAACAGAACAACACACCACCCGCAGATCAAGAGCCAGATGAGGACGAACTGGATGCTCTCATGGCTGAGGATGCAATGAATGACAGTGTGCCCAAGAGTCTTTTCGGCGGACCAGTTTCATCAACCACTGCTACCAATGCCGCTTCGCGACCACGGGACGAATTTGATGATGACGAAGAAGCAATGGCTGGCATGGATTGGTAGTCTAGTAGTCATAACATCCTTCAATTTCGCGTCTTCCGCAATACCCGAGTCTTGTTATTTCATCTCTGTCATCATGTCCTTACTACGAACAACTCATCAACTGACAGGTCCATAAGCCACTTCTATCCCATCCCGACCACTAACCGAGCAGCCAATGTAAGACAGGGTGATGGGCACAACAATAGCTCCAAGCCAATATTCTGGAATTCTCGTTCACCACTTGAATTTTGGTAGATCTTCGATATACAGAGGGATGCCCTGACACTTTTCCACATACATACCAATGCTGTTTGATATCTCTCTGGGTTTTGGTGGAGATATAGTGCAATCAATGCTCAAAAATGCTTAAAGTCATCATGCTCGGTAGAAAAGATTTGCTATTTATGGAACCGTCCGGCTCCGAGAACAGATCTCTGCAAGAGCGAGGTTCAGAGCTTGTCGTACCATTTGAGAGTCTCGAGCAGACTTCTTGTCAATTTTGTCTCTTTAGAGACTTGGGTGGAAGAGATACATCACGCTCGCGAAATAAGCAGTGGATGATGTCAGGTCTTGTTCAATGTACATTCATAGAATCACAAAAGTCAGGTTTTCATATCACGTGAACTCGTGTGCCAGTCGCAGTGGTTTAGTGGTAAAATTCGTGCTTGCCATGCACGAGCCCCGTGTTCGATTCACGGCTGCGACAATTTTTGCAATGTTCGTTGCACTATCTTTTTGGTCCTCGGTAGACTAGGTGGTGCACTTGGTCCTTTGGACTATGTTGCATACCAAGATATCCAATAGTTCAATTGACTGATCTGTACAAACTGTGCAATCGTCTCATAATTATGTCCTTCACGAGCTTGAAGCCGATGCCTGGCCCCACTTTTGCAATGCCCTTTCGACGTGGTTCACAAGAGAGGCAGCACGAGGGATGCCATCCTCTTTGAAGTCGAGAGCATCAGTTCTCCACCAGAGCCAGCTTCGTGCTAGTGAGCCCTCGTCTGCATCGAGCAATCCTACAGCCACGTTTGCAATGCCGTGTCTTTCGTCTCTGACGTAGAAGACAGTCGCACCACATTGCCCACAAAAGTATCTCGATGCTTCGTCGGAAGAGCGGTAGTTCTTGAGCGTACCAAAGTCCCGGGAGAAGGGCACACTGCCATCAGCAGCGAGAGAGATGTCAGTCGTTGGGACGTAGGTCCATGGAACGAAATCGCAGCCACTTGAATGACGGCAGGAGTTGCACTGGCACACTTCGGCGAAGAATTTGGTGCGATTCTCACAGAGCCACCATGGGTTTTCAACTTCGTATTCTCCGCGGTCAGAGTTGTGCTGTTGTGTGTCAGATTTGGGGTTGTTTGGGTCAGCTGAAGATGCCAGTGGACGAGAGATCCAGAGCTTGATACCATTACACAGGCAATGGGCGTGTAGTCGTTCTGAGGGTTTGCCGACTGATCGTTCGCTCGATCGAGGCCAGTCAGTTGGCAGCTCATCATTCAAAGTAGCATGTGTCTGGAGTGGCAAGTCTTTGAGCCAGTGACTGAAGCCACCATCTTGAGTATCCTTGACGAATATCTGACGCTTGAAATGCACTGTGTCCTCAAGCTGATCGAGAGCTCCTGTGTGGATACAAAATCGGCCATCTAGTTTTTCGATGATGCTAGCGCCGCAAGTAGGACAGAAGAAGATTGTCCTACGACTTGACCAGTCACTGGCCTTGAGCCTAGAAAGCGAATCCTGTACAGCCTTGTTGCAAGTGTCGGGCACGAATGCTCCGCCTATGTACAGTGACCCCGAGCCATGACGACAACTATCGCAGTGGCACATTGAAGCTGTTAGAGGAAGCTGGTCTTCAGGAACCGTAAGCGAGAGCTGGTAGTTGCCGCAGAGGCACCTGGCCTTTATCTCTCGGGCGGTGCTCATGTTGACAAGAGAAGATTGTACTTCAGTTCTTGAGTTTTGAATGTGTGTCTTGTGTCAACCAGCAGTCAGAGTTGGGTGAAGGAAGAAGTCGACAGGCAGCAATGCTGACTGTACAAGACGCGAAACGAGCCTGGTATCCAGCTTACACAACGACTACTACTTTGCCACAGCGGAGTCTATAGCTGGTTGGAGACACGGGAGAAACGACTCCGCCTACAAAGTCATATTTCTGACTATATCGCACAAGCGCGAACATCACCTTGAAAAGAGAAGAGTGGTAGACTTCAAAGTGGGCGATAGTGAAGGGGGGCTTCCGTATCACTCAGGGTTTCGGCAAACCGCCCAATGACGTTCACCGCATGATTCGAGGAAAGAACGCCCCTCGAATTCGCGCAAACTCCGAAAGAAAGAAGACGCAACGACTTTGACAAAATCGCATCTTTGCGCACACCTCGTCGACGGTCCTGTCAGACACGCAAAGATGGACCACTACGAGCCATCGTCAAGAAACCAACGGACGCATCCTCAACGCGATCGTCCGCCTCCTCCCTCTTACCACGACGCGCCTCCTCCACCTTCGGGCCCTCGCGACATGTTCCAATTTCGCGGCGCCGCTGCTCGTCCTCCTGGCGACAACTACAGACCTGGTCCTCGAAGAGATGGCTTCAACTTCTCAGCTGGTAATAACGCGCCATCCTTTGCGCCTTCAAACAATTACCCAGGCGCTAGAAGAGCTCCCCCCCAGGACGCACGTCGTAATGGCCAGCGCCGCGGACGTGGCCGTGTTGGACCCCGTAAATTTGGCCCGAAGCCCGCTCACGAACGAGATCTGATGCGACACCAGCGCGAACCCACTCCTGATCAATTGGAAGGCATGAACGAAAGCAGAGAGTCCCGCTTCAAGGTGCTCGACGATCTTTCTGATAGTGACAGTGAGAATGGCGATGGCGTTATGGACGCTGAGACTGAGGTTCACCATCCCATTGGTGCTTCCATCTCGCCCCCCAATGTCAACCGTGACAGCCACTCTGATGACTCCGAGGACGAGCACCCCAGAGCCAAACGTGCTCGAGTCAAGAGTAAGAGTCCCGTGGCTGAACAGGCCAAACCCAAATGGTCAAATCCTGATCCTTATACTGTGCTGCCTCCGCCTGGCGAGTCTGAGACGAAGAAGAGGGACGTCGTTAAGCTCATCCGCAAAGCCAAGATCGAGGCTGCAAAGCCTGCCGCTCCTGCTGCTGAGGGTGCGGACTTTATTTCGCTCAACTTCGATGATGACTTTGCTCAAGATGACAGCGAGGACGAAGGTGGTATTTCGCTCTCTGCATCTGTTGGGGGCGAGCCTCCTCTTCCCAAAAAGCCTTCCTTCAGCCATCTAGATCACCTTCATCCAGACCGCAACATTGCTCCACCCGCTCGTGTCGAAGAGTCCAAGGGTGTGAACATGTCAGCGCCTGTATCTCTACCCCGCCTTGATGTTTGGCCTCCACCTGCGGACGTACATGGTGACCCTTCAGGCCGCAGCCAATATCACACTGGCCTTCAGAGACAAGAAGCCAAGGATGCAGTAGCACCAGTCCGAAAAGAGAACAGCAAGAAGCGCAAGCGTCGTGATGATGTAACACTTGGCGACACCATCGAGGAATGGAAAGCACCCGAAGGAACTGATCCTGCTCCCTGGTTTGCCAACAAACTTCAAGGTCATCGTGCTGAGCAGTGGCTTCACAACGAAATTCTCGACTTCTATGACTACGTCAAGCCTCGCGACTTTGAGAATCAGGTTCGTGAAGATCTGGTCAAGCGCATCGAGAGCGTTGTCAGGAAGTCATTCCCTGATCTGAACGTTCGTGCTTTCGGATCCTTCGCTTCAGGCCTTTATCTACCCACCGCTGACATGGACCTCGTTGCCTGCTCAACCCGATTCCTGAATGGCGGCTACGCAAACCCACAGCCAACAAAAAGTTGGATGTACAAGTTTGCCAATTGTCTCAAGAGAAATGGCATTGCCATTGAGTCGTCAGTGACTGTTATCGCCGGCTCCAGAGTGCCTCTGGTCAAATTCGTGGAGAAAGTGACTGGTCTGAGGGTTGATGTTTCGTTCGAGAATGATAGTGGACTTCTCGCCAACAACACCTTCCAGGTCTGGAAAGAGCGATACCCCGCAATGCCTATCATTGTATCTTTGATCAAGCAGTTCCTTGTCATGAGAGACTTCTCCGAGGTCTTCAGCGGTGGTCTTGGTGGTTATTCGGTTATCTGCCTGACCATCACCATCCTCCGCGTCCTTGAGGAGCGCAACGGCGATGACTGGGATCCTATGCAAAGTCTGGACACTGTTCTGATGACTTTCTTTGTATACTTTGGTAGAGATTTTGATGTTCACAACCATGGTATCCAGATGGAGCCATGGAACATCGTCACAAAGGTAAGCACTTATGCAATCATGTCTAGCAAGGCAGAGATGTTTGTTCACTTGGGCATGTCTGCTCAGAGCAACGTTTCTACTGCTGATGATCTTTGCTGCCCATCGATTTCTTGTTTTCGGACCTCGCAATAAGTGATATGGTGATGAGAACCCAAGCTAATTTTGACAGAAATCGTGGAGAAATGCTAAAGGCCAACCATCTAAGCACGACCGGCTCCTCATCATTGACCCCAACAATTACAACAACGACATTTCCGGAGGCTCGAGTGCAGTAATGAAAATCTTCGAGAGATTCGCAAACGCTTTCAGAGAGCTCAACATCTGTATGTCTGATGCCGAGGACTCGCACAAAGACAGCGGTGATGTTATCAGCATTCTCGAGCGTGTGTGGGGTGGCAACTATGCGCTCTTTGAAGCTCAGCGTTCCCGTCTGAGAGCTGTATGGCAGCAGAACATGTCAAGGTATGCTGCTATGCACTCAAGAACCAGAACATATCAGTAACGGTAACGTCAGCGGCAGTAACTTCCCGCGTGGCAACAACAACAACCATGGTGGAAATGGTCATGGCGGTCATCATCAAGGTAAACCAGGAAACCCACCTTCTGGAAACCAAGGCAACCAGAGTAATCAGCCAAAACAGGGCAAAAGGCCCGCAGATGGTGATTCCAAGCCGAACAAGAAACAGAAGATGAACAATGATATCGAGAAGAAGTGGGCATAATCGATACACGAAACTTCCGGCAGTGGCTGACTGATTGTAGGCGCGCACCCTTGCACACAGAGTATGATAACCCTACGGGCGAAGTCACAGCAGAAGTATCAGGCCCCGCAGGTGCCGTTAGCAAGAGAAAGAAGTCGTCTGATGCGACAGCTGGCGCCCCCCAGTCAAACCAACAATCCTTATCCGAGACAGGCAACGAGAAGGACGAAAAGCAGAAAATACACGAGGAAAAAGACCGCGCAAAAACTTTCAAGAAGAATCATCCTGGCGTTACCGGCATACCTGACAGAATGGACAAGGTTCTGTTCAAGCAACTTACCAAGAAGCATGGCAAAGACACCAAGCCGAAGCCAAAGTCCAAATCCAAGAAGAAGCACAACTAGCCGCTGATCGACCAACGAGACATTCGAGCATGGTTACCTTCTGGAACGACCTTCTGATCGGTATGATTGCTGCGTCATTCTGTCCTTGATGATGCAGTATTTTCCGTTGCTGGCAAGAATTCACGTACACATTACTTTTTGCAGGGTTTTTACATATGGAGTGGCGCACCGTCGGATTGCTGATACCCCATCACACATGGCCTTGTAACGATAGCTTTTCATTTTACTTTTTCACAGCGACAGTCGTTGAGCATTTCCCCTGTACTTTTCTCGTTTTCGGTGCCTGGTGGACTAACTTAGAAACAGAGCTGCCAGAATGGCTTTTGAATATGCTGACAGTATTGCAGGGATTTACAGTGGGCACGTGGGTTTGAAATGATGTTTCTGTGAAACATGGACATGAATCTAGTAGTGCTATGAGTCGAATGTCTGCGGACACTGATTCAATAGTCGGATTCTTGATCCTCCCCTTCTGTATTGCCCAAGCGGTGCAGAGGGTCTTTTCTCATTGGATAGCCTGCTTTACGCAAGTGTCTGAAGAGGATAGAATCAAGAGATGTGCAACAAGAGGTCGTGTTCAACTGCCGCAGGGGTAGGCGGAATAGTAGAACCGCAAGTCAAGTAAAGAAGCAACACAACGTGAACGGATCACAAGCGGTCTGTACGACTTGAGCGAGAGTCATGTCAATTTGGCTCTGAGCAGCAACTTGTCTTGTGCTCAGACAGTGATTGGAGGGGCAGCCCCGCCTCCGTCACCGCCCGCCTTCTTGGCGTTCAACATCAACAATCTATTCCAGGAGACAGGGCCATGCTGGACTCAAACCATTCAATAATTTCCATCTGCAAAATCTCCACGACCCACGCGCAAAGCACTCCCGACTCTTCCAACACCTTTCTCTACACATCTCCACATCCGCAACAATGTCGTGGCAAGGTAAGCTCTTTCCGCTCTCACCGCATCGTCATGGCGAGCTTGTCGGCTGACTTTCAAACCATCAGCATACGTCGACCAGAGGTATACACCGCCATCGCCACCACCTACAGAGATACCGCTGACATCCGACCCTCCAGCCTGATTGGCACTGGCAACATTGACAAGGCCGCCATCTTCAACAGCGAAGGCAACAGCGTCTGGGCCACTTCCGCTGGCTTCACTGTGCGTCCTCCACCATTCCACTGCTGAGCATGATCCGAGAAAGAGTTGGGTTCCGGATGACTGCGGATGAAATTTGTCCAAGAAAGAGCATGGACTGATAGCGTGATTCTGCAGGTTTCTCCCCAAGAAATGGCCGAGGTCGTCTCTGCATTCAAGGACACCGCCGACGTCAAGAAGGTCCAGAGCACTGGTCTCCACGTTGCTGGCGAGAAGTTCATCGTCCTCAAGGCTGATGACAGAAGCTTGTACGGCAAGAAGGTGCGGTTCTACGTGCGACTCTACTTTCACATATCCAGCAAGCTGACAACCAATCAGGGCAAGGAGGGTATCGTCATCGTCAAGACCAAGCAGGCTCTTCTCGTCACCCACTACCCCGAGCATGTCCAACCAGGTTCTGCCGCAAACACCGTTGAGCAGCTCGCCGACTACCTCATAAGCGTCAACTACTAGAAAAGATTGCCGAAGCGCATCTTTTCTGTTATGTCCACATTTTCCTGTCGAATCTCCTTGACGTTGAGATTCGAGGCTTGACTCCCTTTATCGTTTCCTTGATTGTGCAGGGTGCAGAAGAAAACACTGGGTCTCAATTCAAACAAAAACCAACAGCAATAACTGTTACACCAATCCAAGATTTGTGCATAGCGAAAACATTTATCTTTTTGTTTACCTCCAAATCTTCCAAGGTCGTGGTTCGTTCTTCGCGCACCTATCACACAGTGACGGACTCGGTGCATGTGTTGTTATCTGTCAACATGCTGCAGCAGGCCTTTGACCTTTTGACATTGGGTCAATAGCGTGTACTCGACGAACTGGTTCCACAGTCTGCGGGTCTATAGGACGAGAGTGGAATCATGCCCGAATACGAGTTCTGCCGAAATTGATGCCGTTCACTGCCTTTGGGCAACAGCTGCCGTTTCCTCACAACGTGCCTTCCCGCATGAGCACCTACTGACTCAGTCAGACTTGTAGAAGCAGGTAGATGTATCGAAAACTTTACATCCAACATCATAGCATGATTCTTAAGTACGACACGGTTATAGCAATGCCTCTCTATTGGAGTCGGTGCTTGGATCAAGGACGCAAGTACGATAGTCCCTTAAGTTCAAGTCTGGCACACTGAGCACAATCCGAGACAAAGCGTTTGGGTAGACTCGCAGGAGCAGACTGGATCGTTCTTTATTTCAATCCAATGCGATCGCTGGTATCTGCCGAAGAAAGAACTTCGAACCAATCCATAATGCTCCTCCCTTTACTGTATATCTACTCACCATAGACTCTACGAACTATAGTTCTTCAGATGTGGCAGGCGAACACCACGAACGCTCCAACATCTTCAATTGCCACTGCTCAAAGTCGTCCCATCTCATCAACACTTCCAGCCACGAACCCACCTCAATGTTCTCTTCATGTTGTGGATCAACAGATGTTCTCTGACCATTGGCTGAAGTATCGGGGAAAGTAGGACAGACATTTGGTGGGAAGGTGCGACGGAAGAAATTCCAAGCTACCATGACAGAGTATCCCTGGGAAGATGCTACGGGTATTGAACCTGCCGAGGGTATGGTGGTCGTTGGAGATGACTCTTTTGAAAGGTTTGCGGACTTCATCTCGTACGAAGGTATTGACGCCGACGTCGATTTGTTGACCTTGGGATCTGATCCAGATCGAAATCGCGACCCTTTGCGGACTGTCTGATTGCACTTTCCCAGATTCTCATGCTCCCAGTTCGGATTTGCGGCATACTCTTTGCCCCACTCTGTGTTTGTGAAAGCCAGGGGGATCTGTCTTCGTCGGGTTTCGGACGATTTTGTGGACTTGTTATCAAAATCTGATGCTTGCGGCGGATTTATGTTGGTATTTGCGTGGCGGTACATTGTTTTGACGTTTTGTGTTGCAGCTCGCAGGAACAGATAGCGTCGAAAAAGAGAGAAAGAGCTGAAGACCTTGATGATATTGACAGAGAACAATGAGATCTGTGTCTCAAACATGGATCTATTTTTGGTTTGACTTGGATGGTGTTTTCCATTGTTGTTTGCACCAACTCCTTGACTGTCTTGAAAGGTCTAAGACAAGATACGAGGGAGTCCATGGTCTTTTTGTAATGCCATTCCGGTTCATGGACTGGTTGACTGCCATATGTAGAATGGTGTTGCAGACTTAGCACTGTGGAGGCCGAACTCTTGCGAAGACCTTAGACCCGTGCCTCACGATCTATCCAGGCTTGGGTGTCTTCAAGCGTCAGCGGGACCTGAGCCTTGTCCCATTTCTGTACCTCTTCTGCGATAAACCCTTCCATAGAGACCAATGCTACAACCAAAAAGCCAAGCTCTTCTCTGTCGACATCAAAGACTTCCCACCACTCCTCACCAGGAAGCTTGACTCCTATCTCCTTGGCGGCAAGGTAGATAGCCGCCGTAGCGAGGGATGGAGGCTGATGTGTCAAGTAGAGAAGTTGTGGGCTGAAAAGAGCTGAATTGAGATGTGCAAATGCTCTTTTCGCTAAAGCTTGTCCATTCTCGGATGTCGTAAATACATCCAATGCTTGCAAGTAGTTGATGCAGATCGCGTACGGGAGAGACACATGGGTTTGATAGCCTAGAATCCGAAGCATCTGCGCCTCTGTGTGGATAAGTGCTAGTCGGCCATCCTGATATGTGCCTTCTGATAGGAAGCACGCCTCAGGGGTAATTTGACTGGCTGACTCGAGATCGAGTGATGGTCGAACTTTATTGAGGTATGCTAGAACGCTCAGTAGTCGTCTAGGGCTTACTGGGTGTGCGGAAGGCTTAGTGACCAAATATAGCGAGGCGGCAATGACATCCTGAGTAATAGAGTCAGCAAATGGCAAGTTAGTCGAGCTCCGGAAAGCGGCCAAGACGTGAACCAAGCTTCAATCCACAGGCTCTATAATTGATGGCATGAGAAGGTCAATTATCCCATTAACAAATGTCCCATAGAAGCCCGAAGCGACATTTTTCAGGTCAAAGCCTTAGCCAGGAGGACACGGACTCAAGTGTAGACTGCTCGTTGAAAGCTATGTCATTACTGCCGGAAGCTGAACCACATCCGGACCGCCATCCTTTAACATGCATACCTTGGCAGCATATTCAGCTAAGCTTCCACCATCAGGGCCTAGCCAGAATCTGGAAAAGACGATGATGGCTTCTGCGATAAGTTCTTGAGGAAGGTACAGCAGAATGCCAGCGGCTTGAATCAGCCTTGAACCTTCGAATTTTATCGATATTTCCAAATCAGCGGGAATTCTGTCGAGCTGAGAGGCTGTTGTTTGTAATTGATCGGGTGTTGCAAGCGGATTTGTGATGTGTGACAATCCGATCACTGGAGCCATGGTGTAGCGAGTCACCTGTTGTTGACGTCGAGATTTCCCGATCTGTGTGTTTTCGGCACGAGAACGAAGCGTTTTGAGAAACAGGAGAACCAATCTCGGTATACTAGAAATCCGTGAATGCACAGTCGTTGACGGGAGTCACAACAGTATTCTAGCGACGCGCTGAACTTGGTTGACGAGATGAAGTTTTGAGCGCGAAGTGGATCTTCCGATGATGGTGCAGAATCCGCCTTGTGTTTGCTTGGCATCGACTCCACCAGACTTTAAGGTGAAACAAGCTGCATGCCTCCTTACCGCACGAACCTGCCCCAGAACGTCCTCTTCTGACAACTACGTTTCGAAAATATGGCGTTATGTGAACGCTGCTCGGTTAAATCGCTGACAAGCCTCGGGAACGCTTGTTGGCGCTGATGTCGAACACGCGAGATGAACCAGGAGCTGCGGCGCATGTGCAAGAGCCGCATCTTGTCATCTATCTACAACAACCCTACAGAAGCGAGCTGGACTCTACCAGCATCAATACTTGCAGTCTGCACGATCGGTCCGGGTTGACAGCATCGCGTATGGTTCTCGTTGTTGCATGAAACAGTGGATACCACAATAAACTTGCCCTAGATCTGACCTCCTGGCACTGCGTTATGCGAGGGCCCCCGAGTATATGTAGGTTTCTGCTTGCTCTCTGTGCTTCTTTGCTCAGAATCATTCGCAACTTTCGCACCTGTTCATTCTTTTCCTCACGGTCTGTGACCACCGACACTCATTCGTTCTTTCGACATTTAGCACTGGGTGCTTTGCTTTCAGCCGATTCATTCTCTAACCACAAGCTTTTCGACTTTGAACTTTTCGAGCACTCAAAATGAAGTACTCTACTGCCGCTCTCGCTCTTGCCGGTATGGCCACCACCGTCCGTGGTCACGGTTTCATCACTTCTCCCAAGGCTCGTATGCCTGGTGATGCCTTCGAGGCTGCCTGTGGTCAGCAAGTCTACTACAACCAGGCTGGTGACAACTACGGCAACATTCAGGGCGAACTCCAGGTTGCCAAGACCCAGAGCGACTACAACGCTGAGAAGTGTCAAATCTGGCTCTGCAAGGGTTACAAGTACGAAGACAACAAGGATCTTGTCGAGACTTATACTCCCGGACAGAAGGTTCCTATCAAATTCGATGTTCGCGCTCCCCACGAAGGCACTGCCAACGTCTCTGTCATTGATACCGCCACCAACACTATCATCGGTACCCCTCTGATTTCATGGGACGTCTACGCCTCCAGCGCTTCGGCTATCCCTGCCGACCAGACCTCTTTCACTGTCACCATCCCTGAGGATCTTGGCAGCAAGTGCTCTACTCCCGGTGCTTGTGTGCTCCAACACTTCTGGGATGCCAGATCGGTCGATCAGACCTACGAATCCTGCATTGACTTCACCGTCAGTGGATCAGGCTCCGGTGCCGCTCCTGCTAGCTCCAAGGCTGCCTCGTCGAGCGCCGCTCCTGTTTCTTCCCAGAAGGCTGCCTCCTCTTCGAGTGCTCCTGCCAAGGCCCCTATCACCTCTGCCGCGGCCGCCTCATCTGCTGCTAAGCCTACTACCATGGCCACTGTTGTTAAGTCCAGCAGCGCTGCTCCCGTTTCCTCCAGCTCAGCCAGTGGTACTGTCTCTGCCTGGGGTCAGTGTGGTGGAAAGGGCTTCACTGGATCGACTTCTTGTGTTTCTGGATACACTTGCAAGGTTCAGAACGACTACTACTCGCAGTGCGTTCCTGGCGAGAACAAGGTAACTGATGCTTCGTCCCCTGCTGCCTCCAGCACGTCCTGCACAACCACCATTACTCTCACCAAGAGCTCTGCCACCGCCGCAAACACAATGGTGAGCTCTTCCGCCGCTACAAGCACAAGCGCTGACAGTGCCTCGACAGGCCTAAACCTGACCAGCGCTGTCAAAGCTCTCAGTACTGCTGTTCCCACATCAGTTCTGACTGCCACCGCGACTGGAGCTGCCCCTAGCGGTACTGCCAAGCCTATTCCCGAGGGCTTCACTCTCAAGGACTGCCTTGACTGGATCGACTACATTGTCAGCAATGCTGGTAAACAATAAGAGACGAGCATGGCCTTTGGGTGTCGGTTGTTCTTAAGCGTTTGTTTGCGGTCTTGAATTGGTCGAAAGAGAGAAGCCATGATCGTTTTTCTGGTTGTGGTGGTTAGATTTTACATTCTTGCACACTCATATTATATCTTCTTCATATCATAGCATCTATTTGAACTTATGAAGCCCTCTTACTTCGCTAATGAATTCTTCTCGTATCTTCATGTTAAGTGCCTCCCATTTGGACAGGTCAGCCCAAGTGCGGGGCGGGCAAATCTCTCCCAGAGCGACACGCGACTTGCAACCAGGCTTCCATCACCTATCGTCGATTGCACCGAGGATCATCGAGCCTGCGAATGTAGCCTTCCATTTGACGCGACTTTTCTTATCTTCTGTCGTGTAGATGCAGGACTATGATCGCGTCGATGGGTCAAGAGCCAGAGAAACTCGGCTCATCCGACGACCGGGATATCCATCTATCAAGCGACTCATAATATGCTCTGATGGTAAGAACATCTCGGGACCTAAGATACGTCATATAAGAATGTTTGGAGGATATGACACAAAAGGTGTGATGCTGATAGTGTTTTGATAGGCACATGGCTCAATTCCGACAGTGGCAGTCTGAAAGGTGACGACAGTCTTGCGAGTAATGTTACCAGAATATCACGGGCTATCAAGCCAGCCAGTTCAGACTCAATTCCACAAATAGTGTACTACCATTACGGCGTTGGTATGACCAAGCTATCCCGATTCTGTAGAGACATTCTTACACGTATCCAGGAAGTCAAGGTGGCATCGTTGACAGAGTCTACGGAGGAGCTACAGGGCAAGGTAAGTCTGTTATTATGCCAAAATATCTCAGCCCCATAGAGCCTGAGAAAATACTGATAATTATAAACAGGCTTGTCCGAAGCAGTACGGGAAGGATACAGCTACCTTGCGACGAATTGGGAGATTGGCGATGAGATCTTCTTGTTTGGATTTAGTCGTGGAGCGTAAGATTGATGACCTCTGCGATCCTTCAAAAGGGCTCTGAATTGACCCTGTCCAGCTTTACCGCACGCGCTATTGGAGGCCTCATCGACAACATCGGTATGCTAACCAAGGACGGCCTGCCGTACCTGGCAGAGATATTCAGAGACGTTCAACACCGACATGATCCGGACTACAAGCCAAAACACCCAAATAAACCTTTCAAGAACAAACCGAGTGCCATGGATCCAAGGTATCGCCACGAGCTGGAGAGAAGAGGTATGACGAGACTTCGCGTTCCTATCAAGGTTATTGGCGTCTGGGACACTGTCGGTAAGAAAGGAGATTTCAAGATCCAGAATTCGTCTTCTGATCTTCAATAGGCTCGTTGGGTACCCCGAGAATCGGTTGGCTGGAAAAGATAGGTGTTCAGAGCTCAGCCAGTAAACGCATGTCCTTCTACGACACAAGATTACCTGATTGTGTCGAGTACGCGTTTCAAGCTTTAGCTCTTGACGAGCGTAGATCTGCCTTTTCGCCAGCTCTGTGGGAGAAGAGGCCTGGTAACACGACTGTACTTCGGCAAGTATGGTTTCCAGGAGTTCATTCAAACATTGGCGGAGGATTGCCTGATCAGGAACTAGCCAATATCACGTTGGCTTGGATGATGTCGCAGGTGACGCCGTTCCTTGACATGGATCTGGATTATGCTTTAGATCAACAGGACGACACCGAGCAGTACTACAAGGAGACGAAACAAAAGTCACGTCCTTGGTCGTTTGGAAAGATCGTGAACTCAATGACTGGTATATATGCTATAGGCGGTGCGACAACACGAACGCCAGGACGATATTATGTTGTTGACCCTACAGATGGCCGTAAGACCGATATACCACTACAGGCAACACACGAATATATGCATCCATCAGTGCGAACCCGCTTCCGACTCAAAGGACCTGGTGTAGATGACGAAGGGACCTACGACCCTAAAGCTTTGCATGACTGGAAGTTGTTCGTAGATTACGATGGAGAAAAAGGCCGAGGTGGTCGACCGGATGTCTTCTGGAAGCTGCGCACAAATGAGCGAAACGTGACTACTCGCCTGATACCAGAAGCACCACTATTGCCACTGGAGCGAGAGCTGCTGGAAATGGACCCCGAGATGGAGGAATTCGTCTTCAGACCTGCGCCTACTGCGAGGAACAGTGTACGGCGTGCGCGTGCAAATAGTCGGAGCCAGAGTCGTAGGCGATGAGCAGTCAATGGTGACTCGAAATGAAGTGCCGTCACTGACTATCAAGACACAAAAATTGTGTGAGAGCATCGTTGTCTAGTTCATCTCAAGGTTTTGGGGAAGTATTGGATTGACCGCTACAAGCAAAGACAAGCCTCTGTTTGTGAGAGACGCGTGCGGCTTCGATCCAGACTCGCCTATGGGAAGGAGCAACTCACAAGCTGCACGCACCGCTGGTTGGGAAATTGCTTCGGTCGAGGAGCCCCTGAAGGGAGCTCACACGCCATTCTACCACGTCTGCAGCATGGCTTGAAATTTCAAAAAGCATTCATTGAATTCATTTCATAACATAGCATTATCCTTTACAGACCAAGGTGGTTAGGGTTACCACCACTAGCAGGAGCACCACCACTCGAGCTTCCTCCAGTAGCACTCTTAGCAGTATCGCCGAGTCCTATTTTCTGCATCAGCCATTCGTCCGTCCAATCAATAATTCTTCAACATACCCTTGGTAGTATCGCCAACACCCTTGGTAGCAGAGCCAACAGTATCGCTGGCACCCTTTCCGACGCCTTGGACGGTGTTGCCCACGGTATCGGTGAGGCCTTTGCCGGTTTTGCCTACTGTGTCTGTGAGACCGCCGAGAGGACCTTGGGATATGGTTAGCCTTTTCCTAAGCAGGCTGGCAAGACCAGGAGATGGATACCTTTGTTGTCAGACATGATTGCTTTAGTATACGTAGGTGGATAAACAGATTGAGTTAAGAGTGTAGAATAGAAGAGATAGCATAGAAAGGGCAAGAGCACGTGGTTATATATATCTAACATGCTAATGTGAGGAGGTGAGGTATAAAGCTGAAATATGCCGGGCAACGTCACTTTGGACAGGGATGTTGACTGCTCGAATGATCTACGCGGCATACTCGCAATGCATGTTCCTGGCAAGGATGCTGTATCGAGTATCTCCAGCCACACTCTACTTAAGCCATCGATCCAATCAATAGCCACGGCGGTGGCTGGATGAAAGTCCGTACTGCACGCAACTGGCTCTAGACTCCTTGTCAAGAACAGAGCAGAGCTGGGAATATGTCACGAACGTGTCACTGCTTCGCACACAGTCACGGCAGAGAATGCTCGAAAACAAGGAAAGAATGAGGGGAAAGTTGGAGAGCTGCTTCCCGTGCGACGTCAAGTTCAGGGAAAGGTGGGGCAATGCACGCAATGCCAGGAACACGACGCTTCTCGTCATTGTGCACAACATACGACTGCAAAGGATAGCAATATGCATAGTATTATGTATAGAAATAGCAACAATCAAACTGCTTGTAAGCATTCGAAGTCCGGGAAGTCAAAAACATGGCACAGATTAGCAAGCCCAATTCTTATGCACCCACTCGCTAAGCACATCTGTAAAACTCATGCCATCGAATGTGGTCTCTACATCCTCGACTCCATAGCTTTCACCCAGGAATCTCAAAGCTAGAAGAATCCATCGCTCGATGAATTCATTGTAGACAATATCTACAGTGTCGAGATCCTTTTTGTCGGAGGGCAGGTTCACTTCTGCCTGTATGCAGTTGGGAACATCGTAGAAGCGGATGGGGGCGTGAATGGTGTCGTCGCCATCTTTACCGGCATCGTCAATCGTTGTATAGCCTGGTACGAGAGTGTCGTGTTTCCCACGTCCAGCAGCCTTCAAAACTTCTTGCCCAAATTCACGACGAATCGTATCGTCAAGGGTTATTTCGTCTTCGATCTTTTGTTGAGACCAGCTCGTGACAGGTGGTTTCGGCGGTGCGAGTTCCCAAAGATTGCGAGGTGTGAATTTACCCAGGTCTCTGTGGACGGCGCTCATGACCATCATTTCTGAGAGAAGGATCTTGCCTTCATTGTTCAACAACGGTAGCAACTGCTTTGCTGCCTTGTAAGGCACATTCTTCAGTCTATGGAAGCCGCTTGTGAATGGCGACACAAGGAATGTGGTATCAATGGTGAAGGGTCCTTCGAATATGTCAAAACGCATAGCGCCAGTGTTGGTGATGACGAGTTGAGGTGACTCGGTTGCGTTTCGAGCAGTGTCAGGCAGGACCTCGTTCTCGAGCCAAGTCAAGATACTGGATTCTGATGGGTAAGGAGCTCTATTGAGCCAGTAGTCTCTGGGGGCACAGCCATATGTATGGTCGAGGTTCAAATGTTTTCTGGCAGCTGAGATAGATGCGGATACATTGCGGCCAGCTTCGGTAGGGAAAGTGGTTTCGTTTTTGCCAGAATGGCGGTGCAGTGAGTAGAGGTTGTTGTCGATGTAGCGACGCTCGAACTCTGGAGTCGCAGCGACTTCAGAACTGTTCTTGCGGTGGTCGAGACCAGAAATGGACATGAATCCAAGGGTTTCCATGTAGCGACCGCTCTCGAGACCATATGCAATCTTGTCAAACTTGTGGTAATCCCTGATATGAGTATGACCACCGAAAAAAGCGATGGGAGTATCCCATGCGACGCTGCGAATAGCCTTATAAACGGCATCATACTCGGGCGAGTCGGAGACAGGGACATGGCCAGCAACAACGAAAAGGTCAACATCCTTCTCACGAATGGCGTCTTTGAACCACTTCTCTTTGATAGTGTCTTCTACTCTTTGAACGACGGTATTGTTGGCGTTACCCTGGAAGTTGAAGAGGAAGCCAAACGCCATGATTCTGATACCTTGATTCTTAGTGGTGAACTTTCTATACCTCTGTGCAAGAGGTTGCAGCTTTCCAGTTTCCGGGTTGTAGATGTCTAGATTGGAAGCAATATAGGCCTCCTTGAAGTTAGGTACGGTGTGGTAATACTCATTGTCGGACGAGTTCTTCTTATAGAGTTCGTGGTTTCCCGAGGTGATGATGTCTATTTGTTGGTGTTTGAAGATGTCAAAAGTGTATTGTCCTTTGGGATTTGATGCATCATAAAGACCATTGCCTTCTACTCTATCGCCCGTATCTACGAGCAGAAGATCACTGCCATCGGTATCGGCTTTCTGACGGAGATGATGAGCAAAGGAGACATAATCGCCCCAGTCAGCAGAATATTGGGCTCTGGCCCGCCTTGTCAGATGAGTTTCCCACGAATACAAGCACAACAAACTCACTCCTGCAGGTGGCCGCCATGCCAACCATGTGTATCTGTTGTCGCCAAGAAGTTCAATTGACCCCAAGGCAATTCTCGCAGAGGAGCTTTGACTGGCTCAGGGGCAGAAGGTTGGGCAGCAAGCACCGCCGGCACCAGGGCTATAGAAAGCCAAAAGTTGTCGAATATCATTGTTTGTCGCGGATAATGAGAGAGATGCAACGGGCCATTCGGGTGGTTTTTGGTCGGTCGCTGCCAAGCGCGTCATGCGGTTGCTGCGCGAGTCAGACATTGAAAGCTCGGACGTTTTGAATGGCGGACCTCGACTTTCGTCAGAGGGCCGAAACACTTTCGCAAGCTCAGTCTTTCTCTTCACATAGCAATTGTTCACCCAACACAATGCATTCGCGATCGCCTACGCCGAGGCGTGATGCTGCGTCTCGCAGTCCTTATTCCAGAGCTTCGCGCTCACCATCGCGTACACCACGCCGCTCAATCTCTCCTCGACCTTCACCTAGCCCGCAACGCCGCAGCAGATCTCGCACTCGCACACGCAGTCCTGCTCACTCGCGCAGTCGCAGCCGTTCCTATCGCGCTCGCAGCACATCTCGAGGTCGCGACCGCAGTCCTACACCTCCAATGCCTCGAAGCTCAAAAGTGAGTGAACACTCCGTTCCTCTGTACATTTCGCAGCAGCTAATCTTCCCTACACAGATTGTGATCGAGAAGCTCACGAAGAACGTCACACCCGCCCACCTGAACGAAATCTTCAGCACATACGGCGCCATCGCAGATCTCGACATGCCGCTAAACAAATCCTTCAACACAAATCGCGGAACCGCATATGTTCTATACACAACACCCGAGGCCGCCGAGCGTGCGATAGCACACATGCACGAAGGCCAATTGGATGGCGCAAAGATTGGCGTCAGTATCGTGTTACCGCGTCGCAGGTTCAGTAGATCTCCCCCCGCAAGACGACCACCACCAAACCGCTTCGGAGAGCCACACAGATACAGAGATATGGCCGTTGCAGCAGCAGGAGGAAGAGGCGGAGGCGGAAGAGGTGGCAGAAGGCGAGGTGACGACGGAGATACCTATCGACCCGGTCCTGCAAGAGATGCTCCACCCAGAAACAGGAGTTATAGCCCGAGAAGCAGGAGTCCGAGTCGCAGGAGCTTGAGCAGAAGTCGCAGTCGAAGTTTGACGCGCAGTCCTCCACCTAGAAGAAGGGGAGGAAGCCCTAGAGGAGGAGGAGGTAGAGGCGGTGGCAGACGCAGGAGCCCAAGTTACAGCAGCTACGGCTCGCGCAGCAGAAGCAGAAGCAGAGACCGCAGACGATGAATAACTCGTTCATCGAAACGGACCAATTTTCTTACAGCAACGCTTGGAGGTTCTTTCGAGACGAACGATAGAGCAATCTCGTGTCTTGGTGCTCGAATTGGCAATTTCCTCGATCTTACTGCCCTCGGCTACGAAAGACACCAGGGGCACACAGAATTACGGGCAAGATCACAGATCATCAAAGACGAGGCGGGTATACTCGGAGAGCACAAAGCATCTCTGGGAAACTCGAAGCCAAATACTCCGCACCAAATGCATTACAGGATGAACCAGGTATACGAATCTAGACCACAGTCACTGCTACTGATCGAGGCCAGCCCAGATCATGGAGAAGAATTAGATGAAAAATGCTATCGAACAAACTACAAGAAAAATTATCCGTCCTATGCATACCTATGTAACCATGCTCATTCCCCCTGACAACGCCAGCACAAATTCAAAGTCGTGTGTATACTCATAAATCAGTCTTGATGCTGCTTCCATCGGCTGCTTGCCACTCCTTGCATTTGCCCACATAGTTCCTCTTCAGACACTTCTTATGCACTGAGGTGGGCTTGGGCTTGGACTGCGTAGCAGACGGATCTACACAGATGAAGCCGAACCACTCTTTCGATGTGCACTTGTGAGATGCGGTGGATGTGTCTGATGCCGAAGTCCTCGTTGAAGATTGCTTGGTCGAGGTCGTCGAGTCATGGCAACCGAACCATCCAGGTGTTTTGCACGTGGTACTGGAAGTTGTAACTGTCGCTGAAGAGGAGCTTGAAGTGGCCACAGTTGAAGTCGTGGTAACGGTTGGCGCAGGAGCAGGTGTTGCAAGGCCACTGGTCTCGGTTGTAGTGATCGTTTGTGTACTCTCCTGCTTACATCCAAACCAGCCAGGCGAAAGACAAGTCGTCGTCGTGATTGTCTCTGTTGTAGTCACAGGTATTGTGGTACTGCTAGTCTCATCCAAGCATCCCCACCACCCAGGGGTCTTACATGTCTCTGTCCTGGTGCGTGTGCTTGATGTTGTAGAGGAAGAAGAGCTAGTCGTAGTTTCGGTGCCGTTGCTTTCGAAGAACTTCCACTCATAGCAATCGATGCAGTCTTCGTCTCGTTTGCACGAGGGAACAGTGTCGTACTTCTGAATAACATCGTGGATGACATTGCTGATCTTGTGAGTACCAATCGCCTGTCTCCAGCCAAAGTCTGCCACTGTGTCGTAAGTGCATGTGCTTCCAGTATGACAGTTGCCTTGGAAGGCGTATCCACCAATGGTACAGCCAGAAAAGGCAGTGTTGCAAGTTCCGTCATAGATAGGATCGGCAGTGTGCCCGAAATGATAGGCGCCAGTATGAGGACGCTTCTTGTGGTCACCAATGTGATATCCTGGAGGGGTGGGAAGGCCGAGACGGCTGGCAGCAAGTGCTTCAGGGAATGTCTCGAAAGTGATGGTAGGCAGTCCAAAAGTCAGACCGAGTAGCGATGTAACAACACCACCTAGCGAATGGCCAGTCAACCAGACATCTGCGTTGGGATAGAGCTCAGTGACATTGTGATATAGATCCTGAGCAGCTTGGTAGTAGTGAGCTTTGTTCCGAAGATTCTTGACGAGACAGGTCGAGTTGCAAGTAAATGCTGATGTCTGGCAGTCGCAGACTTGCTTCCACATGGCTTGGCCACCCTGGCCGCAGCAACAGCTTCCAAACAGATTGTCATTGAGCTTGTCGTTTCCAGTTGTATCTGCACCATCAAAGACAGCAGGCGAGGTACCTTTCAGGCCAATGATAACGGTCTTGTTCTCAGTATCGGCGAAGATGTGACCGCGCAAGCCGTCACTCTCCCATCCAAAGTCTTCAGTGTAGTTGAAACCTCCTCCGACATCGACCCAGTCACCAGTATGTGGTTTGAGAACGTAGGCGTTGGAAGCCATGCGGGCAAAACTCAAAATAGTCTCCTTGTCGGTGATGTTCGGACCGTCTATCTCATCCATGGACCAAGCAGAGGCGGGTAGAGAGACAGCCTCTCCACGCATTTGGCCAGCTTCCAGCAGACGATCGATAGTAGAGCGACGGCGATCAGATAGACGTTCTATGGTCATGGGAGCCGAGTTGGTACGGAATGAGTCGGTGGGCGACACAGTGACGGCATAGTCGGCATCGTCGCCATCTTGAACGTGCTCGAGGGTGATTGCGGGAGTGACATCAACTTTTCGCAGGAGGTTCGGGTACTGGTGTGAGCCCTTGTGGAAGATGTGTCTCAGGGTGAAATCATGTTGCCGTGATGGTGCAGGGGCGTTATCTATAGGGATGGGAGGCAGCAATAAGGCCTCTTGTGGGCTCTGGCGGCGAGCTGCTGTGGCGGGCTCGATGGCGAGCGGAGATAAGGCGAGTAGGTGAAGCAGAAAGTCGAAGCTGCTTCTCATTGTGGTTCTGCAGGGCGAGAGAGGTGACAGATGTTTTGAGAGAGCAGCTACGAGTAGTCGGATAACATAGTGATTAGGGTAGATGATTGCCTGGTGTCATGCGGGCAACGGGTACATTAGTGGGAAACAGATCTGGGGTTTCTTGGCGTCTGTCATCGACAAAGAGAAAGCCACAGCAACATGAACGCGCGGATTCCGCAACTGTGGCTCGACATGAAGGTGGGGTTCGTCCGAGTCAACACTTCGAAACACGAGCACACGACATAACCACAACCAAGTCCCATGATACCTCGTTCTGCTGCCTTGTGATGCACCTTGCATGAGTCTGTCACTACAAAAGACCTCGACTAACCGGCCATTCCCTCCCCGACCTCGTCCGTGAAGTTTCCAAAGCTTGCCGGCCATCGACCAGTACCAGACCCTGCAGATCACAAACATGTCCAACTCGTCCTCTCCAAAACAGGGCCCAAGGCCACGCCCGCTACACATATCCAGGTCCTTTACTCGTTTAGACCCAAATCCCGAATCTCTCCCGTCATCTCCATCACGCGCGAGAGCAAGCACCATCCAGACCATCCCGGAAGCAAAAGATATCTCCTCCTTCTCCCACGACGATGTCTTTGAGTCTGTCGAAGAGGACAAGGCCGAAGAGCCTGCCATCAATGTTCCTCCTACATTCGACCAACTTCCCATCGAGATCCGTAGCCTAAGCGAGCGCTTCCTCAAATCTCTGTCCGCCAGAACCCACGCCAATCCTCTGAACATTGATACCATCTCCGATCTATTCCAAGATTTCTACGAGCAAGCTGAATCCCACATCTCCACCCATATCCAAACCCTTTCCATCCGTCTATCCAGAGAAAAATCCCCATCTCGCTCTCCTGCCGCAAAAGCACTGGGAGGTGCTCTCAAGTCCAGGAAGCAAAGCATCGAACAGAACACCTCTACAAATGGTCAGGGCGAACAGCAGATGCTGACCGCCTCCGAAGTTGCCGATCGTCGCAAGGCTCGCAAGGACCTGGAAATCAAGAGGCTTGCCTTGGAAGAAGCTGTTGAAAGAGCTGTGTGTGAAAAGGTCTACGACCGCATATATAGACACAGAAGTGCCGACGATGAAGAGAGAGATGCAAAGCTCCGATCGAGAACTGCTGCCTTGTCGCTGGTCGGCATCGGCCTGAAAGAGCTACATGTCGACATTGAGCCTGCCAAGGGCAATGGTCTACCCACTGATGAGAAAGAGCTACACGATGAGATCTTCAAGCTGCTGGCCCCAGCTAGAGACCATCTTCAACGCATGGATGACCAACGCTATCCCCTAGGAAAACTGCAGATGCTCACCGAGGCACACAAAAGCATTGTTGAAACACTATCTCGCATATTTCCTTCCACTTCATCAGCAGATGAAGTCCTCCCTACCCTCATCTATACTCTGATGACTTCGCCTCCGGAAACAATCAACGTCATCAGCAACTTACACTTCATCCAGCTTTTTCGTGCACGCGCAAAGGTTGATGGTGAAGCTGCTTACTGTCTGGTCAACCTCGAGGCTGCCATCTCGTTCCTTGAAACAGTCGATTTAGCTTCTCTGCGGGCTGATGAGGCTTCTCAAGGTGGTCTGAAACAAGAGACTCGCACTCAGAAACCCACAGACTTCGCACGTCCATCTAGTCCCAAATCACTTGCCCCTGGCCTGACAACAGCACCAGCAATTTCTTCAGATATTAGTCCAGGGGACACTTCTCTTAAGCCACTTCCTTCTCAAGCTTCTCTCAGCAACCCACCGCGACCAGGAATTACCCAGCGGCGCTTATCATCGCTGATACAAGCACAGGCTGAACGCATCGAAGCTGGTCGAGATGAACTTATGAACTCCGCTGACCAGGCCTTTGACGCCATCAACTCGACTCTTGAAAACAGCTTCAAGTTTCTGTTTGGCCGTATGAAAGAGCAAGGAGCCGGAGATGAAGACTCGCCCATTGTCATGCCCCGGACTCTCGAAGACGCTCGTAAGCTGGTCAGTTCACCACCACTGGTACCCATGGACAGCCATCCGAGCTTTGCCGAGACGCTTTCCTCGAGTCCTCCGGGAGAACCTCTTTCAGCCCCTCGCGTCGACAACACTATGCTGAATCTTGTCGGTGGTCGTCTGCGCGAGCGCAGTGTAGACAGCAGTCGCAGTACAGGCAGCGGCAAGCGCGTCAACTTTGCGGAAAAGTCAAATGCTGCCGCGCAACCCAACAACGCCATCTCGTCCTCTCTGCCCACACAATCGGCTGTCGAATCCATGGGCAACCTCATGAACTCCATCAACCCTCTATCGCGTTTTGGTGGGTTTGGCAAGTTCGGTCGTTCAGGGTCTGGCAGCGGCGCTTCCACACCTTCCACACCTGCTGCTTCGTCCGCTGCCATGGCCGAGAAGACCAAGCAGTTGGGACATATCCCTGAATCCGAAAAATCTCCTGCTCAGAGCAACGTACAAGCAGAAACTGACCTAGACGCCCTGGAGGCACTAGCACAATTGAAAAAGGCAACACCCCCGATCAAAAAGTTTATGGATGCGAAGAGTGCTTCAGAGTTGAGAATCGGCGATGTAGAAGAGTTGTTGAAGGATTATCAGCGATTGGCTGCTTTGATCAGAGAAACTATCAATTCGTAGACTTGTTCTTTCTTTTCTTGTACTCTGGTTTGGGTACTGGCGTCTTGTGGGTAGCATTGGCTAAGGGTCTTGGTATACAAGGCGTGTGGATGGAGTTTGTTGGTTGTGGAGGCTGGACATGAGTATGATTCAGCACAAAATGCCATCTAAGGCTAGAAGATCCAAGTAAGAATTGTATAGGCATAGGGTATGCCTTCGGTATCAAAGACACTTATAAAATTGCTTCTTGTCGAGAATAATCGCAGTCATCATCACCTGCTGTCAGCTTCGGCTTCCTTAGACCACATCAAGCCAATTTAAACTCCCCCAATCCCCTTTCAAACCCACCACTCTGCGTCCCGTTCCCACTGCCACCCACCTCCACCACTTTATCAACCAATTCCAACTTTCTCTCTCTCGCCCTCTCAGTCCTCAATTCATAGACCGTAGAAAGATTGAATAGCAACGTTGGGAACAAGACCTCGTCTTCTGTCAACAACGCCTCTAAAATTTCCGATGCTGAAACGACGTTATTGGTGTAGAGGTTTGCGATGGCGAGGTTGTGTTTGACCAGTGGGTTTGAGGGGTGGGATTCGGCGAGGGATTGTAAAGAGGAGAGGGCGGAGGAATAGTCGGAGGAGGAGATTTGGATCAGGGTTTGAAGGATTTGGCGCTGCAGGGTCGGTGAGGAGGATGCTGTTGAGGAAGCACTTAAGCAAGCTTCTGCTGCTTGCGTATCGCCAATCTTGAGTAGGAGAAGTGTTTTCCTCATACACATTTTGTCGTTTTCGTCAGTGTCGTCAGCAGAAGACAAAGTCTTCAAATGCCTTCTTGCGGTCTCCAACTCCCCCATCTCGACAAGTTCCCCAGCAACCCTCAATCCCAGATCCGCCAATCTATGTTTCCACATCTTAAACGCCGTCTCATCTTTCTCAACTCTTGCTTTTTGAGCCAAAGTCCTGCATTCAGAACTCAAAGCGTATAACCCCATAATAGCTCTTCTATTTGCATCTGCAGTCCCCATGACTGAAAGTTTGAGAAGTAATAGCCTTAAATTCCAAGGTACTTGCGAAAGAAAGATTTCGCGATAAGGACGTGTGTAAGTACTACTTTCTCTTGCCAATAGATCAGAAAGGGGTTTTGTTTCTTTGGCAGCTAGGGAGGTTTGGTTGCACAGAACCAAACAGGAGAACCGCGTATATAGCAGATCGAGGATTTGATTTGTAGAGGACGGGGAAATAGAGCCGGAAGTCAGGATATCGGTGGCTTTGTCTGCGGCGTGGATGAATCTTCGATTGGAAAGCAAGGTTTGTAGATCTGTGTCTGGAGGTGGTTGATTTGAGGAGTCGAGAAAGGGAGAGGCGATGTGGGTTGTCGGTACTGGCGCATACAGAGAAGGACGAAGGAGGGGTGTGAGGTCTAGTTGCATGGTTCGAGATGCTGGACTCTTAGACCGTGTTCGAACTGATGCGGGGTTTTGTTGGACGGGAGAGAGGAGAGATGAGGCAGGCGATGCTGTGCGAACGGGCATGGATGTGGGTGCTGGCGAGGGCGGTAATGCGGTTTGTAGTGCTGGTGTTGGTGGTTGGAAGGTCGGTATGGTTCTTTGTGATTTCGTCAGCTGCACGATACCCCGATAAAAAATTGTCTTGCGACTGACGGTGTGTCTACATCTAAGGGACCCTTTGTGCTACGCCGCGGCATTGCGACTAGTCAGATGTCAGCTATTTGTTGGCTTCTCGAGGAACTTAGAGCCATACCGCGCCTAGCGTCGCTCTGATTCCTGGAGTGTCCCTGCTCAGGTCTCTGTGGTGCGGCCATGTTCGATGTCTGGTTAGGAGTGTCGGAGAGGAATTGAAGGTGTTCTTGAATGTTGTTTGTGACGTCTAAGTGCTTATCTCCACTTATCGCCGACTATACCACTAAGTTCTGGTTTATACAGACACCCTGACCACACCTGCTGTCCATGACACGACTGCAATCAGCTTAGCAGTATTGACTACATTAGAGCGAATGAAAAGCCATAATGTTGAGCCATCGCCCATACGATAATAAATCCACGGCGAGCACTCTTGTGTTGTTCAGTTCGTCCAATCTAGCAAGACTTCTGTTGACAAACTTCAGAAAACTACGGTCACTTACGTGTCACCTTCGTTTCGTGGCGTCTGGCAAGTCATCGTTATGTTCTTTTTGAGGATCCATTTGGATGCTTTCATGGTACCCAACTCTGATAGAGCAGAACCTGAGAATGTACGCTAGAATATGGAAAAGAGCCGACAACAAAAAAGCCCCTTTGCACTCCTGATCGCACCAATCCTGTCCTTTCGCATCCATACTAGAATCCGTAAAGAGTCGATGCATTTCTTCTTTTAATACAAATCGGTGTGGGCTTCGTACAACATTAATCGAGGCATTCGTTCTTGCGTGGAATATGCATAAAATCAGTTGCTGTTCTTGGCGCCGTAGTTCTTCTTGCCAAAGTCCCATGGGACATATCTGTACTCTGTTGAGTTGTTCGTTAGTCCTCGATTTCTGGCAGTGCATGTGTTCTAGAATCTCTTACTCAGCATGTGCTGGATCTGACGGCGCATGGTCAAGACGACAAGAATCAACCAGTATACGACGAGGACAGGCCAGAAGACAGGCAAGTTGAAAATCTCGCTCCATGAACAACAGAAACCAATGACAATGGCGCGGGTGGCTGCGTGCCAGAACTTGAACTCGGGGAGGCGGCGTACGAACGGCTTGAACTCGTCGGTTGACTTTGTGGGAAGGTCTCCACTACTGCCTTCTTCCATGTCTTCGGCGGACTCGAGACCGGGATCGAACTTAGGCGAAATGAAGGCGAGGAACAGGTTCAGGAGGTAGATGCCAAGAGAGTATGCGACTGTGGTAAAACAGTGTTAGAAAGATTCGTGTCTGAGCATGATGGTTAGGGTGTTCATACCAATGTACCAGCCTTGAGCGAGGAAGATGCGCAAAGCGAACATGAAGAAGATGACACCAGTTCCAATCCAGCGATATGTCTTGTACGGCGTTGACTTGTCCAGGTAGGATTGGTAAAGCTGCATTTGAACCATGACTCTTAGCCTATACTCTCTGATATATATTGTACGCCATGCAAATATGTAGCACAAATGAAGTCCATCTCTTTCCCCAGGTGCCTATGGGTTGAAAGGGGCGAGGAAGCTCACCATTCCGAATCTTGTTGTTTGGGCGCTGACGGCCGCAAAGGGCGTATCGGGTTCAGGGCTGTCCATGATGGGACGAAGACGATGCGAGTCGGGCTGAATTTTGGATGGGTCTATCGCAGCCTGTATGCGACAAAGTTGCTGAAGGTGCCAGACAAAAAGCAGGGGTTTGTTGATGTGAACAGGTGTTGGCGGGCAACCGCTGGAACTAGCAACTCGACCGCTCAGCCTCAATGCGTGGCGGTACATGCACAGACCACGATCCCTCTAGCCACCCTGAATGCTTACCTACCATTTACAATCAGAAAGAAAACAGGCAACGACTTTCATAATCCTAGAAACATTCGTAATATCCATCAGAACCCAAATAACGACAGAGGTATCATCAAGCAGACCACCCAACCAGATCAGTGCAAACGCCATGATTATGCCAGACCATCCGACACGACCAATTCGTCAAGCCATTATAAACATCCCCCTACTCGTCGAGGTCCATCTCTTCCACCTTTGTTTCGAGATCTTCGCCGTACTTTTCATCATCAGCACCCATCTCCTCTCTTTCCTGCTCCTCACATTCTCTTTCGACCTCTTGAGCCACAAATTCTTCGTAGCCTTCGAGACTGCCCTGAATGTGTACCTTGAACTTGATAATGTCGTTCAGCATACGCTCAAGCTCCGTGTGAAGCTCTTCGCGGAGCGCTGAAGATGCTACTGTCAACTGCTCGTATTCGAGATTGGTATTCATCTCGCGCTGCTCCATCAGTTGAACTGATTCCGTAAGTCCAGCACGCATTCTGGCGAGTTCCTTTTCCATCTTTTCGATTTGCGCATCCGAAGCCATCTTTTGCGAGTTTGTGATCTGTTGTATGTTAGTGAGCATTCTCGCATCTTTCAAGTTGCACCGTGACTGACCTCTTTTGTCTTCTCGAACTCGTCCTCTGCAGCGCGTACGCGATGCTCCAGTGTCTCTGTCTCGGCCTTCTTGTCTCCAATGGCCTCCTTGATCTTGTCGAGCAGATCTTGGTTGTTCATATCAACCTCGAGAGCATTGTTTCTTCGTTCGCTGATTTCTTTTCTAAGGTTGATCATGTTGCTCTTGAGGCTGCCTCGGACGTCCAGGTTTAGTAAGTGATGCGGTTGGTATCCAGTCCCTGTCTCCGCTAGCAGGCGATCAGAGTCTTGTGGTTGCTCGCCCATCTGTGATGATCCAAATGCAGGCCCCTCGTTGGTTGTGAGAATCAGTTCATACTCTTGACCGTGAGCGTTCGGTGCGTCTGGTGGGATTACACCAATTTCGTATGCCATGCGGTTGTACTTGGAAACCACAGCTTCAAGCTCTTCAAGCCTTTGAGCTGCTTCTGCTTCCTTCTTGGCAACCGCATCACGAGTCTCCTCAAGTCGCAAGTTTGTACTTTCGACACCAGTCTGAAGTCGTTTGCGTTCGGCTGTCATGCGGTCGATATCCTGCACAGTGATGCCTTGTCGGTCGACCATTTCTTGCAAACTGTTGCGTTCTTGCTCTGCGTCCGCAAGTTCCTGATCAAGACGCTGCATTTCACTCTCCAGCATACGCAAACGATCTTCGTACTTCTCAACCTTCTTGTCGATACTGTTGTTGTAATTCTCAAACTTGACTCTGTCTTCTTCGAGGATCTTGTTTTGCTCGTCAAGCTTTGCCAGACGAGGAGCAGTCTTGCCGAGTTCGTCAATTTGCTCCTGGAGTTGCTTGCTCTCTGCTTCTAAAGCCTTGACCTGCTCGAGATTTTGTTGGTTAGAAGCCTCGAATTTGGCTGCCATAGCATCAACATGAGGTTGAATCAGCCTTTGAATGGCCTCTTCGTCATCCTCATCATCGTCATCGTCGACGGACAACCAGGTACGGTAGGCATCACTCAAAAACTCGAAGGTAATGCGATCAGCCGAAACGTCGTGCCCAGATTCGATACAAGCCTCGTCATAGGTGCCAACGCTGAAGTGCTCCATCATCTTTGCAAGCTGCATCATCCAGTGTAGCATACCGAGGAAAGTGAACCAATTGTTACCTCCGACAGCGGCAAGTTGTGATTTTGTGATGTTTCTCTCGTAAGGGTAGCGAAGTTGCTTCAACAGCGGAGGGACTTCCTGATCGATGTTTTTCTGGAAGCGGTATGCGGGATCGATACAATGGTAGAGGAATTGGAACATCATGTTGAAGTCCTTCTGAGTAGGGGATGTCATGGTCTTGTGAGTCAAGGTGTGCTTCATTTCCATCTCGAAATTGCGCTGGGTAAGGAATTCCATAAGTTCAGTTCCCATCTGGTTACGAGTGTTTGGGTCGCGTAGCCTGCGAGGATCCTGGGGCGGCTGGTTCGAAGGAGGGGCAGTCGCGAAGAAGGATTGGTGACCCATAGGACCGCCAAAAGCAGCTGAAGGACGGGCACTGTATACACTGCTGCGACGCTGAGAGCTGTCGCCCAGCTGAAGAGCAGGAGCCGGAGTGCTGCTGACTGGCGCATAGCTCTTTCTACCTCCAGTACTGTTGAACATGTTCTGGGTCGAGGGGCGTTTCACGGTGGAAAGACCAAGATCAGCGAGGTTGGTGCCAGAAGATGCGCGTTGGAAGTCAGGCTGCCTAGGAAATCCCGGTGCCAGAGACATGCGAGAACCAGACGTCGAGCGAGCATGTGAGGCAGATTGCATCTGGCCGAGGCCGAAGGAACTTTGGCGCTTCATGGCCGAGGCGGGCATAGGGATCGCGGATGCATTGTGATTGATTGGGCCGAGTGTCTATATCATTCAAAGTCAGATGAGCTCAGTGGGCAAGAAAGGACGACTCGACTAACCTCGCGAGGGCGGCGCACAGAAAAGATGCCCTGGTCTTGCGACATGGTGTCGCCTAGTAGATGATGCTTTACACAATGCTGTCCGAAGATTTGATAGGTATAGGCCAGTGAACAAGAATTCGCGGAAGAGGGCGCACAGCAAAATGTCGTCAGTAAACAAAAGCTGCAAGCGTCTCGAAAGGCCAAAGTAAACACAACCGACGGGCATCAACAATGCCAAGCCCGACAGGCACGAGCACGAGCATCTCGAGAGAACAGGGTCTCCCCACAATTGCCTCGGCTCATGCGCCGGCGCTATCGGCCTATGACACTTTACCGCTGCATTTCCGTCTTCATCTTGATCACCTTTGTGTCGTCGACGACTGTCATCTTGCATCCCCATTGAATTCTTGCTTCGTCAAGTGATCGACTTGTCAAGATGGTGCGCGAGCAGCTCATCGTCAGTGCTGTAAGTGAAGCCTCAACCGAATCAGCTCCAACGTGACCGACAAGCTAACAATTGCTCCCAGGTCTCGTGTATGCAACCAGTCTTCCGTTTCCCTCACAACATGTCTGACCTCATTCATAGTCTTGCAGGATCCCTCTGTTGCTTCAGCTCCTGTCGACCAACGCATCGCTTTCCTCCGCTCCAAGAACCTGACCCAAGAAGAGATCGACCTTGCTCTACAACGCGCCGGCTCAGAACCACCTACTTCCTCGCCTCCACAAGCACAAGTACAACAATATCAATCCCAACCACCTCAACAATACAACCAGAATGCCTACTGGCAACAACCACCGCCACCGCCTCCCGAGTTGCCACGACGTGACTGGCGTGATTGGTTCATCATGGCAACTGTAGTTGGAGGTCTAGGTTTCGGCGCCTATACCGTCGCAAAGCGTTACATTTATCCTTTGATCGCTCCGCCTACACCGCCTCAGCTGGAGCAAGACAAGGCTGCTGTCGATGCCTCCTTTGAGAAAGCCTTTGCCCTCCTGGATCAACTCGCAACAGATACACAAGACCTCAAGTCATCTGAGCAAGCTCGCACAGAGAAGCTTGATACCGCTCTTTCCGAGGTCGAGTCAGTCATCGGCCAGCTGAAGGATGCCAGCAGGAGACGAGATGATGAAGGAAGGAGGTTGAATGATGAAATTCGTGGTCTCAAGGACATGATACCTGCTGCCATGGAGGCACAGAAGAAGTCGGCCGACCAGCGCTTGGCCGACCTGGCTACCGAGATGAAGAGTCTGAAGACATTGATCAACAACCGCATGTCCGCGCCAGCGCCAACAAGTCGTCCCAATCCCTCTGCTCCTACCTTCAACCCTTCTACTGGAAGTGGTGCTGCAGTTGCAAGTGCAGTGCCAGCCCCGGAGCCTTCCTCGACTGAATCCGTCTCAACACCAGTGACAGAGCCCAAGTCCTCGATTCCGGATCGTTCTTCTACATCCAGTCCCTACGGACGCTCCATGAACGGACGAGCTGCCATACCTGCGTGGCAACTGGCGGCCAACAAGAAGAACCAGGAGGCCAAGGAGAAGAGCGGTACTGTCGAGACCCCCGCTGAGAATGCCACTGCTTAGATAAATGCGACAATGCGTGTTGGATGTACGTGTATAGGAGATGAAGTCTCAGGCTTCAAAAATAGCATGAACAATCTCACGAGCTTAACTTATCATGGCGACCTGAAGTCTTTGATGACGCCAAAGTTGGAGTCAGTATGAATCGAGAGGAATTCGAACACCAGATCAGACAAGATCAGTAAATTTATGGAAGCCCCGGGAGAGCTTCTAGAATGTTGTCGGCAAGACCGCATTGGGACAAGACTGAGGGGGGGCTCGTGGGATACCTATTCTAGCCTATGCAAATACCATGTCAGCATCAACTGGTCTTATCAGAGTTCGAAAGTCTCGACCAGTCAGAAAGTGAGTGAGAGAAACGACTTCTACAGGTGGAGCCCAAGCACCATGTCAAATAACACTCATCTCGGCCGAGAGCATAACCCAGCGGGAGTCACAGAAACCTCCCACGCGGCATGATTGGCCAACTTGCCTCGTATAAGATTCCAAAAATCCGATGTCTGCTTCGTGTACGCCAACACAAGGTTGTATGCGCGTCGCTGAACTGCACCCATCCTAGACTTTCTGCTGGCGTAATGTCTTTCAAGCTAATAAGCGACAGCCTACAGCGAAGATCTTGGGGCGAATAGTCAAAAGGAACGCCAATTCTTGCTGGACATTCGCTTCATTGAACCCAAGATGCAAGAATTCAATAATCACACAACTCAATTGCAACCCAGCACCGGTCCGACTCGAGTACAGTCGTGAATCTGTTCAGAGACCTTCCATCGCTTGTTTGAATCAAGTGAGATTGGAGGCGTCGTCCCGGAGAAAAATCCGCCGACAACAACGTGGGAATCCTGTTTGTGGAGTTTTAGCCAGAGTTGACTTTTATCAACGGCCACGAGCCAGACAAACTTTTACACTCTGCCTCCGGTGTTACATCCGACTGTTGTACCAGCTCTTTCTCAACTCTGTTCTTGCTGTTGCTCATGTTGCTTAGGACCAGATTCCTAAGCAAGAAGATAAGTGCAGTGGTGTAGAAATAGGATTGAGCGGCTGCTAGGGCTGATCTGCATGGCCATGTGTGTGATCTGCAAGGGCACAGCATGGCACCCGGGCCGGGAGATCAGATATAGTATTTCCGATTTGGTAGGAGCCGCGCTTCTCCTCACCTTATCACCTCTGCGCCTTCTCTCGCTTTGCCTTCGAGAATTTGAGGCACGTTCTTCGCAATGTGCCATTCGAGAATGATAGTGTTGAGAGCATTGGCACGTTGTTCAACTGCACGCACGTTAGCTCAACTCTCGACGAACCGCTCTCTTAACCATCTGACGACTTTCATGGATGTTCGTTGTCTCTCTAGCGATATATACTTTGTGACTTGACTTTGGTCCAGGGTCAAAGCGAACCTCCCTCGTATCCGTTGTGCCCACTTTCGTTGAAACACACCCTATTGCCCGCTGTTTAGCGTCTCGAACCTTAAAGGCTGCGCTTCAATCAGTCGCATCCGCCCTATCACCGTTGCTATGATGCCGGCAGTCAGTCAGTGATGGCTGAAACTGACACGACCTCGTCTGACACTGCCTGCTTTCAACTCCATGAAACCTTGACTAGGGCTCGCTTTTCTGGAAGCTCGAAGCTAAAGTCTATACCCATGACTTGTGGTGCAACCACCACCGTCCTATATGGGACCCAGCTCCCATATTCGAAACAAGGCCTTCCTTTCACACTTACTCGTTCTGTTCCCTGTTGTCAGTTCGATTAACATTGAATTGATTGCTCGAAGCCATGTCTGATGGAGGCATGATCCCAACGGATGCCCAGGGTTTGGCAATTGTTGTCTTGCTGTACACGATTGCCAATGCTGTGGCTGCTGGATTGGTGATCCTCATGCACATGCGCCACGGTGATCCTCTTGGATGTAAGTCTGCAAGCTAGCTACTCAGAGGCCAACGCTCTCACATATACTAATGTATTTGTATATAGATGTTCCGCTCTGCGCATGCTTCATGATTGTCAACATCGTGGCCGCTTTCATCCAGCAGATACACTTCTTCACTAGCTTCGAGACCATTACGACTGCTAGCTACAACTACCAGATCAGTGGCCACTATACTGGCAAACCAGCCTTCACTGGAACATATACGCCCTTGGATACTGTCCTCTACGAGATACAACTGTATTGCTACAATGTGGAATCACTGCTCTTCTTGTCATGGATCGCTGGCCTTTGGCGTCATGTTTGGCGTCTGCGTATCGAGTTCCTCGACAGAGGTGGTCATGTCGTTTCTACATCTGTCAAGATTGCCTCAATCATTGTGCCAGCAATTCTGATTGGAATCGCCAATGCTTCCTCTGTAGACCGTACACCTGGAGTCTCACTGATCCTTTGCAACATTTTGTGTAAGTTGGCTCATCATGTTTTACTACCGGAAACACACTAACGATCAAGACAGTGGCTGGTAGCGTCGCCATCGGTCTGTTCCTCTTGGCACTCGTCTTCTACAAATACATTTCCATTCAAAAGTACCTTAGTGACTCGTCGTCAGCGAAGAACGGCTTCTTTGCTCGTCTCGGTTGGCGCATCAAGTTCTCCTTGCCCAGCACTTCAAAAACAAGGAGTCAAATAAGCAGGGTTATGGGAGGCCAATCTCAAAGTCAGATGCAGAGTGGCATGCATAGTCAGATGCAAAGCGGGAACTTCACTCGAAGTGTCAACAAGCAAACCGAATCACAGCTGCCTGCTCGCGAACCAAAGCCAAGCACACGCAAGAACGATTCAATGTACGACAAATGGCTTTTGATCCGTTTCTGCATCTGTTTCGTCCTGCTATGGTAAGGACCTCAATCATCTCTTACAACATCGCTCATTCGTTAATCTCGCAAAACAGCATCATGCAGATCTACCTTATTTACTACTCGATCGCTCGCTACCTTGGCTCAAGAGCAGATGCGAAAAACGCCAAGCTGGACTTGTCTGCAGGCTCTGCTATGGTTTCCATTGTGATGTTTATTCCTGGAGTAACATTGGGGCTGTTAATCTTCATCGTCTTTGGAACAACAGGTCCCTTTCGTCGTGACTACGCTCGCTGGGCCCGTCACATTGTGTCTAGCTGTCTAGGCCGCCGCAGCTCTCGAAACTCCCTCGCTTCTGGATCTCTGCATCGTACTGAGAGTGTAGTGCGCTTGACAAACCTAGACAGAAAGTCTAGCCAGAATGGCGGCAATGAAGAGGCGGGACTAGGGGCCAAGAGCGCTGATGGCGAGTATAGAGTTTCTGTCACACCTCTTGCTGGAGAAGACAGCGACTATGATGAGAGACAAATGGGCATGGGTATTATGATGACGAGGAGCATCAAACAAAGTGATGATAGATAAACAGACTGGCATCACCATCAAATTAATTTTTACTTTGTCCAATCATCTTCATTCACACCTTGACTCGCTCTCGTAGAGACTTACGATATCTCTTCTTTCTCTCTGTCTCTCATACCCAATGCATTCATACTCTGGAAGGCATGACTAGTGTCACCATCGATCAAACTGAACTTCCGACCACGATGATCCGCACAATAACGAGATCGGCAAAACCCTATCAATGGCCGCAACAAGAAGCGAGTCAACATTGATCGACCTGATCTCGGATGCTCTCGTACCGAGCTAGATATCTAACACAAGATACCTAGGTAAGATCTAGGGAATATGATCAGCAGCCGAGGCAGAGATGCAACGAAGCCTCGATGACTTATCGACGACCATCAGATCTTGAGGTTACGATAGTAATAGCAAGGTGTACGTCTATTGATGATCTGGATTTCGGAGACCGGAGAGTAACAGCGATAATGATCAGTAGCATTTCGAGAAACGTGGGTCTACGCAGCATACATTGAGGTATGCTCACCTGGAAAGGCTCTGTGCATAGTGACCATGATTCTTACACTTAGGCATTCAGTCAGCTAGTATCGGAACAAAGATCGGGAAAAAAGAACTTCGCTTCAACTCCATAACGAGATGAACGAACTAACAGCACCGTATGCTGAAGATTGTCACCTTTAGGACGCAGAACTGCACTCATCAAGGATGTGCTCTCTGGATGAATCTCCATCAAGGTCTTTCCCAAGCTAGACTGATATTCGAACTGCGACTATGTAGTCGATAGTCCATGACGACCGTTGCACATTGGGATGGAGAAGGAGCAGCTGCGAAGCTGCGACAGCCCCTAGGTTATTAGCATACACGAGCATAGCTGATGTTGTGACCGAGACCATATGTACAAATCTTTTGAATCAAATTAATTCCTTGTATGTACATACTTCTGAGAGTTTTCAAACCATTTCCGGCAAGAGCCTGTTTCCAGCACCTTCTCTCCATTTTTTTTCGTCACCATCAACACTACCATCAGACCTCGCTTGCAAACTTGTTATCTCTCACAACTTCTCCACTAACAACTGAGTGGTCATCAGCAACCGAACCACGTCTATCGAGCAACGGCTTCAATCCAGGCACCGAGACGGCAGCAAGTGCTGTGGCCATCTCAACCATACTCAGGATATAAACCAAATTAGGCTCGGTTGAATCAGTATTCAACGTGATGAAACGGATCAAAGTCGTCAATGCGGGAATGATACCCAAGGAGAAAGTGAAGTAGATGGCTGCTTTGTGTTCTTTGCTCATTCCCTTGAGCAAGAAGAGGGGAAGACCGTAGACTGAACCGAGTCAGATGACCTTGCCTTCGGGATTATTTGGTAGGCAGCTAAGACTTACTGAACAGATAGCAAGAAAGATTCATCGAAAAGTTGAAGTAGAAAGGTGTATCAGCGTAGAACACACTGCAAGCACCTTCTTCCTGGCTCCATTGGACCGAAACGGGCACACCACAGTAGAACGTATCCATCCAGAGAACGGTCATGTAGGCACAGCATACATAGGCAGTAACAACATACATGGCCTTGCGCAGTGTAGGTCTGTCAGCAGGAAACACGCCCCAGTAGAAAGCTAGCATGCTCAACTTTGGGAAGCCCTAGAAGTCGCATGTGAGAATTTTGTGATTGGCACTATGGAGGATGTGAGTATACGCACCATGCCAAAGTCGTAAAAGTAGTTTGACGCAAAAGAGATCTTTGACAACTTGACTGAGGGCTCCCAGTCATCCATGACTCCGAGTTCAAAAGTCAGTGTGCTGAAGAATCTTGTCAGCGGAAGTTACTCTTGCTCGATGCAGCTAAAAGCATCACTTACTCGCAAATAATAAGTCCCAGACCAATCAAAGCAGAAAACAACAGGATGTACTCAGACAACCTCAACTTCTGCTTCTGCACGAGTAGACGAGTGTACATTCTCAAGCCCACGAGAGCCCAAGCAGCGATCAAGAGAATCCATTCCGAGATCTGTCAAAGTTGAGAGGAAGGTTAGCACTGCTCAAAACATACACTGAACCGCAGAAACTGACCATGCAATCCTTTCCACCAATCGAGTTTGCCATCTTCGCAAGTTATTGACAAAGACCAGTTCTAGTCTTCTTATCGAGGCCCCAAGTGTATACAGAGAACAGGAAAAAAGAAGGAAGGCAAGCAAGAATGGAAGTCGTCACTACATAAATGAGCTTACCATTCATATACTGTGCCCACTGATCGATGCTACATCGCTTGACTAGTTTCTCTCCCGCTCTGACTCTTCGCGTCTCAAGACCCTGCAGACCATGATTGTTGAGCGATGGAACGAAATCCATTCATCTATAGCGAAAGTGGCATTATTTTCGCTTGACTGTGCCGTAAGTCTCACCTCGTGGATAATCACTCCACACGCGACCCGAAACCTCTGCCCGCACTCAACCGGGTAGTTCTGACTAACAACTAATATACCATATGAGGAAGGAGCCAGTACCAAGGGATTCTCCTTGTTGATTGGATTGCTAGGAGGCAGCTTCCTCATCCGCAAAGGATTCAAGATGTTGAAACACACGGACCCGGAGTCCGCGTGCTCGGCAACCCAGTCTACCGGGACTGTATATTAATACATCGGCTCCTTCTCGTATAGTCATGGTTGAGATAGTACAACAAACTCTCGTGGCGAGTTTTATCGTTGTTTCGATTTATGACTTGTCTCACGAGACAAAATCTAGAATCTGCCGATCTTCGATGAGCATGCGATTTCCATCCTCTGGGACCTCGGAGTGGGAAATATGTAAATGCTTGTAGACTCATACTGTGAAACTGACTCTGCTGTCTGGTGATAGATCGTTTGCTGAGTTTTGTTGTCTGTTTCTTGAGCTTGTTTTGAGGATGAATGTTCGAATGATCAGGTAGAGACGCATGTCAGACACCACTTTTCCCAGCTCTTCCATCATAGCCATTATTTGTCCAAGCCAGAACAAGCGGCCCTCCATCATCACTATCCTCGATAGGTCGCGAATCAACACTGACCTCCTTGGTCTTGTAAATGACATCTCGCTTTCCCACAATACGATTGAGCTCCACGTCGCTGCCTTCATCATCTAAAGGGTCACCTCTTCCGAACAAAGATCTTCCTCGCGACGCCGTGACCATATAGTGTTGTCCATCAGAATATGACTTTGATGTTGTAGAAGTCTTGTTTTTGCGACGGAGGAGGGTCTTCAGCGCGGGAAGAGAGACCACGATGATTGCGACGGCCATCTCGGCCATGGACCATATGAATACAGCGTTCCAATTGTTGCCGGTTTGAATTGTGATGAAGCGAGCGAGATTGACGGCGATGGTCGCGAGCCCGAGCGCAAACGTGAGCAGTAGTCCGTATATCTGGTTGCGATTGAGATGGAGATGACGCAGAAGAGGAAAGGGAAGGACGAAGACTAGTTCACTGAAGATTAGCGACTTCCTGTTCCGAGAAGTCTAATGAGATAATGACTATGCTTACTTGCAATATCGGAGAAGCAGTTCATCGCCCAATCGATCTGCAGAACAAGAAGCGAATTAAAAGTCGAGCATGCACCGTCCTCCAATGACCAGTTGCTTGCAACGTTTGGCGCGCACCACAGAGTGTCGAGCATGCACGTGGTAAGGGCGCACGCGACTACAAAACCAGTGACAACGTATAGCGATGTCCGTAGTCGCGGCATGGTGCTCGGAATGATCTTGAAGTAGAGAGCAATCAATGCGGCTTTAGGCCAGTACATACCCGTGTCGTAGAAGTAGTTGGAGGCGAAGGATATCTTCGATGCTTGATCAGCACTTGCCTAAAAAAGATCAGAAATGCACTTACCTTGTCCAGAGTAACTTCATTCTTCATATCAGCTGCTGATAATGCTTGACCTTGTGGTATGTATCGCATGCCACCCAGAGCATATGTCCATGTATCACCTGTCACTTCTCGTCAGCATGGTATAGGATCAACAATCAAAGAACACTCACATATGATTAGTCCCAAGCAATCGAGCGCAGATGCTATCAACAAGCAGTCTGAAAGGATCACATGCTTCTGCTGCCTCCGGGCGATTCGCACACCAATCCGAAGTCCTACAAGACAGTATGCCAGTGCAAAAAGCGTCCATTCGATGGCCTTGAGGCGGTTAGTAGAACTTTGCTGTTGCGGGAGAAAAGAACTCACCATGACGGCCTCGCCAGAGATATTGTAACCCATACCGACAGGATCGATGGCTACTCTACGACAGGAACATAGAAAATAATGGTCAAACAAAGAACGACTTGCACAACAGCAGACATGGCCCAACACTCATCACCATGAGATCTCAAAAGACAACGGCTCATAACGTCGCTTACCTTGCTCAAACATCGGTTCTCGAGGCAAAGTGGCTGATCTCTTGAGACGTGCTATAATTCTCTCGCTCCAATTAGACTTAAACACGGCCGAAGACCCAGAAACCTATAATATGATGGCGGCGTGTTACTAGACTTGATCAAAGCTCGCATCGGAAGGATTCTGGTTGAGTCCTCGTATGGAAGCAAGGACCTCTAGTTTGTCTACAAGCGAGGACCCTTTGAGACTAAGATTGCGCCACGGTAGAGCATTGATTGTGTTTGGGCATCTGCGTCCAGGTTGCGCTATTGTCGATCATGAAGCCGAGAATTTTCCGGCTATATTATATAGACTCACCAAGTACTCGAGATCACGCCATACTCATCCATGCCGAAGAGCCAAGAGACCACTAAATCCAAGTCAATATAAGCAGAGGGGCCAGAATCTCTTGTGAAAATGTGTGATATATTGCCGCAGAGTAAATCCAATTCCCAATCATCTTTCAAGAATTCGTTCGAGTAACCTTGACACGAAGACCTCCTTTGATTCTTCTGATGATACCACCAGTCACATCTGGATCCTTCATGTTCGGGTCGACCAGTGTGGTCTCGAAACCAAGAACCCAAGCGGCGAGTAAGGAAGCAAATTCCGCTTTGGCGAAACCTGGAAAGAGTGAGCGATAGTACGGCAGTATCTCTCCATCGACTTACTGGCTCCAATGCATCCTCTTGGCCCGTGAGAGAAGGTCATGTTCGAATAGTTGCTTTCGGCTCCTCCAGTGTTCGCTCTACCAGGACCCATCCACCTGTCTGGATTGAAAATCTTAGGATCTTCGTTCCACATCGACGAGTTATGGTTCGCAGCTATAAGGGGCGTGATAACCATTGTACCCTCAGGAATCAATTGTCCTGAGAGAACGACGTCTTTTGCAGCGATGCGGATGGTCGCCGGAACAGGAGAGTAGAAGCGTAGAACCTCATTGGTCACAGCATGAAGGTAAGGTAGCTGCTCGATCTGCTCGGCAGTAATATGCGCAGTGGTGTCGCGGATATCCGGAAGATTAGAGGCACGCAACTCATCGCGCAGCTTCTGTTGTACTTCGGGGAACTTGCCCAGGGTATAAACAGCCCATGTCATCGCTGTCGCAGTCTGTAGCAAGCCGTGTCAGCGATCGAATACCAAAGAACCATAGGATCTTCCATACTGTCTCATGGCCGGCGGCCAGGAAAGTGAGCAGTTGATCAACGATCTGATGATCAGTGAAGGCTCCGCTCTGCATTGCGACACTCAGAATGTCGACTCCGCCAGCAGTCTCATCGGATATCTTATCTCTCTTCGCAGCAGCTATCTTTGCTCTCTTGTCTGCGAGCATTTCAAAACAGATTTTGCTAAGATATACGCGTTCCCTCTCAACCTTAACATTGCGCGGTATCGGCAGTACTCTGATAAGCCAGAAAGGCAGAAGCGTGTTCAAGAATCCGACCAATTGTGTTTGCCAGTCCTGTTTGAAAAGTGTTTGGTAAGTCTGGTAAAGCTTGCTGTTGGGGTCTTCTATCGCGCCGAATGACTTTCCAATTGTAGCTACACCAATGATGTCGAGGGTGGCACGAGAAGTCCAGCCGTCAACATTGATTTCATGTTCAACTTTTTCCACCTCGGCGATAGTCTTTTCGTCTGTCTTGATTGAGATTTCCTTATCAATGCCCAGGATCATATCTCGAGATTGCTCCCAGAAAACAGGATAAAGGTCTTTGATATGGCGGTAGCTGAACGCCGGCGTCAAGTTCTTACGTTGAACCTTGTGTTCCTGGCCTTCAGTCAAGAGAACGCCATATCCGAGGATTCGGGCAAGTCCTTTGATCAAAGTGGGTGGTTTGATCAAATCATAGCTTTTCAAGGTTACTGCTTCGCTGAGTGCTTTGGGTGTGGTGACCATCACTCTCTCCGCATTGAAAAGGCCTCTGTAGTAGATCAACCCGTCATTCTGAATTTCTTCCATCCATTCTCGGTGAGGGACGCCGGTGGGCTCTTTGATGATCCTGAGGAATTGTCCGAAGATAAGCGACGTCTGCTTGGGTTGAGGAAGGTGACGCAAAGAGGAAAAGAAAAACGGATAGACAAAAGAAGCCCAGAAGAATCGCACAGTGATCACGCTGAAGAAAATGGCTGCTGTTGTTTGCCATAACGACTCATGCAGTAATCGTTCGGGGGCGAACCTCTTGAACGAGAACGATATGGCTGCGGACGCAAGCAGTATCGCGCGTTTCACCGCCACTACCATATTTTTGACGGCTGTTATTGACAAGAAGTGGAAGCACGAGCTGCGACAGCGATGCCAACAATAATACAGGGCAAGAGGTTGATGTTACACATATCGACCTCGCTGCCGTCCCTCGGGTCTTGGCACTCAACGCGTCATGTATATATGTAGATCGGTACCTCCTTATCGCAAGCACGACTGACTTTACTTAGCTACAATCAAGTGCCTTGTCAAATAGACACTCGGACTAGCACATCGTTGGTGATATCTAGCACGGCCAATCTATTGTGCAAGGCCACGCTTCTCGTCAACACCATTGTAAAGCCCACCGGAACTGATCGAATCACGTTGGAAGACTGGATCTTGTGCCTTACTTTTCATGCGAAAGAGACATCTGTATGAACTCATTGTTGGAAGCTCTCCGACACCGCAGGCTACTTCGTTATATGCTTCATGATTGTTGCATCCTTCTGTCTTTGTGTTCCAACCTCTACCACGTTCCGTTCGAGCGACTACTCAATCAACGAAACCCTTGTAGTCGACCATGCTGCCGGGCTAAGGCTCTAGTATATTTGGCAAGAGTCTCGTTGCCAGCCTGATCTCAACGATGAAATCATCGACGAAGCCACGGCTGGAGTTGAAGAGACAAGAATGGTTCATGTGAGAAGCTTGAGTCCAAACACCAGAGGAGTTGTTTCTGATAGCCTTCACGACATCAACGCAAACCCTATCCTTGTCAGCTTCAAAACCGAAGCTGTTGTGCTCAAGGGTGTTTTGGAGACGGAAAACATCGATCACCGGCATGCCATCAACAACCAGGAGACTTGAATCTGCGGCTGATGCAGCAGAACGAGGTGTGCCATCGTACAAGTTGTTGATGTTATGAAATGGGTTGTGGAAAGACTTGCGTACAGTGTTAATCCACAAAGCGGCGTAACTGCCGTGCATGCCCATGTTGTTGGTAGGGTTGATGATCACACTCAAGGCTGGCGAGTTTTTGGGAGTGTTCGATGCGACAAAAGCCTTTTCACAGAGAATAATCTGTCCAGCCATGATATCGTCTGTGGCGAAAAGGCCCTTGGAGCTGCCATCAGCCTCGCGAATACTAGTACGACGAAGGTAGCTTGCTCGGAGCGATAGTTTGTTGTTTCTGAGATCCTCTAGTCAAAAACACCATTTTCAGTCTCGTGACTACGCGACTCGGTGCGCTTGAGCTCTCGCAGACCGTCGTGATCAGATGGAAGCGTGGCCAACATTTGCTGGAACATGTCTTGGGCAGATTTGTAGCCTTTTGTGTAGCATCGATTGGCCTTGATGTAGTCTTTGTTCTTCAGAGCGTTGTTGCCGTCGAGCTTCAACTTCGAGGCCGTCTTGGGTTGAGTTGATGACTTCCACTCGTGGGGGAAACATGGGATGGTCCTCGTCAAGGAACAGGACATCAGAAGGACGATGCACACACAGTGCCATGCCCATATCTTCAGGGACTGCAAACAATTCGGTTTCGAAGGCACCCCCTTTGGACAAAGCTCAAGTGGGCTATCTTGGAGTGATGTACTGAAAATGATCAGCTTTTTATGATACATACAATCTAATTGCCTACGTACCATGATTCGTTGGTCTGTCAGTGTTGGAGAAGCTGGCCACTCAGGTTGAGTGCTTCATTGACAAGAAAGGACAAGGGGTGTGCGGTAGAGAGATCTAGATTTCTCAGGCATATATACAAACTCAACTCATTTAAGGGATATCACGGCCAAATGCTCCTGCCCCAGTGAGACGCCACAAACTCCATACTTTTGAACAAGATGCAAAGACAGGCATGCTGATTTGAAGAATGATGAAAATGCAGATGGAGAGGCTTACTCCATGTCCTCGTCCTCGTCATCTTCTGATTCTTCCTCCTCACCTTCCTCGTCATCATCATCTGCACCAGCATCAGCGTCTTCGTGCCAGACATCGTCGTCGAAGTCCTCGTCATCGAGCATTTCTTCGTCTTCGTCATCGACCTCTTCGCCTCTAGCCTTCTTTTCCTTCTTCTTTCTCTCGACGTTCTCCTTTTGGATGCGTCTTCTCTCAGCCTTCTCCTTGTTCTTGATCTCCCAAGCCTTGTCTTGCTGCTTCTGCTCTTCCTTGCTCTTGCTAATGTACTCATGCCACAGGACTTTGCCACCACAAAGACCCTCCTCGACCTTCGTCAGACGAAGTGTCATGCGAGGACCCAGCTCTTGCAGTTTGATAGCCTTCTTTTGTGTCTTTGATTTGCGAGGTTGGGGAGCTGGGCGTGCAGCACCCTCAGGGTTGACGCCTTCGGCGTTGGCTCCCGTGACCTTGGCACGTTGAGCGTCACGGATGCGTTGACGTTCCTCTTTTGACATGGCTTTGCGGTTCTCGACGGCCAGAACCTCGATCTCGGCGTCAGTGTCAGCTTCTGTGTCGGAGGCAGTGGTGAAACCGGAAGCGGTAGGGTCCAAAAGGTAGTCTGCGACATCGTCGAGGGCTCCAAGGTTGGGAAGGCGAGAGCTGTCACCGCGCTTAAGGTGGTCGGCCTGCTCGAGTTTGCGCAGGGCTTTCGGAAGGGCAGACTTGGGGGTCACGGCGTTGATGGCGTAGTGGCGCAATTGCAACACAAATGCGTGGGGGTCGTTGGGATCGTTTGCAGGTTTGCGATCGAGCAGCATGACACGCTTGATGGTCTTGAGGGACGTGGTGTGAGGAGAAATGGGAGCGAAGAGGGATTGGAAGATTGTCGTCGTCAGGGATTCGAGGTTTTTGGGAATGGGATTCGAGTCGGACTTTGTGTCTTTGGCAGCATCCTGTAGCTTGTCGGATTGCATGAAGTTGTTCATGACGAGAAGAGGCGAGGTCAAGTATTCGGCACCGTTCTGACCCTTTGGGCGACGCATGCTTTTTTGGACGTCCTTGCAGAGCGAGTACTTCTCAACGCGGAAATGTAATGTGGGACCTCTGGGAGTGGTGCAGATGCGCAGGTTCGTGTTTCCAGCATCGGAGCGAGAGAAAAGCATAAGGTGAGAGACACCAAGAGGACCAGCCATGGTGACAAAGTCGCGCAGCTTGTTGGACTTGCGCTCTTTCAGGCGACTTGCGGTACCGGGCTCCATCATCAAACGAGTGTCTCTGACAAGCTGCGATATGCTTGGGCCGACCTCACCAGCGTTGATACGGATGACCATGCTCTTGGGGGCCTTTGTCTCGCTGGCCAGCGCGGCGGCCATACCAGGAGCGGCAGGCTTTGCGCCAGCATGGGTGCGCTTCTTCACTCTTCTTTTGGCCATTGTGAGATATCAGGTTGTGTTGATGTTTTGTCGAGTCGACTGGCACCAAAATTTCTTTGCAAGTTGCTGAAGGCCGGTCTGTGCTTCGGCGATAAAAATGCTGTGACGTGGGTTAAAGCCGGAGCTTGTCTGGACTGGCGCCTGCCTTTTACAACTTTTTATTTTCGCCCATAGCACTTTCCCAGCACGCGCCAACCCTCGCATTTCTCCGACGAGACAGGCTTACAATCTCATTCCGAGATACAGCCTTCATAATGTCGGCTCTGAAAAAGAGAAAGGTTCAACATGAACGCTCCAGCTTCAGCGAAGAGGCTCCGCGCCAATCCAAGCCCTCGAAGAAGACCATGGACCGCATAGACGACACCAAGGAACCCGTCGAGAACCTGGCCAAGAAGGCTGTCAAGAAGGCTGCCTCTGAAGAAGTCAAGGAAAAGAAGGACAAAAAAGACAGAAAGCGCAAAGCACAAGAGGAGGACGAAGAAGACCAGTCCGACGACGTCCCTGCACCTGCCGACGATGAAGACGATGCCAAAGCACCAAAGTCTTTCCGCGATCTTGGAATTATCGATGCTCTGGCCGAATCATGTGAAGCCATGAACTTCACCAAACCTACACCAATCCAGGCAGAATCTATTCCGCTTGCCCTTCAAGGAAGGGACATCATCGGTCTCGCCGAGACTGGTTCAGGAAAGACGGCTGCATTCGCCTTGCCCATTCTACAAGCTTTGATGGAAACTCCCTCGTCTTTGTTCGGTCTTGTTCTGGCTCCAACAAGAGAACTTGCCTACCAGATCAGCAAACAATTCGAGGCCTTGGGGTCCCTGATTGGTGTCAAGTGTGCTGTCATTGTTGGAGGTATGGATATGGTTCCTCAAGCTATTGCTCTCGGAAAGAAGCCTCATATTATTGTTGCCACTCCTGGACGTCTGCTCGATCATCTCGAGAACACAAAGGGATTTTCTCTGCGCACTCTCAAGTATCTGGTTATGGACGAAGCCGATAGACTTTTGGATCTCGACTTTGGTCCTATCCTTGATAAAATTTTGAAAGTCATCCCGAAAGAAAGACGCACCTACCTCTTCTCCGCTACCATGTCCTCCAAGGTTGAGTCTCTGCAACGAGCTTCGCTTTCGAACCCTATGAAAGTTAGCATTTCCTCTTCCAGCTACCAGACTGTCAGCACCTTGATCCAATCATATCTTTTCATCCCCCACAAGTTCAAGGATATCTACCTGGTCTATATTCTCAACGAGTTCGCCGGTCAAAGCACTGTCTTGTTCACTCGCACTGTCAACGAGACGCAACGATTGGCATACCTACTGCGAGCTCTTGGATTCGGCGCCATTCCTCTGCACGGACAACTCTCTCAATCAGCACGTCTGGGCGCTCTGTCAAAGTTCAGAGCTGGAAGCCGTGATATCCTGGTAGCCACCGATGTCGCAGCCCGTGGTCTAGATATTCCTTCAGTCGATCTGGTCCTGAACTTCGATCTTCCTCCGGACAGCAAGACTTACGTCCATAGAGTTGGTCGTACCGCTCGTGCTGGCAAAGCAGGAAGAGCTGTTTCTTTTGTCACACAATACGATGTCGAGGTCTACCAAAGGATAGAAAAGGCTTTGGCCAAGAAGTTGCCTGAGCACGATGCTCCTCGAGATCAGGTCATGGTCTTTGCCGAAAAGGTGTCCGAGGCTCAACGCGTGGCTGTCAGAGAAATGAAGGATCTGCATGAGAAGGCGAAGAGTGGTGGCAGAGGTGGACCTAGAGGAAAGGGCAAGAGAGATGCCATGGACAGAGACGAGGGATAATTGCTCTGCCACCTTTTTACTTTATTTCCTGTTTATGATATCCAAAATCGAGCATTTGTTTGGCGTTAGACCCACCGTCCAGCTTTGAAACCTTGCACAAATTCGATCTCAACCTTGCGATATGTTTTCACGGTTGTGATCCACTCTCTTGTATGTCCCAGAAGGGTACTAAGTCATTTGAAACACCTCCACATGGGAGCTGGATTGCTTTGATATTCTTGTCGTCGCCAGTGCTAGGTAAGATATACGACAGGGTTACCCCAATCTCAAAGGTTCTCGGGAACCTTCGGCATTCGGGTAAACTCGACCCATCGCTAACCTTACATCATCTCTAGAGCATTGCTATCAACAATCCACAGATCAAACAACAATGTCATCTCAAAAGTGTTTAAAGTTTGTACAGAGTGTCCTGTAAGCTGCTTGACGATCTGACGTTTGATCAAAGACTGACCTGGCGTTTGTAGGGAATCTTTCCAGGCCAATTCTGGTCTAGAGCCAAGGTGAGATATGCCAATTGAGATGAAAACTACTAGTTAGGACGAAGACTGATGTGTTGAGTCTCTAGACTTCTCAATGGGGTGAGTGTTGTACTGGATTGAGTAGCCAGGTTTCTGGAGCATTCTTGATACATCTTTCTTGCTGGCATCGCTATCACCAACCTTATGCACGCTCCAGAAGATCAAGAGACCACGCATCGCGACTCTTCTGAACCTGCTACCTTTCTACAGACATCTATCATCACAGGTCACCAGTACTGACTCACCTCGTCGATCAGCTCCGCGTAACAGCAGCACGCCCCGGCATCGTCAACTTCGAACTCCCCATCGAGAAACACCACACCGTATGCCTCTTCCTCCCCTTCCTCTGCCTCCTCCCTCCCTCCCTTCTCTAACACGTACCCCAACAGAACCGTCTTAACATCCTGCATGGCGGGACCATAGCCAGCATGGTAGATCTAGGCGGTTCTCTAGCCGTAGCTTCTCGAGGCCTATTTGCTACTGGAGTTTCTACTGATCTCAATGGTATGCATACAATCATGAGATGAGCGCAGAAAAGTGCTAATCATTGCGAAATAGTCACTTACCTGAACTCTGGCGGCAAGATTGGAGATTTGATCCGTGCGGTATGTGATTCGACCTCCCACCAGGAGCTCAGTCATTTGCAAAAGAAATCAGTACTGACATATATCTCTTGGCTCGAACAGGAAGTCACTTGTGACAAATGTAAGTCTTGGATCTCGCCCACCACGGACCCTTTTCTTGGGTCCCTTCAACCCTGTATATGGCTAACGCTACCATAGTCGGCAAAACCCTCGCCTACACATCCATAAACTTCCACAATGAAAAGCAAGAATTGGTCGCTAGAGGAAGTCATACCAAGTGAGCCAGCCTCTGCCCCATCGAGCGGTCTGAGGGAGGATTGCTAACAGAACCACAAAACAGATACGTCACTCTCGCTTGGAAGGATCCAAACAACATCGTCGAGGAGTTATCGCCAAAGCCAGAGAAGAAGTCTGAATAAGCCGGACGGCTAAATTGAAAAACCGCAGATCTGAGTGTAGCGATCGGTTGAGTGCTTGTACTGGTTCGCAAGAATAGATCAAGAGAACGTGGCATATAGAAGTCAGCTACGGAAAAGCCTCAAGAAAGGAACAGCTGTAGCATGAATGAATATACTTCTACCATTACGCCAATATAGCCCATGCACTAGAAGGACTACTGACTACTCCAGTTTCCATCGTGCTCGCACTATTACACAAACCGCACCCTCGACTGAACATACTCAAATCTTCCCTTTCAGCTTCTCCACCAATGAGGACCTTCTGTTCTTCAAGTCGTTGTTCGCCTTGCCCTGAACAATAACGGCAGACGAGACTCGTGTTCCAGCAGCAGTCTACGCTTTAACCATGTGCTTGCCTCTACTTTCAATCCCAGTCTCCACCACGCCTACAGTTGTTCCCAACGTTCCTGCTTTGACATACACTCTAGCCTTGAACATTGCGAAGCTCAGTCTCGCATCTTCAGTCACACATTTTTTCTGCAACTCCCTGAGACAGGTGTTCAGGTCATTCTCAGGATAGGCTGGTCCAAGCTCGGTACGGCTCAAGAGCGCTTGGAGTTCCTCATTGCGTCGCCTGTCGAACTGTGACATCAGGCGGCCACTCCAGTAAGCAGTCGACTGGGCTGACGTGACAAAGTCACTGGCCATGTTGATGTTGCTAGTACTGTCGTCAGGCCGGAGACAGGTAGCCGAAGGGCGTGGGCAAGAAGATGGTGAGTGCGTCGGTGCGGCGCGAGGTGTGAGCAGTTGACAAAATTGAATGTCAGAGCTGAATGAAGAGCGATACTTTCCCTTATCATGGACAGAATGCAGAGGAACAGCTTCTGGGGCAAGCATTGTCTGTCTTCTTGGCTTCGATATCACGGTGACTGGAGTCTTTGGAACCTTGGGACAGGGTTTCTTGGTTGATGGGGTGCAAGATGTAGATTGTTGCAACGAGTCCCTTCTCGGAGGTGGTTTTGGTATACGATTTACCGGGGTCTGAAGTCGTTTGACTGGGTTAAAAGTTTTGACCTCCAACTCGAGAGGATACAGTGGAACTTGCGGCAACTCGATCCGATTAATCGTCGGGTCTGATGTGTAAACATTGATTGGGTCATTCTCCTTGTGAACATTGGTTGAGGTTGGAATCTCATGTGAATAGTTTGAGACCAACAAGGGCTCAGTATCTGATCGGACAAGCACGCGTCGGTTGCTAACTTTGAGGATACTTTTGGTTGCACTGGCCAACCTCGACTTCGCACTGGAACTCATTGTAGGTGTCGGGATGCGTGATGGCGGCTTCAGAGATACTGGTGGTTTAGAATTGTTGCGAGCTCGCGTCCGGGGCAGGTTGCTGAAAGTGCGACTCTTAGGCAACGCAGGCAATGGTTCGTCAGATAGTGGAACGTAGGTCTGACGACTTTGCTGATTTTGCGGTCTTTGTTGATAGGTGCTGAGGAGATATGGATCCTCGTCAGAGTTCTGGGTGCTATGACTCGAGCGTCTGCGATTGAAAGAGTTGAAAGGATTGAATTGATGAAGGTTGGCGAGAGAGCTCAAGCGGCGTAGAGAAGATCTGGGATTAGGTGAGGTCGGACTCGACGACAAAGCGATCTCAGAGGAAGATGATTGTTGTCGAGCTGGCATTTTGGTAATGAACAAAGTGCTGGATCAGATCTGTTGTGATTGTCAATGAGTGTGATGATGGCAAGTAAGGACAGTGATGATGAAGAAAGCAAGAAGCCAGCAAGGAGTGTGATGGATTTTGGTTGTAACAATAATGTTGAAGGAGGTGCGATGAGGAGAGCGTCGTGGTTGCCACGAGGTTGTTCACTCGACGCCGAAACTAACTCTCCTCTCTAAGATCGCGTGGCATCCAGTGCACATTATCGGAGACTCTCTTAAGCATACCACCCTTACCGAATAAGGTGTTTTCAAAACAGCCCTGATGGCTATCCCGTGTCGGTCTGGCAATGATCGTGCTAATCAAGGTAAATGTAAGTGCGACAGATCAGTTAATTCTCATCATCTATTCAAAATCGCCGCTATCAGACACTATATCACCTTCGCTCCATACTGAAGGCTCAGTAGTCGTAGAAGCCCTTGCCGGACTTCTTACCTAGCCAGCCAGCATCGACCATCTTGGTCAAGAGAACGGAGGGTCTGTATTTGGAGTCACCAAGCTCCTGATGCAAGACGCGCATGATGGCCAGACATGTGTCAAGACCGATGAAGTCGGCAAGCTGCAGAGGACCCATGGGGACGTTGGTGCCGTTCTTCATGATAGCATCAATGTCCTCTTTAGAACCAACACCAGTCTCTAAACAGATGACGGCCTCGTTGATGTAGGGCATAAGAATGCGGTTGGCAAGGAAACCAGGACTATCTTGGCTGACGGAGGGGATCTTTCCCATGCGCTTGCAGAATTCGACAGCGGTCGTGAGAGTCTCTTGGGAAGTCTGAAGACCAGTGATAATCTCGACACCTTTTTGAACAGGCACGGGGTTCATGAAATGGGTTGAAACGACCCTGGAGGCGGCAGAGAGATCTTTGGGGTCGGTTGTGGTAGCAGCAGCGATCTTGGTGATGCTGATGGAGGAAGTGTTGGTAGCCAGGACGGCATGCGAGGGAGCCAGTTTAGCCATTTGCGAGAAGATTTTTGTTTTGAGATCGAGGATCTCGGGTACAGCTTCAATGATCATGTCGACTTCTGAAAGAGCACTCATGTCATTGGCAGGGGTCAAACGTTGTCTTGCAGCATCTGCATCATCCTGGGTAATCCTTTGCTTGGAGACATCCTTGGCTAACAGCTTGTCGGCAAACTTGAGGCCCTTATCAATTGAAGCCTGCGAGTTGTCGACCAAAGTCACAGGTACTTTGGCTCTCAATGCAGCAACTAGAGCAATACCCAGACCCTACCAACGATCAGTCAAACTCTAGGGACATGTCATGCTACAAGCTTGATTCTTACCATCTGGCCGGCACCAATAACACCGAGCTTCTTGACTTCAGCATTGGAACGAACACTAGCACTGAAATGTCTCTTGGGGGCAGATGTCAGATTCTTGGGAAGCTGCTTCAAGCAGGAACGGCATGAAAGAGAAGCCATGATTTTTAGCTGTTGGTCGGTGGCAGAATAAAAACAGAATATCCGAAAGATGGCTTGATATGCGTCGATCACATGCGGCAGTCCGGGGCCGACGATGCCGAGGTCTGCCGTCAGTGTGGAGCGAAGAATAAGGAGCAGTGTTTGATCTGTTTGGTCTAATTTACGCGCGACGCGTTGACCGACGCGGGTGCTCTGAATATTATCATCAGGGTCGATTCTGGTTGTATACCGACAGACACGCCAGCCATGGAGGTCTTCGAAAAGGCTCAGACGGTCGACCCCGAGGTCAGAGCCCACATCTATTCGCTCGTCTCGGCCATTGGTGGCAGTAGTACTGTTCACGAAGGCCAATATGTTCTCGGAGACGACGCCCTGGCCTGTTTGAAGGACTTGTCACGATGGATCCGCTCTTACGATGACCGAATGAACAGACACGATGTCAAGAGATGTATGGCCGAAGCAAACCTTCTCAGAGGAGATCTACTTCCTATCCTCGCTCAGCAAGGAGACAAGACTGAACGCAGCGCCCTCGCAACCAAAATCGCCCTTAGCTGTCTCGACTTGCTCAATACTCTGACATGGCCAATCGAACGGAAAGAAGAGACCATGACCATCAACACTCATAGACATCTCCCCTACATCAGGCTAGCCCAGGTCGAATACAAGCGTGCCGTCCTACACTGGGAATCTGCCCAAATCCTTCGTACCGCAATCAGCGTCGCCGTTCCCGCCATCACACAACCTAGAGTCGATCGATCTCCCAGAGACGAATCAATCATCGGTGTTGTACTCTACTTCCTCCGGAATATTGCTATCATCGCACAACCAGCAGACCTGCCGACTTCATCCGACAACAACGATATCAACAGACTGGAAACCATCAATGCATTCCACCAGCAGAACGTCTTGCAGCTCCTGCTCACGATCGCCTCGAGTGTCACCGACGAGTACCCCATGCACGATATCGTCCTCTTGGATATTCTCTTCCAGCTGCTCAAAGGCATTGATCCCAAAGACCTGTTCAAGAATGAGAAGCAACTGGTAGATGCCAGGAACGATGAGTTCAAAGCTCTGCTGGACAAAGAGAAGGCCATGAATGCCTCATACGCAAGAAATGCTCCCAGTCGTCATCACCGCTTCGGAACCATGATTTGGGTGAAGCGACCGGATGAGAAAGTATCCACTCTTAGCGGTCAAAACGTCTTCTTCGATGAGCAAAAGACACTACACCAAATGGATAAGTCAAAACTCTGGAACAAGCCAAAGGGTCGGAAGAAGAATACAGAGGTTCAAGATGAGAACAACGACTTTGACAACAACGTCATCCTGGACGAATCTACACGGAAAGTTGTCCGTCAGTTTGTCGAGGATTTCCTAGACTCCTCGTTCAATCCGCTTTTCAACAGTCTTCGTCGTGCCCTCACGTCGGAGGCCGAGCGGGCTCAGAAATATCATAACCGTCAGTACTACTACCTGATGGGTTGGTTTCTGCAAGCGGAACGTGCTAGACAAGACTTGCTCAAGCGAAATGGCAAAGTGCATGATGCTGCTGTCGAAGACTCGCCCTTTGCATACATCGCCGCTGTCATGACCCAGGAAAACTTCATCTTGCTGGGACGAAAAATTCAGCAGAGTTTGGACGATAAGGAGTGGTCTGATCTGCACGCTTGTATGCGGGCGTTTACCCAAATCCTGTTGACAGTGGCTGCAATGGCAGACTCGGCTTCCGAAGATGACCAGGAGATTGCCGAGAACATCCAGAACAGAATCTTCTACGAGGAAACCACACACGACCAAGTCATTGCTGTGCTTAGAGGATACAATGGCCAAGGATTTGCATTCTTGGATGCATGCACAGACATGGCTCACACTTTCTTACGCATGCTAGAACGCTACAGCAAACAGAACGTCGACATGCAAGTTCGCTCAAAACGACGTGCTAGAAGAAAGCGCAAAGCCGAAGCTCAAGCCAATGGTGCCGAAGACGAAGGTGCAGCATCTGAGGCTGAGGATCGGGCTGATGCTCAGCGCGCAGTGAGCGAGCGCAAGTTCGATTTCACAAGATTCGCCAGCAAGTTCATGACTGAGAGTGCTGTCAACACGTTCGTCACCTTTACGAGCTACTACAAAGATCTTGACTTAGAGCAGCTGAAGAGATGTCATCGTTTCTTTTACCGCTGCGCCTTCAAGATGGAACGAACAATCTTCTTGTACAGACTTGACATCCTACACTTGTTCAATCGCATGATCAAAGGGCCAGAAGGACTATCGAAAGAGATGCCTCTGTTCAAAGAATGGGAAGAATTGGTCAAGCAAATCTTCAGACGCTGTTTGAAGAACCTTGACCAGCGTAGAGAGCTTATGGTAGAGATGCTGTTCACAAAGATGCCGAACACAATCTTCTACCTCGAGAATGGCTACGACATGGAGATTACAAAAGCTAGACCCAGACCACCAGCTGAGTTGGTAGTGAAACCTGGATTGAGTCAGGAAGAGCAGATCGCTGTTGCTGTCAGTGTGCTTGTCAACCAAGGCAAACTCGACGCGTTGGCGTGGATCAAGAACGTTCTCAATTCTGCTGCAGAAGACAGAAAGTCTTGGGAAGATCTGCATGCTGCTCAGGCAAGCATTGAGAACATTTCGAATGGCGAGTCCGAGACCACAAATACTGCGAACAACCAAGACCCCGAAGCACCAACTGAACCAGTCGAGCCCGCAGACCAAACCGACAAACCTAAGGCTCCTTTCATCACACTCAAGCCCGACACCGAAGAACGCAAACTCAGCCTCTTCAAGGACAAATTCTTGCGTTTGCTTCTCAAACTACTTGCTCTTGAACGTCTTGGCGAAAACGACGACCCAGACGCTTCATGGATCGTTCCTTCTTCCATGCCATCATCACTTATACTATCCAACCTCGCTCTGATCAAAAAATTCGAGTTTGATCTTCCAACCTTCGAAGGCGGTGTAGCCCCTGAGTCTCTTCTTAGAAGCAAGAGTGCGGCGGGCTTACACGCCAGAGCAGATCAAAGTGCTGCTGCCAGCGCAGTCAATAGCGATGAAGAAGGCGACACCCTCTCCGACCTCGATGCTCAAGCAGCCGCGTTGTTCGAACCCGGTGGCCCTACATCCCGATCTGCCGACTACGAAAAGCCAAAAGCAAGAAAGAGATTATTGCAGCGTAAAGCCCCTGACCTCACAGAAGCACAGAGACTTCTACGACAACAGGAAAGAGAAGAGAGGGAAAGAGAAAAGAACGCAAAGATCAAATCGGCACTTCGTATCACGGATTCTGATGATGAAGATGACGAAGAAAAGGATGCGGCGTTCTTTGCACTGGAAGAAGAGAGAAGGAAGAAGATTAGTGGTGTTATCAGAAATGCATTGCTGCATGAGGTTGATGAGTCTGCTGGCAAGAAGAACAAGCGCAAGGCTAAAACCACAAAAGAGAAGACGGCTAAAGGCAAGAAGAGGAAGACTATCACTGTTGATAGCGATAGTGATCGGGTCAGTGACATTGATCAGGACGAGGAGATGGAGGACGTCGATGCAGTCAGTGAGGTTGAAGATGCACCAGAGGACACACCTATGGACACTGTATCGCCACTTAAAACTAACGCTGCAGCTGCAGTAGATGCAGATGAGGATGAGGATGTCGTGCAGGCTAGACCTGCTCGAGCAAGAGCAACAGCGAGACTGCCGTTCTTAGACGACAGCGATAGCGATTGAGCACTGTTGCATCTTGTACAGCATCGCATATTGATTTGGGAGCGTGGAGTTTGGGCAGGCTTGAAACTTTGGAATGGGATGAGAGGTATATAGTGGATGACAATGTCAACTTTTCCGATCGCTCTTCGTGATCTAGATCTTACTCAGGCCGCTTCGGTCCTTCCTAAGACGTTCGAACAAGATTTCTGCAACAGCTTTCATGCCTTGGCCGTTGGGATGATACCAGGTTTGGCCTCTCAACTGTTCCATCGCCGTGCAACCGAACACCCATGGCTCTGCACTGCCAATCCCATGACTTTGGCTCAATTCAGCCATTGGTATCTGTTCACACCACTCTGACCGAGACTCGACGGCTTTGCTCGTGGCGCTCTGGAGTCTGGCTGCAACTGCCTGGTGATGCTTCAGTCTCTCTGCATTGAAGGGGACGTCGATTCCAGCCTTGACATCAGATCCAAGTAGTGTCAGATATTCGATGACGATAACGCGTGCTTTTGGGGCTTTGGCATGAACAGCATCAAGGACTTTTCCAAATCGTCTGATAACCTCTTCTTCGTCTGCAGGTTTCGGTATCGTTGGTGATGCAACACCCTTAACACGATTTACCACAGACATAGCCGTCATCAACCATGTATGTTCCATAAACAAGCCTCCAATATAGGACATATCATTGCCGCCGCCCAGTACAAGCACAATATCTGCATCCTCGGGAACGCCCTGGATTTGAGGTGGAAATGTGTGACCGTTGGCGACTTGTGGTGTGTCTAGTAAGTTTAGAAGTGTAGCTGCAGAGACACTCAGATCTGTTAGATCTGCATGTAGACGTTCGGCAAGTAGGTGTGCGAAATTTGCGCCGGAACGACTGGCTGCTGTGTTTATCTGGGGAGGAATGCCAGGGCCAGCGGAGAAGCTGCTTCCTAGGTTGGCAATTTTGACCATGTTGAGAAGGATGTAGAGGAAGCAAGGGAGATGGTAGCGAGTTAGATGGGTTGGAGCAAAGGGATGAGCAAGACGTTTATAAGGGAAGGTGACCTAGGGTTTCCCGGGTCCTGACATCCGAGTTTGTTTGTGAAGCGATTCACAGAAAGTGATTGATGAAGCAGCGTAAATCTACAGGACTACCTGAATTTTTTGAAGATGAGCACGAGGTAGAAGACGACTTTTGGGGACCTCGGTGGTGTGCAGGCCGAGCAACGAAAGAAGAGAAACAGAAGAGGTGAGTCAATCAAGTGAAAGGATGGTATGGAAAAATGTCGGCAGTGATGACGTCGGGGAGGGAGCGTTTGTGATCGACTGTGGGGAAACTGGAGGCTTGATATGATTTCGCTTCTCTCTTGCACATGCTCACCATGCTCTGCGACGCAGGATAGTCATCATGTCGGTTGCCTCGAAGCGGGCGCTCGAATACCTCGAGGGCCAGCCGGGCATCATCTTCAACAGACTGTACCAGCAGCCCTCGACTGCCTTGGCCATCTTCCGTCGCATGTTGCCGCATCTGGGTGAGTTGTGCGCATGAGGCAGCACTCCCCGAGTCTTCTACTGACACAACCCAGCAAAGAACCTGGTCATGGCTATGCTGTTCATGCCCTCCCCTCTAGCCATATCCGATCTCGAAACCTGGGTAAAGCCAGATGTCGACAGCCTGCGCGCAAGCGGTTACTCAAACAACATTCTCGGCCGCCTAAAGATCCTCGAAGAAACCCGCAACGACCAGAACAGACCCGCATACCAACTCAACAAAGCCTTCCGGAAGTCTCTGCGTCTGGCTCTCACTGGCGGAGGTGATCATCGCTCTTTCGGTGTGCCGTCAAGCACCCCAGACAAAAATGAAGTTACCGTGGATTTCCTTGACACCTATGCTCGTCAACAGTGGGAAGGCATCTTATACTATGTCGTCGGTAGTGCGGGTCAAGGCCTCGGTGGCGCTGTCAACATCACAGCTGGAACAAAAGAGCTGCTGGAGAGTGGAGGCTTTGTCATGACCAAGGGTCGGAACGCATACATCACTCGCGATGGTTTCTCGTTCCTGCTACAAGAAACCAACGCTCAGATCTGGACATTGCTGATCGAGTATCTGAAGCTTTCAGAAAGACTTCAGATGGATGCTGTCGATGTCTTGAGTTTCCTCTTCACTCTGGGTTCGCTCGAGCTGGGCGTCTCATACACCACTGAAAACCTGACTCCCACTCAGGCACATATGCTAGACGACCTATCCGACTTTGGCATCGTCTACCGTCGCGCATCCGACAAGTCACGCTACTATCCCACAAGATTAGCCACCACTTTGACGTCCGACTCGCCAGCCTTACTTAACACTTCCATCTCAGCTACTTCTCTTGGGGTCACTCCAACAGGCGGAAACATGGTTGCTCCTCAAGAAACAGAAAAGGGCTACATCATCGTCGAGACAAACTATCGTATTTATGCCTACACATCCTCACCGCTCAACATTTCCATCCTATCCCTATTCGCCAACCTCAAGACTCGCTTTCCCAACATGTTGACCGCAACTCTTACAAAGTCATCAATCCAACAAGCTATTGCTGCAGGCATCACCGCCGATCAAATCATCACATATCTAACAACACATGCTCACCCCATCCTGCGAAAATCGACACCAATCCTACCACCAACAGTAGTCGATCAGATCCGGTTATGGCAGTTGGAAAACGAGCGCATGAAAGCCACACCAGGTTATTTGATCAGAGATGTGGGCACGCAAGAAGAGTACCTCAAAGCGGTACAACATGCAGACACGATCGGTGTCTTGACGTGGCAGAACGATTCAAAGGGAATGTTCTTCGTTACCAAGTTCGATCAGATGGCGCAATACTTTAAGGCCATTGCGAGAAGGAGAAGAGAAGATGAAGGCGGTGCTGGAGATGCGACACCAAGATAGGTTTCCAGTCTCTAATCAGCGAGTGGGCCTGGAGGGAATTCATACCTCTCATGACAACTTCACCATGGCGTTCTGGGCACAGCAGGCAAGAATAGTCTGTTATAGAGATGAAACAACAATACCAATTCACGATTGACAATTAAAGACTCTGCTTTCAGATAGCGTCATTGTTAGATCCACTCTTGACTCACATGGATGAGGGCGAGCTTCTTGCGGAAACGCCGCAAGATGTTATAGGATGATTGCGTTAAGAAAGACGAGCAAGGATGATACACTCGAGACCATTGGTGAACACATCAACTGTGCATTAGCATTCACCTCAAGCAAGACTCGCTAGAGGGGATACCGCTGTTTGCAGATCGGTCCTGCCCTTCCAGTGTACTAAAGTCTGTGACTTCCGTCGTCCTCTGCCTACGGCAACAAGCAAGACTGGATGCTATGAAAAGACGTAGACTTCCTTAGGCATATCCATCGAAGGTTAAATAGGTTGTCCTCTTTTGAGGGACATCTTCCAGTTTCTCCATATCATCCCGCATCTCATATGTTAATTAAACTCCTTTCTTCTGCCTTGTTCAACCATTGCATCCCTTCTAACCAACGCACATCTTGTTTTGAAGTGTACGATGTGACTAACAGCGACATTCATACAGATCGAGATGTGAGAAGAACATGTTCGGTGGTATTTAATGACCTTTGCAAATAATTGACTGGTAGTTGCATTTCTTGTATAGCAGGAGCGTATGAGACACAGTTCTTGCCGGTATCTTCAATGCCCCCCTGTTGGAGTCGTCGCCCTCGCTGTTGCCATCTCGTCGATTGTTTCGAAGTTTCCCTCATCTCGCGCCGTCGACGACGCGTAAGACAATGGCAGCTGCCCTAGGCTCCAGGCTTCGTGCTTGCCGATTTGAGGCTTCATGTGCTCCAAGACCACACTTTCCTCTCTCTGCAACTTCCAATTCCTCCTAGTTAAAGTCTTCCGAACTCAACCCATTCCAATTCAACTGATTCCAACTCATCTCATCATCCCACGCCAACCCAGTTCATCACATATCGACCTACTCATACTCCTGCTCTGCAATCCACCATACTTCATATTCTCGCTGTCAACCTCATCGCCTTCGTTGCCCTTTCAAGCCATCATCCGTCAAGCTTCGCTCCTCTAGGCCATCTTCCATCAAGCCTCGCTCCTACAGGTCATCCTCTATCGACCCTCGCCCCTCCAGCATCATCAAGCGTCAGGCCTCGCTCTTCCAGTGCCATCTTCCGTCAAGCCTCGCTCCCCCAGGGCCATCAAGCGTCCCTCCATACACGTCACTCGATCCATCCGCCTCCTTCTGGTTCTTTGGCATGTCCTCGTGGAACTCCTCTCCTAGGCCGAGTAAGCCGTGTATGTTTGACGTACTGTGCTGTGGCCAACCACCACACTCGGCCTAGGTCACATCACATCCCGTTCCGGATTCTGGTCTTCTGGGCCGAGCGAGCCGTGTATGTTTGACGTACTGTGCTGTGGCTAACCACCACGTTCGGCCTAGACCACATTACCTCAGGGCCGAGGCTGCCGTGTATGTTTGACGTACTGTGCTTACTCGGTCCTGATCATCTGACGGACACCCTGCTTCGACTTACTGGTTCTTATCCTGCTCAGGACCGAGGATGCCGTGTATGTTTGACGTACTGTGCTGTCTCGGTCCTGGCG